CATGGGGGTTATTGCATACCGAGTACTCATCTTGATGAGTACATGGGAGAATATTTAATTGTTTTATACCACGAAATTGTAACACCTCTAATATCCATACACGTAGCTACGTACTGTGATGTGGCTGTAGAACCCCCTAATAACATAGCGCAATGTGCCAACTTCTCAACTGTGTAATAAGATCAAAACTCCGCCCAATAATAGATACTGGTTCAGACAGAGGCACTCTCTAGTATTTGCTGTTGGAAGCTTCATCTCACGAGTTACTTGTTGGAAATAGGCGATTACAGTCACTGCCCTGATAACTGTTCATCGCATCTCGAGGAACAGCCTCAACGAATAATCTAGCTAGGAGAAACAGGGTCTACTATGAATCAAAAAATTTAATGTTATTGTCTGGATTGAGATTATACACGTACCTACTGTATGTGGCTCTTGTAATATACATGCTCAAATGCTATTTTCCTCTCAATCAAAGGTAAAGACAGTCCATATCTTAAACAACTTAACCTACAAGTCTAGTTCTATACATTAATTCATGTAGACAATTATCCTAGTTAATCATAATCTTCTAAATAGTTCCTAAGCCTAAGCATTCAAATTATATTGCCATCGCCGGAATATCATTCTTATACTTGAAAGTTATATGAAGTATGTTCCCTCAGGATTGGAGCCGTGACAGCAGCAACGGCGAAACGAATTCTAGACACCCCCTGATAGGAACACTGTATTTCAGTAGCCTGAGCAATTTCCAATTGTATAATGAAATTGGAATTATAATATCTTTCTGGATGAAGCTCCCAACAGATATTTAAAGTTGCCTATGCACCTATTATATGACCCCTAACAGGTGTAAAGTTTTCTAATTAGCAGTATATTAGGTACTTACTTAGGTAGGTAACTTATAATTGACATATTCTAACATCTTCTAACGTCCTAAGTTAAGAAGCTAGTCAAGCCTTTGGCATGTCAGGAAAGGCAATTCAACACTGGATATCTTGGTATATAAATCATGACATATTGTATTTATGACAAGAATCAGCATACCTTATTTGAAGCAGCTTTAGAAACCTACCCAAAGTGATATTACATGAATTACTTACAGTGTAGAAGGAAATATATTCTTGTCTAATAGATACTGACGTGATATATCATATCTACCAGTTTATTTTCTCCTATTCGAGCCTAATACTACCCAAATAGTAAGATCAATAAGGCCATACTCAAATTAAATAGACTATCATTATTATATAAGCTGACTAAAGGGGTCATGAGTTCCTACGGATATAACATTATATCTTTCTCTGAAGTAAATTCATACAGCTAAACCATAGGCTCAAGTAACATTACGTTGAGCTAACGTGAGGGCCCATTCCAGTGCCTCAACCGTTAAATGACTTACTAGAGGGCTTTGTTGATACGATGATATATTTTTAATAGGTACCTAGGTACTGGATCTATCTCAATGGGTTGTCTTGAAGACTCCTTCACGGGTGGAGAATAGTATTCCATTAGCGAAAATCCTGCACCAGCCTATTCGGAACGTAACTTGCTCAACTATCAACACGTACTTCTTATCCAGTTTCCCTATGCTCCAATCAGATATTGCGCTCATACTCGGATAGGAGTCCTTTCCCTCGGGTCCTCGCTATCCCGCGTTCAATTTAGTATAGCCCTGGGGTTCCCCTGTCCACGTGTCGATCATGACATGATTCCCCAACCTCATCGGCGCCTGATTACCGAGGGGCCAACCAGTATGTCGGGTAGTGGCCGAATTAGGTGAAGTATAAGGATGGTTCGGGGAAAGCGTTGATTAGAACTACATGTTCTAGGCCACGTAAACCCTGTACAATCGACGGCATTCAGCAGCCCCTGTGTCTCCCGGATTGGCCCATGAGGGCCTAGATTAAGAGTATATGTCGCGGGCTTGGCTCTTCCAGCGCGTTCTCAAGATAGATTGCGGCCAAGTTTGTCAATGATTTACGGCCGAGCAAACAGCAAGCGAGCTTCCAGTAAACGAGCATCAAGCACCGATGCTTGGAGCTGCTGCTATTCAGCAAGCTGTCGAGCCTGATGCTCTGAAAGGACCGATAAGCCATCACAATTGAAGCGGTTTGAAACATGTATAGGTCCTACTGCTTCGCTGTGCCGTAAAGGGGTAAGCCTCACGAGCCCAACGAGACCCAGGTCTATTCTCGAGTATCACGACGCCATCGGGCATGACGACACGAAACAAAATCATTGTACCACCTCACCTTAAGAGGAATTCCGGGGTCTCCGTCATACATGAACTGCCTGATAGTGACTTGTGTATACATGACTCATCCAATTTCCATACCGACATAATTACGTTTCTTATTCCCACATGTACTCTCCGGGTAGCGTTAGCTTAGTCAACAGGCTGGATTGCATAGTATTATCGACACTCCCTTCACACTCCTCTTTATGAGCCTCTTACCGCTTCTTTTCTGCACCGAGATCGAGGTCTACCTTCTGGTGCGCTAAGTCTGAGATGTACTTATCGCTCTACACTTGTACCCCCTTGGCAACTATTTCGGCTTTCCGGGGATGATCCCGACCTGTTATCACCCCGCCCAATGAATGCCCAACTAATTACAATACATGAATATTCAAACCATGTATGTTTGACTTTTTGGCTTGCCTGTGCATTAGTTTTCGATCCGGATCCTTTGGCTCGGTTCCGGTTTAGAATAAAGATATTTCCAGCTGATTTCTTGTTATGGACGATCAGTCAGGTCATAATATAGGCCCGGTGGTCTCTAAAGAAGATCACCATGCCACTAGATAAAGTAGTAGTTTGCGGCGAGTAAGTTGATTTCTATAGCGCTTATCTGCATGTTTCAAACCAGGTCCATAGTCCATTGAGTCCATTTTCTCATCAGCTCGTATTCAGAATCACGTAATTCTAAGACGTATACCTGCTCAGGTACCTAAGTACTATAGCAGGTAAATAAACGGTGTAGTAGAAACATTGACGTATATCAGTATACGAAATAAAACGTATATTCCATATGTGGCTATATCGGAATGGAAGCCTGATAACTCATACAAGCTAAATTGCCAATACATTCAATCCAAATATAGTTCCCTGTGCATAGCTTGTTAAATGACAGTGCATGTATTGCGCGCCTCGGACCTTGCTCCGAACGGCATTCGAATGGATCAAACATGTAATTATCCTCTAGCTTTCGTGAGACAATGTCTCACGGATCAGAAACTTAGCCGAACTTGAAGAATTCCCGCTTCAAGCTATTGTAGATCACCCGCGGAATGGGTTTCTAGTTCAAGAGATTAATTACGAAGCGCTACATGTAGTTTGGCGAAAAAAATATCGAATAAGTCGCTAAAGTCGCCGAAATCGTAAGAGTTTCGTAACAGTAGCTGTTCGGTCAACTTCAAGTGGCATAGTTAGCGAGAAAGAGTCGGAAGATTCAAATCCATTGTGGGGGCTGTAAAAATCGCCCGTATAGGGAGTCTTATAGTAGTAAATGCGGTGAATACCTAAGCATCTATAGTTCCTGTTGTCGATTTTCCACAGTAGAATATTCATGGAGGAAAATGGTAATGCTCATAGATCGTAACCTCCAGGCGTAGAACACAATTCTTAGTCGTACGTAAGGCATGAAGGGTCAATAATTTCCAGAAACTTAATATAAATATTTACATGGCAAGATATGATAAGTAAGCGCATAAATAGTGTCTCTAGTTACCTACCTGAATACAGAGGTAGGCAACACACGAAATTGACGATATCATGGTACTTAATTCAGGGGTGAAGTATATCGATATTGCTTAATTAGCACCTCCTGTACCCGTCACTGACGTGAATACTATAGACCATCACGGCCGGTGGATTTGAAAAGGTAAAAGCCGTTCGCCATCAATTGCCCCTGCAGGCGTTTGGGAGACGATACGCTATAGAGGTTGAATATCACCCCTCATGCACTAGAATGCAGCTGGTACAGATGGAGAGTCCATTCGGACTCGCTCTCTCCTATCATGTAGTCCATAAATACCTAGTGATATGGCTTCGTCGTGTTATCTATAATGAAGAAGTATTAGCCACTCAGGTAGTCATTCAATAGCACTTCACTACTTCTAGCACCGCCGCCCATAGGATTCCTCTCTGCTCCACAGTGTAAGGCTCAATATGGGAGGTAGCAACGCCGTAATTGCGTAAAAGCCTCGCGGCCAGGTACGGATGATACCTTTCTAAGGCTATCCTCCTAGGTACTTAGCCCCAGACTGAACCTTCTTCCATATCGCGATGGGCGATACATTGAAACTGGCGGTCGGCTCGGTCATTAAACACCTAGGAAGAACCCAACACTGCCACAATAACTGGCGGGAGCTCCAGGACAAAGTTATAGGCCTGGTTATAGGCATCGGAGCGCAACGATATGAAGGATACCCTATTCAAATCATCGAGTCGCATTGAAAGCCATACTTTCATAACTGGCAGGGGATATATGAGCTTCATAAGGGGTTGAAGAAATTACATTTCCAGATGCCATTGCCTACTATATATGTACATAAGTGAGTGATAATGGCAGCGGCAGCGAAATACGCACATCTGGTGACACCCTTCGTGTTGACTTGTAGATTCATCAACACTGGGCCAAGCCTAGCACGATAGGCCTGTACCAACAACCCACAACCCAGTATAGCAACGTCTAGGGGACACTGTTCTGCCTTTTCAATACTACTATGTATTTCGTAGGATATATCGCTTTTCCGCTTCGTCTATTAGTACGGATTTGTGGGCATTGTAGACAGATGACAGTTGTTGCCCCTTATGACGTCTTCAACCAAATCTCACTATTGTATTGGAAAAGCTCGCCGATGGGATTGAGTCTCACCAGGGTCGGCATAGAAAATACAGACTAAACACGCATGCTGCGGCCCTTTAAATCGAACTTTAGCGGACGATCGGGATATCCTTTGCATACTTCGTCAGTGGCTTCAAGCCACGGCGCCGGTGTGTATCGATTGACCCCCCACGTTAAAGGCAAAAGCAAATGGAACAATGTCGCCAAAAGCAAGCGTTCCCCGCATCAAGAAGAGTCACGAAACCCATAATTCATAGTTGATCATCAACAATATAATGGATATGAGAATTACGGCGTGGAACTGATTAAGATTGGATTTCAAGGCAAGCCTGTGACTTGGGAGATAAATAGCTACTGACTCTACCGAGATTGACACATAGGCGAATACAGCTGATGAAAACTAATTCCAGCTGACCCCAAAGAGTTTGACCTTCTTGGATGCCTCACCCGAATGTTTAGCATCCGTATTTTCCAGGTAAATCCTCGAGTGACCTTTGACATCAAGGCAGAGATACTTCCACTCGAAGTCGTCGTGCTTATAACGTTTCGTCAAATGCGCGAATACCGTACCATTATTCAATGGGCCCTCAACCTACGCAACGTTAGATCCGTCCAAAGTCTAAGTCCGCCAGTCAAAGCTTACATAAAAGTGTAGTATTAGATGCTGGTTCCCTTGGGCGTCCGTATTCACCGTAGACCTACAGTCGTCAGTACAATACTTAACAGGTGTCGTACGACGAAGGGTAGTTAGCCATACTGGATGGGACGGGCGCGACGCCACTTATTCGCAGTCTCCTCGCCATGCGCTGTGATCTTGCTGCTCTCGCCGAGAAGCGCTAGACACTCTGGATCCTTCTTGATTCGATTGAAAGCTCGACTGAAGTTGGCAGTTTTGCTATCGGGGGCGAAGACGTCTTGGTAAAGAAAATAACTAATACCGCCCTAATGAAGGGGTTGTCTCAGTATAAAGTGCTATATGAATGCGACAGATGGGAAGCTTTACAGTCAAAACCAGACCCACTATCACAAGACCAAAGTTGAAAGTCTGCTGTGTAGCGCGCGATGTCTTCTCGCCAAGGGAAAGCTCGCGCCAGGGCACAAACCCATCATCGTTGAATGGTGTAACGGCTTTCCTTTTGGAGGTGGCTGAACTACTCTTTAAGCCATGATGAGTAGCAAAACCCTGACGGATAAGAACCGGAACGGGTTGTATTCGCGGGATAGTAGAGGTAGCGCTGAATGGCCGGAGTAGGAGCTTCATCACGTTGGTATTAAGTCCATCTGGGCTAATGGTGCCGATCGGGGATCGTGAAGAGACAAAATTGCTCGCTTGGCTGGTGATATTGTTTTTTTTAGTGATGGCGGGGGAGGAAAAAGAAAAGAAGCTTTGAATAGAAGTTGGTTAAAGCTTCTTCGGCACATACATGTATTATTAGCTAATGAATGTGGGGAAACATTATGTACATCGGATATGTACATTCACCATACATGTACTTTCCACAAGATAGCACACTAAGCCATATATAGTTTAGACCTTTTCTCTCAATGCCATGTGGGTCCGCCGACCCAATCTTTCTAAGTGGCATTTGCGAAATCTGGCCGAACTCCTGATTTCAACGCCGACTTTACTAAACTTCAATCTTCCCTCCCCTTTTTCTCCCTATTATTTACATATAAGATAGCAAGACGAACTACTGTGTCCATATTAACCGACAAGATGAGTGCGCTTGCAACAAAGCAGCAGTCGCAGAAGATCTTCGAGAAATTGAAGACCAAGCCTGCGAATAGGGTGAGTGATAATCCTGATCCGCAACCACGATCAACGCGTATTTACAAGATAAATTCCTAACTTCTTCCTGTGCGCAAATAGATATGTTTTGACTGTGGTCAAAAGAATCCTACCTGGACATCGGTACCCTTTGGAATCTACCTATGTCTCGACTGTTCCTCTAATCACCGCAATCTCGGTGTCCACATCTCCTTTGTGCGCTCCACCAATCTTGATCGTACGCCACTCTCCCCGACATGATAACAATTCACCACTAACAGCGTAATTAGAATGGCAATGGGACCAGCTACGTGTTATGAAGGTTGGTGGCAATGAGTCTGCTACGAAGTATTTCCGCGCAAATGGAGGTAGCGCAGCTCTTGCCAGCAAGGATCCGAAGACTAAGTACCAATCAAACGCGGCAACCAAGTACAAGGAAGAGCTAAAGAAGAGAGCCGCACGAGACGCACTCGAGTACCCAGAAGAAGTTGTCGTTACCGACGTAGCTGGCGATGGTGCCGAGTCGGCCACTCCCAACAGCGAACCGAGTGACGATTTCTTTTCTTCGTGGGATAAGCCGTCGATCAAGAGACCTACACCGCCCATCTCCCGAACTAGCACCCCCCCTGTTGTTGGCCGAACTAACTCACCGTTCCTTAACGCCGGCGCCAACGGCAAGGAGATTTCCCGATCTTCTTCGCCCCTATCTAAATCTGACTCTACTTCCGATGCCAAACCCTCTGCTAGCCGAATCACCACATCTGCCGCTCTTCGAAAGAACAACACGGCTGGACCCCGTAAAGCCAATGTTCTAGGTGCAAAGAAGACTACTGCTAAGCTTGGAGCTAAGAAGGTTACTGGTGATATCATCGATTTCGACGAGGCTGAGAAGAAGGCTAAAGAGGAGGCTGAGCGAATTGCGAAGTTAGGCTACGATCCGGAAGCCGAAGAGGCTGAGGCAAAACAAACTAACACAACCAAGACTGAGGCCACTAATGTTATTTCCCCTACACCGGTGAACCCACGTGGATATGGCTCTGGTCACAGCCGCGAGAAGTCCGCTGCCGAAGTTGAGCGTCTAGGTATGGGTGTTGGAAGATTAGGCTTTGGACAGGTCGGAGGCGGCAAGTCTGCTGCTAGCGCCGCTCCCAAGAAGAATGCTGGTGGATTCGGATCAGTTGGACCCGTTAAGGCAGCTGCTGAAGGTAAGTTCAATATCATTGTTGGTGTTTTTTTTTTTTTTTTAGAATACCCTACTAAAACATATGCTAGATGACGACGAGCGCTACGCACGAAACAAATTCGGTAACCAGAAGGGCATTTCCTCCGACGAATTTTTCGGAAAGGGTTCTTTCGACCCTAACGCCCAAGCTGAAGCAAAGACGCGTCTACAAGGATTCGAAGGCGCCACCTCTATCTCGTCTAACGCGTACTTCGGCCGACCCGAAGAAGAAGATTCCGCAGACGATTATGGCGATCTCGAGTCTGCCGCCAAGGACTTTGTTCGCAAGTTTGGCATCACTGCCGGCGACGATCTCGACAACCTGACCAGCGCATTAGGCGAGGGTGCCACTCGACTTCAAGGCGCTATTCGAAACTACCTGAATGGTTAAATTAATTGGACATGGCTGTAAAAATAAGCTCGGGAAGATTGATAACTTCAGGGTTAATGGTTTAGGAGACGAAAAGGACACCCGGTCTACGATATTGACCAATTGGGGACGGTCAGAAAGAGCCGATTGTGGCAACACCAGGTTGATACCGCAGGGCATACATGAGACAAGATGCAATGAGGGTACGAACGGTACCACGAACACAATAAGGCCGTATCGGTCTACGATTTGGACGTTATAGAGAAAGTAGCATGGTATGCATAGTAATGAAAACTGATTATTCAAATGTTCTCATGTGTTGTGCTTGCTCAAAAAATCATTATTGAATATTCAGCTGATCTACGCGACACCAAGACAGATAGCCGACCACAGTTAGAACATGATAATTCGCAGACATAAGATTGATTTATGCTGAACTCTAATCTAAGTGATAGGTAGGTACCTAGGTAATCAAAATTCATACTGTTAAAAAAACTCGTCTCCTCTAAGCCGTTAAGCAAAACCCGCTGTACCAGAACCTGGATCTGTCTATACCGTTACCATGCCCGTTATTGTTACTTTTTATATCCGTAATAATAATTCTCCTAAAACATTGTTTAGCCTCCCATCATCCATCGTCTCTTTATCTTATTGCATGCGTATATGTGTGCGCGCACTCTTAGCAACTGAATGCTAACCTGTTCTTAAACCCTTCGAACCTCTCATTAACATTGACACCATTCCACAATTCCTCCGTTTTTTCGTCGCCCTCCCCTTCTTCCGAGGTGAGCACGGGCACCCCGACTTGCTCAATAGCGAAGCTAGCTGCGACGCTTCCCCATGCAGCTGCTTCTTCGAGGCTTTTACCTCTGGCCAAAGCGACAGCTAGGGCACCTAAGAAAGCATTTCCGCCGCCAGTCGGATCAACGACTTTGTCCTTTCCAGCGTCGCCGATGTGGTATGCGGGAAGCCAGCGCTCAACACCGGGGTCAACTTCGATTTCCTCGCGGGCAACAGTACCCTCGGGATCTTGTAGCAATCCTGCGAAAAGGGCCTCCATATCCGTGTCAGGCCGCAATCCGCCGTGCAGCAACGCCGAGGGCTTCGGAGTCTTTTTGCGCTGAGGTTGGCCTACTACCTTGCGCTTACGTCCGCCATTTCGGGCTACGTAGCATCCCTTCTCACCAGCGCGAACGACGATAGCGAAGGATTGAAGTGGCATAGAGCCTAGAAGCTGTTCACAAGCGCGCTCAACGGCTTTAGTGCTGATCTCGCCCGTTTCCGGATCTAGACCATTGTCGCCCATGAAGCCAGCTAGCTCGGAATGGTTCGGACTTATAATGTCAACGACGGGGAGAGTGTTAGTGCAGTTTAGCAACTCATCTGGAGTGCATAAGTCTGGCACTGGTTCCCATACAAAGATGGGCCTGGGTAGACTGCTGCCATCCGGTGCCGTCAAACCACTTCGGCGAGCCTTAATCTCAGAGACGAGCTCGCGACAGCGGTTAGGTGAGCAGATAAGGTGAAAGGAGCGTGAAGCTAGTAGCGTTGGGGTAAGATCTTCAGCAGTGAGTCGTTGCTTAGGAGTCATGTACTTGAAAGCTCGGTTCTGATGTTCATCATAGCCATTCCAGCCTCGTGTAGTAAGACGGTCAGGTGTGGACCGCATCAAGACGGACGTATCCCATGAAGCAACTAGATCATCGAGTGCCGGCGGAAAGTCGGAACCTTTATCGATGATCCACCCAACGGAGTTTGACAACGGCGGCGGGGAGAAAAGCCGAGCTCCTAGGGCTGAATAGGCACCGCCGCCACCGAGGATATCCTTTACCGGAGGTTTGGGTGGTGGATATTCAATCTCATCTTAATTTGGTAGTTATGTTAGCTGACTAATATTCATTTTTGATTGTATTGCCTATTGCCTATTGTCTTGATGAGGCTAGAAGGGTCAGAAGGTGTAGCTGTGGCACTGCCAACTAGTGCTGTAACGGGTGTTTGGTGATCTCCCAATGAGAATGATGAAAACGAGATAAAAGGTAGGCCAAGCAGTGGTATCAAGCCTCCTTATTGATGGATTCCACTTGGTCTAGATGCAGTCAACCAATCTGACCTTTCAAATGTCGGTAGGCTGCCATCTTCCGATGTTCATGATGAAAAGGGCGGTGGGTGGTGATGGACAGACCCAATGAAAAAGAAAGGAATGAGTAATCGGTAAGAAGATCCGAAAGGTAAGAGAAGGAAACTTAAGAAAAGGAAAATGCATCGTACCGATAATAAACATGCCCAAAGTGACAAAATCTATTTCGTGAGAGGGTTTATCACCATTCTCCGTCTTGGGATCATGTTCAGCATCCATCGTTTATTTATGTGTTTGTTTCCCTTTTCAAATCTCGACTTTTAGAAGTTCTCTTGGACCAACGGCCGAGCGTCATGTCATATGGTGTATCATGAACAGTACAAGTCGGTAAGGATTCGGGGGGTTGCATGAATTTTCCCCTACTTGTAGACCGCTGCTCTCTCTCTCTCTCTCTCTCTCTCTCCTTACATATACACACACAGCATACACACGGTCTTCTGTCTCTTTAAGGTGGGAAGAAGTTATGCAACAGTGTCGTAGTCAAAAATAAAAAGGGCTGCAGGTCTAAGAAAAGGTTGGCGGCCTAAGCTGTTCGGGAAGATTTTTGAAGACTTTGATAGGTAGAAATTATTTGAGAATTAGTTTGAGAATATTTGAGAGGAAAAGTCAAGTCAAGAAGTATTATTGATCAGGCTGAGCTACACTGCATGCAGCCTCACTTTTGTAAAGTTCCAGGTTTTGACCTTCCATTAATATCAAATAGAATTCTCTTTTTGGTGGTCGTGTCGGTTGCTACCTCCTTCGTACATACATTAAAAAAAGAGTACCTACATAACCTTAGGTAGGTAGATACGTACACTTACATATTCTTCGCTAACACGTTGAATGTGGGAGGTCGCTGCCCCTGTATGCTTAGGTGTATTGTGTCGGTAGCCAATCAAAATGATGCCAGCACGGACCCATTTGCACTAAATAGGATAAGGGGAGTTTCCGTTGTGCAGGTAATTGTACAACGCAGCATCAAACTTAATGTGCTTAACGTAAGGTACCTAGGTACGTACCTTTCTATTCCTTATGTACATAGTAAGAGCTTCGATTAAGAGATTCAATGTTCCAAAGTCTTGGCGGCTGTCTGAAATTCTTACAACCTACTAAACGGTAACAACTCTCGTCGTCGTCTTCGTCTTCGTCTTCGTCATTTCGGTCATTTTCTCATTGCATTTATTGTTAGGCATCCGCATCTACAACTTCATAAGTGATTATTCATAGGCAACAATTCAACTCCATTTTACATATTAAGGCCTCTCTTTTTATGCTAGGACTTTGATTTATCTCTCCCCCCCCCCCCCCGATCGAAGCTTCGAATACAATCAACCCAATTTTTAAGAAGGATTCAGAAACAACCATTAGCTAGCAAGGCGCAACTGCCAATATGGCGCAGAACAATATACATAACTTAGTTACTCTAATCAAACGGTATGCTATGGTCAATTCTTTGGGTTCTCTCCCTTTCTATCATCTATAGTAACTTTTAACACCTTACGCATCACCTCTATCTTCAAGTCTATGTCGCATAAGGAAATAATATTCTAACTATATAATTTAGATTAGAAGCTGCTACTACCCGTCTAGAGGACATTGCTTCGTCGACGATAGAGCTTCCTCAAGCTGTCCCCGCCCTTACCGCCACCGTCGCAACACCCTCTGGCCCCTCTAGCGTGGCAAGCCCTCCACCATCACACTCTTCTACCTCTAACACAAAGCAGGCCGCCCCAGAGCCTTTGCCCGAATCGATCGAGGAATTCGATGCCTTCATCGACCAATCCGTTGATAAATATGTCAAGGCAAGCAATAAATTGGGCGGCTTAATCGCCGAGCAAGCTTCGAAAGTGCTCGAAGGTTTCAAGCAACAGCGTCGGTTCCTGTTGATAGCTACGAAGGCCAAGAAGCCCGATATAACAGGTTCCGAGATGGTTGTTTACCAAGAGCTCCTAAAACCCATCAATGAAGCGCTTATGGCCGCCGGCAGCATCAAGGAATCCAACCGCGGCTCCCCGGTCTTTTCTCAGCTGAGCGCAGTAGCTGAGGGTATTATGGTGCTTGCTTGGGTCACGGTAGATAACAAGCCATACAGACATGTTGAAGAGTCTCTAGGATCGGCACAATTCTTCGGAAACCGAGTGCTAAAGGATAACAAGGACAAGTATGGATAACCGGTTCCTAGGGTAGTGACAAGGCGCTAATCTAATACGTAGGGACCCAGACCAAGTCGAATGGATCCAATCCTTCTACCAAGTATTCCGCGACCTCGCCGACTACGTTAAGCAATACTTCCCCAGCGGCATTCCCTGGAACGCGAATGGACAACCCGCTGCCGAGGTCGCAAAGAGCCTATCATCCGCCCCGGCCCCCAGCGCCGCTGCTCCCCTACCACCACCTCCACCAGCTGCGGGCGGCGCTCCGCCTCCGCCACCTCCCGGCCCGCCGCCGGTTCTCCAGATCAAGGAGCAGCAAGACGCTCCCTCTAAGCCAGAGGGTATGGGCGCAGTTTTCAGCGAGTTAAACAAGGGCGAGGGTGTGACCAAGGGCTTACGGAAGGTCGACAAGTCGGAAATGACACACAAGAACCCGTCGTTGAGAGCCGGATCTACCGTCTCCGACTCTTCGGCTAGGGGGAAGAGTCCCGCGCCCGGCAAGAAGCCGAAGCCCGAAAGCATGCGCATCAAGAAGCCGCCGAAGAAGGAGCTTGATGGCAACAAGTGGACAATTGTAAGGCGGTTTCACATTCAGTTTATGGAATAGGAAGGATAGACCTAACAGATGATCCTAGGAAAACTTCGAGAAACACCCCGAACCAATCGAGATTGAAGCCGAAATGTCGCACTCTATCCTAATCAGTCGTTGCAACCAAACGACCATAATCGTCAAGGGCAAAGGCAACGCCGTCACAGTCGAAAACACCCAACGTCTAAACCTCGTCATCGACTCCCTCGTTTCCACCGTCGACGTAGTCAAGTCGGCCAACTTCGCGCTCCAGGTCATGGGTACCCTCCCCACCATCCTCCTCGACCAGCTCGACGGCGCGCAAGTCTACCTCTCTAAAGAAAGCACCTCGACCCGAGTCTTCTCAAGTAAATCTGCCGGTATCAACGTCAATGTCCTAGCCGATGGTGAAGATGGCGATTATAAGGAGATCCCGCTACCTAGCCAGATCTGCTCGTACTTTGATGAGGAGAAGGGCGATATGGTTAATGAGATCGTGGATCACGCTGGTTAAATCTGGTCTAATATGCTTTGACACGGGGAAGAATAGGACTATATGCCTACCAGTGGATGTATATCAATCGATGAAATGTTGGCGACCGTCGGCGTTGGATTCCGCGATGATGTGTAAAATCAAAGATGAGGGGCGAGACATCGTTCCACCTAGAGGGTGAACGAGTAAGCAAGCATAGGTAGCATAAAGACCTAGGATACCCAGGTGTACCCGCGCCGTCTTAGGGTAAACTAAATTCTAAAGGTGTTGTATTGCTTAGATAGCATTCATAAAAATTCATCGAAGCATCTACAAATCCATTTGCATGGATGGGTTTATCGTGAGGCACTTATCAAGTCATAATGCAATGGATGATGTAAACACATGATGTCCCTTTATTGAAGCTACTTGCCAAGCTGTACTCGTTATCCACCAACTCCGATCTCATGCTTTGGAAAATTCTAATGATAACGACCCAAAAACCTAGAAAGAACCTTGAGACCATAGAGCATATGGCTTGTACCAACGACAGCGAGTCATAATATAGCTATATGTAGCAGGAGATATGGGGATTCCTCCCCTCTACATCGACACCCAATGTACCAAAGCAAAGGATTTGCCCATCTACCCTTACAACTTCGCCTTCGGCGCTTCCAGTGTAGGTAGGAGCAAGTCACGAAGTTCATTCGCGGCTTCATTGAGGTAGTAGCTCATCTTCTGACTACCAAGGCCCTTGGATACAATGTTGAAGTTGAGACTGTTTAAATTTTTATTAGCCCATATCCTTTCGCGCAGAAAACGTATAAAAGGGGGAAAACTTACCTATTCTCATTAATCATATACGCAATACCGAACCCAGCATCAATAACCTGACTCCAACCATACCCATTGAAGAACTCGGAGCTCAGTTGGCTAGTAGACAGGAACCAAGAACTGCTGTAGCCGTAAGCTGGGTCCTTGTAGAGAGCGGGTAGCTCCTCGCCGGGCTCAAGCAATTTTTTAAGACCGAAGAGATGACGATCGACACCCTTACCGTCGGAAGCCGCCGATATATACTCAATGTGAGCGGCGACTGCCTTGCGGAATAGTTCAATTCGGTCCGAAGCCGAAACCTCGGGATCGGCCATCGCGTTGCAGAATGCGACGCTTTCATCTGACACTGAGCGACATGTCTCCGTGCGACCTTGTTGGAAGCGGCGCGTCGCAGCGGACTCGTAGGTTGGTCGGTTCTTACCGTACATCTTGTGGTAAGCTAGTTGAATAACCTGCTGCACGTATCCATCGGGCGAGAATTTGAATTTCTTGATTAACCCCTTGCCGTAGGCTTGGTAGGCCTGGACTGCAAGCTCGTGTTGTCCAATGACGTCGTTGAAATCCCGAATCGCACGGTCAATTTCTTCTTGCACCTCTTTGGTAACTTCGAAGTTGATCGGGATGGGCTCGGGAAGGTTGGATCGCACTGACGGATCGCTGAAGTCGAGCTTGTTGCCGAAGATAACGTCGTTAACGTAGTCGTTTAGGCGTTGCGTGGGCGTGCCGTCCATCATGCTATGCTCGCCCAGGAAACCAGATGTGCCGTTATCGTTCACGACAAACTGAAGAGGCTTGTCGTACCAGCGGTTTTGGCCATCACCGTGCCAGTATTGGTGCGCACGCTCCTCAAGGGTGACCGGCGCGGCGTCATCGAGGCATACGAGGAAAGAGGCAGACTCAATGGCTTCTAGCGCAGCCTTGTTCTTAGGCGAAGCGTCCAAGAGCACCTTGCGCGCATCTGTCCAGATGTCTCGGTTTTCGGAGGTCAGGGCTCCCACGGCGGGCGCGTGATGCGCAAGTTCGTAGATACGTGCGAATTGCGCTTCCAACTCACTCGTGTTGAGTTGCTTCCCGTCAATTTCATGAGCCACCTTAAAAAATTGGTTCTTTCGAAGGACCACGATGTGCTTGTGCTCACTAGGGTCATACTTGACAGGGTAGTCCGCTGGTCTAGCTGGAACCCGGCTTGTGTTGAACATCCACTTATAGCTGTCCATGCAAATGGGTAGCTTCTTCATGTACTCCGGTTCGAGCGTGCCAGCATCCACCTGCTTCTTGAACTCAAGCGCCGCAGTCGTTAGAGCAGCAGCGCGCTTCGCGGGGTTCCGTCTCCTACGGTCATCTCGGTGCGAGTAGAAGTAACTAACGTATGGGACTACGGGGTCTCGGTAACTCAGATATGCTGAGTCGTTCCACCAATCGTAAATCCAGTTCTTTATCTTGGGGTTCTCACGGCGCGCAAGCAACTTTTCTTGTAACTTTTGTCCCACGCCACCGGGTTTTATGAATTCGTCAACGGCTTTCTTGCTTGCGGCGTACTCGACGGGGCTTAAGATAGGGTGGAGGCTTTTTACGTAGCGAGCGGCAGTCTCTTCGAGCGTCGGAACTGGTAATCGGGGGAGTGACTCTTGGAATCGGAGCATGGCTCCTTTAGACTTGTCTTCTTCATATCCTGTACTTCTTTGTTAGCTATTAAGACTATAGCGAACGTCTTCGAGGGGTTTTGGTACTGACCTGGGCGAAGGGAGCTATTGCTCCGTCTCGATGCCGGCGCCATCAATATACTACTCTATTAGGTCATGATCAGCGACATGTCGCTATTGGTGAGTTACTAAAAATCGAGATGAGAGTATACACACATTGGGTGCTAAAGCTTGCCTAGCTAGAGGAAGTCTGAGAGCGGTCGCCTGTGCCCGACTCTTTGCTAACGAACTCAACATGACAATTGTGTTTGTCTCAGGAAGAGTCGAATTCTAAAGAATAGAATAGGATAGAGGGAGGGAGGGAAAGAAATGGACCCTAGTTAATCGGCAGAGCTATACCTAGTAACTGAGACCCAGTCAAAGAAACCGCGGTATGTCAGAGACGTTGGTATGGAGTTCTAGGTATGGGTATGGGTTGCATGTGCCTCCGCGTAAAAAGTCCGTGTAGAACCTAGGCTATTTTATTGAAGTGCTAGGTAAGTCCGGGGCTCCATCAATTAATTGTATCAGTCAAGTGTAGTAATAATAGTAGCTAATAGTAGCTAATTTAAGCAGTGACGGGTTAAAGAATCAACTGTAAGTTAAATGCTATCTGAACTCTCTGGTCTATCCGTTAGCCGTTAGCCGCTGGTCCGTACCTAGGTAGCTTAGATAGAACCTTCCTCGACCAGAACGACCAGAACAACAGAAGGAGTCGGCAGTATGTCCGGGTTGATGCAAGCCGCAGCTGTAGGGTGGATTATCTCGGCTCACAGATCGCCGATGCCGAGGTAGTTGAGATTTATGGGTCCCTCATCAGGGATTCGTATACCTAGGTACTTTACCCGTAACTGCGGAAGAGTTGCCCACCGTAGTGTTAATACGGCTTTTGACTGTGCTAAGTAGACTAGGTATTTGATTGGTCGAAAACTATACAGTATCATACTGTGAGTTTTTATGAGACCTCGCACAGTGGGCACTTTTATGTAATGACGTCCTTCTGGGTGGCTTGCGATATGGTGAGTTGATTTGCGGAGAATTGGTTGGGAAAGCAAAATGGCTGGACTTTCTTTCATCTGTTATTTATTGGGGTGTCGGGTCAGCCGATCAATTGCAACCCACCCCGTACGCAAAAGACACATATCCTTCGACCTATGATGCGTAATTCTGCGTAAATCCGGTGACAACTCATAGACAAATCCCATCATGATATACGTGGGATACGTAAAATACGGTATGTCAGATCACACCTCTTCGTGGCGGGCTTACATGATAAAGTTACTTTTTCGCACGACAAGAGTATTACCTACATGGTCGTAAATGGGACAGTGAGGCTTTAATGAGAGAATGGCGTTCTAGAAGAATTGATGAACGATGCAGGTCGAAGAAATTGGAAAGAAAGTAGGTACTTGTGACTGCTGTGAGGTATGACTGTTATAATTTAGAAAGGTGCCCGTGCGCCTTATAGCTTCCTTATCAGCAGTTATTTGAGTCGCTCGTAATGGTGGTTACATCCCCGGAGCTTGGAAACTTGCCCAGTTGGACTTTCTCCCCCCTAATAAACCCCACCCCTCGGTAGGGATACCCCACTGCTAAGGTACATGAGAATGTATGGTATGGAATAGGGGACACGTGCGTACCGGTGGTGCATTACGATATGATGTACATCTGTACCTTCCTCGCTCCGTGTAGCAAAGTACCTCCAGGGCTATGTATCTTCTAAGCAGCTAAGGTAGGCACTACCGGAATAGCTACTTGACTCAACACAATTAAAGGAGGTGCCCAGGTGGCTACTACTGCTACGTACCTACACTACACTACGCAACTACGCTATCTTTCCAGCCTGTTCCTTTTCATCTCTTCCCTCCCCGAATCAGAATTAGGCAGGCCACCTTTACCAAACTACATACACATTCATAAGTCAGGATTGAGGGTCAAATCAGGATCCTGCTGGACAAGTCATAGAGAAACCCGCCCATAGATACGACACCTCCCGCGTTATCTATCCACCTGGCTCGCTTGTTAGAGTAGATACCTATTCCCTGGGTCTTGGCTGTCATCAATATCCGTTGTTTCCATCCTCCTAGTTTATTATCCTAGATAGCTATTAGGCATCGAGACAGATGTATAATATATCCGTCCTACCTCATCTTCCCCATTTGATATTCTCCTTATTACGCCCCCTTTGTTCGTACCTAATCTAATATTGCGGCCCTTACGGATAATCTCTATACAGCCGAACGAAACTCGCGATCTCCAAGATAAGGGACAAAGACGACTAACTATGCCCTATTGGATTTTGAAGAGCTATCTTTCGTCATAGCATACTTCATCGTCATCACCATCGTCTTACTCCGTCACAGGAACTGGCAATTGCATTTCCGCGGTCCGTACTGTGATGCCTCACCATTTCTATCAAACCCGGCTATTGAAAGAGCTGATGCGCCCATGGGAAGACGTGTGGTAGTGGTTGGATTTGCAAACTCCAGAGGGTCCAAAGGATCTGCACTGGCGACATCATCATTATTTATTATCGAGTTTCCACGTCTTTAGGACCCTGTCGTGCATCTAGCCTGCATCCCCACGTTCGACCAGAAGCCTTGCTGTTACGTACGAGAATCGTGGACCCCTGGTGAAGCCTGCAACAACACGCCAATCCAAAACTTGACTTGGCAAACGATTCCAATCGCGGCATCTGGCTTCCGATTCGGTGGCCACTACGGGGGAAAAAAGAAAAAAAAAGAAGGGATAAAAACTATAGTACACTTACATACACCCACGTTCCTTGCGGCGGCGCGCGGCCCCGCTGGACTGATTCAATTGCAGCAATAGGGTGACGGGTTATTCCTGTTACTAACAAAAACCGCTTAAAAAGCCGGGTCTAGTTTCGAAATCGAATAATCATGATGGTCCCCAGGTCCTTTTTCTACTCGCGTAGACAACCAGGACCCCCAACCACTACTACCACCAAACCGATTGCGACATCTAAGTTGCCCTCAGCTAAGAGAAAGGATGATCTATCGACGAAGAAGGACGTTGCCTCTCCCACCAAACCTACAAACGTTAGAACGCCTCCAAAAGAGCGACCTATGGGTAAGCGGAAGGGTTTACAGTCAGAAGGGCTGTCTCCACCAAGCGGCAGCCCGCCAAGTACTACCATGACGAACGCTGTCGCACGACCAAATACTCGTTCGAGCGCCGTACAGATCCCCATTAAATCAAAACAAGATGCCGCGCATATGCACCGACCGCGACCTCATCCTCACGCGCACCGAAAACACTCCTCCCCAAGACGAAACCTAAAAGATGCGCATTCACCCGATACCATTCCTCCGTCAGTGGCTGCATTACTCGCCATCACCAGCATTCCCCCGCCCAATCGGCGTGGAAGCTCACGGCAAGGGCAGTCAAGGGACTCATCTAGAGATTCGCGGATGACGGTAGATTCTATCGTGCCTCGATCACAAGTGTCCGAAAAAGATTTAAGTCAGGAATTGAGCGAAGAGTTTGCTCGAGATTTGAGCGATATAAGCATTACATCCTATGATCGCAGCCCGATGGACGTATTGCTTAGCCCGCCGGATGAACTCGACGAAGATGATGAGTCTATGACTAGCGATAGTGCGTTTACGTCGCTTCTATCAACCCGTGCGGCGTCGTTTGAGAGTGTGCCTTCTCTGGGTGACTCATTAGGGACCAGTTTCGTTACATCTATCGACTCACCTGTTACGCCCCGCGGTAGGAGGATACGGCCACCGAGGCGTTCACTAGAACCTGTTTCATCACCACCTGGTGAACGTCCAGACCATCCACTTTCTAGCAAGAGCAGTCTGGAGGTTGACCAACTAGATTTTCGGGTATTCAATCAGAAACCTGGCCCAGCAGAGCAAAAACAGACTGGCCTAACACCTCTCAAGTCCGTTTTCAAGTCAAATCTGACCGCATCACTTCGTGCATTGCGTTTGGCTGCTCGATCAATATCTAGCTTTACTGCTTCATCGATACCACCCGATGATTTTCTTACTAGGTCTATACTTACAATTGACCCACGGGTCCCATTTACCGATGAGAGGATGCCTCCTGTCTTGGGAGAGGAGCCTAGCGAAGCAATGCGTCGTTACTTGAATCCTACTACGAGTCTACGTCCAGAATCACGTGTTCGACCACCAATTCGCAGCTACACAGCCTCTATTCAGATGCAAACCTACAAAATCCAGCGATCAAGGAGCGCACCAGCAGCAAGTCGTTCGTCTAATCAATCTAGTAATTCTAACAAACCTCCGACCGCATACGTCTTTCCACCGGGTCCCCGGCAACGAGAGATACGTGAAAATTCGGACTTTATTCGCATTGCTGTTTTAGAGCATCTAATGCGCAAACGTGGCAAATTAGACGATCAACGGGAAGGGCACGCACGTTGGCTACTACCGCCAAGAAAGTCCACAAACAAACCCTACGAGATTGGTACAGATGGAATTCCCGCTCGATGGGTTGCAATTTCCCAGGACGTCATGTGAACCCAAGGGGAAGGTGTTCATTCACAGGCTTAGCGGTGTGCAGTCATTACAGACACATTGCTCGGCTACATGGTGATCAACAAGACCACATAATCTATGACTACACTCAGAGGGCCTCGTGGAGACAGTTGCGAAGCGATGGTAAAATTTCAGGCACACAAGTTATCCAACGGAGGGACGAATTCAACAAGCGAAAAACCGTGGATCATAGGCCGTGTCCCACCCGCTACGTCAACGGCGATTCCCGATAGACTTAGGCTTAGCTTTGGCTTCAACGAATCCTAGTCGCCCTATTACTCCATCATGCCGACATCGCCAATCAAATTAGACCCACAATGGCATTCTGGATTCTAGAAGCCCGACAAAGTGTTGTCATGGTTCAAGGATTATGTGAATATCTCACTCGGGTCTCTTAACCTAGCCAAGGCCTTACCGAGCGATATTTTTTTGATACAATCCGATGCAAATTTATCAAACCCACAGCCGAATTCGGATGAGTAATGGTTCAAATCTACGTGGATACATTCCTAGGCGTATTTTGTCCTGTCGAGTTCGGCATTTCTTTTATGCAGGTCCCCGCATATGCCCAAACTGCATTATCTCGCAGCAACCTTCCAATCATATTCGAGAGAATCTCAGAAGTTTTATTGCTACCATACAACGGGCATGAATGGTATTCTTGCAAACTCGGGATTTCTGGGTTCATGGATCATGGGACTTCCTGAGAAGTAAAAGCATGGATATTGGCGGTCAGAAAATTGCGCATCCCACGATGACATCCTACCCTCCTCGACCGTATGAACCAAAATTAGGTTATCCGCATAGCGACGATGCTTTTTTTTTTTTTTTTTTTTTTTTTATTAATTTCTTTCTGTATCGTGTCATATCATCAAAATACCCTTGCTATTTATTGTTCCTTTCGTGGTCTATAATTTTGTTCTCTTACACATCCGCATACGTTCCTTACCTATCAATAAGCATCGTTACTTTCTTCGCTCAGCAATTATTAGCTATACATTGTAGTGGAGTTGGATCATCATTGAAAGCATTGGGAAGGAATTTGGCGAGGATGGACTGCCATTGCATGGGTCTGGCGTTGGACTCGGCCACGAGGATTACATTGAATGTGTACTTGGACATTTGGAAGCGACTGCAAGCGAGTTCGTAAAATTGAAATTGGACTGAGTTTTATCGTATGAATGGGAGGTATATCTGGTCGTGCATTCGGAAGATTTAGATCCTCACTGGAAGACGTAGGAACCTTACTAGACCTTAGAGCAATATACCTGACAGCTGATGTTGCAGGTGCTGCATTACTGCCCAACCAGGGAGAAGGTTGCAGTCGTTATATTCAAAGCAGCGGCGAACGGATTGGAGAATTCATTTGAACTCAGAGGCTAGAGGCAGACCGACACAATGTAGTCGTAGTACGGAACCTGGCGAGATCTGTAGGATAGCGATGCATTCACAAACTAATAGGAGTGTTTGTTTCAAATCAATCCATCTCCTTTGCCAATTAATATTCACGTGTATGCCGAGTAATCAGATTTAATCTATTTCTCATGCTTGAAGTAAACCTAGAATCTGGGAATGTTTGCCATTCCGGAGTGGGCCAACCCGATGCCTTAATCTACTTATTGGTGTGCCAATGAGGGGATATGGAGTGCTCCGGCATTGTTTCTCTTCGAGGGCGAGAATAGCCAAGATTGAGATTACTACTTTAATTTGTACCCTCGCTTCGGGCTGCTACGTTGTAATGTATCCCCTTTTTTCTCGGGGCGGATGCTTCAATGTCCGTCGAAACTTCACTTTTGGTTCCACAGGGACGGCCCGCGACGACCCGCGGCGGTTTGCTCATGCGCTCGGCTAATAGAGGGTTAGCTGATAGCTAAGAATTAAATAAAAAGGGGTGTGAGTAGAGTATGAGTTAGAATTTAATATTGGCACACTTTGGGTTACGTTGCTTATTTGAATGTGCCTTTGCATGAGCCCCTTTATGACTACTACTCTCGTAGGAACTCGCGGTAATCTTCACAAGAAATAGTTCACAATTTATCACATAGAGACGGAAATTATAATAGTGGGTAGGTAGGTATGAAATACACACGAGGTCAAATACGAAAGTACCAAGTAGTTCAAGAACGTAAGTAGCAATTAAGGCTATATACTGAAGTTGCAACAAATATCAACAAAGGTAAGTACCTAAACATATCCCGCGGATCAGAATCAAACATCAAATTCAAACCCGCTTTTAACGCCCAACGATACAACACGTGCTCTTACGATACGCAGTTCTTTAAGCAATGTAATCCCGATACACCTTCTTCACCTGTCCACGTACATTCCGACCGGCCTTGCGGATTCCTCTCCACACGGCCTCGGAGCGAGGGACCTCACGCTTGCCAGCGGCGGCCGCGGCCTTCAAGTGGTCCGCCATCCAAGAGGCCCATTCCCAAGGCGAGGCGTCACCACCGGGTTGCGAGTTGAAATACTCCCAGCCGGCCACACCGCCAAATCCGGAGTTCTCGCTGATAAGCTCCGATAGAACGCCAGCTTCCGAGTCCAGTGCTACGAATCCGGAGCCATTAGATGGATCGGTTACTAGACCGAGTACGACTTTGTTGGCGGGGAACCCGTCGTCGACGATGGCTTCGTAGTCAGACGCACTGCTGGCGTCTCCCCAGCCGTAGTAGAACTGCGCGTTGTAAAACCCGATCGAGCTGCCTCTCTGGGATTCCAAATCAAAGTAACTGAAGCCACTAAGGTTCCCGCCACCCTTGGTTAGTGCAGAGGCTACAGGGGCTAGGGAAATAATGAAGCCATCACCGAAGTCTTTCTTTAAGCGGTCGATTAGTCGGATAACGCCGTTAAGCGAGAAGTTTTCCTCGACATCCAAGTCTAGACCTTGTAGGTTGTACGTGCCGATCATGTCGTGCAGAGGCGCGTAGTACTTCTCGAAGGACGCGTCGTCGCCGTCGAGCTTAGCGTAGGAACCGGCTGCCGCGCCGCCTAGCATGCCCATGACGGTGACGCCCGCGGCTTGCAGTTGCGCGGCGTCGGACCATACTTGGTCGAACTCCGGGTCCGAGGGCTTGAGGTTGTTGAGGTGGATCCCGCCGTCGTCGTCTTGGATGTGGATGGCGGCGATCAATACGTGCGTCACGGAGGCCGCGCCGTTGTTGACGAGGGGAAGAAGTGAGACGTGGTCTGTTGCGCTGCCGTTGTAGTTGAATGTCTGGTAGTAGATCACGACGCGGTGGTCATTGGCTGCGGCTTCAGCGGCGGAGACGGTTGGGGCTAGGAGCGGAAGAAGCCTCGTTAGCCAAGAGGCTGCTTTGCGGAATAACATGCTGGGCTGTTATCCTTCCTCTATGCTATGATGACAAAAGGTATTAGTAAGGGTCGGATGTCCGTGGGGTTGGACACGGTAGGCCTAGAGAGGACGACGATCCTCTCTTCTCAGTTACTTGGGAGGCTATCTCATTAAGTACTTGAGATAGAGTATACCCCAGAACTCAGATGTCGATCCCTGAATTAGCTCCCTAAGCTAGTCGCAGGGCTATGCATGGAGGAGGCGCGCATAGCCGGATTCTTTATATAACCCAAGTCCCGCAAGGGGAAGCCACCCATCAAAGGACCATGCTACGGGATCAGCGGGATCTCAATAAGCCAGACACTCCACTTGCGCGAGGGAAATGCCAATAGCAATCTGTTGAAACGTTTCGCCAACAAGGGACAACCGGGGGGGATCGTTGAGTGCCCTGCGTATGGTACATAGTATGCAGGTACCCCGGGTAACTTTTCTATCTCAAGATCCACATCATCGCGAGTCATGGCCAATGGGATCAAGTGTCTTATGCTCAGCTTGGTGGTACGGTGTTTATGCGTCTGATGTCAACTCGAATCCCGCGTGGTGAAGTCATGATGGGTTGTTCGCGCTCCGTACTAGGCAGGTGGTTTAGTTTGTGATCGATCGAGTCCGCTGAATCCGCTATGAGGTTGTAAAGCTCCTCCCACGAAGGGAAATATTTGAGGGGGATGCCGACTAGGGTCATGTTTTGGTAAGGCCGTAGGGCAATACTACTCACCATAGTATACGCAGAAGTAGCACAGACAGGTAACTTGCTTGAGTCGGCCCTTTCGAACCCATGTTATGTTTTGCTGTAGTAACTCATTGCCGTTGCCTATAATAGCTGAAAACGCTAATGATGCTCTCTATACGTCTGGCTAAGACATTAGTGAGAAGTGATGTCTACTCAAATCTAGAAATGGGCACCAGCCAGCTACATCGCAGTCGCTGAATGTTACTATTCATCGTTTAGGTCGCATCATGTATGTATTTAGTAGGTATGTAGGTGGGCAAGTATGTATTATAATCGGCGCCATGTGAGATCTAAATGTAAGTTCATAGTGGAGGTGACGTAGCATTAGATCGTCCATATTAAAATTGAAACACAGCGTATAGATATAACAACTTCGTTTAATCCCACTTATAGGATTCATCTTAGCGTTCGAATGAATAAGTATCCAATATAAACCAAAGACGCGCGCGCTGAGTTGTGAAGCTCGTAAATGAAGCCTTTGGGAAGACTAAGTTCTTGATTGATTGATTGTTAAGAAGAAAGAAGGGAAGGTTTCTATTCTTGTCTTAAGCTCAGCCCACATTAATTCCGCGGGTACGGATAACGTTACTTATTGGCCCACCCAGACTTTTTAAAACAAACTTAGGCAGCTAAGCGGGGCTATAGAACTCCGTCTATTCCCTCACATATTGCGCCTTCATCTCACCAAAAACCTGTAAGTACCCAAGTATCCTAAAATCAAAATATGTAAAGATGGAAAGGTTCAAATAGATGAGAAGAATCCCTATAAGATTGAAGTCAATTTAGTAGCTCCCTTTGAGCTTGAGATCTTTTATTCATTGTTAGTACTAGCTGACCGACCCGCCCTTTAAGGGGCGGAGGAGAAGGGAGGGAAGGTATACAGGTATACAGCGCCACAGTCAACTATAAACTCTGATTGGCTAGCCACACTTCTGCGCACGTCCGACGAATTCTTTGTAGAATCAATTAATCTTCACCAACACAACATAAAAATACTAGTAATTACTATAGCTGAATAGAGCTCGTTTTGAATGACCTTTTGATATTAATCGCATCATTAAGAAACGATATAGGAAAGGATGCGAAAGGAAAAAGTTGAGAAGTGCGGGGCGATTCTGAGGATCTTATTGGCCGCCGAAATGTGGCAGTGGTTTGTTAAATAAAGAAGAGTAGATATGCATAAGTGCCCACTAGAAGATGCATTAGCAAGTCGTACACATCGGATGAGATTTAGTCACGTAAATTACTGGCTTAAGAATGAGTCACCATATTCGAGGCAACTCTTACATGCATCTTACAATTTGTTTCCTAGGGATGAAAGGCAATGTTGTAGCAGTTTACCAATACACAATGAGCTATTAAAACATGTTTGTCTAATTATCTACATATATTATAGATTCGTCCCTTTAATCTGCCTTCAATTCTTCAACGATACTTAGGTACTTAAGTCCATAGATAGGACTTATCAACAATCGATAAGATATATAGACTTTTGACGCTAACTTCTTCAGCCAATGAGCAGCGTTCCGCCGTCTGCGTCATTGGAAATATCGAAAGCAACTTAGCTACCTAAATTACGTATCCAATCATTGGCAAGAGCGCATGGCATTTTGCCTTCAATCCAAAAGCCTCGAGGCGACGCCTTCCTTTCAAATGCACTGGTGCCTACCAAACCTTAATAATTTTTCCTCATATCTGGCCGTCCGTGTTGTACACTAGCTACATAGTCACATATATACTTTTTTTCTTCTTCCTTGTAATCATCTGCGCCGCTTCGCAGGCTCTCTTTCGCATTAATAATCGGCGGCATTTGTTCTAGCTAATTTTCTTCATCCTTTTCACATTAATTCAACAAAAACTGCCAGCGTCGTTAAGCCCCTATATTAATGGCGTCCTTTGCTGTTGGCCTTTCGAATTGTCGCTAGTTAGCTTTACCCTCGCACGCATCTCGTTTCATGGCCTCCGCATGTCGCATTCATCATGGCCTTAGACTCAGATAATGAGGATGGTTCGAAGACGGCGCCTTCACAGCAAATCAACGAAATTATGCAAAGAGCTTCCAGTGGCGAACCCGATGTAGAAACCGACGCTCTCGGAGCTACAGATGAAGCGTCGGCATTGAAAGACCTCACAGCGAACGTTCGCGATCAAGATGACCTCGAGCGCGATATCTCCTACCAAACAAATCTCAGGTTAATCGAGAACGAGAACCAGCGGGACGAGAAACGAATTGAGAAAATACAAGCTAGCATAAAGAAGCTCGAAACCGAGAAGAAGACACTGGACGAGCAAGCCCGCAAAGCCCTTAGCAGACCCCAACACAAGCAAAGCCTACGAGAAAAGATCGCTCGAATCGAGTCAGATATTGAGCTTGCCAACAAGGAAATTGCTGATTTCCGTGCCCGTATCGAAGAACGACAGGAAGAGGGCCATGATTTTGAGCAGATTAAAAGTGGGAATAAGAAACTGCCCAATGAGACACATCGCGAATTCCTAATTCGCACGGGGAAGATTACGCCATTTGCGAATATTGGAGGTCCCAGGCCACAAGGGGTAGAAGGAAGGTTGGCAGATGTGTTAATTGACGCCGAGGATGAAGCTGCGGCTGCAGAGCTGGAGGAGCAAGCCGGCTATGCACCACAATCCCACCAGAATCTGCGTGCGCCTGGGTTCAATGAAGAACCCGATATCATACCTACAGCCGTAGAAAGCGAGTTTACATTACGCCCCAGAAAGAAGCGAAAGGCGAAGCGCGAAACCGTCTCGTCGGATGAATTTGAACCACAGGCTTCCGACGCACCTGATGTGGATTTCATTGATCGAGATTCTGAAGAGGATCAAGTAAGACGTCCCAAGAAAAAGTCCAGAAAGGGAACCAAAAAAGAAGGTGGTGAGGAGAAAGAAGATGTTTCTCACATCGACGACGGAAATGAGGCCAGCTATCAGACCAGACTTGCGGATTGGATTGGCCGGCGCAGCAGAGCAAGACGCCGACGACGACAGGAAAAGAGAGAAAATGAAGGCCTCGACGAGTCAGATAGTGATGATGAAAAAGAAGAGTGGTTCAAACCATCTCCTGATCATCCTAGTCACCGCTTTGAAAACGGTCTAAAACTTCCTGGAGATATCTTCCCAGCTCTATACGATTATCAGAAGACTGGTGTCCAGTGGCTATCCGAACTTTACAATCGCAAGGTAGGGGGTATCGTTGGCGACGAGATGGGTCTTGGAAAAACTATCCAGATCATATCCTTTCTCGCCGCTCTGCATCATAGTAAGCGGCTTGACAAACCAGTCGTTGTTGTGGCGCCGGCTACCGTCTTGACCCAATGGGTGACCGAATTCCATCGTTGGTGGCCTCCCTTCCGTGTGTCAATCCTCCACTCTTCTGGCAGCGGTATGCTCAATGTAAGAGCTGAAGCCAGTATCGAGGATGAAGATGACCAATGGGATGAGGCTGGAAATAAGAAAGTGAGCAGAGCTGCTCAGAAGATTGCAGATCGAGTTGTGAAACATGGTCACATCCTGGTCACTACCTACAAAGGCTTGCAGACGTACGCCAGAGTCTTAACCACCGTAGAATGGGGTTATGCCGTCCTCGACGAAGGCCACATGATCAAAAACCCGAACAGCACTCTCACGATAAATACGAAGGAGCTACGCACGCCAAACCGAATAATCCTTTCTGGGACTCCCATGCAAAACAACCTTATGGAATTATGGTCGCTATTTGATTTCGTCTATCCAATGAAATTAGGAACGCTCATAGACTTCCGTAACGAGTTTGAAATCCCTATAAGAATCGGTGGTTACGCTAACGCTAGCATCCTTCAAATTATGACAGCACAAAAGTGCGCCGAGATCCTAAGAGACACGATTAGGCCATTCTTATTACAACGAATGAAGTCTGACGTCGCAGCTGATCTTCCAGCAAAGAAGGAACAAGTTATCTTCTGCAACATAACACCGCTGCAACGTGAAGCTTATGAATTCTTCTTGGAGTCAAAGGAGATGGAAGCAATTCGTGCTGGAATGAGGAATACTCTCTACGGGATTGATGCTCTCCGCAAGATTTGCAATCACCCAGATCTACTGTCTCCCCAATTGAAGTATAAAGATGATTACAAATATGGGATGCCTAAGAAATCGGGTAAAATGCAGATTGTAAGGTCACTTCTCCAAACTTGGAAAAAGTTTGGACATAAAGCGCTTCTATTTAGCCAAGGCGTACAGACACTCGACATACTCGAGGATTTCGTGAAGAGTCTAGGCGACATCAAATACATGAGGATGGATGGCAGCACTGCTATTAAAGAAAGGCAGCTCCTCGTTGATCAATTCAACAACGATCCAGACTTCGACCTCTTCTTATTAACCACAAAGGTTGGTGGGTTGGGTGTCAATTTAACTGGCGCGAATCGGGTAATCATATTTGATCCGAATTGGAATCCTTCAACAGATATGCAAGCACGAGAACGAGCGTGGCGACTGGGCCAAAAGAAAGAGGTTACCATATACCGACTCTTAACTGCGGGTACGATTGAGGAGAAGATATACCACCGTCAGATCCAGAAGCAGTTCCTGAGCAACAAAGTATTGAACGATCCAAAGCAGCGAGCTACCTTCAAGTCCGAAGATCTGCAAGACTTATTTACGCTTGAGTTTGACAAGGACAAAACAGAAACAGCGAAGTTGTTCGAAGGTACCGAAGTCAAGTTTAATGGCGCTTCGGCTGGAGAAGATCGCCCGGGTTCGCGCCAGAAGACTACCGAGGGGGCAGACACAACAAAAACACAGAGCAATACCCCCAATGATGCTGACGACCGGGATATCCAGGCTATATTAGGAGTGGATAGAATGGAGGAGTATGAGCCCGAACCAGATACAAAAGCAAATTCGAATGAAGAAGATCGTATTATGGAAGGCCTTTTTGCTCGCTCGGGTGTACATTCAGCACTCGAACATGACAAAATCGTCAATGGCAAGAAGCAACTAAGAGCAGACCCTAGAATTCTTGAGCAAGAAGCAAATCGTGTGGCAGCATCAGCAGCTGCTTCGCTCAAACGTGCGAGTGAGCAGACACAGTCGGTACCGATCGGCACCGTCACTTGGACCGGAGAAGTGGGTGAGGCTGGCAGGCCGTCGAATATCCGACGCGGTCGGGGTGGCCCTAGTTCGGCTGGCGTCCTAGCTGGATTAGCCGATAGACAGGGGCTGGATGCGACTGCAAGCAGCTCTCAGTCTCCCATACCTCGAAACAACAAACTAGGGGTCAAGGACTTTGAGAAGATGATACCTAGATTCATAAAAAACCACGGTGGTAAGATACCAACGAAATCATTGATCGATCACTTCAATCAGTATTGCAAGGACAACGCCAAAAATACGTCCAATTTTAAGATTGCCCTTGACCGTGTCGCGATTCTGGAGAAGAAGGGCTCGGCCGGAAGAGCGATTTGGGCTCTCAAGCCGGGATATTAACCAGCATAAGTCGGAATTCTAATTCTGCGAAGATTTCAACTCCGTGTGGGCGATTAGAAGGGGAAAACTTTGGTTCATGAGTTTGGGCGGATCGGTTCAGTTTAGATCATTGCGCTGCATAGCAGAGGTGTTCAGGGGTGAAATCATCATTGTACTAAGGTATGATATGTACCTACTTGCTTTACTAGACGAATGGTTGCGTAGGATTCACTTGGGTTCATGGAAAGAACCCTATATGTATTAAACGTAAATATCACAGGAAGACATAAAAAGTATAAGGCACTCATTGATCAATTTTTCTCATTGCTGCTGTAGCCGTGCCAAAAGGCATCATGTGACAATAAGCATAGCTACCCTAAGCATCATGGAGACCAGGCATGCTCTATTTCCTCTAGATTCACGCCGTTCTCCTCGTAATTGTCAACGCCACAGAGACAGAGAAGCCCTGATGCAAACCCTTGATTCCGCCGAGTGCCTTCAGATCGCCCAAGATACCACGATATATGTAGTATATAGTGCAATCATAGACGACGACCACGGCGACCACCCTTTCTGCGGGTGCTGTCGGAGGGGGTGGGGGTAACGTCCTCGATACGGCCGATCTTCATGCCGGAACGAGCCAAGGCACGGAGGGCGGACTGGGCACCGGGACCGGGGGTCTTGGTACCGTTACCACCAGTGGCACGGATCTTAATGTGGAGGGCATTGATTCCTAGTTCCTTGCAGCGGGCAGCGACGTCCTGGGCAGCCAACATGGCGGCGTAGGGGGAGGACTCGTCACGGTCGGCTTTGACCTTCATACCACCGGTGACACGGGTGATGGTTTCGCGGCCACTGGAATCACCCAGAATGTTAGCCTATGAACCATACACACATTATATACCTTTTTTGACCTTTTTCTTCTTCTTTCGGTCGGAGGATAATAAGAGAGATTGAGGGGGGTTTTATTTAGACGGACCTGAGATCGGTGACATGGACGAAGGTATCGTTGAAAGAGGCGAAGATACGGGCAACGCCAAAGACGAGTTCGCCTGTGAAGGAGCGCGGGGCACCAAGTTAGCGAAATGATTTCCTTTTTCTTATTCTTTTGGAATGAATAGGTAGGCAATGTTACTCACCTTCACGGACCTGAGGTCCGAGGGAGATGTTCTCCTGAGCAGGACGGGTGGTGGTCTTCTTGGGAGGCATTATGAATGATCTTATGTCTCTGGGTGTTGGAGGGGGGAATTCAGTGGACGGTTGTTGATCTGAAGCTTGACCGCGAGTCTTTTCAAGGGAAAATCGAATTGGTGACAAAATTCATCGGGGGTTTGTTTCGTGTGGGAGGATGCACTAGAGAGCGGTGGGGAACGGCAGAAACATTTAAAGTGGGATAACCCTAAAGCCTTTCCAATTTTCGCTTGGGGCGGTGTGCGACTACAGCTTTGACTGTACGAGCTAGTCCCAGTCTAGCTAAGCGCACAAACCCACTTCTCACTTGGAAAAACTTTCCCTTAATTTTTTGTGTGTGCCTCTTTTCTAAAATTTCCTTCCTTCTATTCATCAACCACCAACCCCAAATCAACAACCCACGATCACGGCCATCGCCCAATTCGACAACAATGGCTGCCTCCACGTATGATATTTCCTAATACCCCCTTTGTTACATTCTATAGAGAGAGCATATCAATATCCGGTCCTATGGATTTTTGCAGATTGTCGTGGTCCTCTCGGCTGGGTCGCGTGGGCTCTCGTGAACACCTGAAAAAAGGTGCGACGAAAGTTTTGCAAGCCAGCTCGATCTATCCTAGACTTCTCCCTTAACACTTCAGGTTTGAAATATAACTTGCACGTTAAGAGATGTAGTTCCGGGGCGTTGGAAATGAAGGCCCTCTGCCCTTCTTTCTGAAAATCATTTGCCGCTCTCACCGCCAGTAGACAGTCTTCGATTAGCTGTTTGAAATATACTGGTATAGAGCGAGCATATCTCTTGGGCTTCTGCCTAAGATGTTGTTGGATGAGAGGGAATGCTATGGAAGACGTTGCTAGTCTCGTATAGACTGCAACTCTTCGGAGCATCTCACCGATTAAAACTTCCCTTCGAGTCAGCCACCGCTGAGAATGTCGCATTGCAGTCGGCAATTCTCCAACCGGCGCTCTATTCATGCATTCATTTGTATGATTGTGGACTACGTACTAATCTCAATGTTATTATAGTAGCGTTCCCACCAAGGACCAGGTCCTAGTCCCCGAGACCCTTCTCAAGAAGCGCAAGAGCCAAGAGAAGGCTCGCGCTGAGAAGACTGCCGAGCTCGAGAAGCGCAAGAAGGTTAGTCGATTCTATTATTTCAATAAAGAGGCGGCGATGTGATGCATAACAACCCTTTGCGACTAGACCAAGGTCGATGCTGTTGCAAATTAACCATCTTTCGGGTCTGATCGACGAGATAACACACTCAGTTATCAAAGAGATGTTTGTCTGAACCATTCACTAACATCGTTATCTAGATCAACAAGGACAAGCGCGCCGTCATCTTCAAGCGTGCTGAGAAGTACGTCAAGGAATACCGTGATGCTGAGCGTGAGAAGGTTCGCTTGAACCGTCTTGCTAAGCAGGAGGGCAACTTCCACGTCCCCGCCGAAGAGAAGCTCATCTTCGTTATCCGAATCAAGGGGTATGTTAATTACCAAACAATATCATTGTACCAAACTAGAACTAACCAATGATTAGTATCAACAAGATCGCCCCCAAGCCCCGCAAGATTCTCCAATTGCTCCGTCTTCTCCAGATCAACAACGGTGTCTTCGTCCGTGTTACCAAGGCTACCGCTGAGATGATCAAGATCGTCGAGCCGTGGGTTGCCTACGGTTACCCCAACCTAAAGAGCGTCAAGGAGCTCATCTACAAGCGTGGTTACGGAAAGGTCGACAAGCAACGTATCCCTCTTACTGACAACGCTATCATCGAGGAGAACCTCGGCAAGTACGGTATTGTCTGCATTGAAGATCTCGTTCACGAGATCTTCACCGTCGGCCCCAACTTCAAGCAAGCCTCCAACTTCCTATGGCCCTTCAAGCTCAGCAACCCCAACGGTGGTTTCCGACCCCGCAAATTCAAGCACTTCATCGAGGGTGGTGACCTTGGTAACCGGGAAGAGAAGATCAACGCCCTCATCCGACAAATGAACTAAATTCAATGATCATGGGTTAATGGGTCTGGTCTTTACGGGGTTTGCTTCTATGCATGGTTCACGGCGTTCATAAAAGCTTCGGATAGCAATGAATTGAGAATTTGATGATATGGCAACCCCATACTTCGTATATATCCTCCTTATGAATATTGATTATGCCTCGTATATCTTCGGTAATCGTCTTACTAAATGTCGTCGTCACCATTGCCATCTCATTCGTAGAGACTCTATCCGTAATAAAGGAAGTAATTGTAATCTCGTGAGGGTAGTGCGTTGAAGTATCATTCGACAATTTCGAATAGCTGGTTCAAGCCCAGAAGACAAGCGAGTATCAATGCAAAGGCATGAATAATTGTACATACGGTAAAGCTCGACGAGGCCTATTCCAAGTCTTAGATATCAACATGGTCTGTTAACAGCTATCATAAAGCCACTTCTATACATTTTCACACCCTCAATGCAGCAGAAATGTACAATTATTTTTCCAGTGGAGGCACAACAGTAGGTGCCAATCCAAGGTAACATGCATGCTATATGCTATTTGCATTCTATCAAAGCATCGTTTCGAGAATATACAGGGTATCCCCAAAGAAATGAACTTGGAGTGAAGTATGTACCTAGGCAAGGGATGTTTAAGTGGGTATTTTGGTCTATAGCTTGATATCAAAACTCGTCCCGCATCCACAACTACTCGTCGCGAGGGGGTTGTCGACGATCTTGAATTGGCTACCGATGAGCTCCATTGCAAAGTCTACTTTGCTGCCTTTTAGTAGCTCGAGGCTGGGTCCGTCGAGGATTATTTTTGGGAGGCTGGGTTGTGCGGGTGTGGGGGGTTGGTCGGGGGAGGAGGAGGGGTCGGCGATGAAGGCAAAGATTGTGTCGTCTTCGCTTACGCTGGTTGTGGTTGAGGGGGCGACTTTGGCGGCTGTCTTCGAAGATTCGGCGCTGCTGCCCGCGGGGTGAGGTGGTGAGGTCGAGATTTCCGGCGGTGGGTGATGTGGGTTGTCGACGGGTGAGGAGGATGTGGGAGGAGCTGAGGGTAACGAAGGTGGTAATGTTGTTAATGACATGAGATACTGGAAACCATGGCAGCCGCCTGACTCGACGGAGATGCGCAGCGCGAGGTTCGGGTTTTCGTCTTTCGCCATGATTTGAGAGAGGCGCTATTTAAAACCTTGATTAGTTATTTGTCGCATTTATGGTTGTAGGTAGGTTCGCAATACTTACATTAGCAGCACGCGGGGTGATCTCTAGGAGCATGTCATTCCCATCTTCATCCTTCTGCGGGTTGTAAACAGCCTGAGTCCTGCGCCAGTGCGCCGTGGCGCTGAATCGTTGCTTCTTCACAGCATTTATCGCCGCGGTACTTGCATGGTTTTGGGGGCGAGAAGGCTTGCTTCGTGCTCGGAAGGTTACCGGTTCCCTAGAGTCGCGGGGGGAAGCAACATGGAAACCTCGGAATCGGGTCCGTGGCGGTAGCAGAACATCTAGGATAGGTCCGCTGCTACTTATAGACGGATGCGCCGAAGATGCACATAATAGCCTTACGAGAACCTTCGCGGCGGATGAGGACGAATACGCGCGCGTGCAGCCTACGGGTATTGGAGGAGGCATTTTCGCGGTCGGCGAAGTTTGAAGAAGAGGGTTTCTGGTTTCTAAGCAGAATTATTTTTTTGGAGAGTGGGATGATGTCAAGGGTGAGTTAGCTCGGCGACCATGGAGGGCCGGTGAAAAATGGCAGAACCAAGAACCCATCGGGATATTAGTAATGGGCCAATTATGCAGGTGCGATTTACAATGCCGGGCTGCCATCGGATCACGGTCGGGGCGTTGGGGAGGTCTGACTTGTTATTGGTCGGCGGGGGAGGAGCGAGGTACCTGAGTAACAAAAAGATTGGGAGGCTCGAGGGAGTTACTACTCTCACTTGTATTTGAATAACGTGACTTTTAAACCTACGTTACTTCCTTTCTTTCTACATGTACCTTAAATCTAGTTTGTCTTCTTCTTCACTTCATCATTCATGAAACAACCAACACCGTACCAGCACAATGGAAAACCCCTCATCATCCAGTAGTTGTGAATGATTTCACTCCGTGAGCTACGTCCTAAGGCTTATAATTTTCCCCGATGCAACGTAGCTGCCAATATCCCTTTGCTTTAGAGCGACAGAGCGATATGACGCTTAGACTCGAGATGACAAAAGAGTGGTGAGGTCAATCGGAGGAGGGAGCACCCTTCTATCAGCACTCTCTCAGACAAGTTGGGGGTAAGAGTAGAGATCTACTCTGTGACCTACTGCGTTGGGGAACTTAAAGATCTATATTAACCCTTGTCTTAGAATTCCCCAAATGAGAGAATGACATCTCCTCATGGCCAGACCCGGAGGGATTTCTCTCAAATTGGCGGTCCATCCAATGGGCACCCAAGAAGCGAGTAGCTACCTATATATAGCAAAAAAGCTATATGCACAGCTTGATCATTACGTGCTAGCAATGAAGAAGCTCATCACAGCATTCTTATCTAACACGCATGGTTAAGGGGGAGAGGAATGTGTCCGCTTTATTGGTCGGGACTCGAACTTTTTTGTCTTGCGTCGATCATCACCCGCCGGAAACAGGTCGTTCCGCGGGAAAACATATCCATATGCAGGGACCGGCTACATCCAGATCCCAATACGCTGCCGGAGTTGATGAATTTGGATGTCTGGATTTTGATTTTGCTCATCATTCCTTTTTAACCGCGATCCACTACCACAGCGCTCCTATTTTGCCGGCGATATGGGCTCCAAATGGGTATGCCCCCCACGACTAGGCCGCCCTTCGAATATATTGTCTCACGGGCGAAAAAGAAGGACCTTGGCCACAGCATTTTGATTAAATTTCCTTGGAACATGGTTCCGAGCGGAGGTATTTGGAATCAAGGGACAAAGGGATACAAAAGAGCTTCCTCCTCCACTCCAGCTTGGCTACGATAATCAAAGACACGAGCTGAATATAGAGTCTATCTGAACAGCTAAGGTAGCTACTTTACTCCCTTGCGATTACTAGAAAGCTAGATTATACTTCTTAGCTCTAAACGCGAGTAAAATTTAAATCAGACGTCGGCAAAATGCTTACCCAGCTCGTCTCCCTCACGGCCCTAGCTGCCACCGTCTCGGCTCACGGTCTCATCTCGAAGCCCACGCCCCGCGGACCCGGCGACGCGTCAGTTGCCGCGTGCGGTCAGTCCGTCGTGACCAACATCAAGGGAGACAAGACGTCGCACGTCGAAGGTCTCCCCGAGCTCGCCGCCGCCGATACAGGCTACCACGCCGACCGGTGCAACCTATGGCTCTGCCGCGGTCTCCAATACGCCGATAACTCAGCCAACGTGCAGAAGTACACTCCTGGCCAAAGTGTCAACATCGAGGTCCAGCTTACCATCCCTCACGCTGGTTCCGCCAATGTATCGATCGTCGACACCAAGACCGACACCATCATCGGCACACCCCTCCTTAGCTGGCCCTCTGGCTACGCCGATGAGCGCCAGTTCTACGCCCACCAGACTCCGGCTAACCAGACCAGCTTCAACATTACTATTCCTGAGGACCTTGGCTCGAAGTGCTCTGAGGCTGGTGCTTGTGTAAGTTTTCCTTTTATCCACTAACTCTTTCAAATATTCCTTTATCTTGAACGCGGAATTCTGACTGATATGCGTGTATAGGTTATCCAGTGGTGGTGGTACGGAACCGGCGCGAAGCAGACTTATGAGAGCTGTGTCGACTTCACTGTCGCGTAAAAAACTTGTAATCTATCAACCCCTCGATAGCTCGGATGATATGTGTACCAAAAATGATGTTTTCCGGGCTTAGATGGATATATAAATGAAATTAGATGTTAATAGATATGTCAAGTTATGCTTTTCATTTTAATCTCCATTCCTGAGTGCGTTGCAAGACAAGTTTGATGTAATTTTCTTTTATTTGATTCAATGTATATAATATTGTACATGGAGAGGTAGATTTGTATTTTGAAAATGTTTTATTTTGTTTATCAGCTAGATACTTCGAGGAAAAGATTTTAGTATTTGCGGAAAAACAGGACGAAAGCAAATTATATAAGCGCGGATACTCCTGAACACATCACGGATCGTCCCAAGATAAACCCCAAGCCCACCTTGTTTTCCCTCGTTACTATTGTTGTATACGACAAGTCATGTGAAAAATTGCTTCCCCGATTATTCAACCGAGTCAGCCGGCTCCAAAGTCCATCATTCACATGGGCATCCTCAAAAACGGTAAAATATCACATTTCCTCCAAAGCAACGACCCTATCCACACCCCCATCCCCGACATTCATACAGTTAACAGTTTAGTAAGGCGGGTTAGGTCCAATAGGAGGGGGAGGGTAGTCCTCGGGTCGTCCGCCGGCTACGGAGCCGGTACGGCCATCGCCGCGGCCGTCGCCAAAGTGCTTCTTGCGTAGAGCAGCGAGCCTCTTCTTCTTGGTGATGGTGTTGATATATGTACCGATGATGAAAGCGACGACGTTGAAAAAGGGAACCCAGGCGACTTCGGGTAAGAATGCCTGAGCGAAAGCGAGGCAGAGCGGCGAGGTAATCCAAGAAACCTTCATGACCTTCATGAAGCTCACGCGGACCGTTGCTTTCACTTGGTGGAAAGTTCGAGCACCGGCGATGAGAGCCATAGCGACGAGGTAAACCGAGTTTTGGATCGGAGCGACCTAGAGAGATACACATTAGTTCTGCAGTATTTCGGATGGCGGGATGGGGAGACGTACGATCAAGTTGCTGACGAGAATCTGCACAATCTTAGCGCGAAGACTTGTGCGACCCTTGAAAGCCTTTTGAAGCAACCAGATGAGGAAATGACCTAAGGGCGCGCTAATCAGAGCACCATATGCAGCCATTTTGGGAACTCGAGCCGTGAAGTAGTTCCCATGCTTGTTGCGGTCTTTGGCTAGCCACGACGCGAGGAGCTCTTGCAAACCGGCGAGGGTTCCGGCGGTAAGCATCTTCGTCCGTAGTGGGTTCTTTTCGAGTTCGTTGATGTAGGCCTATAGAGAACCAAACGGGTTAATCGACGACGACTTCAGCGGGTCTCGCAATTAAACAAAGAAAAGAAAAAAGTTGGCGACGACGTACCATCAAGTAACCTTTCGTTCCGGCGTTCCTCTTGCCTCCAGTAATCGCGGTACCAATTGCTTCCGCGACAGGATGCTTTCCGCTCGTGCCAGGAAGAGGACCATCGCGACCTATGTTGGCGAGAGGGCCAACGGCGCCACCACCGGCGACGTTCTCGGTCGCATGGCGAATCGTTTCCCTCTCGATCTTGAGCGACATGATCCCCTAGGTTTAATATATAACAGACGGTCTAGTCCCGAAAACTCTGAGTAGGAAATAGGTTAGTAATGCAAGAGTGGGCGTGGGAGGGTCTTTTCGAGCATTGAGGGCGGATACTGTGGTCGTGGGTAGAGTCAATTGGTTTGTTTACCTCGAGCTGACTCGGAGCCGAGGTAGGTTGTTTTGCAGACAAAATTACAGGTTCGACAGTCGATACGAGAGGTAAGGAAAAGGAAAATAGGTAGGTAGCTTACATTCTCGATGAGGACAAAGTCACCGGAAGGAAATGCGGGCCTTTCGATGCTCATCCGTGGTCAGGTTGTTGAAGATGGACAGTGGGTTTGTATGGTGGTTTGTGTGTGCGTGTGTGTGTGCGTGTGTGTGGAGGAGGTTGGTGAGGATGAGGTTGGACAACAGTCGGGTCGGGCAAGTCTGGCTCTGGTCTGGGGCCGCCAGCGAACTTGGCCGTGCTTTCTCATTTGCTCCTTGTCGCGACTAGGATAGGTGGATCCTACCTAGGTATGTTTTTTTAGCTGACCAGGGGTGTCAAGGGGGTCGTTGCTGCACGACAGCTCTGGTGCCCCACAAAAAACACTTTGAAGCTTCGATCGGGCTATCTCTCACCTTGAACATCCCCCCTATTTGATTGGTTCGATTCCCTCCGGGCAATCTATTCTTCCGTACATTTTGTTACTGCATTAGTACAGACGCGCATGGAGCAAGGGGGTCCACCAGTACCATCGGCACCACAAAAACCACAAAAAACTCAATATCCAACATTTGTTTAGATGCACACCTAAGAAAAGAGCCTCCAATTGGTAGCTATCAGAATATGGATAACGAATATGGAGAAGAATCAGGTACTAGCACAGGCTTATCACGCCACTAATGCAGGCCTTTTACGCAAAGGAGTGGGCATGAAAAGACGGTATGAACGACAGCTGTGATCTCCAACATACATACATATACGAGTCAGAATGACTACCCACCGACCCAGAGTCTAGAACGAAAGTTAAAAGAAACACGACGTTGTTGGGAATAGCTTCAAAATGTGATATCATACGAGTAGGTTTTTGTATTTGTGTGGATCTAGCACAAAATGGAGAGATTTGACTGAAAAACGAAAGAGATGGGAAGTTTAAAAAGTATAAGAACCCACTCCCCTATTTATATCTGGTAGGTACTCAGGAGAAGGAATGCACTCCCATACAGAAGGTACTTTCCTAGATGAACCAATGAATAGCACCTACCTCACCTATTTACATAGGTACTCAATCCACATACCTCCAGTCGGCACCTACCAATGTTGTCTAGAACAGTGACGCTAAGGAAAGTTGAATGTTCGGAACACATGGAATACATAATCACGAATCAAAATCAGATAAGTCTAAATATTTCTATCGCGTAAGGACTCTCCGCCTCTATTCTTTTCATCCAAGCTTTTTTTTTTTTTCGTCCACAAACTTCACGAGGGTCAAGCCAAACTTTGGTCGCAAATTTTGGCCAAAGGACCTTTGGGAAAATCATTACAATCATGATTTCATACATCGCCACATCTCAAATATTAATAATAGGCCATTGAGTAGTATTAGTCCGTCAATTTATTTATTACCAGAAGATATTGCGACGCGACGCAACGCGAAGTGGCCAGGTCAATTGTTGACCATAACGACTCAGGCAATTCCGTCTTCAGCGAAATCACATCGGAACAAGCCCATGACATTCATTCTCAATATCCTTATTTCGGTATACCATCGTTCATTAATCATCCAATAAATCATGGACTACCAATCGCAGAATTCTAGGCCTGCGCAAAGGCGAGGGTCATTAGACTCGGCGCTGTCACAGCACTCAAGTTATCATACTGATCAACAGCCTCGCTCCCTGCCTCCGCGACCTCGCTTCCGTCCGACCTGTACTCACAACACTATGACACGCTTGTATGATCCTCATCTAGAATGTTCTATCTGCAATCAGCCGGGTCAGTAGGGATGGCTTTGGCGATGCACAGATGATCGAGAACTTCTCATTCAAGATGCCATCCAGAAAGGTCGTCCGGTAATGATTCCCCTTGATACCTCCGCGTTAGATATGTTCGCTAATCCAAGCTCATTGGTAGGTGAGTTTCGACCTCACTGGTGCAGGGTTTGCTAAGAGCCTAACCCCCCCGCCTCGAGGTCCTGAGAGTAGGTCAGACAAGTATAGCTTCTTCAAGGAAATTTCCCAGGAACAGTTGAGTTCGTACACGCCCAGTCAGGTCTGCACAATCTTAGCACAGAGAGAGGAAGTTCGTGACCGCCACCCTATCTATGTAATCACGATCTACTTGCTAATGTGGATAAATAGGTCCTTCGTGAGTCCCAGGAGGCATCATCTTCGACCGATCCTCCGCCGGGGTTTGACCATCTTAGGAGGACCAAACCCTGGGTTCCTAGCGAAGCGGATGAATGCAAGTACAAATGCTGCCAGAGATGTCGTCCATCAGCGGAATGGAGATCCTACCTAAGTCTAGACGGCATCGTAAATGGCGATGTCCCGCCCACTGCAGCTACAGGTTTCAGTTTCTATCGTACCGGAAGACCCGTTATCCATCCCGATAGACTGAAGAATATTGGCCTGAGAGCCGTGCCCTGGGTATGATGGCCCTATTTCCATTCTTTTTCGCATAATACTAACTCTAGACACTAGCCGAGAGCTCGTAAAAATAGCCACGTATCGTCTCTATCTTCTCTAACGTCCCTGAACTGCTCATCAATCAGCGACGAGCGCGAAACCGGCGCGGAACATATCGAATTCTCCGACCGTCAATCTCTAGAGGGCAGCTCGACTACGGAATCACTAGTCCTGGGGCATCACCCGTCGAACGACAACAATGCTGTATTGCCGCCCTGGCCCCGGAGCTCGGATCCGTCCAAAGAAAATACCAAACCTACACTATTTGCGGCCTACTTGACTCCTCTTCCTCTACCAACACCTGGCGAAGAGGAACACCTTGATGGATACGAGACACAAATGATGAAGGATGAAAAGGAGAAAGGGGAATTCTTCAAGGAGCCTCTAGAAGTCGATCATGGCGTGGCGCTCTCGGAAGAGGGTGTTGGATTGGGGTTACCCGATATTGTTGTCACACAGGTATGATCAGGGATGACGATGTGGCTGGTTCGACAATAATGCGGGCTTAGGCACCAAGTGTTACCAACATTGGAGCTTCCAACGCCCCGAGATGTCGTGAACCCGGCACGGCAATTTCTCAAATAGGCTATTGAGTTATTAGTATGGAACCTCCAACTTGAATAGCTGAGGATCTGGTCCCCCAAAATGCAGTTTGAGCTCTGATAATATATTCTATTCGATGCTTTAGATGTTGATCCTGATATCTAGGTGCTTGGACGTAAAGGCGCCACCGGACTTTTAAATTACTCCAGAAATTTACTTTTATGATGGGATGGCGCCGGCCTTTTCAAAGAAATGTTGGTTATCCGTGCATAAGCCCCGAAATAATGCGTGACTAACCAATCAAATTTTTAGTTTTATATCCCATTCTATTCCCGGATTGGCCGATGTGAACACAAATAAGTGTAAAGTTTCACGACATCTAAGGAGATAGGAATATTTGCTTTTTTATATGTACGCCCGGATACGATGAATCGTCTCCGACGGATCGGATGTGCTGCTATTAAGACGTATAATCCTAGACGCTCATTCCGCGTGATGTCATATTCTACAAGTTCAAAGCAAGTCCCCGCAGATTGGCTGCGTCGGGTGCTTGAGAATCGCTCGGAACCTCCGAGGTTATATGCTTGGACACTGGCGAATTTGCCGAACGGAACGCACAGTGTCGATAAGTCTGCTAGAGAAAATAAGGCGCAGGGAGTAGGGGACGAGCGAAGAAGGATTTACATATTGGGCCTTGGTAACTTGGGCCGTCTGTATGCGAGCTTCCTGGCGAAAAATACGCCTAAGCCGCCTATCACGCTTGTGTTGCACAGGAAAGAACTTCTAGAGCACTGGCGCGCGCATCCGGGTATCGAGCTCACGCGCTTTGGAAAGGTTGAGCGGAATGCGGATTTTGATATTGAGTGGTGGACTGATGCGAAGCCATCGGTTGGGCCGGTCCGGGAACCAAATGAGATTAACAATCTTATCGTCGCGACGAAGGCTGCTGATGCGCTGCCCCAGGTTGATCGCGTGAGAAGGTATTTGGGGCCGGGTTCGACTGTTGCGTTTACGCAGAATGGGATGTGTAAGCTCTGGCCGCCGCTTGGGGAGGCGTATGTTGAGGCTAGATTTGCTGGGGGGAGGAGCCCTAAATGGCTTACTTGTGTGACGACGCATGGGGTTACCTCGTTGGGGCCGTTTCGGAGTGTGCATGCTTCGCCGGCGGGTGTATCGGTTGGGACTGTGATGCGCGGTGATGGACAGGGTGGTGAGTATGATACGTATTTAGAAGGGCAGCTTTTGAGTGCGCCGGGGTTGGATGCGGAGGTGGTTGGGACGAGGGATTTGTGGGTAGCGCAGCTGGAGAAGTTGGTTGTTAACGCGGCTATGAACCCCCTGACGGCTGTGCTGTGGTGTAAAAATGGAGATCTCCTTGCGAAGGAAGATGGTGTGGTGAGGGTCGCGGATTTGTTGATTGAGGAGGCGGGAAGGGTGCTGAGGGCGTTGGTACTACATAAGGGGAGTGAGGAGATTCTTCTCGCGGGGAGGGTAGATGTAGATGGGGGTAAGAGTAGGGAGGAAAGGCTTGAGGGGATTCGAGAGGAGCTTATTGAAAGGTTCTCCTTCGAAAAGCTACGGACTATGCTATATGATGTCGCAGCTCGGGTAGGGGAGAACACGAGCTCAATGTTGCAGGATGTCCGGGCCGGGAAGAAGACTGAGATCGATGACTTTAATGGCTGGCTAGTGGAAACGGCGAAGTACGTTGGTGATGGTTGGACCTTACCGGCTCATGAGAAGTTGATTACCCTAGTGAAGGACGAGGCAAGCCTTACTAGGGATGAGTTGAGTGGACACTTTCTTAATAGATAGATAGCTAGATGACTTTAAAACGGGCATCTAATATAAATCTATCGACTACCTAGGTATGCAGCCCTGGTTCAACACCGCGGCATGGAGTAAGGGGTAGTGAGCCCTTCCTTGAATCCGACCATTCTCAGCACGAGAAGAATCATTGCGATTATATGTCGACTGTCTTTTGGCCCTCGACTTGTCACCGCTATCCCTTTTCTACTGCCGGACTTGATATTCTCCATACGGATGAAACCACCCCACACGCATTCCAATGACCATGCTGATAGTGAGAAGCCGTTCCTCTCAACCATATGTATTTGCTACCAGGCTACTTTTGCCATGCAAAGGATATCATCAAGGTTATAAACATGGCGTTGTAATTCGATGTGGCCGTCAACAGTTATTGGTTGCAACCATTTCCAGATAACTCCTAGATTCTAAGAGGTATTCTTTAGTATGAGTAGACACTTTAAATTGGAAGGAGGTGAGAGACTTACTAGCGTAGACAAAGGTGACGGTATCTAGATATACAAAATATAAATAGGGGCGCTCAGATAAGTTTGTGTAGAACTTCATCTAGATCTCCACGTCTTCTTGCGGACACGACTTCAATATTAAGTCAGCAGCTACCGTCGCTTTCTTCTCTCGCCTTCTTTCCCTAAAACTATCGTACGCTCGTTTCAAAGGCCAAAAAAGGCGAGTCACTTTATTCCCCCTACACTTTTGCTCCGTCTCGACGGCTCTCGATTTTTTCCGGGACTCCTTGACGTCCTTTGGTTGTGACGTTAATGCTGTCGCAAATGTAGCTGTAGAAGATGTAGAAGACCCAAAAGGTTTAGGAGATGTAGGAGACTTAATAGGTTCGGAATATGAAGAGACTCGGGCATCTGCGCGATGTACATGTCTCGTCAGTATAAAGTCCGACATTGTTTTCGTTGTGGACTTTAGTTATAATGGATGTTCGACTGGACGGATGAATCAAGTAGGAATATCCGTGTAACATCTTCAAGCAAAGAAGCTGGAAGAGGTCATCTTATATAGACTGGATTGGTTGTAAATTGAACGCATCGCTGTTTACCTTACCTAGGTAAACTCTGTACCTGGATAGAAATTAAATAGTCTGAATCTAGCCATCGCGTGTGACTACTATAAAGCCGTGCTATTTCAACACGGGCTTTTTACTGCTTCTATGGGAAACTTTAATATCTCGCTATGACATTTTAAAAGTCGTAGCTATATTCATTAGGCGGCAGCTGACTTGAAATTCCTCGATCTATGGCCGAATGTATTGGTGTTTATATATACTACTCAAGAAACTAACACTTTTTTTTTTATCACAACTCTTGATATAGTGGAATACGAACATGATATACTGGAATAATAATATAACGACATAGAGTATTTTATATTGTTATCAATAGTTTCGCTTTCAAGTGTCGTCAAGTAGCTTTTTATATACAATGTGAAACCATAGACTTCAAGCAACCTCAGCAGAAACCGTGAATTTAGTATATCCCAACTACCTAGAACATCCCTTTGTAAACCATGAGTAGGGAGATAAGTATGGCTAACCACTACACAATCCACTCCTTGCTTCGTAACGCACTTTGACTAATATTATTTTTCGTTGAGTAGACAGATAGACGACATACGTTAGTGCTCGGTAATTGGGGTCAAAGGGGGTAATGGTGATATGCTATTGTAAAAGGAGGCTTATCCTTCGTAGTGAGAGCATCGTCACGGGGCTCATTGTGGGGTAAGGCACTACAAGTACTGGTACATACCCATGAGGTATCTGGGGTACCCGGTCAGGAGTTTGAGGAACAGTTCCCATGTACTCGGAGTATATACGCCTCATAATAGGCAGGTATAAGAGGATCAAGAGCTTATTAAGCTCGCAAACACATACCCCAAGAAGCCGTTAGCTTAGCTAGGTACTCAAGTGATAAGCATCATCTTTGAGATATTTTTCAAGCTGACTCCATTGAAGCGAGGAAAAGTCACGATATGCGCGCTTGTAAAGTAAGTACCTAGTTAAGCATTGATGTCATGAATTTATATGTACATGTGTATGTACATGTAAGGATATTCTTTTTTAAGTACCTGTGATTATATAACACATATCGATAGGTATTCAATAGTGATATTAAATATAATATAGAGCCGTGCTTAATATATTTTATTAATGAAGTGATTGCGAGGTATACGAAAAGAGTCCCTGAAAAGAAAAAGAAGAAGACGAATAGGACGACGAATAAAAAGGAAGAAGAAACATGTAATAAAGAAAGCTTCTTCTTTCCTTCTTCTTCTCCCTCCATTTTTTAGCACAGATCATAACGAAAGGTAGGTGGTACAAGTAGTATTCGAAACTCAAAAGGGGGGACCCACAAGCATCGAGAGTTCAGAGAATATTACCTGTAAAGTTTAACTTGTTCGATTTGATTATTTTAGGTAGGGACGATATTGAAATTATTATTATTATTGAAAATAGCGGTTGAATTAATGACATCTGCCTACATAAGGTAAACTTAAAAAGATACAAGTAGAAAAGTAAAAGAAAATGATGTTCTGATTCGTTTCGAGTCTTCGTCATCCATCCCGACTTCTGTCTCATCAACCGAACTTCTCTTACGCTTTTACGGATAACCCCCCGACCGAACGAACACCTGGCAATGGGGGTCAACAATTATCCCAATTATCCTCACCGCATGCTGGTCGCATCCATTTGGGGATACCTATTCGTTCAATGTTCTATTGCAGCTGCAAGGACCCCATCCTCTCTACAGCTGACCATATTTGGGTCGTTGCGACTTCTTTCATCATCTGCAAGCTGGCCAGGAAAAAGCAAGGTTTCGTGAACCTTTCGTCCTTTCGTGGAGCCGGCTGAGGTGGTCCGCCTGCAGGCTCAAGAGGCCTGCTTGCCTTGGTTGCCATTGAGTGAGGCGTGGTGGTTCATTAATGCGGGAGTGATATAGCCGTTGACGACAGGGTCAACCGATCCCTTAACAGAACCTACTATTACCCCCCACAACAATGGCTCTGTCCAGTGCTCTCAGCATGCCTAGGACTCGCCTGCCAGCCTGCCAACCTGCTACAGGTAACAAAAGTACTTGTACTCATACCCGGACAGCCAACAACCCCTGAGCTTGTCTTACCTACGAAACCACCACCACACCCTCGTTCGTCGGGCCTCAAGACGCAAAAAGAAGTTCTGCGGCCTGACGAGCACTAATGCAACATGTTCGTCCAAGTGGCCGTCTCCATCGCACATTTATCGTATCCGCTTTGATATCTCGGTCCATTGATACGCGAACTTCGTTCAGTATTTGCGACCACTAGCAAGTTCAAGTTGGTCAGCCCCGGACGCATACAAACTACGCGACGACACAGCTCTCAGCTCCTTCAGAACACGTGTTAGCTGATACCGACTCCTAATAACGGAAACAACTATCTTTACGCCAATATTCCACAGCCTCGAGAAATTGAAAATTTAGATATTGATGATAGGTTTCATATCATCGATATAAAACTCAGCTCAATATACAAAGCGCTTGGACGTCCGTGCTTCTCGGACCTTATGTGGATCCGGGATTATCAGCCGGGATGAGAATTTTTCATCTCATTTGAAATCACGAGTTGAACGGACATTCTTGGATGAAGTAGAACTCCGGCGCGATCGGACTTCATATTATTAGAGTCTGTCGATGCTAATTTATAGCATCTTCCTTAAAGGGACGCTACCGCGCAGTGATTACGTCGCAGACACGATGCGCAGATTGTAGTCAAATTGGCTTCCCCGGAAAGCTTCACGATGATACGGAGACCTAGATCGGGGCACGGATATTGGGGACTTGCATACGACGATGTCGAATGGAAATCTCCGATTGGACCGCGCAAATCGGAGCGGATACGGATACAAAAAAGCAATGACATTTAATCTCTTATTTGACCCTGAAACGTAAGAAAATATCTCAGATTTTCCTTAAAAAAACACAGAAAGGAAGGATATAGCGAGTTGAGCATGATCATTTCATGCGAAACCTCCCCTGTAGCGAATAACTCCTGGGGACCAAACGCAAATCATCTTCCAATCAGATACAAAGAACTTTGGGTGATGGGCAGATCCTATTTTCAGCCTCAACCCGCTTAAGCACCTACAACGATTCTAGGTAAGAGGCCAAGAAGTAGCCGAGCTCGCGATGCCACAACATAACAATTGTCCTCTCCTTCCGAGATAGGATTGCTGTAGTGACCAGACAGCACGGCCCAATTGACCACACCTTGCACATAAAATAGGTCCAGAACGCTTTGAAAAAGCTCGGTTTCTAGGCTTAGGCCGATCATGGGGACATCATTCAACCTGTCAAACGTCAAACTCGAATGTTATCAAAATGGAACCATGACAGCCCAGGGTTTCCCGTGTTCCGCTATTTGAGACGAAAGATCCGGATCGATCGGAATCTGCTCTGCGGCATTACCAAATCGGATTCTGTCATATTAGACTAGACGACCAAGAGATCCGAGCTTCAACTCTAATCTAACCCGTGAAGAACGACGATGCCGGGGCGCGAACATCCATACAGCACTATAGGTTATAGGGTATATGTAGAGGTATAGTTAATTGTCACTGCGGGAATGCGTTGCATACTGCTGCTGCATTGCCGAGGGCTAGCTGGCTGGACCTGGCCATCCATGTCCTCGCTGCAGATGGCTTGCGTGCAGTGGAATAAATTCCCCTAATAAGCGAACAAGTCGTCTTACAGGCTGCAGCAACAGGGGCACCTTTAGCACCCCTCACTGTAAGGCCAGCGGCAGTTGAAACAACCTGGAAAGATTTCCACACCGCTGGAATATCTTGAACTAGGTAGCTTTTTTGCTGGTGCAGAAACACGTCAGCAGCATTTGCAGCGACAGCGGCACGGTACGCAACGGGTAAATCAACCATCCATCGCGGTCACCTTGCTCACTCGCTGGAAAGGTCCTTGGGGATCTCGAAACCAGACTGACAGGGATCTGAGGACCCTACGTGTTTACAGTGTTCCATCGCCTCTCTAGCTTTCTAAGCTTAGGTGCTTCCGGCCATCAAACCGTAGCGGACAATCACCGACCGATTAATTGTCAACAAATTACGCATACGGCTCAGCAAAACAAAGCTTGCCAAAAGTCCCACCATTCCGTTTCCCATCGCCATGTGCCTGGAAGTAACCCGACTCATCCTTCTGAACCATTCAAACATGGTATTACTTTTCTTTTTTTCCGAGATGGATTCCTCCACATGGCTATTTATCCCAAATGAATGGCGCGCTGATTACTACAGGAATACCGACACCAAATCTCTTAGATAGCCTTTGGGGTTCAACTATACCACGTGTGTTCCCGAGTAAACAAGCAGGCATTGAAAAATGCGGCATGGGATCCTATAAGCTATAGCAGGGCTACCAGCGAATTATATGCTGCTATCGTCGCCCAGCAAAAACGATGGCAGCGTTATATGCAAAGGACCACAAGTTGTCTTCTCACCGCAAGACACTTGTTGCTTCTTCGACAAAGAAGCTTGCAGACTTGTCAGCACCTCACTAGCCCCCCTGTCGGTATTCTAGATCAGGATATCCCGCCCGAATCTAGCTGATTGAAACTGACCTACCTATTGCAAAGGCTAAGAAGTTCACGGCAGCCTGACGACGGCACGTTATATTACCGTGTTGGTCGTGTCGTTCCGAGCTGTCAAAGTAGTACCGCCAACTGCAAAAGAATTCCAGAAATCCCTCTTAGAGGGGGAATAGGCGAAGCGTGAGATCGAATTGCGTCCCATCGGTATGTGTGAGAGTCTCTCCCGCAGTGCGTGAGGTGCGCGTACGTGTAGGTATTCAAATCTATATGAGACCACGCACCATCAACGTCCAGCCAACGATAGATAACTATTCGAGGCTTTGATTCCCCACGGCCTCCGCATCGTGTGCCAGGGGCAGCCAAAGTCAGAGGCGATCCATTGGAGGGGGGAAGAGCTCGCAGGAACTGAGAAAGTGGATTGGGGGTTATATCGCAGCCGTGTTATATGTGACAATGACAGCGCACACACCACACACACAGACACTTACATACACTATTACACACGCACACGCACACAGCACAAATTAACAAGAACCTTGCTAGAGCCAATCCGCTGCGTCGGTGGCGAACCTCGGAACCACCCCCCTCCCCAGAAGCAACAAGAGCCGGCGTGATTAGCGTGCAGCACTTGAATTTTTCGAAAGGTACTGTAGATCGAAGTTGTTCCCAGATTCAGAAACGTGGTAAGTACCTACCTACCTAGCGTCTATTTTATTTTAATTATTTTATTATTATTATTTTTTCAGGTCTCTAGTAGTCCTGCACGTTTCTCTACGCTTCCCTGCTGCATACACATTACATTCATACTATAGCATATACGCATTACTACGTACCGTACATGCGGTAGGCAAGGTAGGTTAGTTACCTATTTCAGGTAATGTACGTATGTACTTACCTCCAAAACTCGCTGAAGGCTACGAGACCTTTTCTGCAGCAGCAATACATATACATATATGTATGTGTATGTAGTGACTACGTACGCGCATGCTAGGCAGTTAGAGAGCGAAGCGGTGAATAAAGAAAATCAGGCCATAGGCCCATTCTAAGGAGTTGTTGTCCCCTTGAATTCGAAACTCGAGTCGAGGCTAGGTTCTGTACCTACATGTGGTAATGTAATGTACGTGTGTAGGTGTCTTTTGCATTTGCTCGTTCTGACAGGTGAGCGAGTCGGTAGCGCAAGTAAGAAAACGGGTCTTCCGCCTTGCTTTTCCGTAAAGTTACGTTCACGTTCGTCACAGTATAATGCAAAATCCTTACCGGGTACTTAGATACATATACTTGCTTACTTTAGGTACGGAGTTGCGTAGGTGTCCCTGGTACCTGGCTACCTGCTTGTTTACCTACATCCCTAGCTCAGATGTTAGGCATCTATCAGTCGTTGTTGTTGTAGGGGTAGTTTAACGCGTGTTAGGAGGAAAGGAAGAGGAGCCACAACACGTTAGATGTTTCACGCCCGAAGTGCCAGGGGGGTTCAAACCCCGTGCGCACAAATAAGTGGCTGGTATTATACACTCAACAGTTCAATCGTCAGAAAATCCTTATCGGTACGCGATGTGATGGATAGTTCCGCAGGGTAGCTTTTGGTCTCGATGTAACATAAGATTGTGCAAAATTAGTGTACGACTGTACTGCCTTATTGGGATTAAGATACGAATTAGATGCGAGCCGTTTCAACGCCACCACTACCACTACCACTACCACCACTGCTACATGCCAGCCAGCAATATCTTGTTTCGAACGCGAACAGGACCCTCGCGACGGATAAAAGCGTAGAAACGCAAGGGGATTGGCGATTATTAATAAGGTACTAAGTAGATCAAAAGGTAGCTTAGCTTAGTCATGAAATATTCGTATACGGATGCTTCCTTGGGGTTAAACGGTGTCGCCCGTGAACCCCCGTTCTTCCCCAGTCCTCCAAAGTCTCTCACAGCCCCATGCCCAGCAGTCATCGACTTACTGCGAGCTGTGGCCTCTGATTCGCCCCGCGCCTTCTGCTCATGTCCCTCTACCCGCCTGAACGGAGCCATACTGCCTTTGGCCGAAACGTATTACCTAGCAGAGCTAGGACTGGCTCTTGGAATATACGGTGAAACACATCTCTTCCGTGTCCTGGTGTCATTCGCCCGGGGTATCTCTGCTTGATCCTTCATCTTCAGCCTCCTTTTGGATCCTCGTTTCCAGTCTACCCGAGCCTGCCGCCCAAGTTGCGGTCAACGTCAAAAAATTTCTTGCGCCCTTCCGTATGATCTCATGCCCCCCTTCTCCGCTGCAATGCCTTCACAATAGTAAGATGGAGATCGAAAAAAAGACGGAAGACAGTAGACGCGTTCCTCGTCTCAGTCGCATGCGTGAATGTATTGAGTATCCTGGGAATCAAAGAAGTCTCAAAGCATTTGCCTCCCATCACCCCTCTCCTTCTCCATGACCTCTAAATTTTAGTCGTCAAAAAATCAATATTACTAGTAAAAGGCATGTCCGTCGTGGTTTGGTATCTCTAATATTAAGTAATTACCCGCCCTGGAAAATCAGAACACGGGATAAGGTAGACCCCGGCCCATTACTATTGTTGTACAGTATTCGATTGGTGATAGTAGTAAAAAAAAATTGTGTAGATAGTATGTGTTTGGTGCTATTGATCGGTGACTTAGTAAAATTGGTCGTATAAAGATCGTAGAATTTTTGGTCGTGATTTTTGTCGAGTCGATATTCGTAGTATTATTCTTAACTCATGGCTCCCGATTCTCAGCAATAGATGATTCGGAGTGTCGACGCGGTAGTACTGGCTCGTATTCGACTTGCGCCACCGTCGTCTTAGTATGTTGGTATTGGTAATATGTACCCCTTTGGTAGCTCCTTAGCCTTGAAGCTGTTGTGGATAGATTGTGTCCCCAGACCCAGGAGCTGATACTCCTGGCGGGGACGCTGATTGCTATAAGTTTTCCTCCCCAACTTCTCCGATCTCTCCTCCAAGGAGTTGCGTAGCTCTCTCGCGACATGCCTGGGGGGTAAAACCGGGGCCGACTTTGTTGGAAACGAAGCGCCATTTCTCGTTCTCGTAGTCTTGAAGTGCCGTGCGAAGCTTTTGATCCTATGGTTCTCTGATTAACACATTATCCTGGAAGGCCCAAGGATTTTGTACGCCTTGGCTAGGGTAAACTTACTGTTTCGTCTGTCCATTGTGTTGTCTTTGCTTTGAGCTTCGTACAATAGCGAACTTGAAGAGTACCTGACGATCGTCCAGGGAAGAAGTCGGCAATCTGTTTCCATGTCAAGCTTTTATTTTCTTTTAGGTCGATGAGTAGCGCATCATCTTCAGGCGTGAATTTTAATTTTGGTCCCCTGGGTCTCGGCGCTGGTGCTGGCATCCCGACTTGTCCTACTACGCTCGGAGCGCCACCCCCAGGAGTACCCATGCTTCCGTCACCTTCGCGTCTCATCATTTTCGATGGTGGTCCTTGATCTGGCAGGCGGTGGTGATGGTGTGTTGGAGCTGCACTGGCTGCTTGCGCGTACGCAGCGCCCATGGATTGCTGCATATTATCGAGGTCGCCCTGTTCGAGTTCAGACATACCAGGAACGGACAAGTCAAGATCGTCTGGGCGGCTGCGTTTCGATCCGGCACTATGAGGCTGCGTGGGCGTCATCGCCGGGTACAACGACGGGCCAACCACAGCGTGAGGCGACGGCGTCGGTCCATAATGCGAGGGTTGATGGCTCATGTGGCGGGCGCTGAGATGCGCCGGATCCATCAGGATCTGATGATGATGGGCGGGGTGATGCTGCGACATGGCGTGGTGAGAGTGCGACTGCGCTGGTTCATGTAAGCTCCCGTGTGCCGTGTGCTGCATTGGATTTCCTCGGTGGTGATGTGTGTCGTATGCGTGTGGAGTTTGGCTCTGCTCGCCCGGATGCGACTCTTGTGGGGAGTAATCGACATTGTAGTCCGGCCCTACTCGATAGTTGCCCGCCAGTGTGCCTTCGATGCATGGGTTCCGCCAGAGCGAACCGCTCTGGACGGTCGCCGGAGTCTGTATAGAAAGAATTTGATGGACTGGAGCCCCTCGGGGCTGCTGGTGTGCGGGAGGTTGCGAGGTGGGAGTGCGAGTCTCGCGCGTGGTATCGATGATGATGCCCGTCCTGTCGGATTGGGTTTGGAAAATTAGTAGACTGAGCACTTACTTGCCCAGCAGCCGTGTACATATGCTAGTGCAGCGGTAGTCGTCGGTGAACTGGTCAGGTGCGGGACGTAGTAGGATTTATTGTGCGTAAGATCGTCTTTGCAGGCGGCGAATTCCCTTACGGTAAGCCAAAGAATTTAAAATAAAAAAAATCAAGTTCGGGGCAGCCCGCACAGTCTTTAACAAGCCGTTGCCACCTAAGCCTGTCGAGTACGGGGATCCGTCCTTTTTCTTGGATTTCCTTAGCTGGGTCTATTATATGGTGACAAAACGTCAAAATGGAAAATGAGCAAGAGCGGGCAAGGGATGCATTATATCGTCTGATCTTCTTTCTCGTTTCTTTCCAGGTAGGGAAGAGCTTGGGAACGACCCGCAAGTACCTGGACTACCTAGACTACTTCTCTTTTCATCCACAGGTTAAAGCACTGGACTTGATTTGCCATGTGCGAGACAAGTATTGTTCCTGAACGGGTGTGGAGATTCGGTTACCTCGCCCGGCGATGACGGTAGCATAATTTGGTGATCTTATGCCATGGTCAGCTTGCCGGATATAGAAGAATACCCCAGCCGGAGGTTATGATGCAACTAGGGCAACGATAGTCCACAACGGGGTGAGAAGTACTCCGTCACTCAAGTCACTGACAGGGTGAGAAAGTACAGAAGACTTTTAGTAACCCTGGACGAGCTATGCCCCAAACGAGATTTGTTCAAGGTTAATGTGATCCAAAGAAAGCAACGTCTGGAAAACGCATAGAAGAATACAAAACATGACCGCCAAATGCAGAAATAAAAAAGCTGAAACGGGCCCTACCACGCAGTTGGGCAGTGTCTGTAGAGCATGACAAGCGAATAATCGAGGTGGGCCGCACCCAGACTCACGACAGATAGGCCCCTGTTCAACCTTTTAGCACCCAGGAAAGCCAAGGTAATGGCAATCCCCGGAGGGTCAGAATGCCGGTTGACTGGATGTACTGTACGTGTAAGGGTGGCGCGCCCATGCTCGGCTGCTAGGGCAGTTAGAAAGGAATGGGTCACTTCTCTCCCTCGTGCGCTTGGAGGGGATATAATGGAACTGGGGTGGGCTATATTAGGGAATTAAAAGAGCTCTGATCCCTGACACGCCATAGGGCGAGTGGAATTGGTAAGGTTGCAAGTAGCCACAGAATACGCTGGATAGATTGCCGAGCAAAAAAAAAACAAGGCAAATATGACACTAGAGCCACCAACGGGAACCCGAAGAAATCTAGTAGTAAAACCGTGATTTCAAAGTCACAACACAACATATGTGAATATCGAAGTCTGGACCAGTATGTTAGCTAAAAATATCGAACGATGTGAAAAGAACAATGTACATTATCCAGTGTAGCGTAGGGATGGTGTAGTTAGGGGCAAGGGGTATGTAGATGGAGAGGGGTGACAAGCGTGACCAACAGAGATTAGCAGACTCACGTTTCGGGAGACTCGACGATGATGCTTGGATCACCAAACGGGAACGATGGGGCTGGAGACACTTGGCAGGATAGCCGGACAGGGTCATTAATGGCCTTGAAAGGGAAATGCTAACGCTGTTACTAGTACTGAGCACTCGTCTCGCGCAGAAGTCGGTCAGTCTAGCTAGTACCTGGTCTTGTCCAGGTACCCGTACGTGTCAAGTGATTAACAGTTCGTCATCGTATCGTTAATCTCAACTGGCAGCTGTAGCGTGCCAGTGAAATGGACCGGAGATGGTAGACAAGTGGTCCCCATTCTCTGGATCCTGGCTCTAGGGCATCGTAATATTGCGCGATTCAATGCGATTGATGTGGGAGGACCAATAGACGGTGGGGACCTCGAGGCTGGTTGGACCGGGCCATAACAATGGATGGCAACGGGGTATAGAGCTGAAGGAGAGGAGCTTTGCTGATGGAGCATTCGCATGAACGAAACACGTTTCAATGCTTCCAAGCAATTAAAAGATCAATTATGCAATTTGGCCCTGATCTCGGCTTCTAGAAGAATGGAAATTGCTTCTAGGGCGTGGCCAGGGGTGTTTCAGACGGACTGAGCCACCGTACATTATACTAGTTTTGAATGACGTTGCGACGTCGGGAACGCCAAAACGAGGAGAGAGAGATTTGAGATTGAGATTGTGTTTCGAGCGCATAGATGAAGATGGAACAATGAAAATGAAAAAAAGATGCGAAAAAGAAAGCAGAGAATTTAGAAATTGCTGCCAAGAACGAGAGACGACTACGAAAGTATAACCTTCTATTAGGAAGAATATGCGCTGCAAGATCGGAAATTGCCATCGATCTGGGCTGCGTGTCTACTAGTGTAGGCAGGTACGGTACATACCTACCTACGGAACAATATATTAAGTTTAACATGGCATAGCATGGCATTGATTGAATGTACGCATGTAGGTACGTATTTTGGGTAGTGTATGTACATAATAGGGTCAGGTCCGAGGCCACTAGGCCACTATCTTCAACCGGGCTATTATTAGAAAATTTGTTACCCGTAGCTTCAGCTCGAGGTACCCACTCTACGTAATTGAGTACCTACAATTTTGACTTTTTCTGTGCGCCAACGTTGAGTATAGCATCAAACTCAGTTCTAATTGCGATTGCCTTCTTGATGGCCTCAATCACCTCTATATTTTGAATATAAGGAAAGTAGATCTGGACCTAATTGAGTCACTTGCAGCTGCCTGAGAGGAGCCCATTAGTTGAAACCCTCCTAAATTTCTTGCGGCTACCTACATTAGTTCATCCTTCATTCATCTGCAACTATTTTTTTTTTCTTTCTCTACACGATGTACACATTACATCAACGAACACGATGCCCCCATGATTCAATCAAAACGCAATACCCGCCGATACCTATCTAAATCTCGAGTTGGCAATCATCTCATTGGTTAATTAATACAGAACGCATTGTTCAATTCCGGTCCTTTCGGCCATTTCCTTCTAGAAGCATTCCATTTTAATAAGCCCTGTCATTTTAATCCTGCATCCGACCGCTTGGGTGGACCACTGCACCCTTGATATGCCCGGTTCGTCGGCTGCATGTGCACAGGGACGATGCAGCCAATTTAAAGCTCGGATTAGTCCTAGAAGCTAAGATGCCTTTTTTAATCGACTATCTGGCGATGAAGTACCGTATCGGGGTTATGGGTAAGTGACACTTTGATATGATCGCCGTCCTCTACCTGGTGTCAACTCATAATCTCTAAGATCTTACCAATACAATGATACGGCCTGCAAACCATTGCACTGCCTGACTGCTTGGCTATTACAGCGCAAAATGGCGTCGCTCATCAATGCTCTTTGCGCCTTCTGACGCTGGTAAAGCTGCTCCCGCCAACGTCCGAGTCCCCTGATCTGCGCCGCCGGGGATCTAGCCATCAGACGACTGTCCTTTTCGGATGCCTGCAACTCTGGAAGACGACCGGACCTGCATCAAAACAATGTGAAGTTATTTCCTTTCTGCAGCACGCTATTTTACGGACGTCGTAGTTTTCTATTCTTGAGACATGTAGATGGATACATGTCCTCCGCCTCCTTCTCCTGGTTGTTTTGAACCGTTTCAAACTCCACTTCCGTATGGGGCTCTTGACCTTGACGCCCCACTATTGCCCACCGCTGGTTTATTCTATCTGGAATCTATTGCTTCCAGGAGTTCTGCGTGCTTGCGCTGACCGTTTCTGCGCGAGACGGTCTATTCATATATTCTTAGGCGACCCGCGCTAACGTGGCTAGGCGTTTCTTGAGGTCACATCGGATCTTTTTTGTGCGGCAGAAACGCGACTTGTTGCCCTACAGAAGCTATACCGTCTTTTCGGGACGGAATACAGAAGTACGGTATATATTTTTTTTCCTTCTAGGACTAGGGAGCTTTAAAAGCTGTGAATGACCAAGCAGTGCGTAAGGTCAGCCTCACTCCAGGTATTTCGTACGGCATGTCCCTGTCGATAATGCGCATCTCACTGGGGAAAGCTCTCCTTGACAGGTAGAGGTGGGGATTGCAGACCCTCATTATTGCGTATGTATTACAGCTGAGCGGTACGAAAGTACCGAGTACATACAGCTTGCGGAGCGCCATCTGGCCCCTGGTCGAGAAAAATCTCCGCGACTGTCGAGGACCCTCGCTCGCCCAGAGATCCGGCTAGATGTACTGTACTTATGAGCTCCAGTTGCGCTCACAGACGATAATCATCACCCTGGCCGTACACATTACTGCAATACAATACAACAGAACCACAGAAAGTTTTCCCCAGCCGCCGTACTTCTTGACGTTATGGATACCTACATACGAAAATGGACTATTAACACGACTAGCCCGAGCTGGTAATGGATCGAATGTGTAATAAGATCCCGTTGGGGATCTAGCTTGATCTACAATATGTGCGCGCATGAACGCATAAAAAAGAGCAATTTGCTTTCTTATACACACTGCACCTATTCAGCATGCCCATTTCGGCGGCGCCATTACTTCGGCACTACATGTGCCCCAAGCTCCTTCCTGAAGCTGATAGCTTTTCGTCTTAACTCTTTCATCTCAAGTCCGGGAAACGGGCAATCAACCATGCAATTTCGTCCCAAAATTGCTTTCCCTGTACCTTAGCCATCCAGCTTTGGTAGAACCCAACTCTCGCGCCCCCCACACCTCCCTTCCCGCTGATTATCCAGCCAGCCCAGTTGCCACTAATCTACCAATCTACGTACACAACAGCGTACGTGCCCATCCCGCACTAGCCAGTGCAGGACGGGCGAGCAGGGCTCGGTGAAGTTTCCCTCCCCTTGCACGGAGGATTTCACTATAATTACACGATTGCGGATTACGGGCGGTTGGGGATCAGCAATTTTTCGTTCCGCTTTTCCCTTCTCGCTGGATGTCAAATGGCCGTGCAGAGATTTAGGTATGCACAACGCTACTAGATTGGGCAGCGATCGAGACCCCTTCTGGTTTTATTTTTCCTTTTGCTTTTTTCGGCCTTTGAACCCCCCTCTCCATGATTCTGATTATGTCGGCGGCGTGAATGGGGGTGGATAGCTTCATGCGGAGTGCCTGGGTATAGTGCAACCCGGAGGCGAACTACTGTCTTGCATTCCCCCTCCTTCTGCGGCCGCATCTACATGCCCTATCTGGTGCGCTTGAGTGAATAAATCAGTTCATCGTGACATACATGCCTACCTACACACATGGGAATTTTGCACCTGACCAGCGACCGATCCACTTGGAATACCCCAGCGCCGGGTGCAATCCAGATCGTCACTCAGCGGGCAACCTGTCAAAATCGTGGAGGCTCATCAGCCTTGGGTCTCCACATTCGCCTCATTTGATAATTGACCGTTGCGGGCAGCGTAGCCGGCAAGGGGAGTGTAGTATTTTTTTTTCCCTGGGACTCGCTTGAGCTGGGCTGGGCTGGGCTGGGTGGGGGGGCCCAAGCTTCGCTTCCTTTTTAAAAGGAATACATATTACATTACATTAGCCATCGCAATGCGGAAATGCCCATGGTGTGAGATCACTAAAAAGGTCACTGCACGTTTAACTACGCCTTTCGGTTCCGAGTCCATGGTTGCGCGCGGGGGGTTAGGTTAGGTTAGGTAGGCATTATCACACTCTCGTATACATCCCATCTTAATAACTGAGGTAGGTACCGTAGGAAGGAAGCTGATATGTTACAATGAGGAGGTACGTACCCCCGTAACCCATAACCGATAGGTTACGTAGGCGGTAATAACTGTATCTGTCTGTGTAATATGGAAAAAAAAGTAATAAAGAGTACATAGAGACAGGGCCGGGGCCTTTTTCTAGGTTAGAGATGATGAACCTCCCCTGAACTTCGTAATTCAATCCTATTTTCCCCATGAACGCCCGCAGCATAAAAAAATAAATTGTGAATAAAAGCAAGAAAAAGGGCCCCCAAAATTTTCATACACCGCGTCTCGCCGATTTTGGAAATACAATCGCAAACGCGTCATTACCACTTTCCCGTCTTCCATTTCCTAGGTATTTTATTTTTTATGACCCATAGTCGGCGATCACAAGATCGAAATCTCCCTCTAATGATGACGATGCACCCCAGATGGCAATCTTAAGCGAAGTTGTCGCTCCTATCCACACCAGGATCTTCCATTTCCGTGAAGTCGTGGAAGTGTTCAGGTCGGTGTAAGTCATTGTAGAAAGGCAGTGGAGTATCCAGTTTGACGTGCACCGGCTTCTTTTCCAGACCGATAAAATTACTGCCCATGAAATTATAATTCCATTTGCCATCTTCGGGCACGAGGAAGAATCCTCTATATCGTGGACTGAGAAGTAGTTTGCGCTTCAGACCCATACTGGTGGTGAAGCCTGCCGGAGCATCCTTGCTGAGATCCTTGTTTTCGGCGCCCCATCGGTAACCTGCGGGGGTCAAGGACCAGGCCGATAACGAGACTGACCCGGGAGTGAAGGATACGTCAACCGTCACCGTCTTTTCTTTGTCCCACTTCGTATGGCGGTCGAGTAGTTGGGAGTGCATTGTAACATCGACTGCAGACATGTAAGGTGATTCATTCCCGGCCATAGTGTGGATAACACCAAGGGGTTCCATGTCGGCGAGATATTCGTGCTGCGGTAGCAGCTGGGGAGTTTGAGAATATCGGAGGTTGCCTATTTGGGGTACCATGACAATACAACGGATTTCCTTGACTTGATCGTTGTCTGGTGCGGAGACACCATAGAGGTATCCGGCGATCTGCACACGCAAGTCGGCAATGGTGATAAATTTCTTTAAAATGTTATTCGGCATAACATATGTAATATCATCAAGGTCATTGTCAACGGAAGAGACGTATATGTTGTTGGATCGAGTTCGTAGGTTTGATGTAGCAATGGCTCTTGTGCGCCATTCAGTCTTAGATGAAAATTTCTCTTGCTCAAATCTCGACGTTGTAGTCACAATGAGTTCTTCGCCATGGATGTTCTGGGTCTTTGTTGTGACAGCAGTGATTTGTTGTTGTTCTTGCTCTTGCTTCTCGATCTCTGCGGCTTGTTGTCGTTGCATCGAAGGCGCGGAGATTTCCATACCTAAGATAATATCTCGAACTTCACTACTCGTCAAACTAGAGACGTTGACATTGTTCTTCTTTCCGTAGTCGTGCAAGATTAGATCACGCAACTGCGTTTCAACCTTGATCCAATCTTCGTCTGACAACGTGGGCCAAATGTGATGCATCTGGGTGATAACGGTCTTGTCAGGTCGAAGAATGAGTTTCGTCTTGTCAGGATTAACATGAAGAGCACGAAGTATGAGAACTAGACGAGAGAATGCTGTATATGAGGAGATACTCTTGAGCCAATCATCGAAAAGATTGAAAAGAACCATCTGTGGTTCAGTAGCACGGAGAATCATGTCTCCCAATTTCTCAACCTTCATCGCCGCTTGGAAGGGTAATTGAAGTTCTGAGGCTCGGATAGAAATGTTCGGGAAATCTAGCAAATGAACCTCGAGAGGATCCAATAGACCTTTACGGGTGACAATGAGTTCCTTCGGCTGCTCTTCGACGGGGAGAGATCTGATGAGAGCTGCGACTTCTTCGGCTGTCTTCCACTTGGCTAATTGACCGAGACGTTTCTGACCAGCCCAGACACTCGTGTGAATGATCTTCAAGAACAATTGACCGGTTCGGGGATTGAAGATGAAGATTGCACCGTTGATTGGCTTCGTAGTCAAGTTACCTTCAAAGGTCTTGTGAATGGTGACACGATACACATTGGTATCATCAATGAAGAGCTTTGTCTGATTACTGAACAATTCGGAGTAGTTTTGAGAGTTGAGGAACTCCTGGTTGCTCTCGGAAGCATAAAGTTGGAGACCCTTCCTGATACGCTCACGGAGAACGTAAAGGGCAGGGTTAGCCTTCATAATCTTTGCCATAGCTTGCTGCACAAGAACCTTAAGACCTGGGAAGTATTGTCCATAGGCGGAGTACAAATTGTAGGCAAGGTCAATACCAATCATTAAACCAGTCGCCGAAGGATAAATACTCATGCTGTCTTGGGTGTAATCCAAGTATTTCGCACGAGTATAACGCTCAATGTCGTGGGAGTCGTAATCACCATATCGGAGCTGGATATCTAGCCAGAACTTATTGGTGGTTGTGGGCTCGATCGTGTCTTTGGTATCGTGGAGAAGCGACGGTCGGGTGACATTCCACTTGTTGCTAGCGAAGAGTAGAATATCGGCACAGGAGCTGTTCATTTTGTACGATTTTCGAGGGTGGATTGTCTCCTTCTGAACCGTTTCAATTCCTAGAGATTCTAACTCTTGATCGAACACCTGACAGAAGTCCATAACGACGGACTCGTGGATTTTCTGCCACAAATGCGCACGGAAGATCTGGATAAGCGAGATCTTGAGCGTGGGAATCTTACCGTGTAAGAAGATACCTGTGAGATCAAGTTGGACCTGGAAACCGACGTAGACGTTCGCTCGGTTGATGGTTGGGGACCACCAAAGCGTAAATCGACGGTTAGGAATCTGGTTCAAACCGGATCTTTGCGCATTTGTCAACTTCTTGAATTTCATGGACTCTTCAAAACCACTGTTGTGTAACACAAGGTAATCGTGGCGCAGATACAGCTGATCCTTATCAACACGGAAACCGGCCCAAGCAGTCGCCTCTGACTCGAGTACAATATCCTCGACAGTAAAGTTATGGGCTTCAGGGTCAAGGGTAATCGACGCCTTCTCAGAAGCGGGAACTCCAAAGAGTTTATAGGCATTTCTCTCTTTAGCGTTGATAGCTGCAAACTGAGCAGCTGTGGTCTCGACAGTGTCGTAGCGTCCAGCCGCCGAAACTGCACCAGATACTTCGCTCTTCTTTTTGTGGAAGACTAGAATATGGTTTGGCGTCACAACGAGATCTTCCTTGTCGCCTCCAATCTTGATGCGGTAAAGGCGGTCGTTTCCGCTGACTATGTTAAATGCGCGTCTGGGTCCTCCATCAGGGCCGAGAAGGATATCGCCCTCCTTCACGTCTTCGACTGCGACCTGGGTGTGATCATATCGTAGTAGCATTGTTCCATTGGCAAGACAAGCCTTCTCCCAGAAGAGACCTTCCCAAGATGGGAAACCCGTTGCTTTGAATAAGGTGTGCTCAAGAATCGTTTCGACACCACCCAGTGCTTGAATGACATCGGAACGGTATGCGTTCAAATTCCAAAGCTTTCCATCGTGACGTTGACTTGTCCACCAGAACGGGTTGCTCTTCATAAGCTGATAAATCTTGAATTCGCTTCTCGTTCGGAAACCCTTGTCGAAACTTAAGGTGCTTCGATCCTTTTGGAACAACGTGTTGATACGAGGCAGACCACGATCCCAACTGTCTTCCAAGTCTTCTAGGGTTAGACGTCTGTTTTGTTGATTGGCTTCCAATCGCTTTTGAGAGTATTCAGTCCAGACTCTTTGCGAGTCAATGAATTCAGCTTCCCAGGGAATGATGTATCGGAAAATGTTGGGGATGAGCGTTTCCTCATCATGCGTCATACCGGCTCTGTAGTGGCTGACTCCGACGTCCGTTTGCTTCGAATATCGCTTGTCACTGGCGGGAATGAGAATATGCGAACCAGAAATCATTCCAAGGCCACCTAATTCCTTTGGCGTGTAGAAAACAGCGGGAGGGAAACGCGACGGCATCTTCGAGTTCAACCCAATCTTTACTCGGGTTTGAATCTTCGTCTCACACTTCACTATAGTATCCAATAAATTGACCGTGGACACAGCGGCTTCACGGTAATATGTGAAAAGTGCAATAAGGGCCGTGTTCCATTTGTTGGCGATCTTAGTGAAAGTCGTCGATCCTGAAGACATGAGAATTTGACGAATCCTGTTGTTAAACTTCTGGATATCTTCTTCCGTGACTTGCAGGAAGGCGTGCGCTGTCCTCTCCTTGGTGGTATTGTCTACAAGAGACCATACACTATCCTTGATGGGGAACTCATCGTTTTGGTTTCTTATCTTGGGAAGGATGCGGACTTCAAATCCGCACATAGAGAAGAGTAGGTTCGGATTATCGCGACTATATACGCTTGCGAAAGTGTCATCCCATTCGATCGTGGTAACAGATCGAGGGAGACGATTCTTCAAGTCCCAGAAGACAGCTCGTCCAAGGTTCACATCGTGTCTCATCAATCGCATACGGGAATCTCTGGGCCAACATTTTTTGCTCTTGTAGCCAATGACATTTTCGAAGTTCGGATCGGGTTGTTCTGTTAGGAATCGTTGGATGAGATCCCGTGACTCTTCGGCGGAGAATCGTAGGAATACCCATATTTTGTCGATATATCTTGTGTATAGTCGGATGGGGTGCTTAGTCTCTGTTTCGCGATCGCGGAATTGAAGGAAGTCGTTCGGAGCTGAAGGTGGACCGGCAATTTCGCTAGCACGATTCAACCCGAGGAGCAGAAGGTCAAGAACAAGACCATAGTACTGGAAGACAAAGCCTGAGAATTGGAGACCACGAATCATACCGTAGCTGTTGACGTGGTTCATATCCTTGTAAGTTAATTGAACGTTGTTCTTCGAGCTGATGTAATCTGCCAGATTGTGGTCCATGATTAATCTCAAAAGTCTGTTCAATAAGGTGAGATCGATCTTCTCGTAGACCTTAGAAAGCTCTGTCTCGATCATAACGTTGCATTCTCCATCCGCACTCTCCCAAACCTTCTCCAGGTTGTTAATACCCTGAGCCCATTTGTAAACTAGTAGAGGCGGGACTTCAGAGTCTGAAGGCTTGATCCAGGCGGGGAAGAGATGTCGCTGGTCGGCTTGGTACCAGAGATATTGATCAAGATAGGCATCGCTGATCTTCTCGATGGGCTCAATATCGTACACAGGGTTGATAGTACTGTAATTGTCGTTCATGTCAATCTGCACTTCCTTGAAGGCCCGTTGAGTAAGGAGGAATCGCTTGATTCTTTCCAAAGTAGTACCAGGGCTGTCATAAGCTTGCTCGATCAGAGCCAATTCTTCTCGCTGACTTTGATTGAGACGACCCTTTACGGAGTATGCTTCTCGCAATCTTTCAAGAGCAAGAATTAAGATCTTTGTGTCATGTTTGTACGACACACTTGGGAAGGGAATGGGGGTGAATTTTCGGGATTCGAGCCAGTGAACAGTCGTAGTATAAATCGCCACAGCCTCTTCGGACGATACATAAGGACCATCCTTCATGTAATTGTGTTGTCGTTCTTGCTCAGCCTTGAGCCAGAGACGTGTCAAACGACCCACATTCTTCTTTGCGACCGTCTTGTCGACGGTTGCACCTCTCCGAATTCGCTCACGGTTGTAATGAGCAACGGAAATCCACCAATCTGCCTTTGACTTGACATATCGGAGAATGATGTTCTCAATAGGAGCGGGCAGACCGGGTACTTTCCACGGAATGTTACTCTTCCAACATCTCCAGGCTTCCGATAGATGTTGAAGAACAGTGTTGACCTTGTTTTGCTTGATACCTTCGGGCATCATATCCATAAGATCGGCCATGACGGAAGCTCGAAGTTCAAGATCAAAATGCGACTCAACACGTTGCTTGGTCACGGTCTTTGCCACACCCTTGCTGTGACGTCCTTCGAATTGACGGGAAAGCAAGTTGCCTAGCCATCGTTCAAGAAGAGGAATGATACCTCGCATGAAGAAAAGCCATACTCGCCAAGCAGGTGCCCAGAAACCACAACCAGGACCTTTACCGACAGGTCCGCTGTTGAATCGGTAATAAATAAGATGCTTAAGATCCTTGCATGATCGGATCTGATGCATTAGCTTATATTTGTATCGGTACATACCGGTAAGCTGGCCAACATGGTTGAATGCGTAAAGGATGCCATCCGCCAACTGAAAAGCGTCAATGTTACCTAGACGATATTGCACCTGCGCATCGACGATAAGTTTCGTCAAACGTAAGATCTCACGCATTAGATGGAATGCATTTCCGAAACGAGATTTCTTTCGTTCCTTCGTCGTTAGGGTTTTTACCGGCTTCAGGTTGAAATTGTAGTCCAAATGAAGATATGTGAGGTTCTTCCGGTGGATTAGAAGGTTCAACATGTTAAAGCCTTGCCGACAAACTTGAAGACCAGCTTCAACCCAGTCGATAGTCGTCTGTTGGAAGAATTTAGTCTGCTTCAAGCTCCTTAGTAGACTTTGACGGTTGAGAGCCTTTGGTTTCTTCTTGTGGAGTTCATTAAGAACGAATGTCTTGAGGAGTTTCTGGTATGATACTCGAACCTTGACTGGTTGTTTTGGAGGGCAATGCTCAAGATACCATTGCTTCACAAGAGGGACATCCTGTGCGCGAACCATCCGACCAGATCTACGGTCAAATGGGAAGGGCGCCCACCAGAGCGCAATAGCAGACGAGGTATCATCGGTATAGAGCTCCTCATCGGATAAGAAGGGCTCAACGCCTGCTGGTAATTCAAAGGCTTCATCTTCAGGCTCTTCGATATTTCCAGCACCAAAAATCTCATCCTCATGGCTTATGGTAATATTCTTGGGCGCAACCGAGCGAGAGGAAATGGGGTTGATCATAGGGTCGAAATGAAACGCAGGCAGGTTAGGATCGTCGGATTTTGTGAAGACAATTTGAGGGTGAGAGTACCAGTTAAACTGTACACTTCGAGGTAGCGAGTTGTATAGGTAGGGGTAAGCGACTCGATATTCGGTTCGGATCGGGAAACGGAAGATAATCCTGTCGATGGCATTGAACTCTCCGAAGTCTTCATCGTTCGGGTCGATGTCCTTGTATAGAGGTTCAAATCTGGGACCACCAGGAAGTGCGACGTTGAGCGCCTTCGCGGTAAGGAAACTCTTGAGGTCGAAGAGGTAAAAGTAGTTCTGATCAACTGTTTCGCTTAGCAACGGACGACTAAGCCGATGAAGCGCAGCCATTTGTGGTAATGTGAGATTCCACTGTTTGTAACTGGGTCCGTTGACATGCTCTGTGTCAACTAATGGCCGATGGTCATAGAACCACTCGTATACAGCACCATCTTCCTCCTCGTCAAGCTCCATCTGGATGGGCTCGAGCGGTTCTACATCCTCGATGTTCTCGGACCAAGACAATGGGGGTTCTTCGTCGTCAAATGGAGGAAATCTCATTCTCTTGAACAATCTTCGGTCGCTCTTCTCCTTCCTCATAGTCAACCACATCGTCGCCCACTGCGCGTGGAAAACGGGCGGTATAACTCGAGGAATTTCATTCACAAGCGTTAAGCATCCATTGACATGATACAAGACTTTAACTTCTCTTGCTGACTCCCACGGCATTGGCATATTCTCTAGTAGCTTCATGACAGCGTGAGGCATAAACTTCAATGCGCCAAGATAGCTTCGCTTGTCGCTTGTGTATTTTTTCTGGGAGACATCACCGATATCCTTGACGATCTTGCGCAAATGCTCAGGAGGCATATCAGCCTTCTGAGTTTCCACAAAACCACCCTTGCGCTTCTCGCCGAATCGATTTCGCTGGTTCCGAAGCCATTCCTTCTTCTTGGCCGCAAACTTCGCGATGTGAGTGTCGGTTGGGGGTCGGTATCCAGGGGGGGGAGGAGCTGGAGCTCCTGGGGGCGGTGGAAGGTAATCGGAGGGAGGACCTGGGGGAGGTGGTGGTGGCGGTGGTCCCCATCCCGGAGGAGGTGGAGGAGGTGGAAAGGACGACATCTTGAAGCCGACAGAGACCAGAGGTTCGTGACTTATTGATGTTGTCGCTATCGCGGCGCGATCTGTCGCGCGAGGATGCTACGAACGCCTAATACAGCTTCGATATAGGCGAAAGTGTCCCGCGATTCTTATTTCATTAGATATAGGGTTTCCTCAAAATCAGACGCGACGTCCCCCAGATGGACCGACGCGAAAAAGATGGTTAATGAGGTTTAAGTTTGATGATTAGATGAAAGTTGAACGGTTCAACCGTGATCTGGGGGCAATTTTTCGTACGAGCTTAGTTCCAAAGAGTCCCCACTTAGACTTGGCGTAGGTAGGTACGTACCAGGGGTGACGCTCAAGACGTGGTCACGTGTACTGTTATATGTGGCTTCGGAGGCTAGTTAAGACGTGGCTAGAAACGAAAGCCCCACCCACATATTTTCATTGGTGCAAACCCAATAAGCGGGCTCAGGTCCATCCCACACAGATTTTGACTCTTTCTCGTAAAAACACCAAAATTCATCCCTCACCAAAAAAGTTGCACAGGAACAAGTTAATCCCATTCCACCCGCAACAACAGTCAAAATGGCCAACAACCGAGTTACCTACCGTCGCCGCAACCCGTACGTTTCCTCTCATCGATGACAATAATTTATCGAATTCGAATTATTCGTATCAATAGAATCGCGCGAAGCTAACATTCTTTTTTTCGCAGCTACAACACCACTTCCAACAAGACCCGCGTCATCAAGACGCCCGGTGGTGAACTACGAGCCCTTCACATCAAGAAGCGAGGAACTGCCCCGAAATGTGGTGACTGCGGAATCAAGCTCCCTGGCGTAAGTTAATTATTTATTTCGGATTGTATCCAAGATACGAGATAGGAAGGCGAAAAGTTCGAGTCGACACCAATTTCCACCCATTCGATCGCTACATTTGAATTTTTACGGGGGAAATATTCTAGGCGTGAACAATCCGCGATCGCATCTATAAACATATTTTACCTAGAAGATTCATTTGTGCTGCGTACAATGAGGGATTCTACAAGCGGATGATGGTTTATCTAATTACGAGCCTGTGCTAATATTTCCCTCTTACAATAGGTTCCTGCCCTCCGACCCCGCGAATATGCTCAGATCTCCCACCCCAAGAAGACCGTCCAACGAGCGTACGGTGGTTCAAGATGCGGCAACTGCGTACGGGACAGAATCGTGCGAGCTTTCTTAATCGAGGAGCAGAAGATCGTCAAGAAGGTTCTGAAGGAGCAGAACGAGGGTTCTAAGAAGAAATAAATCCGTTGAACGACTCTGGGATGGAATGGTTCGGCCGTCATTGATTTGGGTGTTCAGAGGGACCAGGGCTGCATTGCAACGTCATGCGAACGGCTACTGAAAAGCTGTTTCTGTTTCTAGGGCTTCTTCTCATGGTCTAGATGATCGGAATGGTATTAACGACATTAGGACTGCAAAAATGTGTTCATTATTTTCTTATTCCTCGCAGTGATGCTCGACTTATTGAACGTGACCACCGCTATACTGCCCGGACATGTGCTCTGTTCTAACCTACAATTCCCATACCTATCCTAAGGGCCAACGCTTCCGCCGGATCGGCCACGTCGACCAACAAATATACGATATCTCGTGGCTTTAAACATAGGCCACTACAACTGGTTCGTTCAGCAAAAGTCACAACTTACATAGTGATTCGTATGATCTATACCCAATTTTCAAATTACATATACTCCGAGAATAAGATGATAAAATACATGTACCAAAGAGCAAATTTATAATATTGAAAGCCCGTAGTAAACCACGTAGAATATTGCCATTCAAAGACAAGGCCGACGTATTAATCTTCTGTACACGAAAGTATCCGAGGCCCATGATTTGTTTGTGCCATATTCTGTGCGCATTGGGCGACAAGGGTATGGCGTACGGTACGAACAGACGGCACTAGCAATATTTACACACTGTATGTATTTCCCCAAAAATGATGACGTTAAACGCATCTTTTCTTTGCGCAAGCTCCAGCTCCATCCACCCCCCCCCCCCCAAAAAATACGTATAGGGACCGACCAGCCCGACCGATAAGACACAATGGGACTCACGATTAAAAGTTAATATATAATTATACACGGCCATGGCTTCTCCTATACGAATTTGTCGACCTTTAAGTCGATTCGCTACGATTCTACGACAACGTGGGCCTCAAAATTGCCGGACATTATCTACTGCAGCAAAGACATTTCCAAAGTACACAACAGCGAAATACACAAGGACAACACCATGCACAACATCCTCTTTCCACACGACCGCACCGCGCCGCGCAGGTGACGAACCGCCGCCTACCGATTTTAGCGCTTTAGATGTATTCGGGAACATGCCGATACCCTCGACCGCTATCGAGGTATGCATGCCGGACGGCTTCCAGTTCAACAGCGGAATTAAGATCCTCGACGGTTCCGGGGTACTTCTAGTCGGCGGCGAAGCATTCAAGTGGCAGCCTTGGTTACCCCGTGGCGAGAAACGACTACTGAATAAGAAGGGACAATGGGAGGTTCCCAACGATACATTTGGCCTGCTTGGGCTGCTATGGCCTCGACCCGGTAAGGAGTGATCTGGGCATAATACATCTGTATAATTCCGTGTACTGACAATACAAAATGTAGATCTTCTGATATTAGGTCTCGGTCCGGAGATGCGCCCTTTGAGCCCGGAGTTGAGGAAACATATTAGCAGTTTAGGGATGAGGGTAGAGATCTTAGATACGCGAAATGCGGCTGCACAATTCAATCTACTTGCTACGGAGAGGGGAGTTAATGATGTTGCGGCAGCCTTGATACCGATTGGTTGGAAAGAAGGTATCGGCGCAACTTGATGGGCGTGTAGTCGCCCATAATATTCTACACCACTACTAGCCGCTAAGACCAAAGACGCTGCATACGATCTAAGGTTAGCGGGAGCCAAAAAGCGGACGCCATGATTATAACGAACTCATCGATATTATGATGATGTATCGCCAACAACGACCATTACCCCCTCGGCTCCCATGGTATGGCATTGATCATGACTCAACGAAGCTTGTACATAAAGAAGTCCACTGGGAGCGCGGCGAAGGATATTGGATACACTGTAATACTACGTTACCCTTATCTCGACTCTTTGTATTACACACCTCGTGGGGGCATACAGTATTCCTATCGGAACTTTCCGGGAATTGGAAGAAGAAAAAAAGAACTCCGAATTACTCGCTTAGGTACATTGGTACGTGCTTCATCGCGCAAGTAGCCTCGTAGTGCCTCGAATAGTCGGGCCCAGAAACGAATCATAGGCCTCTAGAAGGAGTCAAGACACGCTCATAACATCATTTTAGAGACTTATAGCCAACGTTCATATTTCAGAACTAGCTGGCTCTAACCCACCGGGCCAATCACCCGTTACCGTTCATCTCTCTCTCCTTTTCGGGCTCTGACAACTGATAGTCTACTTATCCTTATAAATTCAAGTATGAGGGTGAAAATGGCGACCCCTGGTTATGGTACATAGGTAAGTACTTGAATGTTCGACTCGATTCCTATCAGCCCTATTTAGCGATGCCGTTGCTCTTCATAGAGTGGCACTAATAGCCAACTGGTTCTACTCCCACAACCGTAGTTTAATTTCAGACTCGAGGTTCAAGTATAAGTGCTTCCTTTCTTTTTGGGGGCGTTTAGTGGCGTCTGCTTCTTGTTCATAAAATGCCGCTTAGACGCGGCAATAGGGATTCAAGCTAGATCGTCGACATAGTGCCCCCATTTATGCCCGAGGGAGTCGGTTTCCGCGTGGCGTCCTATTGCTTCTTTTTAAGGCTCGTCCCGAGACAAAAAATAATTAAGGAGTACTTTGTCCTGAGTCAACTACTACCCGACTATAAACTTGAAAGAGGAATGGGTCTTGATTGGCTTACTCTTGTGTCATGATTCAATCAATTGCTTAGATTCCTGCATTTCATCTATTCTATTCTCACTTTCGCATAAAAGTCGAAGTACCTTTGAGATAATGTATCACTATCAATTAGACTCTGCTGTATTGAAATAAAATATTGACTTTCGAGTTTAGTTTTACCTCTAATTTGATTAATTGTATATCAAAATTGAACTTTCCTTTTTCATTTAACTCCTGTTAAACTTAACCGTAAAACTTCAAAGAAGTGCCGTAGATGTACTCAAGTATTGGGTACATAGGTACTGGATGGGTAAAGGTTAATTCAGCCTTGCAGCTTGTGGCTGAGTTATTTATTTCTTATTGGCCAATGGCCTCAGTCCAATGGCAGCCTTCCCGAGCGACACGTTGAGGCGCTATGACGATTCAGTGGCTGAAGGCTGAAGGGATGCTATGACATCTTTTTTCTCTCATATGAAGAAGAGCTTGGCCTGGCCATAGCTTTTTGGGTGGGAATATTGAGGGATTGGGTCACTCTTATTGAACGATTGAACCATTAGAATTACTTACCTTACATGCATGCTGTACAACACAGCGCAACCACACAATTACCACACGGATGATATCTTTATTATTAGTCTTGCCAGCATCTGACAAACTGATCAACTTTTTTATCCCTCTTGTTTGATATCGAACCATCGTATATAGTTCCTAGACGTCGCGTCCGTATTTTATTTATCATTTCCTTCTTTATCTTTTGCGATTGAGGCCCAACCAAGTTGTATTTAGGAACCCAGTTGCGATCGCGAATAAATTTTTAAAAGAGTCATCACATACGATATCAACTTATCAACTAATAAATCGGATCATCACTTTTTAAAAAAGCAATATCTACCCGCCACCTATCTCTACTGCTCCTTTAACAACTCACCTATCTCTACACTTATCTCGTCGTAATCTATCGTACCTACTTCATCTCGAGTTTGGATCTTCATTTTATTGTCGCTTCGGTTGCGACCAGCATTTTTTAAAAGAAGTGGTAAGTGCATTTCATCCAGGTTCTTCTTATCTATCACATACATATACATACAATGTACATAAGACATACGCACATACAATCCGTATCTCCATATTCCTCATGCAGAACGGCGCACGACGGTGGATCAATTCATTGGAACTTCGGTCTAGGACCACTCAACCACCACTTTAGATACTCATCCATTGATACCACCAATCCTATCGATTCCATGCATTTCCCCCCTTTTCCATAGGGCCGATTATTTACAATGTCTTCTTCCTCTACAGCTACCTCTTTATTCAAGGCCAGACATATTGTCATCGGCCTCACATTCGCCCTGGGGAGTGGTGCATGGTATATGCATCATCGCCGAATGGCCAAGACCCGAGCGAACGGGCCCGATTCGAAAGATGCGGACGCCACAGATCCCCCGCTCCTCCGGAAGCACTCCGAGGTAGTGTCTTACACTGCTAGCCGGAGCGGCATCACATACCCTGGCATCCGCGTCTTCTATCGTCGCCACCCGAAAGCAGATGAATTACCCCGTGACCCGGCGCCGTTGCCGTTGTTGGTATTCATTCATGGCCTCGGGGGGTCCATCGCTCAATTTCATCCTCTTCTTACCAGTCTCGTTAATTCGGCCTCTTGTCTGGCGATTGATTTACCTGGATGCGGTTTATCGCAATTTGCGCCGTCAACGTGGGATGCATACACCACGGATGCTCTGACAGACTTACTCGAAACCGTTATCGAGGGCTACCGGGAGAAGGACCAAGGGCTTGTTTTGGTTGCTCATAGTATGGGAACTGCGATTGCAGCTCGTATTGCGAATAAGCAATCAGCCTACTACTTACGGCCTCCTTCACACGTAATGGGTTTGGTTGCGATTTGCCCGGTCGCTGGACCGCCACCCCCAGGGCTTGTGCGTAACTTTCGCATGCTCCTCTCACTTCCAGATTTCATTTTCAACCTTTGGCGAGCTTGGGATAGGTGGGGTGGTCCCGAAAGCGCTAGCGTAAAGAGATTTGTTGGTCCAGGCGCAGACCTCGAAGCCCGACAGCTTCAAGATAGATATAACAACCAAAGCAAGACACCCGTCTTCCGTCGGATGGCATGGGGATCTTTACCGACGCACTATGTTGATGGGAAACCCGCCGATGGTATGTTTGGTGAGCCTACTTGGGCAGGCCTCGATATTCCCGTTTATCTTATCGGCGGCGAGTTTGATACGGTCACACCGCCAAAGGAAATCGAAAAGATTCGAAGTATTCTCGACTCGGCGGTAAAACTCGCCAGATCATCCGGAGGGACCACCTCCGAAGTTGCCGATTCAGCGGCATCGCGGACTCCCTCCGAGGGTAAATTCAATGCTACAGAGGGGAGTACGATTGTCGATTCGGCCGCGCCGGTGAATACTACTGTGGAACCACGGGCGCATATACCACAATCGATCGACGCTATCACAGATGAGGATTTCACGCGAAAGCAACAGCCGGTAGCACATGTCGAAGATCATTATGAGGATCCAACCACGCCACGAGATCAAGAGTCCGTTAGCAGTATTCCTTCTCAACCACGACATCCCGCGAAACTTGTCAAGACTGCGTTATTACCAGCCGGGCATGCTATGCTCTATATGCCAACTACAGTTCGTACTTTAGCTGGATTAATAGGCGACTTCATGAATGACCACGTTACTGGTCGGTTTTCCCTGTAAGTATTTCGCTTATAAATGCGATTGAAATATTGAAACGTGCTAATTCACCTCAATAGCGGTTGGCAATTGCAACACCTCTCACGCGACGGCAAATGGGACGTCAAAAACCTCGCGAAATGGAAAGGCGTCCAACCTGTCTCCAAGCCAATCGGTGGTGTATTCCGCGCGATGAAAACGCTTCGCGAGATTGACGAGGAACACTCACCTAAAGTATTCACGGCAAACTGGTAAGCCCATTTCATCCCATCTCATCCATTAAATCCCCACATCCTCAATTATGAATGATCGAGCCCTCGAAACAAGATACAAGAATTCCGATATGAGCCATAACTAACCGCAAAAATAAGGGGCCACATAATTAAAGACATTATCGACATAAGCCACGACGACCCAGTGTACGACCCGAAAAGCTTCGGAGCTGGCATTAAATACCATAAATTCCCCACGGTATCCAAAATCCCACCCACAGACGCTGAAGTCGCAAATTTCATCCGACTCGTCGATCGCATTCGCGCAGACCAGCGTGAGCGCGCTGAGGCCGCGGGTTGGACCGACGGGTACGCGGTTGGCGTCCATTGCCATTATGGCTTCAACCGTACTGGGTATTTCGTCGTGTGTTACCTTGTGGAACGCTGCGGGTATGGTGTTCAGCAGGCGATTGATGAGTTTGCGAATTCGAGACCTAACGGTATTCGCCATTCGCACTTTTTGGATCGTCTGTTTGTGAGGTACTCGCGATTACATGAGTGAATTACCTACCTGCCTACGGTTCGTCCCACTGGTTTCCTTCAATCGACTCCAAGGGCTTGTTTGGAATACATATGGGTTTCAAGCTTACCTTTTTTATCGCTCTTCTTATGTACGACTATTATTGATTATCAAGCGTTTGTATTTATTGGGCAGTAGAGGCGTTTGTTCATTCGCTCAATAGAGGTTTTATCGTTTGGGTCTGGTCTTATGCTATGGTTTATGATGGTTTCTTTGATTATTGGTGATGAGCGAGGAGTTTTTCCGTAACAATACTGTGCTTATTGAACTTAGATATTAAATAAATCCATAACGGGTTTCCTTAATTAAATCTATTCGTGAATGCACAAGTTTATATCAATCGTATTAATTTACTTGACCTAGACGCCTATCTAAAGTGATGTAGACCAAGTCGGCCAGGGTATCGTCAAGACCAAATCTTTTCGCAAGACGGGTATCGCGATGTAATCCGAGAAGCATCCCCTCTAGGCCTTTTTCCTATACCCTTCCAACGCCTAAAAAACTAACGCCCGCCGTGAAGAAATAGATAGAAAGCATTATTCGGGCGTCTGGATTTTCCTTCATCCTGCGAAGCGGATACCAACCACATCTATTCCACCTTTCCAGCAGGTTCTATAACCACCCATTACTTCTGACCCTCCACATTCACCATCCGTTCAGCCTTTCGGGAGTATTCCGCCATCGTTTTCTTAACTTCCTCTAAATTGCGAAGAATGTCGATGTACTGGCGAGTGACCTCTTCGAAAGCATAATCAGGGTACGACCCACCATCACTTCGTCGCATACCGTAAGGACCAAGCATCTCTTCGAAATTGATCTGTGGGGCGTTCTCGGCATCGATACGCGTGAGGATATCTTCCAGCTCGGGCTCGGGGTTTTCTTCTCGGGACGGACCCCCGTGCTCGTGGACAACGACTTGTTTGCGCACTCGCTGTTGGTCAGGATGCGTGGGTTTCTCGCCTGGCCAGGTCGAAGTTACGCCAGGTACGCGGATAAGAGTAGTGGGAAGTTGATCGGATTTCGTCTTGATGGAACGTGTTTGGTTGAAGGGAATGCGACTGCTACCCGCTTGAATGGAGGACGGCACGGTTTTGCCTGAGGTTGATACTTCTTGGCTGCCTCCTGCGACAGCGGTGGTTGCCGGAGCGGTTACGGATCCCCCAACGTTACGTGTATTCTGGGCAGTACTGGCATTCTGCTGGGTCTCGTTGCTGGGAAGTGCCTGGATAGGTGGTCCATACAGAGCTGGATTAGGCTGCTCCCAGGCGATCCACGAGGTAGATCGGCGATGGCAAATCTGGGGAGCCTGCGAAACGGTTAGTGATGCTGCGAACAAGGAAAATTACGAATGGAGGAAAACTAACTGAAGTTGTGTTCGCGATCCGTGAGCCGAGTTGGCGGCCCGCACGGGTGAGCCTAGAGCTGATGGCGCTCATTATTTTGGACTTTTCAGTGTTTATTGATGAATATCAAATGCTGATGGAGACTGATTGAAAGGTGTTGTTTCCAACTAATCGTGGGAGGAAATGATATGAACTGGAGATGAATTTACTTCGGTCGAGTTGCGAGGTGCGCGTGGAAGGTACTAGATGAAATATGTTTGCTTGGGAGGAAGAAGGTAGGAACTCGAACAGTGCACTACCTTTAAATTTTCAAAACAAGGGTCTTTCAATGACAAGCGTACTATTAAACTCAAATTTGTTGTTGGGACGATTGACGAGTATATTTAGGTACTCGGGCATATGAACAGTGTGTACCAAGTTTGTTTATGCCATCTGTCATGAGACTGTTCACGATGCTAGGTGAATTGGGAAGTATTTATACGAAATAGCCCCTCTCATGCGGAACTAGTGAGTAGCCGCATGCATTCATTTGATAATGTTGATACTCTCGTGACGATGGGGTAAGACGAGAGTAGAGGTCTTACTGGTGGATATGTACCAAAGAGCTAAATAATCTTATGCTTAAAATTTGGTGGTAGCCGGGGGCACGATCCGACGAAAACCTAAGGTATGTCCGCATTAACTTAACTCTATACCTTAACTTTACCGTATACTTCCACTATGCGCCTACCCCCGTCTCAATGTTTTGCGTTGATACTAGTGGTAGAGTTTGACTATTTAATTAGGTAAGATAGGGGTAAACGTATTTTACCCCTGAATCACATAACCACTCACAAGCTACTAATAGTTATTAACCTAAGAGTATCGAGCCTCGTTTGAAATATTCAAAATATTAGATTTCTTAATAATCTATAAACCCTTTTATTTCCTTTACACTTTAGTAAAGTTCATCTTTAAGAATCGTAGCCGCAAACTCAGCAAGTGTGTACACCGAAGCTTGCAAATGACAAGTCGGTAGGCGGGGTATGGCGCTCGAATCGATGACTCTCAGGTTCTCCATGCCTTTCACCCTAAAGCTCTGGTCTAACACCGTTCCCAAAGCGCATGTACCCGCCGGATGCCGGAAAGACCGCGCCGCATTCATCAGTGCAACTTTAATATCTGCATCGCTGGTGACATTTGAACCGGGGTATATCTCGTTAACCACTACATGGCGCATGGTATCGGAGCGCATCATTGCTAGTAGACGTTTGTAGCCGTAGAGCGCGGCAGCCATGTCTGATTCGGATCCGAAATAATTCGTATCAAGCAATGGATCGTCCCTCCAGTCTGCGTTGCGGAGTCGCAAGGATCCCGGCGCCTCGGGTTGCACAAGGGCGGAGAATATGGATATAGCGTTAATGTTTTTCGGCGCTGTAAGTATAGCGGTAGATGAGTATTGGTAAAGTACATGAGGACGATCTTTAGGTAAGCTCTTAGGGAAGGTGACGTTAACGCCGAGACTATCAAGGATTTCGTCTGAAAACCTTTCCGCAAAGTACGAAGAGCCGCCTGGGGTTGAAAGGGGGCCTGTTGCATTTTCCTTATACTCGGCGAGAAAAGCGGCGAGTAGTTCCGGATCTTCAAGTTGCTTGCCAGTAATAATGTCCGGCGTGGCGTTGAACATCGTTACGACGTAATGGTGGTCAAGGAAGTTGGACCCTACTTCAGGGCTGTCTACGACCACCGGTATTCCGAGCTCTCCAAGGTGCCGCCTTGGACCTACACCCGAGAGGAGAAGTAGGCGTGGAGAATTGACGGCTCCCGCACTGATGACTGTCTCATTCGACTTGACCGTGTAAGTCTTGTTGCTCGAAATGTCGACGTAATCCACACCTACGACTTTAGTACCCTCGAAATTTACTTTAATGGCACGATGGCCGTGGAGTAATTGGAGATTCGGGCGTCCAGCTATTGGAAATCCATATGCTGGTAGGGCGTAAGATCTTGTCGCATTGGCTGCATTGATCGAATGGGGTCCACCGACAATCATACCGATGCCATCACCAGATGTCAAATCCACATCTTTCGCTCCGTTTGAAACCCACGTATTGACAAACGCATCATCAATTGGAAGTCGCTGTCCGGTTGACTCGTAGCTGACGTCGACATGGTTGTCGCCAAATTTTTGTACGTCAATCGTTTGTTCATAGTCACGATCCGAAGGTACAAACAAATTTGTGCTCTTCTCGAAATAGTTCACGAGATTATCCCACCGTAACCCTTCAATGCCCGATATGTTCGCCCACTCGTCGAAAACAGAGCTAGCTCCGCGACAATAAGCCATGATGTTGATTGCTGATCCACCACCAAAACCACTGCCTTGATACAAGGGCGGCGCGGCACCATTGAGGGTGACTGGCGGGATGGATGTAAAATTCCATGAAAACTGTGTCCCTTGTAATTGGAACCCAAATCGTGGCGTGGTGATACTTTCGTTGGTGTAAGTATTCGGGCCATTTTCTAAGAGCAACACTTTGAAGTCGGGATTTTCTGAGAGTCGCGAGGCGAGGACGAAACCCGCTGGACCCCCACCAACGATAATCGCATCATATACTTCAGGGTTGGTTAATATCGCTCTTATAGGCGGAAGGAAAACAAGGGCGACGCCTAGGTTTACTTTCACCATGGCTTCGGTTGGGAGGGATAATTATTGAATTGGCGGTGATATGTGGATGTGCACTTTTAGAACATATCCCGCAAGCACCAAGTTACTGTAACGCCATGATTTATACTTGATATCATGCTGCCAGCGAGAGATAAGGGGAGGTAGCATGGAATATGCATGGTTATTAATAAGCGGAATGTTGTGGCCAAACGCATGTCAGACTGAGTAACACCACCCACCCAACCCATTGTGAGGCCGAGATATGATCGTCGGAAAATTTTGTTGAAAACGGAGAATCCTTATTCGTGGTGACTATTTGGAGTTCTTGACTAGCCGATCTAAGCAGACGTGATATTAAGGTACGTTACTTAGACGCTTCATGGCTAGAATTTGCTCCCTCTCTCTCACCTCACTTTCGGATTGCTCGGCTGGTCAGTCTCAATAAAGCGCCATACCTCATCCGCGCCCTGGAACATCACCTTCATTGACTTTGCTTTCCTCTCCAGCTCGCTTCTGCTCGCAATACTCGAGACCGAGCCTTCACTACCCGAAGTTCCTAGTGGATGGAATAATAAAGCGAGGGGTGAAGACTTATAATCTTGCCTACTGCCCTCGTTTCGTCTCGTGTGGTCAATTGTCCATATGAGAAATACCATCATCCCAAGTACCATAGCGAGCGGGTATGCGAGCCAGGCCCATCGGGCGCCGACACAAGTTTCACTCTGGAATATCTGTCCCGTTACGTTCTGGCCACTGTCCTCGCGCGTCCACACGGTTAACGCTTGAGCTAAGCGACTAAAAGCGTCGTCAATCGTGGAAAACGTAACATTGCCCTCTTGAAAAATGGCCTGGAGGATTGGAGGGCCACCGATCACTTCTACCGCAAAGGCAACGGTCCCAGTAAACATAGAATTAAGAAAAAAGTTGAGGCTCTCTGAATGGCCATGATCGGTTTGATAAATACATTCTGGTCGTATTGTTGTATTCGTCTCATTAAGAATCGTTGGATTGAAAGCATCTTCGGCATATACCGACAGGTTATACGCCAGCCATTGCGTCTTCTCCGAGTCAAATTGATAGCCAGCGGTGTGAAGGGCCTGCTTCTCGGTAGTGGTCAGGCATGGTACGTCTATGGAACTTAGCCAATACAGACCGTCGCTCCAGGTTTGAGATGTAGACACAAGCGTCTCCGTGAAGTTGCCGCCTTCCACCGTACTCGTATAACTCCTTACACACGGGGATATAGTGCACTCTGCAGCCCCATAACCCCGTACACCCCACGGCGTGTTTGATAGGTTCTGGCCGAACCCTAGTATAGCTTGTATTGGGCTTTCCCCGGCCATCACAAAGGTATATATACCCGGCACTGCTGTCAGATTCGTTGAGGGCAAAGTATAGTTCATTGACGAAATATCGGAAGGGTATATTTCTAGTTGGTTGGAAACGTCATCGCAATGGCTACACCATCCTGCTGAGTGATATAAGCCATCAAAAGTACAATTTCCCGTTGGGCAGTTAAATGATACTTGCTTCGGATTGGTATCGTATATTCCGCTACTCAATTGGGCCTGCACTGCCGGTTTTATGGCATTCAACCCTGCGCCAACATGGAACGAGAGCCCGGCCGAAGCGAAGTGTGTCGTTGGAATGGACGCATTGCGGGAAGTATCCAGAACCGAACACGAATAGAATCGGAGTATCTGTTGTCTACATCAACTATTAGGGTATATCAAGAAAACGTGGAAACTAATACTGACGTGAATGGGACTAGAAGTAAAGACAGGATCATCATTATTCCACCTATAGATGGCAATAGGGCCCTTCGATCAATGACTATTAGATTTCTAGAAGGTAATGCAAATCATCTAGTGTTCGCCGTACCTCAGCCGTATAGCCCATAATAATTCGAAAGATCCCCACAGCCCGCGAGATGCATTATCGTAATGTTCTAAATGGCCCAAGGGACGTGGTTGTTTGGCAAACCAGCTCCATTTCAACTGACTTAAGCCTAGTAGAAAACACATGTAAGTTGTAATCGTTTCAATACTTCAGTACAAGCTAATCTAGACTCACATTCACCCAGAACGAGGATCATCGCCGCCCTCATAACTTCAGAATAGAAAGCGAACACACTATTTATTGAAAGGATGGACGGCCACCGGGGTAGAGGCCGGTCTTGGTAAGGGCATATTGTGCCTACAAGCGCGACAATCATCGCAACTACTAAGAGACATGATGCCGCTTCAAGCCACCATATAGTCAGTAGATTAATGCTTTTCGAAGTATGTGTCTTGGTGATCACATTTCCGCGGTCGCGGTCCTCGGTCGCATTTATGTGCTCTTCATGATTTTGGTCGTTATCTAGCTCCGGCCCTAAAGCTCTCCAGTGTCGCAAAGGAAGGGTTTCGGAAGTTTCGACGTTGGCGTTGGCTGTGCGATTATTCGACGCTGTATGCTCTATTCCTATTGTTAGTCGGATTAAGGAGCAGAAACCATTTCTGTCCGCTGTAAGTCAATAGGTTACCTCTACTCAGGCCCATCCCTACAAGAGTCCTCTCCGTCCAAACACTAGCCGTTGAAACGGCCGACACGGAGCGACGTAAGTACCCAGAATCGCGACTCTCCATTTTGTATTTAATCGAATGTCCGTGATGAATTAGCTGTTCTGAGGTGGAAGGCAGAGTTCGATTTAAGAAGAACACTGCGAGTGTAACGGCCCCCAAGGGCTGCTGGCGATCTTCCCGGTTTTGGAGTCGCACGGCATGATACAAATCTGCAGGACGGGAGGATACTACAGTTACAGTTGAAGGCCCAATTTCTGAGTGGCGCCCAAACTCGGGGATCACCAGAATAGCACTACCGATATCGCCTGTTCTAGTGGTTGGACGCTGTCGCAATGGGAAATCCACACCAACGTAACCAAAGTGAATGGGACTACCTACCTATGTACACAACTATGCATTTCTAATGAATCCTACGGCCCTCTCAGCCACTGCATAAAGCGTCGCGGTTAAGTGACCACTAAATTGCATCGGTAGCACAGACGCATCGACCACACGCACATTTGACGTGCCATAGACCTTAAGTTGCGAATCAACCACCCCTCCAAGCTCGCGGGACATCATCGAAGCCGATCCAATGGGATGATGGTTCGGCGATACTATAGTTGCAGTCAATATAAGCTCACGAAATAACGAGCAACATCCTAATTGAACAAACTTACAAGTACTTGCGAAGAAAGCCTGCCATTGAGAATCCGTGGCGTTGCGGGGCAATGCCGCTTCTCCAGGAACCAAATTGTTAACCACCAAGTCGTTGATTGGGCTCGTGTACCAAAACTCTTGCGAAATGCGTCCGATGCCGGTTTGAACGGCGACATCAAAGTCGACTAGGAAGTACTCTGGGTCGAATACAGGATCACCGATGTCTTCGGCGGACTTGAGATGAACGCTACCCCGAGAAAATGGCAGCAAAACCCAGAAGGCTGAGATAAGAATATTGCCAGACCCCGAAGTCAGAGTTTCGGCGATTGTAATATTCGTTTTGAATATTAAATCGTGTTGGATACGGAATATCTTTTCCAATTGATCGGCGCTGATGGATCCACCGTTGGTATCCGAGACCTGTTGAGCCCATTCGGGAATCTTCGCGCTTGAAGATACAGCTATGGCGGAAGTTTGGTCGCCGAATATATCTTGAGCCGTCGCGAAAGTCACATACGGCATAGTTCCCGTATTATTGGTTTTCGACGTGTACTCAAGGACATTGTTTGGCTGTTCTTGTATATTCTCACCCACCCCGCTGAGATCTATCCTCGTCTCTATACCATACTTCTCTAGGATTCTAGTCGTGTTAGGATTTTATCATCACCACAGAGAGAGTGATCCGACTTACTTAGGATTTCCAACGCCCGAGCGCTCAAGTATTAGCGGGCTCCTTAAAGCTCCAGCGGAGAGTATAACTTCTTTCGTTGCGGCAATGGTAACAGTTTGCCCATCAGCATCTTGGTATTCGAGACCACTAGCCGAAAGCGCGCTATCGCTTGTTAACGATTCTGCCCACGTCAACTTTGTCGCCGTTCCCTTAATGATTTTGAGATTGGGTCTCTGCTCGACAGGGTAGTAAAAGGCCCGAGCGGCATCCTCTCGAATATCCGCATTTCTGTCTAATGTCTGCGGCCAAAAGGCAAAACCACGTGTTTCTCCGCCATTGACGTCCGGATTTAACGGGTATCCTAAGCTCTCCCAGGATTGTTGCGCTATCTCATGGAAAGACCCGTTGAGCAATTCAAAGGGGAACCCCGTTGTTAATGGCCCGTTTTCGCCATGGTATTCTGGATTGAAACCAGCACCCGCAACTTGCTGGGCTGCGGAAGGCGGTGTGAATCGTTCAACTTGTTTGTAGTATGGATACAGCGTATCCCAATTCCAGCCATCATTTCCAAGAGATTCCCATGCATCGAATTCAGCCTTGTCACCTCGGATGTAAGTCATACCTGTGAAATTAGTACTCGCCACTGAATGCGCCGGATTTTGCGTGACTTACCATTAATCGTGCTAGTTCCGCCAATTGCCTTCCCAGCATGGAAAGCAAGCGTCTGATTATTGGCACCTCGCTGCGGTGTTGTAGAATACTGCCAATCAATTTCGGTACCAAATGCGCGAAGGAATCTCGTGACGTCAGTAACATTGATGTTGTTGCGGACATCACCACCTGGTTCAATAACCGCAACCTGAACATTTGGGTCTTCAGACAATCGGTTCGCGAGCACAAGCCCGGAGGTGCCGGCACCTGCGATTACATAGTCAAAAGATTCGCATCTTGCTTTAATACTAAGTGTTAGAAACACTATACAAGTAACCGACTTCATTGCGAGCTATACAGGAACGAAAATCGAGAAAATAGGTAGAATGTAGAGTCAGTCATAGAATCAACCATCGTGAGTAAAATGCCTATAGTTCATTTCACTCTAGGATTCTCGTAGGCTGTCTTCGCTTAGAAGAATCGTCGTCGCGGGCCGATTCGCTGCATATCGATTGCCATTCCAGGACATAAGAATAAACCCAATTCCTGTCTTTTTTTCAGCTACATTGAACGTCATTCGTCGCCCTATGCTACCCCATCTCAAGTCTGGAAGAAGCCTTACTCGATAGGATTGCGGGGAAATGGTCATGGCGCAACAATTTCCGGATTCTTCATCTACTATGTAAGCGGCTGAATTGCTCTTTTCTGAGAGAATTCTCAATTCAATGTGAATGTTATATGATGCACTGAAACTCGATTCACAGTCAGTGCTCGTTAAATGTCGGATATCTACCTGTGTACTTATTTTCACTCTAGATGTCTCAACGACTGGCTTCAATCCCATATTACCGTAGAAGCAAAGCTCCAGTTCGATAAACGTGGTAGGTTTCATATTAGGATCAACTCGTCTTGTTTGAACTAAAGCCGACAGTTGTTACGACGGGGAGGTCATAATAGCGATGGCTTTTGACATTGGAGGTTCTCGTTCCTGTTAGAGACAAGCAGATAGGTGGTAATAATAATGGAGAAAAACGCCCGGGCATAACTTTTTTTTAATCCACGTATATTCGTGGCGTAAAAAAGCAATCCATCTACTCGGCGCCCAACTGAATGGGCCAGTTAGATGTATCCCTCAAGGCACGCACCGGCTGATTCGTAAGTCAGCAGAGAGATAATCGGAGTTATCTGGATCTTTCATTCTCACCTGTATGTGAGATCTCAGATTGCAAACAATTCGTCAATAAATCTACCCCGGAGTTCCCGACTTTAGGCGGTTGGCAAGATCGCAAAAGTCAATATCATAGACAACGTGACCATTATAGATGCTTATGTGTAAGCATAGTAACTCTTTTCGTCCTAATACATTCGGCATGTGAATGTATAGGTTGTAGTCTTGTCATCGTGACATACGATATGGACGGAATAGCGCAGGAAGGAAAAGGCGAAAGAAAGGAAATAAACCAAACGAAACCGAGCTACACACCAATAGATGTACGCTATTCTTTATTTGGTTAGCTGTATCTACTTCATGTAGGTACCTAATCGTCCTAGCTCCGACGGCATGGTCCGTGTACTCTGCGGTGTCGCCCGCCAAACCTGAGACTTAGCGATTGCAACCCTTATTAATTCGAAGTGGGCGTTTGCTGTGCCAAGATGTAGGTACCAATGGACGGTCTTGGCTGCTCAATCGAAACCCAAACGAAAACTTATGAAGGAATTAGCTATACCTAGGATATATACCTACCAGCAACGACATCTAACCCTTATGATTTACGATAAGAATGTCACTCCCCACAGGTACACTTCATGTACATACCTATTACAAAGACACACAGGCGCATACCTGCATAGTATTGAGTAGATCTTGCGCTTATAGGGCAGGTGGTGGTAACGCACAAGTGCCGATCTGCCGCCCCCCGAGCTGAGCCCTCGATCCAATCACATCATCAATCCCACTGTCATGTCGTCTCTTGTCCTCCCGCTTGCCCCTTTCATACACCGCGCTCATCGGCACCTTTTACAAATTAGAAGGAGAATAGTTGGATAGAGAGCCAGACAAGTATTACATATTCTAGATACACAGCACAGCGCATCTCGTCAGATCGTGCAATCCGAAAAGGGAAGGCAGCCGTCCAATCCCCTACCGGGAATGCTCGGATCTACTGCACAAGACAGCCTGCCTCTACCATCCCCTGAGTAAACAGGGCCTTACTCGATGTCGCGCAGGGACAAGACTTGATAATGCCGAAAAATGCCTGTCACGAAGCCGCTCATCATGCACTCCCGTCCACTGGTACGGTCCATTCGCCTGGTTGACGGCATCGGATTGGATATCACTCCATGTTAACTTGCACTTATGCTTGCACGCTCGGTCAGTGTTATAAGTAGCCGGGCAGACGCCCAATGTCGTGATTTGAGATTAAGATCTATGTAGGCATCCTATCCCTTACCTTCGCAAGCTGTCCTTTGCCGTTCGTCTTACCTATCCTATCAGTTTGCTACAACTGTCGTTAGCCGTCTGATCACCATGTTTGGCTCCAAAGTAAGTCTTTTAACAGCGGCGAACCGCTGACCTGAATCCTTCGCCCGTCGCACGGCATTAGACGGGCCGAAACTAATTGCCCTACCTCGAATAGATACTGTCTACCGTCCTCTTGGCGGCCCTGTCCGTCGCCAGCGTATCGGCCGTTACCGTGGAGAAGGTCCGCGCCAGACAAGACCAGACCTGCGTCGCGACTTGCGGTTCCGTGTGCTACTACCAGGAGGACCTCGACGAAGCTGTCAAGACCGGATACGGTCTGCACCAGCAAGGCAAGACTGTTGGTATGTAATCTCCCCTCCCTGTCCCTTGCCTCAATTCTTATTTCACACTTCCTATCCTAATCCATGTCAGGCTCCAACGACTACCCTCACGAATATGAGGACCGCGAAGGCTTCGACTTCCCGGGCCCGTCGCCGTACTATGAGTTCCCGATCTTGAGCAGCTTCGAGCCGTACGATGGCGGTAGCCCCGGCGCCGACCGGGTCGTCTTCAACGATGATGGTGACTTCCAGGGCGCCATCACGCACACCGGCGCTAGCGGCAACAACTTCGTTGAGTGCACATAAGGTGTCCGTAGGCTGCTTAACCTATGAACCTTATGGGTCCGGGATTCGGACCGTATGGGTTGTTGTCGCGTTGGTTTGGTTGTTGAGAAGCACATTGTATATATTGCGTGCGTAGCATAGCTTGTATTTAAATGTAACAAATTGTCTACTATGAAACAGTCGTTTGAAATCGAGAGTCCTACGATAGTCCTATTCTAACTAATACCAAATAGTATGAACTAGCATGTTCGTGGTTTAGAAGCTTTGGTGGGTTCCTCGGCACATACAGATATCGTATAAATATGTGGGCTGAATATCTGTGCGGTTCAGTAATCTACATATCAGTCAGGCGTCAGCAGCGTATAACTACTAGTCATAACCATGAAGAACTCGCTCTGATCTTGACCCCTACGATATTAAATAGCGATATTCACGCGGCAAAAAAAAAAAGACCAAAAAGTATAATGAAGGTATCAAAATGTATTATGAACTCTACAGTACTAATGACTGTAGCTATGTTCTATCGGAGCGGGGCCCATTACACCACCTCGCACGCTTGGTATATGTATCTCAAAAAATAGCTTATATGCAACAATCCCTTTTCCATTCCCGCCGAACAACAAACTTCGGACGACTCATAAACACATGTACACGTACAACGCCAGAAAACCAAGAGCAGAGAAACAACTATTGCTTCTGCGAGATCATCATCTCTTCGTTCTCAGCGATGGGCGCCGGACGGTTGACGGACTTGTTTAACTCATTCTCGCCAACGACGTTAACGGTTCCCTCGAGCTCAAGGTGGTAGTCCTTGTTCTGGCTGAGAGTGAATTCTTCTTGGTCGATGTGTCGGAATGTAAGGTAGAAGATGATGGTCAGGACACCACCAGCGATGGCCGGTCCGCCGAAGTCCCAGGTTAGGTAAGGGTCAGTGACGACGGAGGAGCAGGCCAAACCGATGGCGTAGGCGACGGCAGTGGTGAACAGGTTGATGGCGGAAACGAGACCTCTCATGTTGACGGGAGCACGCGAGTAGGCGATACCGTAGGCAGGTACGTTGATGAACAGTTCCGAAATACCACCAATGGCATAGGGAATAGCCATCCACCAAATGCTGATCGGAGCTACGCCTAGACCGTCCTCACAGTTAGAAGAACCGTATACACCACAAGGCGACTCCTTGTAGGCGTAGTAATTCAAAACGGCGTAACCAGCACCACCGATCGAGGACATGGCAAGACCGGTAGTGATACGGGCAACGGGGCCGTAGTGGATGTTCATCCTTCGCAAAAGCGGGTATAAGCCATAGTTCAGAACAGGGGCCATAGCGATGATACTGAGCGAGTTGAAGTTGCCGATGACGTCGTTAGGGACACCGTTAGTGCTTAACATTGTCGACAAGAAACTGGCAGCAGAACCAAGACCATTGTCGTTAATGTACTGAATCGGGAAGAAGCAAAAGATACCAGTGGCCTGGAAAGTTCGGCGAACGTCATCAACGAAGTCATCGTTCCATGAGGTCTTGATGTTAAGGCCAGAAGCTGCGATGTGCGAGGGCTTAGCTAGGTCCCAAAAGCCATGACGACCGATTCTCGTGATACCGCCGCGTCGTAAGCAAACACCGAGGACGCGGAAGACGTTGCCGAGATCACTTCCACCAGGGGGGTGGAGGATAAGACGCTTGTAGAGGAACCAGAGTAGGAGGGGGAGAGGAAGGTAGAGTAGAAGGGGAATGAGGAATGCCAACCACCAGCCGACATATTTCTCCGAGTATGAGGTAGCAACTCCCATGAAACCACCAATGTTGATCAAGAGGTAGAACCAAAGCATGACACGTTCCGTGGTGGACTCGGGGTCCTGAATGACGCGCTCGCCGCTCTCTAGCGTAATGACCTTGGGGACGGTCGTTGTCATTTGGTCGAGTAGGAGGGGGGAAACATTAGGCTTGAACATAGCTGAAAAGCTCGCAGTTAGTACCTGAGAAACCCCAGCTTCAATGTTGCGGGGAAAATAACTTACCAGCACCAACTGAAAGAATGTACACTGATAGGAAATAGGGAACCTTTGCCGTGCCAGCAGCCAATAGGTCCTTAGCGCCCGCAGCAATCATCAAAACGTGGGCAACACCGAAGACGAAGACACCCCAGCAGATGAGCTGGAAGCGACCAGTCTTGACATCAGCAAGCCATCCGAAAAGCATGGGTAGCGCATAGGCCAGTAAACTGAATGACTGCGTCACGGCGTTGGCTGTGACAGTTCCCAAGCCCAAAGCACCGGCGGTCTGCTGAGTGCCTTGCGGGGGCGCTCCGTAACCATTTCCACCCTCAGGTAACGGTCGGTTGACATAGTTGCTGATTAAGGGTTGGATACCATAGAAGGAGGCACGTTCACAAAACTCAACAACACAGATGAGGTATGCGACGAAGGGTAGCTTTCCGGGAATTCGACGAAGAGTTCTTAATTCCTCTTCTGTCGGTTTACCCTCATAGTCTTCCTCCATTATCGAAGGGTTGAGATAGGCGGCGTGTGAATCACCGGGGGGTGTCTTCGCCATCTTCTCGTCGGCGATGGGCGAGTTTGCGCTCGAGGCGCGCTCGAGGTCTGAGGAGTTACCTATAACTTGTCAATACGTTTATAATATCGTTTGCGTGTTATGATTGTCGACATACCCATCGCTATGCCCTGTCTATAACGACTTCACAGCTGGAAGATAGTTGTTGTACTTGAAGACAAGAGAAGACAAGGTGGGATCAAGAGAGGGGAGTAAAAAGAAGGGGGAGTGTGAGATTTATGCTAAAACCCGCCAGCGGGATGGGCTTGATAGGCTTTGGCACTATGTTGTACTATGGAGTACTAAGTTTGTGTCAATGTATGGGGTGGTGGCGGGTAAATACGCCCGCGTGTACTTCGTGGTCGTACTAACGTGGTGTAGTACTAAGTACGTGCTGAATCGAAGGGACTAAGGTGAGCCTCGTATCAAGCAACAACCATGCTTAATGGATGGTTCTCGGCGTGCGGCGAGGGGCTTAGAAAGGGTTTAGGGAGGCAAAATGGGAGAGATCTCAAAGAGAGACTTGGGAAAGACTTATTCCACTATGCCACTAGCGACAGGACCAGATGGACCAGACCGAACTGTCGGAGCTGCCGTATCTCTTTCTTCTAGTGTCGAATGTATCGATTTTACGTCGCGGACCACTCAGAACGGACGAAGTCGTTATCTCTTGTGTCGCTCGATGCGGGTCTTTCTTAATGGGGGCAATGGGCCTTGCCCTTACACCCCCGTTCTTTTCTAACAAGATGTCTTCCGGGAAGGCCTGTCGAGAGGGTCATGTCGAGTCGTACAAAACCGACGTATTGGGAGCTACCCACACTCGAAATCCAATGAAATCCAATCAACTCGCACGAACGACAATACCCACGCTGTACCTAGAAAACCCTAGCGCACGTCGCCGAGGTACTTCCGCAAAGCACGGCTGGGGGAATAACCCCGTACTTGCGTACATTGTTGGTACATTTGGTACGAATGGGTGGGTGACTCGTTACCGGAAATGGAAGGTCATTGTTCGTTCGCATCCAAACCATGTTGGAAGCCATGCTGGTCCTCGGACTGCTACGTTGTATTGCATTTCCGTCTCTAACCTTCTAACAACTAACCTCCAATGGCGTTGCGTCTATTTCCAAGAGGATGGTCTTAAAAGGGTTCAAAGCTCCCACACTTGTATAATGCGAAAGCATGCCCAGCTGCTAGGTATAATTGTATAACTAGGGTTATTTCGGCTCGGCAAGGATAGGAGCTGCATAGAACCCCAATCGAAGCCATCGAAGCAACAAAAATGCTATTTGCCAAGGAAAATCAAAAAGGTTGTCAGCTTCATCTAAACTCAAACCAAGCTGAAAAAGAAAAGAAAAAAAGGATTAGCTATTTGTCGAGTGGCTTGATAAGCTTCTGCCCAGCCGGTGAGGCTTGCATTAGACCCTCGGGTAACACTGACAGGATTTCTTGTTTTCGACTAGAATTCCGAATGCTGTGCTGATCTTGCGGCATTCCAGTCGTACCTACCACATAATTCGTCTTTTCTTGCCACACGATCATGAATCGACAAGGTACCTTATCTAAGGGATGTACTCCAAACTATCTTAATACCTCATGACTTGCGTACGAAGCCAGACAATTACAAGTACCTAAATTGCGCTTAACTTTACCCTAGTCGCGCTACGAACCAGAACAAGCAATTAGCACCAACTTAAAGCCCCCGTGCTATATCTTTTTCGGCAGCTTTCTCCGGAGTAGTACAACGATTTATGGAGAATTTGTTATCATTCCTTCCCCTTGAGACCTAAGCAACTTAAGTAATCCCTCAAAAATGTCTATTGCGACCCAGTTCATGAGCACGCGATCCCGATTCATTAACATGGTTCCTAATCTCACTGGTCCCGGCGCCACTACTGCATACCTGGGAAATGAGTAATCATATGATGAAATGCCTTAGGCCCATCTCTTGATAGCCAACACGCCGCGATCGTTCGGTTTTAAACATCGTTTAACTTTTGAACCTCGGGACGGTCCAGAAAGCACTTAGTACAGATTCTTAGTACGAACCCGACTTGGTAAGTACCGATAGCAGAAATAAATTAATTCCCCAACCTGTCTTAAATCCCCCACAGATAAGACCAGTCGAAATTCGGACGAAAACAAATGCATTACAAATTAAAAAGTACCTAGACACTTAGTAGCGGGCGGCGCGGATGTGTTCTTGTTCTTGGTATAACAGAATTCTTCTTCAGCTGCCGTATAAACGTTAGTCAAAATACGAGAGCAGTGTTTTCCTCTAAACAATTTAGGCAGTTGTTGCGATCAATAATCAGGTATGCATATATCATTTGATCTTATTCTCATCTACCCGACCACCAAGTTAGGTAGGTGGGTAGTGGGGGGTACTATAGGTTCATATAAATTATATTCAGTCGCATGTGCATAAAGGGATGACCCTGTAAGGAGGCCTGGCGGGCTCGGTGAGGCGCATTTCTATATTGCATCGTAGCCTATTAGAAATCATATCTCCATGTTTTAGGCGTTGACGTGCTTATCAGCTTAGTTGATAATAAGACCAACATCCGAGGGTCATTGGTCAAGATCTAGAATTTGTTCAAAGCGTACGGATCAATCCTAGCCGACCAACATTAAGAAGAATACATGTCGGCGTCGATGTACCGTGTATGTATACGCGTATGTATACGTCGATGTAACGTGTAAATTATAAGTACGTATATATGTACACAATTAGTGAAGAAACACAAAGATCTCAAATCTACAAGATCATTACTCCATCCGTGGCTTCCTGTACATATATACATGTAAGCAAGCAGGAATATTATGGACCTACTGCAGGACCAAACCGAAAAGAGGATTTATCGCATCATCGCCCTGAACTCTCAGTTCGTCGCATCTGATTCGCTAATGGATTTGATAACTGTTAATCTTCTCACTCCACCACAATAAATGTCAAATCCCAAACGTCACACATTTCGTTTCATGTCGTCGACGACAGCGTCGATCCTGTATCGAACATATGATCATATCACTGATCACTGATAAGCACGCCTTTTTCAGGGTCCTTCAGGTGATCTACGTAGGTGCTATCGTCATCGTCAATCCTGCGGATACCCTCAAACCTAGGGTCCATGGTATCTATCCGATCTACTCAAGTAGTCAAAATTGCGATAAATCGGAATCGTTTATCATAATCTAGTCCCGATCGCTTTATGATATTTGAATCTGGTTTGAGGGCTCTTCTACCTCTCCCCATTCTGATTTGCCTCTGGCGTCTGTCTAATCGTTAGCTGGTTCCGCCCTGACATTATCCATGGACCCTCGTTATGTCATGCATCTCACCGTCTACAGCCCAACCCCAGATTCTTGAAAATTTGGTTCTAATAGGTCTTCGGTGGCGTTCTCTCAACAGTGGACATGATGCAAGGAGAGTCAAGATTGACTTTCGCGAATCTCAGCCCTACCACTGCGCTCGATCTGACCATTGCGCAGATTGCTGAACGCAGAAATATGGCGTTTTGGTGACGGCGAATCCAGTTTTGAAGTCATTTAGGGCACGTGGCGAAACAGAATGTCGCATTCTATTCGATGCTTAATCCGAATAAGCTCTTTAGTATCGATCTACTAGCAACAATTGAGGGTGTGAAGGTTGTCAATCCTCACAAATCAATACTCTAGAAAGCCGCTAGAACGATGCACGCGACGATGAGGTTGGTCCATCACACCATGATACCAAGCCCACCGTCCAGAACGTTCCAGCGATTCGGAGTCAATCTCACCTATCCTATCCCCGAAGCCTAACATCGCTACCATTATGGTACGTTCATGAAGAAAGCTACGAACACTAGGTTGAGGCCCAGAAACGGGTAGATCGGGATTGCGTGGCTCTAGCGCACCGATTCTCGCAGCATGTCTAGTCGCCTGCAATCAAAATAGCGTCTTGACACTTAGCTAAGGGGTAGGCAATGGGGAAAACGCTAATATTAAGAGCCGCTAGTACACACACCAAACATTCCGAGGTCTCCGAAGTAAGGATAGGTACCCATATTACTTGAGCGAGCTCGGCATTCAGAAATTGCACTAGCAAAAGGAAACACGTATACTGGTTTCGTCGCTTGTATAGACGAGCATTTCTGGCCCCTGAGATCGTGACTCACTACGATTAAGCGTGTTGTTGGAGATCGCGTCTCCGGATTCTACGGTTCTACGGTATGCAGAACGGAAGGTGAGGTGACGGGAAGAGGGGAGAGAGTGCAAAATCGCTAAAAAGAAGGGGCGCAATATTAATACCAGTGAATCTTACGATCCTCACGGGTACGTTCTACGATAAGCGTTCTATGAATCATTGCGTGGCCCTCACTAGTATGCGAACCACCATCATTACGAAGAAGATATGAAGACTCGCATAAGGTTGTTTTAGGCAGAGTAGGCCGACTTCCACAATGTTAGTCTTACTACAAGGCTTCGATATCTCAATTAGCAGTGAGTAAAGGCCGAATAGGGGGTTGGCTTGGAACGTACCTAATAAATTGCACATAAGCAATACAGTGGCTAATGCATTGAAGGTACCATGTATGATATGAAGACATCCCAAAAGCCTAGCGTGTTATGAGCTTATGGTATTTGCAGTCAGCTCCAGGGACTTGAGTGGAATGATGATGATGATTGATGTGTCGTATCCACCACGCCAACTTCATACGATGCTGAATATTTGTAGTAAAAGCTATACACACTGACTTGTCGCGCGAGATCTGTATTTTCTATGAAAAGTTTTTCCTCAAATCCGAAGCCTGGCTGAGACAAATCTTTGTTTTCTCAGCATGTGTAGCTTATGAATGGGAGGTGATGATTGTGTGAACCATAGGGTCAAGGATGAAAATCTTAAGACGTTATGATTATGACATTGACTACTTAGGTATGAATAGCCTTACTAGGAAAGCGTATAGGAATTATCACCTTAATATTGACTGATAACATCTGACGTCTTGGTACTATACCTAAGTACCTAGATGCCGTGTGACGGCCTTCCCCTCGAGAACACAGTACGGTAAAATTAGGACGCCTAACTGAGTCATACGGACTCGTGGGACTACAAGATACTATAAATATGAGAACAGGGTAGATTCATATAGTTTACTCAGCTCGCTCCTAAGCGGTCACTCCCCCCGGACAGAGTGCTTCCTGCGCCAGACCTGGTCTAGCCCAGACGTTCAATACGTCAGAAAGACTTCTAGGGCTAGATCATATCTATAACGGAACTCGAGATGCGCCTTCGGCTACGGTTGGGAGGTAGGTTGCACACTTTATGATGTGGCACTTCAACTCTATAAGCTCAATCTTATATCGCAAATGACGTGATCAACGCTCACTTTTATATAATATCGTGTTTTTCGTGCTAAAGCTTCGACGTTTAAGGTATATATTATAAAGATATAGCGTGTAGAAGAGGCCTGCTGGTAAGAATTTTGGTGAATACTATAGTTAGACATTAAGTGTTTAGAAAACATGAATGATATACAACGTTGGCCGCTGAGGTCGACGTATATAGCTGAACATCGACGAACTATGCTGTGATGGGTTAGATTGCTATTTCCCTTATGTTTTCAGCCAATGGACAGCTTCGTGTGTGACCTTATAGCAGCGGCGCTTTTAAGTTCTTCAGAGTATTGAATAGAGTTTGACATGGTTCATGGTAGCTATAGTACATAAGCTACATATATTATGAAATCATCTTTTCCCAGCTGAACATTTAAGGTTTGAAGCTTCTTTGTTATGGAAATGTCAAAGTTTCACACGGCCGCTTCTGGAAAACCAACCCTGTAAGGCTATCGCGGACCGTCCCTCTCGTTTATGCAGGCCAAAACTTGGGTTTGTGCAGGTGGCGTTCAACCTGCCTAGGTTGGATGCAAGATCCCGAGAATGGGACGTAGCTTCGGTACTCGGTCAGCTGGGACAGTATCCGGTATCTGTGCACTTTCCGTCGAATTGAAATTTCCTGTTCGCAAAAGACTTTCGTGATAAATATAACTATGTTGCCTTGAAGAAAATGAATATATTAAATGAATTAAAACATAATAGGATTGACGCGCTGTGATCCGTACTCTGTAAGACAACTCATCAACCCCGCTCTTGACAACAACGTGCGGTTCCAAAGCGCCGGGGTGTTGCCTAGCAACCGGTCTTACAGCCTGAAGCGATGAATCTTGGTACTTGGGTACACAGACCTGGGCACGTACACAACCTCATTGTTTGTGCTTTACCACCTCGTAAGGCAGCACCAATAATAATGTTAATATCTAGAAATTACCTAATTGCAATTGATACCGTGGTTTTCGGTGGAAGATCATCAGAAATAGATGACACGCAAGACGACGTAAACATGTGAGAGTAGTTCTATTTTGAAAGTGATGAAGAATATTATTCATCGGATTGTGATGGGTGGTCGCAGCAATGCTAGAACTTCCAGGGGTCATTTCGCAAGGGAGTCGCCCAATCCATTCGCGATTCGTCAGCCACTCAAGGTGGGAGTGGGGGCTGGCCACGATGAACAGTTCAACCCTTATCAAAATGAGGAGATTGGGCAATTTCGTCAGGCGCCTCGATGACCGTTGTTGTGTGACGACCATCAATTACTAGCATGTCGAAGCGAAGTGGTTTCAATGGCAATGATTTTCGAGAAAAGCTTTGGATGAGCATAAAAGGAATATCTGTTTTGACCGGGGGTCATCTGGCGCAGCGTGCTTAACATGTGTCTAACATCTATAACGTCCCGGGGCTCTGGAATAGAAGAATCGAAGTGCTTCTATGTGTCCAAATTGGAAATTGAAAGGGATCGAGCCAAATAGAAGAATTGAATTACAAGTTAGAGACCAAGACATAATTTAAATTCACCACGAATTATCCCACACTATATACATGGATATGGTTGTACAACTACTTATGCTTCTGAGTTATGCTCCTGCGGGGAGCAAGCTTACCTAGGTAGTCATAATTCTATAATGAGCCATACCTATTACGGCGTGCCGCGATTCCCAAAATGGAATACCTAGCGTATACGCTTGGACCTACCACTGGCGGCGTCGCTTCCCACTGGTTGGTTTCTCCACTCTAGGTGCAATGCAACCTATTTCACAACTTTGTGATCTGTCAGATTTGGTTGCAGAGCTCTTGCATCAACATTTCACAAGTAAACATTGTGCCCGCCAAGGGGAGGAGCCTAAAAAAAATAATTGCACAAAACTTCAACAAACCTCATTACCGCCACTTTTCGCACAACTCTATCTTTCCTGAATATTCAATCGATGGCCGCTGAACTTCTCTCACCTCCGCAATTCGTCTTTTAGACGTTTGGATTTGTCGTTTTTGCGATCGGGCGAATACATACAAGAAAGTTGTTGTTTGCTTTTGCATGGCAATTTGGCGTTGTGTTGTTTGTTGTTGCTGCTGACTTTTTTATTCTCTCCTTTTCCAATTCTCTTCTCTTCTATTTTTTCCCGGTACGTTATTTCGGGACATTATCTACCCCCTGTCTGACAGCATGACCTTGATTAGACCTGTCCATATTTTTTTTTCTTTCTCATCCATACTAAACCTTTCCATTATCTTAATCAAAACTCATTGACGCGATGATAATCTAATACAGAACAGTATCGAACCCTTTTTTTCTTACGACGTTACGACCCTCTATGGCCTTCCAAAGATACCCTCGATTTTTACGAAGTAATTGTTTATAATCCCGACACCTTCCGTTCTCGCATTCGACCTACACTGCTTTGGTCGCATTTTCAACATTACGCCGCGAGGCGTTTAGACCTTCGCGATGGACCAACCGCCGCCGCCGCCGCCTCATGGCAACAATCCCAGGCCTAACAACTCAAACCTACCTCCTGGAAAGTACGACATATTCATCATACCGCCGCACTCATCCGGTTCGGGTTTTCTCTATCTCCCGTCGCTGAAGCCGAACCTCAATAGTTTCGCTGCGGGATTTGCTAGTGCTTTGGTCCTGGTTGTCTTATTCCAGAGCATGGGACCTGCCTTCCGGGTATGGTGGAGTAGCTTTCAAGGAATGGGAAATGCTGGAATGGTGCTCTTAGTCATTGGAGTTGGCATTGGGGCTTGGTCTCTGGGCAGGACACAACAAGATAGCGGCCCGAGATTTGCAACAGGAGGAGGTCCTGGAAATGCTCACGGCGGATATGGCCCCGGTCCTGGGGGCTATTCTAACGGTCCTACTCCTAATGGTGGACCACCTCCCCATTCCGGTGTGCCTCCGCCCCCACCACCTCATGGTTCGCCGCCGCCTCCTCGATCTGGACCGACACCTGGCACGCCAGGCGGCGGGGGACCCAAGCAATCGTGGCAGCACCAACCACAAGCTGATGAGTCCAGGCCACCGCCCCAGGAGCCACGACCGGAGACACCTAGGGAACCTCCCCCTCCCAGACAGAAGCCCAGAGAAACTCCCCGGGAAACACCTCGGGAAACACCTCGAGAAGCCCCCCGGGAATCTCATCGGGAGCCGCCCCAAGAACCACCGCGTGAACCACCCAGGGAGCCACCTAAAGAACCTCCTCGAGAATCCCCAAGAAAACCCCAGCGAGAGCCTCGGGAGACTCCTCAAGAATCTAAAGAGCCTCCTCGAGAGCCGCCGAAGGAACCTCCCAGGGAACCCCCCAAGCAAGAACCGGCAAAGGAGACACTAAAGGGCTCTTGGGAGAAAGCAAGAGAAGAAGTTCGTAAAAGGGAAGAGGAACGAAAAGCCAAGGAGGACGAGAGACGCAAGCGGGAGGAGGTGGCGAGGCGAATAAAAGAGCTCCGCGAAAGAGAAGCTAAAGAGCGCGTACGCCGCGAACAACAGGAAAAGGAAAGGCAAGAACGTGAAGAACAATGGGCGAAGGAACAGCAGGAGCGGGAGCAAAAGGAAAAAGAGCAGAAGGAGAAGGAGCAACGGGAAAGCAGGATACGAGAGGCGAGGGAACGCCAACTCCGAGAGAAATTCCAGCGTGAGAGGGATCTTAGAGAAAAGCTGGAAAGGGAAATGAAGGAAAAAGAGGTGAGGGAGAAGGAAGTAAAGGAACAAGAAGCGATCCGAGCCAGGAATTTAATCGAAGCCGCTCGACTAAGGGCGGAAGCAGCTCGATTAAGAGAGTTGGAAGCAGCCAGGCTCAAAGCGCTAGAGGAGGCTAAACAGAAGGAGTTGGAGGAAATTAGAAAGAAAGAGGCGGAGGCTGCCCGGTTAAGGGAATTAGAGGCCGCCAGGCAGAGAGAACTTGAAGCTGCTAGACGAAAGGAGGAAGAAGAGGCGAGAATAAGGGAGGCTGAGGCAGCTAGGTTGAGGGAGGCCGAGGCCGAGAATGCTAGGAGAGGTGCATACGCCTACTCCTCAGTGGGAGAGAAGACGAACCCTTGGCCGAATGGAAAGCCGCCGACTGCTCGGCCGTCGACTCCTCCTAGACCGAGTCCAAGTACTACTTCTAGCAAACCTAGTGCTACCTCGACTAAGAGGCCGTCAGCACCATCGCCGGCACCGGGACCAGCACCAAGCGCGAGAGCAGCTAGCTCCAAGGCCCCCAGCGGCGTTAGTGAAGAAACTTACTCATACCGACCTTACGACCAACCTAAGAGCCATGGCCGGAAGAAGTCGAGCGAGACGACCTTCACAGAATCGTCATACGCCCCTTCGCAATCAACTTCACGAACAACACCTCCGCCTTCTGAGCGTGGCCCTTATCAGACTAAGGATCCGGGTAAGGTCGTTATTAAGGCGGTTTACGGCTTTCTTAACCAGTTCTCTAAAACACCTGTCTCTCAACTCATCTCTGGTGTAGGACCAGTAACAGATGGTCTGATCCTTCGTATATCATCCGAGGGTATCTTCATCGATGACGATGTCCGTAACGAGCCGCAGCGAGAATGGGATGTTAAGGCGTGGACACTCAAAACGGTGGAAGTATGGTGCCCGGCGCATTGCGCCGCCGAATCCAACACGGCTACTAAAGCAACGTCAAAGACACATCGCTTCCGGTCGGCGATACGCGGAGACCCTAAAACATTGACTGGTGATGATGCCCTGATGTGTGTGTCGGAACTTTTGCACTCTTGTAAGAACGAATGCCGCCTTGCTCCTCACGGAGGACGGAACACTACGTCGTCTTTTGTTAGTGCCAATAGACGACGAGGTCTCCATCTGATGCGCGCAACGGTTCGAGATCAAGAGGGCAAGAGGCATTTGTTCGTGATCGATGAGGAAGAAGGTTGGAAAGTTGCGCACGGCTTAAAGAATCTGATTATGGGCAAACAGCACAGATTGCTTGGTGTGCAGTGCATGTCGAAGACCGATGCCCAAGAAATACTCAGCACGCTTGGATGGTGATCGAAAACGGTCTCGAATCGGTGTTTCTGGGTATTTATTGGGATTGGATATCTTTTGGATGGTATGCTAACAAGTACTTCCCTGGAATGCTTCATTTTCTGTCGTCGCATTCCACAAGTATTTGCTACTTACTAACGCTAATTCCCCTCTCAACATGGAGCTAAATCGGCCTCATCCCTCCATTCTTGTCAATACTTCATTGTTCATTCTTTTTTTTTTTTTTTTCCACCCATGCATGCATCGGCGACGCGACGGCGTACTGGGGGCGGGCAAATTTGCAAAACGCACAGATTTGTTTTTTCGTTTTTGTGTTGAGCAGGCTATCTAGCATAGCAACAGAGAAGAACAGAACTGGATTGCATGTAGAGCTGAAAATTGTCACCGATTGGTCAGATAATTCATGAATATACCACTACTATTGAACGATAAATGAGTTTTCTTTGATATGATGTGAATGTGTGGTTAGGTACCTAGGTATCGTAGTCCTAGGTGTGCTTGGGCTAGACCTGGCTTTTGTTCTGCCTATCTAGTTGCCGCTTGGGCTGTTTTCACGGCTAGTATGTGTGAAATTATAGCGAAAATAGGTACCTAGCCGCCCAGTATCGTATTACTATTGGTGTCGTTTTACTTGTAGGTTCATAACCATGGGTGCTGGATTAAAGTATATGGCTTCGTATACCTTGGCAACAAGAAGAGTACAAATATCCGTAATTATATCTAGATTTAAAATGACTATCGAACGGAATTCGATTCCTAGATTATCTTTTTTTGATATTTTGTTTCAATAATAGCTATATTCAACGCCCAGGAAATCGGGGCGCTCCGTGTTACCATGTCGGCTTGGGGCTACCTAAGGGTTAGGGTTCGTCGTCGAATTGCCTCCTTGCTCGACTCGCCAAATTCAGTGGACCAATTCGTGTCTGTTTCAATATCAATATTCTTACCTGAATATTCCTTGGGTTCGTAGTTTAATCACGAGAACATTTGAACCTTCTCAAGCTTGGCTATAATTCAACACCAAATGAGAGAAGGGCTATGGTAGAAGCCGGACTTCTCAAATCGGGTTGCGGCGAAGAGGCCTAAGATAACCCATAATACACCGAGTATAAGCGAAAAAGAGGTCATCGGCACATGTATTTCGGACGGCAATAGGGAGTCTTCCACAGCTATTGTCCCGTGCTGTTAGCTCCTTTCCTCCTTTCTTTAACATTAGGTATCATCATGATGTCAGATAACTGCCGTTCCTACCGGGCCAAGGAGTCGCCGAAAACCTAAGCCGTCTTCATCAAAGAATTTTCACCTATACATACCTGATCTTTCCCAGCGAACCAATCAAGGTCTCCAAGATAAAAATGACGAGGAAAATAAATGATTGGCAAACACGAGCCTCGAGAACCTGTCATGGCACTGTTACCTCCCGTCATCTCGGATATCTCCAGGAAACAACACACGGTTTTATGACAGCTCCTCTACGTCTAGCCTCCGAAATTGACCTAGTTCTTAGATTGCGATCTCTTGGTATGTCGAGTAGTTGGATCATCTCCTATTCGCCACATGAATTTGTCACGTTATATAAAGTAAAGGCGAGCTTCTCGGCCCTTTCAGGGGTATTAGGGGCCAGAGAAGGAGGCTAGGAACGACGCCACCACGCCCCCTATGCGCCTTGATAAATAGGCATCTCCTCATGTAGGCGATTTATAATCGCTTATAGGTAGGTCCAACATATTAAAGACCCTATGCGTTCTCACGTGCGCGACGCGTCTTGGCCGGTGGCACACAATTCGCCCAAAGAATGTTCGGGCCGGATGATTACTGCTTTGGGGGCGGTGTGTATGTGTGTATATATGTATGCTGGAGGGATATAAATAAATTTTGAGAACCAAGGTGCTCGGCATATACTAGGATGTTATCACAGCCATACATTAGCTGAGAAGGTACTGGCTCCGTCCCAGCCAGAAAGGGGGTTCGTTCATGTGGAATGACGTTGCGGCGCGTTGACGAAGGCTTGAATCGGTTGTTGGAACACTACCGAGTCTTGATCCCCCGCTTAATATGTCAGAACAGGAATGCATCCGTTATAGCTAATTTCGACCTCGATGCAGATTTGTCGCCCAGGCCTACCACCCCAGATTCTAGGATTATATTACCCGGCAAGGCCTCAATGAGCGGCAGTTGCATCGCCATCCCTATCCAACCAATAGCCGCTGAACGTAAACACTCCGTCCGCCTTGGCTTTATCCGGAGAACCATGGATCAGCGCCGCCTCGGAGGAGAATAAAGATAAGACGGTCTGCTGGCCTCCCCGGCCCGCTGCCTTTGCTTTCTTTTCCATTTTTCTTCAAGCATCTCTAACATTCCAGTCTTAAGCCCTAAAAAGACAAGGCAAGAAAGATGCAGTTGAAGAATCTTCTGCCCGCCGCGGCAGCCCTGCAGGCGGCTACCGCGCAGGAGCTGATGCGCTTCGGATGCTCCCAGCTAACCATCGACCGAATCGACCCCCTGGTCGAGCCGGGCAACATGCCCTCGGCCCACATGCACCAGATCATCGGTGGTAACTCCCTCAACGCCTCCATGACACCCGGCGACCACGACCCCCCGACCGTCTCCACCTGCACATCGTGCACGTACTCGGAGGATTTCTCCAACTACTGGACCGCCAACCTGTACTTCCGCGCCAAGAACGGCACCTACAAGCGCGTCCCGCAGGTAGCCAACCTAGGTCTCGGCGTCGAAGCCGGTATGACCATCTACTACATCCGCGGGTACCAAGCCAGCGCCAAGGTCACCGCCTTCCCACCGGTGAGTTCCCCCTTTATTATTTTGAAAAGAACGCACTAATGAGTAATTTTTGTTTGCCCCTAAATTAGGGTTTCCGCATGCTAGTCGGTGACCCGATGAACCGCCAAGCCAGCACCATGCAAAAGGGCCTTTGCTACCGCTGCGAAGCCAACATGCAGCAGAACCCCTTCGGCGGCGCCCCGTGTACCGGCCAGGACACGCAGGCCTTCCCAGCTCAGCCCTGCGGCGGCGGCTGGCGAGTAACGGTCCACTTCCCGTCGTGCTGGGATGGAAAGAACACCGATTCGCCGGATCACAAGACCCACGTCGCGTACCCGGCGTCGGGAACGTTCGAGACTGGTGGTGCTTGCCCGTCCACTCACCCCGTTAAGATCCCCCAGATCATGTACGAGATCATGTTCGACACCCGCCAGTTCAACAACAAGGCTGAGTGGCCCGACAACGGCCAGCCCTTCGTCTGGAGTATGAACGATACCACTGGTTACGGTCTACACGGTGACTACCTGTTCGGCTGGAAGGGTGACGCTCTCCAGAAGGCTATGGATGGCAAGTGCTCCGGTGACCGCTGCGCGCCGCTGCAGAGACAGACCGACAAGCAGGCCATCGACTGTATCAAGGGCCAAAGTGTTAAGGAGGATATTGGTGACGACTGTGAGTATTCCTTTTCTGTATATGATGTTCCATGAGGTGAATGCTGATGTCTTCGAAAGGGCTCCCCAACTTGCCCGGTTGGTAAACGTCGGTATATTGGAAGAAGTTCATGTCGAGGCAGGTTTGAAAACCTGTTGAGCCTGGAATTTTTGTTTATATTGTTCGCTACGAAGGAGACTTATTAGATTGTCAAATATACATACCATTATAAATATGCCATACCAGCCAAGCTCTAAACCCTTATCATAGGCCGAGGCCTATAACGGTAGATCTTTCGTATCGAAAGTGGATGGCGGGGGAAGGGATGTATGTCCAGTGTATTTATAGAACGAAGGGAGGTGAGAAAGTGAAACCCTTCCGGGTTGTTTCAGTGAAGAATTGCAACTGTAGCACAATAAGTGGCGCTGTAGATTCCCACTAACTGTACCTACCTAGGTACCTAGGTTTAGTGTCCCCACTCAGTATAGTTCTTTTGAATCAACATCGGGGATACCAGAATTTCGTCCTTAGCGAAGAATTAGGTAAATAATAGAAACATTAAGGGATTAATATTACTCTGAAGTATGTACAAGAATTTTTTGTATGTTTTGTGTATCGATGTTTGCAACTATTTAATCTCCTATTATTTTGGTGTAACCGTGCAAATTACCGGAGCGCTATGGCCGCTTTATGATAGCGTAGCCTTCAGCGGTAGTTTCCGACTGCTGGATCCAACATACACGGTCTTCGGGGAGCTGGTGATAACCCAGTTTTGGGTCTCTACATCCCAATTGCTTAGATCACGACGCGTGAGCTCTGCGCGGAAAGTCGCCGAGCAGCCCGGTTCGATGGTAATGCGGTCAAAGCCACGGAGGACAATTTTAGGATCATCCTCTCCACCAAGGGAGACGTATAATTGTGGAACTTCATCACCCGCTAGGTTACCTGTGTTGGCAATCTGCGCGGTAACCGTGTATAAGACATCAAACAACTGGGAATTGCCGCCAGATTCGGCGGTTAGACTTGGACCAGCCGGGTTGAGGTCCTGTGCGTCGGAGTCCGTAGCTCCTGGCGGTAGGAACTCTTCCGCACTCTTACCAAACTCGGGATCCATCGATGCATCCTTGAGCGATTTTGTGGTGTTCACATAAGGATAGATGTACTGCCAAATGTACGGGAAAGAAGACTCCGGGAAAAGGTAGTCTTCAAGTTCAGTTGAATAGTTGCCAAAACCCGGGGCTTCGGCTGTCTTGCCAGTAGTAGGCTTGTATTGACTGGCGTTAGTCTTCTCGACCTGAATGTCTGAATATTCGAATGTCGTGTATGACAATCCAAATCCGAACTCGAAGATGGGTTTGATATCAGCCTTGTCTAGGGCCCGGTAATCCGTAAATACGCCTTCAGTAAAATCTTGCTGGGGGGCACCATTGCCGTTGTTGGGTTCGTAAAGAATGTCGGTTCCGTAGTCTTCTCGCTTCGCTGCCCAAGTGAAGGGTGTTCGACCAGCCGGGTTGACCTTACCGTAGAGAACGTCTACGATTGAACGACCACTCTCTTGACCGGGTAAACCAGCCCACACGATAGCCGTGACGTTGGGCGAATCGTACCAATCTGTGACAAGAGTGGGCCCGACGGAGTGAATAATGACAATCGTATTGTTACACCATGACGAAACATTCTTGATGAGTTCATCGCCATTGCCCCAAAGAGTCAAATTCTTGCGGTCGCCTGCGTTCCCATCAACCTCAATATATCCTTCTCCGGAGTCCGCATTGACAAAGACCAAAGCAGTTGCGCCTTCTTGCTTGACCAACGTCTCAATTGTGCTTGACGCGGAGTTGTTGAGGACAGCCTCGATGCGAGTGCGGTCTTCGAGAGCCTGGAATTGCAATGCGTCGATAGGAGTAACTAAGTAAGGGAAATCGGAGGTTCCCGAACCCCAACCCATGGCGAGAGTACCCTGATCGCAACCTCTATCCGAGCATCCGTTCGGACCCAGTGGGTTAGGGCCTGCATCTTCGCCGATTACTGCGAGGAACTTTGGCTTCTTAAGCGGAAGAGCGCCCGCATTCTTCAGCAGGACAGTGGATTTAGCGCCTATTTCACGGATAAGGTCACCGTGATCTTCTTGAGCATCGACATGCCAGTTGATCTGTTGGTAGCCCTCACTCGCGGCAAAATGTATAGGGCCATATGTGTCTCGGGTCCAGGAATCGAAGCTAATCGGAATTTGATCCTCCACAGTCCTGCCAACCTTGAAGTAGGCAGCCATAATTCTCATCGCCATATCATCAACTCTGTATTGGGGCACTGTACCGTTCAATACTGCAAGAGTCAAGTTCGTTCCCCAGAAACTAAATCCGGAATTGAAGACTGTGTCTCCGGGCATAGTCATATCGAGTCCAGCTACAGCGCTGGCTGCGCCGGAATGCTGAGCTTGCCAATCGCTCATGACGAATCCTTGGAACCCTAACTCGCCTTTAAGGATGTTGTTCAACATTTTTGAACTATTATAAACCAAGTTAGTTTTCGACCGATCGACATGTTGTGGGTATTGAAATTAAGAAGATAAACCCATGGAGACGATGCTTACTTCTGGCAGGCATATGAGTTGTTGACTTGGTTATAAGAACACATAATTGATCCCACGCCAGCTCTCACAGCGTCAACGAAAGGCCAAAGGTAGAGTTCGTGCAAGGTCTTGTCGTCAACATTTGACGAAATGGTGTCCGAGATGTTGTAACCGCGATCTTGTGATTCACCGACTTGTCTGAAGTGCTCTACCATAATAATCAGCGGTTATCCCATAAAGGATTGTGTTGCATCTCTTACCCTGCTCATTTCCAATGAAATGCTTAGCGCAAGCAACGACACCAGCATCCTGGATTCCCTTAATCGTCTCGGCTATCCCAACACCGGTCAGGTAAGGATCGGGGGAAAAGCCTTCCCAATTGCGTCCACCTTCCGGTGCACGACCAAGAGGACCAGCGACAGGACCCAGCATGACATCGACGCCTTTAATCCTATTCTCAACACCCATAGCATTTCCTCTCTTATACATCAATTCTCTGTCGAAAGAAGCCGCCACGGTTTGGCCAGAGGAAAAAGCTGAAACATAATCGGCAAACCGAATGCCTAACGGCGAGTCCTGCATACACAGACTGCGGAATCCTAATCGTGGAATAGAACCGACTTGGCCAACACATTGCTCGCCTTCCCACCCAACACCGGTGGTCAAATTGACCTTCTCCGCAAGAGTGAGCTTGGAGACAAACTCCTTAGCCTTCGCATAGGCCTCTTCCCATCCTGGCACGTTTGGGTTCATCCATGGTGAAGGATAGTGCGGCTCCGAGTGAGCTAGGTCTCGTTTATCAACCTGGGAATGGTCAGAAATCACAAACTGCGAAATCGGCAGTATATGCGTCAAAGCTTTGTGAAGCTGCATAATTTAAAAATACATGGACAGAATCATAAACAATTATCGGTAGTAAATGAAGACCCGGATACGATAAATTGCAACAACAGATGCGCGAAATTTACATATTTCCTTCCGGTGTAAGCTTCGAAGGAATAGATAGAACCTTCATTACCTAGATACTGGGAAGGCGTTTGTGTGAAGGAAACGCAATAGCTGCCCAAGGAAAATGAAGAAAAAAATACATGGGGGATGAGATGACTAACCGTCTTTACAGCTGTACTGCCAGTCACCGCTAATAGGGCGACCCACGGTGCGGAACGCATAGCGGGCTATCGTACAGGCCGGAAGGACCTATTAAACTTCACTGGCGGGCTGTCAAGTTAAGTCAGGTCAACGGGCCGTAGTGGGACGCGCGGAAACGGCCGTAGCACTGACTTATCCGATGGAAAGACACGAGAAGAAGTTTGAGCGAGGGTTAGACCATCGGAAAACAACAAGAAATTAAGATTGGACTCAGGTCTCTATTAATAAAAAGTTCGATGAGCTAGGTACAGCTCTCTCTCTCTTTGTCCCCTTGCAAGGTTGTGGATCGGGTGATCAGCGTGTTGCATGAGCAAGGTGAGATGTCGGCGTCACCTACGTAAGATTCGATTCCCATCCCCCATGCCCATGCTACAAGGTTACAGCCAAACCACGAACGGCAAGGTTCTCCGCTTGAAGAATATGCCCAGGTCTTCGTGTTTTTGTCGTGTTTGTTTGCCTAGGACGACGCGGTAGTAAACCCGATTCGAGGAAGACCTGCTGCGGCCGGACTGAAGGGACAGCTTTGGGGAACTAGTTCAGTAACTAGGTAGTTTACTACGGCATGTTGAAAGAACCGGTACCTGAGAATGACGGGACCGCGTCTGCTATGACCATAATAAAGATTGGCATAAAATTGAGGGAATCTTTAGGAAGAATAGATTTGGGCGTGGCTGAGTTTGGAATGTACAGGCGACGATCCCCAAGTCATTGGAGATTAGACTTCTGGGTACGTACCCGCACTCCAAGGGTCATAAAAAGCAAACCCTTAAAAAGCAACACACAAAGCACAATACATAAACCTAGTATCGAGGCTTCCTCAAAGTAAGGGTTACGGGGAGTTCCGTGACCAACGTATGGGGTAGGTACAAACCTGCATGTAGATACCAGGTAGATACTCAATTTGTGTTGATGACATGATGGAGTACCCGGTTGTGCAACCCGAAGCTAAGCATACAAAATCAAGTTACAAGAGTCGAAATTCTTTCACAAGCTCCAAAGGCCCCCAAATTAGTTGTATTACGAAGGATTTCATAAGACGGGCTCTTGCCTATTTAGCACCTACTTTAATTGGGGACTTAGTTGGGGTATATCAAGTATGAAAATATTGCGGCGTCAACTAATAAATATGTTCTTATAAGCTAGAGAGTCTGAAGTTAGGGGATCTTCAGGGGAAGCTAGGCACGATGCGTAAAATCCAAAGTCTTTAAATATCGTCCTTTTCTACAATTTAATAAGATCCTTCTCTGATCATGTAGTAGAGGATTGATATCCAAGCAGCATAGAGGTCATTCTCTGTACTATAAACAATTCCGTTTGTCATTACCAGGTACGTAGAGTAAAACTATACCCCAATCAAGGCCGCGCCAGATAATTTTAATCAAGCCATCGCCAAGAAGCCAGGAGCCGGGACCGTGGAACCGCCTATAAATATGCTCCACTTACCCTTTCTAGTTGTTTTTTATGCACCTAGCAGCTAGGAATAGTCCCTACATATGGTAATTTGACTGACCTAGGTTGAAGTTCCTAAATACAGAACGGTCCCGACGTTGTCTGTATAGTTTGGTTCGAAATTAATAACTAAGGCCATTCGCTATAGGATTGATCCTTAACGTGGTTTAACCTATATCTCAATTGAAATATGTACGGATCACTTCTCGAAGGTATACTCAAAGTTTGAGCCAAGAATCCTCAGCGGCACAGTTCATCAAGTTTTCAATCCGCAGTTCCACAAATCGAATTGATGACGCCAACAATTCCTCCTATTCAAAAGTCCAATAGAGTTCGAAGGTAGTCGTGCCATTGGCAATTATCGCGCAGTTCTATCGGGCCGTTTTCTGGCCTCAGCTGGTTTTCTTGGACATCCAGATGCTTTATTCTCACCCAAGAGCTCTAAATTAGACCTCGGGTAGAAAATGAGGCCGAATCAGAAAACAAAAGAACAAAATTCTACTGCAGGTAACGTTGTCCTAGGGGAAGCCCCAGTTCGGAGCCGTATGCGGGGAAAAGCCTAGGATCAATGGGGTAGGTCATCCTCGTGCGGGGTTGTGTGGGGTCTAGTCTATCCTACTTGCTAACGATGGAGTCATAGGCCAACATTTTCTAGAGTAAGGATGGTTCTCCCATGGAATGATTACATCCAGGACAGTTTTCTAAAATCGTGGATATGTTTGATATCCGACCTCATATAATAGGTACTCATTGATATAGGAAATTTACTATTTCGACCTAAACGGCAGGAGGTAGGCATAGACAATGATTCTTCTTAAAAGAATCTTTTTTTTATTTTTAAGGTGGACTAATGTTGTCATAAGTTGTGTAACCACCTAGTTTCTTACGTAAAAGCCGTTTTTACGGTTCTTTTCTTATCATAAATTTTCTCTCCTTTTCCTTCTTCAGAACTTTTGAAGTCCAGGCACTCTTAAAAAGATGGTATCTTATAAGTATAAGAAAAACGGTTCTTACGCAAAGGAACGATAATCTACTCCCCCCATACACACGTTTAGGTATGTACGACCCTGATATACCCCGAAACAACAGCCGAAACTTAGGTAGGTACGTTGGTTTGACCAAACATGAATCTTTTGTGGCCTTTCCCACCTCAACCTTTCCGCCGGTAACACCGGCTACGAATTCATATGACGGTAGCCGGGCGAGATCCTAGATCCCGAACCATAGCGCCGGTATGACGGACGAATGTCAAACGTATGCGCCTAAGATTATAAGGTTACTCAAGACCCGCTTGCTGTGTTGTCATTCCGGCGCGGTATTCACTCATATGTGAATTGAGCTGCGAGTATTAAAGTAGGCATTAAGTGCTAGGTACCGACATAACCACCGATGCCATCGCTATTATATCATGAAACAAGCAAACCACATTTCTGCAATACCCGCTAAGATTAATAATGCATATATGCGGACTTCGAGTTCCAGCGCCCGCCTGAGATCATAAAGCCGCAGTGGCTAGTTGATATAGCAAAAGTATAGCGCAAATTTCTTACACGCAGCCTATTTCGACTCCAGAAGAGATTGCGGGAATTTAGACATTCAAAGTCCAAGCTCGACTTGGATCAATGCAACTTGGCTTATACTGCTTCCAGTGGGCTTTCTGACAGTCCTACGAATAATACATCAGCTCGAGTTATGAGCGACGGGAACACCATGGATGGCTAACCTTATCACAATACCATGCTGAGCGGCATCCACCACATTTCATCGGTACTTTTCCACTGTCGGCTCCAACTTGTCCACAATGGAAACAACTTGGTTCCTGGTAGTTGCGGGGTACACTAGGTTTGTAATTGTCGAAAGCCGCGAGAAACTGGGCCCGCCCGGGTCCACGGAAGCCTTGATCGAAAAGGGGAAGCTCGTATCCCGGGCTGCAATGAATACGTGGGACCAATTCACGGAGGTGTTGCATATCCGACCTTAGCAATGAGATGTAGTCAGTATCACGCCAAACGACAATTAAAAAAGGGAAAGGCAACCAATTCGCGTGGTCCACTAAGATGTGGACTTACTCCTCGATTTCGGCCCCAGCACGCATCAATAGCGCCCCAGCGATGATGAAGCGGTATTCCCCGCCCCTATCGGTCTCCTTCGCGCGCCAATGATCCATGAGTTTTCGTCCCAAACCATCAGTGTCGAGCTTCGCGCGTGCCTTAGACACCATATCCTGAAGCTCTTCCCCGTATTCTGAGGTTTGGTAGTACATGCGCATCATCATGGGCGCCAACATGTCTGTTTGGTGTATCATATGAGAGAGCGAGAGGTCATCTTTTTCACCTTCCCCAAAGGTGTTATTGATCTGTAGTGCGATATCAATGTTTTGGTCGCCCTCGAAGAGCCCTACGAAGAAAATTAGACCTGATTGAGCCGATGCTGTTAGGGATATCACAAGACTCACTCATTCCCCAGCGCCCCATATTGGCTCATGTACGATGCCTAGGATAAAGACAAGATCGAGCCTGCGAAGTCGAAATAATTGTTTTGAGTTGTTGGAACAGCGATGATAGAAAATGGATGTGCGCGTAAGTTGGATTGATACCTTTCCAGATGAAAATTCAAACTGAGAGATGAGTCACTAATGTTAGGCACAGTAGTCGCTTCTGGGGTTTGAGCAAAGCATTCGCAGTTGCTAATACCTAGTTTCCTAGAGTGTTCTATATTCCCTGGGTAGGCGCGCTCTGGTTACTATGCCACAGAGCGAACCTTTGTCGGAAGCTGCATACGGAACGCATAGGGTTGCGACGGGAGGTTGAGGGAAGGAACAACCTGGGTATCGTATGATCTAAAATTCATATTGAAGTAGCTACACGTATCACTCGAAGATAAAGTTTTCGCCGACAGTGTCCCACACGCCTACCTAAGTAGATGAAGTGGTCGAGTACCTAGGTATGGCGTATTGTGACAGCACAGCCAGTATCTTGATGTAGGGACAGGTACTGCCCTACCTCCCTTTCGATATTTTACACTAGAATTGAAATCATGCTAATATACGTCGCATAGTCTAGTTGAACTCCATATCCCATGAAATTGACGCCTATATTGAGATATGCAAAAAAGAATAAAAAAAGACAGGAAAGTAGGAATTAAGGTACTATCATCTCTAAACATCGCCGAACTCTATATCCTATTGGGAGACTCTACATATGTAGGTCATGAAACTCCGCCGTCTTCGAACTTCCCCTAAAATCACCAATGTCATCAAGCCGACCTGGGTCGGTCCTCGTCTCTTTTTCGTTCAAAAGTCAACGTTCGAATGATGAATTCCTGTGCATCGGCCGGGTCACCGTCATAAGCCCCAGCGGGTCTCCACTTCAGCTTTGGTGGTAGATCTGGATTGTCGTCTTTTCGAGCCCTGTTCTGTTCTTTGAACCAAGATCGACCCATCTCATACTGATACGAGTGAGCACCTAGCCACCTAGTGACCTCATCCTTTCCATTCCATACCAAATGGTACCCTTGTTCCACCGGAAATTTCCACAGCTTAGCACACTTTATCACGTAATCGAGCTGATTTTGCTTGCATGCGAATGTCTCCAGCACGAGGTCAAGTTTTGTTAGGTCCGGCCAATATTCCTGGATTTGAAACCCCCAGCGGCCTAGCTTCTCAAATCCCTCTAGGTCGAAATCCGGCTCTTTACCTGATAGGCGTGCTTCGTACCCTCTTGTCATGGCGAGGCTGTTTTCCGGTTGGGCCGCAAGATTCGTCACGTTAATCGCTGGTTCTATTCGCAGCCGATCCGAAGGGTTAGTCGCGCAATACTCGGGAGCACTCTCCCATGACCACCAATCAGTACGCGCCATGCGAACACTTAGATGAGTAATCTTCCTGCCGACTAGTGGATTTTGCGACGACACAGTTGAGACCTTCCTGGTTTTCGAAGGCTCGAAATCTGCATAGCCCGCCGGAGTGTATCCTTTACACTCATGCCCATGATGGCGCCTCAGTGTCCCGACTAAACGTGATAATCGCTCGAGTGCGGCTGGTTATCATATTAGTATCTACTTACGTATACTCACTTTCAAACGACGTACCGCTCTCTAAATTGATTTGTTGGACAGTTATCTCCACGGACGATATATTCGCTAATTGCCAGTATTTCAGTTTGCGGCAGAAAAGCATATCCTCTACGGAATGCGTGAGTACGTTAGCCGGCGGAATATCCTTATGATTCCCATCGTATGCGACTATCGGATTCACTTGGAAGGGCGTAAGAAACGCTTCGATATATACGGCCCGACATGTGTGGAGCAGTCCGACATTAACGCGCAATGGTGCAGCTTGACCTGGCCTTGTATAACGCTCATCTATTCGATAGAGATTGTCAAGGTCCTCGTAGCGAGTGAGAGCGAACCCCCAAATAAGCTCACGGACTTCCCTGGGGAGTTTAGCAAAGAGGGGGGATTCTAATTGAGGGTCAACTGAATCTAAACGGTCCAGAATTTCTATCGCGAGAGGTGTCCTATTTTCTTTCTTGCGATCAACTAGAATACGCGATGAGTTGCTAGCTTCGCTATTCTCCGGCCTTTCATGAAAATGAGGTCTGTGAAGATATTTCTTCGCGTGACGAACAACGGATTTTCGCATTGTGGATTAGATCTGGGTAGGTATCCACCTAAGCGCAACGAGAGTATAGGTGGTTATAAGCACTAACGTATTTATATACCCGGGAAAACAGGTCGGTAAGCGAATAAGCGCCCTATTCGAACCGAGGGTACTTAAATAGATTTAGAGAACTCGAATGATGATTTTGAGAGAATGTATGAGGAATTTCGAATCCTATCGATGAGGGGAAGGTTCAGGTACTGACGCTCGCATACCCAGGTAGGGCTGACTTGGTGTCTGCAGGTAAGGAATCGCCTAGGCGCTGTGCCGCAGCGAACAAGGTTTAGGCGGATCCGGTATTTATATCCCGCTATTTCAGCTGGTTACGTAGGTAGGGTGACAACGCTGACGTAGCGAACTTGATCAATTGGTTATATTAGAAAGATCTGTTACAATTTAGGAAATCGCAAAACGATATCGAATGTTATGGAATAAGCCTATAAGTGTTTATAAGAGGCTAGTTGGGTATCAAGAGGTCGATATTCTGATTCGTCGTCTGTGAAGATATTGGCTCTTCGGAAACTTTTTAGCCAGAGCGAGGGGCATACGGAGGAGAGCTGAACGCTTTTAAACTTTCCGTTACATCTAAGCTTACTAGATCAGCAAGATTTTCCAATCCCTCGCCCTCGAATTATTCACGAGTTATAGCCGTTTGAATTATGTAAGTGCTATGGGCATAATGAAGAGTTCCCATGACGTTACATCACATATCTAGAAATTTCAAGTCCCGATATTTGAACATTGGAAGTGTAATAACTCGAGTGTATGCAGTGAGAAGGGAAACGTTTTGGTGGGTAGCATTGCTGTTTCATTCCCATTTTCTGCTACAGGTTCGGGGCACCCACCCCTACAGAAGCGTCGGCCTCGAATCTTTTAGGGGGTAAAACCACTATCTAGGTGGCCTCCTATTATATATATACCTAATTCACAGCCCACGATACATTATCTCACATTGAACGGACCACCAACTAGGAACTTGAAATGTACTTACCGAGGAACCACCAACTTCAACCGTTGACGGCAATGAGTATGGAGGACACTATGGCCCTATCAGCCAGTTCCAACGAGGTCTCAGGGCCTATGGTATTATTCTGGATGATCGGTTTTTCTATCAACGCCATGACACAGCCGACGGGACATGTCTGTCCGGCTAGACCAAGCGTAGGCCCATGCAAAACAACTAAAATCAGACTCGAGCTTAAGGTGACTCACATTTGGTCTAGGCGTTCTTCCACAGATGATTAAACTTTTGGGAGTTCTGTTATTTCTTGGGCTCAGGCTTTCAGCGCTATGTATCTTTTTTCGTGGATGACTTTTGAAGTCCTCGTGTTCGCTGCTGAGCCCGCCCAAGTTCGTTTTAGGGCTTATAGGGATGTTAGCGCACGATTGCACGTACCTACAATTATACCACGATACCAAACTCTTCTCTGACGCAATAAATTATCAAACTGAGATATTCCCATTATTGTTACTTTTTCTACGCTCCAGAATATCGAATTTCCGACAAGTAGACCATTCAGATATAAGCTTCAGCTAAAGAAAATAGCCTTGGTCGCGTTCGTTTAGAAACCATTCCCAATGCAAGATACTATAGATTATTTGGGTAACATCCTTTGGTCGTCAACTTGGAGTGCTGGATGGGTGCGTTGGGCTTTACCTCATGATCCCCAGAAATGGATTAACTGGCCCAAAGTAGGGATGAGAATGAAGCTGATATGCGAATTTCTTTTCTGTTCTGTTCCCCTATTTTCTACTTTCTGATTGTCTATAAATCTAAGGGGAGTCGACTGCTTAGCTGGGCAGAGTGGTTGGGTTAGGGTTAACTTGTCCTCCTGAGTGAGAGGCGTCATTATGAATACCCTAACCCTAACCCCGAGCTTCTGGTGTAACCTATCCGTATGTCTTTTCTGAGATAATCATCTCTGCCAGCGAGCCTCCGATGTACATTACTTAGTACCTAAAATATATAGGTAGTCGAAACTATTTAAATCCTTTCAAGTTATGTTGCCCTTTTTCGTTCTCTTTCCTTCCCTTCCCTTCTCTTCTTCTTCCTCCTCTTCCTCTTCCTCGTCTTTTTTCTTTTTCTCTTAACCCCAAACCAAAACCCCAACCCTAACCCCAAATTTCTGGTGTAACCTGCCCGTATTACACGTGTCTTTTCCCGAATAATTATCTTGTTAACCGTACCTAGGTAGACAGGTGAATAGTATTAATCTAATCGAACGAAACCTCGTACTTGGTCCTAAGCTTCTCGCCATACTTTAAGAAGAGGAACGGAGCCACTGAGGCTATAATAGCTAAGAATCCAAGCAGAGAATTGCCCTAGATATTCTAACATTAGCATGACTACGCCTCAAAACTGGCGGGAACCTTTACTTACCCAACCGTATCCCAGGGTAGAGTACATCGGCAATCCCGCAATAGGAAGACATCCGCCGAAAATGCTACGGACAACACTAGTAGCGGCGAGCGCACTGGCTGCGTATTTCGTGAACGCATCGACCATGTATATCTGCGTCGGGACCTATGAAGCGGGAGCGTAAGTTAAGGAATGTAACAGATAGTACGGCGGGGCGAAACATACGAAGGAGAATATAAGCCCAACACCAGCGAGACTGGTGAAAAAGATAGGCACCATCCAGTGCTCCGCGTACTGCGCCGTCCAACCATAGCCGAAGAGACCTATTGGTAGAAACGGTATGCCGAAGATGAGAGGAAGAAGACGGTATCTGTTTGTATTAGGATTTGATTCCATTTGGTCGTGAAATGGTTTACTCACTCCGGTTTGGATTCCCCGTGTTTCTTGGTAGATTTTTCCTGGAGCCAATCGCTCAGCCAAGATAATACTGCCAGAGCGACGATCATGCCGACTCCTAGTCCGAGAAATGCGAGGCCTAAGATACCGGTATCGAAGCCGTATTGGTCGGCGAACACGGTGGAGAAGGTGGTAAATAGGAGATATAAGTATCCGTAAATGAGAGCGAGATAGATTGAGAGGCCAGTGACGATCGGGCTCCGAATTAGCATTCGCATGGGTCGTAGAATGGCACGAAGGAGGACGGCGCGGACGTTAGCTACGGGCACGCTGTAAGCATCGGGATTCTCCTTGTTAAGACGTTCGGCCTTCCGGCGTAAGATTGTTTGACCGTGGCTTTCGGTTAGGAAGAAGAAAGTGAGGACTGTCATGACGCCGATCTATTCGGGTCCTATATTAGGGATCACACATTGTTTATACGGGTCATTCGTTGTGAACTTACCATTATTACGAGCAACCAGAATATCCATCTCCAACCGGCTCCTTGAGCGAGAAAACCTCCAATAACTGGCCTTGGTAAATGTTAATAGATGATATCGATAAACATGTGGTAACACTGTTACTCACCCAATCACTGGGCCCAGAAATATGCCCGCGAACAATCCCGTCATTACAGCACCCCTTTTAGCGAGTGGGACTTGGTCCGCGATGCTGCCACCCGCGACATTTAGCGACGTAGCGCCAAAACAACCAGCAATGAATCGAAATACGATAAGTACTGCCATATTAGGTGCAAGAGCGCAACCAATGGTAAAAGCCAAATGGACGACATTAGAGATGTTGTAGATTAACCGACGGCCGTACAATTCGGAGAGGGGCGATGTTACGAGTGGCCCAAACGCGAATCCGAGAACGTAAATCGACACCACCAGGGCGACTACTGGTTTGCGGGTTTCATGAAGATCACTGACTACAAGTGGGATAGCTGGTCCGATCGTGGATGATGCCATAGGTCTATAAGGTATGGAAGGTCTTAGTATCAAGGAGCTACTTAATGTCGAATATCTAGATAGGTGGGATGCTTACGTGACGAATGCGAGTATGCAGACAATACCGATATTAATTGCTTTCTTCGATAAAGTCCAATTCTGGGGGTTTTCGGGGTCGTCATCGTTTTCCCAGCCGACTTCTTTCTGCGCTGACTTGTCTTCTATTCCCACTTCCGCCTCCGCGCGTTCGCTGTCCTCCTGGCCCTGAATGGACAGAGAATGTGACTTAGAGCCCTCTAACTCGGACATGATGAGTCGTATATATTTACCCTAAGCTGTAGTGATTGGTATTATTGACGCGAAAAGATCGGGAGGCTCATCTCTCTACGTAGAATACCTGTTAATTATAGTGAAATTAAAACCACTTAACAATTTGTAATTGTTTTAATAACGTATTACTTTCCGCTGAGCGAAAGAGTGTATAGCCCAAAAGGGGTTGTTCTCGCTGAGCGAGATGTAATTTTACCTAAATAGGCAATTTAGGCTTGGCGAATCGTTCGCTCGAAGCAACCGCTTGCGATGACCGCTGAGCGGCACCTTGAGGGGAAAAGTCAGTTGGAAGACCCTGCCTCAAGAATGGACAAGGTAGAAAAGCGGTCAAAGACAAGTATCACGTCTCTGTGCGTATTGTGCCAAGTTGGTGCGATCCTGATACCAGCTCTGCACGTTAGAACTTTGAATAATTTGGCGGGCTTGAATAGATAGACATTGGGTAAAATTAAGCTTACAAAAATCATCGTGCGACCCTGTTTCCTCTGAAAATGGTATAAATCGAAGTCAAGGTCCGTACTGCGAAAATAAATAAGGGCATTTGTACTCATTCACCTGTGTAAAACGTTTATCGGAATCAGAGACCAATCCGTGACAACGCGGGGCCTAACGGTAACACTAACCAGCAGCAAGGACCCAATCCGGCTCTTTGACGATCGATGCGATCACTTTGAGGCGACTTTTGAGGTTTCTGGCAATATCTGATAGCCATTTGAAGGTGAGTTCAGCAGCCTCTGTAGTGCCTGACGAGGACTGAGCTGTTTTGCTTTGATGGCGACTGATGTTATCGTTAAAACTCGAAACAAGCGAATCGACATTCCGCGCAGCCGTTAGAATGAGAAGACGTTTATGATCTAAATCATCGCGTTCAGATAGTTGAAAGGATCCAAACGTTAGGCGAACTGCTTTGCCATTAGGATGTTGGAGGTAAGTGGTCGGGTTTTTTGCTATGGTGCATAATAACCTAACCTGACGTTGGTGTAGCATGGAAATGTTAATTAGGCGTGGGCATTCGTCGCATTGTGTACAGTTGAAATAGTTCGCCGAGTGAGTTGAAATATCTTGGAATATTTGTAAGATCTCGTCCAAACCGATGCCTTGAGGTTCGTTGATAGCAGAAAGCATACGATCGATATATGTTTGGTTTGAAAAAGAACAGTTACATGAATAGTTATGATGGGCCAAGTCGGCGCCTAGGTTAAGTTGGAACGGACTCGCAAGCGGTTCTTGTAATGCAAGGATATCCAGAGCTTCAGTGGGCTGAGGGGTGCTGGAGTTGAATTGGGGAGATGCTTCGAGCACTGACACGGGAGCAAGCACCTCTGTATCGGCCTAGAAAGTATCAATAATGGTCCCTTTAGCGCATTCGCGTTACATACGGCTACAAGGCTCCAGGGCCCGTCTAAAACGGCTTGAAATGTGTCGTTACCACCATCAGATTGGCCGTCCTGTAGTGAAGGGTCACTAGATGAAGCGCTGGACTGCAGCACTTGTTGGGGATTAACATGCTGAGCGAAACCCTCCAGGCCTCTAGCGCTGGCTTTGCGCCTCCCATGGCGCTGAGAGACGCTGTAGACGCATAACGAAGGATCCAGGGATTCAGCGCAACGCTGGCAGGGACTTCCTCCTGTACACCTCACTCTTGACTTCCTGCACTTATTGCAAGAGGAGCAGTACCTTAATTGATTGTTATCCGACCTTTGGGGCCTAGTAATTATCCTATTGTCGCTTGAAGTTCGAGTAATAGGACCGGCCTTCCATTGTGCGGTATAGTGGCTTGGGATGCCCCTAGAATTCACCATTGGACTAGCAGGATTAATTAGAAGTTCGACAACGCTAAATTGGTGCAATCGAGGTACTTGGCGATGGGAGGATTCCGTCAGATGATGTGTTTACTATGAGCGACAGAATCAGCTGATACAAAGAAACAATTTCCAATTGTGCAAGATGTTTAAGAAAAAGGAGGGAAAAGGGAATGGATTAGAAATATTAACATTAATTAATTACCTTAGTTAGTATCCGATTAGCGGGGCTGTCCGTCGCATCATTTAATACATATTTTGGAATGTTGAATTAAATTTTCAGGGGACATATATCACCATCCAGGTTCAATAACAGTGAACGTATCTAGTGACAATTCAATTTGGGTTCGGATAATATAAAATGATATTCGTAGTTAGCTACCTACTTGGGGGCCAGAATTCATCGCAGCTGAAATGAATTTTACGATCGTTGCACATGGAGTTGAGAGTTTCGGTCAAGCCATTGGGGGCTGTCAATCTCAGCTTCTTGAGCATCTTGGACTGGGGTTCGTCTAGATAGTCAATTAGCAGCTTGTGCAGTGTCCAAAGCTCGTCGTTCCACGGCGAATAGTCCCATGCTTCGAAATCGTCCCTAAAATAAAGAGACTCAAGAGATTCAGGCAATACATCCGACAGCTTATTCCAGTCAGCCTTACTCCTGTCCCAGCCTAAAAGCAGCGTAGGGTCCATTTCCAATGACTTGAGCTTCTTGAAGGAATTCAGGGAACCAAACCAGTTGTGTATAAGGCCCCAGCTGTTTGGCTCTCCCGTTCCCCGGGACACATCGTATGCGGTGTGGGCGCAGAAACGGGCAACTAGCCGCAGGCTTCTTAGCCTAGAAGAGACGGTTGCCAGTACACGACCAAGTTTTTCGCCGTCCAAAAAACACCCAATATGATGCATGGTGCGATCCGCATCAAACATAAAAGAAAGGGACAAGTCTTGAAGGTTAGGAACAGCAGTTAAAATCTTCTGAAGAGAAGTCATATGCAAGCCAGATCTAATAAGACTAAGCTTAACGACGTTATTATTCGTCGGGTAGCTTGGAATTTGTAAGAGGCTTTCGGGGCCTTGCTCCAATAACAAGTTAAGACTTGTGGTGGATGAAGATTGGAGCAGGTCGAGAAGCAGAGAAGTATTGACATCTACCTCTCCCGTGGAAGGATAGAAGCCCAGCCCTGTATATTGCACTTGGACTGTAATTTCTCGTAGCTGAGAAGAATGAATGAGCGATTGGTCGAAGGCTTGGATTGCACTGTGGGATGCGGTGCTTTCGCGGGTGACATTAATAGCCCGGAGGTTTATGCATTTTCTGATGATGCTGGAAAGCGTTTGAAGTTGAGACGAGACTTCTTCAGATGATGGCTTAGCGTAACCGTGGCGGGTATCGTAGCATAGCACGATATGAAGCCTTCTGACGTACATGTCAAACCCCGTGCTCCCAAGTAGAGCCCGACACAATAAATGAAACCATTTAGGGCCTTTCTCTCGAAGGTTTAAAGTAATTGATTCGTATAGCATTTCATTTCCGATGTAGTGAAGACCGCGAGAGGTGCGACATAGCGCTGCAAAGTCAGGTTTTTCTGCGTATTCGGAAATAATTCGTACAATCTCTGGCAAGTACCACGTAGCCATTGGCACCGACGTTGGGTGCGAATCTTTTATATAATAGGGAAGGATGTATTTTTTAGATCTTCTGCTTTATTGTTGAGGATTCGAAGTCGATTTAAATAGTGTCCGAGTCACAGCCTATCGTTACACACATACTTGACTCATTTTTGCGCCCCCTTATTCCGCTTATTAGGATTGCTGCATCTCAGCTATTCACTTATAAGAGCGTTTATGTATTTACTGAGAGCGGCAAAATGGATATCGCTATATATGAGTGTATATCTTCTCTAAATCTAATGGTAAGCGGCGTTTATCTCACACAGCTTCAACCTCAAACTTAAGATTTCGAAATATCATAGAAGACTTATGATTACCTAGGTACACGTTGATATAAGTGGTGATATACGAAACTCGCTAATACAACTGACTATTCTATGCAACAGAACAAATAAAATATCCTACCCCTCGATATCGCACCCTACAACCATTACTTTAGATTCAGCTCGGGGTACTCTGGGAGCTTCCACCTCTTTGGATCTTCACCCTGCGACCGGGGTATAAGCGGCTCGAATTTCGACGCGGCCCACATCAGATTGCGTAAAATCCACACTCCTACACGGGAGGATGGGAGGAACACGCCGAGTAACGAGGGCAGTTTCTGAAGCTCCTCAACCGGTGTTTTAATTGTCTCATTGTATGCGCTGAACGCCTTGGACACATTATTGCCATGTCGTGCTAACTCCCCCGCTAACACGTACGCGCCAACGAAACAACCTAGCGTTCCCATTCCCGTGAAGGGAGTCGGACAGTATCCAGCGTCTCCAAGAAGCACCACCCGGCCCGTGTGCAATTGTTTCATCTTTATCTGCGCCAATTCGTTCACATAGAGATCGGTGCACGTCTTCAATCCTTTTAGAAGTCTGTCGCTCTGCCAGCCAGCATCCTTGAAGATCTCCGCGAAAGCTTCCTTCTGCTTTTCTACCGACTCTTTATAGCACTTCTTCAGCTTTTCTTCCTCCGCCATGGTAAAGAGCAATACTTGCGTCACAGGACGGTCAGAAGGTCGTAGCACTATCAGCCTCCTACCGTGAGCATTATAGATCTTCGCGACTCCTCCCTCGCCCTCAATGCGCGGAATGCTGTAATAAGCAGCATGAACTCCGGTTGATTTGAAGGCTTCATCGTTCGCTTCCTGGCCGAAAGCGAGGCGCCTGGTCCGTGATCCATATCCATCCGCAGCCACGACTATATCATATCGTCTTTTCTGTCCGTCCGAAAATGTGACATCCACTCCATTGTCATCTTGAGCGAGGTCTTCCAGTGATTTACCGAACTCGTAAACCAAACCACCTTCTTTACCGAGTTGCTTCACTTTCTCATTTTGCTTGAGGCTAGTCTCGTATAGTAAATTTACGAGATCACCGCGCATGATCTCGTACTCGGAGGTCAAGCCCCGCCCTTGCTGACCAGCAGGAGTAATGCCGAATGAAGCCACGCCTTTGCCATTAGAATCTACGATTTCTGAGCCGATTTCGTGGACACAGAGCGATTTGACTGCCTCCAAGATGCCCATCTTCTTCATGACATCGACGGCTTGGTTCTTAAAGTCAATTTGCTGACCGGCTGTACGTAGCGACGGAGCACGTTCCAAGACGGTGATGTTGTAACTAGGGTTGGAGCCCTGTAGGAAAATTGCAAGAGCTGGGCCTGCGACGCCAGCGCCTACGATGAGGACGTTGAGGGGCATGGCGACTGTTGAATGTAGGGTCTTGTAGCCGTTATTCACGCGGCTGTATTTAGGTGGGCTGGCAGTGAAAAATCGACGAGCGGGTAGTAATAAAATGCGATGATTAATATTCCGACTGATTAAAAGCGTACGGCTGTTTCTTTGGAGGTTGCGGAAAAGGGGTAGGGTATGTTCCATGCTACTGTTAAGCTGAAGAACAACTAACTCAACAATAGTCGAAATATCGATTAAGACAACGAGTGCGGACTAGATTTTATTATCTGAGGAATATATCTAGAATTAATAAGACCGAGCCTGAGATATATATAAGAAAAAACTAAAGCATCGCCGAAGATGTTTTCTTTCGTTCATTGCCCGAAGCTATTCAAAATCACCGCTTAGGCCCGCTTAGACCCTTTCATCACCGTTTACGGCCGAGTCACACCCAGACCCTGAGAAACATCTCCGGAGCCAGGTTTTTCATTCCCATGAGTCATGCACTGTTTATCAGATATTATTATTAGGCTTGCGTGGCTCCTATTGCCGCATTCGATCGTCTTTGGTGATGCGAGGGTGGTCATGAACGTACCACTGCGGATTTAAGGGATCGCGATGGCCTGAGTCATTGGTCCAATGGAACCCTACACCAGTGTATCCCACTCAAAGCCCTCATAACATCACATTGATTAGCCTTTGGGGAATTATCATTGGGGATTCAATTGGCACCCATAGACTGGAGGGTCTTCAGTAAAAGCAGGTCGAGCGGTGAGCAACATCCTAAGGAGACGGGGCCCGAAACCTTGTGTCGTAATCATTGCGAAAAGTATCAATGTAAGAGTTCATTGCCTTTGTCTAAATTTCATATTGATATAACTAAAGGGTATGTGGCGCGGTTCCCGCCATTCTACCTCAAGTCAAGGGGTAGTTGTCTGCCGGGAACTATATAGCTGGATAGACTATAGCTTATTGGCGGCGATCTCGAGAATATTGGATGCAAAACCCACGCCGTTTACGTGCGCTCTATGAAATAGGGCTTTTATTGTACATAATATATACCTACCTCTACCATTTCATCCATGTCTAAGATCCATAAAGCTCAAGGTGATAGATCACAAACGTTGGCATAATCTGAACATCAAGACAAAGACACTGTTATAGCGCACAAACTGGGTAGGGCACTATATATGATTGATACCTCTCGAAGTCATGAGAGAATCCTTTACCATAAACCTCTCAGCGTAGAGACATGAGCGATGCCAGAATTTTGGCGTTCCATACAGGCCCGGCTGAGCCTCACCGGGAAAAAATCACTATTTCGACGAACATATGTGCCCCTGCATACTCTAATAGACTCGGGAAGCCCAACAGACGTTTCGCAGGAGATTCTTACTAATTTCACATTCATTCTGCTAGCCCTTAATGCTTTCGTGGCTTTCGCACTCATTATATCTACAGTCGCCGTTTCGCAATATACCAATGCGATTAAAGCATGCAGCATCGCATACGTAGTAGTGTCATTAATCCTACTTGTCATTGGCACCTTTCTGTATGTGCGAATAGTATACTTCAGATACCACCCAGCTCGCTCGCCTCCGGCTAGTTACGTGATGCCGAAATTCGAAGAATTCGACGGGTACATGTCGCAAATCGAGTCGCAAATTATGCAAACCGCCGAGCTGGAAGAGCCAGTCGTTCCCGAAAGAACGTCTAGCCTAGATTTCCAATCGCGCGCACCTGTCGGTCAACACTATGGAAATGTGCCTCAGACACCACATCCCACCTATGATCCATACCGCCCGCCAAGCGCTGCTAGTTCCTCATACGCGGAGATAAATGCGGTGGCTATTATGGATTCAATCGGAGGGCACTCTGATATAGCTGGAGGAGATATATCTATAACCAGCCGCTACCGCGTGAGCAGCGAAAGCTTCCAGGGAAGTTCTATCAGCGAGCTTCAGAGAGAAGGGTCCCCGTATGCGCATTCAGGATGCAATTCAGGCGATCTAGGGGATGCTGTTAGTAGACAAAGCTCTGCGATGTCGTTACAACAACCTGTTCCGACGCAGATACGCCATACTCCCCAATTTATAGAGGCTAGTGTCAATCGTCAGCATAGTATGAGAGCTACAGTTGAGGATGAACACCAAGATCGCACGAGGTCGCCTTATAGCCCGAGCTTGTCGCAGATCACTGGTGGGGTGCTCGGAGAGGATACACCTTATACGTCGTGGGAGGAGGCCAGGGATTCGTTAAGGCGGGCTCGCGCAAAGCGGAAAGCTCGTTGTACCCACGGTTCGGGAAAATACCGATAATGTTTGTTTAGAACATGATTTAATGAGATATGAGACTATACTTGGAGTTGGTTTTTTTTTTTTTTTTTTTTTTTTTGTTTAGGGCTATGGCGGCTTTCTCTCATCGGCAATGCCACTGCTGGGCTAGACATAATAGAGGGTATGACGTAGCGTTGGTCGCAAGTGAAGAAAGTGAAGTCCTACCCAAGACAGGGGTTGAAGGGGCTCGAAGCGACAAGGGCTAAATCCGGACACAGACCTTGTATACCAAATCCATGTAGCATTTGGTTCAATGCTACGCTGCCTGAGCCAGGTGCTTAAAATCAAGTATTTTGCTTTTGCTGTCGTTAAAAGGATGAATATGCGTTTTTCATGGTGGGCGGTGTACTTTCTAAATGTTATGCAGAGTAAAAAATAATACATTAAATCTCATGTTAAGAAATTCTGTTTATAAGCGAGAAGGCTAAAAAAAAATCGACGGCGTCTTCTGAGATGAATGGTGGGGTCGGAGAGATCCGATCATAGTGGATGCTCTAGATGACTGTGGAGAAAAGGAGACAAATCAGACCGATCGACGCAGCGAAGTCAGATCTACAGGGGATTCTTCGTAGTGTCTCGAATAGATGCTAGCACATATAGTATATTCCTTCTAAGTCGAATCTCCGAACAGATCCTGGAGTTTTTGACGAGGGCAAATTTGAAGTCTGATATTTGAGTTCATGGGTATTTATTATTCTAGCGTATATTTGAATTATAGACCTTGATCGGCGTCGTCGTCACTAATGGTGCTAGTACCGCCGCCTTCTGCCTCCGCGATCACTTGTGTCTTGACCACTTGTCCTGCGGGTGTAACATATATGTTTGCCACGGCATCTAAGCCGGGGAAGGGCTTGTATTCGTAAGATAATTCGAATTCTGTCTTGCCATCGATAGTAATGGTTCGGTTGTGACCCGTGAAAGTCATATCTCGGCTGTAGAAGCCTACGACCCGACGACCATGCTCATTGCCGTCATTGTCAAGGAACGAGTCATATATGCTCCCGTTCTGTGCCAGAATACGATTAGTATGTGTCTGACCGGAATAGTCGTTGACAGAGTAGAGGATGTTGTGGACTAGATTGTAATCTAGTGAGTCGCGTTTGGTGTTGGTTGCGGAAGCCGTACTCGATGATGAAGTCGAGCTGTCTCCAAGCTCGTCTGTAACATTTCCCACGATGCTCCCGACATTCTTCCCTAGAGTCGCGACAATGGGATTTAGATCGATTGTGTTGAGTACATCTCCCACCATCTGCACGACATTTCCAAGTCGTGCCTCGAGCTCCACCTTGGCGCTCACGTTCTCGATCCTAAGGGAAACCCTGTCGATCGAAGCGTCGACGCCGGCGGTGAAATGCAGCAGATTCAAAACTTTAGCATCGAGATTAATTTTGGCAGTGATGTTGTCGACCTCGATATCTATCTCGCCGACTGATACGGAGGCATTGAGATACACATCTGGCTCCTCGGGAAGCACGACGCCAGGCGTATCTGCAGTTTCGTAGTTGACCGACTCGGGATCTCCCCGCTTATTCAGCTCGTAGCCGATATAGCCGTCGCCTTGCGCCAGAACAAGTGAGAAGAACGACAATAGCAGGTAGGCAATCGCCTTAGAAACGAATGGATTCATCTTGTAGAATGGATGAGATGACTCAATGCATAAGGACGAAAGGTAGCAAGCCTGTAATTTGGTGGAGGGGACGGTTATCTAAAGGCCTGGTCCGAAGCTGCATACACCTCCGAGAGGTTTAAGCTGGTGGCTATGATGTGGGAGGAGCATCATTTTGAAATGAAAAGGACTACCAGGAATGCAATCATGGCATAGCCTGGCTATGCATCATTGTCTGGGGTTACATTCTGACCTACGCCAACTTGATTGGTCCCAGTGATGGATCTAGGTATAATAGCACAAGTTAAGAGATGAGACAATAGCTTCGAGCTATAATGCTTGTCATAGAAACTGCTTTAGGATATTCTCCGTAAAATGACTAGGGGCCGCTTCGTTTTTTAGTGGCTAGAACGTGCGCCAACAAGCCTCGTCGGATTCGAGCTAGGGGTTTGAGGTGTCCTTGCATTGCTTGTAATTTCTTTAACTTGGAAATTCAAGTTTCCGGGACTTCTAGGCGCATCTTACCAATAGAATCGAGCATATTGGGGTGACAGAAGCAGGGGTGATATGCCACTAAGAACATACTGGCGATGTCACTAGACATTATGCGATATAAATGACGGAGCGGGACATCGTCGATGTCAAGGGGCATAGAAGTCCGTGGTCTTGACGCTTGCCGCACCAGGAATCGTGATCTGACCTTATATGAGATCTATGTGCCGGTAGACCTCAGCCCAGAGGACCAATAGTGTGTTATCACTCTACCATACACTCGTTTTATAGCAAAGATGCGTAGCCACATGGGACTGTCGCTATTATGTAGCTTCTTGCTACTGGCTTCTGGCATGGCGCAGACCGCTTCATCTACATCGGATGTAGGTCCGACAGGAACATCAACCGATGCAACTGCGTCGCAAACGCAAGCGACATCGACGGACACGATAACAGGCACAGGGAGCGACACCAGCACGGTCTCGTCTTCGTCAGGAACTTCGACGGGGGGAAGTAGCGGAAGTGGAACGACGACGGGTGCACCTTCATACGGTTCCAATCCTCCAGACGTGAACCTGAAGGTCCCGGAATTACACGTTGGCAGAATTGAACTCGACGTGGATAACCTGAACGCGGAAATCAACCTAGCTGCGCAAATAGCGAACCTCGTCGAAATTAACGCTGGTGTTCAGGTGGGCGTCACAAAAGTCAACATCACAATTGCTGATGTAGATGCCAATCTTGATCTTGTCATCCGACTCGGCAATTTAGTCGACATTGTGAACCGTACTCTCGAGTCGCTTAATCTCAACCCGCTGCTTATTAATGTTCTCAACGAAGTGACCGATCTCGTGGATGTCGTGGTTGGTGCGGTGGACGGGCTGCTCGGATCGATCGTTAACGGAGATTCTAAGATCAACTTCCTCATTGACAATCTCGGAAATATCGTGCAAGAAGTCGAGGGCGCAGCCGGCACTTTGTTGAGCTCAATCGTAGGCAACTACGAGCAAAACATGACGTATACGGGAGCGCAGGAAATATTGGATGGTGGGCTTATACAGAAAACGTTCAAGTACGACGCTCTTAACGCCCTTGTTAATATCATATTCAATTCGGTGGGACAAGTCGTTCAGGCCGTTGTGGTGAAGGGCGGTGGAGACGGAGGAAGTACTACATCGTCAACTGTTGCAGCAACATCAACCCCAGCAGCTAGGAGATAATGAAGAAATAATTAATTTAGCATAACAATGAAACAATTTATTCTAGGCTTGCGGTCGGGAAAAATGGGCGTGAATTGATTGCTTGTCTTGATAGTAGGCTTGCAATAGTAGAAATATTGCGAAACACAAAATCTGAGCGATTTCCATTGAATTTAGCTGACATAACTGACGGATTACATAATGAAGCCATTATACAATACATGACTCAGCAAGCAATGGATTATATAAGGCAGAGCTACCCTCGCTATGTCGCAGTAGGGTACAAGGGTAAATGACCTGCCACTTATAAACAAACATCCGGATACTCATTCTGCTTTCCGTAAGTGTAAGGAACAGACGTCTACTAAATGGAAGCCGCAGGTAAGAGAAGCATAATATGTCTCATTCATTTCCCGTCTAGGAATTGAACAATTTCTACTTCCGTCACCTAATACTTTCACAATCTACAATGCCAAAGAACTACGCGCTACACCTGGGTAGACAACATAATTGCACCCGTTTCTGAACCAGAAAAATCACCATCGACCCCTCGGTGTATCCATTCGCCTAACACAATTATCGCTTCACCATGGGTCCACCGCAGCCGTCATCTATTCCCAATGTCCCGCGACAATGGAGGACTCCTATCGTTCCCGAAAACGTAATACGACGCCTCATTGATTGTTTAGGCTTACCAGAACCAAAATCGATTTTCGTACCACCTGGATCTTTGGCGTCAACTCCCCAATACCATACGACCTACAAGATCAACTTGCCTCGAGGATCCATGAAGTCATTTAGCTCGTCGAAACCACCCAACTCCGACGGGAGCCACACTCTAACACTCAAAGTATATAATAAGACCATTCCCGGAACCAAAACAATGAATGAAGTATCTATAATGGCTTGGCTAGTTAAATGCACTTTGATCCCAGTCCCTTCCGTCGTGTCGTTCGGTGATGACAATACCAATCCTCTTGGTTGTGAATACATCCTGATGGATACGGGACCTGGTGTCCCTGCCGAGTACCTTTATAATTCGTTGGATGAATCGAAAAAGGCGCATATAGTTAGCCAGATTACGGATTATCTGCTCGAACTCCATCGACATGATTAGAGCCATTGTGGTGGGTTGAGCATGAACGCATCCGGCAGATTTGTCCCCGGTCCCCTCGTGGAAGAAGGCTTCTGGTATGAGCCAGAGATTATTCATTATTGGAGGGGATCCAAGTCTGTGGCTTCTGCGAACTCATCTGGTCCATTCAAAACGTACACCGACTTCTTGAAAGACTATATACTAAAGTGCGTTGAAAATATCCGCGGACACGAATCTCTTAAGTGGATGGAAGACTTGACACCCCGCCTGGAAGCTTTCGCCACTCGCCTAGAAGCAAACCCCGAAGTTTTGAACAATACGAGATACGTTTTGACGCATAGGAACCTGAGCCTCGGAAATGTCATCTGCAATTCTGAAACAGGTAAAATCAACGCGATTACAGGATGGGACTTTTCGGCCGTCCTTCCACTACCGATGTGGTCAACCGGGAGTAATTTCCTTTGGAACGGCCAAGATACACCCGAATCTAGAGCCGAACAGGAACGCCTCATCGATATGTTCGAACAATTATGCGCCGATCGCGACCCTTCCAAATGTTTACTCAACAACTCCAGTGATGAACATCCACATTGTCTCTTCAAGTTCATTTTAAGCCACCTACATGGGATCATCGAAGTTTGCCCTAAAAACCAGATGATGGCCGATGCCAAGATTTGGCGACAAGCTCTTGAATACGCGGATTGGTAAATTAACTACACGGGCGTTCAACAATACCTCGCTTATGTCTTTTAAGTCATGCAATGGATAGACGTTTATTTCAGGGATGTAGCTAGCAGCAAATTCTCAAAGGATATCGCTATTCTTAGGAATTTGACAATATTACCATGCACTAACTAGAACGGCTAGAATTGGCATCACTTACGTCTCTCCCATTCATACGATGCTAACATGAAAGACCCCGCTCCTCTATGATCATTCTCAGTTAAGGGTACCGATGTATAGTACTTGATGAAATCAGAAGTTAGTAAACGTCCATCGCACGAAATTTAACAAGCTTACCTGATAGGTCGCATTGCTACTCAGAGAACCGACCTGCACTGTTCCCTCCCAATTCAGGGTGTCGTCGTCGTTAATTTTCATGAATTGCTCCACCAGCCCATTATATGCCTTCTGCGCAGGCTCGGCATATTCATCTACAGAGAGTAAACCTAACCTAATACCCTTCAACCAGCCGAATGCGAACATAGCCGAAGCGCTGCTCTCGATATAGTTTCCTTGCGCGCCAGGATAGGGCTCACTCATGATGAGCCACCACCCGCCGGACTTCTCATCCTGTGCTCGCTTCAACCCCTCCGCCAATGTTGTGAAGTATCCGATGAGACGCTCACGGCCACGGTGGGACTCAGGAAATAAGGGGATGACCTCTAGCAGACTCATGAAATACCAACCGACAGCACGACTCCATACTAGCGGCGCAGCGCCCGTGACGGGGTCAGCCCACACGGCCTTTTTACTTTCATCATAGCCATGCACAAGCAAGTTCGAGGTGTGATTTCGCGTGTGCGCATCGATGTTATCATACTGGCGCGCGATATCATCCCAAGCCGTCTTGTTCTTTGCGTCAAATAGACTCGTCCACTTCGCATAGAAGCTATCCGCCATGAAGATCCCATCAAGCCACATCTGATTTGGATAGTTCGGCTGACGATGCCAAAACCCGCCCGTCGGCGTACGTGGATGTCGGTCGAGTTGTGCCCGGATGACGTCCGCGGCTTTGCGGTACTTAGCTTGTCTCGTGCGCTCGTACCACCAGAGAATGTTGTTGCCGATTCGGTAGTTATCCAACGAGTAGAAGTCGTATCTCCAGTCACGGATTGACCCATTATTGAGGACGACTACGTCGTCGATTTGGCCTCGATACCATGCAACGTACATCTCGTTGGATGTCAGCGCGTACGCTGCTTCGTACCCATCGTACAATGTGGCTTCGCCGTAGCCGGAGGTCGCTTTTACTCCGTGCCAGATGAAGGAGTCTGCCATCCATGTTAGGTATGATGTTGAGGCAGCGGCCCCGGAGGCAAAGGCTAGGATGGCGACTCGCATCTTGGTGAGTGCAGATGTGGTCAAGTTGTGGGGGCTAACTAAAATCCTACACTTTTCGAGTATTCACCCGGATAGCCAAAGATATTATATCACCTCCAAATAAATGAAGCAGGCCCATATTTCGGGTATAGATGAGCGCATCACCGAACTTCATAGTGAATATATATCCAGCCCACCGGGGCAGGTAGCATTTGCCAAGAAACTTAGCCGACTACCCCGGCGAAGTAGTATTATTCTACAGGCGGAAAAATACAACCAATTGCAGCTACCCCGGATTTTCAGGTCCCCCGCAGTTTAGTCTCAGTGGGGATTGCTTCATTCTCTAGTGGACTTCCTATTACAATCCACGAGCTCACATTCTTAAAAAGTTTAGAGGCGAATCCTATCGCATAATTGTTAGTTGCTCGATTTAATGTAGCATACCCCCAAAAGCAACATAATACAACGCAACATATTGACAGTGTACCAGGAACCTGGTAGCTGAGATCACTTAGGCATCCCAGCTGGTTTTGAGGGGTCTACAAAACAGCGACCGGTTTTCAGCAGCCTTACCTATATTTACTATTCTACTATAACCTGACCCCGATCACTACCACTAAATACCAACACATTTTTCAGCTGAGCTTCGTTCCTACTCTATCCCCTGACTTCACACCCCGGTTTTGCTGATTAAAGCAGAAAAGGGGCTAGTCCGATCCGATTCTTCAGTGATCTCCAGCTCAATGCTAAATAGTCCCTGATGGGTTGGATGGGTGCTCGCATTCATCGTATTTATCTTGAATCCGCGAAGTTAGTAAAGGGCCGTCTTCACTTTCATGAAGTACTTGGTATGCTTGCACCTGTGGTTGTATCCAAAGCCTCCCACTCCGATGTACAAAGCCACTCTCGAGTCGACTCCTAGAAGCTCACTAGACACCGCGATGCAAACCTACTATCTTAGCTACCTAGGTAGGTATCCAATCATTATGTCCAAAAGAGTTCGATTAGTTTGTTGACTCATCTCTAGATGAAGTTTCGTAGTCCCCTTAACCTTAGCGCTCGGGTATCTACGTACCAAAGCAGTACAAATAGTGCAGAAACTCACCTATATGAAGCTACGCTGGTCTCCTTTTCGTTAAATTAGATAATTACTCGAGTTTTATTGGCTAAGGGAAAGAAACGAGGTGTGTTAGCATACATCAACTGTCTTATGTAAACCTTGATCAGTTGATATATGACAAATTGTGCCCTCATATATAGGTACTTGAAGTAGCATGATCTGATACGAAGCTGAGTGTATACCAAATATTCATTTATTTTCCGCCTCAAATTGACTAAGCTGGGTAGGGGTGGTATACCAATTCATTTAAGAGTGGTAGTATTGAACGCCACATTCGCGGACACTTGCCCAACTTACAAACTCCTGATAGATTTTCATCACCACCAGGTAGCCTCGTCCAATATGGGAACTACCTAGGTAGGTAGCCACCTGAGGATACGAGCTGTGGTTGCATCTATTTACATGAGAGATAGTTGAGATCTGTTTTCTTAAGGACAGGGTTCAAACTGGAACCGCCTAACTAATGTGCCTTTTACAGAAATTTTTACCGGTCGCGGCCGAGCTGAAATTTTGCACTTTGCTGTTGGTTTCTTTCCCCATTTCCCCCTTTCCCTTTTTGTGTGCTCACAGAGGGAGTATCAGAGCTGCCTTTTGGCATTGCGTATAAGAGTACCTAGTTAGCCATGCCCAGGTGGTTATCCTTAGCTCAAGGAAATATTCGCATTTCTACTCTATACTTCACCCCCCTACCTCCTCTATCCCGTTGAATATATAGGTGACCATATCTGGATAGCCAAAGGCATGGGGACGAAATTAACACCGACCACCCACGACTCAATCCCAAGCGGTGAGAGATCGACCAACCCCCCAGCCAACCGCTGGAAAGTAATTAAGAAACTTTCTATCAAATTTCTCCAGCGATGGGCCATCACAGCAATCGTTTGCGTTGCTTTTGTTGTGGTCCTAAAGGTATATTACAACAAGGACTATCTACAACCTGCCTCCACGCGCAATTATAACGCTATTACATCGACTTTAACCATCTGTCTGTCCCTGAATCTCGATTCCAGCCTGGATGAATTTGCAAGCGTGTTAAAATGGGCTATACTAACTCGAAGGCCATTTCCATATCATATCATCGAGCTTATCCTCTCCTTTGGCGGCTCGAATTTTAGTTCGTTAAAAATATTATTCCATCGTGAAGGAGTCGACTGGCGGTTGCGTCGCGATTGTATCAGCTGGATTATTGTCATGCTCGCAGCCCAAGCAGCCATAGCTCTCGTGGGCATTACCTTCTGGACACATCCCTTAATACCAGGCGATCCCAACTCTCCGAAGCAGTACGGGAACGTGACAACAGCAATATACACACAAATTGGCCCAATATATTCAGAGACTGGCTCGCTTCTCACGGGCACTGAAATCGGTCTATCCAACTTGGCCGTACAGCGTTCTAACGCGTTCGACTACGGCGTCAGTGCGATTGGTTCTCTTGTTGTTGATGCGGGCAACCTTAATTCTTATAACCCCCGTTTGTCGAAATTCAATGAGACCTCGGGAGCATATGTATCCCCTATCGCGAATTTCCCAGATGATTACCCGATAGATTGGACTGTTGGACGGACTGTTGATACCCGCGCTGATTGTGTGGACTTGTCCAGTAATTTGGATACTTCCTCGAACACAACTACAGTCACCTTCGAGGGACAAGATGGCAGACACGCTTTCTTTATACCCCAAAGTCCTCTTGACTATATAACTTATATCTCGGACACCTCCCTATCATGTGGCGCACGATGCACACAAGTGTACGTCATAATGTATGAGGGCGGGGGTGGGACGACGGACATGTTCTTATGCAATAACACTGTCAGTCAAATGTATAACTGGCCAGATAGGGACCTGACCACAAACCCAGAACGCAAAATGCCTGACACTCAAGCCGGGATCCTAGCTGGTGCTATTGGCTGGGGAGATATCGAGGTTAATAGCACCCTTGATACTCAACCTAATAGGTTCCAAGCTTCGAGTTTCGTTAACGGATCCTACTGGGCCCTGCACTCAAATTTTGATAACTCTACAGTGGCTAGATATCTTGTCGCGCACTTCACTGCCGCAGCGATTGGGGCCATCAGTGAATATGGCATCTTCCAGGATTTTGACGATATGGAAATTCCTAGTTTGGCGTCAAAACTAGATGTAGAATGGGAAAGCACAATCATAATCCTCGCGCTTATACCTTCTTTCCAAGGCTTCCTTGCTCTGGTATGTATCTATATTGCGTATCGGCATAAAATTCCCGCCCACGACGATACCTCTCTTGCTTCAGCGCTGCGTCTTCACAAGGTTGTGGAGAACAAGACAGGGCTCAAAGACAAGATCGACAAGAAAACAGTGCTGAAATTTATATACGATACAACACTTGATCAATTGACCAACCCCCTAAATTGAACGACACAAACATCGGCGATTGGAAGCGGTCATGGAATTCATGTCTACGACCCTGTAGAAAATTGAGACTTCAGGGCGAAGCTGGGTACAGGGACAGTGCTATCTGGATTCGACTAAAAGTAATTACGGTAAACGATTTTAATATCTAGGTACGGTTGGTTCTTTGGATATATCAAGGGTTTCTCTAAAAAAGTTCCTATTTCCCTTTCCTGCTGCCATTCCTTGAATTTGGGATTGATGGGTACGTCATAAATCACGGGATGAAAATAAAGCCTGTCGCTTAATTGATATCAAGTCAACAAGATTTAGCTTCATGAGCCACGGGTAGCTACTGCGGACCAGGGGTGAAAATAATGATGAACGTGTACTGTCTGTGTAATGACTTTCCTCGTAACATTTCCTTCCTATTAGAGGTACGGCGTACCTTACCCGTTGAACGGTATTTGATGCGTCATTCCAGACAGATAAGCAATGCTATTAAGGGCATCCTTGACAAGAAGTGCGGGCGCGGTGAATTCGGACGAGGAGCCTTGCATATTCTACGGGTTTTATAAAGTGCCATCTCAATCTCGAATGTACCTAATCAAGGGGGGATTCGGCGAGACAGCGCAGTGGAAAATCTTAAATAGTCTATTGGGTATATCAAGCGTAAATCATTATCCTGACCGAAGTCCATGCAACCCACGTCCATGCTCAAACGCCATGCCCCCGATAATAACCCTTTGTGGCGTCTATATCTGGCAATCACCAGGCCAGAAATCGTATGCACCTTCCAATAGAGCCCCGAACCCCCTATTCCATGTATAAACCTCATGGTATCTTCAAATAGAAAGACGAAGACCTGCTCCCCTGTATGCACAACTTATTAGCCAGTCTTTGATTTCAATCTCAGGATCCTACGTCGCATCGTGGTCGTAACATCTCAAGTAAACCTGCCGAGGTTCCACGACATTCGGAAGTAATAGCGTGGTTTGGTTTAGCGTAGCACAGGATGTGTGTTGTACCGAGGAGCCTCTCCAATGACCCATAATTCCTGAGCAACTCCCCCTCGTTGGTGGTAATGAATGGTGATTGAACCCACAAGCTCGCCGGCTGTGGACTCTCGAAGATGGTTTTAGTGAATCCAAGATTGTGCTCCGTCCCTTGTCGCGATGTGTAGCTAATGAGGCCCGTACGCAGTTAGAACTAGTACCTGGCCGATCCCCCACTCGTCGGACAATTAAATTCGTGCCGCTTCCGAAGTAATCTCGGATAAAGAGATCGGCTCCCTTCGACATTGGCAGCAAATTCAGCAAATCGTACACGAAAGACGCCCTGCATCGGACTTCATCTCGGTTGTCGGTTTAGACCCTTATATCCGCCGACGTGATCTTCGCAAAGTGCCGACGCTACTCCCCCAAGGCGTATCCTCGTTATCAACTCTTGGCCGCCGCCCACTCTTCTGTGCGACGCAAACATCCATAAGGCGATTTCTAAACAGTGCTAACCCTGCTCCTGTTTTCACTCCGTTCTTTCATCATCATGAACAACCCAGCGGAGAAGAAGAGCAATGCGACAATCAAAACCGCTGGGATTAGAGCAGCAGTATAGGTTGCCTGAACTTCAGGCGTAACACCGTCCAAAGCTTTCGCCCACTGGGGAAGTTTGATTGAACCAGCTTGTACCAACCACGCGATGACGAAGATGGCGAATAGGACGAGCGCAAATATTGTCTGTAGGATACCGGTGAAAGAGCGTCGAAAATACGAGCGCCGCGATTCTGAACGAGCCATTTTTTGTCTTTGTTTCACAGTGGGAAATCTCTCATCAGGTGTCTCGATTTGATGAGAAGAAGTTGAAGATTCTTAGTAAAGAAAAGAAGAAAAGCGGAAAGGTGTGAGACGAGACATAGCAGGGCTGCGGGGCCGGGGCCTATGAGAAAAAGGCCATGTATGTTAGGTAGGTGAGCGTGACCTTCGTACCACGTCGATCTATAGCGGCTCGGGAAGGTACTTCAGCCCGAAGGCTGGCGGAGATGGCGGACAGTGTGTGGGTGGAAGCGTTCGGAATGTTCGGCATTGCTGGTTTGTGCTGTGTAAGACAATATACCGCTGCAACCCTGATTGGTTGATTCGCCCTTCCGAATTCCCACACTAACCTGAATCGTTACAGTTTTAGTTCCATATATAGCACAAAAGAGTGTCGTAGGATCTTAACGGATCCGGGCTTAGACCTACGTTGCCTACCAACGCGAGTGAAAAAAAAAAAATCTCTTACCAAACAATCCTCCAACATCGAATTTTATTCATTTATTTCCTATTTTCATATGTATACCTGGATAAACTAGTAGAAAATTTACAGCCTCCTGTGGGGCCAGTCCGAGCTGAGAGCCCTTGCAGCGCTACCTAATAGGTTGAGCGATTTTGTGTATCCATGCGTTTGTTTCTCTTTTTCTTTTTTCTTCCCTACGTCATACCCCGGAATTTTAGGCAACCGAGGTTGAAACTATTCAAATACCAACACCCTAGGTTGCGTAAATATTTGGCATCTCTTGTGAGAAGATAGATTGTGAATATAATTCCAAACAAATAGCCAAGTTGACCAAGACAACCAAAGCAAAGCCGGTACTTACTAAGGTAGGATTGCGATTTGTTTCAACAAAGGGAATTGGCTTGCTTATCTAAGGTAGGTAGGGTTTGTTGATTCCCCAGTTGTATGCTAAGTCAAACTGGGCAACTACTTGGTTTACCAACGAGATAATTGATTGATTAGTCGAAGCTACGTTGATTTTAAATAGGTCTATATGATATATGAAGGCCTTCAGTCTATATTAATCCATTAACTCTGCTGAGGCATACGGGGTGCCAATACCGTATCAGATCTACCTCAGCAGAGTTACACAGAAACCTCGGCTCTCATACATCACTTTTAAAATGCAGGTCGTCCTAGTTCAATTCATCCATGAGAATTGTTTCACTGTTGGCTGCCGCGGAAAATTTCAGGCAGAGCAAGTCGAATTCCATTCGCGTCAGGGCTTCCTTGCATCGATACAAAGAGCAGCGGTTCAGCGCGCCGCCATTTATCATGAAGTAAATCTCAATAAGTCGCGTTTTGAAGCCAGTTTTAAAGTTAAGTTGCGATGGAGGGATATCGACTTAACTCCACGAGATCCACTCGCTGAGGTCGACCTTCTGATGGGCGACGACTCCTTTTTGGCCCTACAAGGCATTCTGCTCAATAACCGGGGTTGTAAGGACTACATCACAGTTACTTTCAATTTCATCGACAGAAGTCAAACATGATTTCAACCCCGGCTCCTGAACCAGGTAGCTACAGATGGAAAGGCCAATAGCTTCTCATAAAGCGGGCAATTAGCAGCTCATAAAAACTATTTCGTCAACACAAATTACCTAAGTACACATCCTTAAGCTATCACGACTACATACTACGCTGTCGCGAAGCAACAACGGGGAATTTATCGACGAGCCGTCGCCCGAGTCCAGAATGCACGCATTCAAGTCTACCAGGAGGTGTTAGGTTGCAGTTGGATAGGTAATTAGGGAATGGGAACATGGTGGTTAGATTTTCAAGTAAATCCAATGTTGTATTTCGCAGCTCTTAAATAGTCCGCTGTGCCTATGGGTGAGATCAGGCTCTACAGGTGGAGGCCCGCTAGCACTACCCCACCTAGGCACCCTATCAGTGAATTATGCCATATCATGCACGCTTTTCAGCAGCTCCCCCCCTTAACCCGCTACACTATCGTAGCTCTCTTGTAACACAACATTCATTTGTTCGGCATATCGCCCTAAGAGCGCAAGTGAAAAGGCCAACAGCGTAAAGAAAATAGACTTGTATAAAGCCTTCCAGAAGATCTCGAAGAATTTAGTGTACTAAAAAATTTTTAGTTAGTGATTTCCTTGCCCCAATGGTTGCCAAACTTTGGGAAAGGGGGTAGAAAAGATAAATTGTGGCACTACTCACCAGATTAATCCCCAAGTACGCAAGCCCGAAGCCTCTAGTTGTCGAGTCATGGTACTTCAGGCCATGCCAGACGCTAAATGCAGCCGCAAAGGCAAAAACAAGAGACCAAACCAATTGCCTGTACAAACTACATTTCTTGTACGCGTTTCCAAATAATGAATCCATACCGAATAGTGAGAGGATCCAAAGTGCGTCGAAGAGATAAATCATACCCCAAATACGGGTTGTCGACCATAGTTCTACGGTGTACTGTGAGCGGCGCATGAGATAGGCACTGCCGATCAAGCCTATGCCGAGTAGGACGAAGCGCAACGGATAGGTGTATCCAAGGTAGTACATTCCTGCCATATATCCAGCGATAGCACCGAGCCAAATACCGAACATAATCATTCCACAGGACCAAATGAAATTGGATTTTACCAATATCGCTACGATCCCGTAGATAGTTGCGAGTGATAGGAATAGATGGCTCAGTTTGTTTCTGTTCTTCTTTTTGTTGCACTTGAGATGATAACCTATCTGCAAGGCAGCGAGGGCGAAGATGAGAGCCCCGAGGCCGTGGATTGCCTCATTGAGATATCGTTCTTTGGGTGCGACTAAAGAGCGTTGGTATGCCAATATGTGCGTAGCAATACCCATGCAGCTAACCGCAACAGTTCGCAAAGCAATAGGTAAAGCTAAGATTTTCTTTATGATCTTGGGGAAGACATTGCCAAGTATTAAGGTAAGAATTCCAATGGAAAAACAGAGGACGGCCAGCCTGAATGTGTATTTTGAGAAGTTCTGCCAGTCGAAGCTATTGTCTTCTTCGACTACTTACAGGGTGTTCAGGAGGGTTGTAAGGAGGTCGGGGCTAATGAGATTAGCGCCCGACCACTGTTGGAGGGCCGCCTGGACAGCCTGGGCTTGAGAAGCTTTAAGCTTAACGAATTGTTGGCTGGTATCTGTAGCCATGTTCGGGTGAGAAGGGACTGTTTAATGAGTACCTAATCATCTGCTAACAGCACAAGAACCTACCCAGTGGAAGTTCTGGTTCATATACCATCTGGCATCTATAAACAATTACTTCACTTAACGCCTTGTTTAACTATAGCCTAAGTGGGATGCTCAAATTTACATCATCGCGCAAGGCAGCTAGAATACCTAGGGGTTTATGGCGTATTTTACCCCAGTTAGATGTGTAGAAACTCGGCTCTGTCTGCTAAGATCTGCCTTACAATAGGGCTTAGTAGGTGACCCCACAGCCGAAATGATGGCGATTGCCGCCCTATTGGTGCTAGAATACGCTATGTATGGTCGATCTCTTCTAGCGGTAAGGAGATATAGAAGAGCGAAGCCGATGATATTATTTGTGTAGTTACAACCGAAAGTCATCGAATAGGCATCGAATATGTAGGAACAAGACGGATTTATTTTAAGAATGAATCATATTACTTTTGCCTTGGGATAGTGAGAAAAGGGAAAGAGAGAAGAGCGGGATTGTTGTGGATCGCACCTTTCATAATTAATCCCGGTCCGGATCATAGTTAACTTTAGGTAATCCGATCCGCTGTTTCATTGCCGTAGGTAGTACCTGCCCACTAAAAGGACCCTAGTCTTAGTGAGGTTGAGTGTTAAAACTTCAAAACTTGCAGAGTCACCAGAGTACAAGTCTCAAAAATCTTTGAAGGCATTCTTCTAATTCCTCCCTCTTGGCGTAGTAAGAGGAGGCACTCACAATGGACAGTCCGTATTCTAAAGAGTTGCAAGTTGCAATTGGCGCCATTCAATCGGCGGCAAAGCTCAGCCAGGCTGTCATCTCGATTGAAGATAAAGGGGTCATCGAGAAAGATGACCTCAGTCCTGTTACGGTAGCTGATTTTGCTATTCAAGCACTCCTTACTGCCACTGTCCACCACGCTTTTCCTAACGACAAGTTCGTCGGAGAGGAGTCGGCCGCGGATTTGAGGGATAATCCGGTTCTTCTGGATCGCGTATGGAAATTACTCCTGACTCTTAAGAATGACGAAGCCGAGTCGCTCTGCAAACTGCCAGAGTCATCAGAGCAGATGTGCGAAATGATCGACTGGTGTGGCTTTGGAGAACCTGGAGGGTCACAAGCTGGAAGAGTGTGGGTTTTCGACCCAATTGATGGCACGAAGACTTTTGTCCGCCGTGAAGCATATGCAATTAATGTTGCTCTCCTAGAAGAGAGCAAGCAAGTCCTGAGCATCGTGGGCTGCCCAACGTTTTCTATTGACGCTACAGCTCCCGTCACGAACACTTCGCTCGACCCAACAGGGCGGGGTTCCATCGTCTTTGCCGCAAAAGGTCATGGCACATATGTGCGCCCGTTGGCTGCATCACCATCAAACAATATTAACATTCGCAAAATCGAGCCACTTGCCGAGAATGAACCATCCCAGACTCTGCGACCTGTATCCTGCTATAACATGCTGGATTCCGGAGTGGATGATGTTCATAAACTAGTCATGGAAAGACTTGGCATTCAAACACCGGGATGCGATCTCCTAGCTTGGGTCCTCCGATGGGTCACTCTCGGACTAGGACTTGCGAACATGACTGTCTGGGTTTATAAACAACGAAGTCGCACGGGGAAGATTTGGGATCATGCTGGCGCTATGTTATTATTCGAAGAAATCGGTGGTCAAATCACAGATATTGACGGGAAACCGATTGATTTGAGTGTCGGGAGGAAGATGACTGCTAACCACGGCTTTGTAGCTGCGCCGAAGGCGATGCACGCTACGGTATTAGGAACCGTACAACAGGTTCTACGAGAACAAGGAAAGGGACACCTCTTGGGTTAAATTGATTGTTTTGCAAGGCTTCCTGAAGCCGCTCGATCTTGATTCGAAACTTCACATAACGACAGACTACTTACCTACCTAGGTATTTCTGTCTGGAGGGATCCGTGCGAAGCTCGAAACTACCCCAATCTACACGTGCGATCGCTTGTATCTAACAGTCCCCCAAATACACATGTATATACCTTCCCAAAAGGGCCGGCTCCGTGATAATCGTGTCGTGTTTGTAGAAATGAAAGACGCGCATCATGCCAATCAGGGCCGTACCGCAAACCTCCTCTAGAATTGGTTCCAGTTTCTCCTTCTCATCGCCTGTGAGGTCCTGATTTCTACTAAAAACTTTCACGATCAATTCACAAATATCCATAGGTTGAGAGTGCATGCAATCGCACCCCCATATGCCGTTGATCTGGAACCTATCTTGAAAGAAAGGAGACTTTCCTAAGGCTATCCCCAGCCTCGTATGTGTCACTAGGTATTGAGATAACTTGGTACGGAATTGCTCGGCCATTTTTAGCGCATCTTCTAGATGTCTGTTGTTCTGGAACACCGAGTTCAGATAATCGAGGGTGTGAACGACGCGCCGGAGCGCATCATCCACATGTTGGGGGAGCATAATATATTGGCCATCTTTCTCACAGCGGAAAGAACTTTCAATCAAATCGTTTTGTAGAAGGGGTGTTAGAAGAGGCGACTTGCGAGCCGCATCCATAGAAGACATGCCAACGGCAACAATCCACCCACCCCGGCGCCAGCTGTCTCCACTATCAATTGGATACTTAATCATCCTGGGTGCACCCTCTCGGAGGGCTAGGAATTCCGGGAAGACTTCGTGCTTCTCAAATAGGGTAAATTCCATCAAGGTTTTGGTACTGGAACGTAGTCTTTCACACGCCTCTGTGCAAGAATAATGCTGAAGATATCTTTCGTTGGTGGAGCGCATTTGAGCCACAAGCACTCCATTTTTCTCCGTAAGCCGTACGAAATGATCAAATTTGGATTCAGATCCGCGTATGCGTCGATGACACAAGGCAGCGAAGTAAACATAAAATAGAAGCACGCCTGGCTCAGTCCTAATATATTGCGTCGTAACGGAAAGCTGATGTGGCTTCGAAACCTTGTCCTGAGTAACTGCTTTTCGCCAGGGCTCCGGGAAGAGAAGACTCAATGCCGGCTCCCAGGAGCCAGTGAATAAGAGTTGGGAAAGATTAGATGAATCGTGACTGTTCAGTTCACAGCATTGTTCTGGTGGAGGTCTCGTTCCGTGCCATGGTCCGTTCGAGAAATGTGTCCGTTCTAAAGCGATGCATTGTCCAGCGGTTGGCCATATCTGGCGGTATAACCATCCACCAGCCCGACCGAAGAATTGTATGAAGGGGAATTGCCAAGACCTGGAAGGGGTATGCCAAAACGGCGATAATAACAGCAACAAGCCCCCAATCAACCATTTTTGGTCATATAGGCCAAAAGTATTAACGCTAAAGGACTATTTATGATAAATTCAAAAAGGGGCCAATGGTTAGATTTTTGTAAATTCGGTTTTCGAGCGCCCTGCATAGGTACCTAGGTAGTATATAAACTGGAGGCTTTAGGCAGCAAAGGCACTGGCAAACGAAAGAGCGTTAAATGAATATAATGCGCTGTATGTATGATATACACTATATGCGCCATATGCGCCAGCGGTGTGATAGGGGCTGTGTGGGCTGGGCGGATTCAGCTGGGGGTACGGATTATGCCTTAAGTACACTGTACCCCGGACCCCCTAAAGCCCATTTTCATCACAATACCGAAGTTCTGCAAGAAACATCAAACAAAATGTCAATAAATGAATAAGGCTTTGCTACCAAGTAATCACTTGTTATTATTTTGTTCTTCTTCCATTCTCCTTATATCTTTTAAAAACCTCTCCCTCACAGTAGGCGCTCCTGTCGCCTGATAGTATTCTTGTTGTAGCCGAGTCTCGTGCTCATCTCTAGCTCTTCCCTTGCCCTTGCCCTCATAATCTATATCCATCTCATCACCAGGCCCTGGTTGCGTTTGCGCATCATATATTACATGTTGTAGCCACATTTTGATGGCTTGGTCTGTTTCGTTAACTCTCTGACCGAACGGGAAGGCTTCGGAAGTTTTGGTTTGAACCGCGCGCTGTGCGACGTAGAGCAGCTCTCTCAGGGACGGTCGGTAATTCTGTTGGCCGGCCATACATTGGCATATAATATCCCTTAGTTCCGGGTCTAGCCATTGGTAATTCTCACCGTTACCCCCTAATGCGATCTCGATCGCCATAGTATGGAAGCTCTTGTGTTCCGCATATTGCTCTAAGGGACCTGCGTCTTCATTTGCGATTATCATGCAATACATCAACTAGATGCTCGTTAGACCGTACTCCCAAGTTAAAGGTAGGGTATTCCTTACCACAGATATGTCAAATAGATTATAATCTACGCCGGTCCCGCCGTATAGTTCGTTCGCCGTCTGCATGTCAATGAATTTTAATGCAGGCACTATGTTATCTGTATAGTAGAGGGTTAGAAAGTAGCCGCTTCAATAACGGGCATAGAGATTTCAAGAAAATGTTTTAGAGCAAATGATTCCATCGGGGGGCCTCGACGTTAGAAATTCAGATAGGGAAGGGGTAACTAGACGTACGTTCTGATTGTTCCTGGTCCGGGCTCCCAAACATGACTTTCCCGGGATTCAGATCTTGATGGGCTAAACCACCCGGTGGTCCGGTGTAGTTGGTCGGTATCTCCTCCAGTCTAGGCTTTTCTCCTGCTTTCGCTCGCAGAACATGACCTGGATAAGCCATCGCGACACATGCTCTTATCACTGGTAAAGTTAGCATATGTCTAGGGGCCTCAATGGCCACTTCTCGTGTTCGTGATTGACTTACAGCAAAGGAAGATGGCCCACAGAACACGATTTGGCGCATTTACTTGATAATGAATACATCTTCTTATCAATCTCGTGAGAGTCCCGTTCTCTAAATACTCTAGCACCAAGAATGGTTCCCCAAATACGTGAGGTTTGAATTTCAACTTTGATCTTATCCTCCTCGGGTCGCGGCGCTTTCTGATAAAATTTGAAGACTTGAGATTGTCGAAAAACTGTCCTACAGGGCCTTTCTTTTCAGAAGTGGTAGGTTGTTCGGCGTGCGCAACCATGGTAACAATGTGCTCCAAACCCCCAAAAGTCTGTCTTCTCTGTTAGAATCTATACAAAACATCTCCAGTACTAAAGTACGGAAAGGGGGGAGGTTACGGACAGTGAAATGTTGGATTTCCCTTGTAATCTGCTCTTCGCCTAGCGTGTTGAATGCTCTCTTGACAAGGAGTCTGCGCTTATTTTTGCTCTTGCGATCTCTCACAAGGGCTCCCAGGCTGTTTCGCCCAACCCCTATAATTTCCTCGTAAGCATAATTCGGGTTCTCTTCGAAATGTTCTTTTAAATGTTTCGCAATTCTCAATTGTTCTTGATACTGTTCCTCAAAGTCGTATGGACCAGGTTTCAAGAATAAGGGCTCCATGATTATGACAACAAGGCAATATAGTGTGCTTAAGATCGGGTTTCATAAGTTCAAATCGCCATTTTACACAACTTCGCGGATGCAAGACTAGTGAATTTAATAAGGTATGGGCCAGGGTGTTACCGCGTCGGCGATCGAGAACAAATTGTTGTCTGGGCTGACAAAGCAGGATATTTTCACGAATACACGACAAAGACATGCTCCTTCGTCTCTGGGACTCTGTGTATACCCTCATCGCGACAATAATGGAAATGTTATCGGAACCTATTTTCGCCTATAAAGTAATTACTCGCTCCTTGTAACGTAATTGTTATACCTTGTACAATGTATTGCTAATTTGGAACAATTGACTGTGTTGTTCTCTTGGAGGATACAAGCCTGACTCAATTCAACAAGAGTTGAGGATCGAGGAACCAAGTAAGCTTAGACTAAGCTGTATGAGATCGAAGGGTCAATACATAGGTCTTACACCGTATATCCCGTTGTCTCGCAGTATTCACGTTTATAATTATCAACAACTGATATACATGGGGAGTTATGAACCTACCTAGGTAATGTTAAATGGGAAAAGAAGAGGGTACAAAAAAGCAAAACCTCCAATAATTGCTTATTCCTTGGCGTGGATGTTTTATGAGACAATTGAAATTCGTGATTATGTAATTAGTATCCACAGCGGAAGTACGTCTTACGGCTAGCGGCTAGCGACAGTTGGGACTGCTCTAGTACTAAGCTAGTGTGGGGACCTAAGGTGCTCTTTGTTCGTTTGCTTGCCAGGGTTATAAGCTTCCCACCAATCAAAGTACGACCCAACCTCCCTTAATTTTTCTCCCGGACAACGAGCACAACGAGCACAACGAGCTCCCCAGCGAACTTTCAGACATCCCACTAAACAAGACCATGCGCCATTCGTAACCGCAACTTTCTTCCACCATCCTTTGCGATTGTTAATTTTTTGCGAAATAACGCATTCTCTCATTTAAACTAAACAGAACCATACTACACCTCTTTCCGATCGCTCGTTGACTCGAGTCTAATCTTCGGATCATCTCGGTTGTAGTCTGAATCCACATTCCTTCTTTGGGCGCCGTCCGACCGGTAATACCGCTTCTTAAGCAAAACCGGATAACATTTCCTACTTGTCAGTCGATATGGCGGAAGAATATAACGAGGGAGCGGTCGAGGAGCCCCAGGCAAACCCTGGCGCTGATGTCGAGATGGGTGAAGGCGAAGAGGCTGAGGGCGCTGGCAGAAATGGTGCTGGAGAGCTGCCTTTCGGCGAGGGTGGTGATATCGAGCCTCGTGTTAATTTTATTAGTTATTTGACTAGCCCTGTTGTCACCTTGCTCGTTGGTAGTGGTGAAGCTGAAAGCATTCTCACTGCGCATCAAGCGCTTCTTACCCAGAGTCCATTCTTCGCGGAAGCCTGCGCCGCCTTCGCCGACGATGGAAGCGTAAGTTACTTGCTTGCTAGGTTTTCTACCAATCGCTAGACTTCCAAGTTGTGGTCCTAAATTTTCTACCCTACAGCCTCGATCTGTAGACCTTGCGACCGAAGAACTTGACCCCGTAGGTTGTTTCTTGGAATACCTCTACACTGGCGACTATTTCCCTAAGAAGATACCTGGGCAACGAACTCTCGAACAAGATCCATCGATACCCACCATCGATGAGACCGGTGAACAGCTTTTGAAGCATGCGCGCGTCTATACTCTAGCTGAAAAGTTTGGAGTCGAGAAGCTGAAGAACCTTGCGAGCAGCAAGATCCACTGCGTCAATTCGACAGCGAAGGGCGAAATCACCTACGCTCGTTACATCTACCAATACACCAACAAGGACGACACATCCGTGCGCGCTCCTGTTGCCAACTTCTGGGCTACTCGAAGCCATACCTTGCGTTCGGAAGCTGAAGAGGAATTCCGTTCGCTCTGCTTGGAGTTCCCCCAATTCGGATACGATGTCCTTAGTAAGTTCCCCTGCCTGCGTAAAAGCCTATCGCGGGATAACATCAATACTAACTGTTTTCAGCTCGTGTGTTGGACGAGAAGCTCAAGCGAGAGCGCAACGAGAAAATGCACCCAGCGGCTGGAAGCGTTCGCAAGCGAGCGCGTCACAGCAACGCATAGTTCCATTCTCACTCTCGACTATGACTCGCAATCTTATGCTCCGATTAAGATCGGGCCAGAATTTACCCAAAATACATCATCACGCTCGGTCGCATCAATGTGTGCGACATCTTTGTACTACCACCATAGCTGGGGGATCGATCAAGGCGTGGAGGCTTCCTCTACCTATATACTCGGAAATAGGGCCTGGAAAGGATATCGTGCTTGGGTTTACCGCAAAAAGTGTACATTAGCAAGCGTAAAAGTCGTCCTGCCTGGATGCTTAATTTGATTTGTGTTCTGCTTTTATCTTTTCCTTAGAATTTGGTTCTATTTGGTGTGTAAACCTCAGCTTTAGCCGATGAAATAATCATCCTAGACAAGCTTGAGATTGCGTGACGAGGATGGTGCCGTAATTCAACTACAACTACGTCATCATCGATTGCAGCATGGTGAACATTGGATGTCATGAAGTAATGGTTGGAATGTAATCAAGTTATTATGCTATTAATAAATACTCGGGTACCTATCTAAAACCCATTATCCTTTTTCATGTCCCGCTGAGATGAATCCATTTTAGTCGCTGCAAATTCCAAGTGGTATATGTAGTGCACTGGAAAGGCATCCATGCATATTCCTCGTATATAACAATAGACATCATAATATTATGCCCCCCTCACATCTCCTCATGTATTAAGTTCGGGTATATCGTCCTCCATGCTCAATCATCAATTGCCTCTCTATAGTTGGAAAGCACCGAACGCCGTCGCGGAGAAAAGCAGAGCTCCAATTGTTAGGCCGAGGGTGCTGAGACCAGTGAACTCAGGCCTGATACCCGCAGCAGCATTCGGCGTGTTCGTCGGGCTAGACGTGCTATCGCCATCACCACCGCTTTGCGTAGGGTTCGAGCCACCATCGTGCGTGACGACTACACTCGCGCCCGCGGACGTAGGGAGCGGGACGTCGGTCGCAGTGGCGGTGGCAGATACATTGCCGCGGTAAAATACATCGCTGTTGGGGGCTCCGTGGTCGAAAAGGCATTTAATCAAATCGTTTACGCTTTGCCCTGCGGCTAGGCAGTACAAGCCGCAGTTGTCGTAGTACGAGATTACGTCCGCGGACCCGCAGCACGCGCCCATGATATCCGTGTGGTTGCCGCCCGATGTGATGCCCACGGCCGCGTCTTGTGTCGGGATATTGTAGAGTTCTGCGCCGCAGCCGACGGTGGGCGTGCTGGTGGGCGCAGATACGGTGGCGGTTGTGGAGGACATTTCGGCTGATTTTGTGTTTTGGTTGTTTTGGTAACACGGGATTATTTGGATTTTTCTTGACGCGGTTTAAATAGCGATGAAGATTACAATTGGCGAAGAAGTAGGTGAAGATTGAAAATACCTACCTGCATCAAAAACTCACCTCACACGGTTTTTATTATTTACCAGACCTTGTCGTACCGGTGTTACGAGTGGGCTGAGCCCAGCCCAATACTTAGTATTATTGTCCCCATCTCGTATTTGGGTCTTGGAAAAAAGGAGACCTTCGAGAGGTTGGGGAGAAGCTATTGGACGGGATTGGGGAACGAGACATGGCAACGGGGTTACGCACGGGTCAGCTAAGAATCAACACTTCCACTCACAATGTGATTGTGCCGCCCCAAAATAGCAACCGGGTTTAGTGCTAAGCCGTTCCCGGGCCAGTCTTGGTATGCCAACAAGATGGCAACAGGGGATGGGCAAGGTTTCTTTTGTATAAGTGCTACTATTAGCGAAGTTGTTAGTGAGAAAAATCAAGAAATGAAAAGAAAATGCGTTTCCATCGTTATAATGGATTGATTGATTGTGTCGATTTTGTATGTATGTATGATTGAGTCAGTCGTATTGGATGTTTCAGATGTAATAGTACAACCTCAGCTCGGAGTCTTTTGGGCCAACCATATCATGATGATTAGTTGTATACCACCGTCGGGTCTTCACTGCGCCCGGAATTTGTCATCCGATTCCAGGCGTTCGTATCTTCATGTGTGACAATGTGGTCATGAAGGCACTAGAACACATGGTAGAAATATATCTTACATGCTTCATGTGCGAAATAGATGGAATTGACTTGTCTGGAATGTCTGGAGGGTAGGAGTGCGCCCCTGAATATGCACAATGCGTACATACGTACATAAAAATATATTGAAAAATGATACCCTGAAGCGGCGGGGGTAGCCTGATGGGAGGAATGGGTGAGCGTGGCGGATGGACTTGACAAAAGTGCGGAAAAACTTGCGGTCCCTAGGTACTTAACCTTAGGTACATGTGTAGTATTGGAATAACCCTTGAACCGGACAGATCACGCGATCGTTTCGTAAGCATAAAGTACCATGGAAGGTAGAGAGAGTTTGAGTCTTTGCTACTACTCTGATAACTCCTTCGTATCTTTATCGCTCCTTCGCACTTTGATTCCAATGTTTCGGTAGTATCCAATGGATTTGTGTCAGGATTGAGTTCGTTGTACTGAGTGCCGTGTCGGGATGGCACAGCCCAGAAGGATAAAAAACCTTATGGTGTGGGGATGGATGGGCAAAGTGGGTTCTAAGGTTTATTCTTGAATAAAAATATGCAGTTGCTGTCAGCTTCTGCAGCTAGCTGGAGCCTAGAGTTTAGCGATGGTAGTGATGAAGATAGCTCAGTGGTAGTGATTATTGGTACCTATGGAGTGGCAAGTAGTGGGTCAGCGGGGGAAGGTTCCTAGAGGAAGGGGAAGGCCCAGCCCTATTTACCTTCATCTCGGTAGGTAGTACCTACTGTAATGTAAGCTTAATGATTTTAACTCCCAGTTGTTATATCCTATAATTCACATTTCTCACCCGTGACGGCCCCCAAATAACTTAGTAAGCCATCGTCTCATCGAGATATTCTAACACGACGATCTCACCCCAATATACCACCCTACTTACATACAACACGTTTTCTATGCCAGTCCAAGAAATCTGACAGCCTAACTTAGTAGCTTAGGTGCCTAACTTTGGCATTGCCTACTTGCCATTGCCATTTCGCCCACATATAGCCCTAATCTCAAATTTAGGACAACTTTTTAGCTAATCTAAGTATATACACTTTTGGGAAACATCGTCTCTATTCCATTCTCACTTCACAACACAACACGGCACAACCTTTGAATATCGCATCTTATTGCCTTGGGAATTTCATACTACCTACCTGGATAGTCTTTCTTATACACTTAGCCCCTCATCGCGTCTATTTAAGCGACCTCAAGAACAAGAAGAGGAAGGCGGTTAACACTAAAGAATCCTCTAGCGAAATTAACCAACCGGAATTGATTCGTCAACAAACGATGACTTGCCGAGAAGCTGACCTAACAAGTTTCTACCCCTGGCTCATAGTCTAAACAGACGGTTGAGATCTGGCATATAAACACTACACTAAAGTTACTTCCGATGGTTCCCGCAAGGTTGACTGGACCTCTGAAGCGTGGCGACCCGCGGCTCGACGGGTAGTTGTAACGGTATCGGTATCGCGAGCCCTCGACACTGGATACAGGACACAACATACAGGGGGGTCTAGCGTTGCATGCAACCTTCTTGCAGCATACCTAGCGCACTCGTGATGCAATCAGAGCTCTCCCACGCAATTAACAGGAGCCCACCCATTGGTTTGTGGTTTGTCCCCCGCGACTATTTTTGTCATCGGCCACTCGGCCGGAATTGGTGTTCTAGTCCGATTATGGCGATATCCTTCCCATCTTCCATCTCCTGAAATATGCCTAACCATGGATGTGCACAGCCGGCTTTGAAGATTGGCTAGATCTTGACGGTTTATATGAACTACTATTATTGAAGTTGTTCAATCCCGCCTCACACGCTATTGAGATATGACATATTTCTGTTTCGATGCCGCAACCAGACGACGCCTGAAACCGCTGTGTCCACCGTCTTTCTCCGCCCTTAGGCTACTCCGATAACTCGAACCCACTTACTCTGTTGGTATCCTGTGGGATCTTCAGTCCCGCATACCATATCGCATCATGGTTGGCGTTGCCGGTAGGAGTAAAGGATGCAACACCTGCCGCAAACGGAGGGTAAAATGCGGTATGAGCGACCTCACTGCCGAATAGGCCATATTTCACGAGTACTCATTTCTGACCTGTGAATAGATGAAGCGAAGCCGAAATGCCATCGCTGTCTCAAGGCGGGCTTCGAATGCTTAGGTTATGAGAGAGCCACTCAATGGAGACATACTTCGGTGGCTCCCACTTCGAAATCTCGGCCGCACTCGCCAGAGTTTATGGAGCTCATATCTCCAACGCCTATGGGTCTTGCACCTGCGCCAGAGCTTAGTCTAGTCGCCTTTGAGGGGGACATGTGTACCGCCTACGTTTTTAAGAATTTTGTTTGGAAGTCATACGGAAGTCTTTGGCTCGATCATGCTGCTGAAGGAAAGCTCGATACCCTCTCTCTCGATGCCGTGAAAGCCCTATCTCGATTGAGCTTTGGGCTCGGAAATAAGGTACAGGATCTTCAGCATAAGGGAGAATCTCAGTACGGTAGATGTCTAAGGGTTCTAGCGGATGAGCTTGGCCGAGATGAAGTCGCAGCTCATGATAGCCGAAGACTCATAGTACCAATACTCGTATTAATGATGGTTTCGGTAAGTACTCTTACGATACATGCATCTACATGAACCGACATTGGGGAGCCTGAACTAATGGCCCCAGGCAATCCAAGCCGATAGAACTGCTGCAGGTTTCCACCTTAGAGCGATCGAGAAAGTCCTGATCCTGTGCGGTCCAGGAGCCTTTCAACAGCAACCCTTAAGAAACGCCTTTGAAGCAGCCAGAGCTACGTTGGTGCGTAACCCACAAACCTAACGTGCAAATGTAGTCGTTGACAATAAACAGCTAGTTTCTTCGTTACTCTCTAGGCGACGGACATTTCTTGAGAATCCGTGTTGGCATTTTGTACCATATGCGCTCGACTCGTCTACGAAGCCTCAGCAGTCACAACTACTTGATATTTTCGTCACAATACCAGGATTCCTAGAAGAGGAAAGCCGTATCAATGATTCCAACTCTCAATCCGACGATGAATCCATCGGACTATCCCTCATATTAGATGAACAACTGGACCGACGAGCTGCTCTAGGCGGATGTGTCGCCGCCCAACTTGAGAAGCTATACCGCTGGCGTTGGAATTGGCAACGGAAATACAGCCAATACGTTGCGATAGGCAGAGACGAATGGCAACGAGATAGCCTTTCTCCGAAGTCCACAGATTCTATCGGCAGTTCTAGAGAAACCAGCCGCCTACGGTTCGATCGCCCTATACATTCCAACGATATCATGCTATACAATGCAGTATTGATGTGGTTAATGACCCTCATGTGGAAACTCCAACCATTCCAAGCAGCATCTCGTATACAATGTTGCGCCCGCCGTGCTGCCGCTTCATCGGCCTCCCCACCAAACTCGCCAGGATCCTCGCAAAGCGTCTCTTTCGAGCCTCTGTCCTGGCCAGGTGCTTTCCTTTCTATCCGGGACCCCGCTTTGGAAATATGTCGCGCTTTCGAATGGCAATGCCGACATTACGAACAACACACTGCCTTCAGCGATCAGACTTGCCTATTATTGCTTCCACTAGGCATGGCTCGTTGCGCATTCGATGGCGACTCAGAGTATCAAGACTGGATCGACAACATGCTGGATTCGAATCCGGTCACAGCTGGCTATGGCCGTGGTGGCGGAAGCGTAGTTGGCTTCGGCTCCTATATAACCCCACGTGCCCTTGACCCGAATGCCCGTGTTCCAGACGACAATTTCTAAATAACATAAATGGAGGTACCCGACTATATGCCATGCTTCCTTTTATGTCCACGACGGATTCATGATACTTTATATTATGACTGGATGATACCAACATTTATATTTATACCATAGGTGGCTTGCCTTGCATGGGTACTAGGAGCACATGGCGTGCACCCTGATGTTCATTTCTAGAAGGTAATCGGTTGGACTATATATAACCTAACGGCGCTTGGACTATCCATATTAAACCTTCCGCACCCAGACACACTAAACACAAACCCTCGGCTCGCCCGTTCAAACCACAAGAAATACCAATAACGCCGCGCCGCTTGCGAAAGAAATGTCAAGAGGAAAGACAAGCAATTTAGCCAGACCAACTACTGCGAAGTAGAATTATAAGGGGGTTGATAAGGCTGGCCCGGTGCCGGTGTACCTTGTGGACTATAAGGGCCTTGATTGACGTATGGCTGTCCCGGGGCCGACGTCCCTGGGTTATATGGTGGTTCGGGTTGGGGGTACACTCCCGCTGCACCAGCATATGCAGTGTTCTGTGGTGCATAGGGATCATAAGCTTGGCCCTGTGGGTACTGTGGCTGGCCGGCAGATTGTTGGGGGTACCCCGTTTGCTGACCCCATTGTTGACTGGGCTGTTGGTGCAAAAGCGGTTGCGACTGTTGCGCAGCAATATTTTGTGGCGGCATTCCTCCTTGTAATTCTGTAGCACCCGGGCCACCAGCGACGGCGACAGCAGCAGCCCCAGAAGCTTTTTCGGGGTCGTTGGATAAATGACCCGAGAATGAGAGGCGGAAGAAGTGGCATACGTATGCGAAAGTCGCGACAAATAGAAGCATAATGAGAGCACTGATGCCAGCTACGCCACTCAAGACAGCGAGCGCGCTATCTGATGCAAACTCATTTCGCTTCACGACGGAACAATGACCGCTGTTTATAGCGCTACCGTCGCTGACACAGCTCGCGTTAACCTTTACACTGAATTTGCTCCGTAGATTCGCGTTGGCGGCCATAGCTGCTAGCCAGAAGATGATCATGAGCGAGTCGAGCACGAGAATGGCCCATGTATTATAGGCGCGCTGACACGATACCACTTTCTCGGATAAGAGTGCGTACACGGCGATGATCCAAGTAAAGAGACCCTGTTGAAGACGGCAATATTAGTAGAGGCACGAGAGTAGATAAAACAAAAGAGCAGATGTATAGATGAAATGATTGTGCGATAGGAGAATTGGAACATACAGAGACGATAACGAAGCCAAGTTCATCCTCATAGAGGCCGTGTATCCACCAGCCTGCCATAGCCACTGCGACGAGTGAGAAAACGATCTGGAGAACTCGCAATGCGATGAACCATGTCGGAGTTGGGATAAGGGTCGCCCCTGTCCTATGTGAGCCTGCCTCTTCCATCTTGATGGCCACCTCTTAGGTAATTAAATCTTTCTTCTCCGTTGTCGCGGGTGCTTTGTCTTCTCAGTGTTATTTCCTTATGTTACGAGAAGCGCGAAGTCGTGAGGCGGATCGTATTATCTAGACTTACAGGACCCCTAAAATCATCTCCCCAGAGGGCGCCCGCCCGGTATTTGTACATACCATAAATCCTCCCCGCTCCCTCTCTCATATCGCCATTCAACCCTTCAATCTAAGCCATCTCTCTAGCCCGCTGTCCAGACCCGCATTCTTGCCTAGGTGCCAGGTTTTGCTCTCGAGAGCGAACCCGGCTGTTACCAAAATCACTCACAATTTCTCACTTTGCGACGAAAAGCCAAGGACGGCCAAGATTACTATGGCCGTTGGCGAGAGATATGTTACAGGGGCTCTCTCAGCCGCACGTAGTCATTAGGATATGTCTTATTGGGCGGGCTTAGGGATTGAGGACGCTATTGATAGAGTCCTTGCCGGATTTGGTGTTGGGTATGGATAGCTAGCCACTTGCAAGACGTTCTCAAGCGAGCCGGTGCACTAGCGTGGGCCTGGAGCTACGCGCGAGTTCGGAGGCGCCTTGGCAGGGCGAAATTTTGGGTTTGGAGGGTGAGGATATCGCGGGCGTTTTTTTGTTTGGTTTGGTTTTTGAGGTTGGCTTTTTTCTTGTGAAGCGGAAGGGAAGTGTTTTGGGTTTTGGGGAGCGGAGGCGGAGGCCTGCCCGGCTACCCACGCTGGCGGGGTTAGGTGCCTACCTTTAGGGACTTTTTCGTGATGACGTGCTGGAACTTGGGCTGAGGATGTTGTGCTACGATGTCTGCGTGGTATGTCTTGGATGCCGTTATTAGCGGTAGTAAGCTGTGTTATATTTGTTAAATTAGCGGCGGTGGCCCATACCGAGCTGTCATCGTTAGCATACCCTCATCCCCATAACAGCATCCCTACCTCGGTACGTTGAACACGTATTAAATCCGATGGACTCGTATAAGCCTCCCGCATAACGCAAAGGATACTGTATCACTCATTCGAGGACATTTGACATCCAACAAATTGGAAAAGAGGCCTGTTTCTAATCGGGTAATACCATATGAGCTACCTAGCTTAATCCTCGCTGGTTGAGGATACACCATATCTTTCTACAGGCAGTAAAAGGGCGGGATACAGTCCACCTGCAACCCCACCATAGCCCTATAGGACTTTAGACATGGCTTATAACAGTGTCCTATAAAGCGGCGCTGTAGCTCAACCCCGAGCCATAATTTAAACCTCTCACAAAAAAAGACGGGACCTCCTCTATAATCTAATAGATAAAGTCGTCATCTTCCCAGAATTCGCAAAATAGGCTCGATGAAGTGGCCACCATGCGCACACGTACCTAGGTAGTATGTCGCCGGCACATTGTATATTCAATAGTAACTGATACAAAAGTCCCAATTGATCGCAAACGGAGGCGTTGGTTATATTGCTCGCCTTGACACACTCTCTTGATGTCGACAAGCTCATACAAAGGTGCTTGTACAATTGGGCTCCAGACGCAGACCTGGTTGTTTTTTTTTTTTGTTTTTTTTCAAGTGGTGGAAAGTAGGACCAGATCTGGGAACGAGATCCCAGCCTGATGTGAAAGGGCTAGGGAACAGAGGTTGTATGAGACTCCCAAGTACATATGGAGTCCAGGGTTGTTTGCGCGATACATACATGTATCATGATGCATGTCCAGGGCTTACTAGAATGCGACAAAGTGCTTTCCTTGATTCAAGGTTTCTCTGAGATCAGTAAGTCCAACCGCCCGTACAATGCAAATTCCAGTGATGCGCCCCATCAAGTACCATAATGTTCATATTATGGTTCGCGTGGGTCTATCACCGTTTGCTTCCCCTCCCTCAACTTTCAGGAACAGTCATGCCTCAAGATTGGGCATTGAAAACAGCTTGCTTTTTCACCTAAGTGCCGTACATGACAGTCATCTCATGACACCACAGTCAGGGTTTTAATACTTAACCATTACTATTTCCTAATTTACCTAGTTCCCCTTCACCCATTTCCAACAGGTTTAACCATAAACTTCCACAATGCCTCTCGGATGGTACCTTGCCCAGGGCTTATACCCTCTTGCCCCATCCGACAGCGATGATGAAGAGGGCGCGTGTGAATTGCCCGATGGCCGGATCGTCTGCGGCCCACACGGGCTCGTAGTATGCGGAAAGTGTTGCACAGATTATTCTTTCATGGACGACAATTCAAGTGACCTTGAGGAGCAGGACGAAGGTGATGAAAGTGACAGCTCGGCCGATCATCCAGAAAGCGAACAAGATTTTGATATCGAAGAACTGCCCTTCGAAAAGAAGAGAAGGGGCACCGGCCAAGTATTCCCTACCAAATTCACTCCTCCGACACCTTTCAGCATTCCAACACAACTCTTCCCCGGTCGTAGAACTTATATGCAGTGGACAAGGTATGAAACAGTAAAATAGCTTCTTTTAAATAGCATATCTTCTAGCTCAACTCGTTAACATGTCTTATCAGATACATCGATCGCAACGATCCACGCTCTGTTCTCATTTTAACTGACGGTGCGTGCTTGAATAATGGCCAGCCGAATCCTAAGGCCGGCTGGGCTTTCGTCCACGGGCCAGGACTCACTGGTCAACCCGCGGTCGCATCTGGTAGGCTTGAGAGCAAGGGGCCTTTTGGCGATGAGAGCATACAGAGTAGCAACAGGGCCGAGCTTCGCGCCGTTATCGCGGCTCTACGCTCCCGAGCCTGGGAAGGTGAAGGATTCAATACCGTTACCTTCGCCACCGACTCGGAGTATGTGGTTGAAGGTGCTACATCATGGGCGAGGAGGTGGATTACCAATGGTTGGAAGACGAGCATGGGAGCAGATGTTAAGAATAAAGACCTTTGGGAAATGCTTCTAGGCGAGGTTGAGAAGGCGAACGAGGAGAGGCTCTCTGTCCGCTTCTGGAAGATCCCGAGGGAGTATAATATAGTTGCGGATGTAGCTGCGAAGGCGGCGGCCTCAGAGGGAAACGTACCAGATAGGTGGGTGGAGACGGTGGGTATCGCAATATAGCTTTCTCGCTATCTAAGCACCTATGTCTTTTGGAAGTGATCAGAAAATACTACTGTCGCCGCCACCTTGGAGTAATTAGATGATATTTCTCATTGTAGGGCGCGTCTTGAGTGGAACTTAGGAGAGAAAGGCAAATTAACAGTTTTATATGGTATACCATACAGTATTCGCTGTATTTGTGGAACATACTGTACTGGAACTTGTCTGAATTATAGCGAAGTCTGGGGTAGACCGCCTTAGAAATTCGAAGGCTACTTACGGCTGCTGCTGTAAAAGTAAGGCTTCGCGTGCATAGGTACCTACCTACCTAAGTACTTAGGTAGGTATTCAGTGAGCTTTAAACGACACTTAGAGGAATAAGTCTAACAAGTCCACTGAAACATAAGGGAGTATAGGTACATATACCTACCTAGGTAGGTGTCTGACGTATGCGACCTGGTCGGTCGAATTCAACAACTTTAATGATTACAGGGGACTATTCGCTAAAGCTCAGTGAAATACAGCATGCTAATCCTACCTACACCGGGTAGGTATTAGTGAAGTTAAGAAACCTATGCAACGAAAAGCCAGTAATCAATTTATATTTCAAGAAAAGAAAGCAGAGCTACAAAATAGATACTTAGGTACATACATGATTTACAAATCATTTGAATTTGCTGTTTCTTCTTGTCTTTCTCTCTCTCGCGTCCAACGCCTTCTTCTCTTTTCCTTGTGAGTTGTCGCTGTAGGTTGGTCCTCCGAGACGTTTATTGTTATGACACCTGTAGCACCCTGATAGGAAGCCATCACCAACACATGTATGGGCAAAGGTTGATAGGTCCGCTGAAAGCGCTGTAAGCGCTTTACTGCTCATAAGGCACCAACACAGCTCTTGGCAATCTCGTATCCAAGAAAGGAAGCTGTACTGAATATCATGTACTGCCGCCAGGCAGCATAAAAAGAGAGTAGCTTCTCCCGAAGGGACTGGAGGGGGGAGGATACGGCAAGCAGATCGTAAAAAGATTATAGCTACTCAATATACTGCCTTAACCCCATTTTGACACTTATTCATCAACGCGGTTAAGTGTAGATAACCTCATCCTAACTGGCCATGAACTTTCTAATCCAAGCATCGCGGTCGTTAGTATTCTAGCCCATACTCTATTACCCGGCAGATCTATAAGCATATCACGGTTCAGTAGTACGGAATAAGTGCGCTGCCAGTCGTAGTTGATGACAGTCAACTTCTTGAGCGAGAACCACTCGATGTAGGGGGCCCAGAAAGGCCATGCGGTTTGCACGATCCATTTGCACGACGACTTTACAAGGAGATGGAACCCTATCAGCATCCAAGCAGAAAAGGGGGAAAAGTTCGGGATAAACGCTTTCATGTAGGGATGATTGACGAAAAGGTTGAATGTATCGATAGGTCGCCTGTCGTATTCCCGCAAAGCGCAAGTGACTTCATGCACTGTCATATAGGTTATTTGGTGGGCTGTATTCGCTAGGAGGTGAGAAGCAACCGCGCGAAGGAGGTGAGCAGAGAGCGTGAGAAATTTGTCTTTTGTTTCTCGTCGTTGGATTGTTGGGTTCTCCGCTCTCGACATCAACAGATAAACGTTCAAGTGGATGAACGCGGCAATGAATATCTGAAGTATTAAAATAATTGTTCGGTCCCTATAGAAATTGGGAATCCAATCGTTCGGGCCTGGTAACTCAGTTCTCGTGATTAGTGGACTGGCTAGCTGGGTTAACGAAGACCCAGTCAAATACTGTATAGCTTCAAATATGACTGGGTATGTCATCGTGAACGTCCAGAAGTTGAAGGCTACAGCTGCGGTGGCATCAATCCCCTCCACAATGTCCAGGCGAACTTCAACTGGAGGAGGTATATCTCCATGCGCATCTTCGGGCTGATGGAATCGTCCCCAACCTAAACGTGTAGCAAGCTGGCCTTGTATGAATTCTCCTACATTCCGTACCGCGTCCTCCCTGATCAGATTTAGAACGTTGAAAACAACCTCGAGTACAAACGTGTTGGCGAAAGACTCTATCACTGCGGCCAGAACCGCGCTTAATATCGTCTGGAGCCAAATCGGAAAGCCACTTTCACGTAGCCACTGGGTGTCTATTTCAAAGGTCCCAAAAAGTATAATTGCGAGTACCGCTCCACAATACCAGGTTAAGCTCAAGTTGAACGGGAAGGGCGCCCTTCCACCATTGAGATTGACCTGAGCCGCCGAAAGATTCCTCAGAACGAAGGCAACAGGGTGTCTTTGGTAGAGAATCCATCTCCACGCAACTTCCCACCCTGGCCCAGGCATGTTCTCAAAGTATCGGCGAAGGTATCCCCAAGGGTTGACATAATAATCCGGAAGCGGTTGTAGCTGGTCGGGGTCTTCAAATAAATTTTCCATTTCGAGGGTATTGCAAATGCGCTTGAACTAATGAATGTCGGTAACGTGGAATAGATACCTATAGCATGAGATAGAGGGGCGCCTATTTAATTAAGTTGGACAATGGGAATCAGCGACACAGCCGAATATGGAAACCTGAAAGAACTGTTGGTATTGTCTATGACTACGAACCAAATGATAAAGGATTGGATATCGCGATGATAAAGGTTGTATATGCGTTTGTAGTTTACCCACCTGCTCACCTTGGGAGGTATTAAAGTAACCATTTGAAGCTCGATAGAAGTATAGGGCAAAACATGGTAAAGGGGCCACTAGCTCAAAGCGCAACGTAGGCGATATGTGATTCTCAATTGCTATTTGCTATTCTAAATGAGAGGAAGTGCGAGTAGGGATATTCTATACTTCATCTCCCTGTACCGGAGGATGCTTCGGACTGTTAGCCGCCACCATCACTACTCCATCTCATCAGCTTCTTTATATTCCTGAGCCGAAGAGGTGTAGCGAACTACTAGCTCAAGATCACGGTGATAGGCTGCCTTCTTCATTGTGTCTATGACCTCGCTGTCTGGAATGAATTCCGAGCAATGCCACGTTGCAATAGCGGTTCTTCCACCTACATCGAAAGAAAACTGATGGGGATCGGCGATCTCGTGGTATTGAGCATCTAATTCTATCTTCATGTACTCTAGCTTTGGCATACGTGCGATGGCGAGTGCAACTGCGAGGTAGAACTGGTTCAGACGAGATTCAATCGGCTTGATTCGACATAGGAGCTCTATAAATTGCTCGATCGTTGTTTCGCGTGGGTCAGGGTACTCGGGCTCTGGCGAGATATTCTCGAGTTGGAAAAGTTGCTGCTGTGCCGGGGTGCATAGGCGATATTCAACGTAATACTCGCGCAAGTGAGGCCAGTAAGGAAGTTGTTCCTGTGAGACCTTGTCGGGCCAAAACAGTTGAGCGGAACAAACGGACAATTTGTAATCCACCTTTTCAAGCTTCTGAGAAGTTTGGTACGTTTTGAAAGTCAACTCTTCTTCAACGCCGCCTTGAATAACCCTAAGTGTAGGAGGATCCACGTGGTTATATTTAGGGATATTAGGCATATAATCATAGAAGAAGTCGAACGTTTTCACCGAGGCCGGGATTTGATCGAAAGAATTAGCAATACCTAGGAAAATGTTAGAACTGACGGGTATATATGTGGAGTGATTGAACCAACCGGAGCGATGAGCTCGCCCGCGAACAAGATCATGTTCCCATTCCCAGAATCCCCAGGAAAGTGTTTCTAGGTTCGCAAACTTGGAAGTTATGCACCGCAAAGTCTCGGGAATGGTACATTCGGGCATCCCTGCACGCCAAAGGCTTAGATCAGACACGAATGAGAGCCGGGAGGGGTCACAGTAAGGGGAATCTAGATAGTGTAGGGGTGATTGAGAATCAAAGGCTCTGTGAAATGAGAGCCCGTCGATAGTCAACGCCATGCTTTGCAAGGGTCGAAGTTTACTCCGAAGCCAAGCAAGGAAATCGAAAAGTGCGTTTACGTCCCGAGCAAAAGTCTGTACTTCGTGTTTCCCCCCCCTTGAATTACCCTTAAAGTTTATCTTCGTGATAACTTGGGCGCGGTGTGGGACGCGAGACAGAATTTCTTTGGCCTCTGAAAGTCGGGAACGGTCGAGGTCAATGTCATTAAACGTCTTGCTTTCAACGGCCTTCTGGAAGGTACGGCATGTTGCTGCAATTCTTGCCGCCTCTGGTTCATGATGAGATCGACGGCGCATCAAGGCTAGCCCTCCAAACCAGCCCCCTTTTCCTGGGTTGTATATCGCATCGTGGACGATACGCTCTACGAGCTCATATGGGAGAGTATCCATTACGGATGGCAGCGACACCAAGGAGTACAAGGTGGTGATAGGTGGCGATAACCAATAAAATGCGTATCTAGGTGCCTATGAAGCGTATGATATTCTTCTTTTGGTCGGATGGCGTGGTAGTTGGTGGTGGATGGGAAACAGAAACCATCCGGAGAAGGATCATTCTAGGGCAGTTTAAATGTAGAGAACAGTGTAGTTGTAAAGGGTGAAGGCAATTTCTGACTCCTGAATAGGTAGTGACTGACCTTCCTGACGATGGCCGGGCTCGTGGCGGCCAAAGTTATCCTTAGGGTGAGTTGTTGCGCAAGATAGGGCGAGGACGTCACGGATACTCTCCTGCACGGGAAGGAAGTGCCTAAAGGATGATGAATTGTATTGGTACTCGTGGGCTGGTAGACTTCTCCAAGCATGAATCGAGTCGCATGAATTCCAACATCATATCTTTTTGTACATGATGTCGGTTCTCATGGTATATTTGGTTCCCTTAGTCACTTCCACTCCTTCATGATACATATCTCTTTGTTGAAATACCACGAGACTCCCAGCTTTAGGATTGATATTTAATTTGCCCGCCTGGGGGTCTTCGAAATCTACGGCAAATCTCATCGCTCCTCCTTCGACTGTACCATCGCCATCACTACCTCCGTTGAGGTATAGATGTACAGTGAGAAAGCTCTTTGCTCCATCTTTGTCTTCGAATTGGCCGTCACAATGTGGCTTGAAGTAGTGTCCGGGTCCATACTTTAGAAACCGTAGTTCATCTCTCAGTCGGCAGATTCTCCATGTCTCTTTACGGATGACAGGGTTCTGGCCGGTGATATCTGGAGCGTCTTTCAGGGTGACAATGCCAGGCGGTAGAAGCGGGAGTATGCGCTCGAGAATATGGTCAGCAAGGACTTGAGATGTGTAGAAGATCCGGTCGCAGAAACGTGATTTCAAGTCCAAGATCTGGGATCCGTTGTAGGCAGTCACTGTGGCTGAAGGCCAAGCGACGTTGTTGGATGGACTGATGAGCCCGAGGAGATCGTCGCACTCCTTACGTGTCAAAACATTGTCAATGACCATTGCGAAATAGCCCGCGTACTCATTCACTTCTGTCTCGTTGAAATCGATTATTTTTGCCTCGACGGATGCTGGAGTAGGACCAGCGAGTATGGCCAACTCCCGAGTTGTTCTTTCGTTTGCTTCCATCCTTAATAACTTCATGAATACATCCCTGAATCAAATTCTGATTCGAGGATGTGTGAATGATGAAACTGATTTGTAGAACGCCAACACTCTTCATGTAAATCGATGCTTATAGTGGAGCTGTAAAATGGACTAAACCACCGAAAAGAGTAAGTGTGTAGCATCCTCACCTGGGCAACTTCGCCATAATAAGATGCATTTCGAAATTCATATTCAGTTACATATTTGCAGCGCAAGAGAAATTCCGTTACTGATCAGAAAGTACCTAGGTATTTATTACTTCCAAATCAAGGAGTGCCAGGGCCTAGTTACTATTACTTGATCGAAAATGTACTGTGTGGTGGTGAACCGAACGAGCGTGGTGCTGTACGCTGTAGTATCCACTGGGATTATGTGGAGGTAGTATAGGGTGCCATATAGTAACATGGTCACTGAGATCTTCTTGTGCTTGCGCTTCTTAGCAGTGACTGTGTAATCGAAGATACCCCATGCTACCGACGCTTGTGTTGCAATTGGATGCCATTGTAAGATCACATTTTAGAACATGTGAAACAGAAACATCTGAGGGTGATCTGACAAACTGCAATGCGACAGAATATGCCAAATTTTTCCTAGGATATAAATAGTGCTGCGCGTGACACATTTGGGTATTTCGTCCTCGCGGACTGCCGAGACACGGTGTTTAAGGTAGATCGGTTCCCAGTCCACTTGGCTGACTTCAGCACATTCGTAGGTTAGAGAACCTATTTGGCAAGATCATTATGAATGATTGTGTAGAGGAATAGAGAAGAGACGCGACACAATTGAATGAATAATTTGCAGATGAGGGAGCTAAATCTCCTACCTATTTTGTAGATAATAAATGGAAGATTTTAACATCGAGAATTGGAACGGCCTGGGCCTGGAATGAACCTTATAATTTAGCGATGTACTTGTGTAACATCGGCCTAACTAAAGTTTTTAGCGTACTTTAGTGACCAGCTAGCCGCCGACCGTTCCTGCAGCGCATATCGTCGGCTTGTCCGCGGGGTGGATTGGCGTGGATTTTCTCGCAAATTCTCGCCTCATGCCGAAGATGCATGGCGAGATAATGTGCGTGGTCTGACGCAAACTTTAAATTCTCTCCTTTTCGACTTCTTTTCTAGATAGACTTTACTTCATTTTTGACTCTTAAAGTTACGGGCTCACTATCCCAAACTTCTTCAGAATAAGTAATACTTAATTTCACCATCAATTCATCCCAACTCTGCGCCCGCCATGGCCAAGACAAACGGTACCATACCGCACAACCCACCGCATGCTGCGACAGCCTTATCAGCGACCGAATTAATCGGTAACACGCCTCTTGTCCGTCTCAACAAGATTCCGCAATCTTTGGATATAGAATGCGAAGTCTACGCCAAAGTCGAACTTTTCAATGCCGGCGGTTCCGTAAAAGACCGCATTGCCTTGCGGATGATCGAAGAGGCTGAGCGCAGCGGACGTATCAAGCCCGGCGATACCCTGATCGAACCGACAAGCGGAAACACGGGTATCGGTTTAGCTCTGGTTGGTGCGATTAAGGGCTACAATACAATTATTACCCTACCTGAGAAGATGTCCGCGGAGAAGGTCTCGGTTTTGAAGGCTTTGGGTGCTACGATTATTCGTACCCCCACGCAGGCGGCATGGGATAGCCCCGAGAGCCATATCGGTGTGGCTAGGAGGCTGGTCAAGGAGATTCCCAACGCACACATCCTTGATCAATATTCCAATGAGAATAACCCACTCGCCCATGAATTCGGCACGGCTGAGGAAATTTGGGAACAGACTGGCGGCAAGATTACTTGTGTGGTAGCGGGTGCTGGAACGGGCGGTACGATTACGGGCTTGGCTAAGGGGTTGAAGAAGCACAACAAAGATATCAAGGTCGTAGCTGCCGATCCGCAAGGAAGTATCCTAGCCTTACCCGAGTCGCTCAATGACGAACACCGTGATGAGCCGTACAAGGTAGAAGGAATTGGTTACGATTTCATTCCCGACGTCCTAGATCGAGAAAAGGTTGACAAGTGGTATAAGACGGATGACAAGGATTCCTTTAAGCTTGCGCGACGTCTAATTGCCGAGGAAGGTCTGCTTGTTGGTGGCAGTTCAGGGAGTGCTTTGAGCGCCGCGCTGAAGGCTGTAAAGGACTTGGGATTGGGCAAGGATGACGTCGTTGTGGTCATTCTACCGGACAGCATTCGAAGTTATTTGACCAAATTTGCCGATGATGATTGGTTGGCTGCGAACGACCTATTACCACCTACCGACGCAGCGGCAAAAGCAGCAATTAATGGTGATGCCGCGAAGACATCTGCTGATCCTTATGCTGGAGCAACCATCCAGTCGCTGAGACTTAAGCCGGTTATCTCTGTCATTGCTACAAGTCCCTGCTCCGAAGCAATTGAGACTATGCGAGACAAGGGCTTCGACCAACTTCCTGTTCTTTCCAGCGCTGGGGGTAAACTTGTGGGTCTCGTCACTCTCGGCAATCTCTTGAGTTATCTGTCGCGCGGACGGGCCAGTGGACAAAGTCCGGTTAAAGATGTCATGTTCAACTTCAGCAAATTAGACGAAGTGGTCACGGATCCTCGTGAAGGAAAGGGAAGCAAGAACCGCAAGTTCGTTGAGATCACTTTGGACACACCTATCACGGAACTCAGCAAGTTCTTTGAGTGGAACAGTGCTGCTGTCGTCACCGAGCCTAGTCAAGGAAAGGACAAAGCGCTTAGCAAACCCATTGCTATTGTCACCAAGGTCGACTTGTTGACTTGGATGGTAAAGCAAGTTCAGACCTGAAGTGTGGTTCGTCTTGGCCCTATACAATATTTCCCACTTTGGATTTCGAAGGAAAGTCAGCGGCATGGCGTTATGGTAGAATTAAACATGGTTCTTATTACGGAGGATTAATTCATTGGTTTAGACGCAATCAAATTGCATTATGCATGGTAGACTCAACGTCTTCGATGATTCATAGAGGGAATTGGTTGTACATGGATTTTCCATAGATCGCTTATCTAGGTTGAATTATGATAATGGCATATCTGCCTAGGTACTAATGTTTCTTGGGTCGCGTCGATAGGGATTATGTGTCTTGGTACGATGGCGAGCCAACGTATTTCGAATTAGGTGCTATGAGGTGTTTTTATAGATGCCGCGTCGGGCATATGTGTATCTCCTACATCTTCTGATCGGATCGTATTCCAATGATGTGTAACGAGGGCCCTGGACTGTGCTCTGGCAACTTCGTGGAAATCCTGCACATTCTAATACAGGGCGTTGTATGTAGCCGTGCAGGGTCTGCGTACGAAGGTAAGGTAGGTAGGTCGGTTGTGAAGTCGGATGTAGTTAAATAGCTACCGCGAGCCAAATGTTATCATATTTAAATCCGGCCTGATATCCAATCCCACCACTTATCCACCTTGCCCTCGAGTACGCTTCCCCCAATAACCTCAACTTCAATATCGAATTCCCTCATTTGGTCAAATAGAAACTTCTCCGAGCCATACGCGCCTAGCCAGTCATCTTGCTCCTCGGATCCGATCTCATCAACGCCAACGCCAGAATCTAGTAATCCCTTGCTACGGGACTGCCGTATCCGGCCGAGTTCGGCCTCGAGGTTGCTCTTGACGAGGGAGGCGGGGAGAGCGGTGAATAGGTCTAATTTGTTCGCCGCGACGAGAACATGGATAGCATTCGGTGTCTTAGACGTCTTACCGGCGCCGGTGCGCTTTTGTAATGCGAGTAGGATATCATATAGGTAACCTGCGGCATCGGGTAGGCTATCATCGAGGGCCGAGGCGTCGACTACGTATACAACACCCCGCAGCGTGCTAGCAGCTAATCCCGTATTGGCATGTTGCGTGCGCAGCTTTCCGTGGCCCGGAGTATCGACGAGGAGGAACTTGCGATGCGAACCTGGTGCATCGTCGCGTGCGGCTTCGCGGAATGTCGAGGCGCCATGGTCATCGGAGACGGTTAATTCGATGGATTGTGGGTCTTGCGAGGTATGCGTTGCGGCGGCATTGTCGCCGCGCTCAAGGAGAGTGAGGAGGGCTGTTTTACCACCACCTGAGGGACCGAGGAGTAGGATCGAGGGGAGGGTTGTGTAGGGCGTGGTGCGCACGATGTATAGGTGTACGAGCGTGGGGAGAATAAGTACGATTATAGCCCCGACGATGAATATTTCGGCCGAGGGCGTTAGGATGTACTCGAGGATTTGCCTTAGGACCTCCATTGTGACCGCGATGTGTTGGTGTGTGTTGGGAGGAGGGTATCAACACAAAATTGCAAAGGTGAAAAAGAAAAGAAGGTCAAGGTTGATAGGTCATGTCGAAATTGCTTAAAGTTTCCTATTGTATGGAGATACTGTAGCTTTAAAGTTCCTTGGGTTACAGTGTCATCATTCGATGCCAAGTTCGATGGGCCGGTAATTTAGGTTGGTTAGCTGATGCATTCAGTGGATGTGCCGTGGTGCCGGGAAAGGTACGTACTTTAACGCTCCAGGGACCTTATTCATGTTTAATTTGACCAATTAAATTCGCCGAATCAGTGGCTGAAGAGCGCTAGCGTACGATTTGGAACAGGGGAAGCGTGGCTTAGCGTGTGACGACGCCGCAAATCTCCAAAATGTTTCTAATGGTTAACTCGGAAAGCTGATTGCTGCTGACCTTGATCATCATATTTTATTTTTCGAAAGACCAACAAAGTCGTTTCACGACTGGTTTTGTTGCCTAACAGAATTTGTTACGGCTTTTTAGTCTTTTCTTCAGTTTCGGGGATCGGAATTGTATTATCGATTTGAATTGGGCGTCCCGTAAGCTTGTGACGATTTATAATATCCTTTCAAATTACGAGAAGCATTTCTACCTGAAGCAATGCTCCTTGGCGGCCTGTTACGATTATTCTAATCCAGTCCTACGATCCGCCCCCGAATCATCCGCGACCTTCGAATTCTCAACGTTTTTGAATTGCCAACTTCATATACCATTTTCGCCGTAATGTCTCAAAATACAACACCAAATGCGAATTCCCCCAGCGCTCCCATACAACCCTCATCCAAAGGCACAGCTGTCGCTCCGAAATTAAACTCACAAGACATGGAGATGGATAATCTTCCGAGCGGCGATGCGACGCCGTCCGAACCAGATATCATGCAGATTGCAAGAGTAGGAGATATAGTAGCCATGGAGAAGCTTTTCGAGTCCTCGGAACTCGACGCGACCTACACAGATGATGAAGGCATCACACCGTTACATGTATGCGTCGGTCCGGATTTGTTCTTAACGATTTCTTACTGATGATGAATAGTGGGCAGCTATCAACAACCAATTTGCCATGTGCAAGTTCCTTATCGAGAAAGGCGCGGACATAAACAAGAAAGGCGGCGAAAGCGTCGCAACACCGTTACAATGGGCTGCCCAACGGTCCAACTACTACACCGTTAACCTCCTCCTTCAACACGGCGCCGACCCTCTCATTAGCGATGCGCAAGGTTACAACACATTACATATCTCAACCTTTAGCGGAAATGTCTTGTTAGTGGTGTTATTACTACACCAAGGCATTCCTGTCGACGTCACAGATGCTTTTGGCCATACAAGCCTCATGTGGGCATCATACAAAGGGTTCCCCCAATGTGTGGACCTTTTTCTACGATGGGGTGCGAGTGTGCAAGCGACAGACGAGCAGGGTTTCACAGCATTACACTGGGCATTAGTCAAAGGCTCCCCGCAGTGTATACTGAAACTCTTGGAATATGGATCGGACCGCTTCGCAAAGACAGACACGGGCAAAACTCCTGCAATAACGGCTAAGGATCTTAACACTATCAATGCATGGCATCGAGCTTTGAAAGAGTCTGGTTACGACGAAGACGGACACGCCGTAACACCTTGGTGGCCTGGAGCATCGTTCTTCCTGAAGGACAAGCGAGGATTTATGAACAAATTCTTGTTCCTTTTGCCGATCCCGTTGCTCTGGACTGAGATGATGATATTTAGCTATCTGCCTATTTTTCTATCCATACCAGTCGCGCTGGCGGTAGGATTCGGATTTCAATGGATTACGGGTCAACTTCTAGAATTCGCGCCTCCGGATATGAGACATTTGCATAGAACGGTACGTACTTCATGCTGAAGGAAGAGGATGAAACACTAACAGTTCACAGCCTTGGCTAGCCGGAATCTTTGCAGCATCGTTATTCTTAGTAGGTGTAGGTTGGATTTTGACAGTACTCCCTGGTAAGTTGACCGATTAATATATCTTAAAAACAAATGAATTAACCTGCAATAGCAACTTTTGCTGGCCACCCGGTGCTCAATTTCCTTTTTCTCGCCCTCTACAGTTTAACCAGCTACTTTTATGCGGCCTGCATGGTTTTCGATCCTGGATATGTTCCAAAGCTCAACGGAATCGCGGAGCAGAAGGCTGTCATCGATGAATTGTTAAGCTTATGGAAATTTGACGAATCAAACTTCTGTGTTACTTGTATGATTCGGACACCGCTCCGAAGCAAACATTGCAGACGGTGTCAACGGTGTGTGGCAAAGCACGACCAGTAAGTATAATTCGGATGGACTAAAGCCGATATTCATTTTACTAACATAGATTAGCCACTGCCCCTGGGTCAACAATTGCGTCGGCGTCAACAACCATCGACATTTCTTCCTCTACTTGGTTAACCTGATTTTCGGAGTGCTATCCTTTGACTGGTTACTTTACTACTACTTTTCCGAATTACCCAAGTCAGGTTCTCCAAATTGCATTCTCTTAGCAGAGCCCATCTGTGCTGTTGTAAGCGCAGATCCATATACGGTAGTGCTTGGCATATGGGCAACACTGCAGCTCACATGGGTTGGCATGTTGATTTTCGTGCAATTCGTGCAAGTCGCGCGCGCAATGACGACTTACGAAAACATGTACGGTATTCAAGACGGTTCAGCGTCTTCATTGGTTTCGGCGTTTACTAGTACCGGGGCGCCTCTTGATCCTAACCATCCTGACGCAACTACACCACCCTCCGCTGCGGCTGATCCGCTAGGAACCGGTAGAGGAGCGCATGCGCATAAGCATAAACAAGGCTTCTTGAAGCAATGGGGTCGCCTCCTCGGAGTTGACACGTTTATTGAGACGGCCACAGGTCGGGGCGCCGCTACTGGCAAGAAGATGCGCAAGAAGAGCAATCCGTACAGCAAGGGCATGGTGCAAAATTGCCGTGACTTTTGGTGTGACCCCGCACCTGTCTTCGGCCGCAGAGAAACAGGCGACGCGATGCTGGGCGGTGAGAAAATTAACTACACCGAAATTTATGAGAGTCCGGCTGCGATGAGCCTCGGTCTTGGCGGTTCGAGTGGACGACGAAGGGACGGTTATGAGAGTGTGGCAGGTGAAGAGGTATAGGCGATGAAGGGATGAACTTTGCTATGGTAGCAGAGGAAATTACGCACGTTCACGACTTTGTATTGAGAAATGTCGAATGACTTTCGTGCGGAAAACACGCGTTGAATTCATGGCGGTCGTTCGAGAGGCCAGGAGCATGGACGACTTACTGCTTAGAGTGTATAAAATTATTAATTCGATATCCACCATGAGACATTGATTTTCTGGTGTTATATCCAGGCGTGCCAAACCAGGAAACAATCCTCTTGATCGAACATATTGAGGATTCTCGTCTACTTCTCTAATCGTTACCTAGGTATAAGTGAGTCCCTACGTACGTACTAATCCTCTACCATATAACTCAAGTTACTTTTACACATTCTAATTTTTATGTTTTTCGCAGACGCTTCCGAACACTTCGGTGGTGTAATACGGTGAGTTACACATCCCTTCTCAACTAGCGCAGGCTTGGAAATGGTGATACAATCGAGCCAGATGTAATATTATAAACGAAAGACTATGAAGTAAGTAATACAAGGTTACTTATGTACAACTCTAACCAATATGTGCCATCAAAATTCGGGCTTCCCGGAACGAATATGCCAACACGACCGAGACTAAACCGAGACTGTTCTAACCGAGGACCTTAGACCAGTCCTGGGCAGCGGCAGCGTTAGAAGCGCCCTTAACAACGGATGCAATATCAGTGTCGCTGTCGACGAAGATGCCGAACTTGTCACCGCTGTCGTTGCGAGGGTCGTAGCTGCAAGTAGCCTTAGGCAGGAATTGCCAGTACAAGTTCGGGATTCCAGCCTTGTTGATATCATCAGCGTTGGCGGGGAGCTCGCTCTTAGGGCTGTAGGAGCCGGTGTTCACACCCCATTCTTCAATGAACACGAGCTTGCCGTTTGCCTGTTGTAGCCATCCCTTCGCGCTGTTCTGCCACTGGTTCTGGTTCGAGGATTCACCGCCGCCGTAGCGGTGCACGGCGATTAAATCGATCTCGGAGCATTGCGTTGCCGCGGAGATGAAGGTGCAGTCGTGTGAGATGTCGCCACCTATGCCGCCGGTCGCGATTTGGATCTTGTTGTCGGCGCCAAGGGTTGAGCGGAATTTCTTGGCGCGGCCGCAGAGCCAACCCTTCGGGTCGTTGTTCTTGCATACGTTGAGGTTGGAGGACATGGGTTCGTTCTGGGTTTCTATGTGTTAGTGCTGGTGTTGTGAGTGGATGTGGGAGAGGGTCTTACCTGGATGTCGAATGCCAAGATGGCGTCGCTCCACTCCTTCCAGACTTTGCCCGAGGTAGCTCCCTTGTAGTTGAGGATGTGGTCGATACGCTTGTCAAATGCGTCGAAGGCATCTTGCGAGCTGTAGAAGTTGTCCTTGCCGAACTTGTCGTAATACACGTCCCTGTTCATATTGTTAGTCCAGAGTCTTTAGTTTAGGTACCATCACAAAAGGTATTACTTACTTCCTGTAGTCGCCGAGGAGCGAGTTCGCATCGTGGGGCGAAATGATGGCCTTGATGCCCTTTTCAGATAGCTTCTGGATGACCTTGTCGACGGCGTCAAGAGTCTGATCGTTGTACGTGCCCAGCGTAGTCTCGAGCTGCGGAACTTGTACTGAGAGCTTGCTGCCCTTCTCGCATTGTCCGTTTCCAGCTTGGCCATTCACCCACACACGGACAACCTTGGCGCCATAGCTCTGGAGGGTGCTGATGTACGCATCTTGGTCTGAGTCTGACAAACCTGGTAAAAAGTACAGGTTAGAACCCATAAACGACTTTGAGCCAGATTGTCTCGTTTCGAGAGGGCTAGCGAAAGCGCTTGGGAGCGCCGCGGCGCCGAGACTAAGGAGGAAAGAGGCCTTCATTGTTCTGGATTCACGATTGTTAGTTGAAAAGAAAAGAGTTGATAGATTGTCGAAGCTAATTGGCTTGCTTGCTGGAGGAAGACAGAACAATGTCGAGGGTTCAGGCTTGATATTTATATGAAGATTTCACCACCTGATGCCCAACTCTGGTATATGGAATCGCCGCGTTAGGTACTGCAGATCCCCGCCCTGTCAACTCGATTAGAACACTCAAAGTCACTCCATCTAATATTGAAGTCAAGATGGGTATCACAAATCGCCGCATGAACCTCGATAGCTTCCCGGTCTAAAGCATGAAGGGTTACCCAGTACTAATCTGACGTGTGAGGAAGGTGGTTTTCTCTCAATACTCAACGTCATAAGTTAACCATACATATCCTCATTTTTACTTGTTTCCATTGAAAATAGGGATTATGTACGTATTGAGGTCCGTGCCGAACCCGTTTCTATTTGCTTAGCGAATCCGGGGAAAGGAGGTGGCGTCTGAGTAATTTCGCACTATCACGCTGTATTTGGATAGAATTTCACCACAACATCGAAAGATATCCCCTTAACTATGCAATGAAACACTGATATTTCTAGATAGGCAACTCGAAGTAATTTCGCATTAATCCGGTAACCCCCAAATATAGTATATGCCGATCAACTGGCACCGGAGTCGGTATCCGCTTTAGGGACTTAACTATCTCGACGTCGTCTCTTGCTACTTCACATGCGAACTAGGTAGGTGTCTTTGAAGTTTAAATCGTTCTCGGTCAGGCGCAAGATGTTCCTAGTTTTAAACGTATTTTTGATATCGGATCTCAAAGGCTGCAATACTTGAAACCTGCGTATTTATTATGTCTATGGTACCTACATTAGACCGGAATCAAACCATGAAGGAAGCTTAATATCGATATGGAATACCTGGGGTAGACTTCATCACCTACTAACCATATCAATATCGACTACCTGCATATCCGATCGATCCTTTATTGCTTACCTGTCTCAGACGGCCAATTACGACCTTATGAACCCTGCCCTCCAATGTTTCGATGCGGCTGCACGATTCAGGGGTTATGAGGCTTAAACCTAACCCCCTGGAATTCAGCTGAGTTCTCTCATAAGAGCTATGTGACATTAAGCTAAGTTGATCGTCCATATCGAACGCTTTTTAAGATGAATACCCCTCGAAAGCAACGAATGCTCAATTTTCACCAGACGTAGATAGCCGTTTAAGATGGTTAAATATAGAATGGAAAATTGTATTGTCTACCTAGGTCCCTATGTGATAACTCAAGTTATCATATTTCACGTAAGATGCAAATATCATGCATCTGTTCTACCCAATGTGTTGCTTAGAATAGGTTAATACTTGCCGATGCGGCTCAATATGACGAAATACCGGATTCTTCGGATTGAATATTGTATTACAAGACTTTCAGCCCCAAGAGTGAACTCCTAATCGACCGAATATCCCTCTTTCTTCTAGAAACGGAAACTTATCCAGTCTAATTTTATTCAACTAATAAAGTAGCCAGATGTATAGCAAATTGAGGTCGTAGTATGATTAATTATCGATATGGGGTAATTGCCCAGGGGAAATTATATGCCGCAACTCGCTTTCTAGGGATTTTCTCAATGCGACAAGCTTCAAGCAATCATCAGTAGCTCTGCATATGATGTATCATACCTAACAAACTAAAAGACCCAACCGCTTGGAATGGATGTTTCACTTATATATTGACATTTCTCCAACTAACCAGGTACCTACCGGACCATCTGGAAGCATTTCTCGAGGAACTACTCTCTCGTGTAGGGGCTCGTGCAAACTTCTTCTCATTTGTACCATTTCTGCTACACGAATGATATATAAGAACGACCGAAAATAAGGGTTTAGTTACGCATGCCGAGGCTGCTATTTCAAGTTTTTCCTGCATTTAGATGCCGATGTTGGTATCCTTTAATATAGCTGTCATTGGATTTACATGTGTTGAGACTCCCTTTGCCGCCGAGGAGCATGACATATTCGCCTACCCAAGCTTCAAGGCCTCTTTCGCCATTTCCACCTCCATATTCTTCGCTTATCCCACCATCCTCGCCTCTGCTAAGTGAGTCCGCAAAGAACAACGACGTCATCATAAGGATACCGGTACAAGCAGTCCGGCGCACCCAATCAGCGGCCGACATGCAGGACACTCCAGAAGCAAAGCCACTGCCTGCCAAACTCCCTTCGGACGCCACCAAGGAGGGTCGGGGTGAGACACGGAGGTGGAATAAGAACATCTTCAAGCTGGCGCAAATTTCTACTGGAATCGTCACCAAAGCACATAAGGATTCTCGCCGGGCCGACCCAGAGATTAATTCGAATAGTGAGAAAGGAAGTCCGGAGCCGTCACCGACGGTACCAGCCACTAGCGCAGAGGGGCACGATGAAGTAATCCGGGCAAAGCCAGAAGTCCCGAGCCATCCAGCAGATGACTGTACCAATCATACTTCGAAAAAGGTGGTTCCCGAGTCGGAGAACGGAAGCAAGAATGGTGATCGTAAGCTCACTGGTGAGTAAGTCTTATGGTTACACCGAAATTACAGGGGCGAGGCGACGTTCTTAAAGGCATGGGGGCTTCATATTACGAGGGATTCCGATCGAGAACGAGGATATGAGATTCTGAGAGAGCTCATGGCTGCGGAGTCGCCGCAGGAAGAGGAGCATTCGAAACGGATGAAGAGCCATGGGGGACAGCGAGACCAATATGGAAGAGTGCAGTTTACCACACAGTCGATCTCATCGGCGGCGACGAGGGATAGGGAGTCTTTGCACGTAATTGAGGAGGAGGCGCGCGGCCGCGGATTTCATCAGGGTTCGGCTAGGAGAGTCCGAGGGCAGGCTGGAGGAGATCACATTCGCCAAGCTGCGTCACGTTGATGTAATTCACCCCGAAGGTGACCGGGATACGTCAAATTCGTATTGAGATTTTCTTGGGCTAATTGGAACTAGAGGGTTATTGTTTTGGATAGGTAATTAATCTTATAAGAATACCCATTATAAGCAGGTAACTTTTAGTAATTCATCAATCATATAGTGCGTAGGGTATGCAGTCTTACTTGCCTGGTCTTCATATCCCTCTTACCGTGCGACGCTCGCTGTCTTTGACAGAATTTCATAACCCGGAAGCCGAAGAGCTCATCATTATTCCACTTGGTTAATACCAGGTAGGTAGAAATTCCGATGGCTTGCATTCAGCGAAACGGAGTTATGGGAACCCGATAATACCCTTCAGAATCTCTCATGCCGCAGATCAATCCGATTTTACGCCCACCCCATCACGAAACAGATAATGATTGATTGCAGAAATGGCTTCTGCAGGCTGGGAAACTGGATTATCTCGTCTCCATGCTGCATGTGTAAGGTACTTAAGGCGTAGGAAAAAACTCGATAAGGAACGACGGATTTTCCCCCCCACTCGCGATCGTGTTCGTAATTCATGTCAAGTTCTAATTACTCCGCCAAAACACCCCCAAAATTCATCGCGACCTGGACATCAACGATTGAGAATGGGTAGTTATTTACTCGCGTAACTTCACGGTGGAATCGTACAGGTAGTGCTAGGCGAGTATTTGATGAAATTAATCTATCACCATCCTTGAATCGCCAGCTAGCGACTCGTACTCGTTGCAGCTGCTCTCCTTTTGCTCATAGTGAATGCGCGCCGAATCGCGGGGTAGCCAAGCTCAATAAAATCGGCCGCCGACACGGTTTCATTCATCAAGGATGTCGCTCAAAACCAGCGCGGAGGGTATATAAGTTGGTTCTCCTCCACGTAGGCCGTCTTCGAGCGATTGTGAAATAATGAAAAGGTGTATTTCGCAACTTGAGTAATGATTTAGGTGCACGCGGGATGTTAGTAGATATTTTGAAAAAGGGTCGGTGCTAGGAGGATCACCAATACTGTGTGCTAATTAATTAGCGCATTTCTTGATTTTAGGGGCTTTACACACTCAAATAATTCAATCTACGTAACGTCTCCCCTGGACTTTGTATGCGATATATCGAAATCGTTGCTTTCGAACGCCTTCTCAAGATCTTCGTCGTTTTCCAACTACTTTTTGCGGACGAATCAACATCCACCGAAGACTTATGGCCATGTGGCGGCAGCTCGCTGACGATGACGTTGAATCTCTTCTGCGCGTCGCAGACATCATTGACACCGAATTGCCAGAGAGCCATGATGTCGTTGCAGAACGATTAAAGCTATTCCCGGATGGCTGTTTAGCGCTTACAGAGAACGGAGAACTCTGTGGGTATGCCATTTCACATCCTATTCGTCGTCGCCAGCCTCCAGCATTGGACAGTCTACTTGGAGGGATAGCTCTCGACGCAGACCAGTACTACATCCACGATGTTTGCGTCCTACCTGAGCTCCGTGGGAAGGGTCTAGCCGCGCAAGCCATCAGCAAGCTCCTTGGAATTGCCGAACGTTACTCAAGCGCCTGTCTCGTGTCTGTTTATGGAACCGCGCGATTCTGGGCACGCTACGGTTTCCTCCCGCCACCATCTATCGACGAAGTTCTGTTGGTCAAAGTACGCGGATATGGAGACGATGCTACCTATCTTGAACGTCTTAAAGTATAGTAATAGCCTTGTAAGTGGCTCCGATCGTATCCCGAGCCTGTCAACCAGAAAAGAGAATGCGGTCCGACCGTTCAGCGCCTATTAGGATGGCTAGTTAGAAATTTTGAACCGCTTTTGAGATCAATTATGTCGACATATAACCGCACCCACCTTTGCATATACCCAGGCACACAATGTCTACTCTTCGGTCCAGCAGTACTAGTAACGCCACGCTCATTGCGACAGGAGGAAGGTTGACAGGCTATCCCATTTATTTTCAGCCACTACCTACTGGGTTGTAGCTGTATAACTTGCGTGCTATAATCCTTGTATAACATAGACAGCTCAACTTTCATGTTCAAGGACATATCAGACTGGTTGGAATCGCCTATTCTAGATGCTAAGGTCATGTCGAAACCTGTTGGCACCATGTTATTCAAGCGCAACAATTCAAGGAATGACCTGGACTCGAGGTGGATGGTTCTTCCCAACATAAATTATGCTATCGCACTGCAAGCCCCCCCCCAATCCGATTCCCGCAGCCTTGTCATACTTGGTAGGAGGAATATAGGTGTATATCTAGTTAGAGAAGTAGATACCAGTCTTTCGCCCACGCCCTCCCCTTTCTTAGTCTATACCCTGTGCATATAGGCTACGTAGACGCTGTAATTATGTAGATATGACTGGAAGTAGGCGCGTAAACCTATTAAGGTACCTTGGTATTATTGAGCCGGACCAAAGATGCCGTCCACACCTATTAGCGTCTCGAACCAGAATGATGTGTTGTTCTTGAAGATTAGTTCTACGCCACGATGTGCCAGAGAAATACCGGTGAGCGCTTTGCTGGCATGATACACCAGCAATCCTCGAGTTCCTAAAGAACCAGCTTCCGATCTTGATCCCCCACGCTAGAGTTGATTTACATCCCGTCAATACCAGGGTATGGCACACCACGGGCCAGTGGGCTGGATTGATACGGGTCACAACCGTTTTGGTAAAGATTCGCCGTGTATTGGCTGGGAGGCGTCTGCGGATAGCTCGAAAGCCGCGCCACATTCTGGGAAGTTGGCCAATACGGATCCAGGAAAGCTGTGAGCTCGCAGATAGAATTTTGACGCGTGAATTAGTGCTTACTTAAGTAGGTGCCTTTCGTATGAAAGAACAGATAGAAATCGATTATTTGCCTATGTATCCAGATACCTACTCAGGTACCCACCGCTATAGGCATTCGAAGATACGGTACCTAGGTATTGAGTGCTGTAGCACGCCGGCGCTGGGGGTTACTGTTATACAAAGAAGAGTGGGCGGTCGGTAACAAGGTACCGGCGACCCTACTCTTGATATTAGCTATGAGGATGGGTTTATCAAATAGAGGTACTTGTGCAAACCCCTGATGTAGTCACCTCTATGCCAAGGGGGCAGGGCGTCTGCTTTTCTTTCAGTAAGGACCTTGAGGTGATGATTACTAGACATAGCTACTCACATGGCACCATAGCTGACATGCAACTGATTATCCGGTCAAGCTTTCTATTTCGTCTGTTAGGGTACGCCGAGTAAGACCGGCTCGTTGCGGTACATAGGTAGATATCAATGGCTTGCGTGACCGTGTAGGACACGTATACGTGCTTCTTTTTCTTCCCGTCGCTCAAATAAATGCTTTAGCTGTCGCATCTGCTACCGACGCAATTCCATCTGAATTTTCAACCGTTACCCGCAAAGATCTAATAGAGGTCGAGGCATCTTTGGGAGTTGGACGACGATAGCCACCCGGCCGCTTTCGAGGTTTCCAATACTAGGAACTCCATCACCGGACTAGTATTCCAGGTACTAAGTACCTAGGTACATTGACGGAATGTGATAGGCGCCGTTAGAAATAACTACCTAGGTACTAATATACCTTCACTCTGGCCAGTATTTCCAAAACTTTGCAGGAAGACAGCAATTGAAACGTTCGACTCACAGGGGTCATTCGATCTCTTGCCTTCCTTTTCTCGGCGGCAAAAAAAGCCTTTCGTATTAAACTATCTTCAGCTTCGAAGATACCTAGGTACCTATACCAACCACCACCGTTTTAGGATATCGCGATTAGTCACCAGATGCCTAAGGTATGCACAACCCCCCTAGGTACCAACTCGAACAAGGATCTCTGAAAGTGGAACCGGATCGGTCAACCATAAGTACATGGAGTTCACAAGCTTAATCGAGGCAATTACGGAGTCCCGGTCTCCCCACGTGGGGATGCGGAATCACGGTAGTAGTCAACCTAAGGTATTAAAGTTCAACTACCTACCTAGGTACCTACACTGTACGAAGCCCATAAATTAAAGTTTCCGGAACTACTGAAATCAGTCAGTTCTGTACCGATCAACTAATCGTAGTGTGCCCGACAGTATGGGCGTTTAAGTCCATTTTGAGTTAGGCTGATAAATTAGATCCGATCCTACACAGTGTGATGCACTACTCTTAGCCCAGACCACGTATTGACCCATTGCAAAACACTAAACCTGTCTAAGATATAACGCGACAGGAAAATCTTTTATGCAAATTTACTTAAATACCTAAAAATGTTTGTCTACCATGAAAATAACACCCTAAGGCACCGAAAGTGCGCCCTCATAATCGTTCACTACGTCGACTTGAACTGTGCCGAGATAAGTTTAGCGTTATTTGATTGTGGCGGACTAGGTACCTACCAAGAGCGAATCCGGCGAAAAAAAGATCCACTAATGGCGATTATCAATGCTCCTCCCCGCCCTGATCGAATCGACGGATCTATCCGAACTATGAGTGGGGCCGTGTAGACTACCTGGGTACGCACAGTATGAGATAGCAAGAGCGCGTTGAGCCAGCCCCATTCTAACAAATAATCGACCATAAAGCGTTCCTCACATTTATATTTTGAGCCAATGAACTTATCATTAAATTTTGTCCGCTTGCCCAGTACAACTGAGCAGCACCTGAGAATGAACCCATATGATTGTTCCGCAATACGCTGGACTACTCAAAATCTACCTAGTGCCGTCTAATGTCGAAATCGCTTAAAGCAAGGTAATGCTCGATATGTATGATAATCTACCTAGGTGTATATTAGTACCCAAGAGTAAGATATAAGCTGCTAGTAACCACGTAAAGGGTCATCTGAAGCTACTAAATGGATTATCATATTTCGTAGGTACCTCCTCCGTAGGGCCATTTCTCAGACTCTGGCAAAGAACTTTCCGAGCTTTCTAGCCGCCCTCACCACGCGCCAACTACTAGTTAGGTAGGTACCTGGGCACACCAAAACTTCTCTTAGCAAACAAACAGCTAAGCGCATTCTTACCTACCTAGGTATCTAGATAAATACCTAGGTACCTAAGTATGTGAGAAGGTAGGTACCCGCTTCGGTAGGGTGGGTCCCTACGTACATACCTAAATACGTACCCCCAGAGTTACACAGTGTAATTGCGTCGTAATCAGCAGGCCAATCAAGCAACTAACCTAATCTGGAATCACGTAAGTGATTTTCAGCTGTTTCTTTCCTATTTAAATATGTGAAAGCCTCAGGCACCACATCTACTGGCCTAACATAGACTAGCGGCCGGCTCAAGAGCCGATTTGAGTGGTAAACGTACCCCCAACCAACCGGGGCCTCACGTGATACCCCAAGCCTCACAGTCTTACATATCCTAGGTACAAATCAACTCTTAATAGATATAAAGCTAAGAAATTATATATACCTAGGTAGCCAGCCGAAAAAAATAATATTTCCATATGTGATATATATCTCGGGGATCTAAAAAACTGCAATTTTAGAGACGCGATGTGGTTAGGATACGGGAGTTCAGGGGCAGCGCGCCCCCCTTGCCTATACAACTACAACACTAACAGCTTGAGAGACCACACTGATTTCCACGGCATTCCTAGGTACTAGTGTTAGCTTTAGCAGCAATATGCGCGAGTTCATACGCACTTCTAAGGATATTACTACAGGAAAGTTCCATCAGGCCCCTGAGGCATATACGATGTCGTGTTATCCGCAGACCCGCTATCTGATCGTGTTGAGTCATAGATAACTCGCGAAGCACTGTTTCTAGTGGGATTTCTAGTACGATTTAGCATCTAGTGTGGTGCACCTACCTGGTTGACGAAGATCACGCAGGAAAGACGCCTAGTGATCTGGCAACCCCCGGCAACGCGGTGGTGATCCTCCAGAACCGTTCTCTAAGAGTACGCCCTATATAATACCCCCTCCCACCTTACTTTCTTCCCCATTTCTTCTCACTTCTCTCAAAACTTTCCTCAATAAAAAACCAACACACCCATCAAAAAATCACTGACTTTCGATTCTCGCAACCTTCACAACGTCTACAACGTCTACAACGTCTACGCGCCTTCCATCCCTTCTTCCAAATTATCTACTGGGGCTAAGCCGCGGAATCTCACCTCCCAGCCGTCAGGATGAAGTTTACGTTCTACCCTAACGCCCTAGATGCAGGCGTTGATAATAGAATTATCAACGACATCGTCATCAAGTGGCAGCCGAAGGCATTCACGGAGAAGCTAGATGAAGCAGGACGGGACATCAAGCAGCCGCGAGAGCTACTTAAGGCTTTGACAGAGCATCTCATTTATCTGAGTGTCATTCGCGTCAAAGGCGCGACTGCCAAAATTCTGTAAGTTTGCTTGTTATACGACAGTTCTATCTAAATCTTTGAACTCATACTAATCGCGAATTTCCTGACTTTAAGTGCGGCGCCACACAATTTTACCAAAGATTCAATTACAGGCGAAATACGCAAAGAACCGGCATTCCACGTAACTGCCGAAGTGTGGGGTGGACAAATCTCTCGCCATGGCGTCCATGTCTACATGAAGGGAAAATCCTGGGAAAGTCAAGCCATGCGTAAGTAATTTCAAGTCATTTATCATCCCTTCCAAGCTATGTTTTAGATTAAGTATAGCCTATCTTAGCAACATTCATGAGTACTCGCTCCTTTGAAGAGTCCGAAATATAACACGATATTTACTAATACTCGGCGCTATAGTGGGTGAAACATACATCCGGAAGGGTACAGCTAATCCTGCTGCCGAATTCTCAATCGGTTGGGTTCCGCCGCGCCCCTCTCAACCCCCCATGGCGGCATCTGTTACTCAGAAGAGCCCAAAGAAGACTACTCCTCCGAAAAAGCCAAACACACAAAATACACCTCCTACCCCTAAAGCACCTACAATGCCGACGCCACCTACTTCCCCTGAGTCATCGTGGACTTTAGTAGAACCGCGTGGGGGAAGACGAACCTCCAGGGCTGGTGGACAGAACCAGAACTGGCGACAGAATTCGTCACGACGCCAGTGAAGTCGGTCGCGGTGAATAGTGAAAACCCCCAATGACAGGCACAAATGGTAAGTAACCCATATTAAACAGCCCTAGACTTGGCGAATGTTCATTTGGTCTAACTGAGATTTAGTTTATCGCTTCTTGATTTACGCTGTCCTGCCTTCTCTCGGATCAATCGTCATCTCTACTTTTTTTTTAAAAAAAAAAACCACTATATAACGAGTTAATGAAGAAGTTACCTGACAGCAGGGGTAGCTTTTTAAACGATGAACGAGAAACTAACGGGGAAGAAATGATGCCATGTATCAGGCGTGGGATATCACGGTATACCGAGATATATTAATGTTCATGTATCAATTGACGTCTTGTATATATCTACGGATATTGAGTAGTTTGAGGCACTAAAGACCTCTCGAGACGACGCCATGGAGCAGAAAGGGGGCTCTCCTGTTTGTTAGTCTACCTAGGTAACCAACTAATATAAGTTGTCACCGCCTAATGAAAAACCTCAACCAGTTCACCAGAGCCTCCTCCTTACCCAGCTAACAATACCCAAGAGTTCATATAGTCTCTTCAGCGTAGTACAAAGAGGAGCCTTTCCGTCGCTTAGCGATAATGGCTAATACCCCCGCGTCGATTACGCGCCACCGGAGCCCCTTCAATGCGGTCTCGAGGGACTACCACGGTTTATCAAGGTTGAAGAATAGAAATAGACATAGCTAGCTATAATCGGCAGATTGGTATCTTTGGGCACCCAGTATGCCACTACGCTCTGGGGTTCTTTCCATTTGGGATCGTTAAAAGTGTCTGTTGATTGCTGTAACAATTCCATTATCGAGTTCTAATAGACGCAAATAGTGTTATGGACTCTAGACACTCCCTATCTTGACTAACGGAGGGTTCGAAGGGATCAGAAAAATATCCTGTATAGTTGGCAGTTTGATTGGGGTAGTTACGCCTCACTCACCGCAAAGCTGCTTTCAAAAATATCATCTCCTTGGGCTCTGGGTGGAGCCACTGCCACGAGTACAGAGACAAACACTTAAATGCTTACGCGTTGACGATCGAATAATGCTGCTAAGAAAGATTCGGAAACCCCCAGTAACTGGGTTGCGGTCCCTTATAGCTTTTCTGGAGCTAATACTTTTTTTTATAACCCTACCCTTCAGTTTCCCATTTTCTGTGTTCTTTCCTCCCTTCTTCAGCCTTTTCCACTTTTCCGACATTTTGCATTCATCAAGATTTTCCACAACTCTCAACGTCGTAAAGCACTAAATCACATTTCATCTCCTCCATTTCCATATCACGTGTTAGTACTTTCCTAAACTCCCCTTACGCGTTATCACGATGCCGTTCGAGGCGTATCCGTTTGCTCTCCGTGCCGACGTTGACCATAGAATCGTCAATGGCGTCGAGATCAAATGGCAAGGCAGCGCTATTAGGGACAAACTAGACGTATCAGCCAAGAGAACGGGATGTTCACGAGAGTTGATGAAGGCTCTGACCGAGCATTTTGCTTATCTATCTGCTTTCCGCGTAAAGTGCGAAACAATCAAGATTCTGTGAGTCAGCTCCTTTTCACGATTATGTACCTCTTACTAATCACGCGGCTTAAGCGCGTCACCGCACACATTTACGAGTGACAGTATTACGAAAGCCGAGCGCAAAGAGTATGTCGAGCATATCAGTGTAGAGATGTGGGGCGGAGCAATCCGTCGAAGCAGCGCTCATCTGTACCTTGACTTTGAGGACGGCTCTTGGGATAATGCATTCGTCATGGGAGAAACATTTATAAGGAAGCGGACCAGTTATTTCGATTTAGATCTCACCATTGGCTGGTATCCACCTCGCTCGGAACCCGAAGGTGATCACACGGATTCAGCATCGACACTTTCGCAAGACACCACGACGACAACCTCGGCTCAAATAGTATCGACGAAAACGGTATCGACACCAGCGGTATCAACCAAGGTGGCGACCAAAGTCTCATACGCATCGGTGGCGACCATGTCCAGCGCGGGGCCCTCGGTAATCTCACTGAATCCGACAAAATCATGGAACATTCCGCGATCGTCGACTTTCAATAGCTCTATGAGGTATGTGCCCTCCTATAACCCCTATCAAGAACTGGCCATCGATATAACTTGAATTTAGTTATTAGATTGTGATTACTACATAAACTTGCAGCTGCTGCATGTGAGTCCTATTATGACCCCTATTCCTACGCGAAAATCAATCGTGCGGCTAACATTACTTTCACATTAGCAAAAAAGCAGAAAAAACAAAAACAATTTGTATTATCGCTCCCTGCTCATGGGCGACATATATAAACTCTACATTTCTTGTTTAGGGTTGCATTCGTCTTATACTCCACGTAAGTGTTGGCCTCGACAATTTTATATTTCCTATGCTAATAGCTTATAGAATAGACATTTGATTGGTGATCCCGAGAAATCTATGGATAAACTCGGGGGAGATAGACCACGGACCAGTCCACAGGATGATACAACGATACCTAGGATGTGGGATATGTACAATATTTCCTAGTATAGGTACTCCCTGCAGTTGTAATTTCATTCTCCCAGTATAATGAATAGCTTCAGTATTGTAGGCTTACGTCTCCTACATTGAATCGAGTAGAAGTATGAGGTGTCTAGGTACCTAGGTAAGCATGAGAAGAATGTCTATGGTGGTTGGCAACCCGACCCTTTGAGGTTCCCCTGCTCGCATCGAAAGCCTCATATAGGATATACCGAAGTTACGGTGGCGGTATTTTGGGAATATATTTCCCTTGAAGTTCGCCTGTTCCACTGTCGGCCAAACTCAAATCCATGAGGGACAGTGAGCAATACCCAAATGTATTTCAACGAAGGCATAATTACATGATATAACAGGACGAAGGATCGATAAAGCATTATTAGATAACAGTTGAATGCGACTCGTCCTTAGAGTAGGCATTGATGAAGATATAGGGGTGTCATGAGACAAACCATATAGGGGGTTTCAACAACTCTATTGCTGCGCAGGAATGCGCAGGCATCTGCTACGGCAATTGTCGTATGCATATACAAGTAGCCTCCTGGTACCAAGAGCTCCTTCGCCCTTATGATGGCGATATGGGGTCCTCCCAATACTTCCCGAGCTGTATCGCCTCGTATAGCTCGACCACTGACAAGGGGCAGGCTTTTTTTAGACCTTCAAATTCTGGGAAAAGATTTCGAAACCTATTTAGAACTTTAGTAAATCAATCGTTGTGGTCCCCTAACTAGTATCATTGTTAGCGAAGTAGGTTGGTTGTCCTTAGGGACGACTAAGGAGTATCTACGAGATTTAATTTCCCTGCAAAGGGGTAAATTCACTCATCACGCCGGGAAAGGGGTTAGAAAACTTCGAAGACCGGGTATGCTTGGCGAGGAGTTCATCAAGCGGGTTCGTGCCATTGTAGTTACCTAATTCGTCAGAACGTTCTAGTAGCGCGCTTATTGCACTGTGCTGAGAATGGTTCACTACGTTCTGGCAACCATAGGTTGTCAACGATTACGAGCAAACAACAGCTAGCAGCTGCCTTCTGAAGCTTACCTACCGTAGTAACCAGGTTGCCGGAGGTTATATGCAGCCCTCGTCGAGCTAGTTTATCTATGTCCTTACCTTTTCCCCTCCCTCTTTTCCGCTCTTTTTCCTCTCCCCTTCACCTTTTTTTCCCCTGATCACCACTACTTTACATCCACCAAACATCAACCCCTACAACTCTCATCAACGTGGGTTTCGAGTTATATGATTTGTTCTTCACTTCCCTGTCTTGAGATCTACTTTTTTACCTCTACGCCCCTCTGCGCTCCTTTCTACCCTTCTACCTCTACTATCCACCACGATGCCTTTCGCGGCTTACCTATATTCTCTCGACGCAAACGCTGACATTAGATACGTCGGCGGCATTAAGATAAAATGGCAGCCCAGAGCGTACACCGAGAAGCTCGACGCTTCCGCCCAAGAATGTCAGAAATCAAGGGCTTTAATAAAGGCACTTACCGAGCATTATGTTTATCTGTGTGCTTCTCGTATGGGGAGCAAGGCGGCCAAAATTATGCGTGTGGGCTTCTTATCGTAACTTCCCGTTCTTAACTAACCGTGTTCTTGAAATTTGAAGGGCCACACCTCACCCGTTCACTGTTGACAGCATCACGGATGAGACGCGTAAAGATCAGGAGCACATCACCGCAGAAATGTCTGGCGGGAACCCTCGTCGTGGTACTGTCCATGTATACCTCGAGGGAGATGAGTGGGAGAATAAAAACGTCACCGCCGAGACGTTTATACAAAAGGGCGCGAAGGACCTAGATCTAAACCTTAGTGTTGGACGATGGCCGGAACGCCCGAAGCGTAATATCCAGCAGTAGCGGACAATAATGGCCTCGCGGAGTAGTCTGCGAGGCCATTGATTGTGTATGGCATGTACCCTCTTGTATGGGTAAGTTATATTCACTAAGCAATTTTCTTCGAGGTACCTTGCTAACATTTAGAGATAGTAGCCACCGCCGCGACCCCCCCCAACAAAAAAAAAAAACCACAACCGAAAAGCCGTCGCCGTCAGAGAACGAGCGGCGCCCCCAAAATTTCCGAACTATCGATATAATAGCGAAGCCTCCTATGCTGTTTATTCAGAGTTAAACCCGACTCATACATCTGGTAAGCAATACATGATCATCATTGACTTTGATGTCTAGCATACTAATAATTCGCCTAGGTAATCGGTTGGTGGGGAATCTGGACTTGGGAGCTTTATAGATAGATTCAGGAATTTTCTGTTAGACGTACTGCTACACAACTTGGTCACACTATAGAAGGATAGACCTCGACGCATGTAGTGTATATGGGTAGGCCTGCCCAATATATTTCCCGCTGTCCCAAATCCGTTCACTGGATCTAACCTAAGAGAGCAGTGTAGTAAGGTGGCCTTGACTCTCATAAATGAACTAACTAGGGATGTGTAGGGATCAAAAGAACACCTACAACCATCCGGTGTCGATCACAGTGTTTTATTCGCACGACTCGAAGAGGAGTCAGCTGCTATGCCCCGAAATACGTAAAAGGAGATATATACTCAAAAAAAGAGAAGATCACGAAGGTAAGTCAAGAAACGTTCGTTCGGGCCATGTGCTACAGACAAATACGACTCACCCTTAAATGGACTGGGGAATGTGTATAAATAGATCGCGACCCATACCCTCCTCGAAACTAGGGGGAAGCCGTATAGCACAGATTGAATGGTGTCACAACTTGGATTCTAAGTAATTCGAATTATCAAGATTCGCTGAGTAGTAGCGAGTGGCCCCAATCGTAGATACCGGCTCCGGGATCAATCTCGTATATACCCATTCATAGTATGAGATGACCTAGGCCACCTAGTGCTTAGGTAGGTTGGCATCGCGTATTACGACGAAGGGGTAACTTCACTTGTCGTGGTAGCGGAGGAACTAAAACATTTTGAAAATTCAGCTATTATTTCTAGTAAGGGGCCCATCAAACGAGTTGTGGTGGAAATGTCTCGAAAGGCTTCTCCTGGCTTCGTGTCATTATCGCCTGACTGTAATCGAAACACGCCACCGGCTTGGGTATTGTGCTGTGTCGGAGAGTAGGTCGTCTAATCCTGGGAAAGTCACCATTATCCCACACAGGCGTGTAGCAAGCCTCGAGCTCGCGGCATTATTATTGAACTGAGTACTATAGCACATTGTCCTTGTCGGCGACTACGAGGTACGAGGGCTCCTATTCGAATACTGGCCTTTGGTTATGGCCTCGCGAGAACTGTGGCTTAGGTTAAATTGCGTCATTATAATGACATTGAGTGAACTCCTCAGGTAAGAAAGCTGCCGAAAACCGTTGAGGACGAGACAATTGGGCTTGTGAAGGTTTTGCTCGGGAGTCCTCGGTGAGGATTGATTATGTGGGTATAATTAGGAGTTTTATATGGAGTTTTAATTTTCATCGCAAACCTTGGACAAAATTTCCAAGGGCGATTCAATGCTCGGCGACCTTAGAGAGTGTGGAAAATTCGACCTATTTGAGTATTGTCAAGAGCGGATGGCTACCTGGCACCCAGGTACTCGCGAGGCGCGGGCACTGTATGGAAGCGACATGCGCGCCTCAATTGAATTCCTAGGAAGGTCGACAAAGCCCCCTCGCGGATCCATGGTATCCTGGCAGAGCGTATAGAAGGATGCAAGTCTGCCTTTTGCCCTCTAGGCCCAGCTTATCTTCAAACATGATGGGTAGAGATCCCATCCAGCGTGAAATCTGGATACTTAAATGAACGCCGACACAGCAACAACTGGGAGCGAAAATCAGCCTAGAGGTCTCCCGCCTTTTTCGACGTGATTCTATCTTTGAAGCCGATATTACTTACATAGATTGCCCTACCTTCATCACCTCTACAGGTTGATAGGATCAGGCTAGTATGCTTCCACCCAATGCGCTCTGCTCGCGCCCTACCTAGGTATCATTTCGTGTCCGGAGACGAGCCGAGACTAAGCTAACAACAAACCCCGTTATGACTGGCATCAAGTGACTAAGTAGCGCGCATGGGATTATCTTCCGCTAAATGACATAGATTAATGACCGCGGGGATGTTACGCCTTTCCATATCTCAGGGACGGAAAAAGAGCATCTCTATTCAACGTAACTCCTTTCCGCGCCTAACACGGCCAGTCATCATGCGATACCAAACTTCCCTAGTAGAGACCACGAAATGGGGAGCGACCATCCCGAAACTTGGCTTCGACATGACAAAGAAGAGCGTAGACTGGGTTCTCGAATCTACCAAGGTCAGTCTTCTGTGACAGGCGTACGGAAGAGTGGCCCCTGTGGCCATCAGGAGAGCTCCCGAGATTCATTGCACTATCTGACGCTACCATCCAATTCACTACGGATTCATGAACAGAACATTTGAACTCGAAAGTAGTTTAAGCGTCGGACCTTGCGGGTCGTGAAGGGGGACCTAGTCTTACTTTGAGGTCAATCATCCTAGCAAACTCGGTGTCTCAAGAGCCAATAGTTCCATCACCCTAAAGTTGCTGATAGGACGTCTCCCAACCAAGCCTCAAAGTCTACTTAGGTAGTTTGCTTCGCCTGAGGCCCTACCGCCAATCGATATCCCCTCTGGGGAGAGAACCGCAAAGAGACGACCAATAGTCCATTACAACACGGGAGCAATATTGGTAGCTATAATGCTGCACAGAAGAGCTGATAATGCCGATTCGGCATCGTGTTCCTCTCCAAATTTAGACTGGCGCAGGTTTTTTGAAGGTTACGTACGTTCTCTGCCGTTGACTAGGCAAACCCCGTGCGGACATGAGGAATATAAATTGATAGCCGCCCCTAGGAAATTTGATTGAGAAAGAGATGGGCGCAACTGAAGGAGGGCGGCAAGGAGATAGGACCGGACTTCTCTACTCCGAATAATGCGCCTACTAGCGCAAAGGATGCAGCAGTAATATGTCGAAGCACTGTAAAGGGTGTTAAACAGCGAGTCACAATGTAGACATCATTGGCCATCATGCAGGCCACCACTTATGTAAGGAACCAAGGAGTCTATGGGATGAAGAAAGACAAGAAGGGGATGAGAGACGGCCGTGCGCCTCCATTGACAGCCTCGGCCTAACAAACCCACGGATAGGAGCTGTACGCCGACAACTGAGCATCCTCACAACTAGCGATGACCACAGTTACCTACCTGGATATCGCAGCCAACTTAAACGCCAATTAGGTGGCTATCTCTCATGCGCATGTAGAACGTAGAAGTTGTCTACCTAAGAGTCGAAAGATCAGATGGGAGGGGTTGGGATCGGGACATCAGATCGAGATGTCTAGGTAGGTGGCTGGGCGCCTGCATCAGCTGAAAATAGCAAAACTCCGAAACGGAGTTACCCCAAAGCCCAGAAGTTTAGCGCATCACAGTGCCCGAAATCATGACAGTCGGACTACCTGGATCTGTCCAAACAAACACTCCGTTAAAAAAATACGGGTCATATTTCAAAATGCTCATTTACAAGGATTCGATTTAGATAGACAACTTGCAATTAATTTGAATTAATTCGAAGATGGCTTCCGCAACGATACCTAAGGTCCTCTCACAACCGCCTACGGAGCCCGATACTCTAGAGGAGCATGCCAAGACTCTCAGTGGCTAAAGATACTACTGCTGAGAGATTACAATTCCCACCCCGGAAAAGTTCAGCAATGCTATAGGCTTTCTCTGTTCATTGGCGACTATAGATTCACTTAGGCGAAAGAAAAAGCCCTTCATTCGGGACATCAACACTCTAGTTTCGTATCGCGACCGAACAAGGCGGTACAAGAGCAGGCCTTCCTCTCTGGGCTAGAAGAGTGACCATCAGCAATCGATATCTCGATAGGCCCGTATATCGCCTAAGTTTAGGTAGTTTCTCCCCTTCAGAGATTGGGCGATTGCCGACCTGTTGTATCAATGCTACAAGACGAAAGGTCATTTATCTTCGGAGCGGAACGCGATCGCTATATACGCCTCAGTCATTGCTGGACTGATGCGGCAAATCAATACAAGATAAGAAATATACAGCGAAGGCCCGGGGTGCAACTTTTTGCGGGACTTTTGAAAACGCAATACTCTCGGCCCAGATGATCGGCGTTGGTTACGTACGGATTGATTCACTCTGCATAACCCAGTGCTATAATGAAGATCTAGGAAGGGGATAGCGAGAATCGCTCAATGTTACCAAATTTTTTTATTCGCCATCGCGGCGGAAAATGCGGCATCGGAGAATCTTACATTCTCCTACATGCCCCTCAAGGGGCTACTCGACAGATTGGCGCAGCTTCCATACACAGAAAACGAGGGGAAAGGGGACTTCTACGTATACAAGAGGACCCGAGTGAGGACATTCATCATATGAACGAAGTCGACTAAAGCGAACTACTATCGTGTAGTTGGGTTTGTGAGGAATGGTTCTTAAGCAAATGACTCATCCATTTTGCTCCACCCGAGTCCTACTTGGCGAGTCAAGACCGAAAGCCACGCAACATACGCAAAGACCCCATCGGAGAGAAACCAAGCGACGGTAATCGCGAACAGAGCAAGAAGACATCCCGACTCGACTTCAAGTCTGATCTTCTTGCTGGAAAGGGGGGGCATGACGCGAGGATTCAATAGTTGGTACGATTCGATGTGGACCTATTCCCCTATAAGGTTAACTTTTCAAGGGGCCACTTATATGCAGTTGCTGGAATGGTAACCGAGTATACCGCGATTGCATCACTTGAGTCTATAACTGGGCAAACTGTCGAGCCTAACGAGCCAAACTCCAGTACCTAGTCAGCATATATTTCGGGTCTATGAGCATCCGATATCCGTTACGAGCGGCAAAGTGTGCCGTGCGAACCACAGATACGCACTTGCAATGTCTAATGGCTGTCTCTAAGTAGTCCTGCGGCACGGCCTCAACGATATGGCTCAGTCTCGAGGAATTGCGAATTCATTGCTGTCAAACGAGGTGACCGCGACGACCAGCCCAAACCATATCCAGCCAGTGTAGCATCTCCGTTGACTATTCGAGCAAAAGGTCAATCAGTCCGTGTCTGAGGACTACTAGCAGGCGAAAAGCCCTTAGTAATGGCAACGGTAACTACCGACATAATGGCCGGAAGCCACGGTCATACCTCAGAGACCCCACCAACGAGGGATTGCTAAAATCGTTATCTGGCAATCCCCGACTCATCCCCACGAACAGCGGGTGGGTGGAGGGCTTTCAAGAGACTTGAACTCATACGAGATGACGACGATGGAAAAGGGTTTCTAGCCTTAGCCCTGCGAATACTATCACGAAGAGGGGTTGCTCATGGGTGTTTTGCCGGGTTATACACGCCCTGGACCTTCGGGCGTGACGTAGTAGCCAAACCATTGTCAAATTCGTTGACGAGGGAAAGGATTGCTTTCATCGAATCGGAACTGGCGCTCCGTTCGAGAGGGAGACCCAAACTTCCAGAAAACCCAGGATATCAAATTAGGCTATCATGATGCGATGCTGATATATCTTCACCACCCTTCACAAGCAGGGAGAAGCCCACACACGCACGATCATCACTGATTATGGCATTTGAATTAATGGGACTCCCATATAAACCGAATCACACTCGCATGAACGATCGACTCCGCAGTGAAAGTTATTTCATAACGATATACTTATTGGTTTCCCAACACATATAAAAAGACGATGTTGGTTACTGATATCTGATTTCGACCTATCACTGTGGCCGGGTAGGTTATATGTGCCGCAGACGCGCGTTCTTCACCCCAGCGGCACATGGAATTTCGCATCGTTCGCATAAAGCTATAAACACCAAAGCTTTAGCTACCTAGTAGCATCGGAGATATTCTGCAGCTTCCGTTTGTCCTTATAGGACTCCTCTCATCATGTCTTCAAAGGGAGAAGTACTCCAGGGTGCATTGGAACTCACCAACACGCTACAACAGCATGCTGAAGAACCGCTGACTGAGTCAGAGAGGGTGAGCGCGCTGAAGACGGCTAGGGGTCTTGTAGCATCCCTCGAAAAAACAGAAGATGCCGTGCTCAAGTTGGGTTATACGGTATGTTCCCCCAAATGCCACCCACACCCAATCGCGTGCCGCCATAACTTACAGTTTCCTCTTCGCAGCCTTTGGTATGGATGGTAATTCGGATTTTCGTTGAATTGAATATATTCTCGATCCTATCCGAGAAAGATGAGATATCTGTGCGGGAATTAGCTCAAAGGACGGGGGCCGATGAGCTTCTGCTAAGTGAGTTTCCCGTATTACGAAGTAAAGCGAGCGAAGCGTTAATAGAGTGCAGGACGTCTCTTCCGAGTGCTCACGGCCTCGAACTACGTTGCAGAAAAGGGTCCTGGCATATATGGACCGACAAAATGGACCGAACACCTAAGCAAGAGAACCACTGAAGGGACGGTTAGATGGATGTGAGTACTCGAACGCTATGTCGTTTGATGATAATCAAGGCGCGCGCGTTGACAATTACTTTTCTCCGTTAGCTACGATATCCCCATGCTAACGACAGCCCTTGCACCATCCTGGTTCAAGCAGAAGGGCCACCATAACCCACTCGACCCGAAGGACGGCGCCTTCCATAACGCCTTCGACGCTAAGGGTATCGAGATTTTCCCGTGGCTGGCCAAACCAGAGAATAAGCGTCATTGGGATGATGCGAACACTTATTTTGAGGGCGATAGAGGAAGTCGCCCTTCGTGGGTTACCTGGTTCCCAGTTCGCGAGAAGCTTCTTTCTGGGGACATCGACAGTGAAGCCCCACTCTTGGTGGATGTTGGTGGAGGTAGAGGCCATGATATTACTGAATTCGAACAACAATTTCCTGACGTAGCCGGAAGGTGTACGTGACACCAAAGCCCCGTTCAATGCGATTGCTGACTCGTCGTCCCAGTGGTGCTTCAGGATCAGCCGCCTGTCCTCGATACTGCGACTTCGTTATCATCGCGAATTGAGAAACACGGTTTGAATTTCTTCGTTGAGGCGCCTGTCAAAGGTAGGATTCACATTTCCCATATTCAGATTAGATAATATCGTCGATCCTTGTGCCTGGGATATAAGCTGAATATTGGCCAATTAGATGCTCGGATTTACTTCATGAAGTTCATCATCCACGACTATGACGATGAGAAATGCCTTCAGATCCTAAAGAACGTTAAAGCTTCAATGAAAAAGGGTCACTCTTATTTAGTCATCAATGACTTCATTCTCCCCGAAGTAGGCTGCGAGTTGCTTCCAGCCATGTGGGATTTGTTGATGATGACCGTTGTTGCTTCAATGGAGAGAAGTGAATCGCAGTGGAAGTCCCTACTCGAGGCAGCGGGGCTAGCCATCGAGGGCTTCTATCAGCCACCTGGAGATGGACAGGGTATCGTGGTCGCGACGTTGAAATAAGTGGCTTGAGAAGAGCGGGCTAGGACTTATACTTATAAACTACTTCCTAAGTAGGACAATATTCACCAGGTACGTCGGATGAGTTCCTATTTACATTAGGTGTAGTTCAATTCTATTTAACGTAACTAATTCGTTCGGTCAGTCTTGTTAGTTTAGGTATAGTCAAGCTGCTAATCCTTTAGCCTTAGCGCTTACAAGCCATTCTTGGCAGGTCTATGATGGCCTCATCAACATGTTTTCCTATCTATTTAAAGGTTAAGTTGAAATTGGCCATCGACCCAACCCATGGCATGTTGGAGCACCAAAACATCTCAGCCGCATTTGCTAGTCCTTTATAAGCTAGAAGAGTGGATTTCTACCCAAGTTTTGGAGACGTCTAATAAGCTTATGTAGTATCGCGAACTAGGGTTATTGGAATACCAAGAGAATAGAAGACCCGCCTCATTGGTCTGGTTCGTAGCCGCACGACAGGCCAGAAAGTGTAGAGACCCGACTTGCGCAGCCCTAACGATACATCTCCCATCGAAGAGCCACTCAGCTCCTCGCCCTCTGAGTTGACGTTACCTTTTGTGCCAGGGTGGAGGAAGTCCTTCGTAACTCCACATGGCATGTGTAAATCCCACAGGTTTTCGTTGCTACCCATGTGCGGTAGCAACCGTTTGATTGACTCCACGGACTTCTCTAGTTAGCTTTCTTTTCTGATTTCTAGAACTCTTGCCCAAAGCTTTCTTCTGCAAATCGTCAAGTTTGCGACAACCTAACTGTACAACTCATACTGTCACCATGAGATCATCACAATTGTTAGTCGCCGTGACGGCTCAGCTCATGGCTGTCTACGCGCAGACTCCAACGGTTGAAGAGAGCAATTTGGTCGCTGCAAGAACCGATTCAAGTACGGCGACAACGCATACAGTCAGGGTTGGGCTACAGCATGACTTCCAACCAGACACGATAACGGCAAACATAGGTGACATAATTCGTAAGTCGAGATAGCTACCCAAAGCTGGATCGTCCTCTAACCGTTTCCACGATAGGTTTCAACTTTTATCCTAAGAACCACTCTGTCGTGCGAGCAGATTTCAAGAAGCCATGCATACCATGGGAATTAACCAACGACCCCTCCGAGAGCTTCTTTAGCGGTCCTATAGAACAAGACACATTACAGAGCCCGATTCCGAGTTGGGATTTGAGAGTGAATACAACAGATCCGGTCTTCTTCTACTGGTAAGTTCAAAGCAAGCTGTCAAAGTGTGACCATGAAGCTGACAAATCGAAAGCTCTGCGCCTGACTCTTGTATCGGATCGAAAATGGTTGGCGTTATTAATCCGGTATGTATCTTATACCTTAATAAGAGAAGATATAATCGCATCTAACTCCCATATAGAATGATACATTTACATTAGCTATCCAAAAAGAATTTGTCAACAACTCGACTTTTCAACTCAGCCCCGGCGAAGACTTCCCCGACGAAGGCAGTACACCGGATGATGATTCAACTTCGGGAAATGGGTCCGGAAAGCACTCGCTGTCGGGCGGGGCTATCGCTGGAATCGCAATAGGAGGAGCCGCCGTGGTCGCCATCATCGTCGCCCTAGTCTATTTGTGTGGTAGGAAAGGTGGCATCGAAAAAGGATATCGACGAAGCAAAGTACCGACTACCATCCCGCCACAGATGATCGAAGCCAATTATTACGATAACGGCACCAAGAGTCCCCCGCCTATGCCTTCGCCTTACTCTGTTACGTATGCGGAACCATACAGATCAGCCAGTCCAACAGCTTGGGGTTCGCAGATGGGAAGCCCTCACAATTCGTACATGGGCCACCCGAGTCCCGGGTACGCGCCTGCACCCTACGGTCCTGGTATGCCAGGACACGAACAACAACACTTATATGTGTAAGGAGAAACCTATTACATCCTTCACCTCTATAAATTCCTCAAAGTCTAACATGTGAAATAGTGAGGCGCCAGATACACAGAAGCACCCAACAGGACCACCTGTAGAACTTCCAGGAAACTCGAGTCATTAATCAATTGCATTAATCACCAAGAACACTCAACGGATATATATAAAAATTCATCTATTCAATTTGTTTCATAGCACTGCTTTAATAGCCCAATGGCTAAGCAGATACCGGCAAGGTTACATTAGCATGGCGTCTAGGTTTTGTTGATTTGAAAAGGGTGTGCATCGTGGTTTAAGGCACGGTGTTGGCGGAGAAGAAAAAATGAAGAGGGTAGAACTGCACGAACAACGTCTTTGCTCGTGAGACTGGGCGTGATGTATCAGTTGATATCATTAGACGAGGTTAGTATCCTTAATTTGAGGAGTGATATATGTAAATAGATTCGCATCTTTTCATTCAGGGTCTCTATAATTGAGTACCTAGATTCGTGAAATTACAGTGCTGTTTAGCGTGTACCTAGGTAGGTATAGGATGCTCCATCTCACGAAACCCCGCCACACACTCGGTTCTTTATAGTGGGCGTCGCCCCCTGTTAATAGAAGCCTAGACACTTGGATGTTTTGACAATGTCCTAAGTACGAATTAACTCAGTTAATACGAAGTAGCCACACAAATAAGTCTAGGAAAGCATATTAAAACTCGGTGGGCACCTAGTTATATATAGAAGATCCGAGAGATCAGATGATTCTTATAACGTCAATTGCGAATCGCCGAAGGGGTTGGAATAAACTCCATACATTTTATGCCCTAAAAGCTAGCGACATTTGATAACTATAGCGCATTTGGAACACTGTCAATATCCGCCACTTCGGCGCTATCGTCCACCATAACTTAGGGGTTTTTCTCTTCCATATAGCGCTCTCAGAGGCTCTAGGATCAGTTGGTAGATCACTAAATTTTGAAGCAATTACCTGTATCTATACCAAGGTATCCCATCACACATCAAATAGTACCTACTTGCCCAATGTTGAGGTAAGGTAACTGAATCATCTATTTGAAATACTTCATCTTCCTAGCGCGCCAACAAGATAATGCTTTACTCGATTTCGCAGTTTTTCTGTTCGGATTGCTTTGAACCCATGCGCCTCTTCATATACTACCCTATCCCAAGCCCTTGCTTAACCTCTTAACCTTTATGCCGCCATACTCCCCGCGGAGTAACTTCTAGCGTACCAGGCTCTATAGCGAAATTCCGTGTGTCCCTCTTGAAACTACACAACACGTAGTTTATCGGCAGGAATGACAAGTAGAAGCGCTACATCTAGATATTCCTCGCGTATTCCATGCCGAAATATAGTCTCTGTTGAGTCACCTAAAACAATTAGGGTGCTATTAAAAGTGTCGACAGAATCCGAAGCTTGCGACACTTCCCGGGTGCTAAAGCCTTCTATAGAGGTAAGACAGGCGGGGTAATCCGGGAGGTCTATAGGCGTTTGATATAACTAATGATACTAAATGGCACCACTCCGCCATGCGCAGGGTCACTCTTATTTATGATGGGGTAGAGGTATCCAGGTGCTGTCCAAGCCATCCATAAACTTACCCAAACATAGCCTAAGATACGCCGAGCACGTTTATGTCTTGGTATTACGGGAGGTGCGTAGGTGAGAATCATATCCTCGATAATTATCCCTAGTGGTTGGATACAGAAAAATCGCAACGCCCCCGAGTCGTGGATGGGTATTCCTATGTACCTATTTTGAGAACAGCCCGTGGATGGAAACTTTGGTTATGGTATAACATACCTACCTGGAGAGAAATCGATAGCAACATGCCATATACCAGATATGAGGAATATGACCCAAATTCGTAAAAACCGTACCAATCTGGTTCTCCGTCGTAAGTGAAGTATGTTGTGCAACAGGAAATTGGACATGCTACGAAGCCGGTGGGTATTGGTCTGATGCCAAAAAGTGCTGAGAGGAATCGTTAAGCATGAAGGAAAATCCCCAGTTGAAGTAGCGGGTAGACCTACCTCCAGAAGTACCTCAGGCTAGAGATTTCCGTGATCGATCCATTAAATGGCGGCTAGTCTGCAGGTACGCTTAGACCTACCGCCACACAGAAGAAGGCTACAACGCTGTAAACACCACGTTGGAAGGATATAAGGCCAACACCTAGCCCAACAGCGGCGAAAAATCTCATGACGAGTTCCTCTATTGACACATCGTGAATTCTAGAGAGTAGCCCGATCTTATCCACCGAGTAAAACTCAACTGCCGTATCTGATGATGAATCCATGTCTAGTAGCAGGTAGCAAACTCCTATTGTAGCTGCCGTATGACTAAGGAACCGTGCTTTGGATGAACGTAGGCTTCTTGTCAGTGGTGGAACGTTTCTAACCTGGTATGGTGTATTGATGAAACGTCATGAAAAGAAGACAGAAACCGAACTTCACTCGGGACAGTATTCCAGACAAGCGAACCCGCTTTGGGCCCGCCTTGAAGGTTTTACTTAGAGCCGCTGATCGTGTGGTTACCTTTACCGAGTCATCTACAGGGCCCCGACTTTCGTAACCCTATGGGCTGAGAATGACGGCATCTAGATAATGAAAGAATGAAGATAATGTATATCCGCCCACGGCCGAGGCCCAGGAACTCCTGCTAATGTAGTCAGGACATGTTAGAAGGCAATGCCAGGTCGATAAACCCAATATGGGAAGTATAGGTATTCGCAGTGGAGACGAAGCGGGTGTAAACCCAAGGATTAATGCGGTGAGCAAGGCTACACTTAACGTGATTAGTAAAGGATGATAGTCCATGTTGATCGTCGATTAGCGAGAGGTCAACCAAGACAGTAGGTATGTTGTTGATCTGTCAAGGGAGTTGGTGGAAAGAGCAGTGGCAATTAAATGTAGAATTCCAAGTTGTCTTTAAGGGCAAGGTGCTACTTATAACTATTGCTAGGTAATACCTAGGTACTTCTACAGCAGGGTGCCAATTAACTCCCTTACTTCCAACCCCTGTTCAATTGGTGATTGGAAATGTCGGGATAGCTGAGATGTTACCAACGGTCAAAGTATTTTATAGCTAGGCGCTACGTTTTCGCTTTTAATAGATTCTAGATCCGTTTTTCTAAGGATTATCGCTAAAGTTGGAGCATAAACTGGATTCATTTACGCAATTTGGCTGCAGTTCTACCTTGAATGATACGTAGCTCATCAACTCGAATATAAGTCGCTCCAAAACTAAGCGTAAAGTTGTTCGCATCCTCAACAATATGAGGTAACTCATTCGATTAGTAATCGGGTGCGCTATATCATGGAAGATCATCAGTATCTCCTACGAGGGCTTGGAGTGTCATCCGAGTTGACCAGAAATCAGTAGCTCAACACTTCGTTTCATTCAGAAGTTTAGTGATGCATCGCGGCTTCGTATCAACAATCAACGAGTTCTCCGATCGAGCATCGCGCCTTTGTGGTCATTCGGTGAGCGAGCTCGATAGGCAAGTTGATGCGAAGCGCCTAGAGGTAGGGGCTGCTGCCATTAAGCGATGTCTTCTTCACTAAGCAATAGTTGAACGAATAGCACTCTCTTGGTCGATTGCTGATGGTTTTTCTTCTAATCACGCCTTGGATATCTTCTGGCAGTCGCGAATCTCGGGACGGATGTCGCAGGGTAACCCGAGTCCTCCTGTGATGGAAGCGGCCTAGAGGGAGAGATCAATCATGGCATTCCTTCATGTGGATAAGTACTTTTTAAGTCAGCACCTGTGACGTAAGTTGGTATTATCTTATCGTAAACCACCTAGTAGTAAATGAAGTTTGAAGAAGCTTGACGGGGATTTTCATCAGGAAATCAAAGCTTCATTTTACCTCATGCACTGCGTACTAAAGCCGAGCTGAGACCCCAACGCCACTGGCGTTTTTCGAACCTGATTGGGGATCCTTCGCCTCCTCAAGCGCTGCATGGACAATTTTCGCAATTGCCAAGGCCTTTTCCTCTTCAAACTTGCGAGCTACTATTTGCACGCCTACCGGACCTCCGTGGTAGATGTCGGGGTCATCTGTGTTATAATTAGTACAGGAGTCCTGATCTACACGATGGTCTGCCATAGCTTACAGGCTTTCCAATTCTTCGCATCTTTCCTGTTCAAAGGCCGATATCCGTGATCAAAGGGATCAAGATTCTTATTAGCTCTTGTGACAGGAACCACCGATACACTGTAATTCATCAAGTTAAGCGCTTCCGTGTAATCTAAACTGTGTTAGCATGAACTCATCGGGAGGGATATGGTTAATGTAGATCTCGGCCGAGTTCCCCACTTACTTAGGTGGTAATACCTTCCAGGAATAACTGCTGCATGAGGTGCGACAGGCATTATGAATGCGTCAACGATCTGGCCTGGAGGGGGGTTAGCATACGCCGATTATCTATACGCGTATACCTTAGGTAATTGTTCACGACTTACCGTCGTCGTTGGCAGTCGAGTTCCAGTAATCCGAGTATTGTGCTTCAAACTCCAGTCCCTGGGTGGTGAGTTCTTGGAACTTTAGCAATTCCATCGGTGGTCGAAGTGTCATAGTAGGAGTGCCGAGACCCGAAATCACAGGCTCCCCAGACAGCTTCAATTGCTTGTGAATGTCCTCCCCGCCATCTGCCGTTATGATGGCCACCTATACCACGATCATATTAATTATGCAATGAAATCATTCCAATGCACCTTGATAAGAAGCCACTTACATGTATTCTATGGGCAATATGATGCGAAGGTGGCTCCCATTTGACGACCTAATCATCACTTTCAGCTTGAAAATCATGATACGCATGTCTCATATATGTACCTTGTGACCGGCAGCTCTCACTGCATCAATAACCATATGTAGACCGCGAGCCACTGGAGGATGGGGATTTACAACTCCGTCCGTCCATAGAACGCCAAGTTTTAGGGGTGCGCTACCTCGTTTAGCGGTGCCATCAGCATTAGATCTTCCAAGGTATGCATCGACAATATCTTGGCGAAAAGGCATGGGGGTAACAGCAGGATCCCGAAGCCATGGTTGAGTCGATAACATGGACTTTAGCATCAACTCAATACCGTCAATCGATGTACTTAAGAATCCGGACGCCATGGGGTAAGTAGTCTGTCCGCCATTGGTAGTAGCGACATCTCGACATGAGAATCTCCCAGGTGTTGGCTTGATACCGAAAAGACCATTGAATGCAGCCGGGATCCGTATAGATCCGCCTATATCGGTACCGAGGCCAACTGTACTGCCTCGAAGAGCGAGAAGCGCGCCCTCGCCCCCAGATGAGCCGCCGCAAGATAAATTCCGGTTGATCGGGTTGAGCGTCTGGCCGATCATGTTGTTTTTGGTCTCCACGGAGAAAAGTCCTTGTGGCGCACTTGTCTTACAGTAGAGGATAGCCCCCAGCGAGAGCAATTCGGCAACCATTTGGCTTTCGACTTGGTGGATCTGGCTCGGACTTTTGATACCTACATTACTCCCGATCCATCCCACATACCCGGTCGTGGTGTCTTGTCCTTTTACGTGAAATTGGTCCTTTACGCTCACCGGCAGGCCGTGAAGTGGCCCGATAGTTGTACCATTTTTGGATTGGTATTCGTCAAGTTGTTTCGCACGTTCTAATGCTTGGTCAAAGAATATCTCATGCAGACAGTTATTCTATATTTCCACATGGAGTCAGAAATGCTCATGTACCGAATAGAAGATAGCGGATGTTCTAGCAATGATTATGCGAAATCGGAACCAATTGAGAAACGAGCTTACAATCTGGTGTGCGACCGCAGCAGTTTTGCAGAATGCAGTGGCCACCTGGAGGCTCGTGAGTTTCCTCTGTTTAATGGCGCTGACGATCGGCACACTGTCCATTGATACGATAGATATGTCTTCCGGAGGAAGGAATCGCTGGATGAAGGGTCCAGTCAAATCCCGCTCCGCGGAAGCCTTCCTGATGTCATTGGGACTCAACCTCCATTCCGGATTGATTTTGGTGAGGATATTAGCCCGTTTGCTCGCTGCTTTGGCCTGCCAGGTCTCGGTGTTCGTCATTTTATTACAAACGCAAAAGATAGGGGATGTTGGCGTTTTGGTGGCTGGCTGGAAAGTGGAGGTGAAGAAAGATAAATCAATTAGGTATTGGTCTATACCTCGGTATCGGCACTGAACAGTGCCGTTTTAGCCATATTCGTGCGATCCCCCTCCTTGTGTACCCCTGCATCTCACTCTCTTCGAAGTACCTAAGCAGAAGAATATGATGAGCTTAATCGAGTTCAGAGAAATGAAGCAAGTGCTTTCACGCAATATTCAACTTCATCATCGGCACGCCGAACCGATAACTCTGAGACTGTAGCTAGGAACTCTCGAGATGTAGAAAGCTACCTAGATACCTAAGTGGGGAGCTGAACAACCAAAGGCGTGGAAGTTTGCTACGCGCGACCAACGCGTTGAGTTCACAACAGGATATCCCCCTTTAACGTTAACAAATCCCCATGCGCAGGAAATTTCGGGCCATTCAATCAAAAGATAATGAGATGGCAATTAACACAATATCGTCTCGAATAGTCATCCCATCAGGCGTCCCCCGTCCAAGTAACCCCTACGATAGCTACAACCTTCCCCCAAACGCTCGAAGAACTCGATCTCCCTTTCCTTTTCCCACATCGGTCGTGATAGCTTCCATAGTGTGGCATAGTACGGCTTCGTCAGTTGCTTCGTTTCGAACCACTCTCTCGTTGCGTTCCATATCTCAATCAGCCGGAAGCGGCCAGGTTGTTCAGGGTCTTGGAACACGTCGAAGAGGAGGCACTCAGGCTCGAGGGCGCACGCAGCCCAGACAGGTCGGTGGGCAGCTTTGAACTCTTCTATCATCGAAGGCTTGACGTAAAAAGTGACAAATAGAGTCAGCTGGGTCTCCTGAGGCATGGTGACTGTTAAATAGTGATTGGTTTCTCTCGGAAACATCGGGTTATTCCTAGGTAGGATTATTTCGACTCACAGAAGACAAGACGGTCAAGTTCTTCAAGCTCATTATTCGCATCACTGTTGGTAACTCTTCATATAGTACCTAGGTAGATGCGGCGTTAGGGCCTTAGTTTCGGATTTCGGCTATAACATAATAGCATGGCTTAACAGCGAAATCTAGGCAAATACTGGAGTTCTTGAAGTGAATGTTAAAATAAGGATGATAATAACTAGAATAAGGCTTTTGAGCCGCCATTAGAAGCTCGACCTCAGTCCATGGCCATTAAGAGATTTCCCAGGCCAACTCCCAAGTACCCTTTATCCACAAAGTACCCAGGTATTACCCGACGAGAATTGAAACGATATTCCAGAAGAATAAAGCCTCCAAGACGAATCAATGAGGCCATTCTAGCTAAGTACCTAGGTACCTAGATAAGAGCACCAGCCCGGGAAATATACGAAATATCATGAGTCTACAAACCTTGAAATGCACGTCCATGATGCGAGCATCCTAATAATTATATCATATAATGGGGTTTATTAGGCATCCGTCGAATAATCGACTCCCTTACAGAGTGTGTGGATGTGCTGCCTAGCAATGTATGTGGTTGATCCAGAAAAAGCAATGTTGAAAACATTCGAGCTGTCCAATTGGCCAAGTAAGATTTAGCATAGTTACCGCTCATGAAACATAAAAGGGGGTTAGATGATACATGCCTCCTAGGCATCTACCCGCGGTACTATGGCCGTACCTAGGTACCAGCTCTAAATCAGCACATAAATATCTACAGCGATGACTCGGTAGGTATCCAATATCTTCCTACCTTCCCTAGAGCATCATATCATCGAAAGCTACAGTATACACAATGTCATCACACACAGTATCCGACTCAGGCCGGCGGGAGGCCAGCCAAGTGAAACAGCTTAACGAAGCCATCTCGGATGCATTGGGTTCGTTCGTGGCGAGCAGGTCTTCCACATTCACTTGTGGAGGTTCCATCCCTATCGTGAGTGCCCCCTTAGCCTAGTACTCGGTATATCTCGCCTAACTTCGCCCCTCACCCATGAAGAAGAGTCTCGCTCCTGGGGTTGATGGCAAGACAAGCTCAGCTACCAAGGAAGGCATCCCTCAGGTTGAGATAACTGGGTTAAGTTCTCCGCCCATCACCATTCGCTGGGATTCAAAAGACGGCAGTGTGACGAACAGAATTACCCTTCCCATCGTTGCTTCCAATGAGGATAGCCAGACCAGGTTCACTGCTCTCATCAATGATTGCCAGCCCGCCAGTTTTGGATATAAGGGCAAAGATATCCTCGATAATAACTATCGCAAGGCTACAAAGCTCGATTGTTCGGCCTTTTCGACTGACTTCTGCCCGTATACACTTGGAATTATCGATACGATTGCTCAGGTACTCCTCCCAAATGCGGCGGATAGGGAGTCTAGGACGGGTGTGCGAGCTGAGCTCTATAAGCTGAACGTTAGTATTTCAAATCCAACCTTCTTTCTCACGTCAAAGGTGTACCTTAACTAACTTGAGAGAGAAACAAGTTCTACTCAGCACCTTCCGGCTTCTTCAAGGCACACGTCGATACCCCACGCTCCGAAGCGCAATTCGGCTCGCTAGTAGTAAGTCTTCCATGCCATCATGAAGGAGGGCAGCTGGTCGTACGCCACGCCGGGCACAGCACTACCTACGACTGGAGTACTTCCAAGACCAAGACAGAGACTGCTCAATGCCAATGGGCTGCATTCTACAGTGACTGCGAGCACGAAGTTCTGGAACTGACTGAAGGTCATCGATTGACCCTTACATACAACTTGTATGGCGTTCCGGGCGTAGGGCAGCTCGCCGGGAATAGTCCCGCACTAGATGTCTCCAGTCTACCGCTCTACCAGCAAGTTAAAGCAGCCTTATCTACGCCTGATTTTATGCGCGGAGGCGGCCTCCTCGGGATTGGCTGTATCCATGCGTATCCACACACGAGCAAGGCGAGCCAGGCATCGCTTCCCGGTATCCTCAAAGGTGCCGACATGGCCGTCTACACCGTCTTCCGTGCTCTTGGCCTCAAAGTACGCGCCAGGACTGTTTTGGATGATAAAGAAGCTATTGATCGACTATATATGTGGGGCGAAGAAGAAGATATCAAAGGACCAAAGAAAGATGAGTCTCTGAGTCGTATTGGAAACTGGGGCCCTATTAAAGTTACTAATTCCGGAGGATGGGAGGGCGATTTTTTGGATGACGTCCTCAATGAATTCTCTCCACAGCGGCCGACAGTCAACTGGCTTACGACGCCACGAGGACGGCACGGGGACACTGGATACGTACATTTAACCGTAAGTCCTTTCACTAGTAATATTTCACGAGTAGACCCTAACAGTACTAGTACGGCAACGAAGCTGGTATCGAGGCGATGTATACCCACGCCATACTGCTAGTCGAGGTTCCCGACCGCGCCCTTGAAGTTGCAAAGGAGTAGGTAGGCACTTAGATGGATAGAAAATGGTAACCGATAGAATGGACTCAACGTGGTAGCTTAAGATTGATTCGTCTAGTGGTTGCGACTTCTCGATATAGTCGATAAAGGACTAATAACATGGTATAGCATGTAGCGGATCTTTAAATACCTCTTCGTGAGTGCTATATACCCAAATACAATTCAATTTCGAGGGCCTGGATTTTTCTATGATGGGAGAAAGATTGGTCTCACGAAAGTCTCCGATTCGGTGATGAGATCAGTTAATATTTCCGCATTTTAGAATATTCATATAACCTTCTCATTTGTGAAGAATATCTAAGTAGATACCCCTATCTAATGCCTTGGTACAAAAGAAAGAAGCTACATCCAGTAGAAGATAGTCATAAGTCCTAGATCGACGATGCCTTGCGCAACTAGAAGGCGAGCCGAGGTTGATAGTAACTATGTAACTGTCATGGGATATGTTGCCACGATTTAGAAGTGTATTTTTAATTACGTAATGTCGGACAGGCCGTCTTTGGACAGTGTAAATACGGGTTATCTCAAGAGTGCCTTGATTGTCTGCCTTGACTGACGCCACCGAACGGTGTTCCCTTCCCCCCCTTAAATGTCCACCGGTAATTAAGTTGAGGGATTAGACCTACATGTATGTACCTATGCGTTGTCAATGATAAATTATTACTGATCGATTCTGATCGTTAACGATCTCACCGCTATTGTGTATGTAGTGATACGTCGGGTGACTTGTATTGAATATTTGATCAATTGCTTTGTTCCCTCCTCATTTGGCGTGTGGCGATGATTCGGAAGCGGGATGTGCGGGCTCGAGTCGATGGCCTGCAGCAAACAAGTAAAACGGCCACAGAAAAGAACATCCACCCCATGAAGGGAGCCCTCAATCTTGGCAAGTTGACAAGCTGCCTACCTAGACGGATACGATGCCCCGGGGAGGATTGGGGGCCAAGTAGGTATAGCAGAAATATGACCCGCTACAGACCGCGACCGGGATGAAAGTGCTATTATGATGTGCATGTGTCGTAATCTTTCGTATTAGACAATATTGATATGATATTGAAGGCTGTACTATGCCATAAATGAACCATTTCATCACTGTTCGCCGATGGTGAAGCCGGAGACGTCCGGGGCGATTTAGCATTTCTTGCTGATTAACCGGTACGGGACGCTTGTGGAGATCATGGAGAAGTAAGCACGGAACAAGTCAAGATAGGGTACCTGAGTACAACGTCGCATATGTTTCTTTACACATATGTACACAGCCACCCATACAAGCACTTTAGCTGCTTAGCCTCACCAATTCGACACGCTAAGTGGACGTTTCAGGCTGCATGCGAGTGAAAAGATTGGATCAAAGAAATCTGCCTAACCGTAAGTACATACCTAGCTAGTTTATAGCTAAGAACCCGGGTAACCTGAGCTATTATAGCTAGTATAGCTAGTATAGGCTCTGGGTAATTGGTTAGCTAGCTGGAGACTTAGGAAGGTAGTGTAGGGTATAGGGCTGAATCGTGAATCTAGTAATTTCCATGGGCCTCTTTTTAAGGCAGGCTTAACCCTGGCGGGAAGACAGGATCTTTTCCCTTGCGATATCGTCAACTTCCTAGAATGACGGCGAGAACCGATTTTGCACTTTTCAGCTGGAACGGGTTCCCTCTCGGATTTTTCACAGGCAGCTTTTGACACTTTCAATTTTTGTTGGGGGCCATGCAAATCCTTTTGCTTTTTTTCGAATGACGAGCGCTGCAGATAGCAGAAGCGAAATATGGTCAATTGTGGACCGTGGCACAGATGCCGTCAGCACTTTTACATTTCCAAGAGAGATGGGGGCGCTTCGCCTGCCGAAAAAGACGATTCTAATAATTATTTACACCTCGGATGTAAGTGAAGGTGCTGACGCAGCGTCGCCTATGTTGTCTGCGTGTTTGAATAGGAGTGGTACGAATGATTTGGTGTGTCAGCGAATACCTGTTCTATTTCGTTTCATTTCGCTTGATGCTAAATCCGAATAGCCAAATCTGCTCAAATGAAAGGAAGGTTACTATTCGTACCATTCGTACCTAGGTATCTATATACAGTACACCTATATACACAGAGTGCATACGTATATGTGTACTCACATATATGTACGCGTAAGGGAGAGAGAGTCCGCTTTGACATTTTTTTTTTCGGTGAGTTGATACTACTATGTAACTAATGGCAATCATCAAATGTATTCAACCGGTTGTTGCTGTTGATAGTGGTGCGTATTGAAAAAAATAAAAATTTGAATATTAATAGATTGGGTGTGCGGTAAATTTCGCAAAAGTCCGGAAGCGAGAATTGGGCATCGACAAGCGACACGGAGGTGAAAATCCTTCGTCATGCAACGGGTCTTGAGCGTGGTTTAGCTGAGCTGAAGCACAACTAAATGCTCTGTGCAGTCCTCCTTTTTTCCCTTTCATTTCCCTGTCCGAGGTAAGAGACCTATACTATTAGACACATTGACATTTACTTACCTGTTTTTTTCCTCCCCTCTTCTTCATGGCATTATCTCTTGATGCCTAGATTAGTTTCTTACGATTAGTACGAGTGACAGGTATGTATCTACAAAGCCACCCCTTCCCTCCCCTCCCCTGGACTCCGGACTGTGTTATGCAAGTCGTAGCCTGCTTCAACAGTACATACATGTACCAAAGTAGGTACGTAGCAGCCTAGAATTAGAAAGAAGCACGTGATGGAAGATCTTGGCTCAAGCTAACCATGGAAGAGGAATGGTTTGGTTGTATGGGTCTGGACTAGAGGGGCAGCTCAGTCTGTTCTTCGGGGAATGACTGACACCTGTTTTTACACTTTTATTCTCTCTTCGCTTGAACTTGACAAGTTGAGAGATCTATGGAACAAGAAAAAAAAAATGCGCCATTTGTCGTGTTTCCTACGAAACAAACATCATTCCTCGTACGAGCGCACGTGTCAATAAGATATGACATTTGACATTGTTCTAGATCTAAGCCAGGTTCTTTTTTGCTACTTGTTGGTTGTTAAGGGTACCTTACTTAGTGGCTGAGGCTGTGATCGCTCGCGTGGTAGAGAAGATCTTTTTCATTGCTCATTGAACAATTGCGCCAGCCTACCTACCAGCCTGCCTACTTGCCTGCTAACCCCGAGCCTATAATCGTTCTCCACTGCATTCTCTTGCTACGATCCCGACAAGCTACAGTAGCTAATCCATACCCTGGACCTTGGGACCTTGGTCTTGCATCAATGTGCGGGAAGGCTATGTCCTCCGCATTGCGTTACCAATCCACGTCGAGGGCAAAGAATCGCCGCAACCCCCTTTGCGCAACGAGATGCATCATAGCCCGGCACAAACCAATGCAAACTGCCATTACTTGCAGTGGCATCTAACCTATCCACCTGGCAGCTTACCCTCAACCACTCACCACTGCATATTGCGTTCCCTACCTAGTGGTATAGTGAAACCATGACGAACGATGCAGTTGAACACACTGTTTTTTATCTTTTTTCTCACTTTCGCATGCATACTAAGACTACTACTTCGTAGAAGGATAGATCTAGCTCCTTATGTTGGTCCTTAGAGTCACTCCGTTTCTTGTCTCATTTCGCGCCAGGTCGATTTGATGGCCCTTCTAGTTTTTTCTATTCTTACTGTTGGTAATGCTATTTCTTCTAGAATAGAAGTGTAATTTGCCTTGTCGCCAGCCTTACGGCTGAAGCGTCAAGGGAGCGCGCGCCAGCGGCCTCTTCTGGCTTCGTCTATCTGGACTTTCGTCTCGAGTCTATCGTCAAACCCTCAAGTGAGTGGCTGAGATGAACAAATCGAGCCGGGCTCCCTCATAGGCCTTGCTTGATGGAAGGACCCTCGTCAAGATCGGTACCAAGGTACAGGAAGACAATCTGGGTGTGTAGCTAATGTACACACTCAGCAGGATACACTACACACCCCCTTTACCCTTGACAACCCTCCCTCCCACACACACCCACATACTACATACTACCTAGGTATTTCACCTTGTACCCTAGTCCGGTCACCCGTCTTCTTAGCCAAACTCCGCCTCCCTGGGCTGTGAACGCTTATTGGCCCCGTCTGAAAACATACCATTCCCTTCTGGTGTTTTACCGATACATGGAAGAATGATTCATCGGCCCTGGGTACGCAGGCACCCAGGACAAGACATGGGTATGGGGAGGGATTGCTCGAACCCCTGTTCGAATTCTTATTACCACAGCAGAGGGAAAAAAAAAAACTACAAAAAGTCCTGACAGATCACCTTTCGATACTTCGTACTTAAGGCACCGACCCTACACACCCCATATCCCTTCCTTATTAGATCTACCTCTTACTACATAATCTTCCCGCTTCACCTCACTCTATATCTACTCGACTTATCTGTCAGACTTCAAAAAAGGCTTTACTAGGCAACGCTCACCTTGAAAGCCTACATATACCGACATCCCCCACCACTATCACTCAGATGTCCTCATGTCTCTAGGGCCAGAAGCTGAACTCCCTATCGATTGTTCCGTCTCTGACACTGCCGACTGACCGCGCCGTGTTGTCTTACCCTGAGATCATTATCAACAACTCTGTATACAACCGTAGACATTCGTCTAGACCATCATCAACTGAGATACTTCCGTCCCAAAGCGGCGTCTCGTTAGGATCGCATTTTACCCGCAATCCCCGGAGCTACCGCCTACGGCCTCAAGTTATCCAACCTAATCCACCGCGCACTAGTCGCAATAAAACGTTACAGTCAGACACGATGTGCCACAAGAACGTTCACACCTACGTCTACCCTGACGGGCGCAAGGTAGAACAGATCCAGAACGAATTGTGCAAAGACTCGCGCCATGGCGTCCCGTGCAACCTCACGAAGACGTTTCATCATCCTACCGAATTTCTCCGGCACGGACAACTCACCCCGCCTTCATTCTCTCATGGACAGTTCCCGCCCACTCCACCACTGTCCTCTCATTCCGCATCTGACTCGGAGCACTCTTCCAAGGAGCGATCTGGAATCTACATCAATGGCGAAAAGATTATCGACTTGAACAGACGCCCATCGCGACGCGAAAAGGGCGATCGCGACCTCTATGTCGAAAGCTCACCGCTGTCGCGTACGCCTCCTCGTACTCGCAGATACAGCATGACGCGCAACATGCCTCCTAGCCCTCGCGAAGAGGCAATCCCTATCTACGAGCCCCGACGCCGCGAAATCAGCCCGGAAGAACGCGACCGCCCCACATCCTCTCACTCCCGAAAGTCCATTGAGGTCAAGGTAGTCAACGACCAGCGACGCAGCAGCGTACACCGCCGAAGCGGATCCAATAAATCGAGCTCGCAATCCGGTGACGACGACTCAGAGCGTCGCCGACGTCGCCGCAGCAGCCACGTCCGATTCGAGGACGACGAGAGCGAGAAGAGCAAGGAGCTACAGTCTAAAATTGAGCGCGCAAATGAGGATATCGCCAACCGACCTATCATTCCTGCCGCTGGATCGTTACCCTCGAAGTCTAGATACCGCCGCGGCTCAGTAACCGTCGACAGATCTTCTACCGCATTGATCGCATCTATGGAGCAACTGTCGCTTGAACGCGAGAAGCAGCGCAAGCGTGCCGAACAACGTGCTGAGCAGCGCGCTGAACAACGCAGGCGCGAGGACGAAGAGGCGCAAAGACAACGACTACGGGAGCGCATGCAACCCAAGCGCCGGGCAACTGTCAGCCACGGCCAGGCCCGCGGTAACAGCAGCGGGCAACTCGAAAAGGTTTACTACGACGATGACCGTGACAGGCAATACTACTGGGACTAAACAGTCCAAAGAAGAAAAAATTAAAATACAAAAAAAGGGCATTGTTGGAATATTGCATGTAAAAGACATTACTACGAGGCGTTGGACTGACGACGACAATGGGTTACTGTGATTATTACTTGGTTTGATTTATCCTTGTTTACTGTTTACCTGTTTAGATAGATGGTATAGGATAGGATACCAGGAGGTTATGTGGTCATGTTCATGTTCATCATATCATGTATTTTGGAGTTATCAAGCCTGTATGGATATTCACTGCGACTCAACTAGCAGTTTGCCTTGGTTCGAAGGATTTTTAGAGAAATGTAACTGCGCGATGCAATATTAAGAGACAACCTTAGAAAGGAATTTTGGAAGAGTAAAAAAAAGTGAAAGATTTTTTTTTTCCTCTAATCTCAATCCCCGTCAATATCATGTTTCACGGCTTAATGGGCTTACCCGCGACCCGATGGGTATGTACATCCATGTACGTATGTATGTGGTTTTCCGTATATAGATTATGTAGATACTAGACCACCTCATCATTAAAATTAGGTAGATACCCGGTCGCTATAGTGACTACGATGTATTAGACGTATGTAGTAGGTGGAATATCATGATATTCCAAAGGGTGTCGGAGCTGACTCAAAACATCCAATAAACACCAAGAATGCGCCGTGCTCACCTAGTCGACGCGCATATGGTAAATAGGTAAATACGTATTAATATTTTCTGTGCGACAAACAAAAGAATGAATGGTATTTGCCAATGACTTGACAATGTGCATAAGGACTATAACCACCTAGGCAACAAGCTGCCCCTCCAACGACGAAAGGAGAAAAGAACGTGAAGAAAGTGGAAGAAACCGGGTCCCGCTAGATCGCGGGGCATTTCCCCCTATCCTTTCTTTTTTTGTCCTTTCCCAAATTCCCCTTTAGTTCTCTCTTCTTCTCAGTTTTTATTGGATTTTGTTTTGATAAAGATACACCCCCCTTTTTTCTACCCAACCAATTCCATTAATTTTCAACTATTACTCACAAACCCCCCATTGCTGCCTGATTGGCCCCTCCCTGTCCGTTCCTATCCCTCGTTCTCATCAATATTTTCTATCCCGGCGACCCAGCGACCCAGCTTGCCTTACCGATCTGTCATTCATCACTTTCCTCCAACATCATTATACATAACACCATAGACCATAGGCAAAAATGGTCAACGATCGTATCCCGCATGTCCCGTAGTACATGGTAGATCACTCACCTACAACCTGGTTCGGAATAGTAGCCCTTCTTACTATCCCCTCTTGGGCTATTTTCTCTTTTCACTTTAATTGTTTTTTTTTTCTTTTACTCATTTCCCTTTTCTCCTCCTTCCCCTCCGTAATTCCCCCTCCTACCTAATACGTTCCCTCTATATGAATTTCCCATGTTAATCATAAAAGACAATACGCGTCCTCGTCTCCTATTGGTTTGTCCACCGCCTACCTACATTGTACTAGATTAGGCAGATCTAGGACTCTTGCAGACGGGAGACCCATTTCCTGACATGGCCGCATGGGGAGACAAGGGAACGGACGCACCCTCTTTACTTCGCATCCACAATCGCGCTCGCGCATGTGGAGTACGAAGTCCTAAATTTTTTAAAATTGTCCTTGGTTGTCCTTTAGTGTACACCCATTTGCATTACTTAGTTGCGATAACCTCCATCTCTGCGCAAGTTTACTTGGTCAAGTGGCCTGAGAGAAATAGCCAAGGTAGGCAGCCTTAGAAGGCGAATAGAACACATGATACCGTCGTAGGGATTAATCCCCCGCGTCGCATTCTGATTGTCGATCATATTTAGTTGAAATGCCATCCTCGGGTCTAGACTAGCGCTGCCGTGTATTGTAGGACCTACACAAACTGTCATTCGTTAACGACGTTGGCGGCCAGGCAGCACGAGAGTGGCAAAAACGAATGATAGAATGATCTTCGGCCGGGATGGGGATAATGATTGCATTTGGCTTCGGGAGATCCTACTTACTAACTAATTAACTCACTTTCGTTCCAGGCAAGCATTTTGCTCTTCTACTCGTCAATCATTAGTAGCGGACTCTAGCCGTTTTTCCCAATGTCGCGGCAGGATTCCAGTTGGTTGGTCAGTGGCATGTTCATATCCACTAAGCTTGGCACAGGCCTAGGAATTCGATAAGGATGATGACATGGGATTATCGATTTCGTGATACTCCACACACTCTCAGGTCCGCTCCCTCACCTGTGGACAGATATGCTACCGTCTACCAAAGTACGCTACTTACTAGGCACCACACACCCAACCCACGCCAAAGACAGTGAAAAATTAGGCAAGAACTCGAAGGGGGGTCCCGTGGCTTGAAATTCCCACACACATTGCATATCCAGTGTGGAGTCGAGTAGTGGCGCATGGCTGCTTCGGCGAGAGACAAATAACACCGTTTCTACCGGTCTCGGCTCGGGACCCGGGCTGTGACGCATGGCTACCTGCAGCACACCTTGGGGAATCTTTCCCCAACCCTGCACCAGCATATAGGATAGCTACCGACACCACACACACACATTTTCCAGATAGTGGGAAAAAAAACCTTTTTAGACAGAAAGTCTGGACCACGCGATCAGGTAGGCAGCCGGTTCTCATGCGGGGATGTGGAGATGTGAGACTCTTGAAGGTGTATAGAATGGTAGAGATGTGTGTAGCCCGCCTGAGACATGCGTCGCCCGTTCGAGTCACGCCGTACATCACCGTACATACGTTACATACCCTCGCCGAAGATCTGTCAATCTGCCGTTACGTGGGACTATCATTGGTTCTTGGTGGTTGCTCTTGGCTGTCCCGGTGAAGAGATGGCATGGGATAGGCTAGTTGGTTGTTCTTGATGGGAGTCCGTATAGCATCACGCCATATCATTCCACTGTAGACTGCGAATTAGTCAGAGGGGTTACTCACTTGTTAGATCGACGGCGAGGCTGTTCGCTTCGAGTGAGGTCATCATCATCAGTGATCTTCTGTTCGTTTTGTTCTCTTGGCTGATCAGTGTTTCCAGTGACGCTATATCACTAATAATTTTCCGACGATGGTACTACGAATCCACGGAATTTGTGGCCAAGTTATTCCGATAAGTCAGACTATAGGAGGCCCACAATATCTACAGTTGCGCCCTAATGTCCCAAGTAACTACTGTGTACCGGCTCAAGGTGTGCTCCTAGTACGGGTACGGCAATGCTTCTGGAGATTCTACACTTAGTAGACGATCACCCCCATGTCTAACCTGCAGGAAAGACTAAGAGGTTCATAATCGCGTAATAGCGGGGAAATACTCCAGTTTCGAAGTCTTTGCGATATACGATTTACGAACCTTTGTCAGCTGCTCTGAGTCATCTCTGTTATACTATTACAAGGGTTCTTATGCACGAAGCTAACCTTGAGTGTTACATCACAGCAATGACAGTGCAACGCCAACGATAGTCCAATCACCATGAAATAAACCGTAACGTAATCAGAACACTGCCTTTCTCAAGCTGTATTAGAAAACATGGGTTAACTTTCAGCTTCATCCAGTATACCTTGGATCTAACCCCAGGCGCCAAGAACCCAAGACATTAGAATGGTGAAAGGAGGCTCAGCCGCAAATGGAGACAGCAAATAATGATAGAACACCTATTCAATAGGCACTTAATCAATATAGGTATTGTAAGACGAACGAGTTATAAAATTAATCTTAGAGTGCTTTCTAAAGTTCTCGCGCGAGGGCGAACGTCTTTTTGAAGACGGCGACCACAGTAAAGACATGCGTATGATATGCCAATAGGCTTAAGCGAATGCGCTCGACACTCTTTTAACTTGATTTAATGAATAATATGGCTTCAACAGGTATCGAAATTCCTGAAAAGGTTTGTTCGGTTTGCGATCGAATACTTTGGTTCGAACTTCAGCCAGAAGATGTACTCGGAACACCACATCACACATCGCGCCGCAACCTGGAGGCTTCTGCGAAATCATGTCGCCTCTGCGATTTAGTACTCCATGCTGCGATAGCGAACTACAAAGACTCGCGGGGAAGAAGGAATGGCAAGGGTTACTGGAGGCAATTCAACGCGGTCAAGTACCACGACGGAACCAGCGTGCGCGATATCACCTACGTTAAGGAATTGGGAGCATGCATGCCAGTCTCCGCGACGGATTACAACATGGGTGTTGGGCGAGCAGTTTTGGCAGCGACTGGCAATATAGCAAACGACGGTATGCATGTCGATGATGAACGCGAGATACGAAGCCTGGAGACGCTGGATATCAATGAGGATGAGACGACCCACTTACCCGTTTGGTTATATGGAAACTGGTGGGCTGAATACAAGCCAAGCGCCCCCGGAGATACAGCACCCCTGCGTCTTATGGGTGTGGGCGCCCGCTTCGGGAAGACCCAAAGCCACCTTGATGCGCTGAACAACAGCCCTAATCAGATTTCCCTTCGCGGGAGTTATCTGGGTATCTGCACAACCGATGGTAAGTAAGCCTTCATTTGGAGGACATCAAGTTAATTTTGAGTGATTATCCCGTCGGCTAACTCCATACAGATGGCTTGTTCAATCAGATACCAGGCCGCCTGCGGGAAATCAATTCGGACTCGGACATAGCATTCAATCGCCTAGAGAAATGGCTGAAACATTGCGAATTAAACCATCCGTACTGCGGACGTCCGCAATCAAACCCTGTCCTCCCGACACGAGTAATAGATGTTTTTGCTTCCAATCGTGGAGTTTCTGTTGTTGAAACCCACGGCCGGAGAGGCCAATATGTCACTTTAAGCCACTGTTGGGGAACTTCATCGAGATTGACGGCAAATAAGGAGTCAATCAAAGACCTCGGAGATGGTATTGCCGTATCTTTCCTCCCGAAGACTTTTCAAGACGCAATTAAGATTACGCGACGCCTTGGCATCAAGTACCTCTGGATCGATTGTCTATGCATCGTTCAAGATGATCCGGACGATTGGGAACGAGAGGCGTCAGTAATGAGCCAAGTTTACCGCTACTCATACCTTACTATATCGGCAGATGCATCCAAAGACAGCTATACCGGATGTTTCCCAAAGCGCGAGAAGGATTCGTACATATCTCCAGCCACCATGTCGCTCGGATACACTACACCAAGAGAAGCTACGGGACCGAGAAGTCATTCACTTGCATACGAACACACATCCCAACCTGGGAAGAAGAATTCGGTTTACCTGTTTGAAGAATGGCTACCGGGCTCTAGCTTCCACTTCCCGCAGAGGATGGGAATGAATTCGTTCGGCAAACGGTTCGATCCTATCGCCGACGAACCACTTAGTACGCGCGCATGGACCCTTCAGGAGCGCTTGCTTTCGCCTCGCATTATACATTACGCACACGACCAAATGTACTTCGAGTGTGAGACTTGCATGAACTCCGAAGATGGTTTCACGTTCAGCGATATCTATTTTGGGATGAAGAGGCTTCTAGATACGCAATGCATACCCCACAGTGAGCACGGGTTGCCCCAGTCAAGCGGCATATCGTTTATAGTCGGGCAGGATGCAGGGGGCAAGAGCCCAGGTATCCGATGGCAGGGCGGGTGGCTCTCATTAGTGGAAAACTACATGATGCGTAATCTAACAGTGTCGCGTGATAAGCTGACCGCGTTGGCTGGTGTAGCGCGGGCTGTGGCGGAAGAGACGGGAGATCGCTACTACGCGGGCTTGTGGGCGAGACATTTCATGGAGGATCTATACTGGAGGACGTATCAGTACGAAGAGATAGAAGACCGGCGCGATATGAAGATTACGCCGATCAAAGGGAAACGCATAGGAACCATTCGCAAGCCAACGGAATATCGCGCGCCTAGTTGGTCTTGGGCATCGCTTGATGGACCCGTAAAGCATCTTCCGCTATCTTACAGCAACCTAGTTTCTAGGATTATTGGGTGCTCAACCACTCCCGCTGGTAAGGATCCGTATGGACGGGTATCGGGTGGGAAGCTAGATATCGAGGTAAAAATAGACTCCCACAATAATGGTACTGGAGGCGTGAAACTAACATCTTATAGGGGCCAATCTACGAAGTCAGACCTCACCAACCAAAGGGAAGGTGGGATCGTCACGGAATCCCGGTAGAGATTGATCTAGAAGACGATCGCGGCATATCAATTGGAGCGTTGAACCTCGACCTCCCAGATGAGCCAATTTCTTGCCCGTGCTATGCGCTATTTCTCGATCCCTCAAGAGCGATAATCCTACAAACCAAGGAGTTCGAACCTAAGCGGAATGAAGACGGTACTAAAGACCCGAACACTCTGGTCTCAAAGCCGATCTTAACAACATGCGATGTCAATCGCTCAATCGCTGGAGATCCGAAGATGAAGGGCTTCGTATTCCAAGCGCTCTTTGAAGCCGTTCGCATTGGTGCTGGAATATTTGTTAAATCAACCAAAAAAGAATTGGACCAGTCAGAGGACGAGGAAAAGGAACCGGAACTCTGGGACGAGGCGAAGCACGGCAAGCTGACGCTGGATAAGATCCTACACGTTTCAGGGGATCAAACTTGGGGGCCGATCACGAAGGATGACCCCAAGGTGTGGGTAACGATTGTCTAAAAATATCGACTTTTCAATTCAATCCAAGTTGAGAAATTCCTCTTGCGACCAAAAAGTCTTTTCTAAGCACTGAAAATACCTCTTCATTCGTAGCAAGGTATAGAGGTGAGCGGCGCACAATGATATAGTACCCGAACGCGAACCCGGTCGAAACTACTTGATTATGATTACTTAGATTTCTCTAAGGTATAACTATAATTATTACGCGAATGATACAGTAACTTCTTCAACGAGAGTAAACCGTTCCTTCATTCATCCGAGACTCTCCACACGAGCTTCTCTCCGCTCACCCCCTTTCGAAGCTCAGCCAACGCCTTCGTAGCCCTTTCAAGCAAGGTACTACCTTCGATAATACGGAAGCGGTTCGGCTTGATGTGACCTTCGGCTAGTAACTGGGGTATGATCTCCAATTGCAACTTCTCCTTGAAGAGTTGATTCTGCCGAACAGTTAGCTTACGTCAACTAGTAGGAAGCTCAGGAGGGAACATGTACGTACCTGCCAGTAAAAGTGTGTTCGGACGCCGCGCACATTCACACCTTCGGCCCATTGAGCGCTGGTGCTTGCATCCATCGTGTACTCAGGTGCTTCTTCCTCTGTCGCATGCTTTAGGATGACAGGAAGCATAATCGCGACTGTCGTGCCACTACTAACAATCTTAGTTATCGGCGCAACGGACCCAGCTTGAGAGCCGATGCAGTCGACGATCATGGGGAAAGCGGGTGCATCCCCTTGCTTGTACTTCTTCAACAAGTCTTCGACTATTGTCGGACTCCTGTAGTCGAAGCACTCCTTGGCTCCTAATTGTTTTAGGAATTCGTGGTGGCGGGGCGACGCCGTCACAATAATGTGGTTGTATCCATAGTACTTTAGGACTTGGATTATGTAGTGGCCAGCCGAGGACGCAGCTCCCCAGATCAAGATCCGTTCGTTAGCCCTAGGTGGTACGTAATCTGCGGGCTTCGGCCATGGGGTAGGTAGCCCCAGGTCAGTCGCGATGGTGTTGAATGCGGTGACAAGATTCTCAGGCAGGGTAATCGCCTGTTCGAAAGAGAAACCCTCTGGGACCTGCACAGCCGTTAGCGCCATGCACCTAAAAGACTGATCCCGTAGGTATCTAGAGATGCTCAGTACTCACCTTACCGAATACCCATTCAGGAGCCGTCGCATACTCTTGATGGGCCTTCCACTTAGGTTGTTGGTGCGCAAAGCCAAATACCCTGTCACCAACTTTCAAGTGCTTTACATCAGGACCGACTTCGACGACGACACCAGCCGAAGACGACCCGGTCCTCTGGGGGGGTTCAATTAGCAACCCGCCATCGGCTTGATGGAGGTCAAGGGGTGTTGAAGCTGTCCATTTGACATGAATCCTAATCTCATCCCCTGTTGGCGTGATCGTGGGAACTTGATGGACCTCATAAGGAGCGCGAGGCGCAACTATGACGAGGGAATTATGTGTTTTTCCCGACATGATGAATAACTTCTAGCACGACTTGCTACTAGGATTTAAAATTACCTCTATCACTCAAACCGTGTTGGTTTGGAACCAACACTCTCATTATATACTTTCGTGTTCACTGGATGCTTATAAATATGAGTTGGTTTCTAAGCAGAAGTGGAGACGAAGCTATCTCCTAGACTTGTTAACATGATTCAGTATAGAAAACTCCAGAAATAATCGGCCAAATGAAGCGGAATCCATGTTTAAATGCATGTTAGTTACTGAAATCCTAGTTTATTTTTGACTAATTGGATTTAGTCGACTCTGCTACGAGGATATTCAGGGGTCGTCCACCTTTTAAATACAATAGTATTATAGGCAGAAATTCCATTAAATATGATTGGTTGAATTGGAAAAGGGGTCTGGGATGGAGAGTATGATCGAGTATTCAATTACGTAACTGTTAATGGAATTCTAGATCATTCTCGTATTTACGAGAAAACCTCGAAGTTTTATTACCTTCATAGATGATTGGACTGATGACATTGATTGACGAAATATAACATTGCTTGGAATGTGGTCGAAATAATAATATATTTGGAGGAGTTGGATGGTGATAGCTTTAGCCTCAGAAAATGCCTTCGTAAATGGGAATCGGAATGATGCTATAAGACTTATGTAGCCTATAACACACTTGATATGTATCATGTAGCATTTGTTGCCCTCTTCACTCGTTGACAGGCTTGTCCAGTCCATTTTGAACTATCGCGTCGAACATCCACTTTGTGCTCATCATATTCTATGACTGTAGGAGGCCTGTAGCCACATATGATATCGTGCTGTGGCGCTTGCAAGGGCGATAGTGTTAATTTCCCAATATAATATAGGTGCCTGCATAGGCAAGCAGATAATACCTAACAGATAGCAAGGGTGATAGGTTCTTACGGCACTTACCATGAAGTTACATCCTTTGCTAGTCCTAATGAGAATTCTAATGTTCATCACGGAATATATAGGTACCTAGGTATGTATATATTTGATCTAATAAGAGTCATGTTTCCATTTCCTATACTGCGAAGAACCTTATGGCTCTACTTAAAGCCAAATAACTAACACCTGCTTTCCTATCCAGGTTCTTGGGATATCTCTACGTAGTCCATTGGATTTGACGTCGTTGGGATGGTTGTCGGAGCCCAAAGTAATCCCACCCAGTCGCACACAACACGTCCGGGTTGATATGGCGAATACCTTGAGCATAACACCGCAAGGCATACAAATTGAGGCGCATCTTTGATTCTTGGGCCCATAAGATAATGAATAGAGACTATCGTGTAAACTGACACTAAATAGCTATTTCAACTTGCGTATCAATAGTACCTGTATGTGAATCAAATTAGCCATGAGGACGCTAGCGAACAATAGTTCCGGCTGATTATGAGGACACTGTCGGTAATTGCCAGTTTTTCTTCGAACTGACTCGATGTACTGAGATGACGTTGTAGTCTTAGAGCAGGCGCCTAGACAGTAATAGGGGGTACTGAAAGCATCCAATACCTCGTAAGCAATTCACTTTAACGGGGTAAATATTAACATCACGTAAGCTATGTATTTCAATACATCTTATTATGAGCCGCTGGATCATACGGTATGGAATCAGCACGATTAATATACAGTGTCCGGTATCTATTTTGAGCCATGCCATTAACTCGATTAGGCGTGTTTGGATAACTTGAGGATATGGTTTGGATTATGTGTTGTACCACATCACGGAATGGGGTGTGCGATTTGGATCTATCATGATGTGTTATGTAATTTCTTAGGCGGGCGAAAATAAATGTTTCCCGGTGAAGTTATACTTGTATAGGTATACCTAGGTAGGTAAATAGTGCACAACCAGAATGAGGTAGTTAGATATTGTCAGATTCTAATCTCGATGTGCAGTATAATTCATTGGCTCTGTCGTTCTAGGTCGACCCCGAAAGGGAAGCTCTGTAATGTTCTATATTGGGGGCTGTAATGTGCCTGCAATAGTGGTAGCAACGAAGCAACCCCTAGATCCTTAATGTAGCTATCGGCCCGGAATGCACATAACGTATGTCCAAGTTTGAACCGGTTTGTGCCTTTTCTCTCCATTGCGTGGAGGGAGGATAGCCTATTGTTGTATGAATCTGTGTCACATTGTTTGAATTGACGTAATGATTAAGACAAGAGACACAGTAATATCTACCAATTATTTGTTCTGAATGACTTCAGCTGACGATAGCCTCGGATTTTAGTTTATGCAAGATAGATGCCTTCGCTACCCTAATTGGGCTGGAAGCTGTAAGCTGAAATAGCGGCTGCGAGTTCCAATGTGGCTCCGATGCGCTAGTTAGAAGAGATAATGCAATGCAATGGGAATGACCGATCAGGAAACTCGGGTCCAACTGCCGTAAATCTAAAGACAACTTCGGACTGAAGTTCAGGTAGATTGGATATAATTTTTATTCGATTTTTAACATAAATCTTTATGATTAATGCGAACTGGTGAGCCTACGGCGAAATCAAGGCGGTCAGACTACCTACATGTGTACTTGTTAGCATACCTAGGACCTAGTAACGAGGCGACAATATTGTGCTGGCGTCATCAGTCGTCCAATCGCACAACAAACATCCAATCTTAGAAGCTCCATTGGAAATGTTACCAGCATCCGGTCTCATGTTATTTCTCAAATATATAACTAATAACACCCGGCATTGCGAGGTGAACATCTATTCCAACTCGTTGGGTCGCAACACGGGCTAGTATATCGATAGATCCTCGACATGGCAAAACTTCAGTTTCTTGTTGCCTGTCTGTTGGGAGGAGCATCTTGCTCAGTAAACCCAGGGGCGAGTGGGACCAATGACAATCTCCTGAAACGGGCGACCAGCTTTTGGTATGCTAATATGAATCATACCGGAGACTATCGCGGCTAGTAAGTAATCACCTAAACTCCTACCTAGATAACGATTTGGAAGATCTTGTTCGTTATGTCGCGACTCGTTTTTGAACATGATTGGAAATATTTCGACGAATACTGACCTATGACGCTTAAGTGCGCCGGACCTAGGCTCCGATTTCACATATCCCGTATTCAAGGCCGTGAATCCCGGAGACGGGGCCGGTATTCAAAATGCCATATACGATGCCGGAAATGGCAACCAGCGGCATCATCATTGGCTGGCATCCCAGCCAAGGGTAGAATCCATGCAACCGTACCCGTTGATCCCCGGCTAAGAACCAATTAGGTCGTTTATCTCCCGCCTGGAACATACGAAGTTAGCGAGACAATTCGCATGAATACTGACACCATCTTGATGGGTGACGCAACAAATGTCAGTATAAATGATGCATTTAACTCGAGCTTGCTAACCATCGCTAGCCGCCCACAATCAAAGCCGCCGCTGGCTTCTCCGGTGAACAAACTCTTATCAACGGTAAGCTGTTGCTCTTTCAGAGTCCGAATTATCCCTAATTGCGCATTATAGGACAAGATGCCGAGAACGATCAACCGGGAGAACTATCCTTCGCGGTGGGGCTGAAGAATATTATTCTAGATACCACAAGCATTTCAGGAGGTAATATTGTCCAACGTTGAGATACACCTGTCTATCGATCGCATTTCTGAGTCGAGATAGGTAATGATTTTACTGCGCTCTATTGGGGCGTTGCCCAAGTTGCTCAACTCCAAAACATCAAAATTGTTATGCCATCGTCCACAAACAGCGGAGGCCACACAGGTATTAGACTTGGGAGAGGCTCAACCCTTGGTCTTGCCGATGTTCGCGTTGAACGTGGTCAGGTGAGTATCGCAATGCCGTTCCCAATTTCGAGGCGGCGAAATTGCTAATCGTCGATTCAGAATGGTATTTTCCACGACGGCCATCAGCAAGCACTCTATAAGAGCATTTACTTTTACCAGAATACTGTTGGTATGAAAATAGCCAATGGAAACACGATTAGCATCATCGGGGCCACTTTTGACACGGTCGGTACTGCTGTCCAACATGACGGTGGTGCGCCTTGGATTGCGCTCATTGATGCAACATCTATCAACTCGGGTGTAACCTTTAAAACATCAGGTCAGTATACCATATCGCATCTTATAGAATATCAACTGCTGCGAAAATCGATTCGGGCGATCTCGAAGGTTGGAAAATGACCTTGGATACATTCGTTTTTCGTGCTCGCTCTTTGCAGCCTCGTTTCTCAATTCGCAAATATTGGTTTATGAACGGTTGCTAACTTGCAAAATAGGTTATCCATCATTTTTAATCGAGAATTTGAGCAAAGATACGAGTTCGGATATTGTTCAAGTGCCAGGAGGTACCCAACTACGTGCCCAGAAGCATGTGGACAACTTTTCCTACGGTAACACCGTAGGTCGTAATCCCATCTACGGCAACGTGAGCTCATCATTGAGCCGACCTCTCTCTTTGGCTCCGAATGGCAAGTATCCCGTGATCCCTGCTCCTAATTATGCGAACAACCCCGTATCGGACTTCATCAACGTGAAGGACCCATCACAGAACGGCGGGCACACCGTAAAGGGAGACCATACTATCGACGAAGCTGGTGTATTGAACCAAGTATTGGAATATGCGGCGAGCAACAACAAGATCGCCTACTTCCCGTTCGGCAAGTATAGGGTCGACGACACTCTCGTAATTCCAAAGGGTTCGCGCATTGTCGGTGAAGCTTGGGCGACTATCACAGGAAATGGTGACAAATTCAAGGACTCGTCCAACCCGAGACCGGTGGTAGCTGTCGGTAAAAACGGGGATGTCGGCGTCGCTCAAATTCAAGACATGCGATTTACGGTATCCGACGTTCTTCCTGGTGCTATCATTCTTCAGTTCAACATTGCGGGTTCAACCCCAGGCGACGTAGCGTTATGGAACTCTCTAGTGACCGTTGGTGGAACACTTGGAGCCACTGCACTAGCTGACGCTTGCGGTTCAGCGAGCAACGAATGCCAAGCTGCCTTTATAGGAATGCATTTCACACCTAGTTCATCAGTTTATGTTGAGAACGTTTGGAACTGGGTCGCTGACCATTTTACGGAGGGTAGCGGTGGTTGTAACATTGCAGCAAAGGGTGGCGCACTCGTTGAGTCCACCAAAGGGACCTGGCTCCACGCGTTAGGAAGCGAGCACTGGTGGCTGTATCAGCTCAATCTACGGAACGCGGCCAATGTTATGGTTAGTTTGTTGCAGTCGGAAACTAACTACGACCAAGGAGATCACACGGAGCAGATTCCACCAGCTCCCTGGAAAGCTGATGTGCAAAACTGGGGAGACCCAGACTTTTCATGGTGTGGTGGAGGAGACACGAGGTGTCGGATGGGTCTCGCCAACTACGTTCAAGGCGGTTCCGACATCTACACCTACGCATCAGGATCTTGGGCGTTTTTCAGTGGACCTAACTATCAGAAATGCTCGGACTTTTGCCAAAGTAAGTTGAATTTTGCTTATGTCGCGCTTCCTATCAGTTCAGCTACTTATCGCTATGATAGACGATCTTCATTGGGTCGCTCAAACTCCCACGCGTTTCCAAGCGTACGGTTTGTGCACAACTGGGACTCAAAATGTGCTCCACCTCGCAGATGGAACACACATCGTCGCTCAGCAGGGCTTTACAGGATCGTGGGGAGGCCTCGTGGGTCGTTACACGCCGTAAGGAATAATAGAGCATGGCTCGCGTGTATTTGTAATTTCTGTGCGTTAGATCTCCGTATGCAAGTGTCTTGTCGACATAACATGACATAAATATTGCGGTCCTACTTGAAAATACATACCTACTCAGTTAGGTAGTTCATAGAAAAGGAGTGAAGTGTGTGACGACGATAAGCACGATAAGCATGTGATTTGAGGATCGTCTTTTCGTTACGCGTAAGGGTTTTGTAGTGTAATGCTTTTCGAATCTTGTTGCAATGCCTTGCGAGGGATCAATTTCCACATGCATCACATGTGTGCATATTTATCTCTTCATTGGTTGGTGGAAACATTTCCCCAGTTTATTGAGACGAAAATTTTAAGGAACTGATAGATCTTTTTTTTCTCCGTGTCAGCATGCGGCGTGTTAGATAAAAAGCGGCCCTGATATATGGACCTCTTACCACACTTTTTCTTATTGCATGAGAGGAACCGTGTTTACATTCCACCTATTCCACCTAGGCACTGATTGGCATCGTTAGGTTGCTTCGGTTGCTTCAGGTATGTGCAAATTACTTTAGTTCATACCGAAGTGGTGTAGCCTTAGCTAGCTACGTCTATTCGACCTCAACATTTATAATTTCTAATACCAATAAGGTCGAATAAGACCCAATAAGGCCACATCTATTTCTGGCTTCATGTAGTGTAGCTTTTACCACTCCACTATCGCCGAGTTGTGCATCCGCAACTATGATTAACCTGCAGAGATCGACATAAATCAAGCACACATATGCATATATGTCCGTAGTCCGATGCGAGATATGTAGCAGCTGAGACAATCTAATTGTGTTAGCCTATCCCATAAACTTGGAAATTGAAATGCAGAGACTTAACAGCCTTGCCAATCCATCAATGTTGGATTTGTACCAGGCCCCGATATCGCGGCTTATAACTTAACAAATCAAAAGTTCCTGATTATATCAGATATTACCCCGAAAAAAAAAGAGAGAACGAGATGGTGACGTTGGGGTTGGGTTGGAGGCGACTAATCCCCTTGATCCTTTTTTCCTTTTCTGACCACCAAAATGTTCACGATTGGTTATTGGATCTTGGTAACTTGGCGCGTATGATTGCGAAATCCCCCCAACCAGACTTCGTAAAGCAGGCAGGCAGAAAAAAAAACATCGTCACTTCTCATGTGATACGCATTGATTAAAAGTCTGTAACGGCTGAAAATCTTCCTGGCTGTGCAACTTTCCAATGAGGTAAGACCTTGGAATATCTCACCGAACTCTGGCCGGGCTTTAGGGTAATTTAAATGACGATAGTGGACCGGTCGAGGGGTATAAGGAATAAACCCCACTAAATAACCCACTGTAAGGTCCCATCCTATGCCGGTAAAGTGGAACTACGGGGGTTCAGCGGCTCGAGGCGAGGAGAAGGAACTTGGGGGCTCCCCGGGCACTCGGAGGCGAGTTATTGACCCCCGCGTAGGGAGATTTGTAGTTGGGTACGGACGCCTATCGTCGGGGATGATGAGACATTGGAGATAGTCGGTACTGCCTAGCAGGGAAAACCGAAGCACACCACGCAGCCACGTTCTTACAGGATTCCCTACACGCCCTACATACATAGAGATGGCAAATTAATATATTAAATGATACCTATTTGCCTACCTTACTTGCCATTGCGGATGTTTCCAGTATCGTTTCCTTTTCTTGTTTTGGTAGTACATGTGTGTGTCCTTACTACTACTTATTTCCCCCGGATCCTCCCATCTCTTGTCCTAGATCTTTTTCTCTTTAGTTTGCTTTTTTTTTTCTTCCTTCGCGTACCTTTGGGTGTTAGTGTGTGCGCCTCGTACCTGTGCTTAGTACTGATATGTATGAATTACGGATGAATACTGTGACCATATACCATTTTAAGAAACAAACAAAACGGGTTAGCTATCGCCGAGTTTTACTGATTCGTAACAAAGAAGAAAAAAACTAGTACCCCCAGTCCCTTCTGCAATCACACTAGCAAGCTTGTAAGTGAGCAAGCCATTGCCGTTTCCTTACATGGAAAATGCCGCTAGACCCCTGAATCCAACCAGTTAGCTCAGCCCAATCCAAATCTTACTACGATATCCTCCTGACCGAACCGAGGAAATAATGGAGAATGACCTCATCTTGCTGGAATCCACTCACCACGAGAGACGCAGAGCCATACCCGACAAGGTAAGTAACCGTATTAGTTAGTACCCCGCCAACAAAGCATGCCAACAAATGGAAACATCTTGAGATCGGCGCGATCGACATACGGTCCGGTCTTGGCCAACAGGCTCCTCTGCAGGGCCCTGCAGGGTTACAGTTCCAACTGTCACACGGCGGAAAGCTTGGTTCAAGATCCAGGATAGGTGTGTGTGACCGTGTGAGAGCCGACTCTTTATTACGAGCGGTTCCTTTGTAACAAGCGTTAGGATGTTAGGATGGAAAAAAGTGTAGCCTTCTCCATTATTCAACGAGTCCCTGGGTCTGCAACGAAACCGGGGGACCTTTTCTCCATCGTTATATAAGGGTCAGACCCGCCTTCTCCAGACTCCAGTCTCTCCAGAGATCTCTCTCCCACACCTCCAGTTTGTCCCTTCAGTCTGGTGCTAGATTGAAAATCCGGAGTCGGTCCATTTTCTTTTCAGTTGGTCAATCCGTCGAGATCACACTTAGTAAGATCTGGAGCGCGCAACCATAGCGCTCGACAATCACACCAAGTTGGCTCCACCAACCTCTCCCTTAGAATAAACCAAAATGACGACGGCGACAATCCCGTCGTACATGGGCCTTTCGGGCCGGCCACTGTCTCTGGTCGTGAGTACAGTGGCGACAATGGGTTTCCTGCTTTTCGGTTACGACCAAGGAGTGTAAGTAACAATATCGCAACCCGCAAGTTCTAACTCTCATCGCGGTCGATAGACGCGCGGATTGGGATCTGCATTTTCTCTTTACGCGTTCTTTAGTTCGATGCAAACATAGCAACACCCAGAAAAATGATGTTAACTCAATTGAAGGATGAGCGGTATTATCGGCTCTGACCACTTCGCCAACGTATTCGAGGAAGTCCGAAACAATGCGACAATGCAAGGTCTGGTCACGGCTATTTACGAGATTGGTTGCCTTATCGGCGCTATGTTCATTCTTGGTGTTGGTGACATCCTTGGTCGACGAAAAGCTATGATTATCGGCGGCGCAGTCATGATCGTTGGAGCTACAATCCAGGTTACTGCGTTCCCGGGCCACAATCCCCTCGCTCAATTCATCATTGGCAGAGTTGTCACTGGTGTAGGCAACGGTATCAACACCTCCACTATCCCGACATACCAGGGTAAGCAATTTCCCCGCAAGCCACCATTCCTTGCATATTACTTGATTTTAACATTTTTGCAGCCGAGTGCAGTAAGACCTCCAACAGAGGTTTGCTCATCTGTATCGAGGGTGGTATTATCGCATTCGGTACCGTTATCGCTTACTGGATTGACTACGGCTGCAGCTACGGTAGTGAAGACCTATCTTGGCGATTCCCCATTGCTTTCCAGACTCTTTTCGGTTTCGTTGTGTGCATTTGCATGGTCTTCCTCCCTGAGAGTCCTCGTTGGTTACTTACCCACGAGCGTTACGAAGATGCCGAGCGTGTTATCTCCGCTCTGCGAGGTTACGAACTTGGCAGTGAGGAGACTCACACCGAGCGAGACATTATTCTAGACTCTATCCGCGCCTCTGGTTTCGGTAGCCGCAAGAGCACTCCTGTTAAGGCCCTTTTGACCGGTGGCAAGACCCAGCATCTCCGACGTATGTTGATCGGCTCTAGCAGTCAGCTGATGCAACAAGTGGGTGGATGTAACGCCGTCATTTACTACTTCCCTATTCTGTTTGAAAAGCAAATCACTGTCGGCGACCAGAACATGGCTCTACTTATGGGTGGTGTTAACATGATTGTTTACGCTATCTTTGCTACTACATCTTGGTTCATCATCGAGCGTGTCGGTCGTCGCAAGTTATTCCTTTACGGATCCATTGGACAGGGCTTGTCTATGGTCCTCACATTCGCTTGTCTTATTCCTGGTACCACCTCCGCTGCCAAGGGTGCGGCTGTGGGTCTTTTCGTAAGTGCTCTGATTGCTGGTGTCATACCGACTTGGGTGGTTTTTTGCTAACATGTGATTGCAGACTTACATTGCATCCTTTGGAGCGACTTGGCTTCCTCTTCCGTGGTTGTACCCCGCTGAAATCAACCCCATCAAGACCCGTGCGAAGGCCAATGCCGTCTCAACCTGCACAAACTGGCTCTTTAACTGTACGTGCACATCTAAAACTAGTCTTTTTTTCGTCCGGGTCAAACTCTGAGCCCCCAAAAAGATCCGCGATCTTCGTATCCGCAAAACACAATATGAGGCTTAAAATCATCACCTCGCATTTTCATGAGAGTTAAAGCTAACTAATATTACAGTCCTTATTGTCATGGTTACACCTGTTATGATTGCCAACATCGGCTGGGGTACTTACCTATTCTTCGCCGTTGTCAACGGTTGCTTCATTCCTATCATCTGGTTCTTCTACCCTGAGACTGCTCGACGATCACTGGAGGAAATTGATATTATCTTTGCCAAGGGATTCGTTGAGAACAAGTCTTACGTTCGTGCTGCCGAGGAGCTACCGCTACTTACCCCCGAACAGGTCGAGCAGGAAGCGCTCAAGTACGGTCTTATCGACACTGCTGCCAGAGGCGCGGCTCGTGCTGCCGGCCCTGCTGGCGTCAACCACGAGAAGGCACTTAGCGAGAAGAGCGAGGAGGAATCTGGAAGCCACGAAGAGGTTGAGAACTAGAGTCTTGATTGACTTTCCTATAGCGTTTTAGATGCGCTATCCTTAATACAGCCGACCGTGGCAAGACGTTTGGCTTTTTCACTATGATACCACTATTAGGGGGAGGGTTCAGGGCATTAGAGGTGGGATGGAATGTCCTCTGGTTAACCGATTTGATCGTAGATTGGTTGCTCTACATAGAACTGGGTTTGGGCAGGCCAATATTTCTCATAGACCTAGATAATTCGGCGGTTTAGAGGTACGGGATTCTCGCCGCAACTGTAACGAGGTAATCTTCACAATCAATGCAACCGTTACAACATATTACATATACGCATTCAATTGTTACGCGAAATGTAGACAGTGGATGTTATACTACGTGAAAGAAACTCGACAGCCTCAGCTGAACAATTACGTAGGTGTCGACTCAACCTCTTTGTTTCGAAATTCACAATTCGCCTGGATCGCGTGTTTTCTTGAGACCCTTACGTAGATGATATCATTTGGTGTGGCAATCTCAATTATAGAACAAAGGCATATATTCACTAGTCGCTCCGAGTACTCGAGCTATTTTCAAAGTCCCCTTCATACTAGGCGACAATGAGACTCGAATTTTTCGCCGCTACTGCCCAAAGTCCTTTGCAGTTCAGGGACTACACTCCAAATAGCGTCTGTGCAAAGTTTGCCTTCAGAAACGAGCTTAAGTCAAAGACATAAGCCAATGAGGACGTGCAGTGTATTATGGTTGGTTGCGGAATACGGCGGCTCTAGAAGTAGGCATATCTTTCTTCCAAGGTTTTTTTTGGTTTTTTTTTTTTTTAAAAAAAAATGTTTGCGCGCAAATGACTCGTGCTAAGCGTTACCAGCTAATCAGAACCACGTAACCCTTCCAGCCAGCCTCCGAATCAGCTTCCCTCCACTTCTCAATTCCTCCTAGCACGCCATCCCTCCCTACCTCCCAGGCGCCGGTCTCAATTTGTTTGTGCCACAAGTGTAACACCTGAACTAGGCGAACTTCATGGGATTCAATGAATGGATTGTATCCCAATTGGTAGAGATCAGCGTGTGTGTCCTTCATCCGATGAAGAAGGGAGCCTTTCTCCTCTTTGTTCTCGCCGAACCTTGCCCCGTCGCTGGTACGCGCGTATCCAGATGCCCCGATACCGAAAGGGAGTACGACCCGGGCCCCATCCTCAAAGCACATGGCTTGTCGATCCGAGTCCGTCAGGTAAAGCCCTGCCGGGTACGTCCTTACTCCAGACCAAGGCCATGCGAAAGGGAGGTATGAACCAGTCTGATCGTCAACCCCATGGGGACTAGGTGGGGTGCGGAACATATCCGACGCCCGGAATAACAAGATAGGAAACTGGATTGTTTGCGGAGTGGCCGAGGTCTCGGATATAGAATTCAGCTCAACTCCGCTAAAGGGCTGCTCGCAAAAGGAATCAATTGTGGGTATCTCGAGACCTGGCGCTATGTATTGAAACCATGGCCGCTGTGCTTTATTTAGAAACTCTCGGACAAAGCCAGGTGATATGTTTGCAGTATCTAACGAAGTATTGGGGATGAGTTGGGGTTCACTCGGTGGTCTAGCAACATCTGGTATCCGAGACTCAATTGCATCCAAAAGGCCATGGTAGGCTGTGAGCGTCTCTTGCAATTGACTTTCGCTGTACGGTAGGATTATCCACGGGTCGAATTTCTCATTTGGTACCTCTACATCAGGTCCAACAGCTCGGACTTTACCTACTTCTACCATATCAAGCCACGCGCTTAGGACATCCTCAAGGGGGAACCACTGCTGGCGATCGTTATGGGTGATTGGAGAGTCGAAAATTGACGTTTGCATGACCGCCTTGTTTCCCACTTGATCAAACCTCCCTGCAAATCAGCTAAATGCTAAAAGCCTTAAAAGCCGGAGTTTGGATCTTACACGAGACCATCTGGTTCTGAAGCAATTCCAGTTGCAGTATACAAAGTCCAATACCGATCTGATGCTTCTGCCGAATAGCCGCCACTGTGGTGATTCAGCCATAAGTAATCCGGGCTAGCTAGGCCCCCAACATAGTAGTGTAGTGAGTGATCGTCCACTACCAACGCGCGTTCCAGGAACGCCACCAACGACGGGGAAAGTCGGCCGCGTATTCTCTCTGCATCCTCACCAAAGTATTCGAACCAATTGCGACGATGTAGAACTTCAGCTTGATCGTTATTGCTATCGTATTCTAATCGTTTCCCAGAGCCCACCCAACCTATTTCGAGAAGCCTGTTATGTAAGACAGCACAATGGCTATAATTTAATTCAGAAGCCATCTGTGCGGTGCGGGGCCGCTCCACGATAGTCCTGTTTTACTCCTCGTAAAAGGTGCATAACAATTTCGGCGAGGATGGACTAAATAGGTTGTAGCTGACTTTTTCAAAAATCGCATATTCGGACTAGGATCGTGAGGCTCAACATAAGACATAACACAGGATCAAATTAAAATAAATGAGAGTGGTAACTCCGTGGACCCGCGCAAGACGCCAAGGAACGATCATTACTCACCAGTTCCAGAGATTGGTATGCTTGGGACGCGTCAATTTGAACAGGGGTGTAAGATGAGTTTGTTATGCCCGAAAACTTACATATCACAAAATAATTATAGCTGAAGACGAGTAGATTACCGATTACAGTAGGTACGATATTTTTCTTCGTTTGGAGTTATAAGGCTTAGAAAATCATCGAGATGGCCCCATTGCTTATTCTGCTCGTCGCTGTAGATTGTCGCACTTAAAAATCTTGTGGCGGTGGTTACGAGCAGCCCATGCTACGAAAAAGGTCACCTTGCGCAGTAATATTTCAACATAAATCCTGTCGCAAAGAGTGAAGTTCCAGCAAAAGACATTGACTTCATTATATAAGTGGTACAGGTTTGCTGAAGAATCAATTCCTCGGTCTCATATAATCATCGTGTTTTCTAGATACCTCGATAATCATAATTCCACTATTCAAATATCGAGATCTTCAACAATGTCAACTTCAACACGTTCGTCTCACACGTGGCATTGCACCTGAACTAGACAATTAGTTTATCCAACAATGTGGCAACATATACAATATCTTCAAGGTCATTGGTAAGTTAATTAATCATGATGTTGCGCCGTCTCGGCAATTGATGGGAGACTTCTAAAAGGGGATGTCGCATTCTAATACGAGCTTGATGATTGGTTTACTGAGCTCACGATGAAGTTAAACATGACAGGGATATGACGAGATGGGGCTCTCAAGTATTACATCAACACTCCGACTTTTCGATGAAGAATTCGGGGTTCAATCGCGAATTGGGAAACTAAATCCATAATACTATTTGATCTTCTCCACTGTTCACTCGTCATTCGGTCTCAGCCTAGCATTTTTCGTGGTCGTGATGGTTTCTTGACGTCAACGACATGTTGTAACACGCAATTCCGTGTATCATGGCGACTCACGACTATGCGGCAACCCGTTGGGAGGTGCGGACCGGTGCGGGTTCAAGAAGCTTGATCTCCCCGTACAAGAACGGTCAATAACTACGCTGTTGCAGCCATAATTTACCAATTCTAAACCGTTGTGTAGCTCGTGTGTCTTCTCAATCTAATCTTATTAGAGAGCCCCCTATGTCATCAGGTATCATATCAGATACGGCGCAGAAGGTGAAGAACATGGTCGGCGGAGAGAAGGGCCGTAAGGTCGCAGACCTAGACGCCGTCTCCCAGACGGTGTCATCCAAGGACAGAATCACAACCGACTTCGGTGTAAAGATGGGCAATGTCGATGAATGGCTACGAGTTGCCAATGAGGACAAGACTGGGCCCATGTTGCTAGAAGATTCACATGCTAGGGAGAGAGTGAGCGACACCGATGTTCATCAGCGTAACATATTTGGTACTAATATGAATAGATCCATCGATTTGATCATGAACGTATCCCCGAACGAGTCGTACACGCACGAGGAGCCGGCGCATTCGGCAATTTCCGGCTATTCGAGAGTGCCGAAGATGTAACGACAGCAGGAGTTCTAACAGATACATCGCGCGAAACCCCTGTCTTCGTCCGATTTTCCACGGTGCAAGGATCTCGGGGTAGCGCCGATACTGTTCGTGATGTGCGTGGATTCGCCGTCAAGTTCTATACGCAAGAGGGCAACTGGGACATTGTTGGAAATAATATCCCGGTTTTCTTCATTCAGGACTCGATCAAGTTCCCTGATATTGTTCATGCCGTAAAGCCCGAGCCTCACAATGAGGTTCCGCAGGCGCAATCGGCTCACAACAACTTCTGGGATTTCGTATACATGCACACTGAGGCTACGCACATGTACATGTGGACGATGTCCGATCGAGCGATCCCGCGATCCTACCGCATGATGCAGGGTTTTGGCGTGAACACCTTCGTACTGGTGAATAAGGAGGGCAAGCGTTATTTTGTTAAGTTCCATTTCACACCTGAGCTTGGTGTACACTCGCTAGTTTGGGACGAGGCATTGAAATTAGCAGGACAGGATCCTGACTTCCACCGTAAAGATCTATGGGAAGCGATTGAAAATGGCGCTTTCCCGAAGTGGAAGTTCGGCATTCAACTCATTCCTGAAGGGAAAGAGAACGAGTTCGACTTTGATGTTCTTGATGCGACAAAACTCTGGCCTGAGGACCAGGTACCGGTTCGATATATCGGCGAGCTCGAACTGAATAGGAACGTTGATGAGTATTTCCCACAAACTGAACAGGTCGCATTCTGTACTTCGCATATGGTTCCTGGTATTACGCACTCCGATGACCCCTTATTGCAAGGACGCAGCTTTAGTTACTTCGACACGCAGTTGTCTCGTCTCGGAATCAACTGGCAGGAGCTGCCAATCAACAAGCCAGTCTGTCCTGTCATGAACTTTAACCGTGATGGCCAAGGCCGACATGCGATCACCAAGGGAACCGTCAACTACTGGCCTAATAGGTTCGAGGCACGGCCGCCTGCAGCTGCGCAAGAGGGATTTTATACAGAGCCGCCCTTCAGCGTTCAGGGTAATAAGTCCCGCACTAAGAGTACCAAATTCAGAGAGCACTACAATCAGGCTCAGCTATTCTACAACAGTCTGTCAGAGCCGGAAAAGAACCACTTGGCGGCTGCATTCTCATTTGAATTGGACCATTGCGACGACCCAGTTGTATATGAACGTATGTCCCAGCGATTAGCAGAGATTGATCTAGGGCTTGCTCAACAAGTTGCCGAGTTGGTAGGAGGATCCCAACCCCAGAGACAGGCGAGGCAGAACCACGGTAATAAGGCAAGCAAGTTGAGCCAGACAGAGTTCCCATCAGCCAAGCCGACGATTGCTAGCCGGAGGATTGCGATTATTATTGCAGATGGCTTCGACAACAAGACCTACGGCGCCGTAAAGGCAGCTGTGAAGGCCTCTAGCGCATTGCCCTTCACCATCGGTCCGCGCCGATCGGAGGTATTTCCCGCGGGCTCATCGAAGACATCTGGTAGTGGTGTCCAACCCGATCACCACCTTGAGGGTATGCGATCCACCATGTTCGACGCGATATTTATTCCCGGTGGCGTGGATTCAATTAAGACACTGTCCAAGAACGGCCGCGCCGTCCACTGGCTCCGCGAAGCATTCGGACATCTGAAGGCAATCGGCGGTACCGGTGAAGCAGTCGAATTGTTCAAACTCGCATTCGCTTTACCGGAGATCCAAGTTTCGACGAACGATCAGGCGGTCGAGTCGTATGGTGTAGTTACGATGAGCAAAGTCGCTCCCGAAGGCTTAAAGGAGAGTGTGGCTATCGCGAAGGAGGGGGCTGGTTTTTTGGAAAAGTTCTGGTACCAGATCTCGCAGCATAAGAATTTCGATAGAGAGTTGGCTGGGCTTAATACGCAAGTCGCGTATTAGTAGGGAGGTTCGAGGATAAAGCACGAAGGGTGACTTGGGAGAATGTTGTACATATATCGAGATGTTATCGGACTTATTGTATCTATATAATGTTATACATTAACGAAGTTATGATTACCAAGATCTCGAAGCTCTTCGTTTACTTACTATAGTATTCCGTCCTCTGTAAAGGATCTCCTTTGGCGTAGACTAACAATCCGGAGCGAAGATGTGACCTTCTAAGTGGTCATGGGTCGTCCGCATGGTCAGGTACTTGTCTCCGTCGAGCTTTCGAAAAGCCTCGAGGCTGCATCCTGACTTAAACCTGAAGTAACATAAAATAAATAAATTCTTTCGCTTTTCTTCTTTCTCTTCCTGTGTTCTTCTTTCTTCTTTCTTTTCCTTTTCTATCTCTTCTTTTTCTGCCTTTTCTTTTTCTTGTTCTTCGTCTATCATCTTATTACTATGGTATTAATTAATCCTTTTTTTTTCCTTCACTACTTTTAGACGAGGTATTTGCTTTTCATTTTCAGCTGTTCAAAATCAGCCACCCTCCTCAAAATAGCACTAATACCTAGCTAACCCCCAACCAGCCAAGATAATTCAGAAAATACAACACCAAGTCTCCCATAGATATCGCTCGATAGCTTCGAATTCCTTGAAACTTTTAATCATGCCCGACATATTTGCCGACAATTCCTTAGGATATGGCGCGCCAATACCGACACAGCGCCATAATCAACTCCAAACCAGCGCAGGCTCCAGCGTGAGTAGTGCTGACTGACCGGTCCAGGCAGGCTGAGCGGCCAGGGTACTAGGTATTTCATATCATTCATATCTCATTAGGATACAATAATAACATTTCATAAAGGGATAAAGTCTGCATTAATCAAGATCTGTACTATGTACGTCATTTGATAGCCGAGGACCATTACATAATCATAATCGGCACAGATGACATCACTGTCATCGGATCTTGTAATGTCACATGACCGCCCCTGATAGATACAATACATGGCTATATACCTTGGTAAATTCACAGAATCACCATTCCATATTAAAAACGAACCAAAGAAACATCAACTATTCAAATCCCAATGCCCTATATCATATACTCCACGCTAAAAACGATGACATGAACCAATTTATCTGAGGCGGCGGTTGTGCTCAGCCTGACGCTTCTTCAGGCGGTAAGCGATCGCCCTCTTGCGAGCCGCTGTGGATTGAGTAAAAGCTCCGCTGCCCCCGAACGGCCCGGCAGGAGTTGAGTTCCTCACGCGAACAATGCAGACATTGGAGGCACCACCAACAGTAGCATCGCAGGTCATGCCGGCGGGCATCTGGACGGTCAAGGGGAAGTCGGTGTTGGTAGCGGCAGACAGCCCGAGGAAGCCGAGGCCGGGGACATCTTGAGTGACGTCAGCGGTTTGGAAAGCATTAGCGTCAGTGCCACCCGACGTTCCGTCGACAGCGGCCTCGATCGGACCAGCACCGTCCTGGTTGATCTGTCGGAATGTCATGGTAATGGATCCATCATCCGCGCACGTGGGTAGCCCGGATGTGGCACCCTGGCCGGCGGTTGCAGCAACTGAAGTTTCTTGGGCAACTGAGGTCTTGTTACCTGCGCTCTTGCTGGAAGAACCCTTGCTTGATGCTTTACCGCCACCGGTAAGGCCCGAAAGCAAGTCTCCAAGGCCACGACGGAAGAATGAGCTTCGCTTGCCTACATTCGCCGGAATGTCATCTTCCTGGCCCACAGAGTCCGCAGATCCGTTGTTGGTGGGAGCTGTTGCACCACCCATGAAGTTTTGGATCATAGTTGCGGCATCGACGGGTCCATTGCCCTGGGTTCTACCCAGAGGACTAGCCTTGCCGCTGGCAATCTCGCGGTCCCTAATGATAGAGGTGTCTGCTTGAGAACCACAAGAGTTACTGCTGCAGTCACGCGGGGTTCCGTCGGCAACTAGGATCTCTAGTTAGTAACTAAGCTTCTATATCCGTCATATTCTCCGAACTGACCAGATAGACCAGGCATTACCACTCCATTCGCGCCTTGGATGGAAGTCACAAGACCATGACCGGAAACAACGGCGAGGAGGCCGGAAGTGGCAATAAGTGAGTAGCGCATCCTGGCGACTTGTGAAATTGAACTAGAGAACGGTTTATTAAATGAAGGTAAAGTAAATGCCACCAGGGCTATCCTCAACTATGACAATAGAAGGTAAGTGGAACTAGATGAAATGAAGCTCTAGCTTGATGCTAACAAGAGTAAAGACATCACTCAGCTACAGTTTCCACCGAGTCTTATATACACAATTCTAACTGAAGCGAATACACACAGCTGTAGTCAGTCTGTCTCAAACTCCACCATTCTACCTATCCCATTAACATTGAACCAATCGCTTCTACTATGAATGTGGTATCGTCCAGGTATTTTCGAAACGATGGGCAAAACACAGCTTAGTTGTTGTGTAGCCAATCGCATCCAAGCATACGATTTCCCCCACGTTTCGGGCCTTTAAGGGCGATCACCTTACTAGCTTCATGTTAGTGACTATTGAGGCTTTGCAACTACGATTTTGAAGTTATCGCGTTTCAAATTCTTCTAGCTCTAGAATGATGAGATAATTCCAGATCGTACCCACATAACTTAGTAATTATGTTGGCAATGATCTCCCAATTATTCAACTAAGTTCAAATCTAGGCCGCTGATAGAAAGCAGACATAATTGCTTCTATTTATTATTATTTCTTTGCTTTTCCTTCTTTTCTTTCTCCTCTTCTTCATTTTCATCTCCATCTTCATATTCATCTTCCTTTTCCTTCTTATTAATTTCTTTCTTTTCTTGATCTTACAATTTAGTGTTCTTCAACCCCCAAATCGGCCGCAACTACCGCCCGCCAAGACACTATCTCGCACTTGAGGCTCTCACGTTGAGACACTGTAGTAGGGGCTCAAACATCCCCTGAGGAAATCCATTTCTGAAGAACTGAAACCTACCTAGGGAAATAGGTACCTAGCTGGCCAATTGGTGGCCCTTTAGCGATTTGCATTAAGGCCTCTTTCTAGACCTTGGTTGCGAAAATACAATGTGTGCACTAGCAAAGTGACTGGCTGTCCTATCGTAATCGCACCATAATTCATGCATGTCATGATGCGCGGTTAGCGATGCGGTTGACGAAAATCTGGAGATCGAACAAACCCATGAGGAGATCATTGTAAATCCAGCAGATCATTGTTGGGTTTTGGGTCTTTGCGTGGTCTTTGTCAAAAGCCCACACGAGCACTTGGCATTGTTTCGGAACCTCTGCGGGGATCACTTTTACTAATCGCGTTGATATACTACCTTAGGAAAATACGATCGGGATTCGGATTGTCTGACCGAAGCAGCTATCATGAAGCCCAGCCACTCGAGGGGAGCCAATCGCAATAGGTGCTACATCCGATATCCGTATCCTCGAAGGACCCTGGAGTTCATAGCCTCAAAATCTGTCACATCAATGCTCAAGAGTAAGAAGTAAAGGTTGTTAATCTTGGCACTTATTCATTTGTTATGAAAGAATACCAAAGGACCTGATACCTCAACTTCCTAGTACCGCAAAAGTTATATCCTGATCTGAGTGGACAATCGATTTATTCGGTACCTAGGTAGCTAACCTGGGTACTTAGATACACAGGGCGGTATCCTAGCGCCAATATCCCTCAACCGAACACTCTTTCAGACACCTCATAACAAATTTGAAAGATGGATTACTTCTGCAATATATACACACTAGAAAAATACCCTCAGATTCGAGCCCCTTTCAACCACACTATCTAGGTACTGTCGGTTAGGACGTACCTACACCCTCTTCATCGTCGTCGTCGTAGTCATCGCCTTGGCCCGCCCCGAAAATAGCATACCTTTCTGCTCTCTGCTCTCTTCGTCTTGCACGTTCCTTGTCCTCGTCCCACATCCTCCGGAAGAGTTCTTGATATTGGATCATTTTGTCGATTGACGAGCCCAACCGCACAAGCGAGGCCACGATGAAAAGGCCAATACAGACCACGACGAATATAGAGGACCACCAAAAGAGCTTTCTCGTATTGCCTCTTACATCTTCAAGCTACATATACTATGTTAGGTTATCATGTTGGGCAGTGTGCCTTCACATTCCGACTCACTGATTCCTGTATATCGACGGCCCATCTCACTGTATCGAATATTGCTGACGCTAGCGAATCTTCTAAGATTCTCCCGTCGCGGGTGTGGGTAGTGCGTGGTCCAAGTACGTCTCCCATAGTCGCTCAATCCTCTCGCTTTTGCAATTCTGGAATCCCGTGTCGTCTCGTTGTTTGCGAGTACTGCTTAATAAGATTTATAATACCTAGGTAAAAGCCGCGATGAATTGGCAAGGGAAGAGTGCCCTTTTTCAATCCGTACCTACAATACTGGGACAAAGAGCTAAATTACATCTCGCAATAAAGCATTTTCATAGAATAAGGTCCGTTTTCAGAATGAACAAACCAATCAATCTACCCTACTAATTTGGATTACCGACTTCATCGTATGGACGCTTGATTATTTCGAACTGGGCCTCCGGATTTAACACTGTTGTTGTCTACCGAGTTAGATACAAAACGTTCCCGTATATGACAAAGCATATATCGAGTTTTACTACCTGCCTAGGTGCCCAGGTACTAACCCCAGGAACGACCTTTTCTGTGAAGTAGTCACATTTATTTTAAGTATCCGAAAAGCGATACGTCTTGTCAACCCCTTCAGATCTTAGCTTCCCGTTTACTCGGGGCAAACGCGAAATCGAAAGTGCGGCACAAAGCCTATAGCTATCACTAGACCTTACCCCACACGAGCCAAGGATGCAGCTCTTCATTTAACCGCTTGCAATGAATCTGACAACTGCGCGCGACGTGGTATTGCGTGAAGGCTATTACTACTGAATCGATGCATCGTCCTTTTGTATAAAGGCACGCTCCTTCTAGTCCCTAATTGGCTGATATTCGAAGTATTCCAACCTCACTTCGGATGCCGCGGGTCCCGAGCGGATAGGATGATTTATCATTATAGCATCCGGCACGAGAATGATGGTGATATGGTTTGCGCCTGAGTAGCTATAAAAAAACGGTACTACACAATTTTTGCCGCATAATCCTATTGAACGAGACATCTAGAGCGCCTCTTGGCAAAGAAACAAAGCGAAGGTATTGTGCAACGTGAAAAATCCACTCTCCTTGCCTAAGTACTTTGACGCAACTCCATTTAGAATACCTTCCTAGGTATTCTTCACCTGAATACTGCTATATACAGAGTTTATATATAGTATTATCTACTTGAGTACTTGGGTACCCAGGTAGATACAAAGGACCAGTGCCAGAGAGTCTGAAAACTCTAGGTAAATAACAACCTCGGTCCCTATCACAATTACTAAGCCTTATGGGTATGCCTAAAGAACTTGTCAAGTAGAAATTTGAACCATACACGATTTAACCATAGCGAGATCCGAACTCACCCCTATTACTTTACCAGAAGAAAATGGCACCCAGCCGCCTTAACCGCTATGCCATTCGGAAGCCTTCTACAGGAAGTATGGTCTGGACTTGGTCTGGGTCTATTCTGCTATCGAAGAGGTTTCCCTTACAACTCTGTTAGCCAACTTACTTTCTTGGAACGGATGTTTCTATTCATTACTCCATGTTTGCTCTTCTGTTACTACAACGGCACGGTTAAATCGGATTTACATGTCTTCAACTGACCATGCGGCCGACATGCTCTCGAAAATGGTTGTATCTAGATGTCGGCAGAGAGGTTAATTCAGAGACGACGATGTGTATATAAGAGACGATGCAAGCTTCACTTGGGAATATCTGTACGACATCGTTAACCAGCTCCAAGAAAAGCATTCGTAGTATATAATATCCTTCTACTTCGAAAAGTACCTATCCTTCATCATGAAGACCACCACCGCCGCCACCCTCTCGCTGGTTGCTTTGGCCAGCGCCGCCGTCCCCGATACCGCCTACCACTTCAACAGGCTCATTACTGGCTATGCCGGTGCCTGCCGTGGTGCCGACACTATCGATGTGAAGGTCACGCCCGAAGTCCTGACCTGGGACCTCCAGGACTTCAGCGGCAAGTACAACGACAAGGAGCAAAACCCGACGTACTGTGTGATGGATAACGACATCTACAGGGCTCCGGGCAATTGGCGCTTCGCTTTCGAGAGCGCGACCTACTCCGGTAACGTAAAGCTCACCGGGGGTGCTCAGGTCAAGACCCTTGGTACTTACCTGGACATGTCTGCTTCGTATGTGACGAACCCGCCGGCTAGCGTCAACACCACGGTGTGGGCTATGCAGACGGGACACATGGTAAGCAGTTTTATACGAATCCCTTAGTGTCAAGGCGAGACAAGATTCTAACGACGCTCTACTGCCTAGGGTGACTTCATCGTCTCCAACACGACCCTCGACGCCGACGAAAGCGGCAATTTTGAGGTTGAGACCAAGCCCGACACCGAGGGCTGGTCGCCCTGCTTCTTCAAGAACTCAACGACCGACTACTTCAAGTTCCAACTCAGCCACCAGACCATTCTCTACTTCGAGGATTCCGCCGATGCCCAGGCAGAGTTCGGTCCGGGTCTCAAGCTCGCGCTTAAGATGAAGTGGGAGGAGTGCGATGCATCTCTGGATGCTATGTCTAAGTGGGGAAAGAAATTTGATGTTCCCGAGGGCTGGAACCCGTACGTCTAAAGCTTTGGTACGAGTATGAGACGGATCGAATGATGGGGGCGAGGTGATCTACAAAAGTTGTTCGTGGTTTGTTACTTCGATTATATTTAGCTACGATGGCTTAGGTTACCTACCTGTGTAGCCAAGTCCCGTAGTTTTCGTAGATGTGGGCATATATACGATGCTTATTTACCCAACATATGAAAATAGTATAAATAAGAGGACTGAAACCTGATGCGCCACTATTATGTACTACACTCCGATCACGAATTACCCTGCCTTTACCATGTCATCAGTTTTCGGTTTACATCGCACGAAGTGTAACACAACTCCCGCCACTGAAAAATTACCATACCCTACATATAATTAGGAAAATGCTGTGAACAGGTTTGGTTGACTTAGTGTTTTCATAATATTTTCAAGTGTCTAGTGCAGGAAGGTATATCTAGGGTAGGGGGTGTTCTCATGCAGATATGGTCGTACATACAGGTATGCATACATAAAATGCCCGGGATAGTCCTGTATTTGTTGATGGTTTGCTTTGATATCAACGCCCATCTGCAAGAAAATCCTTCGTGAAACCTCTATCAAGGCGAATTCTGAGTGGAGAGCATACATGCGCGGGGTCGTGACGGAAGCGGCTAATCATAATCGCATCGTAAAGATATTGTATAAAGCTTAATTTGTGAAAGCTGCAGTGTCATCCCATTTACTGGCTATGGCTGTAAGCTTGGGGCATTGTTCTGGGTCCTCGGCGCGAGAGTTATCCTCGCCATCCTTATAGGCGGGTTGCTTAACCGCCTTGCTATAAGCAAATGCGACAAAATCAGGGGCCGAGAGTGGGGCACTAGCACCTTCCCGAAGTTCTGTAGAGATCCTCTGGATTTCTTCCGCTTGTGATTTCATCGAGGCCACCAAGTCTTCGACTTGTTGATCCTCATATACGTGACCACCTAGATGAGCACTGGCAGCACTGTCGGCGACAACGGAGTCTAGAAGAAGTTGCGATCCAAGTTCGGCATCTGTTAATTCGGCCTTCGCGGTTACCTCGAAGGATTTTTGCACACTTCTCGCAAGATCGTCACCTTTCCTCTGTCGCGAGGCGACATATCGATCAAATTTGCTCACTTGTGCATGGGAAGTGAGCGTCCGTCCTGCTTTAGCTTGCTTGCCGGTATCTATTGGGATGGATCCATAAAGCTCCATTTGGCGTTGAATCATATCAAGTAAGGAGCGATCCTTCGCCCTGCCGTTTTCTGCGCTTTGGGGTGGGTGGGCGTTTATAGTTCCTAATCCTCTAGTCGACTTTGATTCTTTAATGCTATTCACATACGTGAATGCAATTAGAAGAGATCGATGATGGTACATTAGCATCTCAATACGGTTTGCTAAAAGACGAAGGCGTTCGTTCATGAAACGCAACATGGCGGATGTCTAAATTGAATTAATTACGACTGTTAGATTGGGTGGGTAATATTAAGACTTACGTAACCGAATACAATTGTATCTCGCACATTCTGGCGCTCAAAAGACGTATCGACCTTTTTCAAGACAGGCTTAAGAAATTCCTTCTCAACGACCATATGTGCAAGTGGTACCATCTCATCCCATAGAGATTGTATCTCCGCATATATGGCGTCGCGTTCCTCATTGATGGCTTGAGCATGATTGGAGCTATTAGGTGTACGTTTATTGTAAGTAGAAGAAGCCTCTAGAAAGACCATGTCTAGTGATGCGCGGCACTTAGTAGCCATTGAAAGTATAATCCTATTACATCGTTAGTAGGACATGAAGCTGCTGGTAAAAATATAACTTAACTGGCTAGCATGGCGTCGAGCTATCTGAAGAGTCGTATCATCGTTGACGTTTTGGCCAAGTTCGCCTTGTAGAGCATCTAGCCTACTGAGGATATGGTCGTATGATGGAAATGTTGTTTCAAAGACTTGCTTTAGGGCAATAGATTTGACATCATCATAGTTGCTGCCTGGTGTTGTACTGGGCTGGCTCCGCCCGAGTTGGCCATTTTGATTGCCAATTTTATCTTCTAGTATATGAATCTTTGATTGATTAGTGCTGATCAATGAAGAAAGCATTGTTAAGCCCATACCTCTGCTTTAAGCTGTTCTTTTCTCCGAGATAAGGCCGCAATCTTTTGCTCAACCACGGAGGCCTCGCCGTTTCTCGCAGCAGATGGTTGTGCGTTAACGGCGCTACGGTGAACGTAATCTTTATATTTCGATACGAGCTTCTCGAGGACATCATTGTATTGGATTATGTCTTGAGTAGCGGCCTTAACTAACTTTGGATCCGTAGTTTTTTGACTAAGAAGCATGCTCGCTTCATCGTGGCTTTCGGTCCGTTGGTGGCCACGACTAGCCGAATACGATGTATTTAAGCTGCGATGTGGATTAGCTATACTCATGGCAAAACGTGATGCTTCGGTATACTATTTTAACTCATCTTCGGATAATACAATCAGTGAGCCATTTGATCCCATTAGTTCCACTAGGTGGGTCCATTCCGTGGCTATATCATCACGAATAAATGATTTTAGCAGGGTCCTTTGGTCTTCGTTCGTCGCATGGATAGCCTCGCAGACTTGATTGAAAAAACGCGTTTCAGCCTCTGATAGGGGTCGTGGATCAGCCATTCTCAAAATATGAGAGTGCTAAAATCGCTTCAGGTATAGAGGATTATCGGTCACCTATGGAGTATTAGCTTCCTATAATACATTTACAGTGGAAACCGTTGGGCAAATTAAGGGGGGCGGGGGGAAATGGCGAAAAAATGAGAATCCCATTTTCTAGAACCAGATTCGGAACTCATTAACGTAGTATAATCAAACAACTTGACTCGTATTAATTGCAAGGTTGCTTAAAGCACCAAGTAGCTGATCCGATGAATTGAGACCGAGGCAGTGCTGAAACTGAATTTTGGGGGGTGTGCGCAAGGAATGGGAGTAGTCCGGCGGGAAACTCCGGGGCGGGCGGAAGAGTTACAATCTTGAAAGTTGACTCCGTTGCGGTGATTAACCGGCGTCGGTCGCGTCACACGGAGATTGACCGAAAACCACCAAGATTGGAAAGTGTAACCGGTGTGAGGTAGTCACGACGTACCTGGAGTGGCTAGAATGGCCTAGATGGTTTAGGAAATCGTGAACGTGATCGTTGAGTCGTAAGTTTAAAAAATCATCATATCTCGGACAGGACGACAGATAGGAATTTGGACAACTCTAGCCGAAGGGCAAGGCGAACAATACGAAGTGCTGAAAGGTGGATGTGTACACGACAACCTCAGCTTGACCGCTTCCCTGAACAGGGGAAATCTAGATTCTGCATGCCTGGTCGAATCTCGATAGATTTGGTACTCCACCAGGATTCAAGATATCAGACCATATATTGCTTAGCTTCACATCAATTTGACGCAGAGCGAAAGAGTAAGTTTGTAATGTTGCCACTATATGTGCCGGATCAGCTTAATGGTTCGTTTCACGATTCTTGTAACATGTAAAATTGAACGCGGCAACGTTGTTTACAGATTTCCAAGATTTGGTTACATAAACTAGAAAAATTCCCTGCAACTTGATTAGATAATGGGCACTATAAACTCATATCAAGACATTTAAGGTTAAATGTATTTATGAGATGTCATTTTTTTACTGAGGATTTTTTAGAGTGGGTCTTGGGGTATTGGGGTCTTGATTGATACCTAAATTCAATCAACGTCCCCTAATTAATACCTCCAGGGCTGCTCCTAGATAGGTACAGTGCCTAGGTAGCTTAATTCTGCCTCTAGCAAGTCGCTGATTTCCAAACAGCCGCGCTATTCTCCACACTAAACTTAAAAAATACAGGGATATTTTTTAGGTCAGAGCCGCAAGCAGCCGCTGACAACTTAAACCTGCACCAACTTGCAGGTCGCAAAATCCACTCACCTCTATACTTCTTGCTATAGGTAGCAAACCATTATAGGATATACTCCCCATTCCCATCATGGTATCTATCATGTTTCGAAACCGAAACCTCTTATCGCCTAGGTATAAACGTACTATACTACAGGCAAGATCGGCATTTACTCTGAGGGGTAAGCCTGTTCAGGTAAGATCTTCTGTGACCCTCAATTCCCAGTTACCGTCGCCAAGAATGCCACAGTCACCATGCGCCATTCTCAAAATACCAACTTCTTAAGTGTGTCACAATTTTTACTACTTCAGTAGTGAATAGATTAGGTATACTAGGACGTACAGAAAACCCGATTACTCAGTGGTGGTTCCATTGGGATGATAGAACTCCTTGGGGTTGAAGGATGAAAAAGTCCAGATTGAGGAAGACAGCCCTGGTTTTGTCGCTTTAACTGCCAAAACGGTTCGCAGCGCTGCGGTTGTCTCATACGCTGTGTTTGCAAGCGAAAAGCCCTGAATGGCCCCTTCCCCAACCTGTGTTACCGTACATTCAGCGGTCAACCCTTCTTATTCCTAAACCGAGACACGAGTTCTATTTTCTATTCTCTATTCATGGTAAGGCGGCTTTGGAAGCTCGGACCCTGGAGACACAGTTCACTAGCTTTATCCATGCTTCTTCACAAGCCATTTCACAACCTAAGCCGACGGACCACTTCCGGCCTAGGTTTACTTCCTTCAGATTGAATATTTGGAGGGATTTTGATATCAAATCTGATGGACCGTGGATTGACGTACATGAAGTGAGATCCTACCAAGTCCTTTACCGAGGAGGTGCCTGACTATGGAGCCTCCTAAAGGACCATTCTAGGGGATATCAGCCATGCGTTTGCATTGCGCCTGTGCCGTCCCGTTTCCGCTATACATCCCCGTTGTGATGTCAAAAAGAAAGTGACAGCGGCCGAAATGTACCGACCCACCAAGTCCAATGGCAACCTTACAGTTGCTGTTTAAGACTAGGCGGTGCTATTGTACCCTGGATCTTCCTGGTTTTGTTTGTGCTCCATAGCTTGTCCTCCATTCTCCTCGTCGTTGCACCTTTACCAGGTCCCGCCCGGTTGCCCACCTGCCTGGCTAGATTTGTGAGACGTCATGGAACCGTCTCTTTTTCATATCGACCTAACGCAGCTGCGGTAGACCTCGAGTTGCCCGCATTCACTTCCGCATTTTATTCGGATACTCATCAGGGGCTTGTGCAATCACGGTCACTATGCCATGTGTTCGTCCGTGGAAACACTGGTGACCCAGACCTGGGTCTTCCACGTCGACTAAGCCGTTTCCTTGGGTCAGTGGGTTTTCTTGCAAACAGTATATATCTACTATGTAATTCCCCCCGTTCTGTTGTCTCAATCCTTTTATTACTTCGAGACATCGAATTTCCAAAATCCGACTTCCATCAGCGTGTCTATACATCCCGTTATGTTCTTGTGTTACGTCACTAAGCCAACATTATGATCTCTCTAATCCAACAACTGTTTAGGAGCCTCCAGGAACCGACAACGGCAAAACGATATAGAGATGCTGGGATTGGACTTGCGTTTACCGTCGGAAACCAACTTGTTGTCCTACCTATTCAGATTACGCTTAATCTTCATTCCATTAACATCCCAGCATCTATCTTGGTCATGCTTCTCTGTTTGTTCCTAATGGTGGTTGCGAATTATATCCACGGAGGCACGGCAGAGCTATACTCTAAGCATATCCGTGGACCTACAGATTTCCTTGGTCGTCATATGTCCTACGGCTTCGTAGCATCGTTCATAATGCTCAACAGGGATCATATCTCTGATGCCATTGCCGTCCCCAAAATTGCTGGGGTCTTCCGTAAGCACACAAGCAGCGACTTAATTTATGTAGTATTCGGCTAACTTAGTTAGTTGTTACCACTCTCGCCAGCTACGCTTGTTCATTTCTGGTTGCTTGGGGTAGCTTTGATTTGGAGCAGCGGGTCCGAGGGCAGCGAACGAAGTCCTTCGATCTTGAAAGTAATAAGTCCTGGCCCAGTCCATCCACAGCTTGGCCGACCCCGTCAACGGACAGGGCCTCGAAGCCATTATCTCACCTGTCTCGGATAAGTGTGGCTCTGGTGAAAAACGGATCTCTCACCTCAATTGAGTCGACGGAAAAGGTTTCGACCCCTCAATTTATAGATCTTATTGTTCATACGGCCCCACTATGGATCTGCGTCCTACTCATCGGAGTAGTGGGAATCCCAGCATATTTCGCTACTAACTACGAGACTCCATTCGAAGTTTTATGCTTCATCCTATTCTGGATCCTATCAGTCCAATTCCAGAGGTCGTTGAGAAACTCATGTCGCCTTCTACAGCACCCGCGATTGCGCTCTACGTTAGTCATACTCACAAACCCTGTGATGATTAGCTGGGCGTTGGGTTCGGCTTACCTTTGGATCAAGACGGCTTATACGCATCATACTATCGCTACCGTCGTAACCGAGTTTCGAAGACATACTACGTTGGCAGAAGGGATGGCCGCTATTTTAGGCGGAGGTAGCATCAAGAACAATATCGGTGCTGGCGACCTATCAGGTCCCGTCCTAGACGCTGGAATCATCTGTCTAGGATTTAAGATGTTCGAATATCGAAAAGAGCTATGGGAAAGCTTCACCACGGTACTTACCACATGCGCCTTGCTCGCGATAGCGAACGTTTTTCTCAATGTTATGATCGGCCGTGCAATGGGACTAGAAGCAGCCGATGCCATCGCTTTTGCCGCCCGATCCGTTACCATCGCTCTTGGAGTTCCTGCAATTCAGAATCTAGGCGGAAGTACCACGTTAATGAGCGCTACGGTAATTTTTGGCGGAATAATCTTCCAAATGGCTGGCGACTGGGTATTCTCGCTTCTAAGAATCAACGATCGGGCATGTCAGCAAAATATAGACGATGGTGGCTCTAGCAATGGTGAGAAAATAGGGGATGAGAAAGAATCTCAGAAGATCACCAGAGTAGAAGGCGGCGAAATCGCCATCGTCGCAGCCGGTATAACCGTGGGCATTAACGCCGCAGCGATGGGCACGTCGCATCTAATCGAGCGCGACTCTAAAGCTACTGCGTATTCCGCATTGTCAATGACTGTCTTTGGGGCCATGACGGTAGCACTTACAGCATTACCTGGTGTCTCGGGGAGTATAACTTTTCTGGCGTCAAGATGACGAGAAAGATTGGATCTTAGGGCTGGGGTGTTAGATTGGAGATTACGATGATGAATAATTTGAGACTTTTAGACGTTGCATAGAAAGTTCGGACACAGCGAATGATACCACCATACATTTTTGCGATAGACCTTAGCTGCATGTTGGGAGAGACCTCCGGGGCGATTTTTGTATTAGGCAGCTTTATGAACATATGTCAATTGGCTCGAACATCAGCTTTGAGTCGCGTTGTCCTCTTATGATGTCATAATCGTCATCGTACTCCCTGGTGGGATCATGATTGTTAAACCAACGTTACCCCTGTTGTAAGAGGCGATATTGTCAAAATCTTCCCTTTTTCCCTGCCGTCATACGGTTCGAATAACCGAGAACTAAGTTCGGACTGTACCGGGATCGCGATCAAGATTCGGTATATTACCTTCTAGATCATGATCCCGTATGAATGAAGAGGAAATGCCCGCCGTATCGTCGATCCCGCGGTGTACATGTATGTTTATTTCGCGCACAAGTCGCGACGTAGCACGGCTCGGCGCGTCTCATAACCAGTCCAATCATACCATACGCCCCCCTGTCGTTTCGTGCGTCGTTGAGGATTATATACCTGTCGATGGTTTCGATTCGCTTTGCAGGATCTCCGCCTCACTGGATCGTGATCTGTATTTGAGATAGCAGAATCCATATTGCGATCCCGATGGATCATTCTATTCTTTGTATATACTCTCATGAGTGGGGTTGTGATATCGAGTCACAGAGGCTGGTAACTTATCTGGCGATGAGTTAGGAACTTATTTAGGTAGGACAGCTGAAGAATCTTATTTTTCGTGGCACCCTTGGATTATTTAATAGATAACGAATTTTTCACTCTTACATATCTCTTACATTCATATATTCATTTGGTCCAGCCCTAGGAAGCGAAATATTTTGTTGGGGCCGGTTGGCTAAACCATCCCCTATTTCGACGACGGGTACCTAAGAACCTATTTCCATGCGAGTGACCTTCGGTCGTGGGCTGCTTTGACTGGGGAAGTTGATGAAAACATGGCGAGCGAGCAGTGATAAAGTTTATAGGGATGCTAGTATAGGGGTACGTTCAATGACGATTTATATTAGCTGAAAGTGTACCTAGGTATACAATATACTTAAGCTTCTTAAAAGGGGGGCTTGTGTAACTCCTCGATTGGAGATTGTATATTGGTCGCTTGGTATTAATTCTTAAGTACTAGAATGGCGCGGATATTCTCTGTTTGGGAAAAGGATTGAGTATCTAACTACGTAGGCAGTCGATATTACGGAGGCCTGACTAGACGCATTGCCCAATATCTATAGATATGAACGGTCGGCCGTATTGAATAGGAAAGGGTAAACCAAGCGACAACTTTTGGTAATTGAGAAAAGTTGAACATCTCTCAAGGCCTCCCTCAGTCCGAGGCGAAGGATGCAAAAACGTTGTACGGTTCCCTGAATACAGTTACCACCTGCTCCATTTCCTGATGTCACCATAACTTCGGACCTGGCTCTTTTAATTTTTCTTCCATAGTATGACAAGAACCTAAACTAATCTCTCGATTAAGTGTAGACCACTCGCTGTCTCCACGACACCACTCATCTGGCCGGGTTGTAATGCAAAAGCGGCCTCCTCGAATTCCTTCTGCATATCTCCTTTGCCGAAGTAACCCAGGTCTCCTCGCTTCCTCGCCGAGCTGCAGTCACTTTCGCTCATGGCGAGCTCGCCTAGAGATACAGATCCACTCTTGATCTTTTGTTCGTGTCCCTTAATAATCGTCATCGCCTCCTCCTTGGTTCGAGTAATTTCGCTTTCGCGCCAACTCGCGGGTCGTCGGCTTTCGCGATGCTTCACTAATAAATGGGCGGCGCGAATCTTGCCTTCGGGATGGGTGGCAGCGGAAATCTGGGATGAAGTCGAATGGTTGGTAGCCATGTACTTCTTGAGTTTCTCCGTGTCGGTTCCATTGGGCGGTTCCCAACGCGATATTTTTTCGTTCGCATTGAAGTAGTACGGCAGGTTCTTGGAGTTGCTGTGGCGCACCTCCCAGTTAGGCGGAAGTCCAGAGTCATCCTAATAGGAGCTATGCATTAGTGACAATGTCGGGATAATAATGGATGGATTGCGACTCTATGTAGTAATCCCCAGGCTAACTTACCATTTTGTGCTGTAGGATACACAATAATGATTACGATGTTACTGATGAATTGTTCTTATAATTTATTTATATATGCCCCCGCCGGGTTTTGGCGATGGAGAATACTACGATTGGGTGTTGTAATTTATCTAAAAGATAAAGAGAGAGAGGACGGCCACGCCGATGTTTACCGTCGGAGAGCTTAACAAGCAAAAGCTTTGAGATAAACCCCGAAATCGCCTAGTGGAACAATAGCAAGTGATAAAAAGTGAAAAAAAAAAAAAAAAAACGGAAGGAGATTGGGGCAATTGAATACGAAATATGATGTAGTTGTTATATGTACGGAAAGAACGAGCGATGATGTTATTCTTCTTGCTGGTGGTGGTTGCTATTTTGTTGTTGGTGTGATGGGGTGGATGGTAAAAGCAAGCCTCGAAGCTTGTTTGGCGGAATTGGATCGAATACCTTGGCCAAGGTAAGTACCGTACCTGACCTTAGGTAAGTGCGATCACGAGGGTCCTATTAGTTGTGCGGGGCAACGTGACAACGGAATGGGATGAAACGCGGGGTGACAAATTTACACTGTACATATGTATTTTGATCTATGAAAAATACTTTGACTATGTTACTTTAATGAGTGGCTCCTGCTGTATCTGCAAAACCTTACTCATACTGTATGGTAGCTTAATAATTAGACTCACCAATCAGCAAACTTTCCTTCAAATATTGTGTCCCATGCCAAAGTGACTAACCAAATTCATGGGTACGTAGGTACTTTCTCCAATCTTCCTCTGCCTTTCTCATCTTAAGCTTTCTTCAAAATCATCAACGCCAAACATCAACTCTCTCCTTTCCTTTCAATTATTCAACTTCGATCTTGAACAACCACAACTCCATTGTTCACTCCGGCATCGGTTTCTCGCATCTATACATAACGCGCAGGTTTTCGGTGAATCTAGAAGAAGCCAATAATCTCGACCTACTTTCATTAACCTTCCTCAGGACTTTCATCTTGTGGCAACTTGCGATCGCTTCATATCGGAACTCACCGTCACAAAAATAATCCACAAAACACAATGTCGTCGCCTATGCCTAGCAACGACGGGGATGCCCCCAAGAACGCTCAGGAGCAAATCACTTTCCGTTTCTGCTCTGAGTGTTCCAATATGTTGTACCCTAAGGAAGACGAGGACGCCCACAAGCTTCAGTTCACCTGCCGTACATGCCAATACACCGAAGAGGCTACTTCCTCTTGCGTTTTCCGTAATGTTATGAACAATGCGGCCGGCGAGACTGCAGGTGTCACTCAAGATGTTGGATCGGATCCTACGGTTCGTAACGATGTTTCCTCTACTCAGGCTTCTTCCACTACCTCTGCCCCTGCCCCTGCCCCTGCCCCCACCAACACCTCTGCCGATAATTCCCTGGCTATCTGTCTGAGATGTGGCGTGACCCTCCTTCATTGTGATTGGTGTAAAGACCCTGCAACCGTCGAGGAATACAACCACTTTGTCGCACATCATCCGGATTTCGCTGCCACCAGAGCTATGGGTTACATACAAGCCGCGAACTTTTTGAACGCTCAGGACGACGACGGCAAAGCTATCTGGGCTGATCGATTTGCTTCATGCAAAGGCTTGGGCGTTCCGGACCTCTCACAAGATTCTCTCGCTGCTTATCTTCCCATGGATTATTGCCTATCTGAAGACGCGGATCCTCCCGAGACGTACGATGACCCCCCGGAAGATGGCTGGCACTGAAATGATGTCGCCTTTTTGCCCGCGACGACAAGAACAAGCATCTAGGAACCCACCAAACAATAGTAATTTCATGCACACGAGAGAGGTTACTCCGAGATGCTTGTTATACCTTTTGAGATTAGGCGGTTTCTTTCAGACATTTGAGCGTTCTACTTTATACCCCTTTGTCGCGCGCAGACAGGTAGCCAGACAGACAGCAACATAGCACAATCGTTCAAGCATTTCCTCAACACAAAGCACCCAGCTTCCCGGGGGAACATGCGTTGTATGTACTCTCTTGCTGAGCTTGGTGCTGACGTTTCGTACTTCCATTTAGCTCCCTCGATCTAACAAAACTTGTCCTAGCTGTGGACACGATGAGGCCGTCTTCTTCCAGTCCCAACAACGAAGTGCGGAAACCGGCATGGTTAGTATCGTCCTTCATGTCTTAGCACCTGAGACTTAGTGTCTAATTAATCATTAATAGAAACTGTTTTTCGTCTGCTGCCAATGCGGTGAGATCTTCCAATAGATTCGTCGTTTCAGCTCATGACGATGGCGATGGCCGGGTAGCAAGACATATGCAGGGACTTTTTGATACGACCGGTGAGGTCACCTAGGTCACCCAGGGTATTGCATGGAGTCGGCGTTTGAGAGGGTTCTAGGATGGTCCTTAGAATGACTGGCTCTGGTCATTTCCAAACAAGAAATCGGACGTCCTGATTTGAGGATTAGCATTTACATTAATACGATATACTGAGTTTCGCATCACAAAGTTTCACTTCATGGTTGTACTTGCTTGATCTATTGTGCAGCTGTAGTCACTTCATGACGACTGATATACCTAGAATGCAACCGTGTTACGAGTACAAGTGAGAAGCATGTTAGGAACGTATAGTAGTACCGTGGGGATTTTGTAGATTCGATCGCCAGAATAGTCCACGATCCTGGACATCGGGCACAAGCTAATGGCTAGAACGCCGATACACCCTCTCAATGCCTGTTACATGCGCGCTTGGTATGGTACATGAGTCGTACAATTTCTATCCGTCGATATTCATCCGCATTCCCCAATTCTATTTAGAACTTCGAGAATATCATATACGGCATTGACACGTCGTGTTTTAATATGTGCAAGTACTTAAATATTTCCTCCTACTATGTATATCGTTTATGCGTGAGCTGGTGCCATGCTCAATATCTTGCTCCAACCTCGTCTCCTTAATTCAGACCCTACCACGCCGTTCACACGTGTGCCGACAGGGTCTCCGGCCTTGTTGACAAGGACGCATGCGTTGTCACCGAAACGGACGACGCTGCCGTCGGGTCGCTGGACTTGTTTTCGGGTACGGACGATGATCGCGTGTCGGATGTCGCCGCGCTTGACTTTATTCGTGGCCGAGGCTGTACTCATACCGGCGTCGCTGGCACCGCGCTGTTTTTGAACGATGGCTACTATTCTGTCACCTGTGCGAAGAGAGTATATGGTCAGTTCGGTGACTGGCCTCGGAACGGAAAGACGACTGATTATTCGGTCGGTCGGATTGGGGGCGGGATCTAAGCCTACCGATGGTCGCAGCTCTTTTCTGGCCGATAACGAGGGCGCATTCGACTAAGGCGGCGCCCGAATTGTCGATGCAATTAAGCATCGTCTACATTTTCACCACCTCCACGTTAATCCACGAACAATATTATAGCTTCGGGCGGTATTGTATATTACCTTGAGTTGAATCATCTTGTCTGGTTCGCACCCCCAGTATAGGGCCCCCAATCCCGACTAATGCAATGCGAAGGTGTGAGAAAGAAGTGGTGACAGCGTGGGGGATTCTAGTTTTAGTTTGAGGTTGAAATTTCGAGGCTCTGTCAATCAAGAAAAAAAAGGTCTAAGGCTGATGTGCAGTGGGGTAATCTGATTGGTCATTGCTATTAAGGCCCCTGAACCCGGATTAGATCGATTGTCCTGACCCCTTGCTTGGGGCTTACCGTAATAGGATCGTGTAGTGCGTACCTACCTAGGTAATTCAATTTAATGTGAAAGATTAGGTGGGCTGCGTTGCCCGGACGGCCCGGAGACTCTTTTCGGAAACACTGGACACATTTCTAATTGTGGCTGTAGTGGCTCAGCTCCCTCCCGAATTGATCGACTGATTGCATCACATCACCTAGAATAGCTAGAACTTAGAATCTTAGACCCACGGCCTGGTTGACCTGCCACCCTCTTTTTTCCCACTTTTTGCGCTTTCACTCTCACTTTGCGCTCATTCAAACATTACGGGGCCGCGCGCCGGCACTTTCACCCACAAGACTCGATGGAGTAATAACATTGCGTCCTATTCTTTCTTTGTTTCTGTTTTCTCATTTTGTTTCCTAGATCCGATTAATTTTTGCAAATAGTTAGAGGTTTTCCAATTTGCCCAGTCTTCAAGCATTTTGCATTCTATTTAATCGAATAAATCTACCCCGGACAATCAATACCAAACCATAGACATATTCATATCGTTGTGCTATGGCCCCTTTTTAGTATCAATGGGACTTGCCGTGATCAAAGGGCTTCATATAATTTCTTCTCCCTTCTCACCTCCTTCCCCATCTTCTTCAATGTTATCTGCCTACCCCGTCGCAACCTCCGCATGACGATATATATCATAAGATTCAACCATCTCACTTCATCCGCTTATGACGACGAACCTTAAAAGGCATTGATAATCCGGTGTGTTGGCTCTCGGAGGCACCTCTCATCTTCAACTCCGCCTTCCTGGCCTGCATTTCAGCCCCGAGCACACCACACTGCAGCTCGCCTCACTTGCATCTTACTCGCATAGAAAAAGTCAGACGTTTTTTTTAGGGTCATTGAAAGACTAGAAGACTTGTAAATATCACTGTCGCTGGTCCAACTTTACCTTCAAGCTTTTTTTCACAACAATTCTTCGAACGTAGTCGCATTCACTAGCCTCGTATACTACCCCCTTATTTACTTAACAGCTTTTACCCGGCTCAGCTGGGCAAAGCTGCCTATCACGATGCCCAACCCATCTACCGCTTTGAAAAAGCAGCAGATTACTTTGGCACAACTATCATCGTACGACGATATATTAACGGACGCATTAGTCGATCATGTGAGTAGCGAGACCCATCTCAGCGTCCAGAGTTCGTCTTGTGCTACAGGAGATGACTAACCCCTACGTAAGGTGTACTACTGGACAACTATACCGAAGAATCGCCCTTCCTATCATCCCTCGCGGGGTGTAAAAGAAGAGGAAATTGCAAAAATAATTCAAACGCACCTCGTTGTCGACCCGAATATCGAAACGGCCGAGTCTAAACTCCTTGCGACAGATGGATTGCGCAAGTTTCACGATGCACTGAGAACGCCCAAGGAGAAGGATGACTTCCGGGCTCATCTTCGCCGATATATGCAAATTTACCTTCCCGATTGTCCCTTCGAAGTTGGTTCGACAAATCGCTACACGATCGTAACTCACGAGGCTGCTATAACCGCACGCAGGTATATCAAGAGGGGGCAACCAATCAAATACCTCTCGGGAATCCAGGTGTTGATTACGGAGAAGGAAGAGAAGGAACTTTCGAAAAGGAAGAAGGATTTCAGTATTGTTGTGAGTGCGAGGAATAAATGCGCCAGCTTATTTATGGGGCCCGCACGATTCGCAAACCACGATTGCGAAGCGAATGCGCGCTTGATGATTACTGGCCAAGCAGGAATTGAAATCATCGCAGCGCGTGACATCGACGTAGGGGATGAGATCACGGTCACATATTCCGAGAACTATTTCGGCACGGATAACTGCGAATGTCTATGCAAATCTTGTGAAGACAATTTGGTGAATGGGTGGGCTCCGGCTGATGGCACTGTTGCCGTTAAGAAGAGTATCGAAGCAACTTCTATGGAGGGATATTCATTACGGCATAGAAGACGAGACGACAGTTGTGCGTCCGCTTCTCGAACTCCTTCAGTCACTCCTGATATCCGACCAAGAATTTTGAAGACACGATCCAAGACACTGAAAATGGACTCTGAAAGGGGGTCTAGTTTTGGGTCCCCGGCTCCCCAAGGTATTTTGCGCCAGAAGCGGAAGCGGGAATTTGAATCGCTGCAATCGCCACCAGTCACTCCAGATAAAAAGTTGAAATCGCTGCAATACGAAGAAATTCAGGTTGCATCAGTTCCCCCAAGCCTGACTAGAAGAAGCAGCGATGAAGATTCGTCTAGCGCGCACTCTTCTCAAAGCGGAAGCGCAGACATGGTTTTAACAGATGTAACAACACCCGAAGAAGACATCAAGGAGCCTATCATGCAGTCGCCGACATTAACACCGATGAAATTACCAACAACTTCACTAAAACGGGAGGACTCTGAAACATCTTCACTTTCTGAGATTTCACTTACTCCTTCGATCGACGACAGCGAGGCTCAAGATTCAATCGCAGTAGCGCCTTTACCCACGATTGAAAGCATAACTCAACCTGATGATACGATCGCAAGTTCTCAGATGTCGAGTGAGGCTGATGAGTCGTCAGCAGATATTATTGCTCTTCCACCGCCAGTCAACCCTGTCAATCCCATCTCTAGCACAACAGAAGTAATAGTCTCGACATTAACAGCAACCGAGTTATCAATTTCTACAGAGGACTCTAGTCCTAAACGAGGTCGTCCAAGGGGTAGGCCGCCGAAGGGCGAGCAATCACCTTCCAGCCCTACAATTGAAGAGTCTAATGCTCCTATCCGTATTCGAACTCCGGGAGATTATACGCTTACCCCGGTGCTTCTCTCCGAGCCTAACACTGCTTGGATACACTGCACTGTATGTAGTGAACCGTTTGTGCAACAAAATGCATACTACACCCGCAGCTCTTGTCCACGATGTGAGCGTCACTCAAAGTTGTATGGTTACCAATGGCCTAAAACCGAGAAGGAGGGCAAGCATGATAAAGAGGAGCGTGTCCTGGATCATCGCACGGTCCATCGATTCTTAACGGCAGAAGATGAAGCAAAGATCCGGGGACGAAGATTCCTACCTTCTGGCTCTATCAGCGAGACGCCAGAGAAGAGACCGAGGGGTCGACCTCGAAGAGCATATGGCGATCCCGGTTTCGACGATGAGTTACAAGACGATCAAAACGACGAACTTAATAGCATTAGACGCAGCACAAGAAGGCGGCAGCTAAGTCTCAAAGCTGCTAGCTAGTATATACATATTTGAGACGGCTGTCGAAAGGGTATTAATTAGGTTTTATTCCTTGTGGAAATCCGACAGCCTTTCCATCAATCAACTATGATGGAAATTTGTAACATGTTGAGATTCCTCAAGCATTTCCACGGCGTTCTGTGTCATAGCGTCTGCATTATTCATGTGTTCCAGCTTCGATTGTATACTAGCAATATAGTTATTATATACTATCAAAATACACTGCAGCGTAACTGTTCAAACAATCTCTTATCTGAGTGATCCTATTGCTACCAATCAATTGGTCGTTCGCTAATATCTCAATTTCCAAGTCTGCAAATAATATTTTAGACTAGAAAATAGAGTCTTTGAATCTAGTTCTTGGATTGTTACCCTAAACGTGACCTACTAGCAGCCTAGGTCTTGTGTCTCGTGACACGTACAATTTCCTCAAATTACCAAAAATAAATAGAAATAATTCCGATAAAGTTGACAATGGTCATAGAATGAGAATCGACCTGTCATTAAATTTCCACTAAGTTTATACGTCTTCACAAACAATTGAAAGTGAAGACTCAAATCGACGTGTATGAGGATTCAGGAGAACCATCAACCACGGCGTGACGTCAACCCCCCGCGTTTAAGTATCCAATAGTGGGCAGGTACAGCTGTTCCAGTGCTTCTCAGGGGCAGATTGGCGGCCTCCTCTTGAAACAAACTCTTAACCAACTAACTGAATTAACTGGATCCATCCCGTATTTGTCGTATAACACCGTACGATCCTACTGCCACTATTGCTGCTGCTGCTGCTGCCGATTAACGCCTAACTATTTTCCTTTTTAACTTTCCATCTACTGAACTATTGCCGTTTATTCATTTCATCTATTCTATTTTACCATTTTTCATATCAATCTAAGCGACAAGCCTTTTCTTAGCTTGAACGCCAAACGCTACCTAGTCTTAGCTATATAGCAGCCAAAGTCGCTAGCTTCACTTACTTCATACACCAATCTCCACAAGACTAATCAAGATGGGCCGTTGGTCACAGTACGACGAAGACGAAGAACGCCTGCCTGAGGGTATGCAACGTATTGGCTACGATGCCGACACCCAGACCTACACGTTCCGCGATGCCGACGGTACCATCTGGGAGAGCGCTCCCGGCAACCGGTACGGCCAACTCCACCGTGCCAATGCAACCATCCCACCTTACGGAGACGATACACACGATGCTACCGACCCCCTACATTCTACCTCGAACAAACCTAGCACCTCGTGGCGACACGAAATGATGCCTCTGCTTAACTGGTTCTTGCTGGTTGGCTTGTTTCTTCTCTTCGTCTTCTGGGTCATCGGCGGTACTACATTCACCAAGCGGGTCGACCCGGTCACTTGCAAGGAGGACAGCAGTCCGTACAAGATCAAGTCAGGCGACAGCTGCTGGGCCATTGCCGAGGGACATCATATTCCACTTGAGTCTCTTTTGCACGAAAACCATGGCCTTGACTGCGATAAGTTGGCTGTTGGTGGCACCATCTGTATCCCAAGGGTCTAGATTGCTCAGCTACACCAAGGGTCGTAGGGTCTTTCCATCGCTCTAGGGTCCTGAACACAACCGCGACACGCACTCTTGAACTATGGACCAGGATCCAATCGTATGCGTCCTAATGTATGCAAATGTGTACAAGTAGCTGCGCTATTCCAACCCATTCGAAACACACTTCCTATCACGAATATATTTCGGCCGCTACCTTGATTGATCTATTTAAACGACAGAATGTGTCACTTTCTAAATAATCTGTACAATCTCCAGCTATCTAGGCCCTAGACGGTAATACAAGTATTGCTCCTAGGGAGCCCTTACCAATGAATGAAATCCACCGAGGTGCTTATGTCCAAACCAAAGCACTAGAGACAAAGCTATCGGCGTCGACCACGACAGTGATCAGTTACCTGCCCTAATAGTCGGCCAGAACCGTCGATACCTTGCCGCCATCGTGCAGAAGGATCATTCCGTTACAGAAACTACCTGCCCTGCTGGCTAGATAAAGAATGGTCCCACCCATATCATCGTCGCTGCCAAACTTTCTAGCCGGGATAAATCTAGGGTCATTTGGAGCCTCTTTAGAAGGGTCACGTCCTGATATCAATACGTCGGCCATCTCGGAAGGGTACACTACGAAATTATCAGCCCTGTTCTATCCGAATAACTTATCGAACTTACACCCTGGGCAAATCGCATTAACTCGGATGCTGTGCTGGGCAAGGTTCGAACTTGCCATTTTGGCCAAGTGGACGAGCGCGTGTTTGCTTATGCCGTAGCCCAGAGGAGCATATGGGAACCGGGCGAAGGCCGAGACGCTGCTAGTGATGATAATCTGACTCTGGATTGATGGGGCGTCGCTACCTTTCTTGTCTGGAGCCCCAAATCCTCCATTTAAAGACCTCTTGTTACCCTCATCAAGAAGCTCCAGGAATGCGAGGAAGGAGAATAATGTTCCGGTTACATTGAGGCGAAAGGTGTCTGTGAATTCCTCCATAGAAGCATCTTCGAACAATTGCTTCCGAAGCTCCTTGACGGGCAGGTTGTTCCAAGCTTTCCTAGGACCGTACGTGCCTGAGTTAGCGATAAACAAGTTAACGTATCCGATATCTTTGGTTATAAAGTCGACGGCCGATTGGAGGGAGGCTTTCTCGGTGATATCGCATTGGACGGGGACAAAACATGGTTGTGAGGCTGCAGCTTTTTCGAGCACTTCCCGTCGCCGCCCGAGGATATACACTTTCTTTGCACCAGCTCCCGCCAACGCCTTGGCCATCGTGAGACCGATTCCTATGCACAAGTTAGAAGCAGCCAGGCAGTTCAGGAAGGAAATACCACACCAGATCCACCGCCGGTAATGACGGCTACGATCCCCTCGACGCGAAATAGTCTAGACGTATCCATTTTGAAATGCTTAGTCCACTGTGTTGTTAAGTCAGAGAGCGTGACGGTCAGCGGTGGAGATTCAGAGTGACAAAAGTTTTCAATTAAATATGTTCTACAACTGGAGATACACAAAGTCCGCAATGTAGGGGATGTCCGTGGAAAGCAAGTTCAGTATCAACGCTACAGGGTGCATAAAGTAATTTATATATATTCGATTCTATTTATGTGAAAAATAGAAGTTCGGATCGTGACCGGCGAAGATGCCTAGCTATCGGAACGCGTAGCCCTTACTCGTCTCCACGACCGCATTTCCTCCTGGACATAATGGATTGCGCGCATAGGATCGTACATAGTAGGTGCATGCGAGATAGTCCGATACTCCGTCTGCAAGCGTGATAGGACCGGGAACCGGTTGATGACGCCGGTCGCCACATCGAGGGGAAGCAGGCGTATTTCATAAATGGTATTATTCATCTATCACCGAACGTATCGTCAAATCGGACTATTATAGCGCCGGGTAGCCTACTCCAGAATAATTGTCCTACTTCATCGAGTTGAGCCGAATACGGGCGGCGGCGCTTCTTATGCGGGACTGTTGATTTTGACCACATATACCTTAGGCTCGGGATGCTGGTTAGTATAAGTTATAACGGTCAACTCTGAAATCATATCGAAGAATTGCCCCGCGCTTCTGTCATCGTCAACATTCCGTTTGCTTAAAGGGTATGACTGGATTTCGTGATTGGGACGCTGCTTTATGGCGTCTTCGGGTTTTTAGGCTCGGCCGAGTTACCGTGACGAATCAAGTGGCTTGAGATTATGAATAATAGAGAAAATCATGGAGTTCGCCGAAAGTGACAGTTCCGACGGCAGCAGCTAGGAGAATGGCACGTCGGTTAGCCCGAACGCACCATGATTCTGCATAGCTTTGGTGAGAGAGCGCATCATGGGCCAGGCAGACACGGCGATTGTAAGGCCTTGTGGGAATTCATTTCTAAAGGAAAAACCATAACATCCTCTCTACTTCTTCGTCAAGAAGCCATGGCGCTTAGGTATCCATAACCTAGCAGGCCAATGTGCAAGCCCCTTCAATACATATCTACACTCCGCGAAGAGAGGCAAGAAATCAACCTACGCTAACAGCGCCGATGACGTTGTGGCCCGCGTGGCGTACGTGTACAGCCAAATTCGGAAGACAATATAATGCCCTCAACTCCGACGAGATGGTCCGAGACAATGCGAACACACAAAAACCTAACAAATTCAATTACCCTGCTCGCAGTTCGGACGTTCCGAGCCATAGAAGCGGCATTTTCAGCATAAGATGTGCATTTATTCTTAACAATTTCGTTCGTGAGGTGCGAATATGGGACACATATGAAACGCGACGCCCGGGCCAAACAGCCTGCCGTCGTCCGAAGCACGTCGCAGATCCTAAGATCTCGGGTTGAATGGCGACAGCGTACGGCGAAAAGTCCATTGGCTCAGACGGTCTAGAGATTGTCGATCGCACGCCAAGAGCATTTCCGGCTGAAAGGCACGGCGTCTTTCGAAGGTCAATTCGTGTCGACTTTCGTGGTGGGTTCGCCGCATCATTCATCGTAAGGCCTCCACGGGCCCCGCCAACGAACTCAAGTCGCGTTTGATCTCCGTGAGGGTTTGATCCCGGAATCGAATCAGCGAGCATCACCAGTTCATCGGACGAGAAGAATACCTGTATATAGGGACAGGAAAGGGTAGAATAGAAAAGTACAAATAGATGCGTAATTCCCCAGATGAATGGCATCATGAAGATCCATCTGACAATACAATCGTTCTCCATCTTTCGCTTCTACATTCATTGTACAAACTATTCCCCACGACCTGGTGTCGCTCGTTTTATATTCAACTAGTACATATATCCTTGTATTTATTTTATCCACTCTTTACCGTCAAAATGGTTCGCGTCAGTGTCGCTGCATTCCTGGCTTGTAAGTTGAGACATATTTTCCGATGAATCACATATCTCCGAGTCACTGGCGAAGTTAACTCGTTTATGTTGCACAGTCGCCCTTACTGCTTTCGCCCAAGTCACGCCCAACAACGCCGGAGCTAAGAACGTCGGCCAGGGCAATGGGCAGCAATTCATTACCGGAGGTTGTGTATCGGATGCCGTAAGTGGACCGCTATATATAGAAACACCGGCGCCGGATGCCGTGTCGATATATCCTTGGTCGTTAATTGCTAACGGGGCAAATAGGACTGCTCATCGGCGTGCTGTGCCGAAGTCCAAACTACTGGCCTCGGAGTCTGCTCTGCGGAGGCCGCATCAAACCAGAACGGCAAACTCGGCTGCGGCTTTGTCGACCCGAATGCTGCCCAGACTATCGCTGATGCTGAGGCTCAGGTTGAGAAGCAGTACGTATTGCGGTGTTTTTCTTATTTGTTGTTTCATCCCATTTCGGATGTGATACCTACCAAACCCGTGGGGTGTCACACGAGCTTCTTGAAACGGTGAAATAGGAAAACAAGAATATTTGCTAATTTTGAATTGTGAATAGGGGTTTCTAAACGATGCGACAGCTTAGAACCATAGAATCATGGTTGATGGACCATCCTTGAGGTCATCATGCGGGCTACCCGTCGACTAAACACCGTCTTCAATACGAAGCACATATAGCAATGAAACAAAATCAAGCTCCGACGTTACGAAATAAAACAATCAGTGAATGTATACCATCTTCGGTTTAGAGTCTCTTTGATACGAGAACTCCATGTGGTATTTTCCATTGTGACTTTGTCTTATGTTAATTGCAAGTGTAGATTTCCTTTAAATTTACCCGTCGCTTCACCCTATTCAATATCATGCTTAGGTAGGTAGGATATGTACCTGATTAATCTTTTGTAACAATGCAAGCAGCGTGGCGAGCTTGAAGTACCAGTGACGTGGTCGCAGGTGGGTGGTCGTTATAAGGGTTTATTGATTGGATTGTCGCAATCTGATAAGTTCTTATTCGATCACTGTTATTGTTGCCCATACAATTAAATGATTTCCCCTCCACAACATCACAACGGCATTGTCAGGCGCAAAACATTGTTCAACATCTTTATGCCTTACGTATAGATTGTTTCGACACAAAAAGAACCTTTGAGCTCTTGGACTTGACAACGAACAATCCTTCTATTTTTCCGGCATCGACGACAATACAAATGACGGCCAGGGACCCATGTGCAGCGACATCTTGTGACAACTCTGAAGTTGGATAAAGATTTAGTAGTCATGGCGAACGTTCAACGAAGCAACTATCTCCCCTACATTCAACAACACCTCGACCGTCAAGGCGAACCAGATGGAGTATGTTTGGAGATCGCATGTGGAATTTGCCAGGAGCGAAAACTCGACATTTCACAGAGCGCGAGAGGATACACTTCGTTGGATAGCCCCATGACACAGCAATTTGGGCCATACCAACACCTTCACAACTACATTAAACATGGCATTGAGCGAACCGTCGCACTTCCGTGCGGCCACGTTTTCGGCGACCGGTGTATCAGAGACCTCCAAACACGCGACATAGACCTTTCATGTCCGTCATGCGGTTACCGGATGACTTACCAAGGGTGCAATCACCCCATCGCTCCAGCCGGGATCCCACTTGACGGCAACAAACCCATAAGGGACACCTTTCCCCTAACAATACCCGAGGGCGGAGACGATCCCAAGCAATGTCTCGAGTGTAGATGGAAGATGATTAAGGCCAGTACAAGATACACCGTCGCAGACGAGTGCGTCTTATGCCGACAGCGAGTCCTGGCCAATGTGCCATTGGACGCGTCGGGACATCGCGTCCATCGGGAACAACACCTTAACTTCGGGCTGCGACGTAATTTCAGCGATATTGTCACACAAGTCTGGCCTGAATTTATCACGCGCGAAACGGAAGAATCGGCGATCAAGACACAAGCGGAAAGCGAGCGACGTCAAGCCCACGTGTCATTACTCAACACCATAGTTTTATCAGAGATGGATGACACCGTCTGGTACCGAAGCAAGGCGATTAAGGGTAGCCTTCTTACTAAGGAACAGTCGAGGAAGCACACACGGGGACTGGCGAATCTTGAACAGACGCTACTAAGTTGGTTGATGTGCGCTTCAAGGGAACCGCGGCGGATGTGGTAGATTTTTTGAAATTAAATGGCGATACTGGTTATTGTTTCGGGATATGGCGTTTAGCATCTAATGATTAGTTTAATGTTTGCGGGTTGTAGATATATTGTAGCAGTGTACAGAGACGAGATAACGATAGCTTCAAAAAATAAAATAAAAAATGGAAAACAATCTAGCAATCAGCTTCTAAGTGAACTATCCGCTGCTGAGAAAATATGATGTAAAGCTAACTTCTACATCAAGTAAGTGACCCGGTTGTATACCGCGGCAACTCAAACCAGCCCCAGCCCTACGTGCCCACTTTCACTTTCAATCCTCATTGCTCTTTCGATTGTCTTGTTCCTTTGTTGCATTGTTGCAATGTAACTTGAGTCATTTGAGTCATATCCCGCAAGGGTCTCAAGGAATCTAGGACTTTTTCTTTTCTTGGTCTATCTGCGCCAATGCGGCGGGCCGCAGCAGGATAAATTGTGATTCGTCGAATTATACTAGCCCTTGTTGAGGAGAACTTGTCTCGAGTTATATCGGTGGCTTAAGAGGAAGAATATCGCCCTATTGATGTGCAGAGTGCTTCGCCTAAATCTCCTGATAACGTTATGATCATCTAACTAAGCCACACTCTTAAGCTACAGATCTCCCCGCAGTTCCAAAATTGGAAAGAAATAAGAACTATACAGATTTGTGGATAGCACAGCTCCACCGGCTCCATCTCAGCCCTGAAGATTAGATTTTCATAGCCCCCAAATTCAACAAGTTTTACCATCAGTAAACCATTTCGCACGTACGATATTGGAAGAATAGCAGCTAACATGATCCCATAATGCTAGTTAATAGAAATTTTTTGTGGTCTCAAGCTGGGTTTCAAAGTCGGATTCCCATCCTCCGGAATCCTTCACTAAGTCAAAAGCCTCAGCCTCTAACGGTCTTGTGCTACCCTTAAGTTTAGACGGCGGGTTTCGAGAACCGTTGTTTGATGTTACAGAATAGAAAATAAGATGCAGTAGATTGCTGTGCCACACCTGTCATTGGCCTAGGTAGGTCCCTAGGTTATCGCTATTTGCCGCCGGGGTAGCACCGTACATATAAGGGTAGCGAGCAAAGACGAGGAGTCAAACCCTAGGCAACCGTGTTGTCCTGCCTGACCGAGCCTAACGTAAGGTTACCATTGGCCTTTCTGCAGAGAGCTATATGAACCCCAGGTCGGTAGCAACTATATTTTTACTTTGTTCTCTCTTTCTGTGATTTCTGAACTTGATTCATCGAACCAATCCATAGCTGCATCCTTCTCCCACACATATCTAGGCAGCTATCCTACCCAAGATATCAACTACAACTACCCACATCACCTTTCAACACATCTAGCAATCGTCCTCATCATCACATCACGATGTTGAAGATCGCGACTTTTGCTGTGAGAGGCCTGCTGGTAAGTAACAGGAAAAAAAAAAACCTATTGTTTTTATCCACTATGTAACCATCGTGCTAACCATTCCCAGCTCCTCTTCAGCGCAGTGGTACTAGGTCTCTCCGTCACCCTTGCCAAACAGCAAGTAGTCGGCTCGCCTCCCTCAGAGACGTCATTCGGAAGCTTCTGTGGCGCTTTTGGTATCCTGATCTCACTCATTGGTCTCGGTGGCCTATTCATCGACAAGATTCCTCCAGTAGCATTGATGGCCGTTGATGGCCTTGCCTCGGCTCTCTACCTCGCTGGTGCTATTGTAAGCCACTCTCTCGTCATTGAGCTTAAGCATTGATACTAACCATCACGCCTCATAGGCCCTGACTGTCGCACTGAAATCGGTCCCCAATTGCACCGATAATGATGACTACAACAAGTTCCAGCGATACCAGAACAAACTCATCAACGGCGGATGTCAGGACGTCGCCGGGAGCCCCGTCTGCCCCGGCGCCAGAGACGACAATGTGCTCAAGGGTCGTTGCCAGCGCGTGCAAGCCGACTACGTGTTCGAGTACCTCGCTTTCATCTTCGGTGTCGGCATGGTCGGCCTATCATTCTTCTTGAACCGAAGCGGAGGTAGCCGAACTGCTGCCTACGTTTAAATCAAAAATCGTCTACTACTTGTCATCGCCAAACTATCTACCGTACTTAATGAGGGTCGGTCGTTACTAATGAGGTTATTTGGGGTCTTGCTTATGCATATAAGGAGGAGGAATTGCTAGGAATTGGTTATTATGAGGTGCCTCGCACTCTGGATGGGACTGTTGTTAATAATGAATATGGAGCTTCGGCGTCACTCTCGTATTGGGAGGTATCATACGGTTTTTAGGTAGTTACCAAAGAATCTAAAGCTTACCTAGATTCCAAAATACATGCGATTCGTTAATATCTCGTTTTCGGACATCGTGGTTTAAATGTGAACATAAGTCACCTATCCCCAGGAGTATTGGGCCCCCAAGTTTAGATGGCTGGGGAACCTGTCTATTATCCTGCTATGTAGGATTCATTTTCTTGAAACGATGAGATTTGACGTCAGGGTAGTAGTAAGAGCCCTTAATCTCGCAGCAGCCTAGCTAGGTCGCATTGGCTTCTTTGCTACCAACAAGATATATCAGTAATCCATGATAAAAGCCGTTCGCTATATGATTGCGGCTTATAAATCAAGGTATTGTGGTGAACTTAGATTAGGTACTCAATGACTCTCATAATCCATCAGTTATTTTAACTTACCTACATATGTAGGTATGTGTCACAAGGAAAAAGCCCTTCATCCGAGTAAGTACCTAGGTGCCCAAGTAAATTCATTATCGTGGTGGCTTCTATTAGACCGAAATCTGCATATCGTGGCGTTCACAAGCGCCGTTGACTGGTCCGGAATGTCTTTCTTACCCCCCTTCTTCTCGCGGATTCTTTTTATCTCTCCCAGCTCCGAAATACAAACTCTTCTTCGTCTATTAACTCCAAACTCCTAGTAGTCTTTCTAATACGTCATTCATATCATTAGGGGATGCGAGTTGAACAGATGGCGGGCTTCCGGAGTCCCAGGTTTAGTTGACGATAGCTTGGACTCGAAATTTCTTAACTCCTTGTGCATTCGTTGTTTATGACCAGCCATTTCCCAGTCGGTAATACTGTGCAACTTTTCGGATGTGCCCCGCATCCCGCTGTACCTCATTCGATATCTTCCGGCGTGAACGGAATGGCTCGATCCTCTGAAACAATACAGGACCGTACTTGGTCCAATTTCCCGGCGATCTCTCGAAGCCAATTCTGTACAACACGATCTAAATGCCTTGCACAATTACCTGCAAATTGCCTTGGGCTATTCGAAGGTTCCTAAAAGTCCTAAAATGCCACCGCCACATCTCAACAACGACTGGCCAGTAATCAGACCATGAGCACGTGCGAGGAGTGAACTAGTGCCTATATCTTTCCTAGTCGGAGCAGTGCAAGGAACGGGCTTTATTCTGTCTGATTCTACATGCCGGGGGTATGGAATATGATTATGCCTGGCAAACGGCAATGCCTAGGTAGAGCCGCCGGCGCGATACGCAATTTGTAAATGGTACATGGCTAATAAAAAATCGTAGGAGATAAGCGCTCCCAAACCAACACGGCCTTTATCAATTTGCTCTGAATTATCGTCTGTATTTACGAGCGCTGATGCTTACACCTACGTTCCGTAGCTTCGGGACAATTCGGCGCTTAGCGCTAAGGATGCGAACGACGAAAAACCTCACCAACTTGACAGTTTTCCATATTTAAGCGCGGGCTCGGGACGGTTGGAAACAAAGTGTTTGTCGGGCCGAGTCGGAAAACTATCAATCAACATTCGTTGCGGCAGGGATGGCGACGACACTTATCTACCTTGGGTAAGTACGCTTGGCCACGAAGCGGTCTTGAACAAGATATAATTGTAAATACCTAGTCAAGATGGTCTCGTGGGTATGAACAAGTGTGCGGCGAGGCTGAGAATATATAGCACAGGCTTCCTCGTTAACCGCCGAAATCGAGAATCGTCGCGAGACGCCCAAAAGAACCCGTACAATAGCATCTAGGTCATCGCTGAGGCCATCTTCATTTCGTTAGCACGTGCGAAGTTTTTGCACTGATATCCAACATGAGCCGCTAGCTGGGATGGTTGTTGAAGTGTGCCAATGAATTGCTTTAATCCGTCGGTCGACGAGTCGGACTGCCCTGGACGAACTATACCAACAATTTTCACGAACAGCCATCTCTTAGGTTGAATCCGCGATCATGGATAACCTTAAGATGATTGGTTATTATGACAGTTCCAATACAACGAATATTCAACCAGGATGAGGGACGATGGACAATATAAATACCTATATCTAAATCACTATTTGCATTCAGCAGTCAAACCCGTAGTATTATCATAATCGTCGACGAATTTATATAAAAATCAAAACATCCGGCGAATACAGACCTAGGTGGATAATAATTGTCTAAGACATTAAGCTGACGGAATGGCCCTCGCTAGTCGAGCCTTTAGTAAGTCTATGAATTCCTTTCCCCCCTCCTGGTTGAATTTATCATCCCTAACATTACTAGATCGTGTGGAAACCAGATTCGTTGCGTATATTATAATAGCAGTTTTGTTTCTATTTTATGGTTAGTTCATCTACCTAACCTGATGTACCTACACTTCCGACTAACTGACGATAAAAGTCCTTGTCTTGACGGGTTGTCTGTCAACTTCGCCGGGAGTACCAGACCTTTTTGTGGTTAAACTACAAGCAAAGCAAGTCAAAGATGTTGAAGTGCGAGTTGGATATTATGGTATGTGATCTACTACATATTTACAATCCAGGGGTTGACAGGACGTCTAGGAATGTGTATCACTAAAGCGGGTGGTGGCTTGTCTTGTCTTGCAACATACACGCGATCGCCAGACACACTTAACGATCTTTTCCTATCGAACTTGACCAACACACCCAATGATGGGGTCGTGAAAGGACTTCTAGTCCAAGCGAATATCATCCAAAACAAAATATTCTACGCATTACTAGCTGCATCGGGCGTTCTGTTCCTTCTTAGTGTCGTATCAATGTTGCTTGTTAAGCGGTACATGAAGAGTCCTAAGCCTAATGCAGTACCACAGCAGAAGCGATTCAGGTCCATCATGCATTTCTTTCGTCAATATGCCTTTGGCCTCGCGATAGCCGCGGCGTTTTCTACGACGCAAGCTACCGGCGCATTGGATTTTGCGACAATTTCAATGCCTGATTCTGATTCAAATATACTTATTAGCGGTGGAAAGGCTGTTCAAGGGTTGCAATGGGCAATCGTCGCTCTATTGTGCTTGGTTCACTTAGCGACCTCTTCTATGTTCAACGCAGGCAGCGGCGGTCCTTCAGGAGATATGGGAGGCTTTCCGCCGTCACTTCCGCCTGGTGGAGGTATGATGCCGCCTCCACCTCGACTATAAGATGGCGTAACATCTTTTGGCGGACTGGGGGAGGAGTCAATAATAACTATGGGCCGGCATCACTGCATCTGAACTTCTAATTGAAATCAAACTGCTACAACAAAAATATTCCTGGTAGAAGCTATTCTCACGAATCCGACGACGACATGCTGGACAGCATACAGCATGTAATGTATTACTATGGGGCCATTAGATTGTATCTTTATCTAAAATATAATAACGATGGGGTTGCATAACTTGATTGTTTACGTGCATTCGCTCGCACGCCGCTTTCGCACCTCCGTTTCGTTGATGTCTCTTCGCCAATCGGCCAAGTGAAGGCACGCAAAGAAGTCCGCTATGGCTACAGCTACTAGAGATTTTAGCTGCCGTCTTGGTCTAATATTTGCCGATTGAGTGGCGACATTGATACCTATGACGCTAGATACTTGTGATGATGATTGATAAGGGGTAATGGTGACTATTGTGCACTGAAATGGTATTCTGACATTGTGTATTTACCATTTGTAATGAAATTACCTACCTCTTATCATCCGACTATCTATCGGTCTCTCGTCATTATACTTTTGAGGGGTTCCTTGCGCGACACAACTGGGGAATTGCCTAATATATGTTGTCGGTAAATGTTACACAAACGTTGGTGTCTCCGTTCACGATGCGCCAACCGCGTGGTTATTCAAGTAATCTTACGTTAGTTAATGACCGGCAGCTCGGGAAGAGGACCCGGAGCGGTGAATACTGCTAGAATCTGACATCGCATTGGTCGATTTGTCAAGTGGAATTGTAGCGTCATTGGATCCATGTCATCCATGTCATGCAAGCATCCAGGGTCTATGGAAGCAAATGAAGCAAATAAAACATGGGCCTCCGCATTGGAGAAAAAGATTACGATTTAGACCCTCTAAATATTATGTAGAGAGAGGCTCCCTCGGACTCTAAGGCCTATGCGCGCAACATGGCTATCACGTTGTCTTTTTTGGTAGCGGCCCTGTTCGCATCGCCGCTAGGTGCATCAGATGCTTCAAGTTACGCGCGGTCGCCGCCGGTTTACCCGTCTCGTGAGTTTATTTTCGTTTCAAAAGCCGCGCTGGGTCGGTTACTGACACGCATCGATAGCGCCGGGGAAAGGAGTGGGTATATGGGCCGACGCGTACTACAGCGCACAGGACCTCGTAGGCCAGATGACCTTGGAAGAGAAAGTTAACATCACACGTGGTTTCACCGTCACTGATAACGTCTGCGCTGGTAACACCGGAACTGTACCACGGCTAGGATGGCCAGGCATGTGCCTACATGACGCTGGAAACGGAGTCAGGGCAACCGATTTGGTCAATTCGTACCCGTCGGCAATCCATGTCGGCGCAAGTTGGGACAAGAACTTAACATACGAGAGAGCCTTTTACATGGGAAAGGAGTTTAAGGCTAAAGGCAGTAAGTAACTCACGAGGAAGCCTGCGTTTTAGAGCCAGATATCTTACACCTCCTCAGTTAATGTTATCCTCGGTCCTAATGCCGGGCCGTTGGGGAGGAGTCCCTTAGGTGGTCGGAATTGGGAGGGCTTTTCTGTCGATCCGTACCTGTCCGGCCAGTTAAACGCGGAGACAATCGTTGGGCACCAAGATGCTGGCGTAATTGCGAACATAAAGGTACCTAATCAATCTCATTTCCCGATTATCTCCGATTAAGGGGTAGGTACTGATCGCTATGGGCAGCACTTTATCGCCAATGAGCAGGAAACATACAGACGACCATATTTCGGGGTCGAAGCTATCTCGGCGAACGTGGATGATAAGACGCTTCACGAATTCTACCTATGGCCTTTTATGGATGGCGTCAGGGCTGGTGTAGCCTCGGTCATGTGTTCTTACAACCGAATTAATAACACGTACGGGTGCGAAAACAGCAAACTCCTGAATGGTATTCTCAAAACTGAGCTTTCATTTGATGGTTTTGTGCTTCTTGATTGGAACGCTCGGCATAACCTCGATAGCGCAAATGCTGGACTGGATATGCTCATGCCCGGAGGAGGGTCTTGGGGCGACAACTTGACTCAAGCCATTCATAATGGATCTGTTAATGACGACAGAATCACGGACATGGCTACAAGGTAAGAAAATCCTATGGTGAACTCACCGATGCCCCGCTTAACAGAATCAGAATCCTCGCAGCATGGCATCTAGTAGGCCAAAACGACACTAGCTTCCCAACGCCAGGAATTGGTATGAAGAACCTCACCGAACCACATGAGCAAGTTGATGCCCGTATCCCCGAGTCGAAGCCTACGATTCTAGAGGGTGCAATCGCTGGACATGTCCTAGTGAAGAATGATGGTGCCTTGCCCTTCAAGGAGAACCCGAGAATGCTATCCGTTTATGGTTACGATGCCACTGTTCCCGATACGAAGAATACGGATGTCCTCTTCCAGCTAGGGTATACATCTTCCCAGGAAATGGGCCAGGCAGTTCTGGGAACAGAACAGCATTTTGACCAGGCTGCAAAGGGGGGCACAATTGTCACAGGAGGCAGAGCTGGTGCTAACGCGCCGGCTTATATCGACGATGTAAGATTCCTATCGGGAAAACTCTTTGGATCATACTGATTAAGTTCGCAGCCATTGAGCGCTATCCAATATAGAGCGAAATCCGACGGTACTTGGGTTAATTGGGATTTAACCTCATCCAACCCTGATGTGAATACTGCGTCGGATGCATGCTTAGTTTTCATTAACGCGATTTCAACCGAAGGTTGGGATAGGGAAGGGCTCCACGATGACTTTAGTGATGGGCTTGTCCTGAACGTCGCATCTAAATGTGCCAACACCATCGTCGTAATCCATGTTGCAGGTGTCCGCCTAGTTGACCAATGGATCGACCATCCTAACGTTACTGCGACTGTCATTGCTCATTTACCAGGTCAAGATAGCGGGGAGGCTTTGGTGAAGCTTCTCTACGGCGAAGCGGTGTTCTCTGGAAAGCTCCCTTACACGCTAGCTAAGAACGAAAGCGACTATGCAGTCTACGCTCAGTGTGGCCGTGGACCATCCAATACGACGGACCCCCAATGCGATTTTACTGAAGGGGTCTACGTCGACTATCGTCACTTCGACGAGAAGAACATCACCCCACGTTACGAATTTGGCTACGGGTTATCGTACACGACGTTCAACTACTCTTCTCTGTTGATTGAGACGCTAGATACCAAGTTGGGATCGGGAGGTCCCATTACTTCGAGCAGCGATGAAAAATTGTGGGAGTTTGTCGCTACAGTGAATGCGACGATCACCAATACGGGCGAAATAGGGGGTGGGGAAGTAGCGCAGCTTTACCTAGGTATTCCAAACAGCCCCCCAAAGCAATTACGCGGCTTCGAGAAATCCGTGCTCCCTCCAGGGGAGTCAGCTGAAGTCATTTTTCAATTGACGAGGCGCGATTTCAGTGTGTGGGATGTCATCGCCCAGGGTTGGACCGTACAGGAGGGCGAGTACGCCATTTATGTAGGAGCCAGTAGTCGGGATATCAGATTAACAGGTAGTATCGCGGTTTAGTGGACAGCGATACACCACGATCTAGATACCCCGGAGACTCAGTTCACGATGTCGCTTTAATTCTTCACGCACTATATCCATAGTAATGCATTCACAAGTTGGCACTTGACCTTCATCGAAAGCATTTGAGGGAGCCTCAAAGGTACGACTATAGTAGGTAACTAGCAGGTGCCTAGCAATTAATCAATAAGCATAGCACCCATATCTTTGAATTTAACTGAAGGGCCAAAGCCTTTGTCTCATTCAATCCACAATCACATGTCAATAAACATTGTCAATGTGTTTATCTTTCTTTTGTTGATCACAGACATCTCTAGTGTTCATCAAAGGCACTATTGTATGGTGATTGAGAAGGACAATATATCATTAGCGTTATGTCCTTACAAAATTGCATTATACTACTTTAAATCAACTTTAATCCTAGAAAAACTTACTGCGAACCTAGATTTTTAATTCTAAGTAGAAAACACCCGGTACTTAGCCCGCCCTTGACCACATCATAACACGTCATGTCTCCCTATCCTAAGCCTACCTTAGATTTGATGGAAGAAAATTCCCCATCCGAATCTGAAGGAGACCTACCAAAGATATCCCTTGACTGGCCACCAAGCGGAGGAAGCCTTGCTCCTTGGATAGCAATCTTCGTGTGTGTGCCGGCTATCATCGTACTCTTAATATGGGCGGTATTGTATTGTGTGCGTCGTTGGTGGCGTAATCAAGGAAAGAAGCCGATAAAGTAATGGCATAGGCCTCACGCGGAAAGAATATCAGATTATATCCATATAAGCCATCCATTGCTGGATAAGAGGTTCGATCGATCAAGTTAGGAATGTGCGAGGAGGGTAGGCAAGTCTATAAGGCGTTAGCTAATTTACCAAGTTAATTCTCTGAAATAACACAAGTCCTGTAATAAGATGAATAATTACCTATTTACACGCTTATGGAATGAACTCAATGTGAAAGCACCACTTATGTAAAATAATGTGGCCGCATTACAATACGCAGGTGACGTGCATGATATCGAGAAGGCTAAGGACTCTGTTGACTCCATACCAACGCGGTGCGCGAGAATCGACTAGATATAATAAGCATCAATAGGGGATATAAACTACCTGGCGTGTCGGCATGCCGGAGAATCAAGTATGATTAGAACAGCACCTTAGCCTTTCCCTTCGTATGTTGAATTGAATTCCACGTAGCGACTTTAACCCCTAGTGACATCCCTAAATGTTGATCATTCCACCCTACGCTGCTGTTGAACTGAGACACCTTGTAGAATCCTGCGTCAGTTTCGCTCCAATATGTGAAAATCAAGGGATGGTAGGCATGTAGCGAAATCAAACATACCTCATCGTACTAGCATCCCTCTCCATGGATTTCGGATACAAAAACCTCGAGCCTGACCCTGGATTAACGAATCGAGAATCATCCAGCATCACCAAACTTGTAGTCACTCATTTACAACATCTTCTTCGACACCACTCGACCTTTTTACAACACCAACTTCCAACTCTCCTTCAATAATTTCCTAACTAAATTAATCAAAATGCAGCAACGCGCACTTCTCGCTCTTATCTCCCTGCTCGCCGCAGTAGGCACCACGGCACCAATCGGCACCGCACCCAACGCCGCCGCTCTCGCAGCCCCAGCCGGCGACATCGTCGCAGGAGCCGCTAGGGACACAGCCCGCGGTGTACCCACCACCTTCGGTGCTCTCGCCGAGGGCCAGCGCGACGGAGAGAAATCCGCTGAAGAAGCCCAGCGAGCCAACAAAGGCGGTCAGAAAGCCGCAGGCGGCGAACAAGGCGCCGGTCGCAAGGGACAGCACGCCGCAGAAGAGAGCCAGGGCGCCAAAAAGGAGGGCCAGAAGTCTGCAAAGGAAGGCCAACACGCCGAAGCTGAAGGCGAGAAACACGCTGAAGCCGGTGAACACGCCGAAAAAGAAGGACAGCACGCCGCTAAGGAAGGCGAGAAAGCTGAGAAAGAAGGCCAGCACGCTTTCGATGAGGGCCACAAGTTTTCTGAGCACGGACAGGAGGGTGGCAAGTCCGGCAGCTACGGTGCCGACCGCAGCGCTTCCAAGGAAGGCTTTGCCCACAACAACAAGGATGGTGCTAAGAGCGGCAACCACGCCTACGAGGACAAGTCCGATGGATTCTTCGGTGCCGCTGAGGGTTCCAAGGGTGCTAAGCAGGGACAGAAGTCCGCTGCCGAGGGATCTAAGTCCGCCGATGAAGCTTCCCAAGCTGCCAAGGAGGGACACAACTCTGCCGATGAGGCTTCCAAGGCCGCTAAGGAAGGATCCAAGGCTGGTGTCGAAGGCTCCCAGGGCGCTGCTGAAGGTTCCCAAGCTGCTGTTGAGGGTGCCAAGGGTGGTGCTGAAGGATCTAAGGGCGCATCTGAGGTTTTCAAGGCTAAGCAGGACACGAAGAAGGAGCAGCAAGGTCTCGAGGGTCTCTTCGGTGGCCTCACCGGCGGTCTTGGCCACTAGAGGTATGATATCCAACCACTCACATTCCCCTAGACAATATCTAACCTTTAGATCAGAACTCGCATTAAATCTTCGTTTCAGTAGGGGTTGTTAGCTACTTTTAGGTGGCATTCGACGAGAAGGGGCATTAGATTGGTATTTGAATCTGGTTTGAGGTTAATTTTATAAATCATGAAAATCTGCACAGAAGTCTTTTGTTTTCGCATCTGCTCTTGCTTTAGAGGCTCCTGTTTAATGTATTAGTACACGTTAAAATCATTGTTTGGTCAGCATTGTCGTCATCAGCATAATCCATGAATTCAAGGCTCATTGCCCAAATAGCATTACCATACACCCATTTTCCAATTAGTATGCTATGCTGATTTGATTGCGCCTTAACGCCTTGTCTTTTTCTGATGCGTCTATTCGTGACCCTCCATGTATCAAAAAACCTATGCGAATGTGGTCGCTATATAATTCCGTAGCATACATCGGTTTATGTATACTCCTAGCGATCGTATTCCCGTTATGCGCGGGGTACTTTGGTCGAGATGTCTGCTACGAGGGTTTTGAATCTAGGCCCAAGAGCGTCGACCACGACCGAAATGTCGGGAGGCTCAGGCCAGGCCTGCTCCTCGCGTTTAGTAAGAGTGTCGGGATCCCAAGTATCTGAGCTAGCGATAGCTTCCGTCTTTCCAAGAGCCTTCATGCCTTTGACGTCTTTACCTCTTCGTGGTGGGCCCTTCGGCGCACTTGGTGTAACGAGAGTTTCGTCCAACAAGCAGTGCCAGCGTGTAATGTAAACACCTGGTCCACCTATGTTACCACCGGTTTTCTTATTATCGTCGTCGTCAGCTCCGTCGATGACATTTTGCATTCGTGAGATCGACATTTCTTCCAACTTGGAAAGATATGTGGCATGGGCATCGATAGCATCCTTGACACCGCTCTTCTTATCATCGGAAAGATTGTCAAAAAGGTTCTGTAGGTTTCCATCCATCTCCCCAAGATTATATGAACAGTTACCCCCATTCGCCATTGTTGTATTGTTGTTTGAGTCTGTTGTCTGCCTGAAGAACTTGAGACTTTGCTTGGCCCAATTGAGCCATGTCGTGCGAAGGTCTGGACACCCTTGAGCAAAGTCGTGTAAGTAATCCCAGGCTAATTGGCGATTGCGTTTCAATAGCGCAACGTAGTCTTCAACAGAAGGTGGTATGGTTCCACTTTGCGGTTGTCCGCCGTCTCGCTTCTTGGGCTTACTCGTCGCTATCAAGTCAGTCAAGAAACTTTCGACGGAACTTATATGTTTCCGTATGTCAACATTCTTATGAATATCCCGAATCATGGGTTCAAAAACGGACACTCCATCTCGTATAATAGAGGTCGTCAGGTCCGGACTCTGGCGACATAAAACTTCGGTGATTTTTTCCCTATCTCGTATTGCGAGTTGAGCAGAATAATACTCCAAGCATTGCGTATGCTGCGCTTCGGTGAGTGAATCCGCTAAGCTTTTATCCTTCGCTTCTAAAATAGCGACGATAATTGATTTTTCGTCTTTTCTGCTTATTTCGCGTGATGATTCATGTTGGTCTCTCGGCGCTTGTAAGTGCTCGTCGATTGCGGCAAGATGTAATTCGCTTGGCCCTTCTTTACTTCGTTTAATACCATCCACAGCCTTGCGGAAGTCGCCGGTGTCCCATTCTAAGATTAAGGATATGATTCTTGTTGGCAATAAGTTAGACCACTAATTATTCGGCTTGGAAATAAGGGTACTTACCGTTGTAGAAGATTCATCCCATCTGCTGCATTTTGGGTTAATCCAAGCCAATTTGAAAATGCGCCGACACTAACTTTAGCCAGGAATAACCTGACCATCGCATTTATCATCGTCCCAGCATTCCCGACACGTAAAGTCTGAATGACTACTGTATACGGGATCAAACTATGCAAGTTATCAAGTAACTTTAATAAGTAAGGTCCTTCAGCTGATAAAACGAAAAGATGATGAAGGAATGTGGCTATGTAGATTATGGCGAAATTCACGGCAGCTTCGACAGCGGGCGAATGGTCTTCGGGGTTTTTAGTCTTGGTGAATTGCTCGAATAATTCGTCAAGTAGATTTCCATAAACCAAATGTTGAACAACATCATCCCAAGCTCTCGCAAGGTCCTCTGTCCGATGTATGTCGTATTTCCCGCGAAGATCGGGCAACTTGCCGTCAGGTATGCCGCTCAGCAAACCCCTGGTAATACCTTCGTGGATGACCGAAGCAGCCGAGGCGAGTCTCTTCCTGCTCCCCAGTGTTCCTTTGTCATAGCTCTCTGATAGTTCCGCCTCACCAAACCTTCTCATAATATTCCTAAACTTGTCTGTCCAAAATTCGGATGGTAGATCCCTAATACCCGGTATTGGAAGAACTAATCTGGTAAGGAGGAGTTGTAATAACGGCGATAATGATTTTTCCTTTCCGTTACTACCTTGCCCCGGAGCCGAGGCATCGAATGGGTATCCATAATGCTCGATAGCTTCTGGGTCTTTGTAGCTTTCGACTTCAGAATACGTTTCGTGATGTACTAGAATGTCCAGTAAAGCTCCTAGCTGTTCAGATGACAGGGTTGGCGAAGACATGGCGGGGTAATTAGGTAGAAATGATGGATAAGAAACATTTAGAATTAGGGGCTTCTTTAGGTAACTTCATCCATGTAGTAGCTCACTACGAGTTTGATGGATTTTTATAAATTTCATAGACTGTTGCATAGCCTCATAGGAGGCCTGGTGTTGTTCAAGAAATGTAGTGTACGTACTTGTAGACCCAATCTTATGGAATCGCTTCTAAAAAAGTGCATCAGCGTAACTTTGAGGGACCCTTTGTCACCCTTTACACTGCATATTGACGTCATCTCACTCAGAATTCGAACTAAGATACCCTTTTAAGCTGCTGATAACCCCCACTCATATAAATACGGCGCGATACATTCATGAGGATACGAGCAATGCATATAAAATAAATACGGATCTGCTCACTTACACTACTTAATACATGTAAGTTTCGTTATGATTTGGATAAAATACAATAGGGTTAACAACTGACTCGGATGCCTGACGATGTATTTTCTTGAAATTAAACAATTCAATGTTTCATCCGTCACAAGAATACATGTATCGGGTGCATTAGTTCCCGACATCTGTTATCGAGTATATGGTCCGTGCGTTTATCAAGGACGGAACTTTTCTACAACAAATTCCGATGACCAGCCCTCTTAAACTTGTACAAGCCATTCATCAATCAACATCAAAATGACTTGCAAAGACAATGCCGCCAGGCCGCGATGAGTTTAATGGCCTACCTCGGGACGCCTATACTGGTATCCTTCCAGTTGTACCACCCGATACAAATATAGACAATCCATCGCGAAATAATGCCGCAACTGCCGCGTCAGCTGCGGGTGTCCGTGCCTTGAGTGCTCAGGCCATCGCTTTCTACTTCAGGGCGCCTGTTAAAGCCTTCTTCCGAACACGAGTGGACTATCTCGCATACGCTCGTAGTGTACACCAAACCCAGACGGAGTTACTCGCTCGCGCTGCTGCGAATGATCAGACAGCCTCGAGGTTGGGCCTTACATTTAGGCAAGCATGGATGTGGGCACGCGGAACCACCCCGGGATTACTTGCATCCGTCATTCAGCAGCATGGGTGGAGTGTCATACCGCAACAGATCCTGCCACCGTTGATAGCAAATGTTGGAGTCGGTGCTATTTTGTATACCAGTTATTTACATATTCTAGCTCAACTACATGAAGAAACTTCAAGAGCGCCGAAGAGGGTATTCCCTCCGCCTGACCCGATTCATACCTTTACTGCAGGTTTTATAGCCGGAAGTATCCAAAGTGTGGTAGCAGCCCCGCTTGACGCGATCCAGGCCCGATATGATCATCGTGATCTTATGTCTAGCAATGGGGATGGAAAGCCACGAAGCATGTGGAAATTTTCGGCGGAGAAGCTGAGAGAAATAGGGCTGCGGGGTGTCTTTGCGGGATGGGGTCTTTCGTTTCTGAAAGATAGCTTCGGATGTGCCGTTTTCTTCAGCACTTTTGAGTACGTTAAGGCGCAAGGTTACTATCGCTTCATTACCTGGTATTACGGAGGATTGAAACCAGACGCTGTTGATGCACTAGCTCAGAAGAGACCATCTACTCAAAAAGATCTAACCGATAATGCTACGAAAGACGGCACCCGACCGGTTATCATACGGCCACACTACGCGATCGAACCGATGTTTTTACTTCTCGCCGGAATTACAGCGTCGTTCACTCAGCAGCTATTTCTTCATCCCTTGACCCACATTCAAGTCTTACATTGGGATCACCTCGAGGACCTAGACGCTAAAGCAGCGAAAATGAGAAATTCTACGGTCGCAAATCCCGATAAGCCAAGGCGTAGGTGGCGCATGCTTCGTGCTTACTATCACGCCTATCAAGAGACTTGGGGGCAATGTGTCGCGGAGGCCACATCAGAAGGTAGAGGTCTGACAAAATGGTTGTACCGCGGTTTTTGGTGGAACACGAGTAAGTTTCTCTTCCAAGACACTGGTAAAGGCCCCAAATGACTAACGATTACACGCTACAGTTCGGCAAGTACCAAGCACCAGTGCTGGTCTAATTATTTTCGAGCTGGTCCGGCGCAAATATGGAAGCGGAAATGAACCTGTACGAGTTGCAAAAGACGATTACGAAATTCTGCTGGAATAGATTTGAAGTCATGACTTCTTGGCGTTTAAGGTATCAGGTATGAGCGTAGGAATTTCCCACTCGGCGTGAGGCATCCCCCCCCCCCCCCAACATAGCGATGGAGCCCATCTTATATCCCTTTGATTGTCTCGAAATAGACATAGATATAGCGCAAATATCTGTCTTATCTCCCCTTGTTTCCAGCACTGCGAATAAATGGTTCAAGTGGAAATACCTCGCCCTCTAGCGTGACACCTTCGTAAAGTTGCGCCCAGCGATATCCTAATACTTTAGGGGTCGGCCAGGCATTCTCTGGGTCGCGCAGCCATAGACGCAGGAGATGTCGGCTGTATTAATTGGATCGCATTCATTAGTAAACTGACATTTTAGACTTGTGCTAAAGGAATAGACTTACCGTTTCTCAGGTGTGTCAGTAAAGCCATCCCTTGCGTGGAAGATAGCGAGGTTATTGATATACTGCATATCTCCTTTTTGGAAGTCGGTATTCACACAGAATTTTTCCCCTAGAAAATGGATGGTATCGAGAGCCTCGGCCTGAGCTTCAGTGATAGGTGGAATGTTGGGACTCCGCGGAAGAGCCCCGAAGCCAACGAAGTATCGCCTGCCGTATTGTAGGGACACCCTCTCAGGGGTGGACTCTGTTGCTGGGAAATGGAATAGAAGCGGCCTTTCGGTGTATTGCTTTTCAGCTTTCTCGAACCTAGAGGAATTAATCCATCAGTCGAACTACTACGTATATTTATAAATCTTGGGGGTTACTCACACTTCCATATCCCATGGCTGAGAAAGGGTATGGACAAGATCCGGTCGTGTGGCAGCAATTTCATTGTATACCCGCCATGTACTAGCCAATTTACTAGCACCTCCTGCCGCCGACGTCTCAAGCGCAAACAACGACACAATATCGCCGGAATCTGTATGGAAGACCTGCTTATCAGTAGTGTACGCAGGGCTACCGATAGAGCCGTTATTCTGCGACCAGGTGAGGTCCTTGATATGGCTAAGAACCACATCGGCTGGCTGACCGTTGAACTTATGGTCTTGCCGACCGCGCTGCCCGGCGATGTGCGCGGAGATTCCTGCGTATATGATAACGTTCTCCTCACGGGAGTGATCGTCGACACGAAGGCCCCGAATTACGAAGAATCCATGCCCGTTGTGTAATTCTGACGACAGCCGGCGCAACTCTCCGTGAAGATTAGGGAGTGGGAATGTCTCAGCAGTAATGTGGCCTAGGGACAAACCCAAGCCTATACAGTGTCAATTTAATCAACGACTGATGATTGCAAATTGGAACATTCAATGACCTACCTTTGAAATGGCTTACGGCTTGGTCTATCTCATTCAACTGCTCTTCATTAAGGACATAGGTCCAATCATATGTATCTGCTACATTCGCGCCTTCCCACACTAGATCTCCATTCAATTGCGCCGGGAAACCTTCCGGGAGCGTGGTCGGAAGATTCCCCTCTTTAAGTCGCCGTGCCGCTCGCGCCTGCCATTTTTCGTAGTCCGGAGCGTAAGATATGTCGGGCTGCCCCGGGGGAGCGACTGCCTTCGGCGTGACGTAAGTTACCGTGGTTGTCATCGTTTTCTCAAATTCAGAAGATTATTTCATTATTCTAAATGACTTCTTCCTTATTCTTGAATTGTACATCCTCATAAAGTTAAAGTCTATATCGAAGTTGGAGAGATGAGCAATACTTCGGTGAAATTGCGTCATCTGTTGCCATTGAATGTGACCTACTACAGCGCCTAAAGTGCTATCTACAGAGAACAGCTTCTTAGCGCATGAAGGGACACTGAACGTTCAGGTGCCTTTCGCACTCCATTCCTGCTGCGAGCCCTGTAAGACGGCTCTCATTGCCCGCTTTAGACCCCTAATAAATACCTACTTAGGTACCCTAGGTACCTATAACTTAGCGGGCGCGAAATGCACAACAGGTAAAGCAACAATAGGTGAAATAAAAGATAGCATACTTGTTACTGTCTAAGACATGCGTTAGAAATAGTGATACCAGCCAGACCTACCCAGTAAATAACACCGAAGCTACCTGACGAACCCCCACAAGCATTATTTAAGGGAATGCCCTCCCACTGTTTCGTAACCTAGTAAATTTATTCCCACAATCACCAATAATATCTATATCCCTTTTGGCCATCTACTGTGTACCCCAACCACAACGTTTCAACCTTTATTTCGAGGCCCAGTGAGGGCAATAACCTGAAGTCATTTACTCATTAAATCCTGGAGGCGTAAGAATGAGTGGTAGCGGGAACAACGAAGTTTATCGGGGACCTCGAGTCGAATCGGACTCTATGGATTATATTAGCGACGCCACGTCTTGTCGAGGCCGACGTTCACGTTTTATGTCCACTTTGAACTTTGCTGCTTCTTTATAAATTCCAAAGAACGGATGGGTAGCGAAGCCGACAGCGCCTAAATTCGTTAGAACTGTGGTCATGCAAATCGTCGGACTAGCTGTAACTTACCAGCGCCCAGCTTGAATATTACACTGCCGAAACCCTTCGCCATGCCCTTGAAGAATCCCTTTACGCCCTCTTTCTTGGCTCCCTTATAAGGTAGAACAACCCAATCGGTTAAGCCATCAAGAATACCCCACCAGAGGACCTATCATGAGTCAATGTTAGATCTCACAGGTAACTGGAAACATCACAGAAATCCGCTTACCTGAAAACTTGCAGCGCATGCAGATGGGAAGCCAGTAATCTTAGGCCACTTTCGGACGGTATCATCGTGGTACAAGCTCGGGATATAATGAAAGGTCTTCGCAACGCCATGTCCAAAAACCAAAGGGATTTTGAAGGCAGCAGCTAATATCAACCCCATTCCTCTAAGAATATCATACCATCCCATCCAAAACGGGTGGCATCCTTCGTACTCTTCATAGTCGTCGTTGTCGCGTGCGCCACCGGCCTCAAGGACCCGTTCCCAGTATGGTGGGGGTTCGTATGGTTTCGCGGTTTCTAGTGCTGTGGGTGCCGGTGCGACGGCTGGAGCTAATGGCGCCGGTTCATTCGAATTTTCATTTGGGGGACTCTTCGGAAATTCCTCTACGCCAGCCATAAATTTTACACCAAAATCCCGTCTACCAGTCATGGAGATGCGAGAAGTCGTTGCTGAGAGCGGCCGATCTGCCACAGCTGCCATATTGACAGATTATGCGGCAACGATTATACGATGAGAATTTAAACTTGTTGTATTTCCGAATTTAAGCAATTGTGTAGCTTTCAATGCAAGATCAACACGCTAGAATCCAGGAACAGGAATGATTCAGCAAGAAACCAAAAGAGAATATATATAAAGCTGAATAAGAGAATTAAATCTGATGTCAAGCACGCGTCCTGGCCCTCGATGCAACGAAGCCGCTTGTTGATCGCTCAAGGCAGCGAGATTATCGCGGGGATGATTGGCCCCAACCTCCAGCGCTCTCAACCGATCGGAAGACCATCCAATCAGCCAAGTCGACGTTTGATTGGCGTGTTTAGCATTGAAACCTGGACCGTGGCGCAGGATTCCCGCCGTTCCATCGCCTAAAATCAAGCCCCCATGGAAATTCTACTCTTAACATACAAATTAACGACAATAGTCCCTTTTCTGAACCGAAAACTTGAGGCTATGCAGCTTATAAACTTTCGCGATCCTAATAAGCATCATATCAATGGGATGGTAGGATGCGATGGCTAAGGTATCAGAATTCCTGCTGCCTATTTCTTCCGTAATTACCTAGGTAGGTACGCAATTATGGGGTGCCTTGCATCTCCCTATTCCGTCGCATTCAAGCGATTCGCTTGTAGTGCTTAGTTTCAGCACCCAACGCCAGCGAAGAAAGCGCCTTGTAATATCCATCATAACCCTCCGCTTCAGTGATCGATGCGCCTTTTTCTTCGTTCTCTAAACCACCGATTATGAAATACTGCTCAATGTTCTCTCCCCCATCCTTCTCGATTTTCCATCCACCACGATGACGATACGGTGTTGTAAGCGTATCCAAGGTACCCTTAACCTTACTCAGCGCCTCCCCAAATTGGTCTTTATTTTCGCGTGCTACCGCCCACCTCATCACACTGAGGACTGGCGCCTTTACTGCGGATACCAATCCTTCACCATCCTCAGCGGCAGGGAATAAATAACTCCCATCGAGATGGCCCGGCTTCATCTTTGTCACGTCAATATGCGGCACCAATTCAATGTTGAGCTTCTGGTTTGCGGGACTGGCGACGCATTCATGGTGCTGCTCAACTGAGTCCCAGTGGGCAGTGATGAGTGCAACACCCGGGTCCTCGATTTGCTGGAATAGGGCAGCGCCACGGTCTTTCGTCAGCCATGGTGCGTGAGTAGCGCACCATTCGCCCTGTAGAGTAATTCCGGATATGCCCAGGTCGAGAAGCACTTTGGGTATTTCGCCAGGCTTAGTAGAAGGTAAGATGCTTGCTTCTGTGACTGGCATTGCTGATTACAGCAAGTAATTGTATTAAATGTAAGATGTAGTTCAACTTTTAATATTCGAGGCTTGTTTGGTTGAGAATTCGTCGGCCTATGGCAGTACTCACTCCACGAAAGCAGGACATGTTTAAATACCTAATCTGCCAAGTCAACTCCATAGCCTAGGTACCTATGTCACATCAACACGAATTTGTGAGTTAAGAATCCACTGTTGGAAAATAACTCGATTATCCCGTTCTAGCCCTTATACTTTAGCATTCGGGTTATAATAGGGGCAATCGTCGTGATCACATCTTGTTTTGCAACTTCTGATGACAAATTTATTGTAGCAACAACGATATTTCCGGTGTTTGCTATCTCCCATTAGGGCTTTTTCCAAGGTGGGTAGTAGCTAACTCCGGTATGCGGCTTTAAGCGTCGGAATTCAGAATGGGAGTAGGATTCGGGTTGTTATAACATCCGTTAGGTCCTTCCTATTCCTCCGACTCTATTGAGTCAATTTTTAATACAGCATTATGACCCTATCTCAATGGCTAGGGTCTGAACGTATTGGAATCCTAGTCTGGCAGGTACCAGCAGCCTACAGCTCAAGTGCTAGAGAAACCTGGGACTGCTAGACTAGTGTTTGAATATAGGTAGGCCTCTCGATGCCCTGTATTTTCTCCTATGGCACCTGCCGTTCACCTATGTAGTTTGTATTTGAAATCATAAAACTTTGACTGGGAACCTGTTAATATATTCATGTTTCCTTTCAGGCCTAGAGACGCATAACACAGTTTTATAGGTATTCTACATACTACATTTTATAATACACGATTATGGATGTCGCTGCTATGCATACCTAGGTAGGTATTTGATATTGTGAACTATCGTTCAGCGGGCTCGCTTACTAGTCCAGCAACTTAATAGCGCCCGTGCCTAGGGGATTATGCTAGCAGTCATATAGAGCAGGGTAGGCAGCTGAATAGCTCTAAACCACAGTGATATAGTGCAATATTTTAACGGAGGTATCACTATTACGTTTATGGTTTAGCATATATACAGCGCTAATTCAGCAGCACCCTCTGATAATTTCCAGTATAAGACAATTCATTCCTTTCGATCCGGCCAAGCATCGTATAATCCCTCATAAACAGTCACATTCCCGAATGTTATCTCACCATTGCCATCATGGAAAAACCGAATATCTTTCGAAGCGGCGTACCAAGATCTAATAAGTTAGTAACTGACGAACTAAGAGAGCATTAAAGACAACTTACCGAGCCCATGTGCTCAGAACGAATCTTCCATTTGCATGTACCTCGACAATAGAATTATCGACAACAATAGTCAAATCAAGGCTCTCTATTTGCTGTTTTCCGTCCTCCACAACGTCAAATAAACGTAACTTTCCCACCTCGTTTCGAGAGTCAATACCATTTGTCGTTTTGGCCGCAGCGCTGGAATTACTTCGATCGACAATTATTGACTCGTTAGAAAATTGATAATAGATGGTCGTACTCTCGTACTCGGACGACAGGATCTGGAAGCCAGCTCGCAAATCGCTGCCACGACTTGAATCCGGGAAAGAAAGCGATGCGGTGATCACATGGAATTTGCTTTCTGGCGAACGTTGGAAAGACACAGAACCCGGTGAACTCGACGTCTGGCCAGGTTCTATGTAGGAGCTGCTATTTGTTAATGCTGATAGCGCTTCACGAGTGATTTCTTGTTTTAGGGTCGCTAATTCAACGACACCCGAGTTGTTACTAGCAATTCTCCAAGATCCAGTCTCACGAACCAAATCATTATCGACGACATTGCGAATCTTCCCAACACTTAATTCGCGTGGAAGTAAAAGTGCACCAGTCCAATTTTGCTGCGCAGTCGGGAAATTCAAGGTACCATAGAAATCTCCGGTTAGCCATACATAACTGATGAAGCGATCGGGAGCGCCAATCTTCTCCGAGGCCTTAGCGGTAGCGGGTAGCAGTTTGCCAGCAGCAGCATAGGCGGAAGTCCCCCAATCGAGCTTCCCCGCCATGCTAGGCGTAAACTGGACTTTACCATCCTCGCAGGTGATATTTCCAGCAGCCCAAAGCATCTCACGGAAATCTGAGACTTGCGGCACAATAGGATCCAACGACCATTCCGCGCCTAATGTCGTGAAAACTTCACCTTTGGCATTGTATCCCTGTTCATCGAGACTGAAAATATTGGAAGTCTCGAAATTGAAACCCCATCTACCGGCCCAGCCACCATTACCCCACGTCGAGTTAGCTGGCTCATGCCACCATTGACCTAATTCTTCCCAGTACTGGAATTCTGGATCATGTTGCCTATACAGGAACTGGCTTGGCCCATCCTCGTGAACACCACCGGAGATGACGACGTACCAAGTACCTGGTGCGCTTCCAAGGTAGCTGTCTAGCTGACTATTTTGGAACACGTAAGGGTCGCGGAAGCCTGTCACATTGACTGCGAAAGGCGGTGATGGGATAACCGGCCCCTGTTTGAGTTTGGTGAAGTTCCGACCGCCGTCACTTGAGACTGCGAGAGATTGTGTTTCGCTGCCCCTGGTATACGCAATAGTCCATTGAATCGGTAGGTACGAAACCGACGTATAGAGGAGAGTAGGTTTGCTGTCGATACCACTTGGAATTACTGATCCGTCAAAAACTGCGATTGGGTCATTCTTCCCTCCCGCGACAATGAACGGCTGTCCATCCGGGTTGATGTCGTGATACGTAGCAAGATCGTCCGTCGTAGCTCCAGAAGCACCCTGATGCAGCCAACCGACATGAAAGAGGCCCGTTTCGGGATCCGTATAGTGCATACAGGGGTCGCCTATTTGTCCAAACGGCGGAAGGACGTGCGCTTTGGGTCGCCATGTGTCGAAGAGGCTCGAATTCGCAAGGGTTGACAAATTTGGCGGTGCCGAGTTGTAATCAATCTCTTGTCTGACCACAAGGGTCCCGGCTAAAGCAGCTGGATTGAGCTTCATGGCTTCATGAACTGATGCACAGTTATCCGGCTGGAAGACAAGTCCTGAGTCTTGACATGCCATCGGGCACATCGTACCGTAAACATCTACTTATAAGCTAATCCATCGAATATTCGGTATGATGTTCCGTAGCTTCGGTCCACATTTGGACTCTTGGAATTGGAGGTCGTGTGGGGAGTGCGGAGAAATACAGCAGGGGAGAAGCTGGGGATGAATAGAAGGGTACGTAGGCGCTAGCTACAATAGCTATAGCATCGGCCCTATTCGACAATCCCCAATGACCTCGGCGTTGGAAAATCCTGCTTGTATATGGGATATTAGAGAAGATATCGGATATTTCCGTCTGGGCTCAAGACTAAGGAACCTACGACATGGAAATCGACGTCCACATCCCAGAAACACAATTTTTATTTGCGATTTAGTCTATCGGGGTATCAAGGACAGCCATCCTAAGTCAAATGCTATAACCAACCGAAACCGGCCTTTCCTATCAGTTACCAATCCATTCCCAAGCCACCCCGGCTTGTGCTGCATAGGTAACGCGGCGTACGACTCAGTATCCCGTGCAATTTTTAATTTTAATTTAAGCACAATAACCGAGCTGTGTCAACCATAGCCCTCCACTTGCTAATGCCTTTGAAGAACTGGTGCTGCTAGGTAGTGTGGCGTGCCGCGTTCCTTTACGAAGGGTCATCGAATTTCTAAACGGACCTATCGCGGTCACTTACTATTCCCCCCATTCATTTTACGCCCCACTCATAATGATGTATGCTGCAATCATTTAGATCTCAATAAAGGATGCGCCTCGGTATTGAAGACATAGTCATCAAGGTTTATAACATCCGGCGGCGAGAAGAGCAAGTAGAAATACTTCAAAGTCTCGGCCAACCAAAAACTCTGCAGAAACGTCAGCATCGCGAAGTGAGTCTTTACCCGTTTACACTTACCTCCATGTAGTCCTCATGCGGGAGGACCTTGGCAGCTCTAGTCACGTCTTGGACAGCGGCATGTGTGCCCATCTCAGTCTTCGTCCCATTTACGACAGCTGTGAACATGTCCCATCCTAAGTCCTGCCAGACGGGATGACCAGTGACGCGGTACATGATTAGGACACTCTCGATAGCCTCCGGTCGAAGGATGTAGCGAGGGTCCTTGGCACTGGTAAAACCAAGTGGAAGGTGAGCTTTCCCTGGATCGAAGTTAGCAACGTATAAACGAGATGATATCGCAAAGTGGAGATGAAGGTTGTCGGGTAAACGGGATGAGGCTCAACTTACATTCTGGTCGCTTCTTTTTTGCTTGATTGTATCGCGTCTCATCCCACTTGCAGTCATCATATGATTTGCAAGGTACCATGTTTACTCGTTCGGGCATCATCCCGGTCGGGAATGAGCGATACCCATAAACACATCCAGATGTTAACTTCCCGCCGATGGTGATATAATCCGGGTTGTTAAACAGCTTTCCGCTCAGGGCGTATACGCCACCGAGGTAGCAGGCGAGATGTTCGGTTTCTTCGTCCGAAATGATCTCGCCTGAAGTCATCACATTGGCGCTACTCGCGATGAGTATCGGCTCGTTGTTAGGTATCATGGGTCTAAATATGAGTGTACCCTGGGCAGCTTCTAGAAACCCCTTGGACATTGTCTCATATTTCGGCTCCGTGCCCCCGAGAAGCGCGTGTTCCTTGGGGAGATACTCGTACAAGCTGTCGGCGCATCCACCAAGCGTGTACCAACTTCCTGATGTAACATCCTGGTTACTCATTGACACAAACGTTGGCCAAAGACCTGGAAGTAATGTCTTATTCTGGCCTTCATAAAAGACGTCCATAACCCTTGCGACCGCGTCATAGTACTTAGGGTTACCGGTAATCTGAGAAAGTCGAGTCATTTCAAGGGACAAGGTCCCCGGAGACGCTGACACGACAGAGCCTTCAACGACGAGACCTTTCCCTGTTTTTGCGGCTTGAAAATCGATGAAATCCACTGGCATTCGATTCTCCGTGTTGAAAGCCCCATAGAGTAGCTCGCCAAGCTCAATGGCTTTCATGCGCAAGACTTCTCGCTTGCTAAGATCGTAAGCGGCGAGCAGGCCTCCTAGATACCGGATGTTCGTTTCGAAAGTGTTGACTCTGCCAGAAGTAGAATGCCCGAAATCTATCTTGGCGACAGCATCCACGGCCTCATCGAATTCCTCCCTAAGTCCCAATATCCACAGGCTGTCAAGTGAATCGACCAGAGTAGCCGCCCATCCGCTAAATTGATCGCGATAGCCTCCGGAAATTGGCATTAGCGCATCTTTCATCCACGCGTACTTTCTGTACGCCTTCCAATCATCGACAAAGATTTTCTTAACCTCGTGCCGCCGCGTATCTTCAATCTGCTTCTCTGAAGACGTCTTAGATCGGAATTTAGCCTGGACAGATGGCATCCTGCGCCCATTCCCTTTTGGCAAACCAATCATTTCCTCCCTCTTCTGAGGGTACCGAAACGGTACATTGCTCCAGTCGAAGCTGCTTTTTCTCAGTATGGAAGCAGCAGAGGAAACTCCATGATTCATGTGTCGCTCAAGCCTGGAGAATTCTGAGCCCCATAAGCCATTGAGAGAAGCCGATAACATCCACCATATTACAAGGGCACCGGTTATGAGAACTAGAGTTCGCCTATGCTTACGAGCTTGGCGTTGCATGGTAAATTCGCAGATTTTTACTTACGCAGCGGTCGCAGGCGAACTCAAGGGTAAATAAAAATCCAAGGAAAAATGTAAATATTGGAAAAACATCAGTAAATTGTTTCTACGAATTCAGACGCGACCACCTATGTTACTGAAAATAGCGACGAACACATAACCAACAGCATTAATCACGAGCCCCAGGTGGATAAACGGGTCGGGAAAAGGCAACTACCAAGCAATGAACATTTGCCAAGCAACAGTTGGCTTCTTTCTAGACACTCGGATCGTCTGATAGTCATCTCGAAATCCTTTCGCGTAGCAGAACTGACAGCGATTGCAACAAATCAAATCAAATAATCACATTCAAAAGTGATTAACAATCCCTTAGGGCTTCGTTTGATAGTCATCTACCAAAAAAGTGGTTTGAATTAGCCACCTTGGCCCCTGGAACGCCCCTGAATTTTTCTCCACAGCGCAGGTCTCAGTGTGGTTCACTATGTCATATCTCGTAAGACCTAGAAGATCACCGGGCGATCGGCCATATTTCAGGGGCTAAACGCTGTATTCCAGAACAGATTACAATTCTCGTATGTCTGAATAGCTTCAAAACGTTCAACAATCTTCCAATGAATAAAATTCACGATTATGGATTGCCAGTTACCTAAGGGAGAATTTCTCGAGATTTCGGTTGTCGGGTCGAATTGGTCAAATGAAACCCCCCATTCGGTTTGTTCGAGTCATTGCTATTGCTTGTTGAATAAGTGGTGGCGTAGGATTCTTGCGCTTCCAGAAGTGGCATTCACAGTCGTGAGCAAATCAATAATACGGCTATAAATGAATGTTAAGTTAAGCTCTTGTCAATCCATAGCATGGAAACTGATTGCCCATATTTGTCGCTGCTGCATCAGGGATTTAAGTGCTGATAGGAGCCGCCTGGTCGGGACGAACCGTCTATGCTCAATTCGATGTACTCCTTAGGATAGCCGATCCGGTTCCGGACAGTCGGTACGAGGTGTAGTTAACGGTAGCAGTCGTCGTAACCCATTCTTGATGCTTTGGGTAGGTATTCAGGGGGGGTTTTATCGACCATCTCGATTTCGCGAGTCTTTGAAGCATTGAGTGGGATGATCCCGAAGAGGATAATTATTGCACTTCTTTCCCGGCCGAAAGAATAATACCCACTCACACGTAATATACGATACATAGCAGGTACTTACTAAGAACCACTACAAAACTGAGATATGACGAGCCAACTTTTATAGTACCATGAAAGGATGCATAACGGTATTGTCCCCTTGCTTTTCGAAGCTAATCTTGTATCCTCGTGATTCTTGGAGCACGGAATCTAAATTACTGAATCATGTAGCCGTAATAAGGCAATGGGGCCCAGATTGGTACGCTGTAATGGTAAAAATTGGCGATAAATTTGCCCTAATCCCTGCAGAGGCCCGACGGAAAGGTTCGTGCAGAGAGGATCAGCGCAATAATTGGAGTCATGCCGCTCTCTCTCCTGCAGGCTGCATATGCCGTATGCGGCTTTCCTAGCAAGGATATTTTACCGGGACATCTTCTTTTCAATGGTGGTCCCAGGCGACCGGTTGGAGTCTACCAATGCAGGTCATGGCGGTGAGACTATCGTTGTAGTTATTTCAGACAAGCTGATTATGATTGGCTATGTCGTGCATATCTAATAACCATCTCCAAGCCCGAGAAATGCCGTTCAAGACATCCTTTGCATACCTAGCTACATGATGCAAGATGTAATAGGCTGGAGAACGGTGCGATTCCCACCCTACGTACCCAAACTGCGATGGACGGCAAAGTGCAAGACTACCTTCTAGGGACACGCATCCACACTCTCGGATCCCCTTCCCTCGCTACCCAGGTACCACTAGGTATCTCTTACTGCGTCCATGATCGGTACACGATACGGGCAACCTCGCTCGATGCGCCACGTACGAGACCATGATCAGCCTTCTCGACGATCTCGACGTTGTCGAATCCAAGATCGATCAGCTGGCTCTTACTGCAGACGGAGTCCAACTCAGCGACCACAGCTAGCTTCTTTAGTGGTAGCTGCGCGAATTGGCGGAAGTAATCCTCGCAGCCGTACGTATTGCCTTCTCGAAACATACTAAGGACGCTGTGGGGGTAGCCAAGATGTTCTTGCAGCTCCCATTCCCGGAATGCTTCAGCGACCACTTGACCAGACGTGACCCGTTCTTGCCAGTCCGTGGGTACGACGAGTGGACCACCTTCGAGAAATGATAACACGGAATCTATCGCCTCGGCTTCTTTGCCCTTGGAATCATCCAGCAGTTCTTGCAGCGTCTTACTGAAACCCTCCTTTCTTAGTAATCCGGCTGGTGCCAGTAGCGTAACAGACAGCGCAGCCCAAATATTCTGAATCGCAAACTTCACAGCTATCGATGCGCCGAAAGAGTAGCCAACGATGTGAGCACGTGTCCATTGCATGAATCCTAGTACTTGAAAGATCTGAAAGTGGAAGATGTGCGGTGTATGCGCTGTAAAGGGTGTGGAGGAAAGGCCGTGCCCCCAAAGGTCAAAAATGACAATATGAGCATCTTGGTCCAAAGCCTGTAGCTCTTTAGCGAGAGGCAACATCCCCAGCGCGGGTGTATTCAGTCCATGGACGATCACCACATGTCTTTTTGATTGTCCCGACGGAGGGGGAAGCACGTATACAGCCGTAGTCCCGAGATCGGACTCAAGGAACTGCGGTTTAGGAAAAGCGTGGCCGAATCGTGATGTAAATGATGCGTAACTAGGTGCTGCGATGGCATGTTTCTCTTCCCAAACCTTTCGACGTGGGAGTTCGAAATTTACCAAGGATGATGGGCGTGTGTCAGACATGACTAATGATTTGCTATAGAATATGATGGGAATGGTTGTTTTCTAGAAGAGATGTAAGACCCAGCTTACATGGCTAGGTACCTAGGTAGGCTGTTGCGTGATGAAATATAGCGGTTGCGAAACTCCCTATTAGTGCGCCCTTTACTTGACTTCGCAGGCGCTATTCCCCAATTAGGGGAGCCCTATCTTTGGCTAGCATGATCCGGTATCAGGAAAACATCAGCCATAACGTAACACATTCTCAATTATCGACGAAGACTTCACTAAACAATTTAATAGTTAGATATAGATAAATTATGTAGTCTAGTAATTATATCGTAAATCACTATTCCACATACATACCCAAAACATCGTCTACTCGCTGCGCTCATCTATATACACCAATATCCAACTCAGAGCGACTTAAAACACGTATATAGGTATAACATATATGCCTCGCCTTATAAAGTTTCATGATCATGTACCAACTCAATGCCCTAAATTTTATTGCCGTAGGGAATTCCACCTTTACGCCACGCAGATGTCTATTTTAAGGGGCTTCTTCTCAGGGTTTGCGGCCGTACACATATCGAATACTCATATATGCATGCGTCGACCTAGACCTAATCTCCCTGCGCATATACGCAAGGGTCTCTTGATAACCTGGTGTTTCCTCGCCGTAAACTACATTCCATGGGATCAAAGTGTAGCCTAAGGCGACCTTGTTAGTCCATCGTGATTAGAGCGCAATAGGAGACAGTGAAGACAAACCTTCTATATCGTTGTTAAGGGTTAGGAGCGTAAGCTGCCCAATCTCAGCTAGTTTGCGATCCAGAGGCCAGCCGCCGATAGGCAACTATAAAGAAGCACGAATTAGTATGCCGGACAAACACCCATGTAAGGACAAGCCCGCTCACTTTGTAGTTTACTTCCGTGATATCCACGAATCCAGCCTCCTCGAAACCCTTGTTCTGCAACCCTTCCTCGACGACCTGGAAGCTGACTCCCAGCTTTTCGGGCAACTGTACATTTTCGAATCAGCACCTACTTCATCAATGCTCCAATAACGAATAATGTGGTGACCAATGCAAATAGATGCATGGCCGACAACACGGGATTCCTTTATAGCAACGGCGTATATCACGTGCATCGAAAACTGCCCTTAAATCCAAACTCGGAAGTAGGATCCCTATGATTCTCGAAACTAATAGCGGAGACATTCGAAGCAAGGAATAAATGAAAGTAGTCCAGACGTACCTCTTTCCAGAGGGGATTCCAGAAAGTTTTAATGACACTCTCCGGCCTAATAGTGTCGTCGTCCGAGTTCATCGCGATATCGCATTCGCAGGACTGCACCCAACCGCCCGGCGCGCAGCATCTATACGCTTGGTGTAAGAGTTCAGACCAGTCACTGATAGCGCCGAATAGATAACGCATATGGATGAAGTCGAAGTAGCCCTCCGGCCACGTCCACTCTTTGGTGCAGTCGTCGATCTCGAACTTTACGTTTGGCGGCACCCATAACGGTTGCGTCGGCGATAAATCCGTTCCTATGACTTCGGCATCCGGGTATTTATCACCCATATCGCTATATAGTCGTCAGTATGAAACACACTAGGGTGTAATAAGGAGGGGAGGTAAGGCGGATGTCCCGCGGCAAGATCGTTGGTGTGGGAAGATAAGGGGGCGTCTTACATAGCCCAAATTCCTATAAGCCATCCTCAGTCAGTACATCTGCATATAAAATGATATAACCTAATAGCAGTATCAAATAACATACCGGTTCCAGTTCCAACATCCAAAACCCTCTATAGGAAATTAGCATTAGGAATGTGTACGTCTATATCGGGCTAACTTACCTTCACATTATCAGGAACCGGTGCAAGGAACAGCCTATCATCCAACATAACCGTCAAGTAATGATGCCTGTAATACTGTGTTGGAACAAAATTTTGCGTTTATTCTAAGTTGGAGTACTTACGTGATATCTTGAGATTCCATCTGCTGCTCATCGTTGGGCGTGAAATATTTAGACTCATGCTTGGCGCTATGATACGTCCGGCCCTTGATATTGCGATATTCCATAATGCTCGCCGTGATAGAATTCGAACTGCTGACGCTTTTGCGCCGGTATAAACTATTACTAAGCGACTCCTTCGGTGTTACACATCGCCAAAAGGGAAAAAGAGCTCATGGGAGGAAGGGAAAAAAAGTATCAAGGCCATTTGCACGAGGTGACTTGAGTACTCACGAATCAACTCCCACGGCGGAATCCGATTCGCTAGAATAGGAGTCTTCATCCTATATGGCAATAGACGGTACGAGTCAGAATTCGAAAATGTTTTAAATTTACCTTACGTAGTTGGGGTCTTCGCCATCCCCGGGCGGTCCCCCGGCCGAGGATTCACACACCTCTTCCTCCGTTTGAGGGGCGGCGATCAAATCCGGCTGGTTGGTCACCGTCGTCGTCTGGTGTGGCGAATTAATCGGAGCGTTCGGGGCGCCCGGGGCCGTAGGTTGGTCCGCCATATTTCGGTTGAGGGAGTTATCGTATGATTTCCGTGTAAGAATGCAGTAAGTAGGATAAAAACTTGAGACGATAAACAAAACCACTATGAAACTCGAGGATGAATGGAGATAATAAAATGCAAGTCGTAAAAGACCACCCGCACACTTTCACATCGTCTAATGAGGAGGACAACACCGAGATAAACGGGAATTAAGACTGCAGTCCTAACCCTCTTCGGCCATAGCAGCGGGGTCATCCAGGAAAACGGGTCTTAATGTAACTGGATGGCCTGTGCATTAAACGAGCATATCTCTTTTTTAGGTAGCGTAGGTGATATATGTATCATGTATGTACAGGATGTACAAGTATGTAGGTCGTTACTTGGTACACTTGGGCACTGGAGCACTGGAGCTAGTAGGGCAATTATCATTGTTGGGTCCAGGCCTGCGCGGCATTATTTGGAGATCATTTCTCCATACGGATTTCTGCCCTGATAATAAAGGTCTTGTGTTAATAGCCCGCCAGGGGTAGCATTCACAACAATTTAAGGTACTTACATAGCCTGGGTGTGTAGAAACACGTGGACGAACGCATATAAGCTTACACCATGGCTCTGGAAAGGTCTTCGTTCCAAAGTGTCGGGAAACGTATCAAATTTCTTCTCTTCCCAGCAAGAAAAAAAATTTGATATTCGTCGGGAAAATCCGAGTCAACCAAACTCCCGCAAGAAGATCATAGACGTGGAAGACTTTAGGGGCCGACCCACAAACTCCAGACGAGCTAGCTGGGTTGCTAAAACTCCCGGATACTCCAGAACTCCACAAGCAAGGTGACGGGTCTACCGGATATCAGGGAATTCTTCAGTAAAATATGTACATCAAGTACTTAGACCTCCACCTTGACTGCCGCTTGAATTTCCTCATGAGAACACCGAACTCAAATAACCGTGTTCATGACGATAATGATATGATAGCTGGTAGCGGTGAGTTGCGCATTATTCTCTGTAAACATCGACGTGTGTCAAAATTGTCTGCGACAAAGAAGCTCTGGCCTGAATAGGATCATAAGTGCGTTGACCACAAGCCCATGAAATAGGTAGCTCAGGTTCGTCCGGTCACGGAGCACGAGATCTTGCGCTATCATGCTGCTAAGCAAAAGCGGCACGAGATTTTCATTGGGATATTGGCACACCTGCACCGTAATTTCCGCATATGATATCAATTCTTTTTCGGCATTTATGGTTATCGCAGACTAGGATTGAGATCTATGCTGAAAGTCGAATTCAAACGCTGGCGATCACGACAAGACCGAAGTTGAACACACCCTGGTAGATCATTTAACACCTCACAACAAAACAAAAAGCAATGTGTTGAACGCGGGATGTGGGCACTATAGAGTGGCTCTTGGTCGCAAACGAGTCCATCAAGGGCCGGGCCGCTGATAATTAGACAACACTAGGAGATGGAGAGGGTCTTCTTAGACGAAGGGGAACATCGCACTAGCACTACGCGCCGTTAAGAATATGCGAAAGATCCAATGGGGTCAAATGCCGTGGAGGTCGACAGGAGTCGAGAAGAGCGAGTTAGTCTGTGCTAACTTACGCTATGTAAGGCTGTATGGACGGCGGTGAAGGGGGTCCTTCGATGTAAGATGAAGCTAAGAGAATTAGCCCGGCCTAGTATTAAGTACCTGGGGAGGTATGTCTACCCTACAATAGTGAGGCATGCAAGCGATATACTAACCCAATACGAAGGAATGGAGCAAAGCATTTATGACAGCCCTACTCGATTGGGCGTGCCAACGAACAGCAAAGTGTCCAGTGTCTGTAAAAAGAAATACTGCGAGTTGCAGGAACAATAACCTGGTAAGGGACGCCAGAATCCACCCGCAACATAAAAGCAAGAATTGAAGTGATAGCTGGTTAAGGACGCTGTCGAATTAAAGAATTTACTGAAACGATCTAAAAATAACTATTCATTCATGCTTACCATGAGACCGGTGAGTTGGAAACGTCCCACAGCATAGTAATGACGTTGCAAACCAGCTGTCCTTGGGTTCCAAGGTTGCTAATACCTACCTACCTAGGTAGGTATCTAGGTATAGCTATGTCCTAAATTACTTATCTGGAGCATGTTCCTACCTACCTAAGTAGGCCGCAGGATCCTTCTTCTAGCGTTTGAAAGCTGAAGCTTGCCTGGGTAGTGTAAGACAGAAATCGCATTGGCATGAGAATTAGATGAATTTAAAGCCAGTTATTAATACAGCTATGTAATCAAACTCCATATCCGTACTTAATTGTTACTATTATATCCATTAATAGAATACCTACCTCAATATAACTTCAAGAATTCAGTCTGTGTTACACAGTACATGGTTCGGTACTTACCGAAGCACATATTTCCACTTCCGTGCCTCCAAATTCCTTCAGCTTTGGGATTTTGTTTATAATAGCTCTCATATATGTTTTCTCACTACCAAGAGGGGTAAGATGCGACATTGAAGGTTGTATGTCACCTTGTTATGTTATACTCGAAAGCCAATATTGGTCCACATTCTCGCTTATAATCATTATACCGAACCAACATAAGCGTTTTATTACATTTCAGGTAGGTACGTAGATGGGTCGGCGAGTAGTATCATAGTGGAATAGGTACCAAAGTCGTAGTTGTCCTAGTGGATATAGGTAATGAATGAGAGCTCTTCAGTGCCAACCTTCCAGCTTGGGAGATTAAAAGAGTAAGCCTCCCTCTAGCCCTAGACAACTACTCACCCAAGTCGAGCAACCACTTCGCAATGTCAAATAGCAATAAGATAATTATCAAGTATATGAGGCGAATTATCTTCATAGTAACTATTATTTATGTGCCTAAGTCTACGGGCCAGGAAGAAAAATGTATGCGGTTACTAATGTAGTACCTGGGTAGCACTAATTTACTAAGTAACCATTAGCCTCTCTATTAGGATCAACCCTCTCCCATTAAATGTCAATCAGGGTCAGTAATTCTACGAAACCTCGTGGCTTTTGTACGACTCGTCAGCTTAATACCTGACCCAAGGAGACTTAGAGTCGTATCGAAGGATCTCGGAATATTATTAGTTCATTTATTATGAGACTAAGATAATTCCCGTGTTCCGTTGGAGTTGACGGTTTCTCAATGCATATCGCCTACTGCGGCAATCTTGCTCCCGTGTTCTCAGTTCGGATCCGTGTTACCCCAAATCTCGGGCGAGTATCTTTGAACATTTATACGGGTTATAGGTAATCGGAGAAGGCGTGCTGGTTGGCCCCCAATGGTATTTGATTATTGTAATAGCCATGGTTATATTATTTATAGTAGTAGATAGGGTCGTAATCTCTGGCAGAAAGGAAACGTGCCGAATCTTGAATTGCTATATGTAGGAAGCAATCTACAGTTAGGCAAAATAACTACCACCCATGTCACCTAAGCGATCAGCATCATCACAAACCTATATTGGAATAAGTATGCCCCCGCGCCGAGGCTGCGAAAGATCTATTTTGCCGGCATTGCAGTCTGCGGAGAAACACTTACATATTAAAAGGACCCCTAAGGGACAGGTTACCATGATCTTCGTCTGGGCTGAAAATCCTTTGGGGAACCTAAAGAATTTCAAAATCGTCGCGAATCGCTCGAGAAGGAAATAATGGCGATGATTCGAAAGGCCATGTGGGCCACATTGTCCATACTGGTCCTTGGTTCCGCGGCACCAGCTGAACGCTGCGAGAGATCATGCCTAGAAGGCGTACTTTCGAACTACTTGAACGCGTTGTTGGCCCATGACCCCTCGAAAATACCAACTACCCCAGACGTAAAATACGTAGAGAACGAACAGATACTGCCATTAGGAACAGGCGAATGGCATCTTGTCGAGTCTTTCGGCAAGTACAACCACACATTCTCGGATCCCGAAGCAGGCCAGGTTGCGACCATCACCACTGTCACCGAAAATGGTGTCGGTGCGATTTACCTCGCACGTCTCAAGATAGAGGAAGACGGAAAGATTAGTGAGATAGAGACACGGATTACACGCGACCCAGGTGGTTTCGAGCTCTATGAGCAGCGAGGTCAACCTGAAGCTGTTTGGCTCGAGCCCGTAGCACCAGAGGACCGGATTCCACGTGACGCTCTAATATCGCAAACCAACAAATATTACACTGGCATGCAGGGGAATGATCCCAATGGTGACTACTCTTTCTTCGACATAGAGTGTAATCGTCTCGAAGATGGCCTTCAAACCACCAATGTCAAGACGGGCGATCCTTATGGTCACTCTAACGACACAGCCTTTGCCTCCCTAACTTGCGAGGAACAATTTCAAACTGGTTTCCTTGGCTTTGTCACTAGGATTCGTGAGCGTCACTACCCCGTTGTGGATGAGGAGCGCCAAGCTGTGTTCGCGATTACTACCCTCGACCACAACGGTACAGTGAGATCGCTACCTAGTGTCAACGGCACCTCCTCCCCGATCCCACCATACTTCGAAACTCCTCGTACACTCATTGCTATGGAGGCGTTCCGCCTGCGTGGCGAAAAGCTCTATCGCATCGAGATGACCTTAACTGAAGCTCCTTACGGACAGAAGGCCGCATTTCCTCAGGATCCACCAGTAGATCTTAGCGGTCCGGGTACCAATTTCACCACATACCCAATCCCTTGCGACCGAGTTTGTCTTGAGAATGTGATAGGGGATATACTTATGGCGATAAGAGTCCACGATCACACACGTATACCCCTTGCTAAGGGTATCAAATATTCAGAGAACGGTCAATTCCTCGCCCTCGGGGATGGTCTATGGGAGACCCTGGAAGCGATTTCATGGACCGATAGCTACGGTGCCATCCTGGCGGATGAGGTAAGCGGCACAGCCGGCTATTGGGGAATCTCCCGGGAACACACGATATCGGGACAACTCTCGTTACGAGTCAAGGTGGCAGATGGCCAAATAACCGAAATCGAAGCCAACGTTGTCCGCGCGGAGTTCGTCGATAGTCGTGGTGGAACTGAAACCCTCATGCGCCCACCACTACCAGTAGAATGGGAAGGCAATTCGACGGGCGATCTTGATGTCACCTTCCAGGAATGGGTCGGCGAGGCTGAAATCTTACCGGACTTAGTGAACGCCTATTTCGATGGACTGGAACGACATTCTAGCGAGGGCGTATCATTCGCAGAGGGATGCACCAGACGTGACAATTTTGTCCAAGGAAACTCAACCTGTGCGGCTCAGCTAAAAGGTGAGGGAGAATATCCCAATGGCCTCCCTAACAGCACAACTACGGTTCGTGAAAGACGAATTCTTGTTGCAGACACCAAACGAGCTGTCGTATTAGCCATCGCCTTAATAGACGAGCCAGCCAACGGTCCTGGTCCATTATCTGAGACCTCGTGTATTCCCGGTACTTATATGGTTCCTCAATTACTGAAGATTAATAACGGATCAATCTCTCGTATTGAGAGTGCGATCAAGTGGCTTCCATTCGGGTATACGACTGTATGGGCAGAGGCCGACACGAAACCTGACAGTTCATTATGATTATGAGGAATGGATGAAGAAATGAAGAAAGACTTGGGAATTGAAACGGAGTTTATTTAGATAGGATATGCTCTTATCTTACTATATGGCTTTAATACACCTATAGTTATATACCTATTATGATATTATCGTATCTCTTAGCCCCGCACTTTGTGTTACTGTTACTGTAGGACAAACCGACAGGGAAAGGAATGGAGGGGTATCCTTGCTAGGAAAGGTTCGAGGGGCGGAGGGGCGGAGGGGCTAAGTTATTTAGGCCGCTGGTTCATCGACACCGAACCCCGAAACATCTTCAACAATCCTACAAGATAGGAGGTAGTAATATAGGGATAGCAATAAAATCTCCCTATTACTACTCTCCAGTCCTTTCTACATACTCATCTATATTCCTCATTTGATATTCAAATAGCTGGTCGTCAACATGCAGTCAGGCATAGCAGGTATGTACCACATAGCCACATATAGTATACCCCTTGATCCGAGACAGACAACCAAGCTTACATCTATAATTCATAGCATCCCAGGAGCTCACTTCCAAATTCAACACTCTCTTAGCCGACAGCTCCCTCTTCGGACTCCTCGTAACCATCTCCTCCGAATCTCTCGTCCCCTTGACCACGCTCCCTCGTTCCTCTTCATCCAGTTCCTTCGCCGATGATCTTAAGGAGAAACTCGCTCCCTACCTGAAACCCGATGAAGCCCTATACATCCTTCTACGGCGACATGCCGACGCCCCGTACTTGATCGCTATAACATATGTACCCGACTCCGCCAAAGTACGACAGAAGATGCTGTTCGCATCAACACGACTAACGCTTGTGCGGGAGTTGGGTTCCGAACACTTCCGCGATACCATCTTCGCAACCACGGCCGAGGAACTTAGCGCTGAGGGTTTTGATCGCCACGACCGCCATGTCGAGCTCGAGGCACCCCTTACTGAGGAGGAACGTACCCTCGGGGAAGTTAAGCGTGCCGAGGCCGAAGCAGGTACTGGCACGGGCATTCGCGAGATCCACCTTAGCAAGACGATGAACATGCCTGTTGCTACTGATGCCCTTGTTGCCCTAAGCGCGCTAGGCCGCGAGGAGGGCAGTGGATTGGTGATGCTGGTATGTTCAACATACCCTTAACGAAACAATCTACATACTAACAGTAACGAAACAGAAAATCAACCCTCAGACCGAAGTCGTAGAGCTGGTCTCCGACGACTCCACCCCCTCTACCATTCCCGAGCTTGTAAAGGCCATCTCATCGAGCGAACCGCGCTTCACGTTCTTCCGATATAAAGCAACGCCGCCACAGGGAGGAGACCAGAAGAATGTAGTTCTTTTCTTCTACACATGTCCAGCTACGCCGGGCACCAAGGCTATCAAGTTCCGCATGATGTACCCGCTTATGAAGCGCGCGGTACTTGAGGTAGCTACAAAGGAGGCAGGACTCCATATAGAGAAGAAGTTTGAGGTTGAAGAGGTGGATGAGATCACGGAGCAGACCGTAAACTCGGATTTGTTCCCCGAGGCGGAGACCAAGACAGCCTTCAGAAGACCGAAGAGACCTGGTAGGTGAAGGCCGTGCGTGCGCGCTGCTCTAATTGAGCTTGGTCGTGTTTAAGTCAAAATGGTGCCGAAGCTAGCGAATCCTAACGATGAACGAGAAATCAATGTGATCAATTGCATTTTACTATATGTCTAGGTGTTATGAATCACCAACAATATTCCAATGCCGCCGACTCAAGACCCTTATCATGACCGAGGCCCCGTTCAATGGGACCATATATGGCTCAATACAATCACCAAATTCATCCCTAACTAACTCCTACGCCTACTCCTCGTATTTACCCCCCGTTACTATACTCGGGCCGCTCTTCTCCAGCTTATCCTTCAAGAACTCATACACGGTAAATGTAACAGCTTGGCCCGGTGCAACACGCATGATCCTAGGAGTAATACCCTTATAGAATGCATGGAAGCCCTCTTGCCTAGAACACATACAAATTAGTCTCAAGCCAAGTTACTCATAGTATACTCCACTCCACGAGCAGAAAAAGGAGACTCACCTAAACATATCCCTAGCAATAACACTAATCCTCTTAAACGCCGAAATCCCCTCCTCAGCCGGCGTCTTCTGCAACCTCGTCTTGATCGTATCAATCGGAGCATTACTCAACGGTCCCATCGCACCACTAACCAATCCAATAAGCGTAGTCTGCCAACTCGGCAACGTCGCAGCCACAACCTTAGCATCCTGACCCCTACCACCCTGCGCCACATCGCGATCTTTCTGCCAGCGCAGCAGGACTTCTTTGAAATACGTATAAGCCGTGAAATTAACAGCCTGATTACTCCCCTGTCTCAACGCAGTCAAACTAACCCCACGATACAAAGCCCCAGGCCCCTCCTCGCGGACCACGGTATACAACGCATGCGCCGCGTTACGGTACTTCGGTATATCCAGCGGATCCGCCATACTATGATGTTGTGCCTGCAACCTAATCTTCACGACCTCCATCGGTGTAACCACAGCTACGGCCTCTGTAACTCCCGCCGCGAGGCCAGCTAGGAATGTACCTTGCCCGGATATAATACCCGTGTTCTTGTTTGCTAGCATCTGTTTATACGCTTCGAAGGATGTGAAGCGGATCGCCATTTTCGGTACTATGCCTGTGAGCACGGCGCCTAGGCCTTTGTAGAGGCCGAGGGGGGTCTCGCGTTTTACGATTTCGGTGCCGGTGCGGATGAACCCCCGTTTAGGGGCGCCGGGTTGCCGGGCGCGACGGGAGAGTTGCATGCGTACTTTTATGGTGTCTGTGGTAGAGGATAGATGTTAGATTATGTGGTATAAGGGAAGGAGGAGGGGGCACGAACCGAGAGGGTGGCATACGAGGGCCTCCATCATACCTGCACCTCCGCCAGCTACATTGTGATATGTTAGTATAGTGAGCTGGCTCCCAGAGGAGGGCGTAGAGGGCGGCAGTGCTCTAAGGTCATACCGATTAGGTTCGTGGCAGCCGTTGGCGGCGCCTTGCCATCCTTTCCACCTACTTTCGTCGCCATTGTGTATAGTTGATCATGGGCTTTCGCCCAGGTCCTATCTTGCGTTTTCTTGTTGTTAGGTATCCAGGCTGTCCGGGATAGGACAAGCGAATGCTTCTTTGTAGGTGGGTTATCACATGCAAATGGACGTCACCAACGTGCAATGGTGGGAGTACCTAGGAGAACAGCAGTCGACGAGGAGCTTGGTATGTTCCTGACTCGAGGAGATAGGAGAGAACAAAGAACACCCTTCGTAAGAAGAACTTGACTGTCATCAGGCTAGGAAGTATTGATGAAATAGCAAGTAAATAGAAAAGACGACAAGATCGTTGAAGGAAACATATAAAAAGCTAGAAGAAACAGTCATCCAAACCTACTGCAAGCTTCCAGACCGGGATATTTACCTAGGATATCCTAAAGGGTATCTATATAAAAGCATCTCCTCAAAGCCCGACGGCACTAAAAGGCCCAGGTAATAAAGAACATTACCGAGCTACGGGACGGTCACTAGAAAAGCAGCTGAGTACCCGCCACGCCGGAGAGTCAGAGTGACTCAAACTCGTCCCAAGTTCCGCGGCTGAGAAAAAAAGGGTTTGACATGTCATCTTGTGTTCCTAACTCCTTAGATCTACTTACGTACCTAGGGAGCTAAGGAGCTAAGGACTTCAATGTGTGTAGGTAGTGCATTGTGGGGGTGGCTAGATCGACGCCGAATGATGACTGTAAAAACCTTAAGATGTGCTTCTAGTTTCCCATAGGTGAATATTTGGTGAACGGTCCGCCGGAGCAGTGTTCGTTCGGTAAACCGGAGGTCCAGTCGCGTGTTGTGACACGCTCCCGTTGCGGTTGACAGGAAGATGTTTTTAACTGGGTCATTTATTCTATCTTCTCTTTTTAAAAAACATTTCAATCATCAAAGTCAATATATTCGTTGAGTATCGCAATGCATCCTCACGCCTCCATTCCGGGCCAAGACCAATTGCTATGAGAATGTCATTATTGACAAGATCCCGGCTTGTGATTCTTAACGGTGACGTCGAAAAAGGTTATGTTTACCGACGGAGAGCCGAGCTTGTGATTTTGCGGGGAGAGCAAGCCGGGGAAAGAATCTTGGCAGGGATTCCAGACTTTGGAGGTACGTACCGCTTACGTAGTTGAGCCCAGTGGTGTGTATTGGCCGGATACTTCCGGGTTAAGAGGAATTGTTTGCAGCTCTTTGAGGCTCTAGTAGGAAATCCATCAACGCCACTAGTATTTCACTTGCCGAGGTAAAAAGCTGAGCTGCAATAACTTCTTAGTATAACTGGTGAAATAGTTGAGTTATCGAGGTCAGACGAGAATTAGTTCGGGTTAAGAGTCCCTAACCGCGGGACATACCCATAGGTAATCGTCCTTAAAGTAGTACTCCAAGCAGGTTTCGCATACGGTTGGTACAAGTCACTATGATATAAGAAATGTTCAAGCCACATGTCAGATAAAATCATTCAATTAAAAAGCATGTCCATAGACAATCCTGCTTTCCACTTCCCCAAGCTATTGGACAGTGTTGAATAGACGCCATCCTAACTAGAATATCGTCCGAAATAATCCGGTTCAATAGCACGCATTTACGCAACAGTGCTGATTCTTATCCGATACGCCTCTTGAATTTTCCATAGTAGCGCCGACCCTCATTGATGCCGTAAATTTTGAATCAAATAGATAAGTACCGCCGAATCCAGCTGCTTTTCCCCCCTCGGGTAGCCGGTGTAACAGTAGTGGTATATTTAAACGCCCCCATAAAGCAAACCCGCTTCTTAAAATTGATGAATGATGTCGGTCCTACTCGAGCCGGACAGATGTCGTTCGAGATGTTTAAGCAGGCGTTCCGAACTCTTCAACCTCTGAAGGTTCACCCTCGAAGCTATATAATCGCACTTCTCCGTCCTCACTTCCACTCGCCATTCGGCTATCGCTTAGCCCAACACAGGTCACTGGTCCAGCGTGGCCGGTAAAGGTTCGTTCGCATCTGCCAGTTCGGGAATCCCATACCTTGACTAAATTGAAATTATGTCAGTATTTGTCGATTATACAAAGATGTAACGGAGATGCTTACCCGTCGCGTCATTAGCACTAGTAACATATCGCAACGAATCAGCCGCGAGTCCCCATATGCCTTCGACGTGCCCGAAAAAAGTTCTTGGGCTCTTTCCGGTCGCTGTGTCCCAGAGTCGCATTGTCGCATCCAGAGACCCCGTAAGCATATACCGTGGGGGAAGCGGTCGGTCAGGATCGTTTTGGAAGATAGGGCCATATGCAGCCCGTTCTTCGTCCACCTGGCTGAGCGAAAAGGAGGAAGACGATCCACCAGGAGGGGTAGAACTGCGGTTACTAGCCACAGAAGCAGCATCGTTGTCCTTCGTAGTCTCATCCTCAAATTCATAATCATCCGGTAATGGGAGAACCTGCTGAACCTGTCCGACGTGTCCCTCAAATGTTTTGATGCAGACTTTTGAGTCAAGGTCCCAGAGTTTGACCGTGCAATCATCGGAAGCGGATAGTACCGTACGTGAAGCTGCATCAAGGCGAACATGGTTCACCCAGTCGGTGTGGCCACGTAGACTATATGATTGTTGAGTTTTGAAGTTGAAGATCTTGATCGACTTGTCCATAGATCCTGAAGCAAGGAGGTCGCCGTCCATGTGCACAGTTATGACACCACCCTGGTGGTTAAGTGTGTTGATACAAGCGCCAGTTCGCCAGTTCCATATCTTGACGGTACCGTCTAAACTCGCGGAAACAAGCATCCGATCATCAAATTGGAGGGCTCTAATTCCCATCGTGTGACCGTGAAGAGTCCGTATTACTTCACCCTTCTCAATATCCCATAGTTTTATTTTCGAATCGTACGAGCCGGTAGCAAGAATATTGTCGTCGAATTGTAAAGCTGTGATGCCATTGGTGTGTTGACCTCCGAATGTTTTAATGGTACATCGGCCGTAGCGCCAATTGGATCCAACTCGGTATCTTTCCCGGTATAAATCCTTCCAAGGCCTGAACTTCTGTGTTCCCGACGACGTCTTGTTTGTGCTACCAGCACCATTGACGCATTGTCGCTTAGCGGAATCCGGTACCTCAACCTCTAGAGATGAAGCGTTACGCTTGACAGCACTTGCGACCACAAGGGCTTGGTTATTAGCCGCTAACGCTCGCTGGTTTTCCATGTCGGCTTGATGTTGAATTTTCCATTCCTTTAGCCTCTTCTTTTCTAATTTTGGGAGACCCCATTGACACTTCTCGCACTTGCGTCCGATGTGTTGCTCACACATTCGGTGCCAGACGATATCATCTCCTGACAGGGTGTTCCATCGTCTGCTGACTTGGGCAGCCTTGCAGAGAGATGAGCAGTCGAGGTAACATAAGATCTTTAGAGACAGTTCAGTTGGTAATGCAGTTAGGAAATCTATCTTCAGTTGTTCGTGAACCTCCCGGGATACAGTAGAAAGCTGCGGAAAGCAACATTGAGTGATGATTCCTTGCAACATAAGTTCACGATGCTTAGAAGGAGCAGCAGAGAACAATGACCAAACGTTGGTAATGGCCTGCCGATCAGCGTCGGGAAGTGTTTCAAGTTCCTGCATATCAATCAATATCAGTGGCCAGGTGCCGACTTTTACCAGATATCAGAACTTACACTTTGGATTAGTCCCATCTTAGTTTCGTCGGCTGCCCTGCGACACTTAGAATCCGGACGGTGGCGATAACAGTATTTGCTATTAGGATCCTTTGTCTTAAGGGAGGCCATCGAAGGAAGGTCGGGTTTTCCTATAGGCGCATACAGTCCAGGTATATGTTCTCGTAAGAACGGAGTGACAGATTGACCCATAAGTTGCTGGGACATATTGGGCAGGCGAGAGGAATCCTCCGCGTCCTCAGGCCTTCGCCTATCGCAATTATCTCTCGACGGTTTTAAGTTGGATTGTTCAGAGGGTATGGACGACAAAGATTGTCTTGGTGGGCGAGTACGGTTCGTGGTAGATAGGTGGTTGAGATTCGTTAAGGTGGTATCGTTAGGGAGAAATGGGCGTCCATCATGTCTCGTCGTCGGCTCGCGGCCGTTGGTGGTCAGCATGGGAGGCAGGCTGTCCATGATGATGAAAACGAGGGAAATTAGATTGGTGGCCGGGTGGAAGGACAAAGCCCGGGACGATTTATTGGAATTGCACCATCCAAGTAGGTATTGAGAAAGAGTACGGTGAAACGAGGTGAGATTGCGTGCTTGGTGTTGACCATCCAGGTGGCGCGCCCGTCCCGGCTCAAGTTTCGCAAGCTAGCGGGATCTCGCAGGTCCAAGGGTGCGGGCGTATATATTAGACGGTGCGGTGAAGTGGATGTAGTAGTGGTATTGGTCCAAAAAAGGTCCTTTACAATATTTGCAATGAATTCGAATCGAGTAGTTCGAGCAGTGCTAGTGGCTACTTGGGTGTCTTAGGGTATAAACAGAGCGCAAACTACCTTATTGCAAGCCAGGGAGAGGAGATGGCGAAATCGGCCCCGCGCAGTATTCGCAGTGGTCGTTGTGGATATGGCGTTGCTAATCCTGGGCCGTTGGCTATCGCTGGTCGTAGCCTGGTTGGCTTGATTGAATAGGTAATCGGTAGGGTAGGGCACGGCATCGTTGAGGCGGTCAGAGAAGAGACGGGAAGGGAAGGGAGAGGAGAAAAAAAAAGTGGTGAATTGTGCTAATTGTGCTAACGTGCGAACCGTCCTAACTCTGTTTCCCGTCTCTTGCTCCTTCACCTTTTGGTGCTTTGGGGCCCGAATGGCGACATTACTAGCCCGATAACCACCCGAAGTGCCGGGCCCCACTACGGCTATCGGGCGACGATAGCTTAGGAATAGTCTGGTGGAGTCTGGGGTAATGCACCTTAAAATAGGACAAGCCCCGGTACCTACCTGAATTTTTCGGATGCCGTTCCCCGTGCCTATAGAGGTTATTTACCTACTCACATATGTAGGTCAGTAATTCCCTCTTTTTTTTTTTTAATTCTTATTTATTTTTGTCTGTTGTGTGATTTTTTACAATGTGAGACATTTTCTTAAAATGTGGCGTTAGTCAATTCTTTTTGAATGCAGGTTCCCGACAATTTGGTTCATTCACTCCCTTTTTTCAATAGTCTATCTGGAAAGATCGGAAACTGTATATAGTGTCCGATATACTGTATCGTACGGTACGGTACGGCGAAGAACAAGCGACAAGGTGTAACATTAGGTAATCGGCTTACCTGTCGATCGGACTCCGACAGCCGCCAATCCCCCCTGTGGCTTGGATCGAATAAACTAATAAATCTGACAAGATTATCGATCTCGTCATTTTCCCAAGACCTTCCGTCGTTCGCGTAACATTTTATATCAACCCGTAGGAATCAGCCAAAGCTCGTCAACAGGCTGACAGGTCGAGTAATCAAACATTCATCTATCTAATTTTTTAATTTCCCAATGCCTGAAACTTCGGTTTCGTCGGATCCACGGAATACATTGGGTATACTTGAACCGTGCTCCGAGCACGCCATCAATTGCGTCGTGTACCTCTTCGATTCGTTGGATGCCTAAGTCCGTTGCACTTTCAGCCTCTGACAACCCCCTAAAATAGGGGGTTAAAACCTAAGATTGTCGTCATACTCGTTTTCGTCATACAGGACCCAAATTCCCTAATGCTGAGCCCGTCGTTTTACTAATGGAATCCCCTGAATTATACAGTACTTAGGTACTTATAAATCCTGTACAACGTGAAAGATTAAATGAGTTCTATTGGTTAGGATGACTAAAGCCTTTTTCCACAAGGAGTAAATAGCATATCACTGATTAGAACCTGATTGGCTAGCTCTTAGAGGTACGTACTCCTTTGGGGATCAAGCTGATTAACCCTCCAGCACAACTAATAGCAACACCAAGGCTGTTGTAGATGGATGCATTGGGAAGCGCTTCACTTTAGAGTGTAGATGAACGCTGAATTCCCGACCCAGTATTCGTAAAATGTCGGTAAAGGGCATATTTGACTCAGAACAAGCCTCTCACGAGGCAACGTAGTGTAACGTCTATACGCCCTATACGCCCTATCGCTCAACGATGGGCAATGGCACGAAAATGATGTTTGCTGTCCACCTACGCTAAACATGGCACAGGTTATCACTGGGCTCGCACTCGTGAAACGACACTCGATTTTAATACTGACATGTTCCGAGTCCCTTATGTGTTCTTGTTTGCAAACCCTCCTCGAACCCCCACGGGAGCGAGTCAAGTCAAGCAACCCCTAAGACAACTATACCACGCCTGGATATGGACATAACGCCTAACTGTACGCATACAAACCAAGTTGGGATATGTGTTTGCTGTGGCCAAGATCTTACGAGCTCGTTGACGAAAGCCGTATCCTCGTCAAAGTCGGATATTCCAATAGGGCATACACAAGACTGGCAGAAAACCCGCGAGCTCATGTGTACGCTATGTAAAGTTGTCGCGCTGGTACTAGAAGATGCGAATAAACGATTCGGTTTCGTGCTAGATGAACCGACTTCCCTGAGATTGCTCCCGAAAAATCAACGTACCCTCCTCGGCTTGAAATTGATGAGAAGCCCAAGTGCTATTACCTGCAAGACCGACGTCGATGCAATATTTATATATCGTATGTCCCCCGTTGGTGCTATTAAAGGGGTCAGCTAGTATTATTCCGTCTAACTACCTATGAAGATGGGGCTAGAAAGAAGGCCGTGTCTGGGTTATGTTCACATAGAGAGATACCAAGAAATGTGAAGTCAATCGCTTGTCTTCGGACAATAAGGAAATGGCTTCACAACTGCAAGGAGAGCCACCAAGACTGCCAATTGATGAAGAATTCCCGACTACCGACACGAATGATTTATCTTAGGGACTCTAATCCACGATTGATAGAACACCACGCTGAGAAAGTGAACTATGTTGCTTTGAGCCATTGTTGGGGTAAAGAGCAGTTTCTCAAAACTAAGGCAAATACACTTGGGTCTCGCAAAAGAGGTATTACGTTACAAGCGATGCCGCAAAATTTCAGGGATGCTATTTATGTGACGAAGGAGTTGGGTTACCGGTACATATGGATAGACTCCTTGTGTATCATTCAAGATGACGTACAAGATTGGATAAGGGAGTCAAAGCTCATGGCCCAGGTGTACAAAAACGCCGACCTTGTCATTGCAGCTACGTCCGCGGCGGCTGCAGATGATGGGTTTCTCACAAAAGGACGTCCCCCCTTTCGTCAGGGCACCATATCAATAGCTGTGCAGAATTCTGACAAGCCAACAAAATTTTATTATCGGTTAGCTCCGCCTCACAAAAACCGAGAAGGGCCACTTGACGAGAGAGCCTAGGCGTTTCAGGAACGACTCCTTGCACGACGTTATCTTTCTTTTCGGTCGTGTGAAGTAGCATGGTATTGCCAAACGACAATGCACTGCGAGTGTGACAGTGCCGAGATCCATGATGACCACCGTAAATATAGAGAACGAAGCATAGAGATGCTATTTTGGCACAACACTACAGCACAAGATCTACACATGAGATGGCGGCAAGATATTGTTGGCTTTTACACTCGGCGCAAGCTCACACGATCCTCGGACAAGATTATAGCTCTATCGGCCATAGCAGAGTCATTCCAGACTAAGCTCAAGAGCAAATACCTGGTCGGTCTTTGGGAGCAAGACTTGATCTTGGACATGCTATGGAGTGCTGGGGACCCGGGGCTCCGCGAGTCTTATCAGGTACCAACATGGAGTTGGGTAGCTTGTGCGGGTTGGACATACTACCCATTACTCATTCAACATAATGTAGTGAGGCTTGCTACATTAATCAGTTTTCATATATCTCATACGACGTCAGGGCCACCGGGTATACCAGACTTTGGCTCTGTTATATTGAGAGGCAAGTTAGCTCGAGTCACCATCAAACACGAACCTTCTGCGGAGATACGTAGCCAGAGCGGCCCCTTTAAAGTCGACGTATTAGACTATAAAGGATTGACCTCTTGGATAGCCAACCCCGATATCTTCCCACCCACACTCTCGGGGCATTCAACATGCTGCGGAACTACGGACGTGTGGCATCCAGGACAATTAAAAGGCCACCTTTACTTTGTCCGGGTTTTGTTTATGCCATTTTACCCCGAAGAACGCTGCCTTTATGGAATTATATTGATACCATCACCTCAACGCCACCCGGCTTATAATCGCATGGGTATAGTTATGTTCTACTTGCGTTATAAGTACGACGATATCAAAAAGGCATTGCATTTATGGGACGATGAGCATATCACTATCACTTAAAAATCATCAATGGGTATATTCCGTCTCCCACATGTGTGCAGTGTCAAGCTGTCTCCCTCCCTTCCACTCCCACCCATTTCGTTTACAGTTTCCTTTTCGATGTGGTGCTCTGGGAGCTTGGGCGCTGCGGCAGCCAGCTTCCCTGCCTCTTGAGGCGGACTGACTTCGCGGAGGCCTCCATCTTCCCCGGAATACTAATCCTTGGACGCTGGCGACCTCACCATGGAGGATTCATGGGGACTTATAGCGCCTTCATCATGACATTCGGACATTAACTATGATCCTTCAGCGGTTTCTTTTTCAGGCATATTTGGCTCGAATAATTTTTCTTGTGAAGGTTCTGATACCTATGGAGCGTTTTGTCATGGCCCGGGGGGTGGATGGTTGTCTTATCGGGGATTGGTTTCTTTAACTGCACCGTTGAGTAGAAGATATTCATTTTAAGTAATAAAATCTTAGAATTTAGATGAGAGGATTAGTAGGTCTGTTCCCCAATTCCGCAGTCACTCTGTGATGTCCCTTCCTGTTACTTTGCCGTGAATCAGGCACAACTCATGTATCGATTCATCCCACAAAACGATTCATGAGTCGGCGGCAATGCCAGAACAGGAATCCTGTCTCGACATCGTATTAGGGGGCTTGTAAAGTATAATAATTACCTACCTAGATTAATAGTAGTTGACTCCTAGAACCTAACTAATGCAAAGTACTCACGTTTTCATTGTGAATTTCGCTGCGTGGACCTAGAGGATTTTATACCGGAGGTTTGTGGCAACTCTGAATGTACGATGAAAGAGAAGGAATATCACGAAGACTTAATTTAATCTACCGGGCTCCTAGACTATTCACTTATGACATCGTCCTTTCCATAGGCGGAAAACTACTTTACTGCCTATTAGTAATTATACCATAGAGCATTGCCGTGCTAAGGGGCTTAGGATAGTGACCTTCGCGTAACCCCAACGCGGTGGCTAACATACACTCATTGTGTCGGTAGTAGTTGATTCCCGTACCTAGTTATTGAAGACATTGCTGTACCTAGGTATCAATAAATCGCATCGGTATATAACTGAGTATCTAACTATGCTATGTATCCCTTATTTAATGTTTCGCTCCTTGATGTATAATTTGTAAGGCATAACCTAAGATGGCTACCAGGTTATACAGGCTATGTTCCTTAAATTACCATGACAATTACACTCATCGTGGGGGAAGGCGAAGACGTCGATGCTTAAAAGTCCTGCTCCTGGCCTAAGACTGTAGGATTTATATAGCCTGTAAGACATAAATCCTTAGAAGCAATAGCCAACTCAATTTGATGAAGTCTTGGGTAATAGAGCTGAGTTGACAGCGAATGTTGCATTAAGTTATTAATGCATTTGGACAAGGGGAGTTAGCATCCTTAGGTACATATGTATGCCTGAAATGCATTTGATTATGCCGTCGTAAAGAAGAACGAGTTAGATCTCTTGAGCCAAGTTTCCTAAGTCAAAACTATTACTTCAAGTTACGAAGTCGGCGATAACTTTTTGAAAGCCTAGGTACCTTCCCGTAGGTATAATTGAATAGCCATGCATGAACCCCTTAATATTTTCGGAATGTCGTACTATGATGTAGTTGAAGTTGCTCTCTATCCCTATAAGTTAATATGCTGCGAAGTCCAATTTGAAGCTGCAGCAGACAAATGGCCATAGCTCATTGAGAAGATCTGACAGATTGAGATTAGTGCAATTTCCTATGCGATATCTTCGTATAGTTTAATACTTGGAGTTTCCACTGTGGTTATATAAGAGAGTACCTAGGTATCCACTTAAGACTCTAATTCCGGAACCTTGGCTTCCAATCAGACAAGGCGCAGTCTCTAGCTGACCGTCAACGTAACCAATAGCTAATATGATAGCGTCAGAGCCATGTGTAAGTTGCCTATTGATCCCTCAATTCGGCAATGCTTGACGTTTCGCAGGGGGGCAACCCCAAGGATGACATAGCCTTACAAGCCTAATACGAGGTCAGCCTCAACGCCATCGTGAGATAGGTACTGAACATAATGCCGTATAGCTTCATGAAGTGGCAGATGGGGTAACGTTGCGGGACAAATTTCGCATCGCTATATATACTTGAGAACTTCCAACACCCAGTCGGATATTCAGAAGTTCATTACCACCAACAACTCAAGTCTTCATCTCCTTCGCTTCAATCGCTCTAATCACCAATATACTCTCGCCCAAGTCTCTCGTTCTTAACGACTTTTTAAAAACTATCACCATGCTTGCCTCAGTCATCACCGTCGTCGCGGCTCTTGCTGCCTCTGCTACTGCTCTCCCCAAGCAGGTGTACGCTTCTTGGCCCGCCACCAACTTCGACGAGGGCTGCTCTCCCGTAAGTCTCAAACAACACAACTACACCATATCATCTATTAACAAGATATCAGGGTGGCTGCATCGCCAGCTTCAACATCTCCGCACCCGCGGACTACGTAAAGGGCGCCCCTGCCTTCAACGTCTCCTGCCACCCCATCTACATCCAACAAGGATGGGTTGAATGCGACGTCGTCGGCGAGAACCAGAACGGCGCCTTCGTCCGCTCAATGTGGTCCGAAGCCACCGTGCGCGAGCAGATCAAGATCTCTGTTTCCCACGTCTGGAACCAGGGTGAGACTCGCTTCAACGCCAGTGGATCAATTGAGATCCCGTCCACCAGCACTTCCTTCGGCGTGCCCGTCACCTCGCTCACCGCCGTCGCATAGAGAAGTTTTAGGGAATTAAGAAGCGGAGGTATTAGAAAAGGGGTTATCGGTTACATTGATTGGTATAGATGGGCTTCGATTCATTATAGAGTATTATATTAATCAATAATTACCATTTGTGGGACATAGCCTTTACCCCTGATTTTGTGACAAGTGGTATGTGATAAATCTTCTCGTTGTACCTGGATGCAAACAGAAAGGGTCGCAATACACCACTAGCGCGCCTATTTTCATCGTCTTGCGGGTTCATTAATTTGACTCCGGATTTTGAATCGTGCATTGGGTTTCTGAGTTATTTTCTGTTCTGGTTGGGTATTTTGCTGGGAATGAATATAAACGATTAAAGCCAAGAGCTTGGCAGTTTTCAGAGTTCGTACAGCGCTTTGCGGGTATATCAGAGGCATGCCAAGATAGCGATGCCCTGAAGCATAGCACCTCCATTACTGCTGGAATTACTGATTAGTAATTTGACCCCTCGCTCAAATCCGACCACCTTAATGGGATTAATAGCGAAAAGCCCTCTGGACGAGTATGAACATCTCGATTGAAAGGGAAATTGTTAACGAAAATAGGAATATTTCAGACTAAAATATGAGGAGTCATACCGCGAGATGTTTATGCAGATTCTAGGGTAGGTGGATATTGTAACCTGCACGAATGAGCCGTTGACCCGCTTCCCAAACCTCGTCGGGAATGTCTTGTGGAATCTGAAAACCTCTTGAAGGATATTCCCGAATACGGATGAGATCGCCCACAGCAATATTGATGACTAAATCTTTTGGGTTGGCATCGTTTGGATATTCATCCCATTTGAATTGTGGCGATGTGACCGATATCCGAGTGTCAGAATCTGGCCATTGTTTCTTGAAGGTGGCATAAGTTCGCCTTTCCATGTATGGTTTCTGAACAAGGATGAAGGAATTCAATTGTAGTCCCTTGTCCTGAAGTAGTGCATATGTGAAGCGAACATTCTCACCAGTGTTTGTCGAAAGGGGTTCAATCAGGAGTTTTTCTTTCGGAACTCCCATGTTCAGAGCTATGTCACCAAATACTTGTGCTTCGGGTTTATCGTAACGGCCTTGTGTCAGTCTTCCGGTCCCACCAGAGAATATAAGGTATTTCCCATAGCCATCAAGAATTAACTGGGCGGCACGTTCCGCTACGCGCGTGTCAAGGCTGCACAGACAGAAAACGGCGTCTACTTCTTTTTCGAGTGGCATGTGAAGTTGGTGGTAGTTATAAAGTGTTTCCGCATCTTGTGAAGAATCATATTCTCTCTGGGTACTATCACTTTCCGCCGTCATCTTTTCAAGCCGAATAACGTAAGAATTTCATTGGACACTAATGATTTCAATTCACTTAGTTTCGCATATAGATAAGTGATGGGTTTATCGAAAGCATCTGACCCAAGTCCCTGAATATGGTGGTGTGGTGTACGTAAGGGTTGAAAATGGAGCATGTGCGCTAAGAAGGCCTAAATATTTAGTTGGCCAGTTACAATATTTAGCTGCAAAGTTCCGCTAGACCACCCCCCACGCATATCATGTGCCCGATGTCGCTTACAGAATTAGCGTTAGGCTTCTGGATCCCTTAAGGTAGGACCCGTGGGGTCAGCTGGAGTTTTATCAATCTGATAAGATCTTTTCCTCCCAAACCCGCTGCCATGCACTAACTCTTTCCACTAACACCTCCCTAGCCTCGAGTCAAGGAACGATGCCAGTCGACCAGATTGACAGAGACTGGGCCATCGAGGTCTTCAGGGAAAGTTTGAGAACGTCTCGCCTTTCTGTTGAATTCGGTCAATTCTCTACTTCATTTAATACTCAGTCAGCCCGGGAGATCCCGAACGATCCTGATAGTCTCGAATATCTCCGGGAATTCATCGCCTACATCCTCGACGGTCGCACTATCATTTTCACATACAACATCGCTTTACTTGTAATACTTGTCCTTTTCTCTCTATTCCACCTATACGAAAGCATATCCGAGAAATCCAGATGGAGAATAATAGAGCAAGATTCGACGAGCATCGCAGCAGAATGTACGACCGATGATTCCGAGATAGTAAACGAGAATGAAGCGGAGTCATCTTCTAGTAGTACTTTGGAGGGATCTCTGCCATCAGAAATCACGTTGAAGGCCATCGAAGAAGATGTCGAAAGACAACCTCTCCTAGGAAGACGGCAACGAGGGACACCCCCGGTGAGCCTAGGGGCTCGTTTGCTTCGGGGTCTTAACACTCTATTGATGTACCAACCTCGGCCGATCCCGTTAATCAATCGGACTTTACCATCGAATGGAACGTCCCTCTTCGTCACGGCCTTCATAGGCCTTAACATATTCTACCACCTCTACCTAATGCCATTCGAGACTAGATTCTTCTTCGTCTTCGCCGACCGTGCTGGCATAGTCTTCATCGTCAACCTTCCGCTCCTTTACATACTTGCCGCCAAAAACCAACCGCTGAAGCTGCTTACGGGGCGCTCATACGAAGCTCTCAATATATATCACCGCCGCGTCGGCGAACTAATGTGCTTTGAAGCATTCGTTCACTTCGCCGGCATGCTAGCATGGCGGATATGGTTCGAGCCAGAATGGCTTAAGGGCAACGGTTTTTGGGGCTACATTACCCACCCCCTCGTATTACTCGGCATCGGAGCGTTTGCATCATACGAAATACTATTCTTCACATCCCTCGGAAGTTTTCGACAGAGATGGTACGAACTCTTCTTAGCCTCCCACGTCTTCCTACAATTCGCCGCGCTAGCGTTTTTGTGGCTGCATTTCTTCACAAGCCGACCGTACATACTCGCATGCCTGGCAATATTCTTCGTTGACAGGATTGTCTGGCGTGTATTTATGAAATCCGCCAATTTTACTGCGGATATTTCGATATTAGAGGACGATGAAACACTACTATTGTCTACTGATTGGGACATACCTACGTCTAAAGGCCGAGGCTGGCTACGTCCGTTTCGACAGAGCATCCGACATGGTTGGCACCCAGCTGATCATGTATTCATCTCGGTTCCCGCAATCCACCCACTACAAGCTCACCCCTTTACCATCGCATCCGCTGCGCCCGTGGTACATCCTAGCCATTCGCCAACCCATGCTTGGCTAAGTCTACTGATCAGAGTACAAGCTGGACTCACTGCAGATTTACTGAAATATGCACGCGCCAACTCAAGAGTGACCGTCCGCCTAGATGGACCGTACGGATCTCGAGACCCTCTTAACATGCTAAGGTCATGCGACAACGCCGTCATGATTGCCGGTGGATCTGGAATCGCAGTCGTATTCCCTCTAGCGTGGGACTTAGCTACGACTCACCGTGGAAAGAGACAAGTCCATCTTATCTGGGTGATACACTCTCGAGCCCAACGATCTTGGCTACCTGAAGATAGAATCACTGAGCTGCGCGAATTCGGCGTGAATGTCATCATCCCTGAACCTACGAACGAAGCCGGAAGACCGGATATCGCTGGACACATTGCCGACTTGGCCACTTCCTCGGAAGGTAGAACTGGATTCGTAGTCTCTGGACCCGACGGCCTCAACAGAAGCGCGAGGAACGCTTGCGCGGAGGTTGTCAAGAGCGGAGCTGATATCCAACTTCGGGTAGAGAAATTTGGCTGGTAAGGGGCGTTCTGCTTTTTTTTCCTGTGCACTGGCGGGGCGACGGGCGTTTTATGATCATGACTTATGAGGCAGGCTTGGTAGATTGACAAGTCTCTTGGGTGGTTACATCATATCTTGAGTAGGTATCTTTTGGATTGTTTACCTAAGGCCTTAGAACGCTTAGAGTTTGGGCACATACATACACACCGGCCATGTGAGGTTGGCTTTGACGTCTAGATATCGTTTCCCCTAACGTGGGAGTCTGTTAATAAATTTTGATATAACTCATGTTTTAAGTTGTCTATCTTGAGTCTATAAAGACTATGCTTGCGACTATTATAACTGTTATATGATGGCGTGATATTCCTGTATGTTTATTTTTTGGGGGGAGGAGAGATTATCAACTACGCATCGTCGTATTTGTTGCGGGCATAAGTGATGGATAAGGAAGAGCTAGTGCGACCACGGTATCGTCAATCCCATAGTTGTTTCCACGGTTGTTGACTTACGTCCTTTCTTAGCTTCACATAGGTCGTGAAGAGATGCGCGAAGCTGTTTGGCTTGGTACGGTCGCTTATTTAAAATACGAAGAAAATTTAGTAAACCCGCACCTGTCTTCTGGGGGTTGCAGTTCGACGGGCGGCGACGAGGTTTTTTCAAGGCCTGCACGTTGGATATTAAGACATAATCGCAAGGGGGTATTCATCCAGCTTTGTTCCGTTGATATGTAAGAATATATATAAAATACACGAATTATCCACAACCGCGGGGATAAATCCTGATTGTATCCAGAACCATTCGGGGTGTGCACTGTTCAAGTGTACAGTGTTACAGCCTCGCGTGGCTCGACCATGTGTCGATTGCGTCGATCGTGATCAACAAAGCAAAGAAAAACCAACGCAACACAACTCTAAACTCTGGAGGCGACGAGACTCATGTAAATCCCCCACAGCAGTCCCACAAAATTGAGGAAGACGATCCGTCGCTCCACCGGCACGCAACTGAAGCTGATGATAGATGCGAACGGCCAGATCTTGTAGCCAGCTACGATGACGGGGATAGTTTCGGTCCTGATATTGTAACCGATTTGATCCGGACCCTGCCGCTTCAGTATTCCCATCAGTACGAAAAAGGCGACCGTGTTAAATATGGCGCCGAGTGTGATGCAGTCAATGAACCACTTTGCGAACGTGTTTCGCAAGTTGAGCCTCGGCTTCTGCTCTGCGCCCCCTATGGATCGCTCGTCTTCTCCGGTCGCGCCTTGTTTCTCGATGTCCCCGGTGGGCGCACTTCGCTCGTAGGCGGGAAAGCTTCGCTCGAGTAATTGTTGCCACATGTAATTCGGAGGCGCAGTGATGAAAGTAACGGTAACAAATCGTAGAAAATTGGGAATATCGAAAACAAAAGGGCGACTGTCTCGGTAAGCTTCGAGGAACTGGGCGAGAATGTTAGACGCGCTGGACAAGCCAGCTGCGGCCAAGGTGGCTTTTGTCATCTGCGAAGGCATTTTGATATCAAGTTTTCTGTTCTGTCATTTATTTCAATCAGGGCGAAGACTATAGCATGAGCGAGTAAGGGACAAAGAGCAAGGAAAAGACGTAAACGAGTGATGTCTTCTCATTGAAGAGTTTGGATGAATTGGATAGATATCAATCAAGGGGGCCTTTTTTCGGAGATCTAGGGACGACGATCCAGAGGGGACAGAGATAGACAGAGATAGATGGGCGTGGATATTTGTGTGTGCACGGGGGTTGTTTTAGTTGTTTTATGGATATATTATTAAATGTGACGAGTTGGTCGGAGATCGTCGTTTTTCATACGTATGCACGTAGTGTACACCTTGATTACACGCATATTACTTGATTTTTGGGGTACATTGTGGAGACGGTTGTATGTTGAGCATTCAATTGATTCTGTATGGTTGTATGTCGCTATATCTATACTGAAAAATATTTTGATATTATGAAGATTGAATTTTCCGTTGAAGGTGGAAGAAATATTGATTTAGACTCGTCAGCGACGTAATGCGCTTGTATAATTGTAGCTCCTTAATGTAAGGTACGAAGGTATGATGGTGGGCCTTCCGTCCTTCCAAGTTCGAGATGAGACGATGACGCGAACTCCCCGGATTGACTTTTCCGGCCCATAACCTTGGAAATGTATATCCAATATAAGCATGTTTCTAGTACCAATATAATTATATTCTCCTAGTAAAACAATGCATCAAACAGGAAAAGACATGTGATTTGTGGGGTGCTACAATTATCTTTAGGTAACAAGCACAAGATTAGTACGCTTCCATCATTTCCAATACTCATCGTCAACATGCCTACCTAGGTACCTAGCACCAATACACGGAAGGGTATTTTTGTAATATCAAACCATGCTTTCAATGTTGAAATCGTCTGCGACATTGCGACATTGAGGAATGTATTCATTCTCCCCTCCGATTTACGGCTTTCGGATCCTAGATTGGTAGGGCTGAAGCATTCCAAGATTACTGTGCACTGCCTACTGCCTAGCTGCTGAAACCGGAGCCAATTGAAGCAGAGAACGTTTGATAGTCCGAACCCCAGAATGTTGGCTCATCTGACAACTCATGGGAAGTCTCTTGACCTTCCCTGCCTAAACCTAGGCCCCAGCTTCATTTATTCTCTAGGTAGCGGCTGAGACGAGGCGGTTCTGCCTTATTACCCATAGATTGCGCCACCTACCAGTGCGTTACCAATCTGGATAGCGAGGGTAATGGGATCCGGTGACTCACTCTGATCCTAACAACTAGCCAATCATCTTACACGCCTCAGCCCCCGGCATCGTCGGGCGATGACATCGAACTCAACCTTTATTGCGATGACTCTGTAATTAGTGTATCAAAAGCGGAACTATCAATGATTCATCTGACTCGAGTGAGACCTTATAAACCACCCTTTCTGTTTTGCGCCCTTCTCGAAGAATTACTCTTAACTCCATCTACACCGAAATACTCATGTTAAAGTCCTGCGCATGACAAAAACCATACGCCCTTTTCTTCGTCATCCTGTTTTTCTACTTTACGTGTTCATTACCTTATTCTTAGCATCGTACTAAACTTTATTTGGAATTCGTTTCTTATAAAACCCTCCATCATGAAGGTTGGTACACCACATCCCAACCCAACACTCGTTCGACGTAGACGTCGTCTGGATCCGGACGATAGTCCACGAAAAGCCCCCAAAGACCGAGTTAGTCGACCTACAAGAGTTAGTAAGCCTCATCTGAACCATACTGCCCCCGTTGCCTCACGACGGAAACCTCGATCCTCCGGTCCAACATGGGAGGATAACCGTCAGCTGGCGGCCGACCCCACGGTCGTGCTACCCAGCGACCGCGGTATCTGCACACCACAGCTTAAACGCCAAGAGGCCTTTCGGGAGCCCAAGTACTACTCAGACATTGTCGAAAATGACGCCGATCTATATAAGATGGGTCTTTTATACGACGATGAGCACGTGCGCGGCTCATATTTCGACTTGGACGCCATTGTTCACTCGGAACCAGTTTACTCTATCCGCCCGGCAAAACGGGCAAAGAAGCAGCGTCAAGATTCGTCCTACCTACAACTGGAGTTTTCATTTGCTTCTCTCGGCTCGGATTCAGATCTGCAACATTATCTAGCCCCCGAGGTAATTGAGATCGCACCGTCTGCAGAGGACCTGGACGTCCCGACACTCCGGGACACCCGCCATAGAGCCACCATCACTGCCCCGGCGCGATCCTACAGAGACGCAGCACTCTCAGTTATCCACGAGCTCCCGGAGAGCTCAGCCTATCCTTTCGACACAGCCGCCCCGGAGGCACCCGATTTAATTTCCGATTCCGAAATAGACGACGAAGAGGTCAAAGAAGAAGCTCAAGACTGGGCAGTATTAGATAAGACCGATATTTTCGACAACACAGATGTTAACGTCGATGCAATAGACGCAGCCTCGACCACCGACGAACCCTGGATAGTGCTGGGAGACGGCTCGTAGCAGATCCGCCTGCGGGACCCCTGATCGCCCTCGGGTCCCGACAAGCTAACGTAGCGTTGCTGCGCGGATTGGCCCTCTACAGACCCAGCACACGGGCGAGCGTTGGTGTATTTTCGAGGCAGGACGGTTGTGTGCTCGTGGTTAATACCTTAGGTTATTGACTATTTGAGCTCGCTGTCCGCGTTGAGTGTATCGATATTAATGGTAGTGTTAATGTATTGGTACGCTTTGTATTCGCGTGGGATGTTGCGTTAGAAGGATGGTTTCTGTTATAATAGTTTTGTCATCAGCATTGTCAGCATTGTCAGCATTGGTCGGCGCATTGGAGAGGGTGCTGATACCCCCAGATCTTGAGATCCATGACTTATTTTTGGATTTCTTTTGTCTATCTACCTAGGTACCTAGGTACCTAGTGTATTAAGTGAGCTTGTTAGGATTATTCGAGTCATAAATTGTACAACAATTATATATTGCGTCTTCGTATTCTTGTTGATGTGCGAGTACCAGCGCGAGATTCGCTGAAGCTAATGGATTAATCGCCGATTTAGGGAATGAAACCGCCTAAAATACCTAGGTACAGGCAGCTCAGGTATATCCACAGCTGTGCGGGGATGCTGAAGCCATACTGCTACAGCGCTTGGCTGCTACCTATGACGCCGTCTCTTGTAATGGATATAGTAATGGAAATAGAGCCCAAATGATGCAATACTACGCTGAGATCTGATTAGAAATAATATATTACAAATTCATTGACGAATATAAATTTCATTGCTAGATCTATGTTTTCAACGTACATCTCAAGAAATCGAGTCGTACCACGGCTCTATAAGCAACCATGGCAAACACAACCAAGCCCCTAATCCTGCACGCCCACGCCACAGGCCCAAACCCCTTCAAAATCGCCGCGGCGCTCGAATTCCTCCAAGTTCCCTACGTAGTAAAACTATGGGATTTCGGACCTGACCCAACGAAAGGTGTTAAGGGGGCCGCCTTCCTCGCTATAAACGAAAATGGGCGAGTCCCTGCGCTTGAGGACCCGAATACCGGTGTCGTGTCTTGGGAATCGGGTGCTTGTATGAATTATGCTAGACGGGTGTATGATAAGGGGAATGTGTTGGGGCCTAAGGGTGATGGGGAGCAGGGGAGGGTCGATTTTGAGAAGTGGGAGTACTTCCTTTTGACTACGCTGGGACCGATGACGGGGCAGACGAATTGGTATAGGTAAGAACGCCCTGAAAACAGGTAGTTTGGGGAGATGAGTGCTAAGCGATAGGTGTGTTTAGGTACTATAACGCAGTTCGAAACGACGACGCGCTGAAACGCTATGTCGAGCAGACCGAGCGCTGCTATAGCGTGTTAGAGGGGCAGCTGAAGAAAACTGGTGGGGAGAGTATCCTACCAGGTGGAATTACAGCGGTGGACTTGCACTTCGAGCCTTGGGTCCGACAGCACGCGTATGCGCAAATCAGTTTGGATCCGTACCCGACAGTTAAGAAATGGCTGGAGAAAATGGGTAACTTGAAGGAGATCCAGGACGCTTATAAGAAAATTAAGGAAGCGCCAAAACCGTAGATCCGAAGTTTGTATAAATTGAGTATTGCCAATTTTGGCTATTCATTCATAAGATCTGGTTATCTGTAAAAGTAGATGAGTTGTAGTGAACGCCACCCGCATATAAAAACAGTGAGGCCTCGCTGATGCGGCTACCTAAAGTGCATCCAAGCCTTACCCAGAAGTACCCCCTAAAACGCCATAAAAGCACCTGGGCTGCCGAATTCTTAGGTGCTTATCGTTGGTCTGGAGCCCGCTCAATTCGCGATCGCGCAGCTTCTACAACACTTCTCTCAAGAGTCGGGGTACTCGCAACTCCGCCTTGCTTAGTATTTCTGTCATCATGAACTGGTACAACCTCCCATCTAACCATAGCATCATCCATACCTGGCCAGAGGTCTGTAGGGAGATATTCTGCGACTTCTTGTCGGAAATGCTCTCGTTCCTCGCGATCACCTTCAATAATCTTATCAACACTTTCTTTCGCCTTCTTCCAAATACTCAGAACTTTCTCCTCCAATGATTTTCGTCTGGCGACTTCAAGTATCAACCCATCGTATGAGTTGGAGTAACTCTCATAGAAATTTCGCAATTCGTCCATCTCGTTGACCTTATCTTGTATCGCTTGGTGTTCCTCATTCCATCTGTCGCGGAATTCCGTTTCGGCGGAGATATAGCTTTGAAGTCGCGACCCGATGTCTTCTAATACCCTGAATGCATCAAGAGTAGCAAGGTAATTCATCTTGACTTGGTTCGTTTGATCGTTCACACGTGTGAAGTTTGTCTCCATGACCTGTAAATATTGCTCCAACTCATGAACCACGTCACCAACTTCTGAAGCATCTTGAACAACAATCTCGAGCATCTGCGCGCGGTCTTCGGCGGATATCGGATCGTAGTCGGGCATGTGGGACTCTTGTTCTGCCATCACGCCTGATATTGACACGTCTACTCCGCCTTGCGAACCCGTTGCTTCGGCAGCTTTGATCCTAGCTAATGCTGCTCCGCCTTCCGTGGTTCTAACTGCGGTTACGCACAGATCGAAGTGTTTCGTCAGGGAGGAAAGAAGTTCGGCCATGCTATGCGAATTCTCGATCATATTAGAGAGAAGGTGGACTAGGGATGGATCTCTCGACGAAGCAGACGGCGATGAGGTAGAAGGAGTGGTAGGCAATGTTTTATCGAGTAATCGCATATCGTCGTCGAAGCGTAGTAGGTCGCCGTCAAATGATTTCTGGGTATTCTACAGACAGTCTGGATTAGCATTGAATACGAGCTTAGATCAAAATAGGGCTCAACGGACCTGTAAAGCCTGGATGTTCTCCTTCAAAGCATCCCTTATCCCGTCAACCTGAGACTCATCTACAAAATCTAATAGGTTTTTCTTGGATTCGCCGGTCGGTCTGAATGCACTATCCACGATCTGGCTCCGAAGAGTATTCATAGTATCCTGGAGACGACTGTTGGCTGCATCTAAAGCCTTGATGATCTGTTTGAACTCGCGCTTTCCGTCATCGTAGGTTCGATTCATGCTTCGTCGGAGACGATGTAGTAGGCGAACTTGGTCGTTAATGCCTTGGCGAAGGAATCTAGACTGCGCAGTGAGGATGACGGATTCCTCATGAGATCGTCGTGCTAAGGTGACGAGATCGTTGGCGCGTACGACTAAGCCCACCGAAGAGAGCGAGCGCTTAGCATCGAGAAGGTGTTGTACGAGGTTTTCGACGGGAACCGACTCGACAGAAATAGGAGCGCCATAATGGGAGGTGGATTGTGATATGGACGCAGACGAGGCTGGACTAGCGGTGGATGCCATGTTGAATGATATTGATATGCTAGATCTAAAGTCTTATGACAGCTGTCGAGCTGGTGCTCAGACGAAATATCTACATTCTAACAAGCGGAGAGGGAAACTGATGACGAGAGCACCTGAAGCTCCAAAGGTGCTGATTCTAGATGATGTAGTTGTTGAGTTTAGGAGACTGAAAGTTGGCTGAAGTAGCTGGAGGCAGCTAAGGTTACGTTTATAGGTACAGCTCCCAGGTCGGCAGTTTCATTTAGCGATGATAGGCGGGTACCTATGCAGAGCTACGGCGAACCATAATGCTGGATCGTGGTAAGCTTGGATCGACAAATCACGGCTTAACGAGCCCCAGAATGCCGATTTATTGTCCCCACATATTCCCCAAATAAGGGTCCACTTGCTGCAAAATACAATATTCTGAGCTATCGCGACCCGCCAAGTACCTAGATAAGCTTCCAACGGCATTGAAAGCTTCGATAATAGCCCCTAACTACATTATTCGTCGTCGTCGTTGTACAAACAATTTACACCTCTTTCATCTTCCTTCACATCCGAAACTGCCGTTTAATTCCTCTCTTCATTCCTTCATCAATATCAACTTTGCTTCATTATTTGAAACATCATATCATTCTTACTTTAGTTTTAATTATATAGTTGGTTTAATTAACTGCTTTGTCTAGATGGAATTCAATAATCAATCCTGAAAAATAGCTTCACATTTACATATCATAATACCTAATTCTTTCGACATCTCCCCACGATGACGAAGCCCCGTTTATATAACTGAATATTACCTAGTAATATCATGTCCTAACAAATGGATCAATCCGCTACTAAGTCAATCAGACGGAAGCCGGTCCCGTCTGCAAACAAGCCTCCACTTCCAGCTCCACTGCCTCCATCCTCTGATGATCACGATGTCCTTGATGGTCTCATTGATGACTATCTGGAATCGCCCAAGCTACAACAAAAATATGCACCAGCAATTGAAACCAAGGAACTGAAGCTAGATACACGACTTGAACATCCTGTGTTGCCTTCGAGGCAGCCCTCTATTCCTCTTGTTGCTAGTCCCTCTGAAATTTCCGAAGTATCTGAAATATCACTTAATTCTAGCGTCTCAACGCCAGAAACTCCCAATCCAGGTCGTTCAATATGGAAGACGGCAGTTGACGAGACTATATACTTCGCCGGCGGGCTAATATCCCACCCGTTCGAGTCAACTAAGCATTATAGCATATTGCGCCACTCCGCTGCTGTCGTCCTTTACCGAGGGCCATCTACAAGTGTCACTATCACTGTTTTTGCAGATGAGCCATTGCCGACCGACCGTTCGTTTTGGTTGCAACGAAAAGGCTTTTCTGGGAATATGGGTATGGCTGCTAGTGCCCTGCTCCGCACACAGGGGAGTTGGATCGAAGTAACGCCTTCATTCGAAACGCTTGCGTCCGATGTTCCTCCATCAGATGAAAGGGCTTGGCAACGAGACATCAAAAAGTTTCATAAAAAGACTGCATCTCATAAGCACTTATCCAAGCAGACCGCCCGCGAGACATGCATTATCCGAATCCCTGCATCGGCGGAAGATGGCTATCTGCGAATTGTTATGTGTACGGGCGAGGGGTCGAAAAAGACTCTTTGCCCTTCACCGGTTTTCCGCGTAGCAAGTACGTCGTCTGATGTGAGCGTAATGAGAGGTGCAAGTTTATCTACTATGCCGCTCGAACTCGGATTAAAAGTGGCATCTGTAGTAGGCACAAACGTTGTCGATAGATATGTTGGGCCGGCGCGCGATGCGATACAGAGCAAGATAGAACAGTACACGCCGGGTGCCGTCGCACAAGAAGCGGGGATTTTAGCATACGAGCAGTCTGGAATCCAGGGGAGGGTTGCATCTGCAGAAGAAATTTTCGACACAAAAATAGATGTTATATACGCCTCGCAGACTGAAGGGGTAATGGAAGTAGCACCGATGATTATCGGCGCTGATAGTGGACCCGAGAAGCCGTTCCCGATCCGATTTTCTGGCAAAGTTGTTGAAGGAACAGGTCGGAGTCGATCTGAGATTGGTATACCTACAGCAAATCTATCCGGCGTACCAGGGGACTTACTGCTACGTCTTAGCGGTGTCTATATCGGTTGGGTTGCGGTCCAACCTATTAAAGGAGTTCAGGGTATTTCAAATGACTGGCATGAGGCGATCATCACCGTTGGCCCTTCGCCATATGAGCCGCCTCGGGTTGTTCCTAAGAACGTAGTCGCTATTCACATTATCCACGATTTTGATGGAGCGACATTTTTCAACGCCAACGTCCAAGTTATTATTATGGCATACATAAGACCTATACCAAAACCCGGCGTTTCACAACCCCGCGATGTAATTGCTGCCGCTATCATGAGAGATATCAATATCGCCGTCGCGAGTTTAAGTCGCGACAACTGGCAATGCGAGATGACCCTCCAAAGAGCAAAGACGGATAAAAGTACGAGATCTTTCGAAGAGAGATATGTCGACGTGCGAACTCAAGTACAGAAAAGGGTTGACAGCGTGCCATTGCATTTGGCTGGGGTTCGCACCGCGAGAGCTGAAGTAAAAGACCAAGCTTATGGCAGAGGTGGATTATATATACGAAGATGACCGAGATAAAAACATACTCGTCAATTAGGGATATAAACAGATTATAATTACGATATTACGATTTTTAATTCGAGCATTTTTGCAAAATTCATACCATTTATACACGAGTATCTTATTCTACAAATCTTTCTGAAGGTCGTCTACAAGCCCTTTTTCTGGATTGAATTAACAAAACTGTTCGCTTCCTCGGTAACCTCGGCAGCCAAGTGGAGGTTGGAAGGTTCCCGAACACCGAATACATAATCAGAGTAAGACATGCCTACTACGATACGCATTTGCAGTCACCACGATTGCCCGTGCTGCAGGCGTAACTTGCTGCATTGGTATCAGTGTATGTTTATTAAAGGTGTGCATCGGGTGAGTGTTTTAACTCATTTGATCTTCCGTTATACATGTGCTGATCTTGGCTAACGTAGCGGGACACGACACCCGATGCTAGCTGAATCGGATCAGCCTATATGCTTGACTATCGCTTCCAATTGGCATGCTAGAAATCAATATTTCTGCTGCATACTGGATACAGCCGCTATAATTTGAATGAGCTGAATATACTAAATACCTGTTAGGTACCAATTACTATTATCTCGATTCCATTAATACAGCCCTAGTTAACCTCCCTGGGTAGTTTAAGGAATGAAAAATTGGTAGATTATCGAAGCAGGCTGGGGCAATGGAATGATCTATTAAGGGTCTAGGCACGGCTACCCGCCGTTTAATACGGAAATGGTTCACTAGTGCTACGTTATCGCCATATTGCCAACAATATAACCTTTCTAAGTGCCCCCCAAACTATCGCGATCGTAACGGGAAGAGGTGGCTAAATGTTACAAAGAATGCTCTTTGATTGGTAAGATAACAAACGGAATCTCCACTTTGCTTAGTATACATTTCAAATACCTAGGTACCATTTTTTCTTCTTATGAGTCTATGATAAGTACTTAGGCAGTCGAGATTCCTTCTCTAGGTATCGAGGGGCTTTGAGACTCACTCATTTTTGTTCCACCGATTTTATCTGTGGAAGTTGGAGGACGATGGCTTCGTCCCCAATCCTTGGTCGTGAAACTCATCGACCGGACAAGTCATCTGCTTCGAAAGTGGTCAATGACGGAGATGCGGCTTCGGAGCGCATCCTTGCTGGGGAAGATGAAGGAGTAGTTTACAGCGCAAATGGCGACGGGAATGCCGCAGAGACTGTTGAATCGCGCGAAAAACGTCTCAGACTCAAGGTCGATTTGCGATTATGTACCATCGCCGGTATACTCTGCTCACTCAACTTACTCGATTCTGGAGTCATAAGTTCTGCGTCAGTGACATCTATGCCATCTGATCTGAACTTAACCGGCAATCGCTTCAGCGTCAGTATTTTCATCTTCACCATATCCAGCATCGCATTCCAGTTACCCTCAACACTCGCTGTGCGCACATTCGGCCCGCGACTATGGTTTTCCTCGATAACGTTCTGCTTCGGACTCATTACCATGTGCACGGCCTTCATTCAAACCTGGCAGCAAATGATTGCGCTACGTGTGCTTCTCGGTATATCGATGAGCGGCATTTATCCGGGTTTGACGTACCTCATCTCGACGTGGTACCCGAGACGCGAGCAGCAGACGCGCTTCGCCTTCCTGCAGACTGGTGAAGTCGTTATTCTTGCCACGGGCGGAATCGTTAATTTCGGGCTTAACCAACTTAACGGCAAAGGCGGGATTGCAGGCTGGCGATACATGTTCCTAGTGCAGGGTTTGATATCCATGGTCCTCGGATTAATGACATACTTCTGGATCGTCGATTTCCCAGAAGAAGCGCACCGATCCTACTGGTTCCTCACGCCCGAAGAACAAGACCTCGCGGTAGCCCGCATCAACGCAGACCGCAAGGACGTCGAGCCCGACCCGTTCTCTTGGGGCAAAGTCTTCGTGCACGCGAAAGACCCCAAGGTCTACGGCTTCGCCTGCATGTTCTTCTTGCTAAACCTAGTCTCCACCGCACTATCATATTTCCTCCCCATTATCCTACAAAGCGGCATGGGTTTCGATGAGAACCAATCGATTCTACTCTCCGCGCCGCCGTACTACTACGCCGTTATCCCAGTCCTACTATCCTCGATCATCGGCGATAAATACCGTCTCCGCGGCCCTGTTATAGTATTCAACTGTATATCCCTCATCGTCGGTTTCTGCATGCTCGGCTTCTCGGACCAAGTCGCAGTCCGCTATGTCGGGACGTACCTAGCCACAGGCGCATACGTGAGTAACTGGGCTGCGCTAAGTGCGTACCAGGCGAATAATATCGCCGGACAATGGAAACGCGCGTTTACGGCTGCGGCGGTTACTGCTATGAACGGTGCTGGGGGTATTGCGGGGAGTTTTATTGTGAGATCCGGCGAGGCGCCGCATTATATGACCGCGGTTTGGGTTTCGATTGGTTCGCACATATTGATTGTTGCGGTTGTGGCGGTGTTTACGGTGCACTTTTATTTTGCGAATAGGTTGGCTAAGGAGAGGAAGATACTTATTGAGGGTGTCGAGGGGTTTAGGTATACGTATTAGTTGTATCGGTGGGCGTCTGATGAGATGGAGTATGGTGCTGTTGTTTGCTTGCCTGCGTGCAAGTCGTGTGACTCGGAGTTTGCGCTGAGTTTACTTTTCGGAGGGCTTCCGAGCCTTGGGATAGGATGATGAAGCTAGTGACGACGACACGTTTTACGAATAAAGAGGATATCCGTGAGCTAGGTTTATTAGGATAGACTGAAAAGCAAGGGCTAGAATTATGGATGGATCATTGATACCCCTTTCTCTCCCAGAACGTGCTTTCTCCTGCTGTAATGCCCGAGGTGCCGCGGGACCAGCCCCTAAAGCTTCGAACCAACCAGTAATTACCTAAAGTCCGTTGGCAACTACGACACTGCCCTGCGCGATATATCGCCTCTACAGTCCTCTTTGCATTATCACCTCTGCTTCAAATTATTTTACTCCCCAATTTTCAGCATTTTCTCGGTTGCTATTGGAATTTCACTGGTTTCTCCTAGTTATTTGGTCGCGAGTCGGCATTGGAGCCTCACGCTCATAATGCGAAGCCCCTAATACGCCGGATGCCCCCTTTCGCTTAGCGCTTAGTACACTGTAGTAGGCCTATCTAGAAGCAAAACCCAGGGGACAACCTCCCGGAAAGGGCCCTACCGTAGCCCTGTCTCTTTTAAATAAGATGCCCAGACCTCCACGAATTATATATCGTCTAACGTATTTATATCAACTGCTGAATCGTTCTTATCCGATAACCATTCATAGATCTTATAATACTAATCACGCAAAACATTTGACTATGTGTAATTGACCAGATGTTAGTTGCTATCTTTAGCGAGATTTGCGTACTAGCGGCTTCTCTGGAAGCGAGCTGAAAGATGTTGTGGGAGATCAGTCGTAACATATGTTCTACTAAGCTTCTTAAACCATTAATATGATGCTAGATACGTATCTTCAGTATGTATAGTCCCCAAGATCTGCAAAGTACTTCGCCTGCTTAGTGCATAGTTAATGCCGCGGGCCGGCGGTAGTTAACTGGGGTTCAGACCGGCTCCAACCGAGAGATTGGGGTCTGACACCATATAAAGATGAGGCTCCATGGTCCCAATTACCTCGGGCTTTTCGGTTAGCCCTACAGAGACGAGTCTAGGCTCGCGAAGAGACCCTAAAATAGGGATCGTCCTATGTTGTCAACGTAAGCTAGGAGTAGTTTCTCCTAGGAATATTGTTGATCGGATGCCAAGTTTGGGGTTGTTTAGATCTGATCTAGGTACCAAGTGGGGTTCTGTAATATTCGCCAGTCAGGGTGTTGGAATTATTCCAGCATTCTGGATATTGATGCAGCTACTGGAGTGCATAACGACTTCGTCACGTTCTTGATATTAGACCAGGAAGTCTTCGAGGGAGTACCTATCTTAATGTTCGAACTCTTCTTAGATATTCTACCTCTTTGTGATGTAAAGGTCGGATAATACACCTTCACTCAGCCTATCTTGATGCAGTGTGACCACTCACATGTTCTAAGCCCACTGTCAGGGGCAATATACTCTCTACCAGCCTTGGAAGTAAGGGCTATCCCCTCTATAACCATTATGTCCACCACCTGGACCTGGTGCTGGCATAAATAACAACCAACCCCGCATTCTCCAAGTACAGTAACCTCTCTAGGTTACATTACGCCGGACTCGGGCCTTGATCAGGTATAGCCAACTAAACTAACCACTATTCCCCCGCGTTCAAAGCCCATAAATTCTACCTACCAGGATAGCAGGCTTTTACCCCGACTTCAAATGTCTTAAACAAGTGGCAATCTTGGACTAAAGTACAGGGAATACACGGATTCGGACAAAGAATTTGGTGTGGATTTGCAAAAGATCCCTGGTATATCGCATGGCTATTGGCTGACGTTGTGCCCATATGTTGAAAGACACCTACCTTTCCGGAGCGCCTGGAGTGGGCCTGGACCATGTAATGTTGTCGTTAACGCGAGATTGGGAGAGATTACTCCCCGGATCATCCGCAGCGACCAATTGAATGAGAGGATTAAACAGACCGGGAATTTCGACGGAACCGATGGCATAATGGACCCCAAACAAGCTTGGAATCGTATGTCCTGAGTACCTAAGTAGGTGAACGGATGGCACGAATTCCCGGTACTATAGGCACTAGGAAGTCAAAGAAATATCATTCCAACTCAATATCAAGATTCCAGTGGGATATCAATTCTCCATGGATGACATGGATGGAAATCGGCTAGAATTTATCTCGGGGATATCTGTAAGTCATTAGTGGAGGAATGTAACACAGCGTAGAATAGATTGCCGATCGCATTTGATTGCTTTTTACGAAGGATCTTATATTCAGACATGGCGTCGAGCAGGCGAATGTCGGCCTGAACGAATACATCTTCCGACCTAAACTCATCCTCATCAGAACAAAAAAAGACATTTCCTCCTGCCTATACTAAAGGAACTAATGAAAGAAAACTTCGTTCTAAAAACTGCGCCAACATCCCTAGATAAATAAAATCGAGCTATCTCAAGCGAGGCGTCGGTATAGCGCCAGTAGTATACATCCCAGGGGGGGACCGCCAAGAATACCCTAGCTGACCCCTCGTTCTTCCCCCATATCTCCACACGAGTCCCCCCTTTATGGTAATCCACACTAGGACCAGTGACCCAGGTTTATAAAAGAAACTCGTTGCGACTCCATCCTCGCATCCCCGGACTTTCACAAGTTAGGTACCTAAGACGACAAGCAAGTGGCGACCAAAACTTCAACCATGGACCGCGACCAAGAAAAGGCAGAACTCGACGTCGACCACGTCGAACGAGAAAAGGGTAACTTCTCGGACGCCGTTGACGACGATATCGATGAACATGAAGGAAAGAAGATTATACGGCGAATTGACCGTCGATTGGTCGTCATGGTGGGCCTCTTGTACTGTATCAGTTTGATGGATAGGACGAACCTGTCTTCGGCTGCTACTGCGGGTATGCTCGAGGACTTGGAGCTTACTGGCAACCGTTATGTAAGACTCGACGATATTGTTACACGGATTTACTTACTAACTAATTGGCTTGATTAGTCGGTTGCTTCGCTCGTGTTCTTCATCACTTATATCATATTCCAACCCCCCTCGACCGTTATTATCCGAAAGGTTGGCCCGCGTATCTTCCTCTCGACTATCGTCCTAGCATGGGGCGCAGTGATGATCGGGTTTGGATTCAGCCCGTCGTTCCAGGTCCTCACGGCGCTTAGGATTCTCCTTGGTGTATTTGAGGCTGGTTATTTCCCTGGTTGTGTTTACTTACTGTATGTCTTGATAACACTCAACATATTCTTTCGATTGATTCAGCACTGACTTAATCTTATGTATAGGTCGACATGGTTCACACGTTGTAAGGCTGGGCTTCTTTCGCTTAACCGCGATGCATTGGTATGTGGCTAATGGAAACTAGATGAAATGGGCCGAAGATACTCAATCTTCTACCTCATCGGCTGTGTCGCATCTGCTTGCTCGTAAGTGTCGACCGGTCTCTATGTTATTATCGTGATGTTCACTAACATTTGTCATGTCAGCGGTATCCTCGCATTTGGTCTGATTCAGATGGACGGCGTCGCGGGCCTCAGCGGTTGGAGATGGATCTTCATCATCGAAGGTACAGTATCTAGCATATCAACTAACCACATAAGACATTTCTAACATCAACTATTGTATAGGTGTTCTTACGTGCCTCCTCGCTTCGCTAGGCTACTGGCTCTTAGTCGATTTCCCCGATTCGAAGCGAAAATCTTGGAATTTCTTGAGCGATCGCGAACGCGCATGGGTTGTAAGGCGAGTTGACGCCGATCGAGGCGATGTCGAGGTCCCGAAGTTCAAGTTGAGCCTATGGTTAAGAGGTGGCAGGGATTGGAGAGTCTGGTGCTATGGCCTGATTTCCTTTTGCTCCAATACTCTCACCTACTCGTTGGCCTTCTTCCTGCCACTTATCCTCCGAACGAACTTGAAGTTTAGTACCGGTGCTTCGCTGTGCCTTGTCGCTCCACCGTGAGTTAACATATCTAGACTTATAAAACTTCTATGATGGATGACTAACTGGATTTACAGATACGCATTCTCGGGTATCTACATGTACCTCGTGAACTGGGTGGGAGACCGCTTCCATTTACGTGGACCCGTCTTGATTGGCAACATGGTCCTTGCCCTTATTGGTCTACCTATCCTCGGATGGCATCCGAACAACGGTGTTCGATACTTCGGAGCTTTCTTCGTGACGGCGGGAGCGACTTGCAACATCCCGGGCTCGCTGGCATACCAAGCCAACAACGTTCGTGGGCAATGGAAACGTGCCTTTACTAGTGCACTGTGGGTTGTGTTTGCTAGTATCGGTGGTATTGCCGGCAGTCTCGTATTCAGGTAAGGAATCCTCTAGCAATTTTCCGCATATTTCGATTCTAACGAGATGATAGATCCCAAGATGCTGCTACAGGGTATAAGCCAGGGCTTTACGCTTGTATCGCCTGCTGCTTATTGACCATCATCATTGTATGCATCTTGGATACGTCATACTACCTTGATAACAAGAAGGCGGATCGTGGAGAGAAGCAGCTGGAAGCAGCAGACGTAAGTTTATCTTTACTCTTTGAGTCAGATATCAAACTAACATGTACAAATAGGACGAGTATCAACCAGGCTTCCGATATACCTATTAACGAGATGTATCTGTCGAGTAATTTCGCTTGGAGTTCGTTACGAGTCACGATGGTTACCCCGCGGAATGTATCCTATCGGAGGGTCGGGGCTGTAAGTACTTAGGTAGTAATCTTGAATGAGTCAATTTCAATTGTGATGCTCCAAGGACTTATCACACCACATGTGCTTTCTAGGGGGTTCAGCTCGGGGGTCTCGTCGTTGTTGCGTTCATTGTCCGTATATGAAGGTTGTTTGAGAGTAGCAATAGACGAATGTGACTCATAAGATAAAACGTAATCCTAGGAATTGGAAGGATTAGTCGATAACTGGCCCAAGTCACCACATTCAGTTATATCTTTCTATAACGTATCTACTCGAGATATCAAGTATAGTACCTACCTAGGTACGTAGTAGTTATCCTGTTTCGCTTGGGATCGGGAGCCGCGGATCCATTTTGTGGGGCGTCCATCTCGAACAAGATCGGGGCAAAGACTGAAGTTGGGGGACATTTAAAAATAGTAGAATCAATGTTAATGCCTAGATATACAAGATCAACGTGTGAATTTTTCGGCTGCATTCCTTAGTCATTCAATTAGGAAGGACGCGTCCGGGGAAGCCCCTAATAAAAATATAGGGTGGGATGGATGACTAAGTCCGAGTTTCCAGTGTGAATTTCTCGGACTCGGCATTTTCGCTCGGAATCGGCGAATTCGATAGTGTAGATATTCACGTCCTAATAGTAACTAGAGACGACTACTTAAAGAGTAGTATCCCATCGAGAAAATGAAGATATTATTCTATAGCCATAAGCATCTTCATCTTCATATCTTATTCAATATCTACCTACTAAAGACCTTAAATATTCCGTAGTATCCCTTATCGCATATCTCAAGCACGAGCTCCATCCACCAAAATGGCACCCGCAAGACCTATTTCTGAACTCGCATCCATTATCGAGCGCCATTCGCGAACCCTCGAGAATGAGTTGAAAGACTCTCCTATCTCAAAATTCTCTATTGAATTTGGAGCCCCACCACAAGTCGAGATCCCGGCTGTTCTCGAAGCTACCCGCAGTGAGCTCATCGAGACTATCGATGAGCTTCGCATCCGCGTTCTAGGCCCGTTGGGCTATCTCTTGACGTTGATGTTCCCAGTTGTAAGAAAATCCTCTCTGTTGGATGATATCCGCGGTGTATAAGGTTTTGGGATATCATTACTTACCATATTCGCAGCCCGCTTTAGCCGGTGTTTTCCACGTCTTGTACAAATTTGATATTCCTTCCAATGTTCCCATTTCCAAGGAATCCATTTCATACAAGGATCTAGCAGAACGCTGCAATATCCCAGAGGACGACGTACGCCGTATAATTCAGTCAGCTATTACTTTCCGTGTCTTCGAGGAAGTCGAGCCCGAAGTTTCCATCAGACATAACGCTATTTCTTCTACGCTTGCTATCCCTCACCTGAAGGACATGCTTGGACTGGTTCTTGAAGAGCAGTTGCCTGGCACTACCAAACTTACCGACAGTATCAAGCTATTCCCCGGTAGTGGAGAGCCAGGACATTCCGCCTCGGTGTTGGCATTCAGGGAGGCCAAAGCGGTCAAGAACAGCGGACTTGAAAAGGAAGTGGTTGATCCCAGCAAGAGTTTCTTCGACTGCATTGCTGAGGATGAGGAACGTGTTGCTCGCTTCCGTTCGGCCATGGGGATGTCAACTAAGTCTTTAGCTTTCAAGTCGTCGTTCTTCGTTGATAGTTTACCGTGGGCCGATAAGAGCCAGTGTCCTGAAACTATCGTCGATATTGGTGGAGCTGGTGGTGAAATTGCCCAAGCAAGTAAGAAAACCCCTCGCCGATTTGATATCTTCTAGACGAATTGCTAATATTGGGTTTCCAGTTCTGCGCGGCCACCGTAATGTTAAAAAGGCCATCGTATTGGATCTTCCGGAGGTTGTAGGCGACGCCAAGGTCCCTGAGGATTTGGAGGGCAAGTTGGAGTATGCCAGTTACAACTTCCTCACTGAAACAGTATCACACCCGGCGGATGCATACATCTTCCGTCATATCTTCCACGATTGGAGCGACCAGTATGGTACTAAGATTCTGAAGAATCTGGTACCAGCTCTCAAGAAGGGGGGCAAGATCTGGCTCTCCGAAGTCGTTCTCCCTAATTTGAACGAAATGAATCTTTCAAAATCACAAATGCAGAGGTAAGATATCGAGGGCGTTTATTCGGCAGAACAATTTATTGACAATGATTCTAGGGCCGCGGATATCTTCATGAAGTCCGGATTTAACGGCAAGGAGCGCAGTAGGAAGGGTTGGGAGAATCTGTTGGCCCTTGCTGATGAGAGGCTCCGAATCGTGAGCGTTACAAAGCCCGAGGGTGCTCACGACTCGGTCATTGAGATCGTTTTCGACGCTTAAATGAATCCATTGGGATAATCATAGAACTGTACTTCAGATTATATCATTGTTGGCGTTAGGTGTCGTCTCCACACATGAATTAGTGTAGTGTATCAATAATACGAGCAAAGTTATGTTTTTTAATGTTATATTTTTTAATGTTATGTTTTTTAATTATTTGTTGTAAAGGGAAGAAAGTGAGTCGAGCCTAGGGTAGTAGTAGGAAACGTTAGGTTTAGCGCGTGGGGGCGGGTTGATCCACTGAGGCGCAGGGGATCTGCGCTGTAATTTAGAACTGAAAGGACTCTGATTTATAGTACAAGAATGAACAGTCGTAGGTCTTATTTAGTACGACGATGCCCAACACCTGCATCGCCAGATATTCACCTAAGGACATATTTCTATCATTCGGAGTGAGGTACGGAGGCATCTAATAGTCGTGTATTTTGCATCTTTCGTAATGCGACTCTAGTACGCGCACAGATGAGCGCTGCAAGTTTCAGCCACCATCGTCACCATGAACGGCACTCCCTCATCTCTGTACTGTTCTCTTCCGCTTTCCATACCGAAAAAGTCTATTCGAGTTCTAGACTTTCATGACGATGTCCCAGCCTCCCCAGCAGAACCATTACGGTGTTATATACGCGTTGTTGATCTTGTTGACAAGCCAGTTTTCACAGCCTTATCATACGTCTGGGGAGCCTGCGATTCCCCCCCTCACAAGATCTGCTGCGAAGGATTCAATATTAAAATCACTTCAAATTGCCGAGCCTCCCTTTGTGCTTTGCGACGGAGATTTGGCCCCGTCACAATATGGGTTGATTCTATCTGTATGAACCAACAAGATGACAAGGAAAAAGAATCTCAGATTCCCCTCATGGGTGATATCTATTCTTTAGCCGCCTCAGTTTACATTTGGCTTGGAGAAGAAACGCCAGAATCCAATGCGGCTATGAATTACCTTGGATCTGCTGGCTTCCAGCGTCACTTCCACTCAAGTGTTAACTTGTACTACCCATCTCAAAGAAATACGTGGGTTTATTGGCGGATTGCGTGGTACCTATTGACAAGAAGGCATGGGGAATTTGTAACAGGCTGGTGGAAGTACGGTAAGTCTCAATCTAATGGCATACCTAGCACTTTATACTAATTCCTAGATTCCTAGGTTTCTGGAGTAGTGCTGGTACCTTCTTAACAGGCCTTCAGAGGCCTCCGGACAAGCTAATTCACTATGAATGCCTTGAAGATTTCTTCTCTAGGGAGTGGGCATCCAGAGTATGGACGCTGCAGGAGGCCATTCTAGCGAAGAACCCAGTGGTTTACTGTGGTCAGACTGTTCTCGATTGGCAATCAATCATCTACAGTGTTGCATATTTGGAATATGCAAGCCGAAATTATGGCGTAGCACTTCCGGAGACTAACTTCAACGTCTGGAGGAATATAGTCCTGCTTTGGCTTGTCACAAATTCCAATAGTTCGCATCTAGGTCGCGTTCTTGATAATTCCTTATCCAGCGAAATCACACTCCAAAGATTTATGCCCGAATATTGGGAGTTCATTGAGGCTATCACACACAGACATCGTCGTTTAGCTCGAATATCACTCTGTGCCCAGATCGGTATCTGGTTCGTATTTATGGCAATTATTCGAATTGCTCTTGGGACGGAAACATACAAATCCGAATTCGCCGGGGCTGCCATCGCTTTTATCGCAATGATTTGCATTGCTACTTTTGTCGCTGATCCAGTATTCCGTTGGCCCATCAGCTTTTCACGGGAGATAGCAAAACGTGTGTCGGATGTCCCGAACGCGGTCATTCACGAATTATGTGCTAGAAAAGCTACAAATCTCAAGGACAAGTTTTATGGAATGTATGCCATATTTTCGCGACTTGGTATGTCGCTGCCTCCTCCAGAGTATAGCCGTACACAGGAAGACGTGCACCGAGACGCCTTTCTCGTCTTATTAGGCTGGACCAAGTCTCTTGGTTTACTTCTTTGCTCTTGTGGGCGCAAGTCGATTTATGAGTCGTCTTGGGTTCCCAACTGGAGTGAAGACCTAACACAAGGATGGTTTGACGCCGACTACATGCTTAGAAAAGGTCGCTATGATGCGACTCCTAGTTCATCCCCAATATGGAGCTTGCGCAACGGCAAACAACTAGCCCTCAGAGGGGTCATTGTCTCAAGTATCATGACACATACTGAACCATTCCAAATTCTCGATGATGAAGCTGTACACTTGAGATACGAACAACCAACGTTTTTCAACGCACTAAGAACTCTCAAGGAGTATTGCCAGCTTGGAAACCCAGTATTGACACGTTTTTCTCAGCCACTTCGAGGCGCTGCCAATGCAAGTGATCCGACGTACGTGCTTGATATGAGTGCTGTCTACCTGCCTTACTGGCTTGGTATCCTGAATCCTCTGGCACAGACTGAGCGTCTCCTATTCAAAACCTCAATTTTTGGCCGTACCGCAGTTGGCAGTTGTCCAATGAAGGCTCAAGTAGGAGATCTGATCGCTTTAGCTTCAGGAGTACCATTGCCGCTTGTGCTGCGTCCGGAAGAAACGTCGTATCGCTTCGTCGGCTTCGCAGAGGTTGACGGTCTAATGGAAGGAGAATTTTGGATAGGGGTTACTGATGAGGACTTGGTAGATATTGTTATTATATAAATTATCATTTATTCATTCTTTTAAGCTGTTAAAATGAGTTGAACGATCCGACGATGTAAATAATAGAATTAAAGTCTAAAACTGACTTAAATCGGGGGAGCTTTAAATGGGGTATTAGCGCATCTATCGAGGTTGTATTCCCCGCTAAGATTCTTATCGATAGGGAGCTTCTCTTAGATTTTCGAATTAATTGAATGGAACTTTTTCTGATCTTCACATAATTCTTAACTCACCAATTATGCGAATCTGCGGTCGCATTTCAAGATGGCGGCCAACGATAATGCGCACGATGCGCCAACCGATAATATACCCAAGAATACATCCGAATTCCCTACAAATACAGAGTCAACGGCAGATTCAAACAACAAGGGACCAAAACGTCGCGACGATCGATACAAGCAGGCGGATCGTAAGACCAACGCCAATGGTCGTCGACGAGGTCAAGATACCAAACGTAAAGGCGGTCCTGGGCGCGACGATAGGGATCGGTATGTTATTATTTCTTCAAATTGGTTCTGAACCCAAACCAATGCCTACTAACTAGGTAACAGTCGAGGACCTTCAGATCGACGCGCTCGCAACGAAAAAAGTTGGCAAGAAAAGCGTAGAAGGGTAGACGAGGATGGGAAGTCCACCCCAGCTGGCGAACCGAGTTATATGAGCATCCAATTCCCCGAAGCAGAGATTGCCGCCGAAGAACGCAGACCGAAGCGCAAAGTCGCTGTCATGATTGGATATGCGGGGACAGGATACCATGGCTTGCAAATCAATCATAAGGAAAAGACAATTGAGGGAGATATTTTTGCTGCGTTGGTTGCGGCTAAGGCTATTTCGAAGGCCAATGCTGATGACCCGAGAAAATCGAGCTTCGTGCGATGTGCGAGAACTGACAAGGGTGTCCATGCTGCTGGGAACATGATTTCGCTGAAGTTGATCATCGAGGATCCGGATGTGGTGAAAAAGATCAACGAGAATCTGCCCCCGCAGATCCGTGTGTGGGGTATCCAACGAACAAATAATGCCTTCAGCTGCTACCAATCTTGCGACTCAAGATGGTACGAGTATCTGATGCCGAGTTATTGTTTATTACCTCCCCACCCCGAGAGCTTTCTAGGCAAGAAAGTCCTAGAGTCTATCAAGGAACACGGTGTCGAGGAAGAACACGCGAAGCGACTCAACGAAGTTAGGGACTATTGGGATGTGGTATACAAGAATGACATACAACCCATACTCGACAGCTTAGAACCCGGTATCCGAGAGACCGTCATACGACGTATGCATGTAGGAGATGGCGAATCAGACGATGCAAACCCCACGGAGGAAACGAAGCCCGAACCTTCGAATAATCAATCCACTGATAAAGCATCCGAAGCCAATGAGGAGACCACGGAGAAAAAGGCAGAAGGCGAGTCGACGGAGACGTCCGGTTCTGCTCAAAATGGTTCAACAGAGAATTCGACCGTAGCAGCAGAGCTAGCAGCACCCTCAGATGTCACTATGACAGGAACTGAGGCTACGGACGAGTCTGGGGAGCCAAAAGTTAAGGAGAAGGAAATACATCCAGTTGACCTTGCCCTAAAACAAATCAAAGCAGCCTACATAGCCGCAAAGCGACGCTATCGCGCTACCCCCGAACGATTATCACAACTACAAAAAGCTCTCAACCGATACATCGGCACCCGAAATTACCACAACTATACCGTTCAAAAGACACACTCTGACCCCTCCGCGAAGCGAACTATTAAATCCTTCATCGTAAACCCCCAACCCGTCCAGATCAACGATACACAATGGTTATCTCTCAAAGTTCACGGCCAATCCTTCATGATGCACCAAATCCGTAAGATGGTTGGCATGGCTCTCCTTGTCACCCGTTGTGGTACCCCTCTTTCCCGTATAGACGAGAGCTACGGTTCTACGCGTATTAGTATACCGAAGGCACCCAGTCTTGGCCTCTTACTCGAAAGACCTGTGTTTGGGAATTATAACAATCGGGCTAGAGACCAGTATAAACTAGAAGAACTAGATTTCGGCAATTATGAGAAGGAGATCCAGGAGTTTAAGGATACGCAGATTTATCAGCGGATCTTTGAGTTGGAGGAGAAGGAGAATTCGTGAGTTATTCCGGATGAAGCTTGAATTGAGGTAATATCGAATTAGAGTTACTAATATTGCGTAGATTCCACACATTCTTCCACCAAATCGATAACTACAAGCTGGGATACTTCCTCTGGGTCACAGCTGGAGGTCTCGCCGCGGCGGAGACGAGAGTAGGAGTTACGGAATCTATACCCAAGGAGCTTGAGGAGGAGCTAGGGGATTATGGTGAGGAGAATCCGGAGGAAGGTGAAGGCTGAATGCTTCGTCTAACAGTGACTTAGCTATGTGCAGATGCAATTTCGGGTTCGATCGAAGAGGCTCGCTATTATATTGCAAAATGCGTATATACTAGTAGAAAAAAAGCATGGGCTGCACTCCAAATCAAGGCCCACAGGCCGATAAATGCATCTTTAAAATAATTAATTGTGTCTTCCTAACTGTGAAAAGAAATGCCCCTATAAAAACCGATTTTGCCACCCTAGTAAACTCCGACTTTAATGCAATTGAGGACATCAAGAGGTGGGCTAGTGGTTACCGCGACCGTGCCGATAGCCAACCTTGTGGGATATAACCAACTCCGTGCGCCTAGTAGAACTCCTAAATTTTCTTTGAGGTGCCACCTACTACCACGAAAGGGTCGGCAGCGCGACCGGTGATACTAGCGTCGCGTCTACGCTCACGACGGAACTCCCGAGAACGCATACTACCGCGTCCTTGTCCACATCCACCTCTACCCCTGCTCTCTCCATTCTTAGGCAGTTCGAGTTGCTCCTACTCAACTCTGCCCTGCTCCGGTTTCTGATCCTGGTTCTCCTCAGTCCCAGCCTCATTCTCCTTTCCTTTACCCTTTCCTTTCTTCTTTCCCTTACTCTTCTTTTTCTTCGCCTTTCCCTTGGCGTCTCCGTTTCCGTTCCCATCCACAGTAGCAGAAGCGGTACTCGATTCCTCCTAAGAACTTCCGCTAGCCGCCGCAGGGGCAGAAGTACCAGCCGCAGCCGCCTCAGCGCGAGCGCGCTCCTGGTTTTGCTGGCGGATGGCGTTATCGCGCATCTCCTGCACGCGCTGGTACAAGCCCGCGACGACTTCGGCCTGCCTGTCGATTTCGGCTTCTCGGCCGTCGTCTTCGCCGGGTTGGCGGAGAGGCCCGCGGATCCATAGAGCTTTGATTTCGCGGTTTATTGCGAGGAGGCCTTGAATCTCGGAGATCTGGGGGTCGGTTAGTCTAGTGAACTAGATACACAAATGCCTACAGTAGGTAGAGAGAAATAGAGCACATACTAGAGCGGCGGACTCTGTCTCCATCGTCATGCGGTTTAGCGCGGCGTGCTCGATTACGTTGCCCGTCTGGGGTAGGGGAGCGGTGGCGGCCATGACCATATTGCGGAATCGCGTCAGGATGTGCGCGATGGCGCGGTTATGGCGGTCTAAGATGGTTTCAGTGTTAGTATTTCGTGGCGGATTGGGGGGTTGATTTAGGGGGCGCTCTGGTGGTCCAGGTGGGGGTGAAGGTGAAGGTGAAGGAGGGCATTCGTCGGGTTCATCCTCTTGCCGCGGTTGAGAAGAATCGCCCGAACCGTGCTTGGACACCAGCTTTTTCAAATCCGGGACAACGGGATTAAAAGCTTCCTTTATGCTACTGGAGTCGCTACCGGAGTCGGTCCCGGGTGGAGCATCGCTATCTGATGAAGATGGGGGGTCGTCTTGTGAAGCCATGATGCGTGCATGCCGAAGGTCTTGGCAATGAAGGACCACCTAGGAATATAGATAGAAGAACATGATGTTTAAATAACGACTTTCGTAGAGTTGTATAACAAGTTTCCACGCGCCAAACCCATGCTTGGGTATAAATGTATCCCATATAATTGGAATCGTAAAGTGTTCTTAGTCGACATCCGGCACAAACCACTGGCACCTTGCTCGCCATAGATGACAACCAAGCGTATTTATCACACCAAGCGATAAAACTGGTGTCGGGCGTGTCCAAGCTGTGTTATTTGTGCTGCATGAAATGAATATAAATCAACATACCTAAAATGCTGTTGTTTTCTCTTCGGTTCATCTTGTCGACTACCTCGTAGGATCTTGGTGATAATGATGATAGGTAAGCTATTCGTGTATCGCTACGCAAGTCGCGGTGGCAGATTTAAGGATGGAATTGAAAGGTTTAATGGAAGATTGAAAGGTCGCGCTTGATTCAATCTATCGAGCTTTCAAGGTTAGACCCTAAGAAGTGAAAGTTTGAAAGGTTCTTGAAAACACCCGGGCCGGGCCGCTTGCTTCAGTAGCTCTAAAGGTAATTGTATATGGTGAAAGAAAAAGGTGGATCTGTTTGCTCAATCCGCTAATGATAAGTCAATCGCAGTTGCTAACTTCACGTGATCTCTTCCAAGGTTCTTTCCAACGAGCAACACAGTGTTGTGGATAGCTTCATATTTAATGTTTGTGTCTTTGCTAACAAAAGGAAAGAGCTATTCGGTTTGAAGATAGGTGGGTACATGCCTAGACCAGTATATACGTTTATGTATGTACCTACGTAGGTACCGCGTGGCGTTGAACTGGTGTTATCGATACGTAGACTCACCCCCTAAATCATAGAAAGGTACACCCTGCTAAGATATTTAAAAAGTAAATTGTTTAATTCTTCATTTTGATTCCCTTCTGTTCTCACTGAGAGATTGAATTACAGCCAGTTTCCTGCCTTAACTCCACCTATAAATCACAGCTAATCCTTAATTAGCGACACCATCAAGCACTAAATTTAACAAATATTTACTTACAATGAAGGCTTGATCCAAATCATATCTCCCACCACAGCTCAGTTGCGGAATTTGAGAGTAGTTCTGCGCAAGTTCCTCTCGGGTGTTCCGAAGAATCTAGAGGGCTATTAGAAAATAGCACTATTGAACACGAGTTCGAAAACCTCACCTCAATGTAAGACTGCTCTGGGTTCTCTCTCAGGGCCCTAACCAGCGCCCAAGACATCGCCCCAGTTGGTGCACCAGCAATCGATGTATCCGCAGATGTCTGATTGTCCGCGCAACCGGAAAACATCCAGACGTCTTTACCTTCGGTTTCCCAATGTTCCTCGAAGTTCTCAGCTGCAAGTCCATCCTCGTCGACATCTTCATTCCTGCGATGATGAAGGCCGTTGAAGAAATCCGTGGCACCACCAAGTAGCATTTTCGCGTCGTCCATTTTAGACATGGAAAACCCACCTTCAAAGAGACCTTCAGCCGCACGGATCAGCCCGATTCCTTGCTTGATCGTGTCGACCATATTGACGTTGCCGTCTGCGTCTGGTCGGTAGACGTAAGGCAGTTCACAAGCCGAGCCCGAATGGCAGCAGTCGAAAAGAATGGTAAGGCGACACTCTGGATTCATCGGTGAGACAATCGCGCGGTGTAACTACGTGGTGGGTAAGGTTAATCAGGAGACCGGGAATACTAATTCATGGACATGCGAAGAGCTCACCATCTCGCTGGTAATTTGCCCGCTCTCGGCGAAATCAACTGGGCATATTGTATCGTCAAACCTACAACATGTTAGACCTCGGAGACGGCATCGCTAAATCAATTTCTATTCCCGCGCGCACTCACCCTGATGGCCGATCTCCATCGTCATTCCTCACCTGGCCTGTAACACCAATAAGCAACAACTACATTGTAATTGCCGAAGCAATATGAAGTGAGTAGCTGACCTCCATGACCCGAATAACTTAACCATAAGATATCGCCAGGCTGGTTTCGAGTTACTAACCAATTTATAGCAGCCATGATATTCGCTCCTGTGGGGTAAAAAGGAGTGCCTTCATTTTCGGGTACGTCCGACATCATGACCATGTCGTGTGGGCTCGGAGAGAAGCCTCGCTCCTCGACAAGAAAATTGCGAATATTCTCGGAATCATTGATGCAGCCATTTAACTCATGGTCGGTACCAAAATAATTGATACCAATGATAAGGGCCTTCTTACGAGACATGGTGTTTTTGCTGTTCTTTTTTTTTTTTCCCCTTTTACGACTGCTTGCGTTTGACAGGCACTCTGAAATGCGTCTTTAAAATCAAAACCACAATCGATCGGGGGATTTACAGGCGCAATTCCGGCCCATATCCAGTAATTAGGAGGCCTCTATGCACCTACGATCTGCTGTGTGACGCTGTATCATAGGTGGGAGCTAAAGTGGGGGTTTAGGGGCATGTAAACCCCTACAAATATCTTGTTCCCCCTGACGACGACCCTCCAGTCATCCCGTTTCACTTTTGTTCGGAATCTTTCACATGCAGCGACTCACCCAACCCATAAAAGTCAACCCCCCATCCAAGGCACAAGCGTAATCGGATGAAAATATAAACGGTGGTATATTTAAGTACATAATCACTTACATCGCTATATAACTACCTAGGTACGTACAGTTAACTATAATATTCTGACGAATAGCGATCAAAGGTTTACTCCGGATATTCCGGTGGTGGCTCATAAGTAGTGATTGCCCGCCAGATAGCCCATACATTGGTATCAGACTCGAACCCATCAGGATCGCCATAACTCCCGCCTGTTTTCGCCATAGCACCCACCAGTTCATCCCTCAATTCTCGTAGCGATGGCCGCTCTGCAATGTTCGCTAAACAGCGGCAGATGAGCTGCTTCAGCAACGTGTCGAGCCACGGCATGGGGTCCTGTGGACCCCGGAACGGAAGCAAGAGGCCGACGGATTGCGCTTCGAATTCAACATCTTCGCCCGTTTCTCCGTCGTGCCACTGGACTATCTCGGTATTATCCGGGTCGATGTCGAAAGGAGATACCGTCTGATCCATGGCAACCAATTCCAACATCAGCTATCGCACCCGTTAGTAAGTTAACAGTAGGTTGAAAAGGTTGTTTAAGGGAGCTACGTACGCCTCCAATATAAAATATATTTCTTTCTTGTCCCGTGCCCAACAGGTCGGCATAGCTATTCTCGGTAGCTAACCCAAAGTCGATTGCTTTTATGATTGGGGCGATTTCATGTTCTTCGTCAGCAGGAGGATCCCCAAGGAGAACTATATTCATGGTTAGCTTAACAGAAATTATATTCCGTTATTTTGGTATCTGTTTATACACGTACTATTTCCGTCATGAAGGTCATTATGTGTTATATTTGTCGGTATAACATCGTCCTGTACCTCCTCCGTGACTTCTTCGTCATCGGTGCGCCCTGGAGGGTACTGCAGCAATTAGAATTGAGGTCTGTGGAAGAGCATAAGTTCAGATTATCACTTACAGCCAGTGCAATGCACATTCTTGTTACTGTACCGTTTATTAGCATTACGAGCGAATCCTGCAGGTGTTAACGACTTACAACACAAGAAGAATCTGTAGAGCAGGCGATTTGGTAGCCTCTGTATCCCAAGCCGGTTGCCATTGCTTATGAAATTCGAAAGTGTACCAAGATCCAACCATTCCAGGATGATATATTCTCCCTTTACTTTTTTGAGGGGGTCGTCTTTGAGATTGAGCATCCTTACTATATGCTGAGCACCTCGCAGCGCCTTTAAATTCCATAAGATTAGCCCGCTTACAATTCAACATCTGCTCACGATTCTCGCTGGAAGTACGTACCCTAAGAAATATCCTCTCATTTACCAGTTGATGTTCTGCGCCTGGGAACGCCTTTTTCACTAAAATATAATAAGTGTCCCCGGTGATACGGTTTGCTACCTCAATGCGATGCGCAGAGCCGAATGCTCCATGAGCGACTAGACCGTGGAATAAAAACCGGTTAGGTTCGGCGTCGAAATATTGCTTAAGGTACTGGGCCTCTTCTACGGCTAATTCTCTTTCTGCCATTTTCGTATCTATAAACACCAAATGAAAAATGAATACCTGTATTAATAATACTATTACCTAAATAGCGCCTTCATGCAAGCTTCCATCACATATTTATTACTTATTATCGTTGGTTGATTGTTGATTAAACAATACAATTACCTTGAAATCAGTTCATTTTCTAACCGCTCACCCTTATTGTGATGGTATTAAGTCTAGTCGTGTCACGACGTTGCTGTTCAATGAACTAAGATTTGCTTTATGCTAGACAATGCCCTTGTTGCGAAATCTACGTGCGCTAAGATGGCTTCCCTGGGTTATTAAGTATGATGTTGTGTTGAAAGTGTGTAAGAGGAAGCTATAAGAGAATCTCCGTGATGAGTCGATAAATTCTCGGTGGTGTAGTTAGCTATAATCGCATTTGTCAGACCTGAGATAGCCTACCTACCTAGGTAGGTAGGCGGTCTATTTAAGTCCGCCTCTTCGGGACATTCTTCTTTATTCTTATTCCCGTTCGTGACTCTTATCAAGTGACTAGGGCCAATGCCAATGTTCTGGGATCTTTAGTAAGTAATAGGTAGCATAGATTTGTACGTCGAAACATGTAGAGAAGCGGAGACTCTGGAGCCCGATAGAATGGGATGGGAAACGGTGGGATCTATAATTTCCAGCCGTACTCTCTTAGACTTCACTGGAAATTCCTAAATAGAAGTCGGCAATAGTTAACGTCGCCAATTCATACCCACAAGATACTAGGCGATTCCCAATTTAGTGGGAAACCCCATAATAGGATTTTCAAGGATGCGTTCAGAACACCAAGCTCAAGGGTAACGATAAGGTGGTGATGCTGACATGGAACGTGCGCAAGCGAAGCCCCAGGGGGTATGAGTTGAATTGAAGATTCCGCCGCCTATAAAGAAGTTAGAAGCTAGAAGTTAGAAAACGGAATTAAACCATCTGCGAACGAAAGAGAAATAACCTCCGCAAAAAGCGGTCCTCTTTCTCCATAACGATGAAAGATGAGCTGAAGACGATGTTGAAGATCTATAATTCCCATCTATTCTGGCGGGTATTAGTTGAAAATAGAGCTTGTGTAACGCCAGATTTAGGTCGTAAAACACAGCCCCAGCACCTAAATGAGTCCTACATCGTGTACCTGTGCTGGGTAGGATCTTCAGTTCTTATTTAGGCCCTCACCTTACCCTGGAACCCCACGCCCCAATCAGCCCCCAAATGAAAACCCAGGAATTCCATCTCGGCATTAGAATGCTACTATTATATTATGTCATTTTTCTCAACGAGTAATGAATGTAACATTCCCGGTATTATGTGCCCTGATAGTTGTATTGGTCTTTCATATTCGCGAAGAGGAATAGCTGTGCTGAGTGGTGAATGCGACCAGCCAGGTCCCCGGGATCCTTTTTAAGAGCTCTGGTAATTATTATTAGAAAATGTCAGCACTAGGTCACATTCGGTACTCAACTGTTGACCACGTAATTCATTAGTTATCCCCTTCTGATATCCTACTCGGTGTAGTTCTAGAGAATCGACGCGCGCTAATATACGCGCTTCTCGTCAATCGCCCTCTAATTTCGACTACGCACAGCACATCCCTACTTTCGCAGTAATCATTATTCCATGATGGCTTCTGGTACAAGCCCTTCTTCGCTTCCGCGGCAGGTCCCGAAGCTCGGACACAAAAAATCCATGTTTGGTAAGTATCGCGAAACTCCTGAAATTCCCCCTCATTTTGCGGTGAAATCTGACAAAATCGTAGGTTGCCAAAGATGTCGACAGAGGAGGGTAAAGGTGATAATGAACAGACAACCCGGTTGGTGAACTTGAACTAAACGTGTGTATTTTAGTGTAATGAGGCAAAACCTATATGCCATAATTGCAAGCGACATGGCCTGCCCTGTGTCTATGATCGCGATGCTTCGGTCAAATCATACCGGAAGTCGTCAACCCCTCGATTATCTCCCTCTGCGCTAGAGGAAAATGATCCGCCAGAAAGTCGCGTGCGGCGGATGATAGAGACAAAATTGATGCATCAGTACCTCGTGGAGACAGGAAGCTCAATTGCAGCTGACGACCAAACCAGAGGTATGTTCGCTAGGGAGGTGCCAAGGTTATCCTTTGACTCGGATGCGCTGCTATACTCGATGTATACCGTGTCAGCCATGCATTTTGCAAAACTTGGCAAAAACGACGAGCTTGCGGATGGCGCCGTGAATGCCGCTAGCAAGTACTTCTCTATGGCAGTCCGAGAGCACAACAAGGAGGTATCTCAGGTCAGCAGAGCAACTGCTGACTTAGTCTGTCTGACATCATGTCTGATGAGAATCATCGCACTCGTCCAGCTACAGGGACGGAGCCGGCAACCTTGGCAATGGCTCGCACTCGCCCAAACCTCCACATCGACGTTCATAGATGCGCTTGATCGGGTGGGCCCCGATCCAAACTCAGCCGCATATAAATTGATCCAAGGAACCGCGCATCTCCACGTCAGGGGAAAGCTGCCAAATCGCAAGATGTACCAAAGATTGCAGTATTTAATGGAACGTCCCGAGAAACTCCGGGCGACGGAACATTGGGATTCAGAAATACAAGTCGCTTATGAGCGCGTACTTGAGTATATATGTACAGCCCTCGGGCTCATGGACAAAGAAGGACCATCGGGAAACGTTTTCAGGATGCTGCTTATTTTCCCGATGCTGGTGGACCGGCGGTTTGTGGAATTAGTACAGACAGAAGTGCCAAGGGCCCGGGTCATCCTTGCCCATTACTTCGCTTTGCTTGTGCAATTCGATCATATATGGTGGATTGGGGACGTAGGGGCTAATGAAGTCCGCACTGTTGCTAGTGAAGTGCCTGATGAATGGCAGGGTATGCTCGTCTGGCCGTTGAAAATTATAGAGAAATAATACTTCGCATTCGGAAATGGATCTCTTGAAAGTTTATGGAATTTCAGCCTTCTGGGCAATGTATGTCAAGGCACTTGGGTGCCAACACAATCTAGCGTATCTGTCGTTCTCGTTCTCGTTCTCGCTCATATGGTACTACTTACTAACCCAGAGCGGGCTCCCTCTCTGCCTCTTTTGGATGATAACCGTGCATCAATTATTTACCTAAGGTACCTGGGTACCTACATAGAATTCCCTTTTTGGCACAATATCTTACCACGCATTGGATTACCAATTCCAGACAATCGCGGTGCATCGGGTAGCTGGGTAGGAAGTGACTAATATCTCACGTTATGTCTGGGGTGGAAATGTAACTATTCCCAAAGCTGGAAACACTCGAACAATCGGAATGTAATATATAAAGCCAAGCTGTAATACCTTATGAGTTCTCAAATCAAAATATCATCAATTCTTTCATTTTCACCAGCCAAAGGAACCTATTGAACTCCGAGCTTGACTTACGCCATTCACCAAGATGAGATACCTCACCGCATCGTTAGCCTTTCTCTCCTGTTCAAGTTTGGTACTTGTATGTACCTAGATATATCCTATCCGAATACCGAGATACTCCTACTTACGCAATACTAGGGACTTCAACCATCACTTAAAAAATACCATGGATTTCAGAAATCCAAGAGAGACAATAGCACCGACCCGGGGTCTATGGTCCAGCTGAATTCTGATGAGGACTTCCACTTTGAACTTATCCGAGTCCTAGCTCTTGCCCCATACCAAGGAGCAGATATCGGCGAGGTTTTGGTTGCCGCAAACCAAATTGCGCCGGGCAGCTTCGAAAGCTTCTACGCAGCATTCGATAAACTCGCCAACCGAGTCCACGACACCGCTGCTGCGATTGATTCAAGCAAACATCCGGTATCGGCCAGGGATGCGTTCTTCAGAGAAGCGAGTTACTACCGCTCAGCCGATTTCTATCTCCACGGAAACTGGAGCGACCCGAGGATCAACTCACTATGGGCAAAGCAACTCGCAGCTTTCGATTCAGCCATCGCGTTGCTGCCCATACCTGGTGAGCGCGTCGAACTCCAAGCCGACGGTTTCAAAGTCCCTGCCATCTTCTTCAGCAGCGGTCTTCCTGGTCCCCGTCCTACTCTCCTCATGTGCAACGGCTATGACGGCTCGCAAGAGGAGATGTACCACGCGATAGGTGCAGCCACTCTACAACGTGGTATCAACGTGATTACGTTCGAGGGCCCAGGGCAACCTACAGTAAGGCGTCAGCAAGGTCTTGGCTTCATCCATGATTGGGAGAAGGTTGTTACCCCGGTTATCGACTATGCTTTGTCGCGCGGCGATGTTGATGGTAGCAAATTGGGATTATGGGGACAATCATTGGGAGGATACTTAGCTCCTCGCGCAGCAGCATATGATCATCGACTTGCAGCGGTTATTGCTTTCGACGGTCTTTACTCCTTCAGCGACGCCATCTTCAACCAATTAGGACCCAATTTCACTGCGCTGTATCACTCAGGCAACCAAACAGCATTCAACACCGTCGCAGCTTCATTGCTTAAAGACCCGTCGACTCCGACTAGCACTCGTTGGGGCCTTGAGCAAGGAATCTGGTCTTATAAAGCCTCAAGTGCGTATGACTGGGTTACGAAGGTGGAGAAATACACCTTAGATGGAGTTATTCAGAACATCACTACCCCTGTTTTTGTCGGTGACGCGCAGAACGATATGTTCTTTCCCGGACAGGCGAAAAAGTTAGCAGAGAAGCTCGGAGACCTTGCTACGTACCATCTTTTTGAGGCTGTCGATGGTGCTGGAGAGCATTGTTCACTTGGTGCAGCTGTGCTCAGCGCTCAAGTTGTGCTTGATTGGTTCGAGGACAAGATCTCGCATTCGTTATAATGCTTTTCTCATGGTTGACTTGCTTTTTTTCTCTTCGTAAAATTATATCAGCAGATTTGGGGTGGAAATGATACGGTGGCGCATCGGGGAACTGGACAAAATCTCTACCTAATCATACATAGAATCCTACATGTCAATATAGACCAATCGCATTTTATTATCAAGTCCGTGTAGCGTAAGATATCATTTAAGTGGTGAGTCATACTGCATGAGACATGCCCTGTGCGATGGTAATTTCCCGTGTACTTGATCTAGCTGAGAACTTCGGCACGAAACCGATCCCGAAAACCGCTAAAGGGGAGGGGAGACTGGAACATACATGATGCTACGTCCAGGGCGGGAAATGGTCTCGCACCAGGCACCGACCTACCTACATGCCTACGGGTCGTGCACCTATGTAAGTGTTCTAGGCTTGTATATGGGGGCTTGCCCGCAGAGCGGTGCATACACGAATAATACGACTATCAACACCATCGATGATAGGGCTGAATCCACGGGGCGTTCGGAGGTGACATTATGGCAAGGGACCCTTACATACACCGGATGAAAATGGTAAAGCGGCCATTTTGTTCGACAAAAGGTCCAAGAGATCCTTGGATCTGGAGAGGGGCTTGGCACTTTTAGGCGGGCGGGAATAGGCAGAAGGATCGCCGTTTGCCGAATGCGAAGTTCAATACCACAGCCCCCAAATTATGTTTTGGTGTCTAGGACCGGTGGCTTGAACATTCTCATCACCCTGGATGAGACGACTATTATTCTAGCTGGTTCCTTCGAGCTTCAGCTGAGTGCGCGATACCCGCAGTCGCGAATCGGATTACCTGGCCACCTAATCTATGCAGCACAGTAAAAGTGACGTACCCCAGACTGTAAAATAAGTTGCATGACGATCCCCGTCATCAAAAGATAGCCAGTCACAGTCTAGGTAATAGTCACTGAATCCTGTTAATAGAGAATACTATATGTATTCCATTTCCAGGCATCTGCCGGATGGCTTTTGCAGGAACCCCGTGACAGTTCTTCTGATCACACTCTTATAAATGCCAAGGTTTCCAATTAACGTCGAAAATAGATCTCAAGTGCGTCTCAATCAATAGACTGACCTCCGCCAAGACGGCATCTCATATCGGCGTTATGATCTTATAGTAGTCTTGTCGAATAAAACACTCAACCTAAAGCCCGATGGACTACTGATCATAAATTGACCAGATTCCTCATCGGTTAATGATTGGGACCGTCAGGCCTTTCATGATGTACTTGAGGAGTATCGCTTTGGCTGGGCTGTTGGTCCTCGCCGGATCGGCAGATTCTAAAATCGTACGGACACGGAGCGGAGTGGTCAACGGCGGAAAGTGTGGTAGGACAGATGTGAATTACTTCTTCTCGATACCATACGCCAAACCACCCGTAGGCGAGTTGCGATTTGCATCCCCGGAGCCCTATCAAAATTCTTCCTATAGGGTGGTAAATGCCACAACCCCAGCGCCAGCAGTATGTAATCTCGAATGCTATCGTCCCTCCTTTCTGCCTATCTCGTATATTCGTGGTCCCCCAAGATGTGCCCGATACCTCTGAACCAATTATTCGAATACGCACATCGATTCTAATTGTTATACCCAGTGCATTCAATTCACCGGGCAGCTATTCGGCGAGAGCGAAACGCAGAGTGAGAATTGGTAAGCCAGTTTCGCGCTCCGAACCTGCAGAAGAAATCATCATTGACCACTTGTGGGCACGCGATAGCCTCTTTTTAGATATATGGGCGCCAGCCTCCGCCACTCAAAAGTCGAAACTACCGGTGAAGGTATGGCTTTACGGGGGAAGTAACGAAGGCGGTGGTGTTTCCAATCCGAGTTATAATGGTTGCTTTTCTGCCACGGACTCTATCGTGGTCTCGGTCAACTATCGCCTAGGCCCATTAGGCTTCCTCGCGTTGACGGACCTTGGTCTAACTGGAAACTATGGCTTGGAAGACCAACTCCTTGCCCTTCGCTGGGTACAGGATAACATCGCGAACTTCGGTGGTGATCCGGTAAATTTATTCAATCTCGACCCCATTTTTAACATGCAGAATGAACAAGCTAACGCCGATCGTCTCGTAGGAAAAAGTGTTACTCTTCGGAGAATCCGCCGGTGCTTCTGACACGTTCTTCCTTGCCACTCTGCCCGAAATACCACAGCTAGTAAGAGCCGCTGCGATGGAATCCGGAGCGGGAAGAGATATAGCAACGATAGAGGATTCGCAAGTTTGGTATTCCGAATTCCTCAACGCGATGAATTGCAGTACGCCCGATGTATGTCCCAAATCTTCATCCATGCGATATCATAATACTGACATAAATTTCAGTTATCGTGTATCCGATCCGCTACAGCTTCGATACTTCAAATTGCGGTAGCGTCTATGCCATCCACCGATATAGTCACTGTTAACTCGGTCCTCATTAACAACGGCACAAGGAGCTCTTGGACACCTGTAGTCGACGGAAAATTGATAAAGGAACAACCTTCCGCTGCCGGACTCAAGGTTCCTTCGATAATTGGTTCTAATGCCAACGAGGGGTCGTTGTTCGTCCTTGGTGCATATCGTACATTGGAAAAATTGGAAGCGCTTAACCAGACAGACTATGACGAATTCCTCAACTACAACTTCGGGCCGCTAGCGGAGCGCGTGAATGGGACCTACTCAGCAGCTTTTCTGTTCAACGGCTCGGTAGCCAGGGCGATGGAAACTGTCCTCACGGAAGTATCATATAAGTGCCCATCATATCGGGCGCTTCTACAGGCGGAGAAGAACGACATGCCCGTGTGGAGCTATCGGTTTGATCATGTGCCAAGCTGCCCCTGGTTCCTTGGCATAGATACTTCATACCTGCCACTCCTAGGAGTAACACATTCGAGCGAAATTCCATTCGTTTTCAATTTCACTAGCGCTTTACCGCCGCCTAACGGGAATTGTACATTCACGTCGTCGGAGCAGATTATCTCGCGAAATATGAGCCGCGCGTGGACAAATATGGCGGAGACTGGGCAACCGGGGGATGAAGGTGTGTGGCCTGTTTGGACCTCGGGTGAAAGCACGGGCGTTGTAATTGGGGATGCGGTGAATGTTGGTGTGGTGAATTATACCTCTTGTGCTTTCTGGGATCAAGTCAATGCGGATCTTAACGAATATTGGGATACACGTGGGACTCGTATATAGCTTCTTTGGTTCGCATAATAGTGTTGTGTCGACAGGCAGTTGGAATAATCATAATTGAATTATCTAGGGCACGAGACAGGGTGATGAATGTTTTCGTATGTATCGAAATGCTCTCTTTAGACCTATCTCTTATCGCCGAATTCCGATACTAAAGCTACCCCCTATTTCTTCACAACTTCTAAGACATGCATCTAACATACGGCACGTACTACGTGGCACAGCAGCTTAAGTATCTAATTCGGCCCCGAATTCCAATTACGTTCTACTAACATATGCGCCCTATCGTTTTCAATCTTGATTTTATCAAAATTTGCACATTTTGTTTTACTTCTCGCTTGTACCTGGTCGAAATGGATGTCCGCGGAGTAACTCTAATTGTTGGTGCTGGTGTGTAAAATCTTCTATTAGGTGGCTTTACCGAACGTAAATGAGGCTTAATAGAGATACATAGGCCGTGGCATCGGCCTCGAGACTGCTTTCTTGTTTGCAGAAAGAGGTGCACGAGCCGTAATCTTCGCCGACCAGGCATTCGGCGCAGCCTCCGAGGCTTTAGAAAAGAGCAGGTCTATAGTAACAGCTCCAGATTATCAGACAATGGCTGTAGCCGTTGACGTTCGGGATCGAGCATCCGTAAAAGCAATGGTGGAAAAGGTCAAGAAACGCTTTGGCAGGCTGGATTATGCTGTCAATAGTGCTGGAGTTAGTACCTAAATCGACCATCGCCCTGTAAACGGAATCGTACAATGGTACCCAGGTACCTAGGAATCATTCAAACTCCTCACTGACACACGTTTATCTATTATTTTAGACTGGGAAGAAAGCCGAATCTGATGTTACAATTGTGGACGAGTCAGAATATGACCTCTTGCATGACGTAAATGCAAAGGGCATTTTACATTGCCTCCAAAAAGAGATTATCGCTATGAAGGATCAAGAGCCAGCCTATGTCGAAGGGCGCCATGGCCGCCGCAGCAGTAAGTGGCTTGCTTCCCCTCATAGCCCGCCTTGTCAGTTTCGGCTTTTTCAATGAGTCTCAACAAGAATTCAAAACCAGTTTCTTTGTTATCCACTAAATGCCCCGAGACGTCAAATGAGCATCTGCTGACACTTACTGCTGTAGTCGGCCCCGGCTCTATAATAAACATTACTTCTCTATCCTCGTCAGTCTGCACGCCTAATTCTGTCACCTACACAGCTAGCAAATTTGCTGCGAAGGGTATAATTAAGTGTGCTAGTAAGTTCAACTAGTTTCTCCTCATAGGCAAGGACAAATCCTATAAGTAGATCAAGATGCTTATCTTAGCTTCCACCTAGCTCTCGAGAACCGAACATCCGGCCTTCGCATCAACGAGGTGTGTCCCGGCTATACCAAGACGCCCATGCTGCAACTAGCCGTGGAGAGACAGCCGGATGTGGCTGATCTTATCAAGAAGGCTATGCCTTTGGGCCGGCTTTCCCTGAAGAAATTGCGAGTGTTATACATTTCTTGGCAAGCCCCGGGGCGAGCTTTATTAACGGACAATCAATAATAGCTGACTCTGGAGTGTCAGCTTCTATCATATAAAGTTCCCAAATAGCACAGATAGTACGCAATAGTTGCTCAAATTATAATTTTGTTGTTGAGTTTCGCTATAGGATACCACCTCATAACAAAGTATCCCAGGGTCCTCTGGCTGTGGAAGGGAAAAGGATACCTAGGGGTGTCTAGGCCGGATACGGAATCTTAGACATGTGTGATGGGTGTATGCGTATCGGAATTGTTGGTGCAAGGGCAGGATTATAACAAAGAAAACAAACAATTGCGCATCTCTGATTGGCTTTGATATGAAGCCGATCGTCGTACTCACTTGCCTACCTAGTGACTAGTCATATTCATCAACCAACCAACCACTGATTCTATCATTGCTGGCTGTACAACATAAACCTGATTATTATTACCGAGCGCCGCTAATATTTAGCTGCTGCTGGTACCTAGTAGCTTAGTTCATACTGTTCATTTCTACAGCATCTGGCTCTAAGGAATACATACCCACTCGAGTACAGGCAAGCTCAATATGACAAGTTCGCCTGGTATATCAACTGGAGCAGCCGCATACGTCCTCTATGGCATCTTATCTATAGTGATTACCCCGTAAACTTCCTCTCCATTGTATAGGAAGCGATTGTTAATTACGTTTGAAGGTCGTCCTTGGTCTGGGCTACCAGTTGCTCTTACACCCACTGCGAAATTACCCAGGACCGCTAGTCGCCAAGCTCACCAACGGCTATGCGGGTTACTTCGCAATCAAACGGAGCCTTCACCTACAGATATGGAGAAACCACCAAAAATACGGTTAGTATATCCTCCAGACTAGTAATCGGATTATTAACCTATGGTAGGACCTGTTTTCCAGGTGGGACCAGATAGGCTCGTGTTCAATTCTGCCACTGCTTTGCGAGGTAACTTAGAGACTATTAATATCTATGAAAAGCCACTGATTGAAAAGACATATATCAAAATGAGAGAGTGACGAAGCCGCCTGCATACCTGGCCACGCAGGTGAGGCCTAACGCACATAACACGTGGAATTCGCTAGACAGGGATATGCATCGCCGTAAACGAAAGCTCGTCGGACGAGCTCTTACGGACGCCTCCATGCGATCCTTTGAGCCAACAATGGCAGAACAGGTCGACATATTCATCCAGGGCCTCGCCCGTAACAACCAGCAGCAACCTATCAACGTAAAAGACCGATGCAGCTACTTAAGTTTTGATATCGTCGGCCTCCTCTCGTTCGGATATGCTTTAAACCTCCAGACCAACCAACAAAACCAATTTCTCGCTGAACAGCTCGTGCGCGGAAACCACCGCATGAACGTGAATATGCAAATCCCCATAATCCCGCGCTACAGGCTTCAGACTTGGATTAACTTATTCTTTCGCAAAGAGCGAGAAAGGACGGCACGTCTCATTGAAACAATGATTCGCAGCCGTATGGCCGATGAGACAGACGCGAGACGTGACTTGTTTTCTTTTTTTGCAGATGCGGTAAACGCGAAAGACGACGACACCCTCCGCCTTGGCGATCTCTGGTACGAGGCATTCTTCTTCATCATAGCAGGTGGCGACACAACAGCAACAGCCTTAAGTGCCACGCTATTTTATCTGTCGCGAAACCAGGAGTGCTACTCAAAACTCGCTACTGAGATCCGAACGACGTTTCAGAAAGGAACTGAGATTTCCGGGAAAGGACTCGCAGGCTGTCAATACCTCCGTGCTTGCATAGATGAATCTTTGAGGATGTCTCCGCCATCGCCCGGTACACTTTGGAGACATTTGGCACCGGAAGAAGAGAGTCGCGGACCTTTCGTAGTCGACGGCCATGTCATCCCTAATGGCACGAAAGTTGGTGTAAACATTTACTCAGTGCATCACAATGAGGTCAGTATCATTCCTTGCTCTATGATTTGGTTATTGGCCAGGGCATCTTACAGACCCCGAGATTCCCAAATTGTGATTAATGAGTGGTAAAATAGGAGTACTTCCCCAACCCCTTCAAGTACGATCCGGGCCGGTGGCTAATCACCGGGGAGTCGGACAAGAACGCAACACAAAGGAAGGTGGTACGTGATGCTTTCGCTACCTTCTCCATCGGTTCGCGAGGTTGCGCCGGGAAACCTATGGCGTACTTAGAACTTAGCTTAGCTCTTGCTAAAATCCTCTGGTATCATGACTTTGAGACTGCGCCTGGGAAGCTTGGCCAGGTTGGAGTAGGCCGGGAAGGCCAGTTCCACTTGTACGACATTTTCACGTCAACCCATGATGGACCGTACTTGATTTTCAAACCGCGAAGTACATATGCGGAGGACTTTGGCAATGTCGCGATTCGTGGTTAATGTCATCCTCGACACCCCTACATTCGATCAAGCTATCAGGCTCTGTGTTGAGACGTATATATATCTAGGTATGTTACCTAGCATACTAGGTACCCTAGGTACTTAGGTAGTTAAGTATAGGTGATACCTACGCAGTATCTAGACCTTTTCAACTGAATGCCAGGCACAACAAACACTACTCGCTTATAAGTTTTGATTGAAAGCAATGGTCTCAACGCCCCGTTGCCTAGTCTACATACGAGATATGGTTACATTGGGCTTCGGCAGCCGCAATGTCGCAGTTGTGGTCGACGAATATTCGTAAACAATGGGATGAGGCTGAACCATATACATATATAGGAATCATAGTGTATTTTTATACCCCGATCGGATTAACAATAACGGAAAAACAAAACTCTAGGCCGATTTTCCCATCCCTTTGAGACATTTGGTACCGTGTGGCTCATGTGGCTCGCGCCAACGTGGCAGTGCAATATTCAGGAATATCACCTGTTGCTGGGCAACACATCACGAACGCGGGCAAACCCAACTTTTATTGGAGCTCTTGTTTTTTGAAGTATGAAATTATAACACACCGTAACCTTTAGGTTTCTCTATTAATCGATCACTACTAAGTTCATTTCCCTCTCTTCCAAGGCGCAGTAACGATGACAATTGATCTTCTCAATCATCGCTTTAACCGTATGTCGGTCAACGACGAGAACGGAAAAGACCGGAAGCCAAAGGTACTTTGCCTGCTAATTTGACGTGGCATGAACTATCGCAATCATACTAACAGCTGAATGGGGCAAAGTCACAGCGACGGCACTTCCACTCAGGTCGATCCAACCAAATCTCGTCAAAGTTACTCTCCAAAGCCAGAAACAAAGCAGCTCCAAAGCGTCGCATGAAGCCGTAGCTCCGGTGTCACCAACTCGGAAAGCCCTCGTTGATACGGAGAGATCCAACGAGGAGTCTCCCGCCAAGCATAAGACGGTGGCCCTCATCGAACAGCCTCCCGTAAAGACACTTCACTTGGGTATGTTTGAGATCGGAAAACCTCTTGGCAAGGGCAAGTTTGGCCGCGTGTACTTAGCACGCGAACGAAACCACGGTTTCATCTGCGCGCTGAAGGTTTTACACAAAAACGAGCTACAGCAGGCACGCGTTGAAAAACAGGTGCGACGTGAAATTGAAATACAAAGTAATTTACGCCACCCGAATATTCTAAAATTATACGGTCATTTTCACGACAGTAGACGTATCTTTCTTATTCTCGAGTTCGCAGGCCAGGGCGAGTTATACAAACACCTACGCAAAGCGAGGCGGTTTCGTGAACCGAGAGCAGCAAAATACATCGCGCAGATGGCAGAGGCACTCCGTTACTTGCATCGTAAACACGTTATCCATCGCGACATCAAGCCCGAAAATATTCTGTTAGGTGTTCATGGCGAGGTGAAAATTTCAGATTTCGGTTGGAGCGTTCACGCGCCCAGCAATCGCCGCAAGACTTATTGCGGAACTCTTGACTACCTACCGCCTGAAATGATTAACCCAAAGACTGACGACGATTCCTACGACGAGAAAGTCGACTTATGGGCCTTAGGTGTATTGACGTACGAATTTTTAGTAGGGGAGGCACCGTTTGAGGACACCCCTGTCCTAACGACTAGAAGAATAGCTAGAGGGGATATGACAGTCCCAGCATTCGTAAGCCCCGAAGCTAAGGATCTCATTCACAAAGTGAGTAACTTTGAGCTACACGTTGAATAGAAACTAACACGACTGGAGTTACTTGTGGTTGACCCCAACAAGAGATTACCCCTCGAGCAGGTCCAAAAACACCCCTGGATACTCAGGCAGTGCCTTAAGCGTGAAGTGACCGGAGACTAAGTAGTAAAGATCATATTTACTATGCGTCATTCAGGGCGAAACGACCCGGATTCGGTTACCGGAAATCCTCGGCAACGTAATATACGACTTCGTGTAGGGGATCGGTTTTTTTACTCCCAGCATTAGCGAATTGCTACTTTATCGAATTAAGCAAGCGTGGCGTTTTGGATTTGATTCATATGATGTTAATGGTCAGCGACTATAATGTTCGCTGAGACCCAAATAAACGGAGAGGGGTATAAACCTAAACAATAGAGGCCCAAAAGGCCCAAGAAGGGAAAATCTCGAACAGTTAACGAGAATCATGTGGATTTCCGTTAAGCGAGCGTAGATCGGTCAACTTTCAGATTAGGGATTGGCATCGCAAGCACTGATTGACTGGCCCCGTGTCACCCTTATTGTTGGATTGGAAGGAAGCGAACCCAGAGCCCACACGTTTACAGAGGCAGCCTTCATAGCCCGATCAGCTCGTATAGGCTGAAACAACAAGGACTAGTGCAAGCAAGCCATCGATGGACGCTGAAGTAAGGGCCATGATTAAGAGTATGCTAAACCGCTCCAAAACATGCACTCTAGGAAGCAGGGTTTTGGCTCGTGGTCTACGGGCGGGTGATTGAGCCAGATGGTCCGTCAGACGACAGCCGGCACTCAGAATTCCGCCCATCTTTCGACATCAATCCGTTGGCAGCGAAGAGAGCATGGTTGACGCGGGCTGTCTTTAATCCCTAGGCTTTCTGCACGCTTCTCGAACTTGACCGTCGATTTCGAGTAGACGATTTCCGTTTTACCACTCCTGTAGACCGAGATGTCGTGTGAGATCCATTTCGTGAGGACATATTACGCCTGTAGCCATCCCTTCGCCTTTCGTCTGTCGACTCTGCAGGCTTTGTAGATTTGACGGAATATGTACCCTTAATAGGCTGCGTTAACTGATTTGACCTGGGTGTCTTATGTGGTACCTAGGTAGTTGTGCTACAGAGTTTGATTGAAATGGATTTTACATTATTCGGCCTTGCGTGAGACGCTCCAGGAACCACCGTTATGTCTACATGCGTTGCAGGTGCTGCGGACACCATTACTGCGTCCAGCAGGTGTAGGTATACACGATAGTGGTGCCGCAGAATCATTGTCGTGTCTTCACGTATTGTAGGTGTTGCGAGGATCATTATTACATCTTCCTGGCCGAAAAGTAATAAATATTCTATAAAGACCATTGTTATATCCGCTTAGTTATCTAGTTATGGTGATGTTATAAATGTTTCGTGAAAATTATTTATGTTTGGGGATAGACGGTGTATATGTGTATGTAGCCACGCGTAACCATGCCCCCATTATGGTCGCATCGTGATAAGGAGGTAGAACTAAACCCTATGTGATATAGGAAAACCACCCCATCCTAGTACATTTGGTTTATGGCATTTATTTACTTTGGCTAGCAACGTACTTTATAACCAGATCAAGGAAAGATCAAGGAAAGCGACAAAGTTGTCAGTGTGGCCTATGATGGCCCTCTCGTAACCTCAAAAATGGCAATGGCGATGGTTTCGTGTCTATACTTCATTATACTTAGTTAGGTACCTGGTAGTATTTCCCTTTTAGCTTTCCCCTAACACACAGATATTTTTATAGAAAAATAGCTTTTAGTCATTATGGCGATGGCCAATCTTCTTCCAGATTTCGTACGCCCGAGCCGCACAACCAATGCCACCTAGGGTCAACATAGCCCCATCAAATAAAATCAAAATACCATAACTCGTTCCATAACTCCTCGGCCACCAAACCGTCCTAGCAGCACCGCCAGCAATCAACTTCTCACTAATCGGACCACTAGCAATACTTCCCACGCCCCTAGCCGCCGCCGCGAACCCCCAAAGCACACCCAAATCAGCGCGAGGACTTCGTTTCTGGATTTCCAGACTAATACCGACCCAAGTAGAGCTCCAACCGCCCGCAAATATACCGTAAAGGAACGCAAAACCGCATAACGTAGCAAAATCGGCTGCAAAGCCCCAAGCGAAGAAAACAGCAGATGCAGCACCTAGAGATAAGAGAAGTAGTGCGACTGAGACATGGCACCGATCGACGAGGTACCCGGTACATATAGCGCCTATGACGGTAGCGGCGTTATACAGTGATAACATACCCGCGGCATCTAGTGAAGAGGCGCCGAAGCGCTGCGCAAAAGCTGCAGCGCTCGCGCGTTAGTAACTCCGAACGAATGGGACTTGCAGAATCTGATACATAATACATACAGGGGAGGTGAATGCCCGGAAGGAAGTTTCCGAAGGCTTGGAATATGTTGCCAGCTTGCAGGAGAGCGAAGATTGGCGTGGCGATGCAGTTTAAACCGCCGAGCTCGAAGGCGCTGGTATCGCGCGGGCGTAGACGGGGGCGCAGGAAGTAGATTGAGGGAAGTGATAGGATGGCTACGGCTACGAACCAGGCTATGAGCATGGTTCGATGGCCGTATTTTTCGAGGCCCCAGGTCATTAGTACTCTGTTTATCTTGTCAGTTTCTGGTACTAATGGGTTGGTACGGCTACGTACGGAATGACTATTCCGCCCATACCCGCGCCGCTTTCCTGGATTCCAAAAGCAAGACCCTTACGCTCAATGAACCATTCATTCAGAAATTGTAGGGTTACCGTGTTCACGACACTGGCTCCAAGACCGTATAGAATTCCTTGCGTGAGGATGAGATGCCATATCTTGGTGGCGAATGCGGATGTGAGAATGGCCAAGCACGTAATAACCGAGCCAGCGATTAGAGCCGACCGTCTATATGATTGATATCTCTGGAGGATGATAAAAGATGGAGGTGAAGTTAGATATAAGATGCCCTTCAGATGTTAGTTAGTAGTTGACCTTGAATGACAGTTAATCACCAACCCACCAATGTTGTAGTACCAACAGCTGGTAACCCTTCAGGCTGATCGGAAAACGGTGGATGAGTAGAATAGTAACTTTGAAAGACACCGTATGAGAATGGAAACCCCCATGTTATTGCTACCATCAAAAAACATCCAACCCATAGAAAAAGCCATGCGTGCTTGCCGCGATCTGGTTCCGGGTAGGCATGTACAGATGTCCTCCGCAAGTCTTCTCCTGTGTGACCAAAGTCGGTTAGTTCCGAGTCTGGCTCTTGAATCAGGATAGCTTCACGAGATGCCATTTCCCTACTATTCTATGTTGGCGAAAAAGTTCCAAACTCTTAGACTTCTATATATATGACCTAAAGATGCCTATGCCTTCACGGCACTCATATCAAAGCGCGGTCTATTATATAACATCTCAATTCAAATTGTCCGGGAAGCTCGAATTCTATGACACACTAAGGATCTAGGCGCCCTTGGCTAGTACTTCCATTAGGCCGTGATCGGAAAGTCTGCTAGGAGGGGGAGGGTCTATACTGGTGGGGCATCGTATGTGTCCATGAATACATTTCGCAATTTGTTGGTGCTAGGCAAATTCTGGTGCGCCCTTCTTAATCACGACAGAATGAAGGTGAAAAATATAACTTCACATGCAACTGTGGTGGAACCACACTGGTGGGTTAGACGTAAGGGCGGTCTAAAAAATCTTGGTCTCTCGGCTTTTACATTAGGTAACTAAATTATATCTTAGAAGAGACATCGACATAGTTACTCAATACTAAAAGGCGACGTCGGCTCGCTACATATATCCTAATGAAGCATTGGTTCAAAGTCAGCAAGTGACAGTTAGGCTTGGTTCGTTCCTGAGAGGACTTGATTGACAGTGGGGATATATAGACATTCGAAGGGTACTAGGAAGTAGGGGACAGTATTAACCTAGAAAGGATTATTCTCAGACATCACGACAATCCATCAATGCCAAACTACTTCAGTAGACTCTTCGTCAAAACCATAATTCAAATCACGAAGCAATTTCCAAGTTCTGTAACCAACAGTTCGGTAGGTAATTTAGAACCAAATTGATTCCCTATGACCAGAAATAGCCGTCTCAATGCAACCGCATAACCGTTCCTATCGGTCATGCGTGATGCCAGATTATAATACATAAGACCCTTAAATTCATGATGGGTCGTGACGTGAAGAGTTGAGAGACATCCCTCTTTCATGAAACCTCCATCATAAGCGTGCTCTCGCATGCGCGCCAAGCCGAATAATCGAGTACTGCACGGTTCGTCGTTTGAAGAGGAGGGTTTCGATAGAGGTATAAAGTGGTTATTGTGTACAAGGCGTAGCGTGTGGCATAGATGGACATACAATATGCCATTATGGAATTGATATGATGCAAGACTCGGGTGATTTCGATATAGATATATTCTACAAGGCAGGTTTGGCTTCCGATGCGGGACCACCGGGTAGCGCGAGGGGATCAGCACCAGCACCACCGGCAAGAAGCTATGATTTTGTCAGTCATTTGCTCAGTTATTAGAAATAGAAGCGGAATAAGAGCTTACCTCTCCACCCATCTCCCTCATCTTCATCTCCTTCTCCATCTCCATAACCTGCTGTTCCTCAGCCCAAGCGAGAGCCCACGGGACACCTAGAAGCAGCGCTGAAGTGCTCAGTACCCATAGAGTCTTGCCGCTGAATGATAGAACACTGGAGATAGCATTTGTAGTTGCTGTGACTTTGTTGTTGATTGAAGTGCGCGTGTGAGGGGGAATTATATCTCGGAGCGCATAGAGTCGCTCGGCAAGACTCTCGTTGGTGGGGTCGTAGTCAGAGTCGTTGGAGATTTCGGAGTCTGCGTGTGTTAATAATTAGCGAAATACTGTATCAAGAATAGAAGAAATGGGATAGAAATAGTATGGATTGTGTAGGGTTGATTTTGAGACCAGAGTATGGGAGATTGGGCAAGCTTGGGGGAGCTGGTGGTGACGTACCAGTATCTGTGAAATCATCGTCATCCTCGGGACCAACTTGTCCTTCCTGGAAGTGCTCGTCAACGACCTCGGTGAGTTGAACCATTGCGACACGTTTTAGGGACCTTTAATTAGGTTCGGTATTGTCGTCGTGGGATAGGAAGTATAAGGATTCGGTATCGTGAAGATGTAAAATAGATGAATTCGGCGGTAGTGTAAGGTGGATCTTTTTCAAAAATCTTTTTGGTTGCTTATTGTTATCGCATTTGGGCTAAACCCGGTAACAGCGACCCTCTTTTAAACCAACAGTCGCCAAGCCTTTTATTCAAAGAATCACAAGTCGTGGGGTACGACCGTTAGAATACCTTAATTGCTTATAGCTAGACACAAGTACCTAAGTAGTTCAATTGTCTAATGTTTCTGATGACATCATCCCTCAAGGTCTACATTTCAATGAAGAATTACCATACCTATGCTCGTTACTTAAAGGCCTATTTATTAAAATAAAATAAAACTTTGCATAGTACGGCGACGACTTATGATTTAACCAAGATGCCCTCTTCCATAGGCCCGAAGTAACATGCTGAGACTACGGCAACGTTCATGACATACGCAAGAAACATACTTCAAATATGATGCTACTTGTCTCAGGTGACGGCAATAATTATATATCCATTATAAAGTAAGTAGGTAGATAGATAGATAGTTTATATCATAATCAGGTCCTCATCCTCGTATATACCAATCGTCTTTCGTCTCTCCATCACAACATCTAAAACAGTGTAGTGTAGTAAGTAGGCTATCGACATTCCGCACACCAAGGATAAAAAAATCCAATCCTGCTCTAAAACTGGAAAGAATATTTACTCTACCTCATAAACATGATAATTCTACTTTGCTTTCCTTTTGTTTCGCCATGTCTGACCATTATATCGTAATCCAAAAGCAGAAAAAAATAATGCACTTAACAAAACTCTTGAGGCATTGTGCCTTAACCCTTATTGGGCGGGGAGTCGTCTGCAAATCTGATCCCACGCCTTGCGGGCGGTACTCTAGGGGTATCATCGTCATCGCTGTCGCTGTCTTCAGCTGCGCCACTGTCTACGCCTAGTGCGGCTTGTCTTCTTCTACGTTCTGCGGGTGTCTCTCCGGCGTCGGCGTCGTTATCCTCGAGAACACTGGCGAATGCCGCAATTCTTCGTCGCCTCTCCGCGGCCGTCTCTGGTGGGTCTGAAACTGGGGAAGTTGGGACTTGGTCGGTACTGGTTGTTTGGCTGCGTCCACGAGTCGGTTCTGGGCGAGCGGGCGATTGACTCGCGCCTCGAGTACTATCACTCGCTTGGGTCACACTGATTTGAGGGTGGACCAGAGGTTGAGCAAGAGACGCGCCAGCTTCGGGTTCATCCTTTGCCATCGATTTCACTGCTGCGGTCGCATTGGACTGGTCTATCACCTCGCGCCGAGTCTTAACATCCAATTTCTGTACTTCTCTAAGGAAATCGTCCTTCGTCATACGCCGTCCAACGCCACCAATTGTAAATCGAATTCCGCGGTCATCATGAGGGTCTTTTTCAGCGGAACTGCTGGCTTCTTGCCTCCTTTGGTCAGCAGCGCCGCCTCGATTAAAGCCTGGCCATCCACCAGTTCTCGTTCTAGCTGGGGGTTTGTTGCTACTGGGCTCGGCTTGCTCTGGCTCGGGCGGTCCTCCAGGTTTGGGGGCAGTTTTGTCTGTTGGCTTAACCAAACCGCCCATTCCCATGTATTTCAGGCTCGTGGCAACATAATCTTTGCCATCACGATCAGCAGGAAGGTCGTATTTCCTGACGACCTCTCCAGACTCGTCTTCAACAATAATCTACAGTATGTTAGCGACACTCTCCAATCACCATATCTTATTGGAATCTAGGCTTACCGTATTTCCAAATTGGTACGCTCTAGCCGGCTCATGCTTCCGTTCAACCTTTGTCTTGTCTTTACGTTTCTGAGCTTCCTCCTCACGCCATTTTCCAAGACTTTTCTTCAGGGAATCATATGTCCATCCAGGCTTCCGAGTCTCGGCTTTAGCCTTTTCTTTTACTTCATGTAGGTCATGCACGGGTTGATGTCCAGTTTCCTCAACAGCGAGTACTTGACCCTCCTCGTCTTCAACCACAATATGGTCACCCTCATCGTACACTTCAAGTTCCTCATGTTGTTGACGTCTTGTAGGCCGCTCGCGACTACTATCATCCTCCCTGTCGGATTGCTTCGCGACTTCAACAAGTTTTTCGATGTCCTTTTCGCTCTCCTTCTCCCGGATTTCCTCGGATGGGGAGCTGGGGCTTTCTTGTCGTGGAGACATAGGTGGCACAGATTCGGATGGTGACATGGGCTCAGCTGCCTCACTTGTACTTCTTCGCTGGGGGAATATAGCCGACTGACTTACCGGCCCACCAGGTCCAATACCATCGTCCCACTTCTTCCTACTACGGCGACGACCAGAAACAGACGATGCGCGACTTCCAGCTCTACTTGGGTTGTCTTCCTCACGCTGGCGACGCAAGAATGCACCGGGCATACCAGGTGGTGGTAATGTTCCGGGTGGTAATTCGGGCATCTTTAAATCGTCGAAATCTGTATCGGACATGGTTCTCGCTTGTGATCGTGACTGAGATGAGATTCGAGGTAGTCGAGACATCCACGCCGGTCCTTCTTCCGGGGCAGTGGTGAACGACATGGTAATAGACAAGGTGTTAATACGTTTCCCTAAAGTGAATACGGCTACCGAAGAGCCGTGGACAAGGATAGACGAAACCACCATAAAGGTGACGATAGGCCACACAAGAAGCACGACGTTATAATATTCACTGCCTTTCGGCGGAAGTTCTGCTTCCGGAATGCTATGCTCGCTTTCTAGTTCGGCACGAGCAAGCAACGCGACGAAAATCGCGCCTACACCAATAGGGCCAAAGTGGCCGGCAAAGAGAGCTTCTCGCCATGTTTTGATGTCGGGGATAAATGGTTTGAGAAGCATCATAACTGGTATTCGACGGAATAAAATAACGAATATAGCCATGACAGTTAATCGCCAGGCAGAAAGACCGATGTCCACATTGTTGTACTGCTCCCAAGGAATGATGGTACCAAGGAAGACAAAATATGCCAAGTTGATCAACAAGTCGATAACGTTAGATACGTGGGATTCTTCGGTCTTTTCACTGAACCAACCGTCGTTCGAGAAACCAACACCAGCAGCGAATCCGACAAGCAAGTCGTCTGTGCCTAGAATACTACCTGAGCCAGCGCAGAAAAGAGCCAAAGTGAAGTAGAAGACGAGGAAACTTTCGCGATCAATCAAGTCGTGCTTCTCAGCGAATTTGATACCGTGTCGTGCGATATACCCAATCATAAAACCGTAAAAGGCGCCGAAGATACATTCGTAAAGGACGGTATAAACAAGCCAATGATATGTCGTCTGCTTGGCGTCTAAGTGTTCTTGAAGTAGGTAGAGGGCAAGGTAGATAAAGGGGAAAGCCATGCCATCGTTGCAACCAGACTCGGCAGAGAGCAGATCTCTCAAATGCTTTGGCACTCGCTTTGCAAACTTTCCTTTACCAACGACTGAAGAAGCAAGGACAGGATCCGTGGCTGTGACGCACGCAGCAACAACTAAGCTCTCGAGCCAAGACAGCACCGGGAACATCCACCAAACGACCAAGCTCGTAACCAGCCATCCGAAAGTCATGACAGGAAGTAGTAAGAAGACAACAGATTTCCAATGCTTCTCCATGTAATATTTGGGCAATTCTACACCAACAGCAAAGCATTGAACAACCAAGACTATTCGAGAGAACTCGAGAGTAACCTCGTCAACATTCCCCCATGTCATAGGGTTAATTAGATTTGCAGCATGGGGACCAAAGACAACACCACATATTGTAGCGACAGTCGCTTCACCGATATACATGCGCTCCTTAATAACAGAAGAACAAAGCATAAAAAGTGAAGTAAAACCCCCTAGAATAATGTACACCAAATGGGGTTTGGTGATGGAGAGATGATCCCACGCCATTGTTTATTGGTGAGCCCCGCGGCGGGCTTGAAATTCGGATCGAACGTTCGCGGGAGGAGAGGAATTGAGGACCTGGGGATAGATCGTGGTTCAAGGAGGACGTTGGTCGGATAAGGGCGCATATATTGTCGTCCCTGTCGAGAGCGAAGAGTGCCCAACCGTGTTGGTTGGCCTTGCGACTCCCGGGCTTATGGATACTGACTGGGGGAATTTCTGATCTAGATGCATTCAGGATGATGATCGCATGCCAAGTAACTGGCAAAATATCTATACAATAGTCCGAAGCGATGATATAACAAAGCGAGATAGCCGCTTAATGCGAGATCGCATGGAATAAAAAAAGAACCCCTAGAACATTTGTTTACGCGTAGTAGGCGCACACGAATGGGAATGCGCCGGGAGCACGGGGGACATTAAGCGGATAGAATATGCAGGGTCAGGACGGTTTGACGGTTGGGAGACACTTGATGCCCAGCTAAGAAAATAAACGAAGAATAAAAAAAGAATAAAAACAAAAATAATTGACCAACCCAAAATTTAGGGGGAAGTTGTAGTACAAGAAGTTTATTATGACAGTCTGAGAAGGAGCTGGCAGCATTAAAGTTTTTGTACTTTCTAATCAAAAAAAAAGTCCATCTCAGCAACAGGCTTGCAGCATAGGTGATGATGAGATTGAGGGAATGTGTGGGTCCGATTGGTAGAATCCTAGTCCCGCTTGGTGGGCCTAGTCTCTCGTAGTGGGGGCTTGGGCGCAGGTGGAGCAAGGAGGACCCATGCAAACCCGGACAATGAATACAACCCTGTGATAGGTCTAGAGGCGGTGAGTACCGTTTAAGTACTTCGGACTAGTTTCTCCCCTCGCTGTTTTTCACCTTCCTATCACACTCTTATCCTCGGCGCGGAGGACTCGACGATACCCGGGCTTACCAACAAAGCTATAAAACAGGTAGCCCTGCAGAACACCGAACATTGAAAAGGGAATCAACCAATAATTCGACACAATTGAGGCTCAATCGAACAAAGGATCATGTATGTCGAGCGGGGAGAAGGAGACGTTCTAGATGGAAATGCGGAGAGTCGAAAGATTGACAAGATTCCATTGCGGGGGTCTCGTTAGATACCGATGCCTTGACGTGGGTTGGAAGTTGGAGTTGGTTATTCCTTTGTTTGCATGCGGATAGCGGATATAAGACCACCTTTAGAAATATTAGGTAGGTAAGTACTACATACCTGACGTATATACGAGTTCTAAACTCCCGTCTTCCCGTTATAATCCATCTCGAAATTGATCCGGTACGGAATGTTGTCGACACGGCTGATGTCCCCCGATTTTCGTGGAACTTCCAACACCTATCATTCCACCCGATTCGCGATCCGGTAATGTTTGCTATGACAATTCCTACCTGCTGGATAAGTTAGGTGGTTACCCTACGGAAGTATTCAATTGGAGATGCCTTCTTGTTTGAGCCGAGATGCCGTTCGTTCCCGGATGATATATAAAAGGATCTGAAATGTGGTAGCATCAATTCCCCCGCGGTAGATGATGCCATTTATATTCGAGGTGCATCTTCGGGTAGGCATGTGACTGTACGGCCGAAGATAAACGATATTAAACAACCTTAAACGACAATTGATGATAGATGTCCTCCGCAGATCACACCTACTATATTAATTCCTGCATTTGAACGTACGATGTGTGAAGTAAGATTTCCTATCCAAGATTGTTTAAGTTGAAGCTTTAGTCAAGGCTGGTAAAGATAGTCCGTGCTAAGGAACTTAAAGCGGCACGACGCTAATCTTAAGCCGGAGAACCCACTTCCCGTCACGGTACGTGGAAGGTACATTCATGTTTCAATATCCACGAGGGATACCACCTTGAAGACCCTTGTCTCGATTTTTTTTTCTTCAATCAAATTTCTCAGCTGTTTTCATCATCCTTCCAAAAACCTATCTCAATTATTAGCAATGCCGTGATTGGATCTTCATAACACCCTCATATATATATTTTTCTCAACATTCCACTACATAGTACTACCTTCAGATCAATTTTTCGAGACCGATCTTTTTTTTAATATAAATGTTGCATTCTTATCTGAATGACTCGTTACCTCAATGGTTACAGGTGGCGTACAATGCAAATGGAAAAAGAAGAAGGTCGTGTTGCACATTGCACACTGCTAACGAACAAATGTCCAGCGTGACATTTAGCCTTCTTGGCGGCTCAAAAAATCCCAACCATCTCCATCACATGACGTCGTTTTTCCTTCGCTTGCATCTTTTCACCGTCCCGTATCACGCGTTTCTTGCCCGGTCCAGTAACCTCCCAAGGCGTACTACGGACTCGGCATTCTCGGCATCAAGGCTTAAGAGCATTGGCAAAAAAAACTCCTCACTATGATCCACTAAAAAGCAGACGATTATCGTCGCAGCAAGCTCCGTGTAAACTGTGTAAGCTTCTGTCAAGCTTTTGACAAGCAATTGGAATTCGAGGTGTCACTATGTAATTGGGACTTTTTAGAGTATTAAGTCAAGTCAAGGAAAAAACCGTTCCACCGCCGAATTCGTCTACTTCACCGCCCTCCCGGCCTATTCCCCGACTATACCGGGACCCGGATGTCTCACCGGCACACGTGGGGGTGTCAAAATCCTAGGTTCCACTGCCTGGGTACGCAGACTGGGACGTTCTCAGGGTTCTAGAATGCGCTGCACCGCATCAGTCGAGTCACGAGGCTATTTAGACGTCCGCTTGCGGCACATTGACACAGGCGCAAATGCAAGCCATACATAACTCTTGTCATCATCAGGCTCACTGCAGATTACCTAGGTAGGGCTTGTATCTCGCCAATTCGATCGCTCGAAATCACCTTGAATCCGATTAGTAGTTTCAATAACCTAAACTTGACTATATCCTGTTGACTCAAGGACTAATAGTAAATTGACCCGCAACACCCCCAGAATATTACGAACTCGCCGTTCTTCCGAGAGTCCTGAGTCGTCACTGACACGAGTTAGATACTCAAATATTAACCCCCTTATCAGATTGAATCCCCACCCATTAAGGAGATTACACGCAAGCAACGCGAAGCATAACTTCATCTAGTGTATTTCATAGCCACTCTAAGGCTCCACGTATACTTTAGTATTCTAACACAGCTTTTTCAATCGTTATTTTCTTGCAGGATTTACCGATCATTAATCTCGCGATTTAGGACTAAATCCGGTCTTAGCAGCCGTTCTATCATATTCTTACAGGCCCGTAACTCCGTTGGGCTGAAAAAAAAAAAAAAGCACTGACATACATTTCTATCTATAGCCCACTTTTCATTCCTTAACATAGACTCATCTAGAATCTTCGCTGATACGAATGGGAGCGTTCGATTATATTCCCATAAATCGCCGAACTATAGATCAAACCAATATTCTTTAATTCCGAGCTAAGAAGATATCAGAGCCTCATTACGAGTTACAGCCGAAAATGTGACGTATACGTTGAGATATCGTGAGGCGCAATGACTGCGCCCAGTCACATGAACCGTCAACTATGCGGAATCTGAGACCGGCTTAAGCTTCGTGGCCCGGGAATTCGGCAAACGTTTGTTTGCTTGGACCCGATAGCCCGGTAAGTCCTTAATGAGTAAGATTGTTTCGGCCCCGTATTCATTATCTGTCTCAACAAGAACCTTGAACAATAGAGTGGAGCAACAGTTAAAATCACCATTCAGCAAGATACGCCGGTACTACCAAGGTGAGCGAAACACTTGAAACCCGCGGATAGATGAGCGAGCACACGATAACGGCCCGAGAAAAGACATACTGGGAAACATCCAAACTCCAATTAATATACCTGCTATGGCCTAGAAGCTCTACTCGCCTCGTGGGCGTCGAGAGCAGTATCCAAGAATAACCATGACCATCATGTACGCCACCTCAACTTACAAAAGCGCCTGACTTGCTCCTAGGCTTCCCAGATTATAGATATTCTTAAGCCTTCACAGGGATACCCTCGGCCTTGGCGGCTATCGCCGCCCCATCTACACTGCCGAACTCCTCACGACCGCCAGCAAAGACCTTATCGAAGTCGTACTCGCTCCAGCGGATTTCAGGGGCAAGTCCTGCGAACTTCCACACTCCGTCTACCTTGCGGTACCAATGGGTGTTAGAACCGTGGGCGTGGCCCTTCATCGCGACCTTTTGTAGTGTTGCGTCCGTGTATCGCTGGTGAGGCACTCGCAGTTGGTGTGTGGCTTTTACTTCTGTATCGGAAACCTTTTGCCATTTGGTCGCTCCCACGAAGTGTTGTGTTCTGAGTAGGGGGTCACCGAGGACGGTGGGGCTCGAGATCATGGTTATGTACTCGTCGGCCGGCATCGCTTCCCATATTTTGTCGAGGAAGGATCGGTAGTCGATCTGTTTTCGTTGAGTGGAAAGGTTAACTTGGAATCGAGATAGTGTGGGTTGGACATACTTTAAGGGTTGGCGCGATGCACTTCCGCAGTCTATCCCAATCCTTAGAATCGTAGCTTTCCGCCCATTCGACAACACAGGCCTGCAGGCCGAGGTAATCTGACTCTTGTTAGTTCGGGCAGCTTGTTGTTTTTACAGCGCGATTATAGTAGTTCCTCGACGTACCCTCGAAACTAATGTTTTCAGTCGCCATCTTCACAGATTGTTGAGAACTGCTGTTAAAAATCGCAGTAAGTTTAGACGTGATATTGGCATATACATGTTTCCTCTGCTTGGCTCCTTAGCAACTATATATGCACGGCAGTCCTCTAGACTAAATTCACATACGGATCTCCGAATCGTCCGGATCACAGGTAGGATTGTCCGGTGGAAGATCAGCGCGCCCATCTAGAACAGGGCGAATTTTCGAGTTTTCGAGTGTTATCCCCGGATATGATAGGTAGTCCGTGCCTACGGAGTTCCCCACTTCAACTACGGTCTCGGACTCAGCCGCAAGAATTTAGGGAGATTTTTTATTAAGCAAGGCAGACAGTCCCTTTATAACTAGATAGATAATTCATTCCCTTCGCGGATGTAGAAGAAACATCTTGTCTGGAATGTTGAGAGATATTACGAATACAGTGTTGGTCGCTTAAGCATGAGCCCCCTTCAGAACCAAAGTATTTCTATCCGGTCGTCGTCAGCGTTGCATGAGCATGAGCACGCCCCGCATGATATGCGGTTCGTTTGAATGTAACCAAGATCATAAGTTTTCTCGCAAAAGTTGCCGGTGAATGTAGCATTTTAGTGGTCGCTGTCCGTTGACCGGTGTGATAAGATATCGCTGTGCATCGGGGAGTTACCTTCTTACCGATGTCCGGGGGTGGAAGATATTCACGCCGGATCTGACGCCAGCTACTCCTTGAAATGGAGAGTAGATAACTAGGAAACTCTCTTTTTGTTTTGGTAGCCTATTTCTCGGGACAATTGTTTGAATGAAATTGCGGTTTTTCGCTGTGGAATGTGAATTGTAATCATTTGTCAGAGTTCGATTAGCTGATTTGGTGCTAGCTGGCAATAGCTTCCTCGTGTGAAACGAGAGGATTAAGGACGGGATACAGATGATGGTATCTTGAATACTAGTGCGTGATGAAAGATCATTGTCGGCGGAATTGGATGAGCCGATGCTTGGATAGGAGCGCCTCTTTGCATAGGCTGGTATGGTAATATCGTCACTTTGATAGTAGGAAATTGTTCAGTAGATTACGTCGCTAACGAATAATTTAGGTAACTCCAAAGTCATGTTCAATCACTTATCTTACTAAATCGAACAGCATCGCGAAGCCACTCAGATTATAGTGCAGGCATGACCAGAAAAAAACTTGTTATCGCCTGAGATCTCGGTGTTGCTGAATCGCTCAGTGGATAAGCTGCGCGGGGTCAGCGAAAAAACAGGTGCGATAATAGCGGATGCATGCGCTGAGGTAGGCACCCGAGACATCGTGTGTAACACTTGACATGGGCTGAATATCAAGACGGCAAGATCAATCCATCCATCTCTTCAATACTAAAATTGATCGGAGCTTGGCTACGAGAATTTACCATGATCTTAACCTGGTGGTATTGAACATGAATATCAGTGGGGTCAAATCAAGTGCTCCAGAACCCCAGCTATATAAATAATCGAAAGCCGAGGTTCGCTTTGCCATGGCGACACTAGCGTTTGAGATTACTGGACGAATTTGTTTATTCCACGATACCTTCATCGAAAAAGATATTTGAATGCACGGCGATGAGGCGAATAATATCTACGTGATACGATTCAATCCCTTTTGACAGAGCAGATATTAGTCGCCGCCCTGTCATCATGTCGATGTACGTTTCGTTATACATATCGGCGATGCGCCAACTCTTTCCTGGCACCCCGACCTACACGGAGAAAGATATACCAGATTTATCTGGTAAAGTTTACCTGGTTACCGGCGCGAATACAGGAATTGGAAAAGAAATTTCCCGAATTTTATTTTCGAAGAATGCGACCGTCTGGGCGGCAGCACGTAGCGAGAGGAAAGGCCGCAATGCGATTCAATCCATTCGCGAAGAGTATCCTTCATCAACCGGCAGACTGGAATTCTTACTCCTAGATCTAGGCGACTTGATGGCTGTTAAGAAGGCGGCAGAGACATTCCTCGAGAAAGAGAAGCAATTGCATGTCCTATTCAACAATGCTGCAATTATGATGCCTCCAAAAGGCAGCAAATCAGCTCAGGGTTATGAGCTACAACTTGGAGTCAATTGTCTCGGACCGTTCCTATTCACCAAACTTCTCACACCAATGATAATCAAGACGGCAAAGATATCTCCGAAAAATAGTGTTCGCGTTGTCTGGGTATCATCATCAGCTGGCGAGCTTCTCATACCCGTGAGAGGTGGCATTGACCTGAATAACTTGGATTACAAGAAAGACTACTTTTATGCACATAGATATGGGCTTACGAAAGCCGGGGATTATTACTACTCAGTCGAGTACGCGCGTCGGCACCGCGAAGATGGCATCGTCAGTATCGTAAGTAATTTTTTCTCCCCGGGAAATTAAGCCCCATCATGCCTCAATCCCGGCAAATACAGGGTCGGAAGGATTTTAGAACTACTTTAGGCCCAGAACGCTCTGACAGAATTTGCAGTCGCTAAATCCAGGCAATCTTAAAACCGACCTTGATCGAAATTGTAATCCGTTGGAGAATCTCTATAGAAAAGCAACTACGTATCCGGCAGTTTACGGGGCGTACACGGAATTGTTCGCTGGTATTTCGGATGAAGTAACGCTTGAAAAATCGGGCGATTGGAGTATGTTTCCCTTCGCCAATTGATTCTGAACATGCGTTTTGAGTGCTGACATTATACATTGATAGTCGTTCCATGGGGTCGGTTCAGTGATATTCGAAAGGATCTGTTCCAAGGGTCGAAACCCCAGTCGGAGGGTGGCACCGGTATTGGCCAGAAGTTTTGGGCGTGGTCGGAAGAGCAAGTAAAGCCTTATGTATGATTATAATATGAATGCCTCCTTACTATTCGAGAGAAGAAAGCAGGCACGTAAGCATAGACATGTATGTAATAAACCATTGAGCATTCTGCCGTCTTACAGAACCAAGCCCGACCAATTCAATTCGAACATTTGTTACCGAGGGTTCTCTGGCATGCACTACTACGACGTAGGGCAAAATATCCCTGCTCCTCCCGCCTCGCTGTCACGAATCGCAAGACCCTGCTGGCTCCAAACCGGAAGGATGCCTTACTTACATAAATACCTTCCGGCTAACAATCCGGATAGACCTGGGTAGGAACTAAGCAAGGAAAACGGCACTAGAGATTGACATGCTTCCCCTTTCCTATAGGAAGGGCTTTGTTGTGTCTAATCTACCTAGTTGCCTAGCAGTGAAACATATAAAGAAAATCGCGTCCCTTTCAGTTAGTTTCAATGGCTCGTTAGAAACATGAAAAGCCGTTCCATCTTACTAGCGCCAACTACCCCAACTATAGCGATCTAATTCGCAGATGGTACGCCCTCCGAGGGACGGGTAGAAGAGATCTTATCTATAACAGTTTAGCCGATGGTGGATGCTACACGCACACTGTCGAATTGGGGTACTGGAAAGGGCGCAGCAGGACCGCTTTCATTCATCTTGGCTACCCAACCAAGAAAAGCCACGGAACCGGGAACGAAGTAAGGGACTTCCGTTCGTCGGAACGGCTCGTATCGAAGAAAAAATAATACCGATCATATAGATAGGAGTTTTGTTCGAATTTCGCACCGCCTCGAAAGATGGGTTTCAACTCTTCGCTATACAGCCGCCAGGCTTCGTTCTCCGCATCCCTAAGACATAAGCTAAGCTTTCTGAGCGAAGCCATGAGTTCGGGAAAAGAAGAAGAGGAAATGACAGTGGGAGTCGTAGCGGAAGCTTCGTCGTCGAGCGAAAATGAAACGGCCTCGATCCGAGGCCCTCCGGACGTCGAGCCACCACCCGATGGTGGTTTCGCATGGGTTCAGGTATTCGTTGGACAGTAAGAAGAGCCCATCCCTCATTCCACCATCAACGGCAATTATTAACCGAACTGTACCAGTCTGGCTTTGTTCAATACATTCGGTTGGTTCAACAGCTATGGTATCTTCCAGGACTACTACACGGAGGAATTGCATTTACCCCTATCCGCCATATCGTGGACCGGCAGCGTACAGGTTTTTCTCCTCGCTTGCATCGGTATGTTCTCCGGTCGCTTGTTCGATGCAGGGTACTTCCGCTCATTAATTGCCATCGGTTCCGTGTTACAATTGCTCGCTGTCTTTATGGCTTCTCTCGCGACCCAGTATTGGCAACTTTTCTTGGCTCAAGGCGTGTGTGGTGGACTTGGGGCCGGAATTCTTTATTGTCCCATCATCGCATGCGTTTCCACGTATTTCTCTAAGAAGCGTGCCTTGGCAATTGCTCTTGTTACTAGCGGTGGTGCTACCGGTGGGACGATCTTCCCGATTATTGCTCAACAGCTGCCAGACAAGGTTGGGTTTCCTTGGACTATGCGCGTGATGGGGTTTGTCGTTATGTTTAACGCTGCTATCATGTTGGCTTTTGCGCGTACGAGACTTCCACCTCGACCGAGGGGGCCACTGGTTGAATGGGCGGCATTTTCGGAGCTACCCTATACCCTCTACACAGCTGGCGCATTTTGTCTGCTATGGGGTGTATATTTAATATACAATTATGTAAGTGTCATTCGCTCCTTCTTCCGTCCCTCGAGGCGTGTGTATTGTCGAATCGGCAGATTAACGTCTTTTTCTAGATCAACCATTTTGGAAGAGTAGTATTAGGCATGGATGCCAGTACGTCGTTAAACACTCTTTTTATTGCCAACGCGGTGGGCATTCCGGGGCGTATCATCCCCGCTCTCGTCTCCGACGCATACCTTGGACCATTCAGGACACTCGTGCCACTTGCCATTGGCTCGAGTGTCTTGTACTTCGGCTGGATTGGTGTACGAGACCCAAGTTCGTTGTACGTCTTCGCCGTGTTGTGCGGACTTATCAACGGCGGTGTTCAAACCATTGCAATGACTGGTCTTCCCGCCCTGACTAATGACCTGAGCAAGGTGGGCACTCGGTCAGGCATGATCATGACCATCGGCTCCTTCGCATGTCTGACAGGGCCGCCTGTCGCAGGAGCATTGATCGATGTCGCGGATGGCAGTTACTTATATATGCAAATATGGGCGGGGTGCATCATGTTCTTGAGTGCATGCTTTGTCGCTGCCTCTTGGTTTGCCCGCTCGAAGGTAAGCACATAATAGCCTGCCGTAGCCCTTAATAGACTTCTATTTTCACCTCGTTAAAATTGGCTGTAGTCCCGCGATATCACTAGACGCATTAGATTTCGCATTATATCGATTAAAATTCACATGGGAAAAGATAAGGAAGTAGGGAGAAATAGATTATATTTGGCGGAAGGGTCTATTATTAAGATTCACGTTGCCAATTTTTGAGGATCAAAACTAGGTGAGATGGCGTCCGAAAAGGAGCCAACACCTAGGCGCCCACAGACGACCCTTGAAGAAAATAGGGATAAGGGTGTTAAGCAGCTGAAAGAGCCCTACAAGAAACGCTAGGATCTGCCCCACCACGAATATGTCGTCCACATCGCTGAGATGATTCGCCCGTATGACATACTCGGTTGCAACGATTGATAATACCGTCATGGCAATGGAGAGGAACATGAGCGTAATCTCCGTCTGTGCACGACGATGAGAGCTTCTCTGGTTTCCCTTTCCTCGCTTCTTAGCATAGATAGTCACGCCCCATACGAGCATCCCGCTGGTCACTGCCAGTCCAATAATCGCGATTGCTTTGCCAAAGGTTCGAAACCAGCCATCTATCGTAGAGCCGCCGAAAAACAAGATCTCGGTGCATTTTGGCTGCTGCATCGTGTCCGCACCAACAAACCAAAACCACGAGCCGTAAGCCGACAGCGCGAGGTAAAACAAGAGGCGACAGACTCCCGAGAAGGAATCAATACTCATAAGACCGTCTCCCGTGAGGCTTGAAAGTGAACCGACGAGTAACCAGAAGACGATCACAACTTCAAACGCATGGATGTCGCCTGTTTGCGTCAGGAGCAACGTTCCGGCGAAAATAGCTAGTTGTAGGAGGAGGTTAAGGGTTCGATTCAGGCCTTCCTCTTCCTGTGTGAAGAGAGTGACGAGGAGTGTCGTTATAGACTGCGCGTAGAGACCTAATCGTATGCCAATGCCGTAGAAGTCGGCATTGCCTTCCATCACACAGATATCCGCTGATTCCATTTTCGGGACGCTTTCGAAAATATCTGATTGTTTTGCACTCGATAGAGCGGAGATGAGATAATGTCTGAACGAATACTTTGATCGCCTCAAATGATGTTGACGAGATACTGAAGTGCTGAATCCAGCAATAGGAGCGCAGAAGTTGTATGCCTGCTATCGAAGGTTACTTCAGTTCTTGTGCTTCTTTGGAGGGCTCCAATCCAGCCTTGGTGACCTTAGAAGACATTCCCCTCCTCTAAGGTGGAACAAAAACATCACGAGGCATCTTTTCGCCCAGTCAACGGGGCAGAATCAATGCCCGCAGCTGAAAGCTGAACATTGTCGAAACCCGCTTGGTCTTAGCGTGCGTCGCTACGATGCTGCCCATGACATTCTAGACCATCGTCGAGCTTGTTGCCTGAGTGTCGCACGCGAGAAACAACAATTTGCACTTTCTGATGCACATAATACAAACGGACCCATTTCCTGAAGTGCGCTTCGTAAATATCGCAAGTAATTGCAATTCAATTTTCAGAGCATATTTCATCTGTCGCACTCGATGGCGGATGACAATATTCAGAATTGCCCCATTGACGGCAACCCAGACTTATACGGCTTAGGGGTTAGACTAGGCCTGTATCTCCAATTTATAGCGCTTGTCCTCGCCAGACCGTCGGTGAAACTCGCCTTCAAGGCGATAAATAGCTCAACCATCGCATTTATCCTCGCCAACTTCATCGTCCTCGTTCGCGAGAGTTCACAAAGGACTTTAAAGGCTCCGGAGGCGTATACGCTTTTCTTCCTACTTACACCACAACTCACAGTGAACATAATAGGTTCAAATGTCTTTGGTGGAATTGGACCCCGCGGCATCCTTGCGATACTCTTATGGGCTGGTTTCTGTTACTATTTCACCTGGTTCTGGTGGATAGGGCTGGACGTGCTCCCAATGTCTGGCTGCGAAGATGAGTATGGATTCTTCTTCACTAGAGTTAGCCTACGAGGCTGGTTCAGGACATTTAATAAGGTGATTTGGACTATATCCGACATCTCTTTCGCCATGTTGGTCTTGTCAATCCCGGTCCAGCTTTTCTTGTATTTCTGTGGTAAGTCAAAACAAAAACAAAACCTGCAATGGGAGAACTCCATATTACCTATAATTGTAAACACTTACATATAATAATTCATTTAGGCGTTCGATATCTCCGTAAGAAAGCCCAAGAAGAGAATCGAGACCAAGCGCCCCCATCTTCTGTGCTACCCAACATGGAGGCACCTAGAGGCGAACAGAGGGTTGCGCAAAACATTATACAACACATTTACATCCAAGGCTGGAGCGTAATCCCGTTCGCCGTCTTCGTCACCGGTGCCGAGATAACGATTCGGTATAACAACATTCAAGGCGTCAATACTGTGGACTCGGCTAGTCAACTTGTTCCCCTCGTACTCGCCCTCGGCCTTCTAGTACACGTCATGAGCAAGACAGTAGTGAAGCTTGGCTATGGATTTCGTCACGCATTCGACGAGAGTACGACAGGACAAGATGGTATGTAAACTTGGAATAATGTTTGCGCCTCTTGCTAATACTTGCGGCTAGGAATAGCGAATGACGATAATGAGAGCATTTTAGTCCGGAGCGAGTTTCGACGAGATTTACTTGAGGAGCGGGGGTGGCTGGGAGTTATTGGCCGCTTTCTTTTCCGCGTCTACTGCGCTTTCGCCGTAGGATATAACCCAGACGAAGAGGAAGAACCGAACCAATCTAGTAAGTTAATATATTCAGCCTACTCTAGTCGACCTTAATACTAACTACCCTTATAGGCACTAGTTTGGGTTGCCCGAAAAGTGGTCAATATTCTGTGGTGGACATAGAGATGGAAAGCGGTGCGCGGCCATGAATCGGACCGTGAATTGGCCCCCAAGATGTATCGTGAATATAATATAGGCGACTTAGTGGAGTAATAAAAGCATTTCGGGCGCCTCTTACATGCTGTAACATGCAGTACGTACGGCACTAACTGAACCACCTAATTCGCCTTAATACGATCGCCGCGATACGAGGTGTAAAATATCCAGGCTTCTCCTGCAAGTTAATGCCAACTTCGTATATTAAGATCGTGAATATCGCCGTAATAGCACGTTACCTCGTCGCCTCAACTTCTCCACAGGCGGTAGGCAATAAATTAACCATAGAGGCGATCTCGATATAATGTTGGTAGATCCCTTATTGAAGCCTTACTCATATCTCACAAAAAAAAACATGATTTCGTGGCATTCGAGGAAACGTTTCACTCTAGAATCCAAGTCCGATACGGCTATCAAGAAGGCCAGAGCCTGAATGCAATACGTCTGCTGACATGGCTGCCTAGGGTCTATAGGATTGCTGTTGCAGCGAGGCGGCCACTACTGCAGACAAAGAAACCAATTGAAATGCCCCATGTGGTTGCCTATATGATTACTTGCATCAATACACCGAATGCAGATCCCTCGGTTTGTCACCTAACCTGTAATTATGAGGCTCGTTATCTACTGTAAAAGACGTCATTTGAAGCGGTAGTACATATAACGCAGCTTCTGATGGTGGCGCAGTTATGTTTTAATCCCTCCTTTCTGCCTTGGCTAGGCTACCTCCCTGGGAGAATAAGAGGGCAAGCAAGATGGATTCCTGGGAAGCTGAACTTGCTATTGGAGATGTAAGAACTCTACTCTGAGAAACTTTGAAATCTGAAATTGTGTCTGACTTCTTTATCTTAGTCGCGGAATAAAAAATCTCACAGTATGCAAGAAGCAGGTATCGCAGACTGGCTGGAGCTCAATTCAGATGCATCCAGTTCTGAGGATGAGAGTCCCGATAATGATCGCCCAGGGCAGCTTTGCGCTGTAAAGACTCTGTATGAAGGCGAAAGGAAATGCGCTTGCTGCGTAAACTGGGTAGAGGAGCTTCCCGACGACGTAGGGCCGTCAGCGGAAGAAGAGAGCGAGAACCGGCGCCACGCTCTTTTAATCCGTCTTCAAAGGAATCATAACGATGGCAAGCCATTGGTACTTCACTCCATCGTTATTCAGAGTACCTATCTGAAGACGTTACTGGGAGAGGTATTCCAGGACTATTCAGGCATCACAACAACGCTCAAGAAACTTGTCTTTAGAGCCCCTTTCTATTACTTCTTCTACGAATGGAACCGTCTTGAAAGACTCGCCCGTCAGATAGAAGACCCCGTTGGAAAGAGTCATGCGCGCCTGTTGCGAAAGATCTTAAAGTCCGAATTGAAAGAGACCATCTCGGTAAGCGACGACTTGAGACGCAACGGCGTCATCACTTACGACTATCTCTGGACTATCTTCAAGCCTGGTATCGACGTCTACGCTCGTGAAGATGGTTATGATCGCATTTACCGACTTCAAAGAACCGTCTATGTCCCTCCCGTAGGCAGCAGTCACTTCTTCCAAGTCGTACTCGCCGAAATTGAATGCGACGGAGATTGTGTTGGCTACCAGACAAAGTGCATCCCAATCTTCAACTTCCCCGGCACGAAGAGAATCCAAGACCTTGATTTGTTCCCCGCATCTTTCCATCCAGACTTGGCCGAGGTGAAGGAAAGGCTTAAGAAGAGGGGCGAGAAGTTTAGGGCTATCCATTCGAATCCCTATTACTATGGCGCTTACGAAGGCATCGTCCTAGATGAAAAGCGGAGGCGCAACGTAAGTTCTTCGTTTAAACGACTTTATAGCATCTTATCTAACTATAATTCTAGGTTGAAGGAAGGATCGTCGTTGACCCTTCGTCTCACGCGACCTTTGCCGACGAGAACATAGATTTGATAGCTCTTGACTCCTCTGCTCTCAAGCCAGGGATGTATGTGTCCGACACGATGCACCAACCCGGCGCACCCCCGCCGCCACCTCCTCCCCAGAGAGGAAGACCACCCGTAAGTTGATAATTATTCGAATTACTATATACGTAGAACATTAGCACTGATATTAGCTAGCCATACGGCGGAGCACCTCCTCCCCTTCCTCCTCAGCAATGGATGGCCCCGCCTCCACCTCCTCCTATGCCGCCTATCATACCAGCGCCTGGAATAAGGCGAGGTCCTAGCAACTGTAAGTTACAGCTAGTCGCGCAATAAAAAGGCCATTTACACTGATATATTATAGCGAAAAACGAGGAGTTGACTGATGACTTGTTGCATCTATGCACTGCGTATGTCCGCGGGTACTGCTTCAAGATTAAGAAATGGGGTAAGTGTTCTGTGCAATCCTTGCGGTAACAGCTAAACTAACTGTATGGTGCAGTGACCTTCTATATCGATAATGTCAACGAAATTGAATGGCACGATGGAGCATTTGATAGCCTTGTGTTGACGGGGGGTTATAAGAAGCTGATTATGGCCTTCGTCGAGAGTCATATTGAGAACAAGGATAGGTTCGATGATGTAGTTGAGGGTAAAGGTACCGCACTCCCGGAGTCCTTCCACTTTTTAGCAATTAGAACTAATCCGGTGGAATAGGTCAAGGTATCACTATGCTTCTTGAAGGACCTCCTGGAGTAGGAAAGACTCTGACAGCTGAAGCGGGTACGTAATCACAAAAAAGTCTCCTGATGTAGTATGCTAATTGAAAAATAGTCTCGGAGAAGCTTAGACGTCCCTTATATGCTATGGGTGCCGGAGAACTCGGAGCGGATCCTGAATCAGTAGAAGACAATCTGAAGATGATTCTCGAGGCTGCCGCTAGATGGGATGCGGTGCTACTCCTTGACGAGTGCGACGTACTCCTCGCCCAGCGCGACTCCGATAGCCTTGGCCGTAACAGCATCGTAGCCATCTTCTTGCGACTACTCGAGTACTACCGGGGTATGCTCTTCATGACCACTAACCGCGTTGAAGCCGTCGACCCCGCGTTCCAGAGCCGAGTCCATCTCACTATCCGTTATCCCCACCTTGACGGGCCAGCGCGCCGGCAGATATGGGAGCGGTTTATCCAGACTTCACACCAGGAATCGACGCTGGATGAAATTGACTTTACTGAGTTGGAGGCTATTGAAGTCAATGGACGTGATATCAAGAACATTGTTAAGACTGCTCAATTACTAGCTAGTCATGAGAAGGTACCGTTGGCAATGCAGCATATTTATACTGCTCTGAGTGTATCTCGTGCTGGGATACAATACCCCCTTCCTTCTTGAACACTATAGTTTTAGGGAGATTTAGTGGTTTGTAGGGGGTATACATGGGGGTATAGGGACTCGGATAGGGGGTTTCGGGCGCGGATGGAAGTTTGAAAGCGCCTAATGTTTCTTTACTTACTCTTGAAACGACTAAAGGGTTTTAATAAGTCTGAATTCAACTTTTCTAGTAATGTCTATCATAAGCCAAAGAAGCCTTCGAAGCTTCACACATCCTTTTTCATGCCGACCTTTCCAACGTTGCGTAGCCCAATTGCGCTTATAACTGCGCTAGCGACCGCTGCAGCGAAGCACGCCCAGAATGCACTCTGATATCCCTTGAGTATCGCATATGACAGAGTAACTTCTGACTTATCCGATTCTGATTCAGTAACTGCAGACGCTATAATGGCAGTCACAGCAGGTCCAATACTATTACCCAGTTGAGTAACAGTATTGAAAATCCCACCCGCCAATGCCTGGTCTTTGCTGGGAAAGCTAGACGTAATAACCAGGTTGCTGGTGTTAAACAGCAGATCAGTGCTTATAACGCTGAAGCACATAGCGGGGAAGCCAGAAGCCCAGTACACCCAGTCGGGCTTCTGAATAGCGAATAGCAGCGGTGATACAGCGCTCAACAGCCCGCCGGTCAGCACTAAAGTACCCGCTGAGACCTTATCCATCACTAAACCAGCGACAATATTCGTTAATATGCCCACTATAACCATGGGCAGAAATCGTAAAGCCGCCTGTAAAGCATTAAGTTCCTGTGTGATCTGGAAAAATAGCGTGGCCCAGTACCCGAAAGCATTGAACCACGACCATACAAGAAACACCGTAATACAGACCGTAGTGAACGCCCCACGTCGCCAAATACTGCTAGGAAGGATAGCTGGGCGGCCCAGGCGTTCCTGGCGGCGTATCCAGAAAACAAAGAAGGGAATTAACAGTACCGCGACCGCCATAAGTACGATATTATATGCCTCCCTCATAACACTTCCACTGTAGGTTACTTCCGCAAAAATATACGACAAAAGCGCAAGCGACACACTAGCAGACACCACCCCAACCCAGTCAAACTCATGCATCAACCGATGCCTAACATGAGTAGCCGCAGTTGATTGCGGCAAAGTAAACCACGCAAGAACAAATGTTGCAGCGCTGATACCCGTAGCCATATAATACGCCGTTCTCCAGTTTGAGACCTGAACCAGAACCCCACCGAGCACTAAACCGACGGCGAATCCCAGTGGACTACCCCCACCAAATACAGCGAAACCAATATTTCGCATCTTACCGCTTGGGAATGAAGTAGTAATCGTGCTAACAGCGGTAGGCATGCAGAAAGCCATTGAAATACCTTCTAGAGTTCGGAAGGCGATGAGTTGGTTACTAGTCTGGGCTAGAGATATCGCTAATGTCCATGCTGTATATAACAGAGTACCGGTGAGGAATATGGAGCGATTTCCGACGATATCGGCAATTGCGCCGAGTAAAAGGAGCGTGCAACTAAGACCCAGAGCATGAACGGAAGCGGGCCACAAGAGGAGATTGTTGGGTAGTTGGAGTTCTTCTGCAATGGCTGGTAAAGCGACGGTAAGTGTGCCAGAGCTGAATGTGTTCAGGAACGACACGCAAGCTAGCGTTGCCATTAGCGCTGCGGATTTAGTTTTGCTGGGTGCAGTTGGCTCTGAAGCCGCTATAACTGGTGCTTGAATGTCCTCCACTACGGCAACAGCTTCTCTTGCTGCTGCCGCGGGTCTATCCTGCTCCACGCTATTCTTAACATTATGAGCAGATGTTGCTAGTTCAAATTGTATACTTGATAACATGTTTCTCGTAGGTTAAAGTGCTGACAAGAAGAGGGCCAATGCCTTGTAGATAAAAGTTGGTTTTAAACCGGTTAATATCGCGGTGCTTTGAAGTGGAGGGAGAGTTAAAGGTATTTAAGTCCAGCAAAAGAGGATCTGCTTAGTTGGAAATAGCAGCGAAATGCATATTATGCCGATAGTTATACTACTGTAGCCTGCTAAATAACCTAATTACCTTATTAAAGATGTTGAACTGCAACATCGCTACTCGGAAATAGGGGCTTATACGATTGCTGCCATGACGTTGCGGTGTTGGAACTCTGTTGCAGATTGTCCACGCACCCCCGCTGAGCCGGGATTAGATTTCTCAGGGTTGCGACGCTAGATCTTCATGTTAGGAACAATCTAGAAATGTGTATGTCAGATCTGACTGCTCGCGTGATTAATTTCAGAAACGTTATATGGAAGCATTGTGTATATAGCTTAGGTTATCGTGATTTCATTCGATAGGCTGTGATGATTACATACCCCCGATCCATAAGTTAGGGAGTAGATAGGTGCCTCCGCGGCATATAGATAGGTAGGCGTGTCGGTGCCCTGTATGTTCCCAACCTCTGGGGTTTTCAGCACAGATCAGTACCCGTAGCGCAGTTCAACGCCCCCCATTTCTAACCCCATAACCACCTGAAATATCCTAAACGGTTCCACCTCCAAAGCACCCACCAAAGAAAGCCAGCGCCGGTGATCCAATGGCCTGATGCCCTATATCTCAGCTTCTCCCCGCCCTTTAACCAAACCACCAGCCCATCGCCAAATCGCACAAACGACAATATCGTTGCAAACGTCGTGATATCTCTTTGGTTTCCTCCCCACTGTAGCGCTATCAGTGTAGCGCCGTAGGACATCTCGCGGATACCCTTGAAGTACATAAGCGGCGAGACGAAGCCTAAGCTAGGGCCATCGTAAGGCGGGGTTGCTTCAGATTCGAGCGGTAATCCGACATGGGCGTAATCTTCTTCTGGCCAGATGAGGGCCATTAAACCCCGGCCGAAACATGCTGCACCAAGAACGTAAGAAGCGACAGGAGAGAATTTAGGCATTTGAGGAAATATTCCGATGATTATACTATGATAACAATACGATAGACGATGATGATCCGGAGATGTACTTTGAAGAACGGAATGATCGCAAAATGAAGTGAAACGCAGGAATAAACGCTTTACTCAATCAGGTAAAGGATTAAGAAGAATGGTGCAACTAGTGCATCTAACTAACTAGGTGCTGTATTTATACGATCAGCGCAGATAACGCATCCCAATGAGGATTCGAAATGATATATCAAGCCCGTCTTATTCTTCGTTGGTGTTGTCTTAATTCTAAGATCACCACACAATATTTAGGGCTCATGCTCATTATTTTATGATTACTAAGAAACTGGCCTTTAAGCAGTATATGCATTTAGAGGTCGTGATAGCTCCTTTAGTTTCAATTTATACGATTTACTGAGTGATTACTAGGGTCTGTCAAAACAGTATTGAACAAATCCATAATGATGACTAAAGACGTGGTTTAGTAGCAGCAGCTTTATGAATAATCTCCCATTTGATTCTCGGCTTTTCGAACTTAAAACCTTAATAAAATTCTTACAACGTGGCTCACTCTTTAAGTTCAACTGGAGAGCATATTGCCACGAAATTCATGGATAGTTCAACTTATTTATATCTATGCAATATAACTAGCTCCTCTGTTAGGTTAAAATAAATGCTATTTACTCCCGCCTCAAAGTACGGTCGCAAAGAACAACCCCCACTTAGGGTTAGCAAGACCAACACTGCGAGGTTAAAACCCCGAGTTAGGGTAATATCTCCTAACCCTAACCCCAGCACCAGCCCCGTTTTCAACCCCCAACCCCAGGGTAGCACAAATAACCCTAAGAATGGAAAAAACCTGTTCATCGAAACAGACACGTTGCCGCGCTTGTTAAGTAGTTTTCGAAAATCTGTTGAAGGGATACACCTTGGTATAGCGCAATAGGAGCGATCCAGAATAGCAGACAGTTAACCCTCTACGAGCATTCTACCATGAGTTGTCCATTCATTCCGTTCATTCTCCTAGCTCGGAAACCTTCAATACAACCTATACAAATTCCATTCAACGCGATAATCGAGCAGGACGTATTTCGGTAGAATTGCCGACTTGCGACATAACGTAGCAACCAAGTACGAGCAAAATGATGAACACCTGTCCTAATAGGATCTAGATTGCCGAGTTCCTGTTAGAAATTGAATACAAAAATCGCGCAAATTATTTCTGGGGACGTACACTCCCCATTCCCTTTTCCAAGCGTAAAAGGTTCGGTAGTGTACTTCGCCCAGACGTAGTCAGTCGACTAACTCCTTGACGCTCGAGTAACATAGACTGCATCTCTAATGTGTGGTTTACACATAGACGATGCATTTCTTGAAGAATGCCGACTAGCTCTTGTTGTCTTCTCAGGTACTCTGCACGCGAGCTGAGTAAATCTTCATCCATCCGAACTAATTGGCAAAGTCTCTCTTGGAATGAGTGAATCTCCGCCCGTTGTACTTGCCAAAAGTTCTGCCACTCATACTCACTATAAGAGGGTATGATTGAGTTATAGGTTGCTGCACGTCCCCTTGAAGCTTTCTTTGAGAAGGTAGGGGGATTTATCGCTCGCGTTGATCACGGTTCTCATCCATCGTGAAGGATTTGCGACTGGCGTCTAGAGAAACCTCGGATTAGTAATCAGCAAAGATGCGTAACCCATATCCCAACGTTTGAACGAAGGGGCCTAGGCCCTATAGAGAAATTCAAAATAGCAGCCGCGCCGGTAACTTACAGTGATATCTGTGTCGGTCGCGTTCTCGCTAGATGTCTCGCTAGATCCGTGATTGAACGCCCGGCTAAATTGAAGGTGAAATGAGAGGTGCTTTTGTGTTATTGATGTTTTTGTTGAACGTGTGAAAGTTAAAGGGAAGGTTCACCCCTTAGATGCTAAAAATTTCCAGAAGGTAAAATAAAAACCTTGAGAACCACTGAATAGATCGTCACTGCCCTTTCTTACAATATGGGTAGCGAAGGAGCTCTGAATTCTAATTGGGCCACAGAATGATCCGTGTAACTTCACTTTTCTAACTCTAACCAATTGAATACAGGAATACCGTACCCCACATTCCTGTTTAGGCATTCGCACCTGAACCACCCTATGGTTAACGATACAGTAACCGACGGAGCGTCTAAGTGACTTCAGAGATACCAAGTTCGCAGTTTCTTTTAATATGAATCCGGCCGGATGTATTTGGGCATATCAACTTCGAGCCTACCTCATCGGTCAAATTGATTCATATATAGCCTTTTTTTTACTTCACACGTTTTATTACGCACGACTAGGAAACCGCAATGTGAATTATCATGTAAAAATACGCAGGTATTTCACGAGTTAACCAGTCGCCATACCTTCATTTTTACATCCACATTTATGAGTCATATATCGGCTCACGTATGACGTGGAGGGCATAGAGAACGTAGAAGACGCCCTAAACACAAAACTATCACTGTTTCCTACCTCGAACATCACACAACTGGCGAGCAACCAAGCTTCTAGACGAAAACGCAATGAATTCTCCGGTCTCAATCTAAATAAACTCAAGTAGCAATCTCTCTAAAAAAAATCGGCGATAGGCTTTATCGAGTAAAACCTAAGTCAGGCCCAAGTCGGGATTCTGACCCGCGTGTATCGCCCCACCACACGTTTCCCTGGATTTCCGAATAAATTTAGTACCAATAATGTTGGTACTCCCCATCTCGCATGGTAATCATGAACCCTCGTGCTTGGTGCAGCGCTGCGCGGGCGAATTGAAAGGGCCCTGGGAATCCCGGTTGTTCTGCCCAGGTCGATGGCTCACGAACGTTCACCCGGGGCGTGTTCCGAAGATTTCTTGCCCGACCGACCTGGATTTCACGGTATGTTAGTTCATAAACTTAGTGCCGTTATATCGAAGATATTCTTCGCCCGGAGAACCCACGAAATTGGACGGAATGAACATACCTGGCGCATGCGGTTCCACTCTCTCCGCTGCTCCTCTCGTCTCGCATCCTCCTCCTCCTCCCTCTCCTTTCTCTCTCTCTCTTTGAGAGCCTCTCTATCTCTTCTCTCCTGTTCCCTTCTCTCTTGTTCCTTTCTTTCCTTTTCCCTCATCTCTCTCTCTCTTCTCTCCATCTCTTGCTCTCTTCTCTTCATTTCTTTCTCCCTTCTTCTCTCCATCTCTAGTATCTCCATCTGTCTTTTCTCCCACTCAAATCTCTCCCAATCCCTCTTCTGCCTCTCCTTCTTCTCCCTCCCTCTCTTCTCGTTCTCCCTTTTCTCGTTCTCCTGTCTCACTTTTCTTTCATGCTCTCTCTTCTCTTCTTCCTCTCTTTCCTTTCTGCGCCTCTCTATCCTCTCATTTTCCTTATCTGCTTCCGTCCGTATATCCACGTTAGTGTGGCCTTCATAACCCCAAGGGTCTCTGTCGTAGTTTATAAGTCTGACCTCAACTCTGTTGAACGACACGCGCCTCCGGTGACGACCCATGTTGGGTAGACGTGACCTAGGTTTAAAACAGAGTGAGAGACAGCGCAAAAGAGGTTGGTAAATAAACCCTCGAAAGAGGAGGTAGGATAGAACAATTAACGCGGTACGATATAACATTGGTCGGATTTACCTTTCAGCTTTGCCGCAACTCGGAAAGGAATTGGTCAGATCATAAGGCTAGAGTCAAGATTTTCGTTCCGAAGGTTCCAGGCGTCAGTGTGTCGTGATAGCCACCCGCGATTGAGCCAGATGATTTGGCGGCAAGATTGGTCGCGGATACCGGGAAGTCAATCCCAGGCTCGATATAGACGGATGACTTGAAAGAGGAGGGTCCGAGGTTGGTAATTCACTCCCGCAGCGAAAGTAAAGCAGAAGATTTGGCTGAAAGGAAGGGAAGCGGTAGGTCGATTTAGGGTGAAGAATCTAAGAAGAAAATATAAGCAGTAGAAAGAGGTGAATAAATAAGAAAGACCCCTAGTGGAGTTGCATAGTGTGGATTACAAGCAAACCCGATTGTTCGCATCGTATACTAGTAAAATGGGTGGGTACTCAGGGATCTACCTAGGTACCTTAAATTCTTTACATCAAACCCATACTGTAGAGAAGGAGCTCTAGCCGCAATTACCCCTATGAGCGTACGTACTATGACATAAGTCGAGGAACTGTGGGGCTTAGGGCTGATATATACAAACTTTACGTGCTTCGGCCACCCCCCTTTTTCACTGTCTCCACAGATACGAACAAACCTATAAGCATACCCCTTTCCTCACTAGATAGACCTGAATGAGGTTTTTCTTTGGAAAATTTTCTTTTTCACAAGTAGCATTTGTCATTAATCACATGATTGGGCAGGAAGTAATGATTCAAAAATAATATGACTTCAATTCAATACTTCAGATTTGTGTTTTGATTCGTCACAGCTCATATAGCTATGATAATATCCTCAAGGAGCAAAAACCAGTTCAACCCTTCGTGGTAGATCCGATATCACCCCATCGAATGTTCGAAAAGATGACATGTGTGTCGGGGTGCTGAGACTGAATAGCGGAAGGAGTGCTTTCAGCAGTGTTGCAAGGTCCATTGTTGCCAGCGTCAAGCCAACCCATCTGTTGAGTAGCATCATTCCAGATACTAATCGCCAATACCACTGTAATATTTAAATTAGCAACAATTCGGGAACTTCGAAATCTTAAAAAATGTTTAATACTCACTTCCTCGTCCCAGAGCCTGGCCCATACCGGGAAGACCACCGAAACCACCGCAGCTCGAGATCGAACCGCCGTTTATCTGCTTTCCGTCCTGGATGTATTGACGGTTGATTTGCGTCAAAGTGCCGCTGCCGACAAATTGCGTTACAACCGTGAATTTCTTGTTCGTGTCGACAGTACCTCCGGTAGCCCAGAAGTTACGCTGGCCACTCGCATACGGGTTGTATCCGCAACCAGACTTGTCGCAGTCGTTCCCGCTGCAAGGGTGCGGCGTCATAGCCGTGGCCTTCGCATTGGCCTCGAGAATATCCATCTCATTGCAGCAGTAGCCCTGGCATTGGGCGTCGCAGTAACCTTGACCGGCTGCCGCGCCGCCTGAGGAACCACCGCCGTCGGCCTTCATTTCCGAGAGGTAGAAAGCTCCGTTCTCTCCGCAGGGGACTTGCGAATAATCGACATCCACAGAAAGCTCTTGGTTGAGAAGCTCCATCATAACGTACTTTCCAGCATCGTCGATGAGGTAGATACGCGGAGACGCGGGATTGAGCGTGCTGCCCGATTTAACGTAGTGGTATAGAGTTACGGCATCCTCCAAGGTAGAAACTCCCATAGCAGCGTAGTCATCGGCCGTTCTTGAGCCAGCAGCACCCTTAGCGTATTTAGAATCCTTGTCCAACACGACAGAGGTGTTTTGCTGCACGCAACCCCCTGAAGTGGTACATTTCCAGGTTGGGAGTGGAGGGTGTTGCTCAGAGCTCTGGGCGATCGCGCTTGTTAGTAGCGAGACTAACAGGCCAGCATATAAAAATTTGGAAGGCATTGTGTATATTGTATCCAATTTTCTACGAGCCTATAATCGCGATCAAGACTGGCGCAATGCAAAGTTGGGGGGATATCGTCATGTTTTGTACCTACTAACTGGCTATTTTTAATCAATCCGTGCCCCTGGACAAGCTAGATACCTCCGCATTTTTCATCTATTTAGGCGTGGCTTGAGATCTACGTGCCGGGCCGGCAGTCGGCAACTAATCCATTCAGGAAATCCGGAGTGTACGAGTGAGATTGTGTCATATAACGGCTGAATGATGGGAAAATATCCACCGCGCAGCCACCCCATACGGCAGCTACGCCTATTGCATCGACAGTACCATACCATTGGATCCTGGCCCCAGAGCCAAGTTCGCAACCCTGATTACCCAAACTTGCGGCTTGGTATAATATGTAAAGACGTCACACTCCTACTTTTGAGGCGTTCAATAAACTCTTGGCTGACAAACACGGGACAGTCGGTAATCTATATTTGTGTATTAATCGTCAATTTGAATTACGTATTATATTAGCTTCGATCTAACCAGCCCCTGACTCCACGATCTTACGACGAAATTGTCCGCGTATCAGCACAGCCTTGGTAACACTCGAGAATATGTTTGGTGTATTCGTAGGAAGAGGTAATGATTTTATAGTTGCCCCGTATCCGTTATGGACAATCACACAAATCCACATCGCTTACGATGGGACGATCCCACCGATGTGGCTTGTGACGTAGCGTCGACTGTCAGTACTAAGATATATTTAAACTAGCTGAGAATTTGTGGCGCTTTCGTACACGGCAAGGATGGCAAATGTAATCCATAAATAGATACAGTTTCCATATAAGCTGTATTTTGTTATACAATTCTGATACGAACAGTAGGGCAGCCACAGTTGCACCAGGTCTAAGTGTAGAATGTATCTTTCACCTCTTTTCTCCGTGCCCGCGTGTGTGGATGACCCCTACATGAGTACCTGACGGATACCTAGGTAGCTATTCCTTCCTTGTACACCGAGCAGCAAGATCCTTTAATCGATGGTCAAGATCCATCTGGCAGTCGCCTCGTGCTTTGCCTCGGGCTGAATCTGGGCCGCCTCCGGAGTCCAAAATTGGCCCTGCTCTAGCGAGAGTATCCAGCATACCGAGAGCTTCGGTAGCTTGCTTTACTTCTTTGAGTACTGCTTGTGTTTGAAATGCCGACTGTTCCTCCGGATTAATCGAGGAACCTTCGAGTCCAAAACCAATACCCTCAGGCAGGATTCGGTCACGATGTTTATCCTTGTCCGCTGCGATGGCACACATGCAGACCTCAAGCAGCTCTAAGATCTGATACATGAGTGTGGTGAGTAACATCAAGCACCTGGGATTCCTCGAGTTCCGTTGAAGACGCAGCAGCTGGATTAGCCTCGAGATCGCGTTTTTGACGACCCCGAGGATGATTTTGGAAGCTTTTAAGTCCGCCATGATGTAGTTTTCGAGGTCGCTAATGATCTGACAACTTTCTAAGCAACATTGGCTGTCTATTTCACTCCTTGGTCGTAGCCCGAGTGACATCTGCAATTGAGGGGTAGATGCTACTTCTTCAGATGAGTCGATCGGAAGAGGAATTCTAGGACACGGCGCCAAACACTCTTCAATATTTACGTTTATAGAAGGGATGTTGATTTCGGTGTCATTAGTAAAAGGCGTTATGGTTTCGGAGTTAGTGGTAGCCCCGGCGTTGCTGTGCTGGACGATTTCTGTGTTGGAAGAACCATCCGGGGAAATCATGGCAATAGTATCTGAAGGTTGGAGCTCCCAATCCGATATAGACCATTCCGTGCTCTCATTCTGTGTTTGATCTTGGAGATCAAGGTCCGCTAACTCGCCTTGGGGGGACAAAGGGCGTTCCTCAGAGTAAGTCACCATACTCTGCAATCGCTGAATTTCATGATCTTTGATCGGCTTCTTTTTCGCTCTAATCCCTGGGACTTTACCCACTCTAGACTCAAGGTATATACACTGCGTGCTTGTATTGCGACATCGTTCGCAGCCAGACTTTTCGCCGGAGCATTTGACCTGTTAATTTTATTAGTCCTCCGCTTTATGACTCAGTAGGTAGGTTGTTGTTAGGGCTCACCTTGGCAGCGCAACATTGATTACAGGCACTGCGAAGTTTCACCAGTCGGGTGCGATTTGCGACTGTGCGCTGCAGGCTATTGAATACATCAGAAAGTGTAGCTTCATATCTGCGCTTATACGGACCTTTGTGATGCTAGCATCGTAACGGTACAGGTGATGGTTGGATTAATTTTGCGTTGCGCAAATTGCGACGCCTCCCTCGGCTTGGTACGGCAGTCTTTTCTCCTCGCTTGCCCGCTAAGTAGCCTACCCTGGTACTATATTGACCATCCACCCTATCTTACTCCTACACCTCAGACTAACAACCTGGGCTGTACAATGATCTTGTAGTGCAAGCCTTACAGCGATATGTAACAGTGTACCTAGGTAGGTATTCATAGGGCATGCCGCAGAAATGCACCTGTAGCAATAGTATGCTTGTAGCTGTTCAGGTGTTGACTGTTGGCTGCGGATAGCGGATGCCCGCTTGTCTCGCTTTACCCACTTATCTAATCCCTTTGTTCCCTTGCACGGACGGTTAGGTATCTTAGCTTGTGTCACCACACCTTCCAACAAGTTAGTTCTAGCTCTATTGATTCCCTAGGCGTCTAGGAAATCTCTTACATGCATGCCAAAGACTGCCACCACTAAGTCTAGATTATTGGTAAACCCTAGGGTGATAGATGTATGAAGAAATTAGACTATAATATCATAAGGCTTAGGATTTCGCGCCTTTTTCTGGTAGGATTATCGAACCAATTGTGAGACAGCCAGAGATGTATGAGATTAGCCTGGACGCACGTGGCTTAAATATTCAGGTATGCCCTACGTCTACGAACTTTTGCTTACTTGAATAACTTAACCGTAAACACGCCCATATCCTATTGCCTTTTCCCACATCTTCCTCATGTTGCTGCTGTGGATAATTGGGCAACCTAATAAGAGCCGCTTATACAGAGGTACATCCAAGGGCTGTTTTATATAGATCAAGCTCGGATCATGTTCCCCGCCTTTGCGGCAACGTTGGTAAGCAGTCAGGCTCCTAGGTGCCCTTGAGAATAGGTTCTTCGATCGCATTACCTCTTGTCGGGATTTCCTAGAGTACCCACCGTATCTCAGTACCCGGTCGTAAAAGAATACCTAATCGCTACACTTCTTCGGCTTCCTTTTACATGACCTGCACCGGAATACCCAACCAAAATGGGAGGGCTGCGTATTTTCTTATTTTATGCGTCCGGTTTACTCCTTTGGTTATTATGTCTTCCTACGTAGACTCATCCTCTCCATCCCTCGCTCTACGCTCCCCATATACTCATAGGTACTTCAATTACTGTTAATCATTACCTCTTAAAACCATGTCACAGGATGGCAATGGCCTCGCTTACTCGAGTACAAGATTCCGGTATGCTACGCCGGCTGAAATTCTGGCGGCTGCCGCAGCCCTTCCTGCGCTAGGCATAATTATCGTCATGGTCCGCTTCTACACTCGGCTACTCCATAAGGCCAAACTCGCAATCGATGACTTCCTTATTCTTCCTGCAGTTGTCTTAGTCTCCGGGATGGGGGCCGCTCTCATAGCTGGCAAGTCGCTTAATCTTTGCTCCAAGGAAGTATTCTAACACCACTTGTGTAACAGGTGTAGAGCAAGAAGCTGTGGGATATCCAACGCCTCCGCCGCCAGACTCTGATCCGGAATTGGTCTTCACCTGGCGTGATCCGAAAATCACCATGGTGCAGAAGGTCCAGTTCGTCACACAACTCCTTATGATCGCTACGTATGGTTTCATCAAGCTCAGCATCATCTTCTTTTACCGTCGCATATTTATAATGAATGCGGGCGACCGTTTCAATCTCGTTACCATAATATGTGCCTGTGCCATTGTCGCGTGGACCCTGGCTTATATCTTCGCCGTCGCATTTGACTGTGGCACACATTGGGGTGCCCATTGGGGTGCGGTCGCCGATCTCTTCGCCTATTGTCATGGTGGTTTCGAGGTTCAGCAGATTGTAGAATCGCTGCTTATTACCGACCTAATAACTGATGTGATCATCATCGCGTTGCCGATGCCTCGAGTACGTACCCCACCAAACTTCAGCCAGTCACATACTAACTGCTTCATCTTAGATCTGGGGACTACGCCTTACACTAGAGCGCAAGATCGATCTTCCTTCTGGGTGGGGTAGCTATTGGTGCAGCTGCCGCACGTCTCGGCATCTACGTGACGCAAACAAAGTACAGCCTGGACCCCACCATTGATGAGAATATGTCAGTATCTACGATAATATACTGGTCCATGATCGAAGCGGGGCTTTCCCTCATCGCCGCCTGCCTGCCCGCCACGCAACACCTATTCCGCGGTCGGTCCATTGGCTCCGTCGTAGCCAGCGTGCGAAGCGTTACCCCACTGCATTCTCTCGATAAGTCCCAGGGCGCCGGAGGTATGGGGGAGTCGCGCAATACCAAATCGAACGCTCTGCCTATTACCCAGGATCAGACCGCCGTTGACTCTTTTCGAAAGCTTAACGAATCGGAGAGCTCTGCTGAGATGACTACGCAAAGTAGAAACGGGGATTACTAGTATTATCGTGGTTATTGGAAGAAAGCGATATGACTTGATGAATGTTAGATGATTATAGTGTAGTCTTAGTTATTAACTAGAGATGTTTTAATTAAGGCAAATCATATCCATTCTTCCATCACACCTCATACTGTATATGAGCAGACAAAAACAGCACGGTCGCTTTCGCTCCTAATATATCATTCCAGTCATCACAACTCTTGCAGGTCTCGGGTATTTATTATTTTTTTCTAGTCTAACTTGGTACCAGGTGATAGATGTACTTTTATTCTCCCTAAGAGGGCTTTTTCTGCATCTTTTGCATAGCTTCACTCAAGCTCTTCTGTCCGTACATTCCACTCTGAACGTGACTAGCTACCCCCGCGGCACTATTCGCCCCAGCATTGACCGCGTTCGGAGTCGTCTTTAGGAAGGACGAGTTATCCCCGGCGGCGAAGCAACCCTTCAAGCTCGTCTCCCCAAATGGGGGACTCACCTTTAAATCTCCCTGTGGTGTAATCTCTAGACCCAATTGTTTCGCTAGAAAGTCGCTCTTTAGTTTGCTTAGGGGCTTGTGGCCGAGAAATGCTTCGTCCTTGGTTGTACCATCCTCGAAGTGTATTGTAATGCCGAGTTGATCCGGCCCCAGGGCGAACTTCGTAATGCGACGACTGTCGACAGTAAAAGGTGCAGTCGAACCAATCGCCGCTCGAAAATCTTCGATCTTGGAGGTGTCGCCGTTTGTATAAATAGTGACGGACTTGGTGAATCGAGCTGCGTTGCGAGAGACGTGGAGGGCAATGGGAATCGGTGCGACATCGTTGATTGCTAGAATACCAGATGATTCGCTTCCACGCTGTTCATAACCGTGGCAGAATAGGCAGTGGTAGCTTATCACCTGTTAATACGAGCTTTATAAGTCCAAGAAGCACATCTACTTACATACTTCGCCCCCAACACTCGTCAAAACAGGGTATGTCCAGAGGTACATCGATAATGCCAGTTGCGAGAACCAAGCTTCGGCCCTTCCACAACTTACCGTTTTCATCAATTACTTCGAATAAACCCTCATCATTCTTCTTGGCCTTCTCAATTTTCACGTCCTCATAAAAGATTGTCTTGTAGTTTTCGAGTGTGTTGACCCTGGCTGCGTCGCGGAAAGCTATGGGATCCTTACCATCCCAGGTAGGCAGCATATGGAAATGGGCGGCACGTTCATTTCGATACGAGTTCGAGTCGAACACAATAGCCGTATGCACATTGCGCGCTATGGTGACAGCTGAGTTTAGTCCAGCAGGCCCCCCACCAATGATGAGGACATCAACAAGATCTGGAGTAGGGGTTTTCGCATGAGGTGGCATTTTGGAAATAAGTGGGGTTATACGGACTTCAAACAAGAATCTGGATGAGGAGATTCTAAGTGGATAGAAAAGCAAGGCTATGGGTGAAAGAGGTCATATAGGTCGGACCGTTAGTGTTTGGTTTGTATGAAACATGTTGCCCTTACATGACCGGCGGCCGGTGGGCCCCACATACTCTACCGGTCGCCGAACGGGTAGCACTGTAGCAGTGCTGTCGGCTTCCGGCATATGTTGCTCTCCCCAACCCAGGGAGCATGGAGGCGCAAGAGTGCGTCGTGGATTGGGGCTTAGGGCAATGAATGAGAACCCGAAATTAGCGGTTACATGTACAAAATACACGGCGCAGGTTACAATGGGCCCGGATAAACATGGGGAAAGCGTTTTCACACCCTGAATCCATGACCTGTTTGAAGATCAATTTGTCAGTTGAGTAGAGGTGGTTGGTGGGAAGCGGACCCCGGACCAAGTTCAACCAGATTATGTGGATTATGAGGAATCTGTTTTATTTTCCCTATACATACAGCAGTCCTTATGCAGGTGACGTAGGTGTATCAAAAACGAACGCCACCAGCACGAATTAGTTACATGTACACTGGTGTTTACCTAGGTAGGTAGTGTTTGTTGGCTACCGCGCCCATTTCAATTGGGCTTCTTGACAATAGCAACATGAGCGACAGCCTCTAGGGTAATTTTCCCACCCTCATCTACATGAAATCCTTCTTTCTTAGCGAGGATCTCCTTGTACTTAGCCACTGCTGTATCCCATTTCTCCTCGTCTTCCTCCGTCCACCCACCAGCCGGCTGGCCAATAGCACTCCAGATGGCGGTCGCAAACTCGTCAAGATCCTTGACAGGCAAAAATGCAGATTTCTCGTACAGCTTAATATCCTCGAATTTGAAACCACCTTCTACCAGTCGGTTTCTGATGTATTCACGATCATTGTGCTTCATCTTGGGTTCAATGGCTATTCGTGCATCGGGGCCCCAAACCGCCCGACGGGTATCCTGAGCGGATTCTCCTTGTGGGATTGACAGCCAGAACGCCGTCACGGCTGTGCCCCCTGGTTGGAGGGTGCGGTACATTTCTTTTGCGGCTGCAACAGGATCATCAATGATGGGCAAGCCGAAAGATAGGAAAGAGTGAGTAAAAGTGGAATTGGGGAATTTCAGTTTCTGTGCATCCATGAGATTAGCTTTTGAGGGCCATTTTTTACCCGCCGAAATGCCGTTGTAGATTTGCACCATGGGCGGGACGGCATCCGTAGCGTGGATTTTGATGCTGTCGGGTGGTGATGTAGCTAGGATGCTCTGGGTGACCGGTCCCAGGCCACACGCATTGTCGTGAATAATGGAGTTAGGAGGGAATGCAGGTAGAATGCTCATCTCATACTGGGCGATTGTGAGTGTCTCATCGGCGCCAATGATCTGAAACAACTTATCATCGAAGGGCATAGCCTGCTTTGGAACGGAGCCTGAAAGAGCAGCCATTTTGCTAAGTGTGTTACGACACTAACCTAGATAACAATCAAATAAAAATGAATTATAGATGTATGTTGGCACGAGAAAGGGTAGATACGTAGGTGATGAAAAGAGAAAGAGGATAGATTTTGTTTAAGAAAGTAGTGTCGCTGTTGCGCAGCTTGTCGGCGGCCGTTCCTGGTATTTTCAGATAGGTCCCGAGCGCCCAATTTTCGGTAGCCGGCAGTGTCGTAACCTAAACATTTTTTTTTCTTACAGAGGGAACATAGACAATGAGGAGGTGGCCTACGTATAGTAGGTACCCTACCTACCTAGGTAAGTACCTAGGTAGGTTACTAACCACGTACTGAGGTAAGGGAGAGAAGACATAACGGCCAACTGCATCATTTTAATACCAGTACTGATGTTGGTACCTCCAGTGTTTACATAAGTACTTAGGTACATATATGTACCTATTTCTCGGTGCCCGGGGGTCTGCCGATGCGTAGTGGGGCATACAGGAGGGAAAAAAACAAACAAAACAGGTAAAAATGAGTCCTTACGTTTATATTTCCTCATCGTTGCCCTAGATCTTGATGAATGTAACTTCGTCTAGTCTCTGCCGATTCAAATCATTGATATCGACTGTTTGTCCTTGAGACTCGACCTCCTGCCAAGGGCATTCGGTACCCTCAGGCACACGACTATGGCCCTGGGTAGAAAAGGAAACAGCCGACGCATAAGCCCGGAATAGCTTCTGAGTGATGGGCTGGTTAGGAGATATCATTCTCATATAATATGCCAGGAAAGTAGAAGGTAACACTGTACGCCTACCCTGTCTTGATCCACTATTATGGAGTTATATTGAGCCATATATACAGATGCCTGTTTCTAACGATTCTCGGCGTAGTTTATAACAGAGAGGTATTGGACCTTTATATACATTTAAAGCGCCGAAATATGTTTCCCATTTGCGATGGGTGAAGTATTTTCTCAAACAAAAAGCCTCCTCTCATTTTTCCCCTGAACGCCAGAATCCAAGACCCAGTTTTCCCAGCCTACCCACTCATGATATCCGTAACGCCGTTCATTCCATCAAAATACAACAGTACATTGAAATGGTTTTGTCCCAACTTCTTCGGACCGCCCGCCGGCGAGGAAGGTGCAGTCGTGTTTGTTAATATCGGCAAGTACCTAGGTACATGCTCGGTCGGCCCCTTCCGTCGCGGCGTACCTCGGATCCGATCGAAACGCCAAACTCCGTTACTGTGGGGTCAATTGCGCCTCTGACGTTTGTCTATGGAGAAAGACGGGAAATTCGAAGCCATCTTCGAAGCTTAATGCATTCCTTCGATGATGTGAAGGTATGTGGTACATGTCGTAAGCGTCCTCATTTTCGTCTAGGGCAGATTCGCAGTCGCTGAAAGCTGGGCTGCCGACCTCAAGAGAACACGGGCGGGTTTGTGACAAGATCGATGTATTCTTTTTGTTTGACGTCGGAATAGGGATTGGTTGGGTTTGTGATGTATGGATGTGAGTGGTTGTAATTTGTTCCATTCTAAAAGGGGAACTTTTTGCTTATGGGATTGTATAATGATTGAATGCTTCTATGGTTTTCAGCTGAATGTTGTGATGTGGCGGATGAGATAAGTTCGTCCATGATTAGATCGATGCGACTATATATCTAGATACAGTGACCAGGATTCGCAAATGGTGACGATGAGTCGCCCGAGCAAATTAATCGATCAAACTATAGAGATCTGTACATACCGAGCCATCCTCGTCTCATCGGACAAACATTTAAAGTTTTGAATATTGTACTCAGATGCTTTCCTGCGCGCATAATTGAAGAGTGGGCTTAAATCGCATGTTTTTCCTACTTTCTGCCACCTTCGTGAGTTGAGAATCGTACGATCGGAACAACCCGGTTGCGCAAAACGACGGAGCATCTCGTCCCCTAGCATCGGTATCCACATATACTTCATCTGTTAATAATCAGTTTCCTTTTACAAACGTCACCAGACTTGCAAAATCTATTCCCGAACAAAGATCTAGACTTTATCTTCGAAATTGGGTGTTTTGTCAACCCATTAAGCAAGCCGGTATTTTTTCTTGGTTACCTAAGGAAGGACATTTTAAATAGTTATCTCCCTACGATTATATTACATAACCATAGTAGCGCCACTAAGTGGAGAAATCGAGTAATGGAGAAATCCTAAACCAGGACAACATTTTTCATCGTCTTCTTCATGTTAGCCTCAAACTCTTCCGTACCTATTTCCCCGTATGGTCTTGCCCACTCGCCTTTCATTAGGCGCAGGAAATGAGCTTTCCCAACAAGGTGTCGATAAAAACAAGGAACTCCAGGATCAACCCCGGTCTTTCGTGCCTTTCTCACTAAGAACGGAGTGGGGCAGTCAACATGAACAAAAATCTCATCGCCTAGTTGCGAACCTGGTGGTACAGTTCCTAGGAAGCCTTTAGAATTTATGGCAATGCGGCACCCAAAGGATTGAGAACGCATTATAGCTTTTTCGAAAGCTCTGCCTAATTCGCCCCCCTTAAATTCGGCCCAAGCGCCGAACGCTCTATCTACAAGATCTCTACAGAGATGTTGCTCACCATTTGACTCTGGAAATCCCGGGGAGAATCCGTATGCCGGTACTTCACAGACCCCACTTTCGCAGCTATGCCGCTTCGGTCTTCTAGTCTCCCCCACGTCTAGCAGTACCCTCCAGAGCGCTTCGCGTGTCGAGATAGCGGGAAAGGTCCCGTAATCCGTCCATGGGTATTCGTCTGATAAAATACGACGGATATCTGCTTAGGCAGTAGATAACTAATCGGCCCTAGAGTTTCTGATACACGGACCTAGAAACACGATTCTGTCGAAGGGCATGCATTTGCCCATAATCCTTTTCCGATCGAGAGGCGAAAAACAGCCATCTTTGATTTTGGCCCCCTTTCCCAATCCAGTCCAGAACCTATCCCCCATGGTATCTAGGCGGGTGTTGAAGCTCGCGTTAGAATATATCTTGGGGGGTCGAGACCAGTCAACCACCCACGATGGTAGATCTTGGTCTCTGTCCTCCCAGCCAATCCCACCAGCTAGAAGGTGTGTATAGTCATCTCCTTCCATTATTATCGCCAGGGTTGCCTCCATGAAGACCTGGTCTTTCGATTTCTCATAGTCTGGGGATATTATTGGATTACCAAACCATGAATCTAGTTTTATAAGCTCGCCATCCATAGAAACTCCATCAGCAGTGCCCTTTCGTTTCATGGTACTGCCAGATACGAGACTAAGGATAGCGAAGACTTAATCTCGAGGCTCCGTTGCTAGAGAATTCATGGTACTAATTAATATATCCCTCAGTGCCCTTTTAGGACTCCGCCTAGATTTATTGATCATTTCGAGGAGTCTTGATCCTTCTAGGGAGGGATTTCAAACACTAGATTCGGAGATAGTTTCGCGATAAAAGGCGCGTTCCGGGTCGATGAATGGTTCCGTATCCTTGTTTTGTTCTTTTAGCATACCCATTAGATGACCCCAACTGAGAGACACGCCACCAACATGGATAGTCAGATCTTTAGCAAAAGCTAGCTCCTGTATGATCCAAACACGTCTCCAGTAAGAATGGCATAGAATCTCCGTCATCCACGAGTAGCTTCTAAGCCTTCGGGATTTAGCCATGTGCTCAATCTCCTTGTCGGTGATATGATTCTGTGAATCTAGTTCTATCTTCGGAATCACATCCGGCATCTTGGGTGAGTCTACTGCCGCTACTGGTGCATGAAGGCGTAGAGTGTTTTCTGTTGCCATGAATACAACAGCACTGCGGGATTCATTTACGGTATTTCTCCCTAAGACACCGACTACCTTCGAGGCACGACGGTATATCTCCCCCATCAACGCTACTTGGCGGGCTTTTTCCTTGTTGTCGTTTTGATTGATACATATTGAGTCAATCCACAGATACCGCACATCAACCATAACTTTCAGGCAATATTCGGCGCTGGTGGTGATATTCAATTCGTGTGTGTCGCCGATGAGAATCGTCTTGTCCCTATCTGCACTCCCCACATATAAGAGATAGCGGTGTATTGTGGAACTCGACCCAAGTTAACGGTGATAATTTTATACTGACGTTTTATCTGTGGAAAGAAGAAGGACCCATGATTCAACGATCTCTGGTACTCTAGGAGGCGTATCGTATCTTCGGGTAAATTTTCCAAGTACTCGTAGGGGCTTCGCCGCGGTGTTCCTACCCGGGAAAACATTGCGCTCTCTTGGGTTATAGGGAAGAAGGGGCTTCCCCTCAATCATAATGAAGGGGCGCATTGTTTATATAAAAGTAGGCAGAGGGTGGTCGTAAAGCTATTGGCAGATGTGTTGCACTTTTAAATTGAATACCTGCATGTAAGAACTCGATGTCTCCAGCCAGTAATGTGAGACTTAATTTAACATCAGGCCTACAAATGTATCATAATACATGTCGGAACAGCATAACATTGTCTCTTCTTATCAATTGGGCGTACTTGGTGCCCGTAGCTATTCGGGCGTTTTAACAGCCTATTATAAAGGTTCAAGACAAAAGTTGTACATTTTAGAGACACCCAGAGAGTATTTTGGGGAACCACTAAGCTACTAGTACTATATTCCCCTGTATACTAGGTACCTAGTGAATCTTGCACTAGATTATAGCGATAAGTCCCTATAATTAAGGAACTTTACCGATTGTATAAAGACAGCCAGTGTTGATCTTTCTTTTACACAGCCTTTTCTGGGAGCCGATATTCGAAACGTCCACCGCCTGCCTTTATAGCCTAGCCAATACCAAGGTATTTTTCAGAAAAGGCAAACGCTTACTTTTATAAATCGAAGTTCTCTACTACATCTATACATTCATGCTACACGATATACACCATAGTATGTAACAATATACCTATCTACGCCAGTACTACCTAGGTACTTTTATAACTGCGGCACTAAACTTAGGAGGTACAGCCGATTACGCCCTAGATCATCTAGAGCGGACTAATAAACGTAGCCTTAGGTATATAGCCCAGTTAACAAGAATAAAAAAACACTCAAGATTACTTAAAAGGACTTGTTATTTATTCCTATTAATTAATAATCCGCTAGAGGACTAGACTCCATGAATATTTGCAGACTTAGGTATTTTCTGTATCAAACATATCCCCAATGTTGTTATCATCAATGCAGTCTCCAGTTCGACAAGAGTCACAGTGGGCCTTACCAGATGGAGCGTTGGCCTCACATCCACAAGCACAGCTGCATTTGGCCATTTTGAGTCAAGAACTTTAATAGATCAGTGGTGTCGAATGACAGAAGCAGAATATCGCGTGTAGAGTTTATTTCCTCTGGTTATGGCAGGATTCCATTACCATATACTATATTTAACCATTTCACTATTCATTGACAGCTACGGTGTTTCTAAACAGTAATAGATAACCTCGTAATACCCCATTCCAACCCTTAATCATGGTCATTTCAATAACCTGAGTACTACTGCCATGTGTAAAAACTTGATCTCTGCAGCCGTACACGTCTACCGTGATACATCTTTTTAATAAGGCGTACTTAGTGCCTTTTCGATATGCTGGGCAATGAAGCGGCAGCCTGTCCACAAAGTCAGCCACTGTAAATTAGGGCGCTTTAGCGATCATAAAAACAACCATAGTGAGTCTTACGAGACGGAGCGTGTTAACAGCTTCAATGTTCATGAACAATAATAATGAATAACTTAGCCCTACTCCGTTCTAACCCTCAATCATAATCTTTCAAATAAACTGAATACCAATGGTCATGTCTACTGACAGACAGCAACCTCAGGTCCGGCCCAGTACACTCCGGATATTATTGACGAGTAGAAAAATCGTGCCATTAAAACATCAGGTTTTCATTTCGAGCCTACGACAGGTTTCCATCAAATAACATTCTAAGTACCGCCTAAGGAATAGGTCCCTCCATACGATTTTTTATTGTTAAGGATCGTTCGATTCATACTACATAAATACCTAAGTAAAGATCGAAGAGAGCTCTGAGTTGTTGAAACTCATTGACTCGCCAATTCCACCGCACAGACTCATATTAGATCATTCTGGTTCTATCCATAGCACTTAGTCCAATCCCAATTCTTATAGCTCCTCGCTCTATTTGACAACTGGAAGGGGGTTCTGCCCTGCGCTCCAGGTGTCAAAATGGGTTTTTTAAGGCAGTATATTGAATAGCTATAATCTTTTTATGATCTGCTTGCCGTATCTCCCCCCTTCAAGTTCCTTCGGGAGAAGCTACTCTTTTTATGCTGCCTTACGGCAGTACATGATATTCAGTATAGCTTCCTTTCTTGGATACGAGATTGCCAAGAGCTGTGTTGGTGCCTTATATGCAGTAAAGCGCTTACAGCGCTTCCAGCGGGCCTATCAACCTTTGCCTATACATGTGTTGGTGATGGCTTCCTATCAGGGTGTTACAGGTATCATAACACCAGGTCTTACCCCCGTCGTTGGTGACCACCCCTGCGATGACTTTGTCGGATGGCTGGTAGTAGAGGCGTAACCAACCCTCCTTGGCAGGGACCTGGATTAGTGCGAGAGGAGAATTGGTGAGCACGGTGTCGGGGGTTGAGAGTTCGATAGTCTTCTGCCAGCCCCCGGGTTCGTGTATTCTGTCTGCGTGATTCTATTCTGATCGTTGGTTGCGAAAACCCAAATATTAGTGGTGCCACTGCCAAGAGCTGCCGTGCAGCTGTCGTTGACATAAGTTCCCTGGCACGTGAAACTGCCTAGACGTATTTTAGTAGGGTATGGTCTAGATCCTATATATTCAGGGCGGCTCACTTTGAGTCCAGTTGCCTTGAGAATCCGATACCCACTCGACGAACTTTGCGCCCGACACCTGGAAGTAGACTCGGGGGAGGATGGTAGCTGTTAGTGCAGCAGAAATACCAGTTCCGGAGATTGCTTCTGGTAAGATATTAGTGCCGTTACGCCACCCATCGCCATACGCAATTTATCTAATTTTATTGTTGGTATCTTGATAGTATACTCGAATGTCTTGGCCGGAACCGGACTGGGTAGCGGCGAGTTCAGAGTTGGGGACCGCAGTGAAGTATGCGCCGGTCTTGTCTGTTAGAGCACCGCCGGTCCACCCTTTACCATCTGCCCCAGGAAAGGATCACTAGAAGGGTTTGTGAGCTAGAATCTAGTATCACAATAAGTTGAACGGGAGTTGTTACCTCCACAATATAGCCCTCTGAGGAGAGGCAATAAACACGAATCTGGACCTAAATCGGTCAGTCATAATGCAATCTAGTTTGACGGCGTCGAGGTTCGCAGCTTTTCCATACCTGAGTTCCGCCACTCCAAGAAACAGCGGCGATGCCACTGTCTAATTTCCCTTTACCGACGGTAGCTTCGGTATTTTGATGCCAAGGTGGATTGGAACCAGTATCATAGAGAGTCTCCCGGATGTTTCTTTCGGTATCATGGTAGTAAACAGGAATATGTGTGTTTGTTCCATCGCCAAAGGAGATGGCGGCCAAGGACGTTCGGTTAAGAATTATAGCCATTGCGATATTTTGGCGGATAGTTAAGTGTTATAGAAATGTAGAAGCTATGAGTTTAAGGTGTTGTGTATGTGAATTATCTGGAGAGGAGAGGGTACGAAGACGACTATTTATACCCAGTGGTAGCAGAGGAAACACAGCAAGACACAAGGCTCTTCTCTCCAGCCGTAAATCGGAGGAACAGACCAAACATACTGTAGATTGTAAAAGTCCTGTCACATTATCAGCTTGTTTCAATCTAATAGCAGGTGACTAGTTACGGTACCGTATACTTCGGCGACATTGGCTTCATTTACTTCCAACTTTTTCACATCGCACGTTAGTCAATACGAGTTTTAGTCACAGAGGTCCGAGACACGCCGCTCTTTCGTCTTAAGCATGACACTGATATATACATAAGTGAGTGGCCTGGCCTTAGGGAAGGGCTTATAAGAGCAATCCCAGAGCTCCAACCGCTCTGAAGGTAGTCCCTGGCCTCAGTCAAGTTCGAGAGTAACCTAATAACTCGTTCTCAGGTATGGGATACCTAGTTGTAATCCTCAATTCGCATTGTTCAAGAATTGAATATGAAAGCTACATATACCTAGGTACAATCGAGCCCCTATCGTAGTTCGCCAGCAAAGGCATATGACTTCACCGGGCTATTTGGTGGCGTCCGGACAGCAATAATATTGAGGCGCCTTTGTCAGGCCTGCAGGGATGTTAAGCAGTCATATGAGTATATTGACAGACCGGCGAGCAGTGAATTGTCTTCAGCTGCCAAGTACCCCATTGATATGCAGGCCCGATCCAAACTTGAGAATAGACGGATCTATGCTTAGTACTGCATAGCCCCCGATGAAAACGAGGCTACTCTGCGGGGACAGCCCGGGGACTTAGGATCGATATTCCGGAGTGCCAAAGATGACAAGGTTGCGACTTCATTCCTGTGATTTTCCCATTGGATGCATGTATAGCTCACCTGAATTTCCTTGTACTGATAATGATCGCCATCTACCCTGATGTGGGCCATCTTTCTAATAGCTTTTTCCTCCACAGGCCAATATTGATTCTGAGTGCCCAAAGGGGATCTTTGATCATCACGCACGGACAAACCAAGACCATCGTCTCACTTTGAAGTCTGCAGGCTCGAACGCCACATATAAGGATCAACTGAACTTTCTGGCCGTTAACGACGCTTAGCCGATGGAAAAGCGTATAATGAAGAAGCACTTCAAGACCAGTGAAAGGTCGCCGAGGTTGCCGATGGTGTAAAGCCTCGTTCCTCTGTCGTGTGTACCGTATCACACGACAACTTCAATCCTTCTCCAACTCATAATTGTAGAAGAAGAAAAACTGCAGCCCATAAGACGAATAAAAAGAAAGCCTTTGCTTAGTAGTTTCAATCTGTTTACTCCCGAAGGACGACACACTTACTATTACCACTCTTTGCGTTCCCACAATCTTAGTTAGACTTTAATTGTAGAATAAACTTGGATGGTATCAATTCGTTAGATTGACATAAAGCTGGGAAAAGTGAAAGAACGAAATATACATCTCAAAATGATGGAAGTTTTATTTTCCGTCGGACTCCGCGGGGTGCACCCTTTTAATAAGACCGGCTTTAGCGGGGTACCCCGGAGCTAGTGCCTAAGACATTCTTACAGTGCGAATTGGAGATACGCAACTTACCTAGGTACATATAATACATGTATATGTAGATGACAGGTTATTCGGTCGGACAGTGTGTCGAGAACTGTGTGGGGTGCTCAAAATATGAAACCTGTAGTCTCTGCCTCTTTACTCTTTTCTTCTCGATACAACATCATACCCACATACTTTCTATACGAACATCCACTGAATTAACCTATACTCAAGTGCATGGGTATCTACCTTTCCTCAATCCTTTCGTGCGGCTCCTAGTTTGTCTATTTCAATTAGACCAAGAAAATAAATGGTTTTTCACTTAGTCAACCTACCTACGATATGGAGATAAAATTGTACGACGCTTTGGAGGTCGAAATAGAACGCCTCCAGATTACATACATAACACTTACACTTACGGATCATGACTAATATCCCTTCACCGGACCAACTTAGCTCCGCTATAGAATGGCCTCCGTATCGGCTGGAGCTAGGGAACTTATAATTCCCCGTGTACTATCGGTTTTGTGTGTATAGCCGTGCAATTAATTCCGAGGTTTCAATTCCTAGATAGGTGCAGATGGAGAAGGCTACTAGACATTTGATATCTAACGCAATTCTCATGATGGTTGTTACTAAGTCCGTTAATTCCATCACTATTTTAAGGGGTTAAGAGATAACCAAATTTAGAGGTTTGATGTCATCCCAAGCCAGAAAAATGCAAACTATCAGGCAGATGCCAACACGAATAAGCAAGTTTGCTAGATAAACATGGAAGTTATCTCCAAGATGAATATAAATACCACTCGAGTATGCCTCAGTCGAAGAGATGCTCTTGACAACCCAGACAACCATCACATCACTAGAACTTCACATCTCCAATCATCGTCACGCAAAATTATTGTGATAACACCAATTCACCGCGAAAATGACGGCTACTACGCATCCCGAGTTTAACGACAAGACAGAAGCCCTAGAGGTAGCCAAGGCTTTTGCTGAAGGGGTTCACGGCAAGACCGTACTTGTGACAGGTGTCAACCCCAAAGGGATTGGATTCGCAACGTGCCAGGCTTTTGTAAGTATAGCTATGAATTTCATTTTCTGAAATTACTAATGAATATTGTAGGCCTCCCAATCTCCAGCCCACTTGATCCTCGCTAGTCGTACCCTATCCAAGACTCAGGAGACTATCGACACTCTCAAAGCCCAGTATCCCGATGTTGACTACCGCCCCCTCATATTGAATCTCTCCTCTCAGAAATCTGTCCGAGAGGCTGCCGCCGAGTTCTTGTCCTGGTCTGATGTCCCGACTCTTGACATTGTAGTGAATAATGCGGCCGTCATGAACATCCCGGAGCTCACACTTAGCGAGGATGGGATCGAGATTCAGTTCGCGACTAACCACGTCGGACACTTTTTATTCACTTCTTTGGTTATGCCGAAAATCATCAAGGCTGCGGAGAGAAATCCCAAGGGACTTACACGCGTTATCAACGTCACTTCTCTGTCTCCTACCATGGGTGTCTTCAGGTGGAGCGACATCCACTATCAGAAGAAAAACAAAGACCTTCCCGAGGAAGAACGACCCCCTTTCGACATTCACAGAGCGTGGGGCGAGGTCGACCCCGAAGAAAACTCGTATCTTCCGCTCGAGGGTTATAACCAGGGCAAAATAGGGAATGTATTGTTCAGTGTTGCTTTGAACAACAAGTTGTATGAGAAATACGGAATCTTGAGCATGGCTGTCCACCCGGGAATGATCCCTACCGAACTATCGAGAGAAGCTGCGCCAAGGACTTGGGACGCGATCAAGCGAATGGCTGAGTCCTCGCGTTTCAGCTACAGAACCCAGGGTGCAGGAGCATCTACAAGCCTTACAGCTGCGCTGGACCCGAAATTGGCAATGCCTGAGAGTAGAGACGGCAAGGAGAACTACGGTGTCTACCTTATGGACTGTCAAATTTCCGACAAGGCGCTTCCCGGCTCAGTCTCGAGCGAGAAGGCCGAGCGTCTGTGGAAGCTCTCGGAAGAGTTGGTTAAGGAAAAGTTTGATTGGTAAAGGAACCAAATTTGGATCTCATTCATGTAACACCACTCTCCTCCACGCCACTTTTTATAACTAACCTTACAATTCTTCATCCATAAATTTGTCATCCATCCTTGAATATTCTACGTTACTCCCAATGAGCGAAGAAGAAAAAAGTCCGCTCAAAGTAGCCTCATAAAGTTGTTTATTATGGTACAATTATGTGGGTCACACGCTAACTTGATCCTAGCCCCCCTTAATATAGGGGATCGTGAATTTGTTTTCGCTTATGTAATCCAACCCCCTTTTACCCCTGACACCAACAGAGAATAATGAGAATTTAGCAGATGCACACTTTATTAATCATTTCATTATCCTTATAACACTATTTTAATACAGTATAGATTTTTGCGTATTTACCGAACTTGCTCGACACTGAAGAGCAAGGTTAGTCGTACAGAAACAGGGATGTCTTCGGGGACGCAAAGCTGACTCAGATTCATCTCCCGTATCTCCCCAGATATTGTCGCTCAAAAACATCGGGTTCCTCAGCACCTTGATTTTGCACCATAGGCACCTCCGTTCCGGTCTCCCCTGACGGCAGTGAGCCCCTGGTAGACACTGATACCGTCATCCCGGGATGACTGCGCATGGGACTCGCATTGCTATTGTCACTGCCGCTGATTGCACTGCCCTTGTACATGTCGGGGACGCCAGTGTGGTTAAAAGACGGAAAAGCTCCAGCGCCGGTAATGCCACCCTTGGCTATGTGCTTGAATTCGTTGAGGACGACGAACTCGACCTGAAGCTTGAAGGCGTACACGAAGGAATGTAGAACAGCCTTCAGCGTATAGTACTCGAGATAGTCAAGCGCAATGACGATCACGTCAGCCAGGACCACGAGCACCTGCACGATGATGAGGAATGCTAATGTGGTTTTTGCCTTCGCATTAAGCGACAGTTTGAGAAGTTGAAGCGTGCCCCACACGTAAATGGCTGAGATTGCTGTCTCCTGGACAGAGAAGGCCATGATCTGAATGCGTTCCATGATTTCCATATGCGGGAGATATTTCGCATGTGTCGCAGAATTCGATATTAAGAATTGGAAGGTAATTGTGGGCACGCCGAACACGAATTCATCGATAATAATCGTCGCCAGCACGATGCGCAGCAGTCGTTTATCCGATGGGATGACGAGGTGCAACCGTGACCATAAGACAACACTAAACCCACACACCTCCGCGACCCATCCAATTTCGGAGAGCACGGTAGTCAAGATCCAATTCGCTTCCGGCACGCAGAACTTAAGTACAAACCCGACAGCATGGATCGTCACACCCCACGTGGTACCCAGGACCGACCAGAAGTAAACCCCACGCCAACGCTCGAAGGTGTAAAGCACCCAAAACGTTAGCTCGACAGTAGTCCATATCGGAAGAGCCGTGAATACGGCAAGGATGGACCTTGGATGGCGTTAGCATCGAAGCACGCGCGCCGGGTAGGAATTCATTTTACCAGACGGTTAGATTCCAAGGGAGCGGTCCGGTCCGCGCGAAGGACCAGTCGAACTCGTCTAGTGGCACCCATGGTACCGTAATGTTTCGGACGCCAGACATAACTGCAAGTGATTTCGATGGCTAAGTAAGGATGCAGAGTAATTAGGATTATTGGGAGGTATGGTTCCGTCTACTTGGGCACGATCTAAGCGAGATAACGAAGTGACGACCAACGTCCCTTGTTAAATACAAAATCCACACAACTACCCCCAAAGCTTTTTGTACTCCATGGGACTAAAATACGCAATGCTAACGGTGAGAATCGCTATCTATGGCCTCTGAAGCTTATCATGGGTAGGGTTTAGGGTGAGCACGCGTGGCCTCCTTGCAAGAGGCCATGAAGATCCAGCATCTCCGACCGGACTTAACATACGTTTTGTTCAGCTTTCGCATATATATAGACAATTCGGTAGGGGATAAAGAAGCCGATTGGGTACCAATCAGCATGGAGGCTATAGCGATGTAACGCTATAACCCATTATGTGCCGAACGCATAGAGGGCTAAATGCGCCATAGTCAGGGGACGAATACTACCACGACGAGGGCATCGTTCTCGGCCCTATACATACTAATCGAAATGACGATATCTTCAATCTACCTCGTGCCTACCCACATTGTCATGACTAAGAGACATTGAGGTTTCAGCTCGGAGGTAGTGAGGAGTTAAGATAAATATGGTATGTTTGCGATGAAAACTGACTAGGTGCGACCAAGAAACCTGGTTTGTGAAACTCCATTCTTACTAACGTCGCTGCATATGTAAATGTCAGACGTATAAAATATTATTTTTGTTTTACTTGATGACTGGAATCGGTGCTATTCAGCGTCGCATTCTGGATATCACGTCAGAATTTAGACCCTACCAAATAAGGAACGCAGGGGAAATTTCTTCAGTATGGCTTCTTTCCATACGTGTGATATGCTTGAACACCGACACGTCATATATACCGTTTTTAGTTGTTATATAGACAGTTCGGATTATCTACCTGGTGGATTGTGTAGGTTTTAGGTATAAAGCCATATCAACCCCTTCAGGCGGAACGATCATAATTCAAACTAGAATTTTTCCTGGCCTGATTTACAAGTACGCATTCATCCTTCTACGTTTTATTTGTCTTGGAATGAATCGCTACCAGAGCCCTAACCTTATAAGTCCGTTATGACAGGGCCATCGGCGCTGTAATTAGTGAGGTGCTAAAATGCGCTATGGATGTGTTGTAATTTTAGGGTCCTACACGGCTTGAGGCCCTATAGTCGGGTTACAGCGTGTTACGGCACGCAGTCGAAACTCACTATAAATGTACGTAGGTACCGTAATCATAGGGCTCTATAGGTCTTCGGGAACTGTAATTATAGCGCATTATAGCACTCAACTAAGATGTATTGTAGGAATGCTGGAAATACAGCGCTCTACAGGGCGTTTTAGTGTAGTGCTGTTATGCGCTGTATGTACTTATAGGTGCGTAAGTGCTATAAATCCGGCCGCTATAATTACCTAGGTACCTAGATATAGCGCATACACCACTACGATCCCCTATATTTACAGGGAGCTTCAGTAACATGACTCCCTGTAGTTGCAGTGACATAGTACAGTGTGTCATCATATTGTGTGTTCGTACGGCGTTTTGGCGCATTGGCAGTTTTGTGCTTATAATGGGAGGCTCCTACTAGGCGTAATTAAAACGCGCGTTTCCTTTTAGTGAAGAGGCCCAATGAAGGAACAGCGTCGCAACAGCAGCACCGAGACTTTCGGCGACATTTCTGTACGAGGAAGCTTTAACATATATATTGGCAACCTCAGTAACTTCAAGGGATGTGGTTTTGATAAGACTCTCTATCTAGATACATATCCCTTAAGGTGATAGGTGATTTTATAGTCATGACTATAGGGAGCAGCATCGTGTAAAGAGCTCACAGTAACCTATTGTGGGGATTTGAGTATACATAAAGGGAAACAACTTTGTTGGCTGCCCCGCCCTAGACTAAGCCTCTCAAGATTCTCCGTAGCGGCACGATTCCTTGAAATCCCTACAGGGTTGCTTCCTCTTGGTCCAGACCGCTGGCGGTGGCCAGTTGTGACTTCTCCTTTGGGCGGGCCGCCACGACGTTGGGTTGGCTGGCATCGTGCGCTTCATTAGGGTAGCAAAGTCGGATATGGCCCTTATCGAGACAAGACAGCTTGAGATTTGGTGAAACTCCTTTGCCATTTTTAGTCCAATTGTCACGGATTTCGTACATCATGATGCTGTTCGGATCAAATGATGTGGCCTGAATATCCCGATTCTGTTCGATAGAAAACATGTTATAATCAACTGTGGCGATGTCCCAACCAATAGGATGGTTTCCAAGGTCTCGGTACACTTCTTCCTTATCCCATGGAATCTGAACACATGGGCTTTGGTGTTCATGGATGGCTCCAAGTGCGTGGCCGAACTCATGAAGGATGGCGTAGCGGATAAGGCTTTCTGAAGTATTGTTGTTGATGCAATTCGGATTCATGGATGGTTGATCCTGAGAGCTGTACCAAGCACAGTCTACCCCCAGACGCGACGAGGACTCCTTAGTTGGGTCAAAGGCGATAAGGATATCTAGCTCCCCTGAATCCACAAAAGTGAATGCGATATTGGCAAATTTACACCACTCTAGTGCATATTTCTTGACTCGGTCCTATATGATAGTTAGTCATATACTAGTCTCGATCCCATGAAGTTGTTTAGCTAACTTTCTGCCATATAGAGCCTCCTTTAAAACCGATCCTAAGTTTGCTGCCAGGTTTCCAGAGGAGATTAGTCATCATAGCAAGACCCAAAGGTTGAGTCGCATGATTATTCGCAGAGTACATGGAGAAAGTGGGTCCAGAAAACGTACCTAGTCTAAGTATGATTGTTAGATGGACTTGCAAATGGAAAATTCCCCTCACTTGAAGGGCGCCCGCCTTCCTTATATATCTAGGCACATACTATATATGAAGGCTGTTCGCATTCTACGATCAATAATCTTCTATGCGGCGGGCGACAAATACTTAACTGGGCGTTGGTTGGTTAATTGACTCGGGTCATCCGGTGTGTTGCACAGGAACCTCATTCGTTGGTAAACTGCACCAAACTCCCCAGATATCTTCAACGTCGGACAAAGGAGGGGAGGCCCGGTACCTGTGTACTTGCACACACCCCCACGTAAAAACCAAAAATCAATGCATCCTCGTTACCAACTGTAACAACATTTCAGAATGATATTGGGAGAGTGGTTGCTAATTTAAGGGACAAGCGTCTAAGAATCATAGGTGAAAATAGGTGTGATAAAAACTAGGTACCTATACAACTATACTACGAGAAATGAGCACACTTTTAATATATACCCAAAGTGCCTAAACCAGAATCTTAAACCACAGTACCCTACATACCTAGGTACCTTAAATACCTTGAATACCTTAATTTTAACTAATATCCCTGCTCGTCACCATCCCCATGATCCCTTCTAAACCACCTCCTAATCGCCGGCATCCCCGCAGGCGTAGCCTTCGCCCCGGCAGGCGCAGTACCCATCGCATAACTGCTAGGAAAAGGCGGCTCAACCGTAGTCGTAACAGTAACCTGCGCAGCCGTCTCCGTAACCGTCACAGGCGGGACATCGCACGCGCATGTAGAAGCCACCACCTTATCATTGGACCTAGTCGAGTACACAGTCCGCGTATTCGTCAAAGAAGAAGTGACAACCGTAGTATCACCGTTCGAAGACTCCGCTGGTTGCGGGTTCTTGGGAACGGCTGATGGTGCTTCGGTGGGATAACTGACAGGCACGACGGTCAGCTTGGTTACCCTTTCAGGACTTAAAGAATCAATATTGAGAAGGCGGTTAAGAGTAATTAAGAGATAGGTACTAACCTTGAAACTGAGTTAACTGGGACTGGTACTGAAGATGCAGGCTTCACCTCAGTGCTGGATGCTTGGCTCGTCTGGTAGCTTGGGACATCAACGGTTTCTGAAGATGCCGAATAGAAACTAGTCGGAACGGAACCGGAAGATACGGAAGCCGGAGGCTTTTGAGTAATGGTCTCGTATACGATGGTAGTCGTGAAGTAACTACCAAGCGTCAAAGTCGTGCCCGGCTTGTTGGAGTATACCTCAGCCGAGCTCGATCCGACAGCCGCAGTGCTACCGGTGCTACCGGCTTGGGTTGGGTAGTACGAGGTCGGTGGCGGAGTGTCGACGTAACTGATAGTCGTGGTTACGACAATGACTGAGCCGCTCAAGGTGTTGCTGAAAGTAAGGGCAGCGGTAGTATACTGCGACTCGCTAGCCACAACAGGAACGCTCGTTCCTTTGGCGGCTGTCGATGACTCCTCTGCCACTGGGCAAACTGTAGTCGACACAGCGACGGTCTCTGTGGTTACAGTACCACTCGCCGGGCAGTTAGTATCTCCGAGAGCGCAAGAGGAAACCGTGTAAACGTTAGTGGAGTAAATAGTCGACGTAGTATAAGACGGTGCTGAAGATGCGTGAGGTGACGATGCTGCCACAGAAGATTGTGCGGGCGATGCCTGAGATGACACGGTCTGGTAACTGCTCGACTCAACAATAGAACCAGAAACACTGGACATTACATAGGATGACTCAGCCTGAGTAGCACTTGACTTGATTCGAGGAACCGATGCAGCTGAACTATGGGTAACTGTGGAAGCTGTCTCAGGTAATGCGCTGGAAGTCTCCTCGACCGGGCATACCGTTGTGTAGAGAGGGACAGTCTCGGTTGTGACTGAACCAATCTTGGAAGAGCAATCAGCCTCACCGGGCTTGCATGAACTGACGGTATAAACGCTACTTGTGTAAACAGTGGACGTTGTCATGACGGTGTGAGAAACTGAAGAGCCCTTTGATACAGCATACGAGGACACTGATTGACTTGGTACGGAAGTCTCAGTAGCTACCGGAAGTGCTGAAGATGTCTCATAAGCCGATGATTGAGACTCAGCAACCGGGCAAACGGTCGTGTACAAGGAAACAGACTCCGTGGTAACCTTTCCTAGGCTAGCAGGGCAGTCCGTAACGCCGGGTGCGCAAGAAGTGATAGTATAGACGTTCATCGAGTATACTGTTGAAGTAGTCATCCTAGCAGCGGAGCTAGAAACAGGTCCGGAAGAAGCTGGGTAGCTCTGAGAAGGGCCTGCCGAGAAGCTCTCGGAAGCAGACACCGTGGAGCTTTCCACAATACCCGAACTCATTGCCGATGCTGAAGAGCTTTCCTTCACAGAGCTCGATGAACCAGAAACGGAAACGGGGTGGGCACCACTAGTACTACTGACCGCCGAAGAGCTTCCAACAGAAAAGCTTGTCGGGCTACTAACGGGGTACCAAAATCCCGAGCTATCAACGGTAGCCGACTCAGATTCAATCGGCACCGATGCAGTGGACGCTGAGTGAGAAGAACTCGCGGCATACGTAGAAGATGGAGATAGTGCATGGGTGCTGACCTCTGTTGTTGCGCTATAGGTTGTACCATCAACGACGGTATGCGTAACTGGGCAAACAGTGGTATACAGAGACTTCGTTTCGGTTGTAACCTTGCCAACTGGGCAATTTGTAACCGATGCAGCGCACGACGTGATGGTGACGACGTTGGTCGAGTAGACAGTAGACAACATCGACGTAGTAATCTCACTACTAACACTATACGTACTTGGCATTGCTCGTGGAGAGGAACTAGGTACGGAAATCGGGTAAGAAGACTGAGATGAAGACTCCGTTTTAATTGTAGACCCTGATATTGATTCCGACCTCGATTCCGATACTGACACCGGTACGGATGACGACGATATGGAGGCTGATTCTGATACCGATTCCGACACTGAGACCGATACAGATGATGCCGATTCAGATACTGGTACCGACACAGATGCTGACACCGGCGCTGACGCCGATGACAATGACAATGACAATGACGATGCCGAATACGATGCTGAGGATACTGATGAATGTGCTGATGAATGTGCCGCTGAAGATGCCGACGGCGATACTGTGACTGAGACGGACACTGATTCTGAGCTCGACTCTACGGGCGACGCAGACGACTCACCCGAAACCGCATACGAACTTGGTTGGCTTACCACACTAGAAGTATGGACGACAGAGCTAGATGGTGCAGGCTTAGAACTTTCAGCCTCACTAGCAGAGCTCATGGTTGTGGATAAAGAAACCAACTCCGTTGTGACCTTTCCGACAGGGCAATTAGTTACAGTTGGCGCGCAAGATGTCACAGTGTAGATGTTTGTCGAGTACACAGTGGACACAACGCCACCAGAGGACATCGAGTAGCCATACGTAGATTCGCTTACTAAGCTTGAGGAACCAGATTCTGTCTTAGACTCCAAAGCAGATGAGGCCGGATGGCTAGAGCCAGGTCCTTGCGAAGCCGAAGAAACGCTGGAGCTGACGGCCTCAGCACTTGAACTGCTAGCATGAATAGAGCTAGACTCGGTCAAGGAAGATGCAGGATAAATAGATTCTTTCGCTCCACTGGAGCCCGGCACAGAGCTAGACTCAGCCAATGCACTACTGGTGGTGGTACCAAGCAGGAGAGAGCTCAAACTGCTCAAAATTCCACGGCTGCTAGTTGGGGAACTGACTGGGTATTCACTACCACTAGACGAGGTAACCGCATGGCTACTGCTTTCCGGCGAGCTTGTTGGATATTCGTTACCACTTGATGAGGCAGCGGAATGGGTACTGATTTCGGGCGAGCTGACGGGGTAACCGCTAGGAGTCTCCGACGCTGAAGCCTCTGCCGAGGAAGTCGCAGAGCTCTTCTCCGATTGAGAAGCCGAAGGCGACGAGACAGGTCCACTGGCAACTGACGAATGCGATTCAACCGACGAGGCGCTCGACTCACTAGCTGCTGGTACGCTCGCGGCTGGGTATGTGGAATGAGACTCAGCGAGTGAAGATGAATGCGCAGTAGCCGATGACGATGACTCGGCATGAGACGTGGGATAGCCCTCGGGAGCGGAACTAGATGAATGGTCGCTCGCAGATGCTGGGCCACTTGTGGGATAGACTTCCTCAGATGAAGATGAGTGGCTGACAGAGACCGATTCCGGTTTACTGGTGGGATACGCTTCCTCGGACGTAGACGAGTGGCTAGTGGAAGCAGCTTCGGGTTTACTCGTAGGGTATCCTTCCTCGGAAGTGGATGAGTGGCTTGTAGCAGGCGGGCTATCCTTCGACGTAGGATACTCGTCAGCCGAAGAGCTGGTAACATGGCTACTAGGGGGTGGGTTGGCCGGGTATGTTTCGAAGGTTTCGCCGGATGAAGTAGAAGGCTTGTTCTCGGAAGGCGAACTGGCTTCGTATGTGGAAGCATCAGCAGCAGAAGACGGGGGTGGGTTTGCGACGGTAGCTGATTCGGCTTCGCTTGCAGCTGAACTTGGTGCACTCATAGGGTAGTCATCAGCACCCGGGTCCTTCTTTACGACCTTCATCGGATTAGAATGTTGGCAACCATCCGTGATCTTCTGAATAGAGTCGATCTTCCCAGTCTACGAATTGTTAGCGAGATCATCATAGCATATCTCAAGATGATTCACATACCTTATCCTGATACTTATATTGACAAGCCGGATACTTGTTGGTAATGTTGACACTCCTTACATACATAGTATAAGGAGCATTCTTCGTGTCGATTTCACCACCAGCCCATTCAACAGTCAACTTGCTGTTGGAAGCATCCCCGCCTCCCCATACACCAAGCTGAAGCTTCATCGGAGACTGGGGAAAAGTGAAACCGTTGGGAGTGTCCTTGGCTGAGATACTACGGACAACCTTATCGTCTACGTACCAGCTCATATGAGTTTCATCCCAATCCACGGAATATTTGTGGAATTGCTCTGTAGGCTTATATGCGTCTTTCTGGTAGGTAGCCGCGCCATCCCACATCTTCCCCTGTGCGAAGACGTTGGTCTCAACCGCCCACATTCCGTCCTTGGGCGGGAAAGGGGTTTGGCCGAACTGATTTCCCGAAAATTCGTAATCGATCTCGTCTTGAGCGTCTGACCATAGCACAGCGCTACTGATCACACCTTGACCGGGAGCGATCTTCATCTCAACATCATAACGACCGCCAAGCACGTAGAAGTCAGTCCACATGTTCGGCGCATCGCCTTGCTTCGCATACGAGAACTCGGCTCCATCCGAAGTAAAACTGATAGCTTCATGGTTCGCAACGGCCCAGTCAGGTGGGAGACTTGTTTGCTTCGTAAAATCGATATAATAATTATCTTGTGGCCAAGCTTTCTTCGGTTGGCAGTCTGTATGAAGTGGATTGCAGTCTGGTTCGAGCTGACCGTTGGCAAATTGGGCCGTAAGACCCAATGCCGTGAGTAAACCAATAATTCCTCCTTTTGGCATTTTAATGACCTACAAAAATGGTCTATAATAATTTGAAAATGAATGTTATAGTGGGTTAGAAAATTTCCCTGAAGCATTTATCACTAGAGAACTACCCTTAGTCATATTAGTGACTCGAGGAATAAAGCGGCATTGTACATTTACTCCTTAACTCGTAAGCAATAATATCAAAGCAAAAATTAAAGCGCCCTTGGTCGAGGTCCTGTTCCAGGAATAGTAGCAGCTTTTGGAACCTTTTGCCTCGTCTTAGAGAAGGAGAACTAAGGATTTAATGAAATTAGAGATAATATGAATATATTTTCCTTTGATAACTTTGAAGGACGTTTCAGACTCAACAAACCAATGAATGTACTTCACAGTTTTCACTCCGTAGAATTCATTGTCGAAAGGATTGACAATAGAAGTCATCGGCCTCCATTCTTGACAACCCTTGCGGGCGTATGTTAAAAAATACTTCATTTGTAGTATCAGGTTCATCGTTCTAGACAGTGCTACACAAAGAATCGCTCAGTCGCAATAGGGCTGGTGGTCTCCCGCATGACCATCGGTGATGATTCCTATGACCCATTGTTAACGAGGGTTGAATCAAAGCCCGTGACGAGAGACGATGAATATTATCATATAATCATAAATATTATGATGGAAATTACTATAATAAACGTGAAGATTGATGAACGTAGATGGTTTGTAGTTTAAAGTCGAGGCTAAGATCTGAGAAGAGTTAGAAGAGGAGAAAAATACCTCCACTTAGCTGCAGCACGTGCCGTGTTACCGGTAACCGCCATTTACTGAGGAATAAAACGATGATTACTAAGGTTAAGCCCTTGTATCACAGTACCTACCAAAATTATCCGATGCAAGGCAACCGGGTCGCCAAGCTTTTTAGTAGGCAACTTTAGTCTGGACCACTCATCCCGCTTCAGCACGACGAAATCCTTGGAAAAAGGTGGGGGCTCTAGGACATTGGTACCACTGATTACGCCTCGTTTCCCAATCCGAATAGCGGCGTACCATCGTACCGACGTACCTAGCCATTTTCTTTAGTCCTATTGATTGCAGCCATTGAGAATTGAGTGCGTACGTCCAGGGCCTCACCTGCCCAGAACAATCATTCAATCGTCTCTTTTTTCGCCTCGTTGCACCCTCGAATTCGCGCCTGCCTGCCTACACACTCACCCTCCCTAGAAAATCGGCTTACGTTTTTTCCGTTCTCATTTTTTTTTTTCATTCGACAATGCGTTAGAGTTCTAATCCTTCTCACGATCAAGTCACTCTCTCTAATATTTTCCCCTTTAAGCGGAATATCATATACCCACCTACACCTACACCCTCTCGAACGAAAACTCTACACCTGAAAACTCGAAATCATTAATATCCTTTGTCAGCGAACCCTTTAAACAAACAACCCCCGCCTAACCTACTTCCTACCTACCCGCGCCCAGCCGCCACACCGTCAGAAACTCTAACCCGGCATAAAAAAAAAAAATTCGGAAAAAAAAAAAAAAGAGACGATGGGCATCTTCAGCCAACGAACCAAGCACAAGCCCGCAGCGCAAGAAATCCGCGTCGAAAAAGTCATCATCCCCTCAAAACCGAGGCCCAGCACTCTAACACCGAACGGACACTCCCGCGCGTCGACATCAAGCCAATACCTCTCCGCCTCTCCCCGCCCATCCCCCAACCCGCGGCTCTCCCGTCCCAAAAGCGCGTCCCCGTACCCGTCCTCCGCAGACGAGAAGCGAAGCAGTATCCGACGGAAGCGCAAAGCAGTCTCAAGTAGCACACCACGGGACTCACCCGCTTTCGGAAATGACTCGGAATCGTCGGATGATGGGGGAGACCCCTTTCGCAAGAGATTGCGCCGGAGTGAGGAGAGATCGATAGATTTGAATCGCAAGTTACGGCATAAGAAGGCGTTTGGCGATGAAGTTCGCGATTCGCGCATAATACACGCGGCGGATATTGCATCAGTCGCTACCAAATGCCCTCCGATCCAGGGCGCGGAGCCAGAAGAAGTCGCGATCGAGCTGCAATATCCGTCGCGGTGTAAGCGCGAGAGGTACGTCATTGCCATTCGCTAATTTACTATGTATAGAGGGGTTCGATTCATGGCTAACATATCCGAAAGGTACGAGCTAGTGTGGCAGAAAGACAAGATCGACGCAGTGAAAGACATCCTCGCAGTAGTCGAGCACGTGGCCGAGACATATCTCACCGATGACGAAGCAAAGCCCTTCATCGACCACAACGCCAGCTTTCGGCGACAGATGGAGCGCGCCATAAGCGAGAAATACAGAGACGTGCCCGTCTTCAGGACAGCACTTCAGAACTACAACGGCAAGCTATTAGAATTGGTGGAGAACGGCACGATAGCGAAGAATATAGAAGAGTTGCACCACCTCCCACCCAGTCTAGTATCCTTCATCCTAACCCAGGTGTACGACCGTACCGTGGCACCCAAGGTGGAGATGCTCACAAAATACCAGATGGGAAGCGATAATGTCTACGGAGAATTGCTGCATCCATTCATCACAAAGTTGCTCGTTGAGCAGACGAAAATGACCTCCGACCAAGTTTTCATAGACCTCGGCTCTGGTGTGGGGAACGTCGTCCTCCAAGCGGCGCTCGAAATCGGGTGTCGGAGTTACGGCTGCGAGATGATGGAAAACGCCTGTAACCTAGCCGAGGCGCAAGAGAAGGAGTTTAGATCGCGATGTCTTCTCTGGGGCGTTGCGCATGGAAGAGTCCATCTGGAGAGAGGAGACTTCCGAACCAACGCCAAGATATTAGAAAAGTTGAAGGAGGCCGACGTAATTCTTGTCAACAATAAAGCCTTCACTTCGACCCTCAACGACGCTCTCATCAACATGTTCTTAGATTTGAAGAAGGGCTGCAAGATCATATCGTTGAAATCTTTTGTTCACGAAAATAAGACCGCCATCAACGACGTCGCGAATAGTATCCTTGATGTTCAACACTACCGATACCACGAGAATTGGGTCAGTTGGGCTGCGTCGGAAGGCGACTATTACATCTCAATCAGGAAGTAAGGGTTTTGCTATTCAAAGGCGACCTAAGAGAAAAGAATCAGGGTTAGCGGGAGTTTCGACTGTATAGAATTTCGGAGAGAGAGTGGGTAGATGGACAGTGACTAAAGGATACCATATTTCATATTTGCATAGACGAGCGTTCATCGGAAGGGATACCAAGAGAGGCATCAAACACAGAGCAGGCAACTTACTATACAGGTTCTGGGGTCTGTAAGTTCATCGATAGAGTACGGCGATTCAATATATTTCGTCGTGATTTTGTGCGCCATGCTAAGTAATTGTCACCTCCGATTCTTATGACTTGGTGATTCATTCTGCAAGTTCATAGCATCTGCTTCGTCTCTCATCCGATCCATCCATCTCTTCACTAATTGTTCGTTATCGGCCGTAAGTTTTGCTGCTTTTTGTTCGGTAACGTCGAGTTGGATGTTGAGAGTTAGGTTTTCATCTTGTATATCCTATAGTGACGCATCAGTCCCAAACGTATTTCTGTTACGTCATCTTTTCCCCATACCTTCAGCATCTTATTCTTCCCAACTAATTCTTCATTTCGATCTTTTAATCGAGACCACAAAGTATTCCGTTCGGCAGTTAGGTCACTAATTCGCTTAGTATCGACCTTTGTCTTCGATCGCAATTTCTGTAATTCATCTTCGGCGGTCTTGAGTCTACTTTGTAACTGGGTTCTAGACCGTAAGGCCTCCGCCAAGTCTAGCTTTAGTTGTGCGACGCTCGGATCGGAGGTATTAATTGTTTCAGTCGTCGCAGCGGGGGCTTTGCCCGCAGGTGATTTTTCTAGTGATGACAGCGGGTTCGTCGATGAGGTTTGCCATACAGCTTTCTCGGCCTCGAGGGCGGCTATACGATCGGACAGTTGAGAACCTGCGATCGGGTTTGTGGTTTGTCAGTAAGACAGCGCATTCCGGGCAGCAAGCGAGCGAACGGGTAGGACAGCTTACAGGCATCCACTAGATCCTTGTTCACGGGATTGTTTCGTTCTGCTTCCTGCAGAGAGGTAAGATAATCGCTTCGCCAGTCGGGCATATTGGTATTCGTCCTCTACATAGTAGGATCATTGGTAATGCTGGGTAGAAATATGCGCAGCTCGATAAGCTGAATATATGATGTATGAGGTAAGGTTGCTTCATTTCCCAGCCGTTTGGGGCGGTTGGAGGGGTAGTACTTAGGGTACTTAGGTAGCTGTTAGGTTCACAAATACCCGCTACTACAACGCTACCCCAGTCCATGGAACTGACGTCGATTCCTAATAACTCTTCTCGTCACTTATCTATGATATTGGCAAGCTTCATACATCACTATATTAACATATTTTCAGTCATCGGAGTATACATAAACACTCTTCTTCTGATCTTTAGGTTAGAAGTGGTCAAATCCAATGGCGAATGATCTATAAGTACAACCAAGCTGGAATATCTTGGATCAACCGTCTCAGTTAGTGTAAAGACTTTCAATAGAAAGCATAAGAGAACAAATTTTATATACTCTAGCTTTAAGCATCAACGGCTTCATAAATAAACTCTAGAAGTTAATAATTACCTATGTTGATAGTCACAGCATCGAATTTGAAAATATCTAAATCGCTACCATCATCTTGTTGGTGGAATCCCTTGATACACTACCATTTTCAACGTATTCTCTTGAATTGGCGACCTAACTAATAGACGACTCACTTACCTATAACACGTCATCGTTAGAAGACAATAAAACCGATTTGCCACAGCAATAAAGAATCTAAACAGAAATAAAACCTTATGAAATTTTATTTTATTTCAATTTCAATGTTTGTATATTGTATTTCATCGCTCATGTCATTAGTCAACGTTCAGATAGCGTACCCAAATCATAAACATAGTTCGCTTCGATTCCGCTCTGCTTTCCGAAAAACTCACGTTCATTCCATTTCCTTTGACTCATTCGGGCAGTAGACATAGCCCGTATAGAACTTCTTCTCCCCTTGGTGATTCCTATACCCAGCGTGATCCACCACAACGATACATGCACCTGATCCCTTGACAAAAGAAATCCTCCTTTGATACAAGACTGCCAGTTTCCGCGGAGTCTATCCTTGGACACGATCTCCCTTTTCTTCTGATGCCATGTTCATCACGGCGAAATACCCTTCAACCCATAACCCTGTTGGGTATCCCTCTATCCTCAACGCTCATAATCCATTCTCTTTCCTTTTCCCTAAGACTTCCTCTTCAGGTCCTCTGGTATGACATGGTGGAGCATGAGTGCAGTTTTCGTCTGGGGGGTATTTCCCACTGCGCCTCGGCTCCAGTCGTACCCGTAAGCATACGCGAAATAGTTTCCATCGCGGTTGAAATTGCCAGCCGTGATGCCAATCGGAGTATCGTTACTCTTTACTCCCTTCGCTGCCGTAGTCGTTGAAGGGGGAGCTGGGTACCGCCTAACCCTACTATGCGATACACGGTCCCAGAAAACGAAACTGCCATCCGAACCGGCGGTGACAAAGTTGCTCCTCTTGATTGGATGGAACTGGACGGCGTTCACGCTCCAAACCTTAGTTATCTTTTTTGCGTCGGGATCGTCGCGGTGGCAACGAAAGGTGAAGCTAAGATGATGGGTTAGTGGATTTGAAATTTTATTTCGTTCAGCGATGGGTAGTGTACTGATAGTTTGCGTAGACATGTGGGTTACAGAGATAGAGGGTATAGAAAAAAAAGGGAAATAATTACCTCTCGGTATTCGACTCATTGATGTCAGTATAGGCAGCTCTACCTCCTATATCAGACGTCAACCAGCCCTCCCCAGTGGGAGAGACCGCGACAGCCTTGGTTTGATACGGGAGTGCAGATTCCCGCGATTTGAAGAAAACGCTCGGGTTCTTGAGGTCGACAAGCTGAATATGACGATCAGCAGTACCGACCACAAGAGTCTGCGCCTTGGCGTCCATTGAGTAGACGCGCTCTTTGCAGTTGAGAGTAGCGACGTGATTTGCGGTTCGTACGTCCCAGTATCGAATTGTCTTGTCCCAAGATCCAGTTGCCATGATAGGCATCAAATTTCCGGGGATTTCGACGAAACGCACACTGCGAATAGGCGCATCATGAGCTCCGATAATGCCCGTCTGACCCGTGGCTGCGTCCAGGACGTGAATTCTGCCGTCGGCTCCTGCCGCAGCAATCATAGACCCGTCCTATTCCCTAGGTCAGTAGTTTACAGCGTCAACAACGGGTATATACACTTACCTATTCAAATCCCAACATTGGTTCTTGTTCATAGTAGTTTTTTTTATGCTGTAGGTTAGGAAGCAGATAAACACATAGAACTTACCTTCGCCCAATCGCAATCAAGGAACGGGCGATCCGCGGACAACGTCACAATATTACGCGCAGCTCCATTGGTACCATTGCCAATGTCGTAGATGCGCACCTTACTATCCCAGGATGCTGCCGCCAGATAATTGGCAGTAGGCGACCATGAGATGGATGAGATGGTATCCTTAGCATCGGCCGGTAGAGGGATCTCGTTAGACGGATCGCCTAACGAGATCGAGGACGAGGAAGCGGAAAGAGGTTTGGTGCGAGCATAAGACATCTTGTGATTACTTTGATGTAATAAAATTAGAAATAAGCTGCTGCACCTAACAAAATTAATTATTCAACGGAATAAATGATGAAGTTGAATAATGATGAACGTTGAATGAAGGACAGAAAAAAATATGTAAGGATGAAGGATGGAGGTATGGGTCAAATACTGGCGAAACTCCATGTATATTTATAAGCAGAAGGTGTCATACATACGATATGCACGTATGCGATCCGTGCCGACCTGGAAAGAACTTAGACCACTTACTATATACCTAGGTACGCTTTAGCCTCATCGAGTCCAATGCATTGTGACTAACTGTATAATGTGAGGTTTTACGTAGTAAACACCATGGATGAGAGTGGAATATTCAAGATGATTAGGTAGTTACGGTACGTGACTTGGTAGAATAAAATGCGATTATGTTCTAAGTCTATAACTTGACACTCTTGATCAACCCCGGCTTGATACCGGTCAACTCTCCTCCATATCCACGTCCTTCTCCACCTCCATATACCGGTTTCATACTCTTGAGCTTCTTTTGTTTCTCGGCGTATGCCTTTCTCTTCTTCACTCTGGGGTTTCTTACGTCCTTCTTTCGTCTCGGCGCAAGTCCCTTGTTCTTCTCTATTTGGTATGAGATCTTGCGCTTTCCATCTTTGCCGATCTCCTCCTTTTCTACAACACGATCCGATGCGCTAGCTGCTGCAAGGGCTGCTGACCTAGCTGCCTTTTCTTCCTTCTTCTTGCTTGACTTTGCGGCGATCATGTCGTAGTATTCATTCTCATCGTCTCTAACCGCATTGGCAAGTCGTTGTTGATCCTCTTCGTCGCTTGCATCTCCAAGGTCAGCGCCCATCTTAGAGCTCATCTTGCCGCGCTTCTCTGCCTCAGCATTGAGACGAGCTTGTCTATCCTTCAAGCGCTCCCTGTAAGGAATATCCATATCACCACCCGCATCTCTGCCAGCACCTGCCCGGCGGTTGGCTTTTTGTACAATCTGGGAAGTATAGAACCTGAGACTCTTCTTGCGCGCTGCCTTTTCGGCTGCTGCTTTAGCATCAAGTGTCTCTTCTTCGCCAAAGTCTGAGTCGCTATCCCTTGCGGTAATCTCGGCGTTTGACTTCTTGGGTTTCTTCTTATTGGCGATAAGCGCATCGAGATCAGCAAGCGACTCCTCGATAGCCTTCGCCCTGCGATCCGCCTTAGCTTTAGCCTTTGCCTTCTTTGCTGTGGCTTCCTTGCCCAGCTTCTTCGGAGGCTCGTTGTCTAGCTCCATCTTCTCTTCAATGACTGATAATCCTTCCTCTGGTGGAGATGGAATACCAGTAGCTGCTCGTGCGTTGTCCGATATCTTAACATGTTCCACTTCCCTCCATGCGTCTCGGCATTCAACCAACGTCCCTATAACCTCGTGATCACGTAGTTCTGTCGGGTCAAGCGCTTTTGTGGCCCCGTTGGTCGCGTCTCTCGCAGGTGACGTCAGTGTAGCGAAATACATAGCAAGAGCAGCAACGTAGCAACCGAGGATACGGTACTTGACTACTGCCAACGATTTAGGTGGTTGCCCTTCTGCTTCCTTTTGCACGGTGACGAGTAGAGGTTGTAATTGTTGGAGTTCATCGGCTAAATGGTCGAACTCCGGATATCTTGTCCGTAGAATTTGATGCCTCTCCTCAGGACCTAAATCGGCGGGGATTTCAACATCTTTTAAAACCTCGGTGACAACTTCGTTATGATCCGCATCCTCTGCCTCGGGAGCAAACCATTCCGCTTCATCAAAAATGAAGTCACTCTCCGACATCTTCGCAAGTTTTTTCTTTTGTAATCGCCGAGCTTCCTGCTCCTCTTCCAAAGCATCGGCTTCCGTCTCCGGGTTATCGGCATTGTAATATTCTTTCCTCGAAGAACCCCACCAACCCGAATCGCCTTCCTCTTCTTCATCTTGTCCAGATTCGGAGCCACCGCCAGATCGCTTCTTAGAGGGTTTCGTCGGTTTCCGTGCGATATTGTTTTCATCGTCGCTCTCATCGTCGTCGTCGGAACCCTCGTCATCGTAACCAAGAGCCTCTTCGTCTGAATTTTCTAAGAATTCCTCTTCCTCCTCTTTGCGTTTCTGCTTCTTGGATTTAGGACCGTTGTCGAAAAGAATTTCATCTTGGTTCATAAAATATTCCTCCTCCGAATCGGCTACATCTTCGAAGGTCGTAATGGGGCCAAGCCTCGCGTCGGAGGGATCGTATTCTCGAGGTCCCTTAGGCCCTGAAGGGGCGTTGGAAGCCTTTCTTTTTTTAGCCATGTTAAATATTCCAGTAACGATTATAGCCTGGGCAAGAAGTGTAGGCTTTAAAGTGTAAGGTCGTGATCAGATGATAGCTAATGATTTCTAAAAATTAAAGTCAAGAACTTTTTTTTTTTCTTGTCCCCCACGCAAACTAACACTTATCGTTATCGTTCCCGCCCTGTTGGAGAATTGGATTATATAATACGCTAAAAAGATGGATCTTTCCAGGTACTTTCTCAATTAGCCAATCAGAAGCTCGGAAATTAAATATTTTAACACAGTTTGGGGAAAACGTGACGATAATCTCCACTAATTTAGCTATTAACTGCGGCGCTGTGCATTAGAGTTACAGAACCCCTGGTCCCCTAACCAAAAAACCTCGCTGGTGATAGCTGCGGTGTACGCGTGCACTTCGCTTCTCTTTCCTTTTTTCGTTTAATTATATTCTCACCATAAGCCAATCCATGTTCATGAGGCACGAATCGATACTTAACGTCCTTCTATCCCTCCATGGACTTCCTATCCAATTCCTCATGGACCACTAACCCCTTAATTGCTCTTCTAATAGTACTCCTATCAACCGTGATAATGGGCGCCTTCTTAAGCAAAAACCAATTTCCCGTCGAGGGCAAGGTACGTGACGTCAACCAGCCGCCAACCGTATCAACCCCAACTAACTCACCTCCTCCATACAGACCATCCTCATAACCGGTGCCTCAGAAGGCATGGGCCTAAGCGCAGCCCGTCAACTCTCCTCCAAAGGCGCCAACATAATCCTAGTATCCCGCGATTCCACCAAACTCGCCAAAGCCCAAGCCCTCGTCGAATCCGCCGCCCTCCACCCCCAGACCCAACGCTTCACCTACTTTACAGCCGACGTATCCCAACCCGACTACGCCGCCCCCCTCCTCTCCAAAGCCGTATCCTGGAACAACGGACAGGCTCTCGATGTAGTATGGTGCGTAGCCGGCACCTCGACGCCGGATTTCTGGTTCGAGGTACCACTACAGCGCACGCGTGCGCAGATGGATATTAATTTCTGGGGCGGGGCCGAGATGGCGCATGCTATACTCCGGCTCTGGTGCGCGCCGGATGCTCCCGTACTACCTGAGGCGAAACACTTGGTCCTCACATCTTCGGCACTGGCACTTTTCCCCGTGATTGGATATGGACCCTACACACCGGCCAAGAGCGCGCTGCGCGGGTTGGCGGATACGTTGTCCCAGGAATTGCTGGTTTACCCGCAGAATGTGAAGGTGCATGTTGTGTACCCTGCATCAATTGGAAGTCCGGGCTTCGATCGCGAGAATAGGACGAAACCGGCTGTGACGAAGTTGATTGAGGAAGGTGATCCCGTGCAGACTCCTGATGTTGTAGCTTCGGGTGCGATTCGAGGGCTTGAGAGGGGACAGTATTTCATCACGACGGCACTCTTCGCGCATATCTTCCACTGGGGCTCGTTGGGTGGTTCGATAAGGAACAACTGGTTAGTTGACACGATTATGGCCTGCCTTATCCCGATAGTGTGGATATTTGCGTTGCCGGATATATTATCGAAGATCAAGAAGTACGGCAAGACGCATGGACATCCCTCTTTGTATCGGGAAAAGGACATAGAGGAATTCGAAAAGAAACAGAAGAGCAACGCGTAGTCACCGAGGGAAATTTACCCTATTGCTTATCGAACTTCTTAAGTTCACCAAGGAGGTGTGCTTAGGCTTCATAAGGAGCCAGAATGAGGAGTAAGGTTAATAATAGTAGCTGGTATCACGTATTAGCTCGTCTAATCACCCGATATTCAGAGAGGGGAGGATCGTGTGCGATTCATGAACGACTCGACAAAATAAACAAATATCCAATATAAACTTAGTTGAGATTACTCAAAAGTCAATACCCTAATTAAAAAACAAATATAAAGTATAAGAATTGAGAATATACCAATAGTCGCGTGGGCACATCAGAACTAATGGCTTATATGAGAAGTCATCAGGAAGTGAGAGTGCTAGAATCTCTAAATTCAACGAGGTTGACATCATGTGTTGATTCAGGGTAAACAATGGTTTCCTACCAAACTCAACTGCCTACGATGCGGCGGTTGTGGGCATGGATGAATCTTACCAAGTGTCTCATCAGATTCAAAATAGGTCATATACTTAGATATGCCCTTTACTATGCGAGAGTACATGGGGCGAGGTTAGAGTAGGATGAGCGGTAGACGAACCCCTTGGATATGAGAATCGGAGGACATAGACCTTCCCGACTCTTAATTACAAGCCAACATCCCATCACATACACAGTCACATCCGAACCGTGGACATAATATATGTAGGTATATACTACCATTGCTCTACCGGGCCATACGCCCAGCAACATCCAGCGACTATAGATGAAAACGGGACTAACAACCTCCCTCTCCTTTTCCAGGACTTTCCTTTTTTTTTTAAGAAAATCGAGTTAGCCGCCAGCCCCTAACCTAAACGCCATGCTTCATCACAAGCAGCATATCACGGTTCCTAGAAGCGTGTCTAAAGATAAACACCCCATTCAAAAGTGAAAACGAATAGAAAAAAAAAATACCAAATAGGTATTTTCCACACCCAAACCACAACCCCCGTCCCCGCCAAAGATGAACAATGCAAAACCATCTTCCAACTCAATATTCCTCGTTATAGTCGCAGCCAGGAGAGTCGCTATGAGTACGGTTGCTTGGAGGAGACTGGCTTACGGAAGACGGGTTTCCAAAAGACAGGGCCGGAGTAGGGGCATACCCCGGGAAAAAATTGCTCGACCAATCATCACCATCGATCTGCTCTTGCTGCTGTGGGCATTGGTGACATGGAAGTTGCTCTACCTAAGGCGCATCCTGCTCACCCATGACAGGCTGGGGTGCTCCCTGTGAATTCGCCTGGTTCTGTTCCTCTTGAACTATATCTTCATACTGCGCGATCTGGAACGCGAGTTGCCGGGCAGTGGCCTCGATCATAAGCATATGGCGAGCCTTCCTGTCCGCGCTACGGACTTGCGCCATCGCTTGCTCGACAGTGTAGCGAACAACGGGATCAGCAGATGCAGGTATTGAAGCAAAGTTGAACGGCGCCATAGCGGTAGGCGGCGCGGCGGGGAGGGGGAAACCCAGGCCCTCGCTGCTGAGCATCTGACTTCCGTGTGCCTGGGGATTGCGCGTCTCTGAGTAGATAGTTAGTTTACCAATCGCTATTGAAGCATATACGAAATGAGATGAGAGTAACATACCATGGAAAGAGCAACGTGCACCAGAAGCATTGAACCAGCAATTGGCGCAACTACCACACATCTGACCGTCGACGATAACACAGCTAGTCCACGGCCCATGACCCTTGTGGCAGTTCTTACATGGCTGTGAGGCCTCTTCACCTGCGATATGCGCGAACAATGCTTCAACATTACTGCGTCGCGCCAGGTTCAATACTTGTTCGGGGCGCCGCTGTTGGGCGTGTCGCATGCCAGGATCACGGGCTAATCGCTTTGCCAATGCGCTTTCGACGACAACGTTAGTGTAGCCAGATAATTGCGCTATCTCCTCGGTAGTTTGAACTCCAGTTGGTTCGCCATCCATATGAGGGTCGCCGAGGTCGGGATGTTGGTCATGGTCACCAGGATTTTGGACACTACTCGCAAGAATGCTAGCAGCGGTCAAATCTAACTGATGCTGCTGCTGGCGTTGCAAATTATGTTGGTGTTGTTGAGCTGCAGCTGCGGCGGCGACAGCAGCCTCCTCGGGATCAAACGTTGGGTGATGCTGTTGGTGTTGATGCTGAGGTTGGTTATCGGGATCCTCGTCGGCGCTGGCATCTTGCTGGTCAAGGTCGGAGTGCTGGGTGGTGAGATCATCGGGTGCACCAAGTCTGCGACCAGGGCGACCGCGCGGTGTAGTAGGTGGCTTGGTGACTTTGCTAGGTCGACCACCACGGGCTGTTTGAAGGACGCCCTTCATGGCGGGCCAGGTGATTACGATAATTCCGCCTGCTGGCTGACAGTTGGTGATCGGAATTGAGAAGTGCGATGAAAGGATGAAGAGATTCCAGCTGTCGGCAGCTGCGCTGAATTCGGAAAGAAAGTTGATGCACTGGAGAACAAAAAGGGTGGCCTAAGTTCTAGTGAATGTGCAACGGCGAAACATTATTTCCACATCCGCCCCACTAGCAGGGAGCCTTAATGCTACTAGGTATACTACGCTTACGGCTTAGCGTGTATTAAAAAGCTTAGCTAATAAAAAATTAGTAAAAGGTACTTAGGTACATATACTATATTCGTAACGGTGCAGATCAATTAGACCGAGATCATGAGCTCTCCATATATGTAGGACTTAACCAGATCCACATCCCCTCAACATTATACAGATTAAGTAGTAAGAATAGCAAACCAAAACCGGCGCAGCATTGCATATGAATCATCTGATGAACTCAACGAAATCCATTCGCCCTTTAAAAAAAAAAAAAAAAACACCTATCAAATGCTGACTGCAAAGGCGCATGTACCTACACCATAGCAAAGGGTATACATATTAGAATAATGGTTTGTTTTATTTTGATCTTTACACAGATCCAACATTTTGCAACTGAGGATCTTTGGGTCCCCCTTTTTCTCCCGTGGTATAGCTTCATCAGTCATCCTCCCCCTTTCACTCAACGGTCTCGAGATGCTACCTTCAACTTGCAAACCCCTCGACGGGGAGCCCCGGCCACCCACATACAAGCGCGCTCTATACGCCTGGATGTGAGAAAGAAAAAGAATAATAGAAAAGAGACCAGCATCAACCGCAAATTCGTAATTAAACAAGATATGTCATCTGCCATGACTTTAGATGCAAATGTCCTCTCTGCCGCCCCACGACCTCCACACATCCTTAATGATCAGTGGCGTCCTGAAACCTCGAGTGAGCTAGCAAGGCAGCTGTAGTAAAGCGTAGTAAAGGAGTTTATGTGACACAACGGGAGGCGCAAAACAAACACATGAAGGAAATCGTCGGCCAGTTCGTGTTGAGAGTACAGGTTAAGTCGTAAGCCAGGTCTATAAAATAACTGGCAGCCTTCGAGTGTACGATGGGGGTATTTTGGTGAGTTGAATTACTCCGCCGTATAGTTCGTCGCTATGATCAATCCATCTACAATTAAATCAGACCGCAGAGACGAAGGTTTACTTGGATGATGATATCTATTTAAAACAGTTAGAAACATAATCAATGATTAATAGATCTTCACTAGCTTACCGTTAACCGCGGCCATGACGAATCGGATTTGTGTTGTATCCGTTGCGCAGGTGAAATGTGTGTAGATCTGCTTAGTTTCGTGTTGGTTCAAGCTGACAAACCGGTTAAGGATGTAATCGCAAGCCGCCGCATAGTCGTCACCACCTTCGTAGTCGGGGAAGTAGTTCTTCATCGGGCTGATCGGAAGCTTCTCCTTGAATCTGTCGATCTTGTTCAAGAACAGGATTATTGAGGTCTTAATAAACCATCGGGAGTTGCAGATAGAGTCGAACAAAGTTAAAGCTTCTTGCATACGGTTGACAGTCTCATCTTCGAATAGCAGTTGATCGTACTCAGAAATGGCAACCAAGAATAAAATGGTTGTGACATTTTCGAAGCAGTGAATCCACTTCTTTCGTTCTGATCGCTGACCACCGACATCAAACATTCTGTATGTAAGATCGCCAATGATGAAGGTCGTCTCTGTAATACCGGTGGTCTTGACACGAGAACGGAGAACGTCCTGATCGTTGGGCATATAGTCGGGGGCTGCAATACGAGCAATGTTATCGAAGTAACTAAACAAAGGTTAGAGATCCGTAGTTAGAGGTTTCGAAGGATAGGGAGATGCATACTATCTCGCGGAGTCGTTTAATTGGTATTCACGCGATCGCTTGAAACACTCTTGGACACCACGATCCTTCCATAGAGCCTCAATCGCGTTACCAACCTCTGGAGGTAGGACGTCGCCTTCGATTTGAGCAGGTTGCATAAAGATGGTCTGAACGTGGTATTCCATTCGTTGATCCTCCAAGGGTAATTCTAAAGATTCCATAGCCTCGAGAATGACGCGCATCGACTGTACCGTGTTGCTGAAGATAATTTCCTTGAATGATTCTCGCTCGTCGCGCGAGTAACCACCCTCGTTAATAATCTTCATCTGTTTTAAGATGGTTGACTTTCCGGATTCACCAGCACCTGTTATTGTTAGAAGATCGGGACAATCACGCGATACAAGTTCGCCGACTTACCCAGAAGGAGCATCTTGATCTCGTTGCGCTGCATGATCTTGTCCCTCTTCAACTGGTTCTCAATCTCCTCGTTGCGGGCCTTGCCCTCCTTCTCCTCCGTGCTCATTCCGCAACCCATCTTGACGGATTGAAATAGGACGCGATTAAATCAATAGTAATGAACGGAAGATTCGGTTTTTATCGCGTATAACCCTGCTGGTTTGATCGTGGCTATATCTATAGTAAGGATGTATTAGTAACGTCGCTAGAACCGTTTCTTGTATCGATGAATGAAGACGAATGTTATTCGGGTAATAGTTGTCGGAGCGTTCTTCCGTCGATGTACCAGCCACCTCACCCACAAGAACCCGTGTTGCTCGATGATTAATAGAAGTAGTCGCTCAAGTGTCGCAAGTTCCCTTTTTTGTGTATTGAAGAAAAGTCGCTGGCAGGTTCTACAAACGTGCGCCGGGAATATGGGAATACGAGAAGACTTTTGTAGATACGGCCGAATGCAAATTGGAACGGGACGGATCGATGTCGCAAGGGAAAACAAAAGATAGGTAACTCACCAACATAAAAGTTCAATTGGACTCACGAAGAAGTCAGTCACGATAAGTAAGGAGATGATGATAAAAATCCGCCGAAAGTTAAAAGGCAGCGAGCGCGATGAAAAAAAGAGGCTGACGGCGGAAAAAGAAGAAAGGAAAAAAAGGGTGGTCGCGAGAGAGATTGTTAGATTGTGACGGGGCGAGATGGACGAGCCAAGTGGAGCGACCTTACCTTTACAAGCTGTGCTTTGGTTTGTTACTACACTACTGTAAAGAGAACCTAGACAACCTAGAACAAACCCCTGGCCTCTGTAGGAATACAGGTAGTTTTAGGAAGGGAGGAGGAGGAAGGGGTGTAAGAATTAATTCGGAAATGGGGTGAAAACCTCGCCCGGGGCTGGTACGAATTGAGGAGACTATAACTAAAAACGGTTAGATCGTTAAGCGTATCAGAGATTATGCGAAGAACGATACCAGCGCTATTCCAGATCTTTACTAGTCAATTGAATAGAGTAAGTTGACCCCCTATTACCCAGCCTACAAAAGGAACCCACTATGGTGCAGATGGAATTAAATGTGTACATGTACCCAGTGCTAAGTTAGTTAACATTCAACTGTACATATATACTAAGCATCTTACCATATACGTCGGTATAATTCCAGTATAACTAATGTATATAGACAGTTATGAATTTCAATAGTAAGGGATAACTTCAACCATCATTTTATATATTCCAACTTCTAATCACGTTGATATAAAATATCAGATTGCAAGGTAGAATACCCCGATACGTAAGTTTTTCCGCACGTCCTTTATGGCTAAGATCCTGATGTAATTTCCACGCCGCTTCAGCACATATGTACTTATATAGTGACAAGGGATAACACGGACATCCATCCCTCAACTAAGAAAATAGGCACATAAGTCACATACGACACTTGCTAATACATACATAACAGAAACATAAAAGTTATTATATAATATCTCGATATCATACTCCATTAGTATCGGTGGGTTCAACCTACTCGTCTTTTACCACGGGAATGGATGGGCCCTTTTATTACCTTAGGAGATGACCGAAGAGCTGGTAACTGGAAACTGGGGAGAGAGCCACTACAAAGAGCCACTATTAGCGCTTTCTACACAGTAATTAAGATACTGTGTTTAATTCAAATACATGTCTACACTAAAAAGTAACGATTCCAGCCTTGCCAGTCGCCCGGACTCGCCGCAACGTACATATAAGTATGTGCCCAATGACAGACCTGTAAGGGACGGAGAACAATATTCTATTCAGTCGTTCTCTTTCCACTTAGCTGTAACCGAACGCGGTATATCGACGAAAAGCAGACGCTGAATGGCTAGAACGATTACAATACCACACCAAAAGATTTCCACCCCCTGTCTGCAGGTCCGCCCACTACCACCCACCAACTTGCAAATATGCATGCTTCGGAGCGAATAGACGGTACCCATCACTAATTACACTTAGCATAATACATGCATCTCTCCGTGTGACAATGGAAGCACACAGCATCTGACGTGAGCACCTACAGGATAATCTACCTACCCAAGGTCCAAGGTACTAGGTATCCGTACTTACGCAATTCCCATGTGTGACAAGCACTCTCCCCCTCTACCGGCGGTATTGATCAACGCTAGGGACGATTCATGAAAGTGGCGTAGGAAATGCTTCTAGAAAAGATACGGGATAGGGGTTTGGGCCATTCCCCAGGTATCCATTATATCCATTAGCCATTAGCAAAACTCCACCAGATCTCGAACTACCTACCTTACGGTACACGTAAAAGAAATAAATAGCTAGGTGCATGACATGATCTGACATGCTATATGTAGGACGAGTCTTGATAATCCCAGCGTCTGATTCATGAACCGAAACATGATCCAGTGTATTTTGTATGCTAACTATGCAAGCTAAGGAGGTAGTTCACGCTCTTTTAAGAGTTTCGATGCCTTATTACTACGCAGATATTATAGGTATTATCTAACCTTAAGCCACAGGAAACCCCTTAAGCTAGGGATTCGTCACTTTCAACCTTGAGATCTGCTAGCGAACTGTCCAATAGCGTATGCCCTGTCTCTCGGATGACGGCTAAGCCGCGAGCAATATCTCGGAGACCCGCACTAGCAGAAGAAGAAAAAATCTAAGAAAATAATTACTTTAAGTTAATAAATAATAAAAGGCTGCAATATCATATACGTAGGGTAACAACAAACTTATTGGCAATGTCGGTGCGTATTGAGCGCATTGACAATACCGTTAACTGCCACTGCTCAGTCAGTACAAACTTCTTAAGACAGGAATATTATGATTTTCATAGAACAGTAACGATCTCCCTGACGAATATGATAGAAAGCGACCCTACATTTATTACGCTTGGACCCTCTCTCGTCGGTACAAAGGATCGTTTAAGTTTCAAGATACTCCATATTCTCACTCCAACTTCTTGAAACAATACAAAAAGGAGCCTATATTGGGCCAGCCATATTAATAACCATGCCATCCACGCGAGAGTAAAAGTCGATCCATCTGTCCATCTGGTCAAGTGGATAAGTTACGGCGTAAGCCCCTGACACCAATCCACATTCGTCTTCGCTCCACGATAACCATAGAAGCCATCTCTTGACTAAATTCACCGTTAAAGAAACTATTTAAGTGTAGATATTAAAGTCATTCGAATTCTCCTGAGCAGGGGCTAGATCTGTGGTTTCGTATCAGAGGAAGCTTTACGCTACCTTACAGATTAAGCTATTCATCAGCTTTCATAAGTCGCCACGAAGCTCGGTCAAGTTACTCTATTAGCTGTAGCTGATGATTATCATCTTAGTCAAATATTCGGAACAATTTCTCCCATTTTTCAAAATGTCTAATCTTAGTAGCAGCCCAAACAAGAATACCCATTTATATATAATTACGTACCAACCAATCTTGCTTCAATTCTCCGAGGTCGTAAATTTGCGCCATTGGCAAAGACAAGATTGGATGACGCTGATTCAGCACATTTATATCTCGTGTTCAACCTGGAGTTCAGACTAAGATGGGAAAACTTGGCTTATTCTGCAAATCGAATCTTACAAAAAGATGGATGTTCTGAATTCTGTTCTAGAAGGAATTCGCTCCCCACCTAACTTGCAGAAAATCTTCACCGATATAAAGGACAGTCGAGCGAGTTTTATGTTACAAGCATAAACCCCCTAGATCCAGTCGGAGAATTACCAGGACTGTCTAACATATGCAGTTGTATTCATGCGCAATGCATACTGAAATAGTTACCTAGGTTTAGAATTCATCAGCTGCGATATAGGGCTGCTCCTGACCTCCCCAAGTTGGAAATAGATCATGCCTGAATGCATGAATGAAGAATCCTTCTGGAACACCCCAATGCTAATGCTCGTTCGGCACATCTTAGAGTTTGAGGCGATTTATTTCACCTCAGCTGAGTCAACATACATTGCTAAGACACTTAGATTCTCATTTTGACATGTCGTCTTGCTACCAGCTTATAGCCATGTATCAAGTTGAGACTTCTACTAAAGTTCAGGAGTCATGGCGAAAACTACTCCCATTTTCAGGTACATGTACTACGCTGTAAAGGGAGGTCTCGGGGGATTTTTAGCCAGCTACCTAACAAAGAAAGCAGGCATTTTCCCAGCCACCAACAATAGCGGCTAGGTACTGGGGGAGCGGATAAGCTGCATAACAGCCCACGGTACTACGCCCTGTTTCGCACCACTAATTCGACCAAAGTAATCCGTGAAAAATCAAAATACCAATCGGCTTTGTATTGTCTGAATCCCATTTTCGAAGGCTTGCGGCTCACCCGCTTCCTACCTAATTCTCATAGCCGATGCATGTAACCACATACAACTTAGATTACCTAAATTCGTCTACCGAACTGCCGCTATCGTAATCCCGGAAGACAGCCGTCCTGCTTTATAGCGGCGTATAAAGTATAACTAACACAATGGCTATTCCTATGACACGATTGGGAGGCGGAGGTACGTATTGCATAGCTACCCAAATATTTACCACTGTAACATGCCACTTTGAGGCCTAGCCCCCACGTCATTATCCATTCACTATACATAATTGATAGCGCATAAGCTCATATGAACTCTCCCTTATAGCCTTCAACCATAGCCCCAGTAATGACGCCGAAGCCGAGTATGACCGGCTCCGGGACCTAGCCCGGGCGGAAGCCGCGAAGCGGAACAGTTGCTTCGATCGGGTAAGTGCACCCTCCTTCCGATTATCTCTTATACACCCATTCTATATCATGATCACGTCAATATCATCTATTCACATCCATATACATATATACCTATCCCTTCATACCGCAATCCCACCATGTCCCTCACTCACCGCTCACCCAACCCCATAGGCACACCAAGCCTACGAGCGCGGCGACGGCGCGGGCGCCAAAGCCCTAAGCGACGAAGGAAAGCGACACGCAGCGCAAATGGACGAATACAACAAACAAGCCAGCGAGTACATATTCCGAGAGAACAACGCCGTAGACCGTGTCGCGGACGACACAATCGATTTGCACGGACAGTTTGTCGAGGAGGCCGAGGAGATTCTCGAGCGACGGATCCGTTATGCGCAGGAGCATGGGCAGACGCATTTGCATGTGTAAGTTTCCCATCCCTATTTTGTCTGTTATACTTATCACTTCACCTTTATATAAAGAAGAGGTTGGGGTGATTATCTGGGACGTAGAACTAACGAGGAGCACAGCATCGTAGGCAAAGGCAACCACAGCGCCAACCACGTTCAAAAGCTCAAGCCGCGCGTCGAGCAAGTATGTCGTGAACTGGGACTCCAATACGCAACCGAAGAAAACGCGGGGCGAATCTACGGTAAGTGATATCCCAACCACTTCACCACATACCACCATTATTGTTACTTACACACCCATAGTCAACCTCCAAGGCGGCGAAGCCGTAATGCCGCCATTACCGCACCAACCACCTACTCAACACGGTGGATACAGTAGTGGACATCAGCAACAGCATGGCCACCAGCAGCACCATTACCAGCAACAACAGCATCATCAACAGCAGCAGCAACAGGAACAGCCTGATGAGATCGAAAGGTTGGTGTCGAAGTTCTTTAAGAAGTTGGGCGATTGCTGTACTGTTATGTAAGGAGTTGGACAGATCATGTTTTACGGTTATATACGAGACTCGTTGCTTGAAGGGCGCTTGATATTGCGGAATTCGTAGATTCGATAACGACTTATGAGGGACATAAGAGGGCTTCAAGGCCACCAAAAGAAGAAGTGATATTACAGGATTGACAAGACACTATCTAAACGATAGTATCACTATAATTAAAGTTATTTGAACTCATCTAAGTCTCGATATCGCAAAGTACGGAGGTTGCCAGTGTGGTGTAGTTAATGTTACATATGCCGTTTTCAAGCTAGACGATGAAATTGTTGATCTAAATGTCCTCTCTTCTCACAATAGCTGAAGACGTTTAGATAACTCAGATATTGGATGGTTATAACAGTTCATAGAACACCGAAATACCGAAGCCGCATTTCATGATTCTCATAGCGCCTAATATCATTCTTGCGACCACTACTTCTATTAATCAACAAACCAAATCCTTATCACCTCTCCCAATTCGCCACATTCTCCCTATACTCCGTCATCTCCCTCCACTTGCGCGCGAAATCACGCATACCACCCTCGCCAGCCAAACTAGCATCAACAACATCCTTCGGCAACTTATGTGCCGAGTACTGAGGCGAGCTAAAGTTGAACGCAGCCGGGTCCTCTTTCTCAATGAGTCTCAACTCGGGCACAAAATCATCATCCCCATCCTCCTCACTCTCACTATCACTGTCTTCACTCTCCTCCACTTCCTCACCTCCCATAACACCAAGCACCGGCCCCGGAACCTCCATATCCAACAACTCCCTCCAATCAAACAACAAACTATCCGTATGCGGGGCCCAAGCATTAATATCGATCAAGCGCGCACGACTCAGCGTCTCATTCTCCTCCTCGGACTCGGGTATGTACACATCGAACGCGAAACACCCGTCGGGGAACGTGTACCGCAGCTTGTGGTTGAAGAGCTGCGCTATGCGCGCGACGATCTCGGTGCGTAGCGATTTGAGGAATTCGTAGTAATTTAGGTCGCGCTGTGAGATGGCGATTAAGTTTCGGTGCTTGACGAAGCATCGGAATTCCATTGCTGTGTGGGGGTTGAAGTAGGAACGGAGTACGAGGACAGGTTTGAAGGGAGGGGGGCCGTTAGAAGAGGGATTGTTGGTGGTGTTAGAGGTGCCGGTGGGTGTACAGTCATCGAAGGCGTGTTCGAGGTCGTAGGTGATGAAGTTGGAACTCTTGAGTAGTAGGTATACATCATTGGGGCTGGTACATTTAATGGTGTTCTGGTGTGGTGATATCCAAGTTGCGTCTTTGGGTGCTGTCCAGTTCAGTTTCGGGGCTACCGCGCCGCCTAGTTCTGTGATCTTGTCCTTGATCGCTTGGTGTAGCTCCGGAAATCTTTGGTTTGGCGGGAGCTTCGGCTCTTCATCTTCCTCGTCGCTATCAGAATCCGACTCGACTTCCTCGACGGGTGGCCGAAAGGTTGAAGGCGCCGACTCCCATTCATCATCCTCTGGTTCAGCTCCGTCATCGTCCGCAAGTACGATACCATCCTCACGGATGTACTCTACAAACTCCGGTGATAATGGGATTATCCGTGATTTGATACATGAAGTTCGGTATCTAATAGCTTGTAAGCCATCTACACCCTTAAATTTTTGGTTGGATATAAAAAGTTACGGACTTCGGAAACCAAGAGTCATAGGAACAGTTTAGTATATGATCTCTCGTAATTGGAGAAAACTGTGGCGCGGAACTTGCAGCTCCCGAGGAAGATTGTGTATTTGTGAATGTAGGCATTTTATACACTTTTAATGTGTTCGACGGGGAGCTTTATGAGAATATTCGATTAAGTTTGAGAAGTATGAACTCTTAAACTCTCTAGAAAAAAATAGAGATGACACATTCAAAGATATTTATATGAACCCTGGCAACTGCGTAGATCTTGAAATGGCAGTCACTGTTCGACTCATACTTCATGCAGCTATCCTTACGTATATGGCGGGGCAGCGGGGCACTACAGTTATCTTCTATCGTTTGTGTCCCTCAGGGTAGCTCTAGCGTAACTTTTTTAGTTCAATACGGTAAAGTTATAGCGTAAAAACCCACCGTTCCATTTCCGCCACCAGTTACCGCCTTCCCATCTCTCATCACCTTCACCAAGTATTCTTTAGCTCTCTTCCCGATTACCTTCATATCATCGAGACGGTCGCATTTCTTATACACTACTCCGACCATGTCTGACAACGTCGGTCTTTCTACACCACGAGGTAGCGGAACCTCCGGCTACGTCCAACGCAATCTGGCATACCTTAGACCGCGCGACCGAGCAGCGCCCTACAACACCAAAGATTTCGATAGCTTGAAACATCGACAGCGACAACCGGACAAGGAGATTTTGGAGCACGATCGCAAGCGTGAGGTAGAAGTAAAGGTCTTTGAGTTACGCGATCAGCTTGAAGATGAGGGGTATGTCATACTCATTGCAACCCAATTCGTTCTTAGGCAGTTAGCTAATAAATGCGACAGTGTTGACGAAGACGAAATTGACAAGCGCTGCGATGCCCTACGGAAAGAACTACAAGCGAAGATGAACAAAGGCGGTAAAGACGTGATGCCAAGAAAGCCGCTTAAGTCTCACCAAGTCCATGAATTGGCGGACGCCAAAATCAAGGAGAGCGAACGATTGCGGAATGCACTGAAAATAAGCAAGGACTATGAAGAAGGCAGCCATTGGAAGAGACAAGAGGATAGATTAAGAAAGGCCTTGGAGAGAGAATCTTCCGAGCAAAAGGATAGAGACTAAACAGCTTTCGGCATGGATTTAGGAATTATTCAGTTATTCATTGGGTTGCGCATGGCGTTTCGGATGGTTCATTTTTGGTTGATGACTTAGGGGTAGTTACGATACTCGCGAATTCAATATTCCCCTGATACTCATATAACTCGCATTGGTGATGGATGAATGGATGGATGTTGAACTCCGTATTTCTATTGTTGCCCTTGTCTATTCCCATGGGTATCAATGTTTCTAATTGGCCGCCAATATTTCCGCAGCATCCACCGAAGGAGCATGGTCTTCCCTTCCAAGATTTTCCCTAAGCCTTTCAGCGCGACGAGCCTTTTCCTCTGCCTCCTTTTGCCTCTCATGTTTGATATATGTTGCATAACGCAAAGTACCCAGAGTCATTACTGCCATAAATAGGATACCCAATACGGATCGACGAATTAGCACCCATCTTAAGCCTTCGATATCCGATCTGGAATCGCTGTTGAGAGTAACGCTGATTTTCAAGTTGAGTTGTTGGATCTTCAAGAAGGTTAGTCCGCGCAACGAGTAGGTAGAATACTAAATAACGAGATGACGCACAGCACTTTCCATAGTCCTCTGCTCTTCCCTCACGTTCATCCTGCGATCATTGAACATGCCCTTAACATCGTCCTTCAGGGTCATAAGATCCTGACTCATCCGTTGGCTCAGGATATCGACCTCATGCTGTAGCTGGGTTCGCTGCTGACGGGTCGTCTCATCAGCTGCCCTCCTGTTGTTTTTCACTTCGGCACTAAGTTCTGAGCAGGCAGCACGGAACAGGTATGTCTCCTGCGCAAGTTCATTAGCCGGGAAGAAGAGGCCGACGGAGGATAGTTTTCGCACATTATCAACGTCGCTTTTGCTAATTAGTCCTTCCTGAGCGACGTCTAAATTCTGAGCCAATAATCCTCGAATAGCCTTCATAACTGTGATGGCCTGATCTTTACTATACCCACCAATTTCCAACTCCTTGACAAGGCTGTAGCTGTCGAAATGATGAACATAGGGAGGCGTCGATATATGCGGGTGGTGCGCTGATTCGGGCGGTGGTATATGTAACACTGCTTCCATCGGTCCACTCTGTTGCATCTTCGCCTCCGTCGCAGCTTGCTGAGGATTTAAAGGCGCCGCGCTGGAAGGTGTAGGTTTCTCTTGGGATGGAACCTCAGTCTGCCCTGGTTCTTTCGTTTCTGCATCATCCTGCTCTTGGGGTTCTTGTACTACTTCCTTCTCTTTATTTGTAGCATCCTTGCTATCTGGTTCTGGTTCGAAGCTCGTCAATTTTGACGGATCTGCGCCTGGCGCCGGTAGGTTTACGACGTCGGGCGTAACAGGCAATGGCTCCACGGCCTTACCATGTCTCTCGAAAACAGCTTGTCTGGACGGTGTCGAAGACGAGAAAAGTGCCATGCGTGGTTTACAGCAGGTATTCGGGGACTTGCGACATCGGATCTTGGTAGAAGACTCGCCGCTAAGGCGAGCGGCCCGGAACAAGTGTGGGTAGAGGAAGGTTAACCGAACATTCGACATGATCGGTTAGCTGTTGGGATGTTATATGAAAATATTGGAATAGTATATGTACAAAGGGAACATAATGTCGGCAGAAATACGTAAATCAAGTTAATGAGAGTAGATAATTATTTGTAGATGACATGGTTTTAAAGCTTAAAGCAAGAATTGGGAAATCCGAGTCCCCACGTGGAACTTCTTAGCTTGTGATTTGGAGCATGCGGACAGAAGGTTCCTGGCGGCCCGACTTGCGCAAAGAAAGTTGGCACGATCGGTTATGTAAAAAGGTACGAAACGGTTGAAGAGCCAATCTACGAATTTCCGTTTGACGGCGGGTGGATACTTTGGTATGTACATGTACCTAAGTAGATACCCGTGGGCTTGTTACCGTTATGCTGTTACTCAAGGGGGGAAAGAGAAACAATTGGTTGGGAGACCATTGAACAGGGGTATCTCTCTCGTCACCCCGCAACCCGACAGTGAAAACAACGCAAGACCCAGCTGAAGGCGGGAGCTTCCCCGAATCCCTGCTAACCAGCAGCTGCAGTGCCATGTCACTCATATCTTAGGCTGGTGGCTGTTGCTGTTGTCTCCTTTTGCATGACCACTTTCCCCTTCAAGGCTAAGTTTTTAGTTTTTATTTTTTTTCTTTTCTCAATTTCCAGTCTGTGATGCCTCAGGCCTGGACGAAATTTTATGGAAAAGGAGAACATTTAATTGCTGCCATTCGCATTCCTTTGGAATTGGCTGCTTGATACCCAAGGTTCACAAATATCTAGGTACCTATCTTCTAGGTATCTGGTCGACAATTATTCGTTCGACATTCCACAATCCCCAACGATTCGTCATTCCGCATTCCTACCAGTTATCGACGGTAACTCGAATCTGACCAACCGAACTGTTCGCCGACGAGTGTTTCCGCGGCCATGGCGTCGGCCGATGCGCTATCGGCGCCCGGGTCGGCGACCTATGCGTCGGACACAATGGTGGTAGGAGATGGGACCTGGGACTTCTCTAAGAACGATTTCTTGTTGCCGAATCTCATGGGATTGAACTTCGAAACTATGCGATACAATGGTAAGTCAATCCAGACTTCCTAGTCATTCTATGTCAGTACCAGTAACTAACCGCTTACTAGGCATGGGCAATCGCTTCTCGACGATACCACAATATCACCAATTGGTCACCGGCCATGGGATCCTCGCTGTCATCACCTTCCTTTTCGTTATCCCGGCCGCAGTTATGTACGCGAGATTCAGACCATACGGTTCTCCTATACGGTTCCACGCATACTTGAATGTTCTCGCCGTTGGTCTTTGTACCGTTGTGTTTGTACTCGGATGGTTCGCCGTAGGCCCAAATCGAAGCTTAACAAATCCTCATCATGGAATTGGAGTGGCCATATACACTATGATCATGGTTCAAATCATTGGAGGCCGTCTAGTGAAGAATATTCGTAAGAAGTCATTCCGACTGATGCTTCATCGATGGCTCGGAAGAACGGTTGCAATTTTAGGAATGGTTCAGGTCCCCCTCGGACTTACTCTCTACGGATCACCCTTGTATACCTTTATTTTGTATGCAGTTTGGATGGCAATATTGCTTCTAGCATACTTCATCCTTAGCTGGCGACATGAAAGCAATCGCGATCGGGAAGATCTCGTGAGCCATGGCGGACGTTCCGAAGGTGGCATCACAGAATCGGAACACAAATCAAAGCGAGGGATGGGGTGGCTAGGACCATTGTTAGCGGGAGCTGGAATCTGGGCACTCCTGCGAGGACGAAAAGACCACGAAGCAGGTCGAGAGCAAAGTCGCAGCGGGTCCCGACCGCGCAGTCGTAGCCGGCCTCCTGAGGTCATTCCATCCCAAAGAGGCTCAGAGAGCTACTTATCGGATGAGAAAATCTCAGATAGAACTCGAACCGACCGTCGTGAGGGTGGAGGAGCTATGAATTGGTTACTTGGTTTGGCTGGACTCGTTGGAGCTGGAGCCTTGGTTAAAGGGGTCAAAGAAAGGAGGGAGAAACGAAGATATGATGACGAAGAATATTCAGCGGTACCAACAGATACACCTAGTCGGACCAGCCGTCCGAACAGATCCCGAAGAGCTGCTACCCAGTACACTGAAAGCGAATTCAGCGATGACCGAACAGACATTCATCCAGGCCCAAGACCACATACCCCGTTGTTACCTGGTCCTGAGTGTCCTGGAGCTTCAGCTCTAAGCGGTACAGAGCCTATGACGCCACGGCCCTTGCATGCTCGGCCGACTCATACGGAGAGCAGCTATTTATCTGACTATTCGTCATATGTGAGTCCAACACAGCGGCCTGTAGAAGATGAAGAAAGCAAAGCTGGAAAGGGTATCCTGGCTGCTGTAGGCTTGGGCTGGCTAGCAAAGAGGGTGAAGGATCGACGAGACAAGAGAGCGGATGATGACCGTCGCAGGGAAGAGGACGAGAGACGGGACGGACAGCGCGGATCAAGATATACCGGAGATGGTCACAGCACTCCAACAAGATCATCACGACGTCGGCCACCTCCAGCATCTGCTCCAACTGTTACTTCCTTGACTACAGCTTCATCGATGCTTGAATCTCGTCCTCCAGGAACAACCATTTCCGGTCCTCCAATGCCACCCCTTGGTGCTGCAGGTGCGCAGCCTCCTGTGCCAGTTCCTGTCCCAGCTCCGGGTCGAGGTTCGCATTCGCATTCACGATCGACATCGAGATCAAAGAGTACTATCACAAACTCGGTCACAATGCCGCCAATGCCACCCGATCCGCATGGTGTACTTCATCCATTACGTCAAGAATCCGGTACCGAGTCTTACGCATCTAGTGGTGGTAGGCCTCATAGACGGCATTCATCGCGTCACCGTAGAGAACTTGAAGAGGCCGCAGTCATCGGTGGCGCCGCAGCTATTGAAGAAGAGGAACGTCGCAGAGGAGATCGCAGCCAAGCCCCTAGCCAGCCTGTTAGTGTTAAAGTGAGATACCACGACGACCGTGATAGAAACATAACACTCCGCCGTCTCACCGAAGAAGAAGCGGCTGCAGCTAGGCGTGGACAACGGGGAAGGTCAGATTCCGTTAGTACATTCTCCGAGAGCGAAGCACCAGCTAGTCGACGATATAGACGTGATTCAAGTTCGCACAGAACCGCGGACGAAACTGCGACCGAAAGATTGGTGTCCGAGCCAATGTCACCGCCAACACCAGCTTTCGCCGGAGGTCGACGAGGGGGCAAAGACTCGGCTTATTACTCTGGCCAGCCAGGTCCTTCGGGCGTACCATTGGCTGATCCGACTGTCTCTAGTTTAGGCACGGCGGAAAGTCATCCGACGTGGAGTGCGATGAGTCCTTCACCTAGTGGGCCGACAGGACCGGCGGGCTCATCAGCGCCGTCAGCTGCGGAGCGAAGACGGCGAAGACGACTCGAAAGAAGAGACCAAAGACCTTCTACTTCGCATAGCATCGACTATAACTGATGTTTCGGCGATCGCATGTCGTCATACTTCTGACCCTCATTGCTCGGTGTTTTGGCGTCTACTTTACTTTAACGATTCGACTCGTCCATGATAATCGCATGTATTCCCCGGGAGCATTGTTCGGCAATTTTTTTCGGCCTAATTAGGAGACCATGATGTTTGGACAAAGCTGTATGTCTCGGGAATGAGCTTGAAGAAAAGAGGGTTTTTGCATGATATCCCAAGATATCCAATTGGTTGGCTGTTTCCTTTTTACGTGTTAATAGTACAGTGTACTGGATGAACATAATAGAATGATAATATGTACAATCCCTTTTGATAGATGAAGGAAACGAATTTTTCACTGTTTCATGACATGTTGTGTATGGAACTTTGAGTTGAAACTCGAGAGGATTGACTGAAGGGATGGATGATGATTCGTGTGACCATTTACAGGCGGTTTAGTGCTAGCGCCAGTGAGCTAGGTGCCTCGGTGCCCTGAAACTTTAATAGAATTAGGCGGGTCCACGTGCAATCGCGACGTATCGATAAGCTGCCGCAACTCAAAATCGCGGTTTAAAGATTCCATCGCAACGCGACTATTTAATTGATTTACATAATTTACATCACGTTCCATGCTGTCGCATGACTTGTTTTTCATACTGCACTCTTCATAAAAGTGGACACTTAGTAGCTCACTTAATATAATCGTCAAACGAAAGAAATCATTAGCCCTTCTGCTAGACCATCAATAAACCAAATCAATATGGCAGCCGTCGCAGGCGGAGAGGAACCAACAGCGGTTGGAGGAAGCTCACAACACCAAGCCCCTGCATCACCGCCTCTACCGGCGCGACATACACCAGTAACACCTGGACCAAGGGCATCACGATTTCAAGCTGTATTAGACTCGAGCTTGAAACACACGCTGGGCAAGATTAGCTGGGACAACTTCGCAGCATGTTATCCAACCGTGGCCGAGAAATCACCCGCCGTGCTGCGCGCGGTTCAGAAGCAGATGGTTGATCGATTAGGGGCATTGTGCAAGGTAATTATTTCCCCCTTTTTCTTTTCATCAATTGCTGTGGTTTTGTTTACTGCGATGCAATGGATGGTGATGATGTGGGGGTGGCTATTCTATTGGCCATGCGCGGGGCCAAGATGCAAATCAATTGAAAATGTTTCGATTGGTCTCAATCACAAGAAAAGAGGAGCATAAGGACAGCGTGAACTACCAACTTTACTGACCGGAAAATATGTAGAAGGAATTTGATTCCGTACTGCAGGGCCGCAATGTGGTGGCCAAGCTAAACGAGCTCGAGGGTCTGGTCAGCGAAGCTGAGCGAAGGAGGGACGACGCTGGTGTCGCGGAAGCACCTATACCGTAAGTGCAATTTTGTTAATTGGATGGATGTTTTCCCTACTCTACATATAAGCCGTAATTGAATAGCGTTCTTTCACGTACGACCATAGGATTTGGAAAACTCGGGATCCCGTCCGCTCTCCCATAGATAAGCCAGATACCGCCGGATCAGTAGTTGGGTCGGTGACGACCAGCGAATCCCCGGTGTTGTACGTTTTACTTTTTTATTTTATCACTTTTCGCCATATCCTAATTGTCATTTCATTTTATTTTCATTCTTCATCCAGACACTAATTCTACCAGACCTCATATGCTGCCTCCGGATCAAGTCTTAGCAGCACATCTCGCACCACACTTAGCACAACAACAATCACAACTCAACGCGAAACTACAGACAGTCCAAGCGCACAACGCTAAGCTATTCAGCGATATACAAAAGCAGCGCGCTGAGATGCAGTCATTAATGGGTCTCCTGCAAAAGGTTTTAGAAGATATCGACGGGGCTAATGGTCAGATGGACGGTATCATGGATGATCTGTCTAAGGAAACGAGAGCGGTGGAAGCAGAGATGGCTAATCCATGAAGGATTCTTCTTCGGTACGACACGAGGACCAATACTTATGATATGACATATTTAGGATCAAGGAGGGAACGATGCATAGGTTTGGCGTTCCGGCGTACGAGTCGACCGAGTCCCTATATTTGATTGAATTCCTTAGTTGAAATAGTATCAATGCGTACAACCATTTTCAGTAAATAAATTTTCAATTAAAATCAATTGAAAAAGCTCGTACATATGTTAATCCAGAGCAACAAGTAAGCGTGGGACGTTGACATAAGAAAGGCCAAATCGTTCCTATATCAATCTTAAGCGGCCTTAAGTTCGCCTACTTTGAGTACCAAGACGATATAAATATTGAGGCACTGTGTTCGCAAAATAACGTCTCGTCGTACCGAGCCACTTACGTATTACACTACTAAAGATCCGGTTAACCCACTATTGGTTCTTTTTCGCATACACAGTAACGCTCACCGTGTTCATTATCAAGCTTCATAAGAACTCCCCATTATATTCACATCCGATCTCAGTATCGGAACTAGCCAAGAAACCGAACCAGCATCACCACATACAAACTCCTTAACCCAACCCCGGAAACCCATCTCCGGTATGATATATCATAAACCCCAAACCATCCCCCAAAGATCGGGAACATCCGGTTCACCCAGGTGGCGCACGGGATCTACGCAATCTCGGGACGCCGCATCGCGCCCCCCATGCAGCTAGACCAAAAGGTTGAAGAACCTAGTACAGCATATCTAGCCCACCGGATCGTGCCCCCATCCAGGTACCTAGATAGGTACATGCTTGGATAATCTCCGTCGGAGTTATCTCATACGGAAATAAAGTCGGAAGCTGTCTAAAGGTTTAAGTGGCGGGTATTTGCCGACCAATCTTGTTAGCCCCTTGTATTCCTATGATTGTAGGACGGCATAGCATCAAGGAATTATATAGAAGACATCAGCTTATTTAGGGGTCCAACCATACGTAAGTAACTCAGCAGATACGCCACAGTAGCACAACTCGTCTCGTAACAAATCCGTGATGTGATAGACATCTACCGCTGAGTATAACGTCTAAAAATCAAAATCAGTATTAAGCCAAGTTTACTCAGCGATACAATAGCAATACACTAGACACGATACAATGTAAAGATGTCTTGATCATTTCTGTCCGTATTGTACAACTGTACAAGTCTGGTTTACCCCCTGCCCTCCCTGAATGTCCCAAATATCACCCTTTTCACTCCTCCCATGCAGATGAGCGTTAACTTTTCCAGCCGTCCATCAATGTACAAACCTCCAAGTCGAGGTATCATTAGCTAAAGATGATCGTGCGATGATATATGCGTGCTCAAATCAAACCTGGCGCTCAAGACAACCTAATAAAGGTTCGTCTATGTTGGTCCGAGTTGAAAGTCATAAACCACCTAAACCCCCCTCTCAACTCCAAATCCTGCGTATGACGCGTTTCTGAGATATGGACATGAAGACTTTCGGTTCCCAAAGGAATTCCGAGTCCTGACAGTCCAGTAACTACTTAATATTTCCGAACACCTAGCGTCGCTATTACGGCGCTCATGCATTCGTAGCTTGCGAAGCACCCCTGCCACGGGGTGCACCACCGCCGCCTCTACCACGGCCCTGGCCACCGAAATTACCCCGACCACCTTGACTTCCAGACCGACCATCAAATCCTCCACGGCCCGGGCGGTTCTGCACGTTTCCTCGTCCTGCAGTGTAGTTGCTGCCACCGTAGGCACCGGCCTTGGGACGTCGGGGCTCAACAACAATGTTCTCTCCATTAACCACATGAGGGTTCGCGGCTACGGCAGTCTGGTAACCGCCTGCCGTGGCAAACTCGACGAATGCACAGTTCTATAGCGCGTTAGATTATTTATATTATTCATCATATCCAGGGTCGGTGTCAGTGGCTTACCTTTTGACGATTGATATCAAAGTAGACCAATTCGCCATGCTGTGCTAGCGCTGCCTTCAGGTCTTCGTGCTTGACCTTGTCCGTGACATATTTGACGTATCCCATAGTGCTGTCCTTCTCAGCTTGGAGACCGGAAATCGACAGGGGCCTGTTTCCTCGTTTCGAGTCGCCGCCGGCGGTTTGCCATTCAGCAGATGTCTCCTTGGCGGGTGTGGCGGGGGTGGCTGTCTCGGAAGTCTGAGTCTGAGTTTGAGCCGGAGCGGACGTTTGAGGTGTCGCTGATTGGGCAGAAGCAGCCGGGCGCGATTGCGGGGCAGCTACGGGAGTTGCCGCCTTAGCCGGGAGAGGTACGACAGGGCGAGGACCCGCGGCGGCGGCAGCTCGACTTGCCCACGTCATAGGCTTAGGTGGCTGAGCAGGAGCAGGCGCGGGAGCTGCAGCTGCAGCGGGCGGCGGTTGGCGAGTCTGTACAGGCGTTGGGCTGGGATCTGCTGGCTTCTCAGGCTCCTTTGTATCTTCCTCAGCAATTTCCTGGGCGGTCTCCTCAGGGTCGGGGACGGCTTCGGTTTCCTGCTTGCTAGCAGTTTCCGGAGCTGCTGCCGGCTCGCTAGCGGCGGCCTCAGCTGCTACATCACCATTGGTTGGGGCAGCTTCCTTGGGAGCCTCGGTGGCTTCCTCTAGCTTCTTGTCTATAACACCAGCATCGAACGAAGCGGGCTTCTCAGCCGGCTCCGTGGGCAGCGCCTCGGGTTCCTCCTTAGCCGCCGGGACAGATAGAGTTACAGGGTCCGCTTGCTCATCTTGGGTAGCCTCAACAGCCTCCTCATCACCTTCCTCCTTTATATATCGAAGAATGTCGTTCAAAACGAAGTATCCAGAAGGTTGTTGCGCAAGTACAAAGGTCTGGACAAACTTTTTCGGGTCGCCAGCTTTGTTGGAGGTCTCGCCGATTACTTGGATAACGATATTGTCGAAAGAAGCCTGGGAATCGACGTTGGAAACTCGGACCTTGCAGTCCTGGAAGTCAAGCTCCTTGATGCGATCCTGGATGTTCTAGAATAGTGTATTAGCATCCACCAACGGTACCAATGTTACCAAGGAACATACCTGTCTGCCAACAGAGACGTTGGCGACCTCCGCTTCCTGACCATACACGAATTGAGAGCGTTTCCCGTAGAAAAGCTATATGAGCGATTAGTATAGGCAGCGGCGACAAATGCAACGCATGATCGGAACTTACGTGGAGCTTCTCCGGTGTCTTACTCAGGGTTGTGTAGTACTGCTCGACGAAGAACCAGGCGACCTCATCTTTTCCAAGGTTGTTGTTAGAGCTGGTGTTGCTTGCTTGGTCGGCAGAAGGAACGGCGGTTGAAGAAGCTGCAACGGCAGAAGCCGCTGAGAATTGCTCGGGGTGACTGAGGTTACCGTTTGTCGCCATGGTTGCGCTAGGTTGTGGAGGAAATATGCGCGCCTAATCGGACGGAAGCGATCTTGTAGATGAGGTCAATGACGAGGGCAACTCAAGAGTGAGCTCGAAGGTGATCAGCTACCTCAGTGAGGATAGGATTAATTCCACGGGCGACAAATGCCGTAGTGAAATAAAATATGGTTTATTTATACGGATTAGAGTGCCGCGATAGGAAACCTCAAGAACCGAGGAGATTGTGTCTCGCGAAGAAACAAAGCGGGAAACACCTCGGGTTGGGTAGAAAGAGAAAGAACCGAATGAAAAATCGGCGTTGGTTATTGGGGAAGAATTAGAGGAGAGGAGAGAAGAGGGGAAAGAGAAAGATGTATGATTTTTTTTTTAGAGGTGGCGGAAAAGGAAGGTGGTCGTCGGAGAGGGAGAAGAAAATTGTGTGTGTGTGAGTTTATGAAGTGTGATGAAGTGGATGATGGATAAAATGGTGGAAGGTTTAATCAGAAGTAGTTGGTGGTGGAGAAATTGATCGATAAATGTTCGATATGTTATTTTTTTTTTTTTATCCTTCGGGTTGGAGATTTTGTTTGGTCGAGTTCGGGGAAGGTAAGAACGATGCGTGCGGGCGGGTGAGAAAGTAGGTAGGTAATGTCTCTTGTCAGACGCGGCGCGCACTAACGTAATTAGATACCTAACCTATCGAGAACGGACGGGAAGAGATCTAAGTCCGTGCAGGAAAGGAACGATGGGGGAAAAAAACAAAGAGACAGTGACGAAATTTCGTTTTGAGACGTAAGACTCGTAGAAATGAAAAAAACGTGGTGGCGACACGATTGTCGTTTTTTAGTAGTAGTAGTAGTGGAAAAAAGATAGGAAACTGTGTCGAAGGACTGGGCTGGAATCGGACGTTGAATGTACGTCAAATTAATTTTGCCGTGGGCACTTTTTTCTCGAGTTCGCGAAAGAACGTTTGGCCAGAAATTTGCCTAGGCGGGCTCCATCGAATTAGAAAATCGTGGAGGTTATCGGATATTTATCGGTATTTCTTTCCTTTCTAGTCTGCTAATTCACTCTTCGCCGTTCCCTTTGGGAACAAGTACATCGGTACACTTGCAGTAGTTTTGAGTCAGATCTCCACAGTACCCCAAGCTTTGCACTTAATTGAAGCTTGGACCAGCTGTAAGGGAAGCTTGTCTTACACGGAGTACCTACATGTAGGTACCTAGGTACCCACCCACGTATGTGTACGTACTATGCTGTATACACGCATGTAAATTCAGGACAATCTTCTTTTGCAAATCAGGTTTATTTCTCATTTGAATTATCAGATCTGATCTCGAATACAAAATTTAAGTCCGATGTTGGGTCAATATAGAGTGCGTCGTGGTAGAACATATCAAAAGAGGCGATTTAGTATTATGTAAGCTATTCAACGTCGAAGTATAAGTTCAGTCTAATCCTAAGCAATGAAAGACACTCTAGACTTTCAAAACGCATATAGATACATGTACAGAGTCGATTATAATTATGGTAGAACGCCCCAACCATCTAGAGGAGTTGACGACTTCATGGCCGTATACGCACGATACTTATTGATCCTACTTCTAAGTCTCACGTCGACGGTTTGATTCGAGGCGTAGACATTAAGTTTGCTCAATGAATAGGATTGCCTAGAAAACGTCGTTCGGAATGACCAAATTTGATGATTGTGAAGAGACAATTATGTACTTAGGTACTTATGGATTCAACAATGAGAATCTTCAAAGTTTATTTAAGCTGGCAGGTGGTAGGAAGAGTTAGTGTCTCCTAAGGTGGCTTCCTTCTCCAAAAGCAGACTATAGATAACCGTTACATAGATTCAAATTACATAAGACACACCATTTCGATAGACTCAACATTTATAAACATAATATCCTTTACGAACCACCTAGGTAGATGAATATCGTACCAATTTGGTCCCGCAAGCACCGATTAAATCAATTCCCGGCACCTGCCACTGTGCCAAAAAACTAGTCCTGGAGTTCGTGGTCTTATCATATCAGATACCACTTCCAATACAGTGCAGACTGGCACACTGCCAGTGTTTGGGGGCAAACTACACTCAGACCACCACAATCTAACAGTATTTTCAGCTATCAACCTGGGGAAAATGGATCGTGGCATGTTTTCACTAGTAAGAGGGAGGGTCAAGAGCACGACAGTAAAATTAAATGGCTACTCTTACCCTCCTACCAGGGTCCTTTCATTCTTCCCTCTGTAAATTTCACGATCTTTTTTCTTCCCTCCCTCTCCCACAGATCCCTCTGTAACACCACCATTTCCACTCGGAAATAGCCCGTTTCGAGTGGAATTTGTACAGGACGTTGATCGCCTTGTTTCTTCTTCTTTTTTTCTAATAAAAATTAAAACGCTGCGATGGACACGTCATCATCGCAATGCGGTTCCTTCGACTATCCATTTTGTACCGACCAGGTCAGAACCGCACCCGCCGGTACGTGCTGCGAGGCACCCAAGCAGTGTCTGCTCTTCGCGGCAAACTCGACTGTCGTCTGCTGCCCGGACAATGACTGTAGCGTCATTGATCCCATCACCTGTGACATCACCCAGCAGGTGTTCCCGGCAGATATTCTGACGACAATCCAAAAGGGAAACCTCCCTAGGTGTGGAAACCGTAAGTAATTTTCAAAGCTATTTATCGTCCCTCTCGGCCGATCTCAAAGTGAGGATTGCTATCTTATCAAGGCGTAGAACATTTCACCCTCGAGACACAATTTCAAGATTCTAAAGCTTACTTACCTAATATGATAATTACTAACACCCAATGTTGCAGAGTGCTGTCCGTGGGGTTTCCACTGCACGGAGTCCGGCGACTGCGAAGCAGATGCCGACCAGGATCAGTTGCCGGACGTAGTCGAGTTTCCTTCGCCGTATGCGAACTCAAACGGCACCGCGAGCCCCGTGCCGTATAATACAACGGCGGCCCCGCCCAAAGCTAGCGTCGTCGTTGTCACCAGCGCATATCCGATGCCCAGCCTCAGCCAGTCCAGCAACGCCGGCTCAGGGATGAGCGTAGCCGAAATTATCGGCATATCTTTGAGTGCGATCTTCGGCCTTGCGCTCATAGCCCTGGGCGCCTACCTCATCCGAAACTCCCGCAAAGCTGTCAGAGTTTTGAAGGACACGGAACAGGGTAGGGCAGCAGCAGCGGTGCCGGCGGGGAGCAGAACCCCCGCGGGGTTCAATCGAGCTCCCGCGCACATGGGAGGCGGGGTTATGATGAGGGCGGAGCTGGATAGCAACCCCGTTTGCGAGCTGATGGATCCGGCGATCATACGGCCGGTAGTGACGGAGCCGTATGAGCTCCCTGGCTGAAATAGAAGACCGTAAGTTCCAGATCCATTTGTCTTCAAGGTCTAAGAGTAATATATACTAACCCCGAATAGAGCCACAGACATACCAGGCTTTTGCCGCCCTTCTTTTTTTCGCCGATTTCTGTTCGACACTGAATGACATTTTATTGAATAACCGCACCACGTTTTGTTTTGCGCCGATGCGCGTTTTGGGTCCCGTCTTGATTCGACGAAGACCGTGGGTACGATATGGAGAGAAGGAAAAGAATGACATTCCTGCTGGCAATGGGAAGCCACCAGGGATGTATTCGAAGGGCTACAATTACGTAGTGTGTATAGAACCACTGGACGGCACTGTCCCTGGATACCGCGGGGGATAATTGCAAGCCGCCCGAGAGGTCGTATAGTCTTGCTGGAGAATTATCCAAAGGTATGGGCGGTGTCGATGGTCCAAAGGGTTATCTTGTAATATTTAGAATACTTGTATTATCACCGGCGTTTTTGATACCCAAAATACGACTGGCTGATTTCCATCATAAAAGCTTTCGAGACTTAGTTTATTTCATACGTGACCTTGATTGACGAACTTTACTTACTAGCCAACTTAGCTAGGAAACAGCCCTAGCGTTGTGTTGTGATAATGCCTCAATGCTGTTTCCACATAAGGAATACCTGGGGATCGTAAGCTATACTGTGAGACTATGAGACTATGTCGTTAGCTACTAGTATGGTATTGTGGCATTAGGATGTCATACCGCAGCGCATCAATAACTCCAATCAACCACTATTTCGATGTTGTTAGCATGTCTCCATTCGGGTGAAATTTACTAGATGATGATATTCCCAATGCACCCGAAATTTATACTAGGCGCCTGCCACGGATAAATTTTGTGCGAAGCCCGAATAACCCTGCTACCTAAAGGTGGTCCGGTGATGAGTACCTAGGTAACGAAATGCCTCTTTACTATCATGAGAATATTGAAGAATGAAGTTCGAATGCTCTCTCATTCTAAATGAGAGAGCGCTTCCGCCGCAAATTTTGCGCTGAAAGACCCACAGAGAGGCATCGCCTCCCTATCCATCTGCTCAAAGAGACACTTTTTGGGGATTTCTTTCGTCAAATTGAAAATATCTTAATTTAGTTCAGTGAGTCCCTTGCGTCCAGTGTTCTGCTGACGCCAGAATCTTCCAAGACAACGATATGAATTCATTGTGTTAAATTTGCCTCATTTAGTATTCATGTCGCTTCTTCGAAGGAATTTAAACATGCAGTCCGTGCTCCCACCGACATCATTCGGAAGAGTCCACCGGTCTGGGATGAATTACCGCCAAGAATGGATATCCATCCGGCCTCCGTCCGTGACGTAGAGCTACCTATGAAGCGACCGTAAATATGGAAACGATGCCGGTCCAACAATCAGAAGAGACGGGATAACTACACCAGATAGTAAATTCTTCTATTGTTAGTAGTGATTCGCCCATTTCGTTACCAACAGATGAATTGCCAAGAATGGTTGTTACATAAAGGAAACTGTCGTACCTTGGTGCTGTCTTACTTGTTACACATGTCCGTGAGTGATCTACACGGGACCTATATATAGAAAACTCTCGGCACACGTTGATCGGGAATCAATTGAGAGCCTCACCGTTCGCTTCGCTAAAGTCCTAGGTGATTCTCATACATTGTATTGTTTCTTTGGTCATTTGGGATCCCCATTTGAGCGGAAACCAAATTTGACAGAATGCATTTGCATTCTCTTGAGTTCCCAACGACGGAATCCTAATGGCCATAATGAGACCATCTTGCGAATAATAACCAGGGATCACAATGACTCCTAACATACGTGCGAAATAACAACGTTGGTGATGTTAGGTTGGTATTGATGATTTATCTTCGTAGAGCTCAGACACAAGTTTCCTACACTCAATCAGCGACAGCTCGTAATACGTATAGGCTCAACATGATTGCTGCAATTTTTGCACTGTACTGTAAATGTAATTGACCTGATACCTGTATTTACTCAATTTCTCGCCTTTGAGCCTCTCAAAGAACTGAATTGAAACATGGCAAGTCTATCCTAGTATTGTTTCTAAACTGTTACCTGCCCCTTTTCTACCAGCTCTATCTCTAGCAAGTCACAAAGTCACAGTAACATGCTACAACATGCTACACCAAAGCAATACAGGGTCAAATACGTTACACAATAGTTGGTTTTGTAGTCATTTATTCTGAATCCTTCTAGAATAAAAATTAATTAGCAATACCTGAAATTGGACAATGCTTTCGCAATTAAAGTGGCTCAGCTTAAGCGATAAATGATAGGTAGTTTTGCACGTTGGGCTTTCGCGAGAATTAAAACCAAAAAAGCCTTACAAAGTGTTGGTGTTCCGAAGCCGTCTCTTACATACGAACTGCTCCGACTAATATTACCTAATCGAGCCAATGGCTTGCTTAATAAGGGGGGTCCGGTGCAACTCGAACCGATTAAACCCTTTCGGATGGTTCACCGGTCGGGCGAAATTTAAAAAACTTAACTCCTAATTCATACCTAAACTTCAGCTAACCCGCCTGCAACGTGCTCAGCCCCGACGAATCAAACTATCCGTAGCTCGTTACACGTAAGCATTTTTCTAATTAGAGGATTGGGGGGCTTGGTCTCTTTTATATCTTACAGATCTCACGAACAGGTTTGTAATTGGACGACTGTGGCTGAGCCTCGTTCTGTAATCTTCCCGCTCGCTCTCGGAGGTCAACAAAACCTTCCGACCCCGAGTCCGACTTGTGAATTCTTGAGGTCATCGCCTCCCCGAGAACCGCTAGTAGGATTCTCGATTATCCTTCCTAGCGTTATATGGCGTGTCGCACAACATTTCGTAGGACCGACACATACGGCAGTGGGACAATTCCATGCTTTAGCCAGCAGCAACACGATCTTGGCAGTCTGAAAAGTCCTACCGATCAATCGTGTAGATAGATCTTGGGTAGTTGTAATTCTATTAATCAGCGACGGGCAGATTCTATTTATTAGATACCCCCACGCCTCTTTTCTCTTCTAAGCCTGGTACAATACATGTCTTCAGAGTAAACCGTGATCTAGATTCACTCTATTCCCATTCCTATTTTCCTTTCTGTTTCCTTTTTCTGTTATTTCATTTGTTGAAACACATTCCATACCTAAGTAACGATTCCTAATCGAAACCGTCAACATGTCGAACGACAACAACAACGGCGGCGGCAACAGCGATGACTACTCATTTTACCCTTACGACCCGTCGATTGCGGTAGCCGGTCTGAGCTGTGGTCTGTTTGGTGCCGCCCTCCTTTGGTCCACCTTCATGACTATCAAGACCAGATCATGGATTTGGATTGTCCAGCTCGTCACTATCATCAGTATGTTCTAGTGCTAAACACATACCTTGTAGAGAATCTAACCAACCTATCACAGTGGAGCTCGTTGGATATGCTTCTCGAATTGCTTCTGCGAAAGATAATACCAATCTCACCTTATACGCGTTACAGTTCTGTCTGATTATCCTTGCCCCCATCATTATGGCCGGTGCCATCTATGTCGTCTTTGGCCGAATTGTCTTCCATGTCATTCCTGCCCAGGACAGAACTACCGGACTCCTTTGGATTCCTCGTACGTATTTCGATGTCTGAATATGTAGCTTGTAACTTGCTAACTGTCGTCAAGCCCGGTGGATCACTCCTATCTTCGTTACTTTCGATATCGTTTCGCTGATTGTCCAACTTATCGGTGCCGCCGTCGTGGCAGCTACCCGACCTACTGACGATAACGCAGCGAACAACTTGAACATGGGTAAGAATGTCGCACTTGCAGGTCTCGCCATTCAAATCGCCGCTTTCGGTCTCTTCTCGATCATCGCTGTTCGTTTCCACTTCATTTCGCAACGATTCGAGCACAGCCTCCAATCAAGGCTCGCTGTCGCCAAGGGGAGGGAAGCGGAGATCAACACTAAATGGAGATTCCTCCTATATGCTGTTAACATATCCTGCCTTTTCGTTTTGGTAAGTCATCGAGTTCTAGAAAGTAACATGACTGCTCTAACACTTTCCTCAAGATTCGATCGGTCTACCGTGTAGTCGAATTCGCCCAGGGCCCTCTAGGCGTCGTGACGCAAAAGGAGTTTTAGTAAGTGACCAAAGAAACTATCTGACACTTGTCCCTGTATTCTAACATACGATTCTCTAGCATGTATGTACTGGATGCCCTGCCGGTGTTCTTGGTTACCCTCGCCTTCTGTGTCATTTTCCCCGGTTCGTTCCTCCCGCACATGGGATTCAGGGTCCCTAAGAACCGAGGAGAGGAACTCGGGAGCGATGGGTCTACCCTTGAATTCCGAGAGATTTAGGAGTCAAAAGAGTGAGTTATGATAACTCGTTCTTGGTTGTATCGGCGGGTTTCTCTCGGATCAAGCGGATTTGGTGGTATTACATTTTGTATTTTTATTTGAAGGGAAAGTTCCAGGGGCTTTCAAGGTTATGAGATGAAAGGGGGTAAAAGTTTCTGGTGTTCGCAATAGACAGGAGCCGGAATTACGTGTTGTATTAGCTGAATAGACGGATATACCCAATACAGATTTCACTACAATGTACCACTTGGCTGTTGTCATTGATGTGAGGATTCAGATATAAGAAACACAAAATTCATGCTAACTCCCTGCCAAATCAACGGGATTAGCAGTATGGGGGGAAATAATCCACCAATAATAATGCGAGAGGCAACCAGTGGGTAGTGTATTCGTTCGACGTGACAGGATGTGATGTACTATCGTTTGAAGCTAAACGAGGCACTGTCACCCGCGTTTATTTTCCGATGTACGATACAGCACAGACGGGGGCAAGGAAGAGTTGTCACCCTTGAGCCACTCGATCTCTTCGGTCTGGATTGTCTTCGCCTTAATTTTATCACCGAACGATTGGATGATATTCAACAAGCTATGATGTGAATTAGTGACGATCCTCGCTGGGTGAATCCCTGTGAGTTTTTTTGACAGCTGCAGGAATGCTACCTACAGTGTTTATGATGTGTAGGAATACCTACGTGGCTTAATGCAGGCAAGTTTGACAGGCGAGATCAAACTCACCAGAGTAAAATAAAAGTGACACCGATGACATTTCTCGTCAGGGGTGAGCTGTCATGATGAAAATACATGTACTGTGGGAAATTTCGGATTCGGACAATTATTTGTTTGAAAAAATCTCCTTGTCACCCTGGGCCAGACCCAGAGGTTCAGGGTCTAACGATTGAAAAGGTGAGCACCCCTCTTCACGCCCTGCCAATATCCCAGGCAATACCGAAGCCAATTAAGCATCGTACATCTCGGACTTCATGAGAGGTACCTAACCTCCTTCTCCATCAGTACTAAGAGTCGATTTATTTTCTAGTTGGTGAGTTAAAATCTTCTATGTATCAGTAGTAATATCTGTAATATTCTCGTGGAATACGAAATGGGGTTTATGATAATTCCGGAAAGGCCCGAGGGGATAGAAGCACGATAAACAAGCCGAATGCCAACAAATGCTTAGCTGCCTAGCAGATTGGCTTATGAGGCTTGACTCGCTGCAGTGGTCTCGGGTAGGGGGTACTTTCGATGAGCCCCTCGACCCCTCGGCGTTACGTCACGCCGGAAAGTGGTATCCGGGTTCTCACAACGTAGTACCCGGTCTAGGAGCCCTGATGCCTCATAGCCCTGGTTGGGATATCTTATAGCGTGCTGCACATAAGTGTAAGGGGTAGTTGTTTGTATGTATGTTCATACGTATGGAGGAAAGCTTCTGCGAAGATGTGAAGACGTATGTACGTAAAATATCCATGTGATGTAAAAAAGAAAGAATGCCGAGTAGCAACTAGTGAAACCCAATCGGGGTTACTTTCATATAAAAAATAATCGAATATTTGCTTTTGGTGACGTATATGTAGGCAATCAACGAAGAACCTTGACTGACATATCAGCAAATACTACCCTAATACATCTAGTAGTTGCTTCCAATTGTTTATTCGGTACCTAAAGTTTAAAAGAGTTACAAAGATCGGATATGGGGATTAATATTCCTGCATAAGTACCTTGATAGTCGGATGTAGGATGTATGCGGCTAGAGGTATGGTGTGCCTTCTATTGCTTGTGGAATGCATGTAGAAGGAGCATGTACCTACCTGTTTTAGAGAAAGGTCGTCCATTGCGACCCAACCATAAGCTTTGATAGACAAACTCGCCTAATAATTCTCGCCTCATCCGTCGTAAGTACCTTCGTACCAGACCGAACGAACCCACTAAACCATCTTCAAACCAGACGGACCAACCCTGGAATTTCCGACCAAACCTTCCCAGGATGCTCCGCCAACCTTGCAGCTTCTTGATCCACGGTAAACCCTGGTCCCTGTCTATCCCCCCCACATCAGACGGACGATTGGGTCTGAAGGGAAAGCGGGGAAGTTCCTATTTGGTGGCACTAATTTTTTTACGTCTCTTTCGAGTTTCAAACAGCTTGAGTTTCCGAGGGAAAGAGCGAAAAAAACATATGCTATTGTGGGAAAGAAAGAGAAACTACCCATGTATTGCATTACTAATAGCAAGTGTGGATAATGTTTTTCTTTTCTTTTCCACCTGCACGGTAGGAAAGTCAAGAAGCTAATGTACCTAAGTCACCTTGAAGGATTGTGATTAACCAACCAGTCTCGCATCGAAAACGAGAACAAGACGGGCATACAGTATATCTATTCCCGAATACCGTGAACCTGCATCGTCGTGGCCACCCACCAGGTTCTCTGAGAGTCTCCCTCGGGGTTAGGTATTCATCGTTTCTTCGCCCTGTCGTTTATGCCGTGGCATCAAACCTGTCTTGATTTATATGAAAATAAATTTCCGATATCTTAACCAAAGACGAAGACGATATAAGAAAAATAAAATTTAAAACATAATCCTTTTTGAGACTTCGGTTTTTTATTGGTAGCTTATCCTTTCAGTTACATTGGACGTTGTTCGAAAGCCGAGGGGCTCGCCGTTGATTATCGATCTTGAAGACACGTGCGGCGTAACCATCCGGACTCGGTGCAGCACATGCAGAGAAACCCTTCGGAGGCTCTGGGGAACAAAATTCGAAGGGAGCCCGGAGCGGCGTTGGGCTCGTCTTTTATAGAAGACGGGAGAGAAAAGGGCGGTCGAAGAAAACTAGGGCCGCTAGTCCTCTCATAATCATGATCCTTCTTATTCCCCACGACCTTGACGAACTGCTTTCCCTTTTCGACACCCGACTGCGCAAATACTGACCAACGACAACCGCCACTCACCGAAAAGTACAGCACTTGATACGCACGACTAAAATCAAATACACACTTTTGATTTGTTCGTACAGCTTGCCTATCCTGGCGTCCTTGCACAATGGTTTATTGTGGAAAGGCTTCCCAGGGATGCCAGAACTGTCGAACCCGACGTATAAAGGTGCGTATAGGCTCACGGCCTCCTCTTGACCGACACCACTGCACACCCTTTGTTCCCTGTTTTTCCCATGCAGGTGCAGCTGAGATGGAGATATGATACGTATCTTGGTGGCAGCAAGTTCGGTATGCCACGAGGTTTTACTGCATGGCTTGCATTCGCCTCCCTCTACGTATCCGATCTGCTGGGACTCTAAGAGATGGCGGGATCCATAATTAACCATGAAGCTTTAGTGCGATAAAAAGCGGCCGGAATGCTCCCAGTGCATTCGCGTGGGCAAAAAATGTCCGGGATACCGAGACCAATTATCTCTCATGTTTCGAGATGAGAGTAGCAAGGTTATACAAAAAGCACACGCTCAATGGGGCTCTTCCGGCTCACCTACTGACCCGAGCGGAGGCCCGGCTTCGGCATCAACTTCGGCCTCGGCTGCTTCAATATGGACAAACGAGTCGCCAGGCGCGTCTTCGGATAGTCAAACTGCGAGTTCTCCTATAACGCCGCGCGAGGTTGCTCCGACCAGGATAGCCAAGAAAGTGGATATGAATATGGAACAACGTGGATTACAATTCTACATAAATCGCTATCTCATGAATCATCCGGATTCCCCAAAGACGCGCGATCAAGTGGCTGCTTACTTTTCGAGCGCCGATGCGGCCCAGAACGTCATGATAGCTGTAGGTCTTGCAGGGATGTCAAACCTGCTGGGGAACAAAGACATGAACCTGGTTGCACGTTCTAAATATGTTGCAGCTTTGAAGCAGACTGGGCAATTGATCGCTAATAACGATCCTGCTGGTCTTGTAGCCCGTATTCGGAGCGTCGTATCGCTTGCTTTATTCGAGGTAAAATTATGCCCCGAAACATATATGCGTCGGGACGAGCCACTCACTATGTATAGGTCGTCCAAGGTAGAGGACCTAAAGTAACCGTGGGTTCAGCTAATACGCATATTAATGGCGCAGTGGCTGTACTACGATCCGTGCTGCCACTTCCGCAGGCCCCTAATAGGGGCGCGCACGGTGTGTTGCAATTATTATTTTCAATGGTATTGTGTCATTATATCCCCCTCATTTTAGTCCGGCCACTGACAAGATCAGTTTATCCCCTATCAAATGACAGATACACCCCTTCCGGCCGGATTCTTCGAGACTCTTAAATTTTGCAAGCAGTTGATGCAGGGTGTTCTCGAGGTTTGTTCTGTTGATTTAGCGCTTGCAATTGCCCGATATCTCCAACTGTCGGCGACAGCTGAACATACGGTACTTACCGACGGGCGTCCCACTACGGATGGTCTGATACAACAATTTGTTGTATTGGAGAATGCTTTTGATCGCTTAGAAGGTCGGCTATTAGAAGCATTCCCCTTCACGCAGAATCAAGGGGAATACCCACCAGAAGCGGTTTTCCGCGGAAAGTGGCATAAATACAACGGGGTTTGGAGTGGTCGAATATGGAATCATTACCGATGGGCTCGGATCCTCACAAACCAAAAGCTTGTCAAGCTTTTCGCCGATTGCCCCATTTCAAGCAACAAGACCGTGCCCGTGGCTCAGAGAACAAAATGCTACGCTACCATCGAACGGCTAGCCGAGGACATCCTTATAAGCACACCATCACATTGGCATCATCCAATGCTAGATCCCGAGACTACTCGAGCGTTTGAGCCGGGTGGATTTGGTAATTCTGGAGCCGTAGGGCTTCCTAGCCACCTGTGGCATCTCTGTACTGCAGGATGTGCACCCAACGTACCCCCGGAGTTTTGGGATTGGGCTTACAATGTGCTGCAAGTAATCTGGAGGCAGATGGGCATGCAACATGCTCTAGCATTGTCCGAAGTCATGGTTGAGCAACGAAATAAATTGACCAGGGAGACTATCCAGACAGAGTTAAAGATCGAAGACGAGGATTAGGGTGAACAAAAGCATACGAATTGAACATTTTAGAATACTGATACCAGGCAGTATATATGGGAAGGCGTTCGCAGGCGTGGCCGGACCGGGAACCACTGGTTTGAGTGATACATTATGGGCATATTTCAAGGTTAGGTATATAAGGGAATTGCATTTTCAGGTTATTGGTGAGACCAAAGTTCAAAACACAAGGACTTATTTCGATCTATATGATACAGGCCACGGTGTACCTATATTTGAAAGGAATTCTCGGGGACAATAGCCCAGTTGAAGCCCGGAGTTGGTCAATAAATCATACTAGCCAAAAATCCACGCCTGAAAATATTGCGATATAGATGATGGTCTTTATTTAAACTCCACCGTCGCGGTATTGGAGGTGTAAGTTGAATTGCATTGTTTTAGTCATGATAAGGGATCATATAAATGGACGAAATTCTCGGAATTCGGCTTAAGGGAATTTCGTTAGCTCATATGATCCATATATTTCATATTGATAAGTGATTTGAAAGAACAATCTGTTTTCGTCAAGACATGGATTTCTTTACTCTGACGACTCTAAATATATCTGGGCAATCTTAGAACCAGTAGATAAATTTAGATGGTACAGAAAGACAAATGTGGAGATCCTTTGGACACGCTAGAAGATAACCTTAAGCATCCTACGGCTTTTGTTCGGTTAAAATAGATAAGAGCGATAAGATCATTAAAAACTGGAGCAGAGAGGAGAGAGTGACGCTAGGATTATCTTAGTCATAATTTCGGCGCGAGCTTCGTTCAAGGCTTCTTTAATCAATCTACCACCATCATTATCTAACTTTCAACCATCAACAAGTCAACAACCAACGAATTTCCATCGCCGATTTCACCTATCTTATGCTTACGAAGCCTCTTACGACGCTATTAAATGTGACCAGACTCCCTGGAAGCCTATCAGGATGGCGACCGGGGGAGAGGGCCGAAAAGGTATGTGGTGCCTATCAATCATTTAATTATTATAGTGACATATTGTCGCATCGCAAACGACGCGCCGTGCTAACGACGAATGATTGCCCCACACTTTAGGTCCCGACGATGAAGGCACAATCAACGTCGCTTCCAAGAAGATCGTGAAAGACAGACCAAACGGCGTAATTAAATTAAAGAAGGCCCCTCCGAAGTTAGTGAAGTTTGGTAATTGGAGAGATGGAAGTGTTGTAGATGGTAAGTTTTGTTCTATATTATCTTACATTATACCCTTGTAAGACCTACGGTTACTAAGTCATTGTTTACTTTATAGACGACAAAAAACCTAAAGCTTCCGAAAGTCCTTCCAACATCATCGGCGCATTGTCTCCTGGACCTGTCGTGAACCAATTAGACGAGAGCTCCCGTGAGACCTTTGCGACCGGACGACCCCTCGAAGACCATCTAAACCTTCAACAATGCAAGCATTGTAAGAAAGGAATTATCAAGACAGCTGCTAAAGAACATATTGCGCAATGTCTACGTATAAAGAAAGAGAAGGCGCAACGCAAGAAGGAGGCGAGGGAAGCCCGAGAACGAGCAAAAGAACAGGCTCGAGAGGAAGAAGCTCGTAAAGCTGACGAAGACGGAGACGCCAAGATGAACGACGATAGTGACGACGACGACGATGGCTCTCAGAAGAAAGGCACAGCTGGAAAGGCTTCTAAGAAGGTCGGCGGCAAGAAGCCGGATGGAGAACCGAAGGGTAAGAAACGTAAGGCGGACGGGGACGCCGAGAAGGGCCCCAAGAGTAAGAAGAAGAAAGAGGAACCAAAGCCTAAAGTCCCTAAACCCAAAGGTATTTCCTAACCACTCACTGCCTTGCCGGTCTGAAATCGTGTTCATCGTGTCTAACTGATCTAGGCCCCGTTGATGTCGAGAAGCAATGTGGTGTCATTCTACCTAATGGACAACCTTGTGCACGGTCTTTAACTTGCAAAAGCCATAGTATGGGTGCAAAGCGAGCCGTCGCCGGTAGATCACTCCCTTACGATATGCTTCTTGCCGCGTATCAAAAAAAGAACCAGGCTAAACAGCAGAGTAAGAAATAGTCCCATTTGTCTGGGATTTTGATCGTAGTAACTAATATTCAATAGAGGCTGCTCTTGACGCAAATGCTCCTCTCGAGGACGACGACGACGCTAATGCCGGTCCCGTCGACTCTGATGAGGAGACTGCAGCGGTCATGGGCGCACTAGCTCGATGGAATCCGCAACCGGTTCTGCCCCAGCCTATCTTTGCGCCTATCAAAAGGACTTACCAACTTGCTCGTCTTCACGAGCAGCTACAGACAGCAACCAATGGTGGGCGAACCAACATTTTTAAAGTGGTTGGGTTTGGTGCGCAGAAGCTCCCCGATAACCATACCGACATCAGTATGGATCTAGACGATGCACCTGGGGAACCGGACCTGGGAATGATGGGTGGAATGGGCCCAAGAAGATCCTCGAGTTTTAGTATGCAAGCCAACTCACGGCGGCCGTCTGTAGTCAGCCGGGGATAAAACTATGAGGTCTTACACGACAAGCCGCACGGACGTAGTGAGGGTCCATTTTGGCCATCTAATTCTAGGGGAGCAAGCAGCGGCCTATCTCGTTTTCCAGTTATTTCTGGCAACAATTATTAGGGCAGAGTCAACCATCACTCTAGCCATTCCATCAGTAACATCTGACGAGGTCCTCTCTTCTCGATAACGACGTCCCAATTGGGGTTGGGTAATTGTATGCATTGGAGTGGATCAGTCATTATCATTGTTAGGCGCTTATCGGGGGGGATACCAATTCAAGACGATTGATTTTGGCGTTTGGAGTGTGTTGCAAGGCGTGCAACTTGGAACTTGGGGGGCGTTAGGCAAGCTTTGCCGGGTCAGCAGGTATCCATGAATTATGTGATTCGCTACCCGGTTGGGTCAGCATTGATTTCCCGCGTTATGATAGGTCGTAACCTCAGACCCAAACTATTCATGTGTACTATACTCATCGATATTGATCGATTGGAGGATGCGAATGATTTCAGAATTAGAAGCCATCGTCTCCCTCGTCAATGCTAGCTGCGGTTAGGCTAGGGTAAAGGAGCTCCCACGCTGCACACGTGTCGGTGCCCGAAGTGGCGGTATATGTAGGAAGGCATAAAACCCAACCTAACAGCTGCATATAAGAAAAAGTGAAGCGGATACTTGGAGGTTGTACACGTGTAAACTCGCCAATCTCTTCGGGATCCTGATCCAAGTTTCCTATAGGCCAATTTGAATTCGGGAAACCTATTGTGGAAACATCCTAATCTATCATGTTATTTTTACGATGCGAGAATTGTATGAGATATTACGGATATAAGCTGCCGGAAAGGCTAAACGTGAGGGATTGGCGATGGGTCTTTTAGAGGGATCGCCAGCATGGAAGTGTTCCGTTACCTGGTTAGTTGAAGATGAACAATGGAGAAAGAAGCCAAGGTCCAAGACCCAGAGACCCAAAGACCAAGGGGTAGAAGAAAATAGTAGAAAAGGGGGCGGGGTACATGATTACTTGGGTACTTTGTTTATTGGAGTTTCCCCATATTGAAAAGGATAGAATGACATGGAGTTCTCTGTGACATCAAGTATACATTAATATAGACGTACATATAACATGTACATATGTACATAATTAGTATAAACAGATTATGACGTAGTTACGAAACTTTGCGACATTTCTCCCCCCTACACTAGAAACTTTGTATCGCAAGCCTCGATCGGTAACTCTTCTATTCGTTCGTCCTACAAACAACATCACACACACACACACACACACACACACACACACACATACACACGACTTAGATACCTAACACACAAAACACATGCCTTTCGGCATTGTGCGACTTAGTTGATCCAATGGCGGACAAACAGCTATCATTACGGTAGAAATACATTCAATATATACAACCATATACAACATGGTGGGCTCATCCTCTTCCCCCTTAGTCGTGATCTACCAATCCTCCCTCATCAACCAACTTCTTGGCATAGTAGGGTCGCAAAAGCAAGCACACGCAGACCTACATAGCTAGCTAGACACATATACGCGCATACACTTAGATACCTTGAATACCTACCTGCACTTTTATACACACATATACACTTATACAACTACTACCACACAAGGCTCCCCAAGGTCCCATTGTCCCATTGACGATCCGGTTGGCGTAATCAAAACAAGTTGGGATCTTCTACATTTCTCCCTCACATCACCTTCTAGACTCTCTCCGACCCCCAAATCGGAACTTTCTCCTCGTCCGATATAAACCATCTCACCCTACCACTCAGCGTTGGGCTGGGGAACTGAGGAAGAAAAAAAAGAGATATATAGGCCCAACCAATCCCAACGAACCATGCCCTCATCAGGCCTCACCAATAACGGGAGCATATTACCACAGACGGCGACGGCGGCAGCAGCAGCAATAGCAGGCTCAAAGGCAGTAGACAAGATCCTCCCAGCCTTGCACCACGCCGTCTCAGGCTCCGTCGGCACCCTCATATCGACATGCGCTCTGTATCCACTATCGCTAGTGATCACCCGCCTGCAAGCGCAAAGGCAGCTTCATCGCGAGGGAAAGCTTCACAACAACAATCTCAACACTCGCAGTCGCAGCGGCACTACCACCCCAAATCCCAACCCCAATCCCGGTCCCAGTCCCGGTCCCAGTCCCGACGAGAAGGCGGAGGGAGCAGAAGCAAGACCGGAAGCGCAAGCGGCGAACGACACCGATCCCGAGGCAGCACCGGGACAAGCTACACCTACAGCTACAGCTACACCGACTCGACCGTCACCAACACAGCCAAGCCCACAGGCACGGGAACAGGACCCTACGACCTACGCAGGCGGCCTCGGCGAAGCTTTTTCCAAGACCTGGAGCTCCGGTGGCGGGCCGAAAGCGTTTTATACTGGCCTGGGTCACGATGCAGCCAAATCTGTCTTGGACTCTTTCCTCTTCTTTCTCTTCTATGAGTATTTCCGCAGTGCCAGACTCTCGGCGAGGAGGAATCGGTATAGTAGGAGAGGTGCGTCATGGGAGAAGTCGATGGGGTTAGGGATGTTGGAGGAATTGGCTGTTGGTGTGGTTGCGAATGCTTGTTCGAGGCTTTTTACTACGCCGATTGCGAATGTGGTTACGAGACAACAGACGGCATCACTGGTCGATGGAGAGGGGAGGAAGGAAGTTAGTGTGCAGGAGATTATCGAGAGCATTCGTCGTGAGGAGGGACTTACTGGGCTTTGGTCGGGGTATTCGGCGAGTTTGATCTTGACATTGAACCCTGGTATCACATTCTTGCTTAATGAAGTCCTCAAACGCCGTACTCTTTCTGCGAAACGATACGAAAACCCTGGGTTCGGTGCTACGTTCTTGCTTGCTGCTGTTAGTAAAGCTGTTGCTAGTGCGATTACGTACCCCTTCCAGGTGGCCAAGACGAGGATGCAGACTGGTGTCCCGGTTGCTGCTGAAGGTCCTAAGGAGAGAGCGGCTTCTACTTCTGCTCCGGCATCTGCTGCAGCCGAAGAAGCTAGGCAACCAGAGGCGCCAAAGGAAGAGGCCGAAGCACCTAAAGAAGATCAAGCTTCCGCAGAAGCGCAGGCTTCTGAAGGAGCCGAGACTGTTAAAGAGGAAGGACAAACACCTGCCAACGGAGAAGCAGCCGCGCCAGCAGAGGGTGAGACCCCAGCTGAGGCAACAGCAGCACCAGCGGATGAGTCCATTGCCCCCGACGAAATCCCACGAACACCAACCCCCAAGCCCGCTGAGATGCCCCGGAAACCAGTCATGATACACAACGTAGCGCCACCTGAATTTGGTGTCGATCCCAGCCTCGGAGAGGAAGCATTACGTGCGGTTAGCAACTTCGGTAAACGCAGCGTATTCGGAACCATTGCGCAGATTGCACGAACTGAGGGTATTGGATCCCTGTACGATGGTATTCAAGGCGAATTAATTAAGAGTTTCTTGGGTCATGGTACTACGATGCTAGCGAAGAATGTTGTGCATCATCTGTTGTTTCGCTTGTACTTCATCGTTGCGGGTGTGCTCGTCGAATTGCGCAATCGCAAATTCAAGGCCAGCACAGGGTTGAACAAGGCTAGGGAGAATGTGAAAGAAGGTACAAGAGGAATTTTCGGCGTCGGGAAAGGGGCGGTGGAATCAATTACGCCGTTACCGAAGGCGCTGCCGCCACCATCGTCATCACCAGCGCCACTCCCCGCTCCAACTCCTACTCCAGTTCCTACTTCTGCCCCTACTTCAACTCCGGATGTACCAAGCCAAGCCCTAGTCCCTACTGCTCCCCCAGGTTCTGCTCCAATCCCCCCTCCTTCCCCTAGCCCAAGGCCTCACCCGCAACCGCCACGTCAACCACTACCTCCATCACCACCCCCATCGCCTCCTCCACAACCGCAACTCCGCGCTCTGCGCTACCGCATCGACAATGGCTATCGCTATGAGCAACCTACCTCCTCGCCTCCATCTTTTGCCAATGGAGCTCCCATCGGCAATTACCACTACGGTAGTGATGCACAGGGCCGTCCGTATACTGCAGCTAACCGCCCCTCGCGTGCGAGAAAGGTGGATGATTTCGTGATTAATATTGTTGCGAATATGATTGAGAAGGCGCAGAGGGAGATCAAGAATTGAGATCTTCAAGCGTATGAGACTTGGAGTGATTGAAGTGGCTCAGTTGATGAGCTGACTATTACAAAAGAAAAACGAAAGGGGGAGACTACGAGAAAAGATCTGTTGCTTTAGTATGTGTGAGTGAGCAAGCGAGCGTTGTTTTACCTTTCTCATTTCCTATTTTTACTATTTTTTAATACGTAGAAGAAGCAAAAAAGGGGGTTGAATTTTCATTTTCATTTCTAGCTGAGACTGATTATTTCTTACCAATTTTCCTAATTCTCTTTTCTTGTATTGGATTGGATCGGATTCATTTCATTTGCGCGGAGCACCGGATATGGGCATCTTGTTGTACACCTCAAAGTTGTAATTTGTAATCTACATGCATGGATGGGATTTGGAGTTGGCGTCTTTGAATATCGGAGATGTTGTTGTCGTTGTTGTATGAGAAGACGAGAACTTTCATATCATGTACGTGGGTTATGAGCATCAACTACAGAAAGGCCAGCATCGCATAACAGAGCATAGCATAGCATAGGGTTGGGTATGGCAGGTTAAGGGATAATGCATATACTTGGTTTGGTGGGAACAGCATCGTTACGGCGCTGTTGCTGCCACTAATTTCTTTCTTACCTCTCATTTTTATTGCCTGCTTGGTGATTAATTCTATTGCGTGTGACTGTGACTACAATATCGATATGGTATAGTATAAGGAGTAACCAGTAAGTCTAGCATTGAAACGCTACCCCAGACTTCTGTACTGTATTCGCACCTCCAGCCGAGAATCCTGTGCCTTCACTCCTCAACTCGACCAGTCCAGGCCGTATTTTCTCCTTATCCTTTTTCTTGCTCTTCTCGCCGTTACTTTTCTTCTTATCCGTAAGATCCTCCTCGCAGACATAACATCGTAATTTCGCAGCCTCGCTTGCTGGCGCATGTGGATCGTGCCGCGGCCGCATAAACCTATCCACGCAATTCCGACATAATACATGTCCACACGGCTTCGCCAGCATCGCTTTCGACGCATTATTCAGTCCCTTTTTACACGAAGGACATACGCGTATACGTTTCTTCCTGCCTCCCTCTCCCGTCTTCTCATCCTCTTCTTCCTCGGTAAAGTTCACTGCGACCAGGGTATGTAAGGAATACGTATGCGCGTTATCCTCCCTGGACGCCGGACACATCGGCGTGCTTTTCGTCTTCTTAACCACTTCATGTAGCGTATCCTTCGTATTCGACGACGGCGTAATCGAGGGTGTCCAGAACGAAGGGAGTGCCGGCTTCGCCGCTTTCTCGTCTTCGATTGCTTTCCGGGCTTTCGCCCTATCCTCCTTAGCTATCCTTGCCAATTCCTCTTCGTCGATTTCGAATTTGCGTTTTTTTGCCCCATTCGCTTCCGTTGCACCCCCCTCCCGATCTTCCCCAGCCTTCGCCTTCGCACCACCACTCTTCCCATCTAACCCAATCTGCGTCATCTCAAACTCCCTAACCGCCCTCTCCCGTTCCTCCTCCTCCCTCCTAGCTCTCTCCTCCAGCTCTTCCTTTTCCCTTTCCCCTTGCACAACTTCCAACCGTTTAATCTCCTTCTTCTGCGCAAGTATATTCGCCAGCGCACACTCGCGACAGAATAAATCCCCGTGACTCGCACATGCTACGGGATCGCGTGCAACCTCTAGACACAGACCGCAGGACGCAAAGGGGAGGAAACTTTCGCGGGAAAGCCTGGCGGAGGTCTCGCTCCATGCTCGGCGTGCTACGTCGCGCTCGTGCGAGGTGAATACTGCGCGGGAGGTGTTGCGTTTACCTGGGGGAGGTTGGTGTTAGCTATGGCTGAGCTTTAGGGGTTGGCACGTCGGGAATTTCTTGGGGAGGGGGCCTTACTGTGAGACATCTTAAAGATGGAAGTTAGAGGTATTTATCGCGTATATCCTCCCATTTATTAGGTGTTTAATTTATAATTGTTGATTAATAGAGGAAGGCAATGAAGGGTTGAATGTTAAAATGGGTGATGCAATTGTATGTAGATATGCTTATCTCGATAAGCAATCCCTGTATAGTACTATACTTCTTCTTACATATGTATGTTCCTAAAAGAATCGTCTAATCCAAATCGGGTTGGCGGATTAACCACCGGCGCTAAAACACGGCTGTCAATCGCGCTATCACGTGATGGTGACCCCTCTCTGTATATCTCAACGCTGACTTGAATTTCTTCTCTGCACTCTTCACATCTCCTTGTTAATTCGATAACTTTCTCCACCATCTCCTCTTCGCACGGTTTTACTTCCGCCCGTACCTCTAGAAGGTTACCTGTATTTTCGTCTTTTACCTCGACCATAACCTGCTGTACTTTGGAAATCCACTGGTGTAGTATAAAATTGGGACCGACGTTCATTTCATGTGCGAAATCATGAGCATCAAGCACCCGAAGGCAGCCGTCTCCACCACGGCTGATGAATGCATAGCGGAATCGCGCGAGTTCTGGCTCTTGGATGATGATAACTGTCCATTCATCCGATGAAATAGGATGGAAAGGATCGCTTGCAAAACTTCCGAATAACACCCTATTAAAGAACATGCCTCGCGGTATAGGGTGAACTTCAAACGCCTCCTAGATCCAAGTCAGATATCAAACCTAGGTCATTTTTGGCCGTAGATTAACGTACCCTCGGATTCCTTGTAGAAAGCATTAAAGGAATACGAGGTACAAGTTCCATCTCAAGATCGGCATTACTCGCGTCATCTAGAGTCATGCCAGGTAGTTGTTGCAGAAAACGGGTAACAAAGCCGAAAAGTTGAGCCACGCCCAGATGCGCTTCACGAAGTTCCAGGTTGAGTAATCGTACATACAATTCTGACGTCCATCTCTCCCCCCTGTCTGTCGATCTCAGCAAAGCGTTATAGAGTGCCTCGATATCGCAACCGTCAATATCTTTCGGATCTTCTTCGACTAGTTCTGGGCTCACAGAAGAGTACATCCATATTAGCTGACTAACAGGTATAGTGTGTTGGATATGGCTCAGAGACGCCGTATCCGATCTAATTTCGTCGAAAGCCTCGAGATATAAACGAGAATCGTGCAAGACCCCTATATTCCCACTCTTTACTAGCTCTTTCAATTCTGCAGTTGGGAGAAGAGGGTTATTCCAGGCGTAGAGAGTAGCTACACGCTTACCGTCTAGGATCTGGCGTAAGTCTTCTATATTGATCTTCTGGTTAAACGAGATGTCGAGAAAATCAAAGGTGCCCCCAGAGAATAGACTCATGTGTCCCTCGTCTTGGCCAGCTTCGATTAAATCCATTAGCTCGATAACTTGCTCACCGGTCATCGAGACGAACGGTTTTAGGTCCATTTTCGGGTGCCTTCTTAGGGCTAGGCTGAGAATTTTTATACCAGAGACATGATCGGTGACATAATGGGGATTATCGTACAGAAAAGTTCTAAAAGCGGTTCCGGGTAGATGTTGGATTTTTGATCCTAGTTCTTCGACGCTCGTCTCTTGCAGAAGGTCCTCAACGCGGGCGTGATATGCATACCTAGCTGCTGTGCGTAGTATCAGTGAGAGGAAAAAGGACAGGGGTGAGTTCAAACATACCGTCTTTCTTTTGCAGCACTTTAGCAGCGAGCAAGCTCGATTGTGTTTCATTTCGACCTATGCCCCGTTGGTGCGGGCCCCGACGGGACTTAAATCGATCGATTCTTGCTCCTACTAATTGATCTTGCCACAGCTCGTTGAGGACATCGGCATCGATGAGACGAGCCTCGCTTAAGGCGTTGAATAGCGCTCGGTGTCTCTCGTGCCAGTTATCCTGATGATACAGTCTTATATACTCACTACTGGAGAGTGGTACCATGACCTGTGACATGTCCCTACGAGTTGTGGTTGGCTTGAGCTGTACGAAACAGTGACTGACTTCATATTTCGTGATATCAAAAACAGACATTCCTTCCTCGTCAGATTCAATATCGAAGACCGAGTTCCAAGGCAAAAGCGACGTCTTACTGCTACTGCCGGATGATAAAACCGCATCGATAAGGCATGTGGCCAGGAAGGGGAACATGGGTTGGTTCCAGTAGGTATTCTCAGATTTCCACTGTTCCTCCGTCAGAGTCCTGGCATAGGCTAGTTCGTACTCGAGTCGAGGTCGATTCTTTTCTGATTGAAGAAACGCTATTATACTGACAGCGACTGCAAACCTGATTAGTGTTGAGAAAAAGGAGAAGTCATATGGTAAATTATATTGTCTTACTGCCGACGGTACTCGCGCTGAATAGCGTATCGAAATGTAGGCAAGCCAGGCTACGGTACCGCTGACCATTGATTTTCGCGATGATGAAAATCCAGTGACCCTTCGCCATACTGATATATCTGTTAAACCACCCTATCTTTGTTAATATTGAGGAACTAGGTGTATTGATATGTGGTTTGTTGAATCATGATATGTTAATCTTGAAGAGTAGCCCTTGGTAGTGCGGGGCAAGAGAATGCCTATGACTTTACTTTTTAAGCATGTGTCTATTGAAAGAAAGTATGATCATGACCGTACGTTTCGATCCTGCCTTCATATCATTGAGCCCTACATACATGTATGTAGCAGCTACACAAATATGCACCTAAATTATAGTTGAAGTTAAAAGGTCGTGCATATTTTAAAGAATATCTCATTTTCATATATTATACATCTTACCATACATTATTTAAAAATGAAAGTGCTATATGAATCATACTGTTTTCTCAATGGCATCGCCAGTATAATACCTAGGTACCCAGGGCGCCAACAATCCAGTGGTCTTTTATAGTGGACGCTGTACCTAGGTACCTGTCTACTTTAGGTACATTCGGTAGGGTGATGGATGCAATTTTCCGAACCAATAGGATCGTCCCGTTCCTGCAGGTGTGAAGGATTACTGCTAAGGGGGTACCTGTATTTCTATATTACCACGGCAAGTTTAGGTGCCTTTTCTTTTTTAAATTCTCACTATCGCACACATTGAACCGCCTAAATTTGTAACAACATGTAGTCTGGATCGCGACATTTATTCTTCATCATTTCAACATTAATGTAAGAGCCTCAATCATCTGATATGCTGTCAGATTTCACTTGCAAGAGTCAATGGCGTCCGACAAGGTCGACATGTCCAAGTCTAATTCCAACAGGCTGCCGCTTCAACAGCCAAGCCTCCCATGGCGCATGACATCTTCCCTTGTAATGGGACTGACATCAGCCCTATCGAGAGGATATCTGTATGGATTCAACTCGGTTGAAGTCGTGGGTCTGGATCGATTTTTAGATGTTTTAGATAAGAGGAAAGATGTTGAGAAACGAGAGAGAGGTCTTATTACGGGTATGGAGCTTTTACTCTGGTGAACACTAGGTATACAGACTAATATCAATGTCAGTGTCAAATCATATCAGCGTGTAGGTGACTGTAATTAAGATATTCGCGTTCATATCGAATTTTATTAATTCATTCATCATTCAGACTTGACGATCCTATAATATGGGGAGTCTTGCCACTGCGATATGCTTTCAACCCTTCTAACCATAGATGGGGCCTGGGAGCTCACGATATATGCTTCAAAAACAAGTATGCGCCAATCTCATTTTTGCGGATCAAATATCCCCTAACACAAATAGCTAGATTCCTCAGCTCTTTCTTCTATTCCGGCCAAGTATTACCAACTCATAGATTACAATACTCGCCTCACGGGGGTCTCTTCCAACCCACAATCCCACAAGCAATAAGACTTCTTTCCTCTCAGCCATTCGCCACCACCCCAACCCCAGCATCCTCTAAGGAGTCCCAAGACGAACTCCCCGACCCGTTCACATCAGGCGACCTCACATTCAGCACAAACGGAATAGACAACTATACCGCACCATCAGTCTACACCCAAAACAAACACAGCTGGATCCACATCTTCCCCGAAGCATGCGTGCACCAGCACCCCAAGCTATTCCTACGGTACTTCAAATGGGGCATCTCACGGTTAATCCTAGAAAGCGAGCCCGCGCCCGACGTCCTACCAATGTTCATCGACGGGACCCAACACGCAATGCCCGAAGACCGTTCTTTCCCTCGCTTTCTCCCGCGCTTCGGAATTAAATTCCGCGTCGCCTTTGGTGAACTCCTAGATCCCGAAGACAAATTCGGTGATTTGCGGAAACGGTGGCGAGAGTTAGTTAATAAAGAGAAGAGAGGGCTGGTTATGGGCGAGTTGACGGATGAGTTGAAGTACGGGGAAGAAGCTACGAGGCTGAGGATTGAGGTCGCGAAGAGGGTCCGTGATGAGGTGTTGAAGGTTCGTAGGAGTTTGAGGTATCCGGATGAGGAACCGCCGGGTTTTGAGCTGGCGGAGACTTGGGCGCGGGAGCCGAATAAGGATCGGTTTAGGAGTGATGTTGATGATAGTTTGGTTAATAAGAGGGATTGAGATCTGGTCTTATACTTAAGCCTGTTAACACGGTAGAGTTTATGGGCGTAACACATTCGAAGGAGTTGTTTGTTGAATAAAATAATATTTATGTGTCACCTGAATATTGCTCTATTTGCTACCGTATTGCGGTGGAAAAGATTCATATAACATCAAAGCATAGGGTATAACGAATTTTTATTATCGGTAATAGCAGAATGCCACACGATGTCCATGAATGCAGCCAAAATCTATGATTGAGCAGGCAATAAACAGACTCCCCTTAACGCCAATTCTCAGCCCATAACCATTGCCTTCATAACTACGTCGCCCCACCGCCCATAATCACCGTATGCTAACCTAACTGCTGATACCATTTTTATGCCTGCATCATAGCTACTCGGAATCGATACTACCTCGAAGTAGGCATTGATACGGTGCATAATAAGCTTGCATCTCTAGCAAGACTTGCCCTTTATGGGATAACCCTCGATTCAAAGTGCTACCAATTCTGCTCGGGATCTATCTAGTATCCGGAATCGTAAACACCTTGAGAGGGAACAGCAGGAGGCGCATAGCCCCTAGCTTGCACCTGCGCCTGCATTGTCTGCTGTTGTGACATAGCCAGATCCGCGAACCAAGGGTGCTGTAAAGCATCATGCGCGCTAATACGGTGTTCGGGACGAAGGACTAGCATTCGTTGTAGGAGGTCAATACCGAGTTGATCGATCTGCGGCAGGATCGCCCTAAGATCCTGCGTAGCATACATCTGAATATTCGGCTTGTACTCCGGGAATTGCGTAATTCCAGGCCAAGTCCTTTCCGTAGGCGTACCCATTATGCGGAAGATACGTATGATCTGATCCTCGTTCGTCGTACCGGGGAAGAGGGGTCGACCAGTATACATCTCGGCCATAATGCAGCCGGCGGACCATATATCGATGCTAGTGTTATAGGTTCTGCTACCTAGCAGAACATCGGGAGCGCGATACCACAATGTAACGACCTCATTCGAGAAGGTATTGACGGGAATGCCGAACGCGCGCGCCAATCCGAAGTCCCCAAGTTTGAGCTGTCCTTTTCCATTAATAAGTAGGTTTTGCGGCTTCAAGTCCCTGTGGAGGACCCGATTCTTATGGCAGAAGTCGATGCCCTTTAGTAATTGGTACATAAAGGATTTTATAATGTTATGTCGTAGTGCGCCTCTATCGCCGTGGGTATCCATGTACTTCTTCAAGTCTCCATCTAGGTACTCGAATACTAGCATAAGTTTGTTTTCGGTATGGATCACATCGTATAAAGCGACAATATTCTCGTGCTTCAATTCCTTCATGAGTGAAATCTCTCGGATCGCGGTCGACGGGGTTCCTTCTTCCGAGTCGAGGTGAATTTCTTTCAGGGCGACAAGTTCGCCCGTCTGGCGATTTCGTCCTTTGAAGACCTATAGTACGCGCACATATACGTCAGAATAAATGCCCAGTCGCTATATTTAATATTATGTGTAACAAAAACATACCGTAGCATAGGTACCCTCTCCCAGCTTCTCGAGCTGCTGAAAAGAGCTTGGGTGTCGCTTGGCGTCCATCTTGTCACGGGTGGGACGAGGTCGAGAAGTATATCTACTGTCAAACAGAATACCCCCGGCAGTACTGGTTTGACTGAGAAGCTCTAAAAATGTTTGTTGTCCGACAGGGTTAGACACGGGGGGAGTGTCCTCGGAAGTCGTCGTGAAGGTGGGAAAAGAGGAATATTAAATAAGCCTTGTCGTAATGCAAGGCCGTGGTTGTCGGGCTGAAGTGGGTGGGAGACGAGAGCGGGCGCTTGCGAAATTTTTATTAAGTGGTATAAAAAAAAAGTAACACCGTATCAAACACCTAGTAGAAAGAATTACGGGCTGAGATTAAGGCGCTTAGCTTCAGTATTTCTTCCGTTATGTTATTCCTTTCTGGATTAAAATGGTAGGTCGGTAAGGTGACTGTATGTATTTCTTGGATTCCTGTTGGCGGTTGAGAGAGTTGAGGGGCAAATGGGATTATGACTGGTACGTGCATACTATGTACAAAGGGAAAGGCAGGGGATGGGGGGCAAGGATGTCACTTTGAGAAGATCCCTGCCATCCGTCTATTATTGCACGTTTGTACCGTTGTATCTTACATAAAAATGAGAGATTATGTAAGTGAGTGAGGAGGGACGATCCATACAGTCTTAAATGACCAAATGACCGGCGCCACCTGCACTGAAAGGGTAAAAGCTAATTAATAATTATGGGGAACTAGCTACATTGGTGTACGCCACGGAAACTTGACCGGTTCATTGTAAGTACCGGACTTAAGCTCGTACCTTTACTCGTACTTATACCGGACAATGCATACTCCTGAGCCTATCTGATGCGGGGTGTCCTTCATTCAGCCATTCACTGGCAACTCCAACCACACGGCTAGAGCAAGAAGGGGACCCCGACTTGAGACCACTGACCATTAACCTACCTGCCTACCTACCTAGGTACACTGCTCTCCTTCACTGCTACATCACCTAATACTCCGTCTTGTCTTGTCTGTACACTACCATTTAACTACCCCTACTTTTATTAACATGCCATCATCTACCACCTTTGCTCTGTGATACCCTGGTGACGCACCTATCGAACCATCTACTATTAACTGTTCTCAAATTATATACATATTGCAATGATCTAGAGTTCGTTTTCAGACGCGTTACGATAGCTTCGATTCTATTTTTTACCTAGATGTGATCTTCTAATCTACCATGCGACCTTTTCCTGGCAACGACGCTTGGATCGGGCGTCAGCGCTCGGCCGACCACGATCCCCCTCCTCTTATGGCTTCCTCTACTAGCAGCCAAATGTCATTCTTCCTAGCGGACGAGTCCTCGATCGATTCATATCTTGATCATCCAACCCCTCATAGTCGCTTTCTCGATATCCGAAAAGCTGGTACATCTGCCGGTGCTTCCCATTCCCGCAGGGATGACAAAGATAGAGATGGTGAAATGTCAAAGCAAAATACAATGCAACAAGAGAGGGATTATGCGCCCGCATATTCCATAACATCAAGAGACTCGGTATTTACACATAGTCCGGCCTCCATGAGGTCTCAACTTCATTCATCACCTTCGCGGCCAATGACACCAATGATGTTGGGTACGTCCTGTACGGGATCGGCTATGAGTAGCCCATCCTCGAGAAGAAACTCGTTCACCGGATCGCTTTCGGAACATGCGGTGAGTTCCGATGAGGAACCACTAGAACAAGGGCCATCAAGAATGATGGATAGCGGTAGTGCTCCTCAGTTGGTAATGCCTAGTATCAAAATGCCAAGCCGGCGTCCGTTCACCGAGACAGGTAAAAGTCTAGGACGACTGAAAGTCCTGTTTGCCGGTGACTCTGGTACTAATACCCAACGAACCTGTTCACCGGCTGTAACTAACATGCTCTCTTAGGTGTTGGCAAAACTTCCATGGTCAAGGCAGTTGTCCAAATCTGCGAACATATAGTCCATGTTGACCCCATCCCATCGCAGGCTGATTCGCCCGTGCAGAAGAAGCAAGTCGCCTCATCCAGGAGGGCGTCCAACTCAACACCTATTATATCAGAAATATACGCCAGTACTAAACCCTATCCAGAGTGGTGGTCGCCCTTGAACGAACCTCATGTATCCGAAAGACGAAAAAGCTTAGGCGACAACCTTTTAGAGCGGAACGTTTGTTTTGTAGACACACCTGGTTATCGTAATGGCTCATCGGTAGGTTACCATTAAAGTTCGTTTTTGACTTAACAAGTATTAACTCCATTTAGGCTATGGAGACTATCATGCCTTGTGTCGAATACGTTGAATCTCACTTAACGAAGATATCTTCGGATTCTCTGAGCGATTCGGACATGCTGAATATGTTAGGAGGCGATGGAGGTTTTCAAGTCGATGTCGTGTTTTACCTCATCTCACAAGGTACGCTAGCCTCCCAGCTAATTATGGGAGACATTGTTGCTAACCCGCCAGAAGGGCTGAAACCAGTCGATTTAGAATACATTCGCCGTCTAGCGCCCCTGACGAATGTTATTCCCATCCTCGCTCGGGCTGACTCAATCCCACCGGAACAACTTGTCATATGTAAAGAGCAAATTGCGGGCCAGCTTCGAGCGGCAGGCATTCGGACTTTCAGCTTCGCATCGGCAACTAACGAGGAATCTAATTCCCCTGTGCCGAGTGTTCCCTATGCAGTATCCAGTGCTACTGGTTCAGACGACGACGTAATGGATGCCAGCCTTCTTATGAGTCCAGATTATGTTCAACCTTTAATGACTTCAGAACTGAGATACCTTGTGGAGAATATGTTTAGCCCGAATGGAATTTCATGGCTTCGACATATTGCGGCGAAGAAGTATCTCGAGTGGAGAGATACCACGCCATCACGACCTCGCCACTTATATAGGCCGTTGAATCTCCCTAGCTTAGCGCCGCCACCTCCCGCTCAACCACAAACAACCACAATAGCCCCATGCTCGTCAATGGCGTTAACCCGTCTTAATGAACAACATCAAGATCATGGACCATCGCAACTTCATATTGTAGACTGGGCGGCTGACCTCCAGCGCAGTTTGGCTACTGAGCGGACGCGATATGAATCACTCGCTCGTGGGGAGCGCGCAGTTTGGCTTACAGAGAAGCTAAATGAGTGTGTACAGGACGGCACACTCGTCGCCTTAAAAAAGACTAAGAGTTCAGGGTCAATGCCGACAAGGAGAAAATCCAGAGGTAGATTTTCGGCAAAGACAACACCGCATCAAGATCCACTAGGGCTACTTCAAGTAGCGGCAGACTTGAAAGCGAAAGGATGGGTTGCCCTAGAAGTTATAGGCAGTCTCGGCGTTATCGGAGGGTTAGCATTTTGGCTCTCGAGGCATCATTGGCATGTAGACCCTATTGAACTCGCAGATGAGTGGGCAAGACACTGGGGGATGGATATTTAAGATCCATGGATACGATACATATGATACCATTATTGTACGAGGCGATTTTCCGGGGGTGATAGCTCAACTCACAAGATATAGCATTAATTGGCCTCGCCAAATACACCCAGCTTTAACTCGATCTCGGTTTTGATATTTTATTGGATAGCAGCATATTGTAATACATATTTGACGTGTCATACTTGAGATTAGAACAAAGAAAAAAGACATATATTCTCTCTTTTATCTCCCAATCTTCTATTTTTATACTGGGTCGCTAATTCCATGTTTAGTGTAGCGCTTGGAGTTACCTTACCGTAAATGTAAATAGGTACATGCACCCTGATACATATAATGGAAGGCCCCACCTAACGGAATCACCTCCAGCATCCACTAACAGCGGTTACCTAGGTACGGGTATAGTACATTACGTGGGTAGGTGCTCCCCATAGACGCGCGCTATCGATACAGGTGGAATAATAAGGTTAACAACTAACCTCCCAAACTTAGATGCGTATTTTCTCCAACTCTCATTTTCCACGCTCATCATCTAAACAAACATCCTTTTTTTCTGTATTTTTCTCTAACGATACGTATCATCCGCGGTCGCCTTTCCCACCTCCATCCCTTTAATTTTCTTTCTTTTTATTCTTCGTGGGAGGCCGCGCATATTTCGAGTCTAGGCAACCTTCGCGACAACTGTTTAATCTGTTCGGTACAATCGGCGACCCCTCGAAACCAGTTCCGACGAACACCCATCATCCATGACATCGTCACTGTTGATTGCAATGGTTATCGATGCTGCTTATTAGGGGCACAAGCAATTTACAATCTCATCACTTTCTGCCTCTGTGCAGTAGTTTTGTAAACTGCAATTGCATATACCAACTACTAGAGATAGTTCATTTCGGACATCGTCCTTAGCATCCAACTTTTTTTGCCTTTGGAAGTATTTTCTAATTCGACGAACTCGCCATGGCCAATTCCGAACAGACCTGGGGTATTACTCCCCCGATCGCAACAACACTTCCCACTGCTGCTGAGACGCAGTCTACGCATCTACTTCTAGAAGAATTAAGACGCCAAAACACGTTTGAATCTGCCGCCGAAACCAAGAAGAGGTAAGCCAATCAACCTCATTGATTAGTATCATCCCATCCCTAACTAATAAATTACCCCAACAGAGAGAGAGTTCTTGCCGATCTTCAACGTATCGCAGACGAGTTTGTGCGACGAGTGGCGAAAGAAAAGGAACCACAAAATGAAGTCCTCATCCGAGATGCTCGCGGCGAAGTATTCACGTACGGAAGTTATTGTCTAGGCGTTTACGGTCCCGGTTCCGATATCGATACCCTTGTAACCGCTCCTCGATACGTAACCCGCGATGATTACTTCAAACATTTCCCTTCTTTACTACAAGAGATGGCTCCTAAGGGTGCAGTGACTGATCTCACTGCTGTTGAGGACGCATTTGTACCTATCATCAAATTCGAGTACTGGGGAATCAGTATCGATTTAATCTTCTCGAGAATAGCCACGTTAAAGCAATTCCCACCCCATGGTCAGCTAAACCTGACCAACAACGAATATCTTCGCGGTTTAGACGATCGTGAACTTCGTTCGTTGAATGGAACTCGTGTCACGAAAGAGATCCTCAACCTCGTCCCCGAGCAGAGCACTTTTCGTCTTGCTCTTCGAGCTATTAAACTATGGGCGCAACGTCGCGCCATTTACGCCAACATCATCGGCTTCCCGGGTGGTGTAGTATGGGCTATGCTTGTAGCGCGTGTCTGCCAACTTTATCCGAGGGCCGCAAGTGCTACTATTGTCACAAAATTCTTCCAGATAATAAAGCAATGGCGCTGGCCCACACCCGTGCAATTGAAGCATATGGATGAAGGACCACTAAACGTGCGCGTCTGGAATCCTAAGGTCAGTGCTTTTCGGGGTCATCGAATTGGAGGATTCACTTAGCTAATATATTGCAGATTTACAAGAGTGACAGCTACCATCTCATGCCTGTCATCACACCGGCATATCCCCAGATGTGCGCAACTTTCAACATTACGCATTCAACAATGGCTATCATCCAGCGCGAGCTTGAACGTGGCCTCGATCTCACCATCAAAATACAAGATGGAAAACTTCAATGGAAAGATCTGTTCGGTAAACACACCTTCTTTACCGCCGACCATAAGTATTATCTGGCTGTCATCGCGACTAGTACTACGAAGGAAGCGCACAAGATATGGTCTGGCTTTGTGGAATCGAAGGTCCGTGTTTTAGTCGGCGAACTCGAACGACACGCTTCAATCGCCATCGCACGTCCGTTCAACAAGGGTTACGAAAGGCTGCATAGGGTCAAGAACGACGAGGAGACCGAAGCGGTACAGAACGGAAGCCTAGCTTATAGAGTCCAAGATGACGAAGAAGATGACACCGAGGCGAAGGAAGAGAATGGTGTCGATGTGAAAGCTGAGGTCGGCACCACAGCCCCGAACTCTGCTGTCAAGTCTGATCTTGAGGACTCGGGGATGAAGATGGAAGATATCCCCGAAGCGACTTCACTCGGAACGAAGATATACACTACAACACACTACGTGGGCCTCGAGCTCGCTGAGGGTAAGTGCATTACCCAATCTCATTTTATAGGTTTAATTGATTCAGCCTGTCAAACCAGCGAGCACTTTATTGTGATTCCTAACCTAAACTCGATGACATTAGGCGCAAAAACACTGGATTTATCCGTTCAAGTCAACGCATTCAAGGCCATATGTGGTCAATGGGAGAAGTACGACGCAAACTTGAACTACTTGAGCGTTCAACATGTGAAGAAGTAAGTGTCCGGTATATATCTAGCATTGGGATGATTGGCTTAACATTTGCAGTACGAATCTTCCCGATGATGTTTTCGAGCCAGGCGAAGTGAAGCCGCGTCCTATTAAGAAAGCGCCAATCGGTCCAAGGAAGCGCAACGCTTCGTCCGAAGTATGTATAGATAAATGGTGGACGGCTAATATCGAGACTACCGCCAAAATATTCTAGGAAATCCCCTTCCACACTTTGAAGGCTTGCTAATTCACACTTTAGGTACATGCACCGCCGGCGAAGCGACCCCAACCCGCAACGTTGAAGACACCAGCCGCTGCTGCGGGTTGAATGAGAAGCTATATTGCCACTACAACCTCTGGCAACGTCAAATTCCACTTCGTTCTACGTCGAGCTTATGCTGAAATTGCCCGGATGTCGACTGACATTTGACAGTTGACACCAATTTGTATTCATACTAACTACACAGCGCCCGACAGTGGCCTTTTTCGCAATATTGTGAGTGCACTCGACTTTACGCGCTACGGATTTCCGTCTAGGTCTTAGAGTGGTATTTCCCGGCGCACCGTGCAAACAACCAAAACAATAACAGGAGCAATATTAGATGCTCACGAAAGCTAAACCAGTAGCCGGCGACTTTGATTCGCAAGATACCACCACACAACGCTCATTCTACGTCTTTTTCTTACACGAAATACAGATTACAGACCTTTGCCAGCCGAAAACCTTCAATCACGGAGCATCATGGGCGTGTGCGACGGAGAGGAAGATGATAGATGGGTCCCTCCCCAAATTCATCAAACCATGATGCATAATTCCCGCCTCTTTTTCTTTATGTTTCCTTAGCTTTATCTAAGTAGAGAGATGAGCTTATTCACACATGACAGCTGATCTGACACACAGGGCATTCAGGGCATCATAGTGGAGAGAGAAAAGGAAGACGGACGATAGCCCGTGGTGTATTTAGAGGCGTTTGCAGATAAATAAAACTTGGTTTAGAGGCATAAGTGCCTCGAAACAATCAAATCTTTGGGTGTTTACTTGATGATAATGTGAATGTAGCCTCATTGGACTCTAGGATGGACTTACTTGGCCTTGGTTTTAGGGATTTTGAGGGTTAGACAAACCCATCAATTATGATTCAAGTATTAATTTTTATTACGGAGTTTTATCGCGGAGTTTCTAATTTACCAAGTACCTAGGTATAGAGAATCTTACCGCCTTAACTTTCAAACCACATATTCTACTCTGGCAGCGCAACTGGGCGCATCCATGGATCTTTGTCGCATTTCAATACGATACCCACGATCGTTCATATCGTGTCAATATGCAGCAACGTCTAAAGATGGTGCATTTCGTAACGAAGAGCGATAATATCAAGTCACCACAAGAAAACAAGTCAAGATTATAGAATTCATTGTTATGTATTGCGTTCCGAGTCATCGGCCCCTCTCTTATGGCCTTATGTACAGAACAAGACGCTCGATTTCGCGCCTTCCCACCATATCGGTTCTCAACGCAACTGCAAGCAAAAACAAACCCACTCCTCCCTATGCGAAAAGTCCATCGACTGACTTGATTCATGGCTCATCCTAAGAAAAAAACTCCCTCCTCGCCTAGAACACCTTTGGGTGTAATCAATCAATCAGGAACGCCTCGCCTGCCACGGCTTTTTTTCTCTACTCAAATGACCCCTTCTAAAACTTATAGAATAGAAATTCGTTGAATTGTTGCGTTCGTAACTCTTTATGCGTATTGCCTATGTACCGGGCGCCTAGACCGTTTATTGTATTATGCGATGTTGTCATGATTTATTTAGTCGTAGAATATAGTCAAAAACAAATTAGTTTTTGGCCTTTCGTGCGGCCTTACGGCCCTTCGTCTTCGGCGGGGGAGGTAGCTCGCTATGAAGGTGCCCAAATTCATCGATCGCAACGTTATTGGACCAATTGAGGCAGCGGAAGTGTGTAGGCTCTGGAGTAGCCTGGGCCTTTGTACGGGTCGTCATTCGCTTGGGTTCATCTTTGCCATTCTCCTTTGCTTCATCTCCATCCTCATCTTCACCCGTCAAACCAAGGTATTTATTTCGATTTTCCATATGCGTAACGATCTTTTCCTTGTATATCAAGATCTCCTTTCGCAGTTTGGATTCATTAAAACCCCGAGGATCCAGCCAGCTCAGCAATGAATCCACCTCGCCAGGCTCCGAGTAATAACCCCATTGGTGCGCGTTGAATACGCTGGTACGACCCTCTTCCATCTTCTTGCGTTGGGGTACTGTCATCTTAAATTTGGCCTTGTACTCATCCTGGTACTCCGCAGGCATGTCGATATATCCTTCGCGTTCCATGTCCAAGGGACCTTGAACCCAAATACAACCATTGGCGTATCCAGAATCAGCTGTCGAGCTAGTGGGAAGCCCACCATACGGCATACCATTTCGCTCAAACCAGTAGTACCGATTCCAGAATCGATCTTTACCGAGAATTCGCGTTCGGGCACAATCCGCCTCTCGGAGATCATTGTCGAGGATAGCAATTTCATCCTCGCAGTTCTTAATGGCATCCTGTTTCTTTTGGATATCCTTGAGCAACTTCACAAATTGTTTAGACTGCTTTGGCACCTTTGCAGCCAACTCTGCCTCCTTCTTTCGTTCTTGTTCCTCGCGTTTGCGTTGGCGTTCTGCTGCGCGATTACCACCTCGTCGAGTGTTGCGACGAACATTATCCTCCGCGTCACTATCACCAACCTCTTCACTGGGTTCTTCAGCCGAGTCGTCCACATCGGTCATCTTGACATCACCATTGGTTTTGACGGCCTCGGGTTCCTCGGCGGGCGGGGAAGGCGGCATGTTCTCTGGGAGTAGAATCTTGCGTTGATCATTAAGGCCTTTCAGATCCTCGATACTGTAAAGAGTTAGCACACCAAAACATAATTAGAAATCGGAGTAACATACGCTTGCTTTCGTTGCCTTTGCCACTCGATCTTCTCCTTTCTGTAACCCGTCATAGTATCGGCGCATTCTTCCATATATGCGCGGAATGCCTTAGTGTCTACGGTTAAGAGGCATAAGATCTGAAGAGCGGAGACACGAAGATTTAGGTCGAGCTGGCTATACTGTTCGCGGACTGTCTCCTGGGACGGCTCAACATCGGGAGGCACAAGGTGTGCCAGTAGTTCTTCGCAAGACTCGGTTGCTTGCGGCTTTTTGGATAATTGGTGTAGAAGTCCAACCAGGATCATCTCCCAACCACCGTCCTGGAAATGACGGTTCTTTAGTTGCTCGATCCAGTTGAAGTCAGCCAAGACTTCAGCAGCGCGGTGCTTAATCTTCACTTCAGGGCTCTTTTCCTTTTCAGCGGCGGCGGCTTCGGCAGCAAGTCTCTCTGCCTCGAGTTTCGCCAAGCTACTTCTAGTAGCACGTCCTGTCGGCTTTGGTTCGGGCTCTGGTTCAGGACTTGGGACTGAGCTTTCGTCGTCTTCGTCCTCATCTTCATCTTCGTCAAGCTCTGGTAAATCGACTAGTAACTTCCCGCCGTCGGCTTCAGTGCTTACTATCTGTTTCAAAAGTGCGCAGTGAATCTCGGTAAATAGTTGGCAAGGAATATCTTCGCTTGTAATTTCCATCGCTTCAACGAAGTCGTCAAAGGTGAAAGAGTCAAGCTTATAAACCTCGCAATATATGTTAAGCGTATCCCACGTCTCTAACAATGGTCCAATAGACTTCATCAGAATCTTGTCGTTTTGCGCGCTACTGTCGATAACACCCTCTGGCGGGTCATTGCACATGAATTTCAGTGCCGGGCGGACACAGTCGTCACGCGGTTCTAGTTGTAGATCCTCGATAGGATACTTAGGAGGCGGAGGAGGAGGCGGGGGTTCCGGTCGCGACTGAGGTTGAGGCTGCGTGGCCAGAGGAGGAGGGGGCATGCTGTTCCTAAAAGGCATGGGGAATTGAAAAGGTTGGTTCCCTGGTACTTGTGGCAGCGGTCCTTGATGCTGAGCAAGATACATATCGGCATCATTGGGCATATGCGCCATGTGGTCCTGGTGATGCGGCGACTGATTATGGTGAGTCTTTGCTACCTTGTGGCTCTTTGGCGCAGGCTTGAGTTCTGGTAGTCGGGCTGGGCCAAAGTTCGGAAATGCGGGACCCATGCCATTCATCTCGTGATTGCCATTGGTAGTTGGTTGTGACGCCTTCTTTTGCGCCTGATGCTGCTTTCGTTCAGCGACTCTAGTCTCGTGGCGTAGGTGAGGCGGTATTCGCGTGTCGATATGGTATTGCGCGGCAACAGTGTGCTTGACGAGCCAAGGGGCACCATTCCATGATTCACGAGTTACGGTGTTCTTGATAAAGGAACGCAACACCGACTTGGTAAAGATCTTCCTATCACGGCAGATGTTGTTGCCGTGCATCAACACTTCCCGCCGATTGTCGAGGCTAATCATATAGCGCGAGTATGGCTGTGTGAGCGTTCCGTCTGGCAACACCTTGCTTCCTAAACGTGCTTTGTCTCTTACTATTCCAGCCGCACGTTCCCCATTATCTAGTAGGACTACCACCGCTTCTCCTGGGTAATAATCGGCCTTAAACTCATCGAAAATCATATCGACTAAAGTATCGATTCGGGATATCGTTTGAAATTGGACGCGGCGTAGGACTGGGGCTTTGAGGGCTTCGGGGAACGCTTGATCGACCTCTTGAGCACCATCATGCTGTATCATTAGTTAGGAGGGCTGCGACATATGCGGCAACAGTGTCTGCGAAGAACCTACCTCGCTCTTCAAAGCATCAAAGAAGGATAAGCCGGAATGACCTGTGATCTGACATATGAATCGGGGCTGAATATGTGTTAGTCTAGTTACCAGCTAAGGGTTATAAGACGTTAGTCAATTATGGATAAATAGCACCAACCTGACTGTAGAAGTCCATCCTAAAGACATATTAGCATATAATATAACGACATAGCAGTTTGAGTATGAGTATGAGTATGAGTGACTAGGTATGCACTTACCGATTCAAATATTCTTCGTAGTTCACGAATACCTCCCCGGTCTGGGGGATATACCACACCTATCATAATTATTAGTGGGGGAGGTGCAGGAGTGTATGACAGAATGGATGTATGCTACCTACCTCAACATTTTCATCCTCAAGCGGCGGGGGCAGTAAAAACTGCACCGGCTTGCGTTTAAAGAGCACCTGTCAAGCTTAGCCGATGTTTCCTTATTATATTATTTCCTAATTATATAACTTACCATTGTGCCTTACTGGCTATGAGATAGCCAAAAGGTTTATTGACTAGCCGCACAATGAACCCTGCAAGGCTGAAAGTCAGCCTTCCTTAATCCTGGCAGCACGTGGAAGTGAAATTTTAAGAAGTGAAGGAATTAAGTAGGATGATATATAAATCTTGGTGACTTGCAGCTTGCTTGCTAACTAGATGTGTGTTGTTGTGGAATTGGGGGAAAATGGGTAGAACTCCTGGCGCGGTAAAGCGTAGGTCAAAAGTCAAGGGTAGGGTAGAATAAGGTAGGGTGAGGTAAGGTGGATGGGATGGGTGGTGGGTAGGTATTATGTAGGTAGTAAAGGTAGGGCAGTTTTACTTACATGTGAAGGTAGAGGAAATCGGAAATATTATATGGACGCGGTTGAAATTATATGAGACGCGTCAAGACAATAGCGCATATTCCAGCTCTTTTAGCTGGTGGTGGTGGTGGATAGTAGATGAAAGAAACTGGAGTGCGGACGCGACGAGAGAGAAAGTTGTTGTTGTAAAAAGTTTTGTAGAAGGGGAGGAGGAGAAGAAGAAGGAGGACGACCAAAAAAAAATAATAAGGCGAAAGAAGTGCCCCGGGTGCTAGGTGCAAGGAGGAGGAAGGGGAATGGTACCTGAGGTACCTTATGTACGGCGGGCGGGAGAAGAACCAGACCCCGGGATGACGGTGGTTAAGCCACTTAACTAAGTAAACTTTGTTGTGTGATTGGCCTGATTGGTCCAAAACCCACCTCCGCGAGTGGGTCTTTCTCGCTTATTTGGGATGGGCCTCAAAAGTCGTGTCCACCTGGAATAACCACTCCTACCTACCCCATCGTCACTCGACTCCCTCCGCGATCTCATAGCAACCGCCTATTACCACATTCTTATACTCGTTCGGATCGCCAAACTCTTCCGGTTCGAATGAGTACTTAACTTCCCACTTTTCATCTGATATCCATTCTCTAGCCCCGATATACAAGTCACATAAGATCCCGGGTCCCATATAGGGCCGTATCTGCCAAATTCCCTCGATCACGCTGATGAATTGCCAAAACAGATTTTATCTCAACCACATGTCGGAAAAGGACTTTCGATAGCTCAAATTAATCCTCATTCTCTAATCTATCGAATTGTTAAATTATAGGAATTTACATTTAGTCTTAATCCAAGTGCAGCTATATATCAACCCCTTACCCCTATCAAACCATAATTGTATAATATGCCGTGTAATAACATTGATGCGGCGGATGCAGGAAATCTCCAATTTTTCTCTTTTCTTCTCTTCTAAATCATATTTTATCTTTATCATCGTGAAGTCGCGTGTTGATTTAGTCAATCATTGTTTGGGTAGCTAGGTGGTTTGTTGAGACCAGCAGATGGTTGGTGAGACTGGGCCTCAGCAAGCCTGTCAGGGAAATTTTAGTCTACCTACCCTCACCTACGGTACAGTATGGGTTGCCACCTGGTAGCCCACATACCCCCCCCCCCCCCCCCCCCTAGGTACATACTACAGTAGGAGAAACCAGTCACCTGCCTTGCATGAAAGCAAGCCGGGATTTCCGATCAGCAATATATTACTACAGAAAAAAAAACACCACTAATCAATAATGTCAACACCCGTGCTATTTTGAATAAGTTCAGTCTATTGAACTATATGTACAATTTTCTCTATACCCACCCATTAAACCTTTCAAGGCCACTCCCTGCGACTAATTCGTCTACGATGTAAAATACACTACCATAAACCCTATCCAGCTTCCCACCACCCCTATCGCTGAATACGAGCTCATGAACATTAGGGGGAGAAATTCGTAACTCTTGCCGAATATAATCTGGTGTAACAAGGAGCAATATACAATCAACGGTATACTGATCGTGATGTAGAAGATGGTGAAGCGATCAAAGAGGAAGAATCGCGGGCGCGTCGAAGCAAGAGCCGTGCGATCAAATACCATCAAAAATAGAACCAACCAGAATATGGTGTAGACTGTCTTGATTGGGAATTCGGCAGAGGTGAAGAGTAAGGGGAATAGCGAGACGTGGCCAGACACCGCAAGGGGACGGAACGCACTAAGATGCCGTCGATCCTTAAGAGCGATCAGACTGAAAGGGATAATCACGAGAAGAATCGCTTTTTCATGAACATGCCATCCGAAAAGGAACGATGAGTAACCACACAAAGTCACTGCTCCGATGAAAGCATCCCAGTTCGGTCGTATGAAGAGTCTCACCAAAGGTATGACTTGGAAGAGGAGAGTAAGTGCGAAACAGATCCTAGGAGTAACTTCAGGAAGCACAGCAAATGCGGTATCTCCTACTAGACCTCTTGTAACGCTATTGATAGCCTCTGTCTTGACGGGTAATCCTAGTCGTGGCGCAACTAGTCCTGTAAGCCACCATGCATCGTCAACTAATTAGGTAGTACTCACCAAAAATCAAGACTCGGTCCACAAAAGAGTACATGGCCCATACGTTCGGTGCCCAGTATGCGTGGCAAAGTCCTCGGGAGAATGGGAACAATCTGCTTAGAATCTGCGGGATCTGGTTCTTAATGGCAAAGGGTCCGAATGCTAAGCCAAATATGCCAAGGATTCCAGATCCTAGTTTGATGCAGTTGAGGAACTGGATACGGAAGATGGATTTTGGCGATAGACAATAGGTTCTCAGTAAATAAACGAAGTATGCCGGCGCGAGATAGAGGTATATGTGCTTCATGCATAGTAGTGCTGCGAAAACAAGACCACTGCCTAAGACTCCTGACTTGTGGCGTGCTAGGACCAAGGACAATATCAGGACACCATACATAGCTCCATTATATTGAAAGTGAATATGGTCTATGATAAGGAGGCCTGGTGAAAGCAGAACTGAAATCGCTGCGGCCTGGGCTGCACGTTTGGAAACCCCGTGTGAAGACTCGACGAATCTATCATATTTTACATTAGTGCGTCAAGTCAGGGGCTGGCATAATCAGCGACACGTACAATTGCAAAGCATATACTAGAATCAGTTCTGTGGCAATTACGGTGAACCTCTGGAAGTATATCGTCTGCCAGCTGTCGTAGTCCAAGTTATAGACTCGAAGCATGGCCGGATCCACCAGCCCGGCTACTTGAGAAAGAATCCATTCAAAGTAAGCAAAGAATGGTGGATAGTCCAAAGTCCATTCAGAGGTCTTTTCGTAGTACCATTCCCATAGCGGTAGACTGTTGGTGATAGCTAGCCAATTCCGGTGCACCTCAAAATCGGTGGATTTGCTTGAGGCCAGTTTAGTGTATTGAAATGAAATGTATGAAGTGAGATAGGACTTACTAGGCCGGGAAGAGGAGGATTTTGAAAGCGGTCGCAACTATTGCGCATTGCGCAATCGTAGGATATATTTCAGTCATTGAAAATTGAATTCATGACCTACGTGGGGATCGTCTCGTTTACAGATTTGGCGTAGTTGGGAGGGTTGTGGTTCAGTTCCGGCGATATAGAAGAGAAATGGTGGTCACAGTGCTGGAGCTGGCTGAAGAATTGAAGTCAATTGAGGCTAGGATGTTAAGCTCCACATGGTCGGTACGTATTTTTACCGATGTGCGACATCCGTCAAAAAAAAAAAAATCTAAAGACGGCTGTACTAAGCCAAGGCGTTGGGTCCGTGCGTATGTTTTTAGTCGATCCATTATTTTTATTTACTCGATTCGACAGCACCCATACACATGCCGCCCAGCTGCCGCCTTGCCCGCCCTTGCCTTTTTCAACTCCTAGACAGGGATTAGGTACCTAGTACATGCTTGCTGTGACGTGGGTTTGGAGTTAGACACATGTACTCAGGTACCAATAGTTTCAAGCTTTCCGTTAGTTTGCACTAGACAATATGTATACATGTACCATCTGATGTACCTTTAACAGCGCAACTCCAGTGCGTATCTACATGAGTAGCCAGGTACCTAAATCCATACCTACACCTTTCTGGGGAAGGAAAGGCTATTATCATTGTGAAGGGGGTCGAACTGTCCTGTCTACCTTGCACAATCTGTCTTTCATAATCTTTTTTTTTTAGTGATTTTCTTTCCTTCAGTCCAAATATTTTCTATATTGATTGCCCTCAGCCTGCCTGAGTAATGTTCGCCGGTGTTTCTACTTAATTGAAAGGGGGACTATTTCTTCCCAAATCTTTACTCCAATTCTTGGGTAGTTAAGCTCCCCCACATCTTTTTTTCAAGCTCCGTCTTTGGGGATTGGACCAGGATAGCTTGGTGCAAAGTGTCCTTATGAGCATCGTGAACGGTTCTCGCGAAGTTCTTGCAGCTTGACGTGCTCTCGTCTTACTCCCCAAAAAGCCTAATTACTCAATCAATCACTTAATATAACTTTCCCCATCTTTTTCTAGAGCTTCTTTCTTATTGATTGATTGACATTTCGGAGCTAAAGAATGCGTCTGTCACGATCTTCAGCCCTTGCCTTCGGGCTGGCGACGACGGCAAAGTTTGCTGAAGCACAGGCGCAATTCCTCGTCAATGAGCTGAGTTTTGGTTACACCGGCAGGTAGGGCTTCTTGTAATACGCATAAACCTTTCTATGTCTGAAAACTAAGTGAATCGCACTAGAATAAATGACCGGGGACAAGCATCAGTCCCAGGATTCTCCATACAAGGCACACCAGACGCACCCGAAATCCTCTCCAACAAAATAATCCTAACGCCGCCGGCACCCGGTAACACACGAGGCGCGGTATGGGCGGACCAGCCGAACCGGTATTCACAATGGGTAGCCGATGTCGACTTTAGAGTGAACGGCCCTGAAAGGGGTAGTGGTAACCTCAACATCTGGCTGGCAAGACAGGGGAACCAAGAAATTGGTTCGTCTAGCGTCTACACGGTTAACAGATTTGATGGTTTAGCTCTTGTGATCGACCAACATGGTGGCTCGGGTGGAATGATTAGGGGTTTCTTGAACGACGGCACTACCGATTTCAAGTCGCACCACAACGTGGACAGTCTCGCTTTCGGGCACTGCAACTACCCCTACCGTAACCTTGGTCGACCCTCTCAGATCAAGTTAAGACAAACGTCTCAGGTATTTAAGGTGGAGGTCGATGGTCGATTATGTTTCGAAAGCGACAAGATCACTCTGCCGCCGGGATATTACTTTGGTATCACGGCTGCAGCAGGAGATAACCCGGATTCCTTTGAGGTATTCAAGATGGTCACTATGACGGAAGACCTCAATGCCAAACATGATGGATATTCGCAGCAGCAGCAACAACAGAGACAACAAAACCAGAACCAAGCACAAGCACAAATGAGCTATGGTCGCACGAACCAAAACAACCAAAACAACAGAGGCGACTTTGATGACTCCATTCCCGATTCGCTAGCCGACACCATAACGAGCTCCAAGGAGCAATTTGCAGACTTGCATAACCGTCTACAAAGCGTCAACCACCATCTCTCTACTATCTTCCGACAGGTAGCGAGTTTGGGTAACCTCGGTGAGAAGCGACATGAGGAAGTCTCCAAATCGGTGAACGATGTGAAACTATTACTAGCGAAACTAGACAACATCGACTTGCTCCGAGGTGAAATTAGCAAACTGCAGCGGGACGTGAGGGACATCAACTCCAAGGTGAAGGACTCAGAGAACGCCTTGAAATCTTTCATAGGTACAAACCACGGCAACATGCTAGAACACGTGGCAGTCCAGACTACGCCCCGACACGGAACACTCATCTTCGTCATCATTGGAACTCAAGTATTAATAGTGGCGGCTTATATCTTTTACGAGCGGAAGAAGATCATGCCCAAGAAATATCTATAGTGAGGTTAATTTGGGCGATTATTTAGACGATTTAGGCATTAGGACGGGTGCGCGGCGTAGGGCTTTGTATAAAAGTTATCTGGACGTGGAATGAAATGTTGCTTTATTACTGAAGCGCTTTGAAATAAAAATGTACTATTTCGAGGGATTCCCCTAATTCTACGATCTAATGTGTGAGTGGTATTATTGGTGATATGAATGCGACCCGTGCTCTAATTATTTCCAACATCACGAAACAAAATCATCGCAAATTTACAAAATTAAAAATGTAGTAAAGTTAATATAAATGGTATAAAAAAGAACGAAACATATTTGGAAGTCCCAAAAAAACAATATGACATCCAACTCCAAACGACATGCAACCCAAAGAGATACATGGAATACAATACAGACAAAATCTCTCACACCCCCTTATCCCAACCTATCTTCATCCAAACTCCATGACTCCAAGTCTTAAACATATAAGATCCCATGAAAAAATAACAATGCTTTCCCTATATGCTGTCCCCCACTTATATCCTAATTTGTACCCGCGTCCAACCATCTCCCATCTCATACCAGATACCTCCTCGTATGTATGCAAGAAGAATCATCTAAGCATACCCCATCAACTTCAACAACTCCGCCCCCTTCGGCGCCCGCGTCAGAACCTCACATCCGGTCTCAGTAACAAGCACACAATCCTCCACTCTCACACCACCGACACCCCAATACCGATCTAGGACATCAGCATCGACGTACTTAGCGTGTTCAGCCCGGCGAAGGAAGTACGCCTCGACGTAGGGTTTGCTAAAGTATAGACCGGGCTCGATTGTAATCACCATACCCGGCTGCAACGTGCTATGCGGAGGTCGTTTGGAACCAGCGGAGACGGAGGATTTTTTACCGGGTTTTTTGGTGTGCCCGTTTTGACCTTGTTTTTGTAGGGCTTGGGGTGTGTTGGGGCGTGGTTGGGCGGTTATTAGGATTTGTGGGAGTTGTGAGAGTTGGGCTGGAGGTGATTGTGGGAGAGACTGGAGTTGTGGTTGGGGTTGCTCTGGGGGGTTGGCGAGGGATTGCTTGCGCTCTGGGGTGGGGGCCTTGTCTTTGCCTGCTACACCGTTTGCATCACCGTTCGCGGTTTTAGAAGGCGAAGATGGAGGCGTAGAGGCCGGGGACCCGGGTTGAGGTGTACGAGCCGCACCCTCGGGAACGGGGTGAGGCAAAGATTGAGGTGGCAGAGGAGGCGTACCCGGTTGTGTCGGCCCAGAAACACTGCTCGTCGATGTGCTCGGTGAGGGCGGTGCTTCGCTGGCTGCTTGCTTGACCATGGCGCGCACGGATTGGGGGCCGATGGGTCGGCGTTTTCCCCACATACCCTCGCCGGCGGGACGCAAGAGATCTCTACTCAGAACGCTAGAAGACGGAACATTGTTACTACTATGGACGTAAAAGGGAGGTGGTTGCGGTTGTGGGGATAGCATGGGGGTGGGTTTGAAGGGGATGGGAGGGGAATCGAAAAGTGCTAATGGGGAAAGGGAGGAGACAAACTCATGAACGTCGAGACCGACGTGGTGTCCTAGTCCGTGTGGGAAGAAAGCTGCACCGGTGCCGTTTTTAAAGATCTCATCCGCAGTACCGTCTTTGAGGATGCCGAGCTCGAGTAATCCTTCGACGGCGACGCGCGTGGCGTGTAATTGCAGGTCGCGGAAGACAACGCCTGGTTTAACGCGCTTGAGACATTCCTCTTGCATACGGTGGACGAGATCGTAGATGGCGCGGGCTTCAATTGAAAAGCGGGCTCGTGATAGCGGTAACGTGCGCGTCACTTCGCTAGCATAGCATGCCCATTCAGCACCGGCATCGAGAACAACCAATTGCTTTCCAGCTAGAGATGCGTTGTTGGCCGCATAATGCAACGTCGAGGCATTAGCACCAGAACCAGCAATAACAGGGTAAGCCTGAGTCTTCGCATTGGCCGCCGCACACGCAGAAACAAAAGCAGCTTCGATCTCGCATTCATTCTTCATCTAATTCCGCAAAAGTTAGCAATTGCCTCTTTTAAGATATCCAGTGGTTTTCGGAGGGTCTCTCATCGTGTCAAATGTTACTGGGAGTACATTATAAGGAACCCCTAGATACTCACAAAGGGGGGACAAGACACCCTCTTACTATTATTCCTAGCCCTATTGCGCCTGCGAAGAAAGGAAAGGGAGAGGAATGAACGAACAGAATGACGAATAGATGTGTTACTCACACCACACACCAACGCCGCCACCTTGCGATGCGCCGTCGCCGACACATCGCCCGCTTTTCGGATCATCGCGACTTCATACTCGGACTTGATCAGACGAGCTTCGTCCATAGCGGGCTGGAGCGATGAGACGTCGACGCGGATGTTGGGGCGTAGACGGTCGAAGCCGTCGAATTTGGGGAGTTGTGAGGGTCGCAGGGCGTATAGTGTCTTGACGGTAGATAGGCGTGCAGTTAGGTATGCTGGTAGTTCACCCGTGTACTTGACGTCATGGACATCACACTTCGTCAGACATTCTTCCGGAGATGGGGTATTGCCGAACCAGAGCACTGTCGCGGGCGGTGTGAAAGGAACCCATAGTGTGAGCTTATCTGCGGCGATATCGTACGTCACGCTGCATCCCGGGAAGTCGGCACCAGTTAGGTAGTAGAAGCTATGAACTCCGTCAGTATCGAATGGTTTGATATTTAAGATTGAGAGGGTATACATACTATCGACGTTGCCTGAATGGTGGGCCCTGATCTGAGTCTTCCCATGTCGACTCCAGTTGACCAGGGAGGTAGATGAGGCCATTGTCAGTCCCAAGTTCTTTGGCAACTTTCCTCGCGTGTTGTTTTGCTGGGAGTATGGTTAGTACTACTCATGATTGGTTCAGATCAAGAGGGGAAGCTTATGAAATGACATGATGGCGTCTAGCTGAAATATATGATGTGCGTAAGGGTGAGGTAAGAAGGTGATAGGTTACGACCGCATATGCTGTATCACTCAAGTCTAAAATGAGACTGGGATGATATCCGAGACATCTCGCAGGGCATTGAATACCCCTGGATTTATCTTCCGAGACAAATGCAACTCGAGTGTGACGTGATTCAGGTTGTGAACACATGAACGCATGAAATGTGCGGAGGTATTAATCGGACTGGATTTTTAACAGGAAAATTTGTTTATTTGAGAATCATGCTCGAAAATTCGAAACTCACCAGGGTATTTTCTCGGGGGCTCTTCAGCTTTCGCTTCTAACTCCGCAACATTGTCATTGTTAACCTCGATAGATCTGGATCGCAGAGATTGGGTCAGTGGTATCCTGGCTTGTATCTTGGACATAAACGGTATGCTGAGCACGATCGCAACGGCCGCAGAGACCGCGCTGTGCATCAGACCTCTTGTCCTGCAACGGACCGCGTTGTGGTCCATTGTAGTGGGCATATTATTGTTGGTGATGATGACGATCTTGTTGTTCAATCGGTATGTAGAGAGCTAGGTAGTAGTTAAGAGGTATGGAGGGGAGAGGATGAGGGATAAGATGATGAAAGGGCGTAGAACATACAGAGCATCAAATTCATCAACGACCACCAGGTCGTGGTCGATATCTATAGCTTCCATCTCGACAGATTTTCAGTATTTCCTATTTCCCGAAATTGTTGTTTTGACGAGTAGAGCAACGACAGCAACATCATCGGTGGGGTGTCATTGTGATACATAAAATATAATTATGAAACCCCTGGGTGTGTATCTAACATCGTGGATGAAGTGGCGGATCTCATTCGCTTATGCGGCCGCTGAGCTGGTTCGGCCTGGTTGGAGCGGCCTCACGTGGCCGAGTTCGGTTCGCGTCTCAGCATTGACACCTATTGATACCTATTAATACCTATAGTCAATTTACACGTGCCATATGGATACATGTTCGAAACAACCGAGAGCCTCCGAAGCCGAATGACCTCTCGTAAGGCCTCTTTGCAGCCTCTAGAGAGCCCGAGGCCCCTTAAACCGGCAGGGGTCGACGTCCGATGGAGCAGATGGAGCAGGAGATCTTAAACGTTGGACAACATAAAAACTTCTACGACGGTACGCCCACTTGGTATCCACTCATAGGTCTGAGAAGAACCAGTCCCATCGAATCACTGCTTTCTTGCCCTGAGGCTGTGCGCAAGCTTATTTGGTTCCGACGTCAACCTACACACGTTGGGCATATGGGGTGCTTTCGCGAATATTGCTGATGGCCTGATCGCTACGATAGTCCGCTCCCGGATATCTCTAATGCGGGCCCCTTACGCCATTCTTCCGACATGTTACTTTATGGAATAACGTACACGTCAAGTTTTGTGCTTAATTCACTCGTCTATGTACATCCTTTGTCCTTTACATAGGTAAAATGACAAGCATGTGCTGAGATGCTGCTCTGTCGAGCCGAGTAGCTAGAGATCGTCTCTGCAGCTCTCGTCGAGATGAAGGAGGCTTAAATCGAGCCTCATATATATACCCTATGTTAGATGACATTCCTTCTATGAAGATCACCATCTGAGTTGTGGAAATAGCTCCATATATCCGACATCGAGTATAATGCTTTTTTTGAATTCTCCCAAAACTCCAGCCCTTCCGAAGGTTCGTCTAAGTAAAGCATTCGTAGACGTGCTACTATCGCGCTCATGCAGAGGGGTATCCTTTTTCTATTCATAATCCTATTCCATTCCATGTTGGGGAAACGATCCATGCCACGACGTATTAGCTAATAATTCATCCATCTCCCCTGACTGTTGACCCCGTCGTCGAAACAAGCGTGATTGGCTTGGTTGAAATTGAGGATGCGGCTGCGGCTGCGACTGTCGGTGCTCTACAGTATGCATTTGCAGCAACATCGGGTCTGAGTACATCTGAGCCGGGAAGTTAAAACCAGGCTGGCCTTGCGATTGCATTAAATACGGCGGTAACGGACCCATGAGTTGCCCCTCGATACCTTCAAAGAAATTGGGTGCGTAGAACTGAGAAGGCTCGTGGTGCGAAATGTCTCCCGGGTTAGTATTGGGCACCGTAGACGGGTTGGTACCAAATTCAACCTGAGGTTGGTTGGGGTAGGCTAAGGGATCGTCCGAAGGGAACATCACAGCATCAAGCTGGTGGATCGGGTTATTACCCGCACTAAATGCATGTTGCTGCAGGTCTAGTGGGCTAGGCTCGTGCAAAGCAGCAGCGGTGACGGAATCTGGCGAGGGTATTTCTAAATCCAACGGTGAGAACGGGAAGGCGGTGGTAAATGGGCTTCCAAGTTCTGGTTGGGGCAGGGGTGAATTGCCAATGGGGATTCCTGGCGGGATGGGTCCAGCTGGGGCCTTTCCAGCTTTCTTAGCCGATATGCCCTGAGATCGATTAGCCATCTCGGGTTGGGACTGTATCGACTCTGTAGAGTATCCCGGATGCGATGCCAGCGTGGTGCTGTTCCGGGATTCTCCTGACGCGGGGCGCTTTCGAGATGGTCCCGTTCGTGCCTTGATATCTTTCAAGTTACTTGGCAATTGGTCAAAGAGCATCTATTCATGATTAGTCATGTTTCACCGCTGCCATGGGGCCTCAACTTACGGTCAATGAGCTAGATATACGATCCGCAACCATACTCTTCCTTGAAAGTTCGCAAATCATCTCTTTGCCCGCAACAGCATCTGCAAGAATTTCCATAGATCCATCCTTCTCTTGGTTTTCTAACACGAAGAATACCAAGGTGATGACCGCAAAGAATTCGGTGAAAAGGGTAAACCAATATGGACCGACAAGGGGAACTTGTTTCCGCATTTCCGTCCCGATATGTACTATGTTTCGAGCGACACTGATGCCGGCGGCGCCACAGGCGTAAGCGCGGTCATTCACATCCTTGCCTTCTGAGATGCGTGGGGAAACATAATGCAGGAATGGTCTGTACAAAACCATCTGCACATGAGCGAAAGTAAACCTCAATAGATTGCGTACCCTAGGTTAATCGTTAGCATAGGCCAGATGCGAACTTGAACCAACGAGGAAACATACCGAACGACTTCGACAGGTCCTTCAGGATCCGGCCGCCAAGCGATGGGTAGATCTTCATTCCATCGTTGAAGCTCTGTCTCCATTTCTTTGATTTTTCCATAGCTAATCATATAGGATGCGTAGGGTTCTCCGACGCCTTCGCCCTCATTTTGTTCCATCCCTTTCAATGGGTAGATGTGTTTCACAACTTTTCCTAGGATGTCCATCAACCTTACGTGAGCATTGAAAGCTTCGAAGAAAGAAGGCGTTCCCGGAGGCGGCACTATAATCTTGTCTTTCGTAATATACTCGTCATCTACAGGAGTTGGCAAAGGTTGGTCGATATCCTCGTCGTTTAGAAGTAACGGGAACCCTAGTAAAGCAGATACGTATGTATCCATTTGCCGACATATATAGAACACTCTTCGCCTTGTTTCGGATTCTATCGGGTTTAGTTGAATCTGCGGTAGGTGTCGATGCAACCCCATCCTCAATGCTGACCGTAGAGCAATCCCAACAAAACCGTAGCAAGTACTTAGATTCGATATTGACTGGATAAAAAGTATCATGAAGAGCAATGCTTGAAGAGATGTCAGATCCCGACATTCGGTTATATCCTGCAAAAGGACTCTTGCTGCGCTGTAGTATTTGACCCTGCATATACACAAGTTAGTAAAAACAAACCCAGCGTTCATTAGGAGGGCTTCAATATTACGCTTCGTCGATCGAGATCTTGTACGGTGGAGTCTCGGAACCATCATCTTCAGGAAGGTTGTACATGCAGCCCAGCGCCATAACAGCGTACGCCAACGCTAAACTTCTCCTATCTTCTTTCGAAAACGAATCCGGCGACTTCTCATAAAGGCCATCCAGCATTCTATAGAAAGTAGGTATATGAACGATTCGTAGCAGACACGTCGCATTGTTAAGAGACTCGGAGCACAGGGCTAGTACTCGTTTCTTCGCGGGCAATTCGTATATGCTTGGAATGTGGCCTTGCGGCATACGCGAGCTTGATGACGATCTAGGCGAATCAAGGGTCATAACACCCGTAGGCCGAGGCGGTCGGGGAAGAAATGGTACTTGGTAATCTCTACCTAAGAGACTTCGGAAATGATCTTTCATCCTCTTGAAGAAGACCGAACCAGACGAGTTTCCGTGAAAATCATAATTGCCCTTCTCGTCGAGGTCGAGTTGGCCAACGGTTTCGATCATAGAATGCAATTGAGCATCTAGAGATGATGACGAGCCGCCTGATTGCTTCCCCTTGGATGTGGTAGCTCGTAATCTGGCTTGCTCCCGAATGCGAAATTCTTGTTGAACCGCCGGGTCCAGGCTTGGATCATTGAGGTCAACGTCTGGCATGAATTTGCGTAGCAATGTTTCTGCTCTAGACAGTTTATTCTCCAGAGCCTCTATATACTGCGGGGCTGGGTTCCTGCGCCTATTGGAAGGCTTATCGTAGGTGCATTCTAGCAAGAAAACATCAGCCAGGACGGGCAATCGTTAGCGAGGAGAGGTCAAGGTTACCATAGCTATACACCTGGCAATGCGTACATGGTTGTTTGCCGTCGCATTTGATCTTCTTCCTACGGCATTCACTAATAGGAAGTTAGCGATTATCACATTATATGTTATTATTCGAGTACAGGGATATTAAATGTCTGAAAATGTGGACCTAGGGGTTGGACCGAATAATTCTCATCAAAGATATATGTCATGGGAGAAATTTAAGAGTAGATTGATTTTGAAAAATGCATACTCGCATGCGCGTGTAACCCTCCGGCGCTTCTGCAGAGGAGCAGACGGAGTCTCACTAGAACTTTCGGCGCCCTTGCCCAGGGCGGCAGACGCCGGCGTATCTCCAGCGGGAGAATCAGTCGCTAGCGTTTGCAAGGCGGAATCGTCGTCATCAGATAATTGACCTTCCACGGCCTCGGGCTTGACGGACGCGAGGCGGTTCGCGGGAGGTTGTGAAGAGCGAGAAAGAGGAGACATATCCGTGCCAAATTGTGGGTGCCGGGAATTGGCACCCTCCTCAAAAAAAGTGAAGATCAGTCCTTTATCGTCTTTTCCCTGTCTCGGTTTCTTCACTTGTTCAGGAGACAGGAGACGCGTCCACAACGCATTTTGAGAATACCTGATGTTGCCGGTTAAGCGAACTGCATTAATTCAACAAGCGCCGAGATACCGAAGACAGAAATAAAACTGCCTGTATATGAATCAGTATGTCAGTAGATAATCGGTAGATAAATTGCGATCAAGGATCCAGTCCAATTGAGATATTTTGAACGAGCGTAATAGTCAGGCAAATGGTCGTAAACGGTCTCGACGTTGAACCAAAAGACTAAAAAAAACAAAGCCAACAACGTGGAAGAGGATGAAGAATGTAGGTAATTCTTATCTGAGCACTGACCTCCGGGGAAGAACTGGCTGCTCAGGTGGTTGCTTAGGGTAGCTGAGAAAAAAAGTAGAGGCAAGGTAGGTAAGATGGGGATGTGGATGTGGACGCTGATGCAGTAGCGCAGCGCTGGTTATAGCATAAGGCGCCTAAGATTAGGTACTTAGGTAGGTAATAGGTAATAGGTAGAAGCCAATACCTAGGGTACCTAAAGAAGGCTAGTAGCTAGTACCTTTTCGCTATTACGTATGCGTGGGTTGTGTCTTGTTCTTTATTTTTCTCTTATCGTCTTATTAGTCTTGGCGGAACTGAAGAATCCCTAGGGCTATATGGACAAGAGCTGCGTAGTGGAAAGATATATCACTTGGCGACCCTAATATGCCCGTATTTGGTGTCTTGTGATGAGAATGAGTGTGGGCGACAATAAACGAACTCACTTACATAGATAATCGAAAGAATAGAAAACAAATAAAAAAAAAAGAGGCGGTCGGTAGAACCCGATCGGTTCAAGGTTGCGATGATTGACCCGATACTGCTTCAGGCTAGCAGCTCAGATGTCCGATGCACAACTGGGATTACCCCGTCGCCTCGGATTTTTGGAGGTATAAAATAGTTAGTAATGATATGCTTGATGAGGATATGAAGCTGACTTCTCGGCTCCTACATAAGAGGCATTTCAAGGGGGGGAGGACGGGATGGAACTCTCAGTAGGAAGAAGACATGGTGGCTCGAGTGGGGAGCGAAAGAGAGACAGGAGAGACAATAGAAAGGTTCAAGGACTCCAGCAGTTGTTGGGGTCAAATACAGCGAGCGAACTTAGGTACATGCATGCTACCTAGGTAGGGTACCTGGGTAGCTCCTGGAGTTCTGCAAGGCAAAGGCGGGGCAGGTAAAAGCTTGGGTTACCTCCCTAACTACATACAATCAATAATATAATAGAAGGTACGAGTACGACATCAAGGACAGATAGAATTACGGCAAGTTCAATGGTGTGTACTGTTACAAGATAGGTTAGACTTCGGACCAGTGACGTCTATTGTTCATATAGACAATATGTGCATAATGTATATTAAGAGTCTAATTACTTGTATACCTAGGTATGTACTAGTATATTAAGAGTATAAGTCGACACACCTATTCTTGATGAATTAGATATAGCCTTTCTCTCTCGCATCCTCGCATTCGCTAACTAAAGAAATATTGGGTATTCATGTATAGGTAAGTTTGGACTTGTCAATATCATAAACGTTTATTAGTCTCTTCAACGTTACGTATATGTAACCTAGGTACTTGTATTGTACAGTATCTTTCAAGTAAAAGCAGCATCATATTTCCTACCTAGACACACATATGTATGTAAGCACACATACAAGTAGGACTTCAGTCCTTCACTTTTTTGGTACCACGGATTGCCGATTGGTTATCCAATTTGTGATTGTTCCTTGTCCGTTGAAGTTTGCTGGAGGCCTCTAGTCTGAGTTAGTCCACCCAAGCGTACACAGTATTAAGATAACTAAGGTATCTCGATTCTGAGTTGACTTACACAGTTCTTAATACACGTAAGATGTAATGTTCATCTGGGGAGCCTGACGAAACCGAGTTTAACTCGGAAGTTTTGGATCATCGGCCAATGAGCACCTATAATAATACAGGACCTAAACCTACAAGGTCTTCATCTCTGACATCTTCCCGAATATTCGGAAATGTCTCGGCGTGGGATGATTCTATAATGACTAGGAATCGCTACTAAGGTTCTGACCAATATGTCACTATGTGTAAGGCTGAGTTTGATAAACCTTGGCTTCATCTACACTGATGAAAATGACTTTGTTAGGAATGGATATATGGTTGGTTGAGTTATTAGTGATATAGCGATATGTAGCCCCATTCTTTCTCTGGATTTGCGTCTTCCTGATCTTATGTTACGTGCTCATCTAATTAGTTACCCGGATTATCTGCGACCTTGCAGATACTAATACCAACCCTCTGATTTTTCGTATTGGGAATTCTTTGGACGAAACGAATATGTGACTGACTATTTTCATGTACGGAGCACAGTGGTCTTTTTAGCGCGTCGACGATACAACAACTAATCGCGTTCAGTGAATGACCAGGTACACAGGGTACCATTGCAGGTCTCATCATCCACGCGGAAGACTTATGGCGGTCTTGGCATGCTTTAGACCTTGGAAAAAGCAATTCTCCTACTCGTGAGCCGGTCCTGCGCTACAGTGTTAGTGCAGCGGACTCGAAAAGCAAAAAGATGTAGATGAGGCTAAAGGAACAAAGATAGAAATCATTACTATCCGGGTATCGATCATCTACTATTGAGATGTCTTTAACTTGGCAATACCTGGGTATACGTAGTATCTCTTTCTATCCTTGCCGGTGTATCATATAGTAGCTTAAGGGGGGGTACGTACAGGCTAATACGATGCCTCTTATTGTTGAAGCCGAGCAAGATACAGAGGAACCGGAAAACCGGCACACCGTCGTCTTGGCCCTCTCCACCGACAAGGCTCCTATCAATCGGAATGGCCGATTATTGGAGCTCACGTCACCGTGCAAGGCCAAACCTGAAGCTTGGCAGCATTCAAGACATGAATCTCATTTAGGTCCACTACGGAGAGAGGAAAAAAGAAGGAAGAATTAGGATAGCGATAGGGCATTTTGTGACAAGACGCATCAGCAACCCTCGGGTTCCGCAGGAAATCCGGGTTTGTCTTACACTTACACAGTCTTCCCAAATGCAATAATTCAATAATGGGAATTTGGTGTCGCATCTCCGTAGAAGTACATACCTCGTCAATCCCATGTCCCGTTCATGTATGAAATCCCCTAATCGGCCAAATTCGGTGTAATAGAAAAATTAGGTGGCTGTTATGGTTGATGAACATGCCGCATATGCTCGCTCCTTGTGAATTGGAATCTACCTGGTCTCTCAATATAACAACCGTAAAACGCATCCTCTCCTATTAAAATCATAAAGTAGACAATTCCTTATCCTAGCATCCGCATGATAAGAATAAAAATAGTTTGGGGTTTGACAAAGGATGGCGACGCTAGAGATGAAAAACACAGTACGTTCGTGTGAATACTGTGAATACATGCGCGAAAGGTAGTAGCAGTAATAGACCATGTCCCTACCTGTATGCGCTTTTCCTAGCGTAAATTTCCACTCGGACGATGTTATATCACTATAGACTCATAGATAGATTAGTCTAGGATCACTTATAGGTTGTTTTAGTTATTATTCCCAACTTCCATTACTGTTGGTTTCTGTTTCTGTGCGTAACAAGATTATAAGCCATCGCTTGGCAGCAGTTGAGTTGAGAGCGCTGCTCTAAGTATCATGCTAGTTAATTGGTTCGTTCGTGTCAGTGATGGTACATTGATGTAAGACTTAGCAATGGTATTCGACAAGATGGGGGTGGCCGAGTTTTATTTGCGCGGAATCCTTAATATAGAAGGATCTTCGGTCCCTCGTGCTATGAAAATTAAGCCACTTTGCTTTATTTCTGCTGTAGCTTGTCCGACATTGAAGAAGTGGCATAGATGAGGCTGTGATATGAATAGAGTTGAAAGTCTTGGTGTGGATGTGAGATTGGTGATGGTCCTATCAAGTCTCACAAAGTTTACTGAATACACACCATCCCCGCTTTAAGCCCTACGCCCACGTACCTGGGTCAATGTCCAATAGAATCTCGCATTGCGGATGTGAGTCTGATAAGATAAGAGGTGAGTTAAGCCGATAGGGAAAGCGTCCAAGCTACCCCGCCAAAATACCTAGGTACCTAGGCAGACGTAGCTTTTTCGTGTTATACGTCGATTGCGATTGCCTTTGCCTTATTGAACCCTACCTTGAACAACTTTAAACCTTAGCTACTTAACATAAATACACACACGCGGGTTAAGCTACCGGAAACATCATTGTCAATTTTTTTTCTCGGACATTTAATTCTACATATCATCAAAATCACACATCGAGCAACTAGATCATCGCTAAAGTAGTGCCGGCACCATGGCCGCCGAACAGCATCTACTCGCCTACTTTACCGCCATGGACAACCAGGGAGGAATCATCATTAAAGGTACGATGCACATTGAAACAAGCTATTCAGAGATTTGCTAACATTAGTACTCTATAGATCCCCCCAAACTCGATCTCGATCTATACATATCCAACTACAAAGGTTCGTTATCCCCGCCATGTCCGTTCCATTTCCCAGCTTCGCTGGTCCGTTTGTTACAGCAACAAGCATCTCACCCGCTTTGACAGGTCGCACACGGTTCGAGAGACTCTTATTGATCGGCCAATGCTCCGTACCGTTATGTGTCGACGCTTTAAAAGCTGCCGTAGCCGAAGCCAAAAGCGGTAAAGATATCCAACGATACAAAGACGCCTTCGAATGTATCCGCCTTGCTGCCCCCCATGAGCCCGAGGCCAGATGGGATGAAGCCTGGGTCGCCGCGACGGACAAGTCAAATAAGACCGAGACGCAGCGACTTGAGACCGAACTTAAGGGTTATAAGAACAACCTAGTTAAAGAAAGCATCAGGGTACGAAGTCACGCCTAATTTTATTAGAACAAGTAATGCTAATAATCTTAGATTGGCCACCGCGACCTTGGCGAACATTTAGAGGCCGTCGGGGACTTAAATGCTGCTTCCGAGACCTACATTAAGATGCGACCCGATGCCAGTACCCAGTCCCACATTCAAGACGTAGGAAAACATGTCGTGAGCATCATGTTACAAAAGCGAGATTGGACCGGTGTGCTGGCAAACGTCAACAAGGTTCTAGTGGTCAACATCGGCAATGAAGAGCAGAGTTCCGAGCAGCCTTACCAGAGAATGGTTGCTGGTCTGGCATATCTTGGGAACGGCAAGTACCACGAAGCTGCCAGGAACTTCCTTGAGGTTGGGGATCCGATCGTTTGTCAGAAATATAACGACGTCGCCAGCCCCAATGATGTCGCTACGTATGGTGGACTTTTGGCACTCGCTTCGATGGACCGATTGGAGTTGCAATCTCGAGTTCTAGACAACTCTAACTTCAGAAACTACTTGGAACTCGAACCACATATCCGTAAAGCTGTCTCTATGTTCGTCAATGGGCGATACTCAGCCTGCCTGGAAATCCTCGAGTCATACCGGAACGATTACCTCCTTGATCTCTATCTTCAGAAGCATGTTTCGGTACTCTTCTCCAAGATTCGCAACAAGTGCATCGTCCAGTACTTCTTGCCGTTCTCATGCGTCACTCTCGACACAATGAACGCTGTCTTTAGCAAACCTGGGGAATCTATCGAACCAGAACTTGTTAACATGATCAAGAGCGGAGCCTTGAACGCGCGGATCAACACTATTGATAGGGTGAGTAAGAATAATTATTTGATAGTACTAAATTGCTAAGATGTCGATTCAGCTCCTCGTTGCGGTCTCCACCAATTCCCGAGCTGCTATGCAGAAAAAGGCCCTAGATGCAGCGAATAACTACGAGAAAGAAATCCTAGAGCGAATTCGACGAATGAATATCGCGGCGGCAGATCTCGAAGTCAAGGGGTACCGAAAAGGATTTGGCACTCTTCCTGGCGTAAATGATCTTTTCCCGGATGATTCTCGACGGCAGCTGGGTTCTAGCGAGGCGACGGCTTAGAAAGGACTTGCGCCAATGTAGGACGGCAAGCCTGAGAGGCCGGGTACTGAGCTAAGTATAAGACAGCTCCTGGCGAAGGCACGAATTCCGAGATGGAAGTGAACGAAAGTATCAAGAAAATCAGCACTGGTAGGTATAACTTGTAATCGACAAGGGCGGAAACTACTTAGATGCTGCATAGGTAGGCACAGATATGACCTATTCGCCACTAAGGAGTTGCTAGGATAAAGGCGTTACGGGCACTGCATCAGAATCATTAAGGAACGCTTTACGAAGTGACGTGGAGATGGCTAGACGTGCCATTCGAGAGTATGAGATTCATGAAAATACCCTATGATTAGGTAGCCTCGGAATTAGATATATTCTTATTCTATAATCTACCGCATTATCCCATCAACTGTCTGATATCTTCAGGTGGCCATCGCACTTGAGCGAACGTAAGACACCTTTTAATACTCTGCAAGTACTTCCTCGTAACTTCATCACTCATAATGTGACCCCTCTCACCATCATGCAACTTTTCTCGCGCACTTCGCTCGTGGATACCCACCATTGTAACACCGATAGGCCATGCTGCCTTACCGATACTTAGTCGTAGGTATCCATCATTGGCATCGACGTAACGCCGTTCTTGTGCTGCTTGTACAATCTCGACCACGGGTTTTATGATGTCGTCTTCCAGATCGCCTTTCTCAAACCGTCGGAATAGAGGGACCATATTATCCCGACTCGATACCATAGCGTTGACAGCAGCCTTCCCCGCGAACGTATCGCGAGAGTCTCGTTCTCGTTCTTCCCGCGCGAGCGCTGCCTCCCATTCTCGAAGTACCATCGTAAAATACGATGCCAATTGTCGGAATAAGTACTGTCGTCCAGCCTTGTCTTGCGGTATCGAGGCCGCGTCGACTTTCATATCCTTCTCCTCAACCAACTTCAGCGTCGTCGGTATGGGGCCTGCCGTCACCGTAGTAGTGAGACGTTTATACCTCTTCAACCTCGCGCGATGCGTCTCCCCGAACAGCGTAACTGGGTGTCCCAACTCGCGCAGCTTAGCTACGAGTTCATCATCGGGTATATCTTCTTCCTCCACACTGCCCTCGCGACTTCCATTCGCACTATCCTCCTTCACCAACTCCGGGAGTCCCAATCGTTTCCGTCGCTGCCGTTCTTCCTCCGCGGCTTGCTCTTCTCGTCTGCGTCGTGTTTCTTCTTCGAGCTTCCGCCGTTTTTCTTCCCGCGCACGAGACTCGGTGGCGGCTTCTTCGTCGCGTTTGCGCTTTTCCAAGGCTTTGGCTTGGCGCTTTTCCTCAAGCGCTTTTTGTTCCGCGAGGTAGGCTGCTTCGCGTTGAGCCTCGGCTTCGGAACGGCGGATGTATTTTTTGCTGGTGGAGGATGAATCATCGGTGGGTTTAGGAGATGCCTTGGCCAGTTCTTTGGACATGAGGGCTGCGAAGTCCATGGTGATAGGTGTGTTGGGGCGTCGCGGGACGCGGATCACTATGGGGGTGTGGTGTTATGGATTGTTGGATTGGGGTTTTAAATGGGAATAAGTTTCAGCTATATGATCGACGGTATGGGCTCGTAGATAATTGGGTGTGTTGAAGAATGGTGTTTTTGTATGAATTATTTGAATTATTTAGGTATGAAGATTGGAGGGGATGGCAGGCGGGATTCACTAATTGAATTATCTATGGGGAAAAGAAACACACTATGGAGCCCTGGAGAAAGTTCTCCAGCGCATTATGGGGAACAACAGAGCCTCGGGAGTAGGTACCTAACGATATCGGCGAATTATGCGGGAAAGACCGACATGCAAAGCTACGTGGTTACATCACCGCACGCGTTGCGATGCGTTGCGGGCACTAAAAACCCCTAAATTTCTAGGGTATATGTAGTGGGGTGGGACCTTATAACTCTATTTAACTTGCGCCCACAGCGGTTTCTCCCCTTTGTAGGTATTAATCTTATCGGTGAAGCTGCGGGCTCCCGCGTTTGCTTTCGCTCCTAAAACATTAGAAATCTGGATTCTGCATTTGGAGCTTGTTCAACAAACGGCTCCGACGTCCTCGGCTTTGAAGATCTGAATTTCGAAACCGCATTATTTATTCACTCTTCACAAATCACTCCTTTCTAGAATTCAACTACGTCAACTTGTTTTCGTAGCAACATGATATAACAGTGTCTACTAGGTTGTCCCCCCGAAGGTGCTACTCGGACACCACCACTAACCACCTTCTACCACCATCACTAACCATGGATCGTCACACAACACCGCCGTTTATGCTACGGCTATTCTATCGAACCGGCGCGTTTCACAGGTAAGTTGGGATGAACCAGTCAGTTGGCCAACTGGACAACTAGTAGGGGTTCCTCTAGGATTGCTTTCAACTCACACGAGATCTTCTAGACCCGACGAGTTCACTACGTCACCTCTTCCGCCGCATATCACCATCCACACCTGGCCCGATTGCACTTTAACAGAACTCACATACATCATCGCCGCCGCGAGACCTGGCCTCCTCCCCGACCCAGCTATTGGCACGCGCCTAGTCTTCCGTCTCATATTCCCCGATACACGAGGCAGCAACGCCGTCGCCGCGGGCCACCATAGCGCTTCTGCAAAATACACTGTCAAAGACTTGGGGAGTGTAGTAATAGGGGGTGGTAGTGGGGGCAACGGGAATCGGGGAAGAGGTCTGGATCCCGAGGACCCAGAGGCTGAGGGTGGGGAGGATCCAGACGCTGCTGGGGTTGATAATGATGGTGACAAGACCCTAGGAGAGTCTAGGTTCGTTGTTGGTGATTATATCTCTTGCGCTGTCCTACACCCGCTGCCTGATGGGTCTGTTGCGCCTGCATCTAGTGCTAGGACTGGCCCTAGTACCAACCCCAGAGAACCCAGATACTCTGCGGGAAGACCTCCAAGCGGCTCGTTTGGGAGCAGGGAGCATGAAAACGGGCATGTTCGACCTGGTAGGTCAAGGAACAGCGGAAGAGGATTCGATGGGTTTGGTAACATACCCATGGGTGAGTGGAGAAGAGGAGAAAGACTACCTGACCCGCCTGCAATGGGCCGAGGTAGAGGAGGAAGACAACGGTTTTGATATACCGTGGATGTCATCATGGTGGTGTGGCTTACGATGGCCTCTAAGATGGGGGACGGCCGGGTTCCAAATCAGACCGGTAGACAATGGATGGTAGAAAAAATATGGGAAGAATGGTATAGATATGTTCCGTGAGGACCAATGAAAGAGTGAGTAAGCTATTCATTCTTCATCTCTTGAACGCCGTAGTTGGGTACTACATACCACAAGTTCAACGATATTTACTAACTTACAAGCAGATCGCAACACTATGTCTGAGCTTCGCTGCTAGACGCGAATTGATACCCGAATGCTCCGTTTGACATTCAACAAAGAAATCATTGCAGATACCCAACATCGCCTGCAGTTTTGTACTTTTTCACATTTCATATTTCTGATGATATTGCATAGTTTGGGGTCTGGTGCATGGGAATTGGGTGAGGGAGCATTTGCATCATTAAAAGTTTGCTATATCATTTCTTATTCGATGGGTGTTATTATTTATCTCAACTTTATATGGCAGCATTTTATCACCAATTGACATGGCCTATCATGGCAATTATGAGTGACTTCTATTCTACTTCGTGAAAGGATCATAGTTTGTGAGAGGGAACAATTTACGACATCAATCGATTTAAATTTATCTCCCATCTAGAAAAATATGCCCATTGCCAGTTGCCGATTCAGTTAGAGTGAGTAGTGTTGAAATAAGAAAATAGAATTGTCGAGGTTTTGGACTGTATATCAAGACGCAAGACCAACATGGGAATATACCTACATCTCTCCTACTACCTTTATCTTCCCGGCGGGAGTATAAAATATACCTAGAGAGCTTTTGAGGTATACGGCTAGAATACTAGGGCACCAGGGCAAAACACCGGGTCCTTTAACAATCACTTCCAGGCACATGGTGGTATTCCTCAACCGACGCGGAGGTTCATTTGTTGACCAAGTTTATTGAATTTCCACAATGCATTTATCCTTATATACAATCGTCCCCGTTTCTCTTTTACGAACATCCTTTAAAATTCACTGATAAGGTCGCCCTTCCTCTTCGCACGGAAATCCCACTTGCCCTAGATTCAGAGTCTTGCGTTAGCAATCTAGGTTTCGAATAATCTTGGGCTAGATGGGCTATAGTAGGATGAGTCCAGTTACCCACATCGGCCTTGTATGCAATGATGCCGAGGATAGTCGGTACGGCAACGACGAATGCGAAATTGATACGAGCGCTTCGGGCAGTCCATCGGAAGTATTGGTGACGGTTCGTGGTCATGGCTACGATGGACGAATTAGCTTCCCTCTATCATCCTTCAACCTATCATCTACACTCTTGGGAGCGACCGTCGTGAGGAAATGGGTAAACGTACTTCCCAGCTTCTGGATGGCCGGGTCCAACGCCATGCCTATTATCGATGTCAGCTTTGTTGTTCCTAATCAAATGTCGCAATTGAGGTGTCGCGGGTGGACATACGGTAGTGCTGTACGCCCGCCATCTTGACGTAGATAGGCAGTCGCCGTGCACTGAATGGATTGTGTATGTGTGGTTGTTTTGGGGCAATCTACTTGGATTGACCTGAGTTAATTGAAGCTTCGATTGATTAAAGGTGCTCGGATGGCTTGACACTTGATATGTGGGGTTGTAACTAGCCACAGGTGGCTTGCTCAACTTTGCTTATTAAACCTTGGAATTCCAAGATTTTGCCAAGTCTCAGCTGCTAGGAACGCTACATGCCAAGAATTCAGCGACCATAGTTCTTCATTTAATTCATGTCGTCAGAAATTAATTTATACCTTAGGTAGGTACATAATGACATAAACTCTAATGCTATCGGAAATAGCACTACTAAATTCGAAAGATACTAGTATCTGACATAACATCTGTAAATTAACGATCATATCCTCTGTGCTCTCCGTTGACAATTGAAATTCTATGATGTAGCCAACAAAGCTATAAGGAATAAAAAGGAAACCTACCTCGGTAGCTTCTGCTAGTGATACAAAGCTTAGCCTAGCTCAGGCTACACATAGAGAATCCTTCTCACCAACTGTGACTCAAATTCCAAGTTAAATAGTCATCTCTTTAACACTTCGACCTTATCAATTACATAAAGTCTTCCTGTCCTGATACTATAATACATATCATACCTAAATCCCCTATTAGCGATCATGACAACTGAAGAGCAGCCCAAGATTAAGCTCTACTGGTGTGTTGTCTCAACATTCATGACAATCGCGAATCAGTTTGTTGCTAACAATTGATCAGGCTGGAGCAATCTCGCGCCCAGAATATCCTATGGCTTCTCGAGGAACTCAATGTGACTTACGAAATTGAAACATTCCATCGGGTGAACAGATTTGCTCCTCCCGAATTGAAGAAGATTCATCCGTTGGGCAAGTCACCCACAGTTACGATTACCCCTACGGGTTCTACGGACTCAGTCGTGCTGGCCGAAAGCGGGTTCATTGCTCAATATTTGAGTGAACATTTCAGTCAAGGAACCACCATGATGCCCAAACGCTGGAAGGACGGCCAAGAGGGCAAGGCTGGTGGTGAGACAGAGCAATGGCTCCGGTGGCAGTATTACCTTCATTACGCCGAGGGATCTTTAATGCCGATGCTCTTCCTATCAATGGTCCTAGGAGCGCTGAAGAGTACCCAAATTCCCTTCTTCATCCGCCCTATTACATCCATGGTCGCCAATCAGATTTTCAAAGGTCTTATCTTTCCTAATGTAAAGGCGCAATTGGAATTCCTTGAGCAGCAGCTAAATACTTCCGGAGGCGATTACCTATGTGGACCGGAGCTCACGGCTGCGGATGTGTTACTCAGTTTCGCATTGATTTCGGCGAAAGATAAATTCGAGACTTTCGGGTCATGGGAGGCTGGGGGTCCTAAAGCATTATTCCCCAAGTTCTTTGCATACATCGACAGGCTAGAGAATCATCCCGGTTATCTGAGATCGGTTGAGAAGGTTAAAGAAATTGATTCGACTCTGGGTATCAGATTTGAGACATAATCAAATGTGGAGGGTGTTCATTAAAATTCGCATTCGTTCCTAAGGGTTGCGATGATGCGAATTTTGTACGACGTATTCAATCCCGAGGTGCAAACGACATTTCTGATTGGCTGAAAACGAAAAAATTCACAATTTGGGGCGGGAGCTGAGAATGTACATCTGCAGTAGCGGTCAACCTAACAAACCTGCAATAATAAGAAGTGATTTCGTCAGTGTGCATAAAGCGACCAATAATCGTTGGAGAAAATAAGCCAATCCATTTCCGTAGTTCCCAAGGCGGCTGTGTGTCTTAGGACCCCCAATCCCGCAGATCGTCGTAGTGTGTTTATCCTTTTTCGCAAAAAGACATTTAAGATCACGATCATTGTTAGAGGATAATTAATACGAAAATTATACGAATAGCCTTAGCAAACATGTAACTGTATGCAAACTGTTGGCAGTTACAGTTTCTAGGCTGCTATCTTTTCATGTTGCTCTGTAAGCTTACACCGCCACCCGATTCGCTGGTTGGGTTTCCCTTTTTATCATTAGATGTAAGTGTTTATTGAAACATCAATGGTTGGCGATAAAGCTGAGCTTACCCACTACTTCCTTCGACGAAGCAATTTACAGGGGAACTGCGCCCAAATAATACCGAAAAAAAAAACCCAAGTTGGGGAAAAAGAAACATGGCAACATGGGGCTTTTAGTTCAGGCGGAAATAACCTTAGATCCTTTTCGAATGGGAGAGTACGTGTCATAGGGTAGAGGGGAGTTCTTACCTGGTTATACATGATTGATACGTGGTTACGCCTTGCTAGCGGGCATAGCGGCAGGAACAATCCCCATGTGAATACCTAACTTATTATTACTAAGGTTTGTTAAATTTGCTTAGGTCCAGACTCAATTAGACCCCGGTTTCTTATCAAATCATTCATTTTTATTTTTTATTTTTCTATTCCCTTGATTCACTTTTACAACCCCATTGTCTAGCCCAACCGGAAGGTATCTGGTGATAAAGCAGATGTCGGCCCCGTCAATCCCGACAAAGACCCAATACCGACCCGTCAACCTCTCCATCTTCGAATAGGCGTTGATGATTCGCATATAATAAATAGCAAACCCGCTCGACCCAAACTAGCGTGGACTACCAATACTCTCCGTTGCTATTTCCCCGAGTCACGAGCTTAACTTTTTAGATAAAATAATTCCCCTTCGCTTGAAAGCGCTATTAGTCGCCTCCCCGGTGCTTCCGGCCATGCGACCTTATCTGCTCGGTGGTTTATGATTTCTACCAAATGTTCAGTCGGAAGTTTTTTATTCACAATATCAGAACGGATGATTCAGATAGATCCATAAAGCCCAATTGGCAATGACATCGGCTGAATTGGGCAGTATGGCGACTACACCTCCACACCAGCCCCGGGACTCATCTCTGCTAGGTGTACGGGACCCACCTAGCCTAGTAGTTTCTGATGGAGAGGCGTCACCGACGTCTGATGGTGCAGCAGATGAAGAGCCGCTGTATATTGATCAGGATGACGCCCAATCTATTATCCAGCCGGCCTTGAGCCCCGCGGCCACGAGGCTCACGTTGCCGAAGACTCCTGCAGCCGAGAAGGCCGCAGCCTTGGAACGTCTACCCGGCGGTGGTCTATTCAGCGTTATTGAAGGAAGTGTAACTCCTGAAGCCGAGCCTTCGCCGTTACTAGGACCCTCTAAACCAACGGTGAATCAGCCGGCCACAGTCACGACCAAAGCTCCAACACGCCAAAACAGGGGCCTTTCTCTAGGCCAACTCCCATCGAGTTCTTCACCAATGTATAGATTTCCCTCACCATGGCAATCTGGTCCGAAGCAGATGGTGGTGCAAAACGAGGCTGGTCCAAAACCTGCCTTATCAAATGTGTTTGGTCAAAATAGACACCGTCGATCTTCATCCGGAGGAGCTGATGCTTTGAAGAGGATACGAGAAGCTTTACCTTCTATGCCCTCTATGCCTTCTATCTCGTTTCAGTCGTTCTTCTCGGGACCTTCCTCGTCCAAAAGCATAGGGCCTGATCCGAAAAGAGCTTTTCTTTCTCCCGACAGCGCAGCTGGGAATAATCATTATGCGGCTTCCCTCACCGAAGCATCGACTCTGACCCCCAGAAGTACAGCGCCACCGTCCAATAGGCAATCGCTGATGGCTTTATCTCTTCGTAGTGCTGAGGGCCCTGCTTTGTCTCGACCACCAAATCGACCGCGAGCAATGCGGAGGTCAACCTCCGATGAATCTATGCTTTATCATTCACTATCTAGGGTATCATCTTTCGGTGATGACGAAAGATGGGGCGACGTTCGGGAGCAAAAGAACAGCAGACTTAAGGCTATCACAGATAGCTGGGATAGACCGACATTCAAATTACCCCAGCTACCTCAACTACCAAACATCATACCGGCTCCTCTCAAGAAGAACTCATTACTAGGATTTGACCAGTCCGAGTCTTCTCTGCCTGGTGCAATGCGTAGTTCGACTTTCCTTGAAACCAGCCCATCGATTTTCCGAGATGACAATGCATCAGACTTGGATCGCGCTCTGGAACTACTTACAGGTGATATCGTGATTATGGGCGGATACCGAGGTTCTGTGCTAAGGTCTACAAGAACTAACCGCCAAGTTTGGGTACCAGTGAAGCTTGGGTTAAACATCCGAAAAGTAAATCTAGAAGTCGGCTTAGATCCTGAAGACGAAGAAAGGATGGAAGAGAGCATCTATGCATCCGGTATGCTCAAGAATATTGGACCGGTTGATATATCGAAGCGACTATTTAAAAGGCTAAGAGAATGCGAAAATGCTAAGGCGGGAAAACTTAGAGTATGGGATTACGGCTACGACTGGAGATTAAGTCCTCACTTGCTCTCACGGAAATTGACCGCCTTCCTCGAACAACTACCGTCGAATCAGGGAGTGGGCTCACCTGAAGACAAAGGAGCGCTTGTCGTTGCGCATAGTCTAGGAGGTCTTATTACACGTCATGCCGTAAATCAGCGTCCTGAGCTATTCTCGGGCGTGATTTACGCTGGTACACCACAGCGATGTATAAATATACTGGGACCGATCCGAAATGGAGACGCTGTACTCTTCAATGAGAAGGTTCTTACGGCACAAGTCAATTTCTCGTTAAGGACAACCTTCGTATTCCTACCAGAAGATGGTTTCTGTTTCATAAATAAAAACACCGGGGAGCAATATCCGGTCGATTTCTTCGACCCACAGCAATGGGTGAAATATGCCTGGAGTCCATTAATTGAGCCAGCGTTACCCGCCTACAGATCTCGTTCAAGCACATTTAGTTCATTACGGGAACTATCCGAGAGACTACCCACACCTTTAAGGAGCCGGGGGAATAGTGCGGCGAGCGAATCCCGGTCACCAACATGTAATCTCATTGCTGATGCGGCGCGAAAGGCGGAGGTCTCTAACGACAGGACATTAGCTCCACAGATGGGGACTCTACAGGGGGACTCAGGCGCAAGCGCTCAGCGCCAACATCTAGATCAGGACGCGGTAACACGCAGTCGTAATTTCACATACCTAAAGCGGACTTTAGCTGAGGTCAAGCAGTTCCGACTGGAGACAAAGCATCGGCCAGAGCATACAGAGTCGAATGCCTATCCGCCGCTGGCAGTGATTTACGGCAAGGAGGTGCCGACAGTGTGGGCAGCACACGTCCAATCACGGGAGGCGATCGCGTGCGCAGACGCGTACGATGAGCTCCTATTCCGCAGTGGCGATGGTGTCGTACTAGCCCGCGAGGCCATGTTACCCGAAGGATATGAGCTTGTGCGGGACGGTCGCATCAGCACTGACCGCGGTCACATCACGATCCTAGGCGATCTGGAGGCTGTCGGAAGGGCACTGGTGGCGGTAGTAAGGGGACGGAAGAAGGGAATCGGGCTTGGGATAAAGGGGGAAGATTTCACATCCCAGACAAGTGAATAGATTGGTTTCACGAGTTTAGATTGTCGAGAAAGGATACACGGGCAACCGGCAAAGAGATATAGATAAGGCAACAAGGCGGACTGGGTTTGTTTTAGAGCCGGGAGTTTTCGAGTGGATATTCCCTTTTGGACAACCGAGGCCTTCATATGGGCCATAGAATTCGAGGCATTTACATAGCATTACATGTTGTTACTATCATCGATGGCGAAAGGGGGGTTAACAGTACTAGTAGCTTTGTTCCAGCTCACGAAATAAAGCAGCGAGAGTTGAGTTAGATTCAGCCATGGACTATGTGTAACTCTATGAAAGGAAAGCATCGATATGATACAGGCGGTTGGCAGCTTATTCATATCCCTATAGACGTAAAGATCAACTCTTATCGCATGATCGGATATTGAATGAGGCTAATAAATATATTGGTGCTACGAAACTCGTATATTCCCTATCATGGCCCATGCCTAAGGTAATCTACCGTTAATAATGTCTACCTAGGTATTCGTATGCTACAGTGGAAATAGTCGCGTTTTTGTGTTTCCGATACATATGTTGCACGGGCTCGTATCCGTTGAGACTCGTGATCGCGTGGCCGCTTGGATATGTGGCACAAGCCTAAGATGGAGAGGATTTAGGTGAGACATATTCTATGTATCAATATCTTCCGTCGGTACCTAGTTAAACTAGGTAAGTCTTCCGTATAGCCAAGATAACAGCAGCCGGCGGCAATACCCGTTGGGATTTTGTCCAACTCGAACACAGACCTTCAACATATACTCCGGCTTGAGTCAAGCTAGACGAGATTTGGGATGGCAACACACGATCAAAGGAAACTGGTACCGAGCAATCGTCATCTCTCCTCTGCTACAGTAGTAAGCCGAGTTTCATCATAATGTAAATGAACCAGCATTAGCATAACTTCCGAAATCAACACCATTATCTTGTCCTGTGCGGCATAAATAAACATATTACCCTGCAGCCTCGTGGCGCTGCCTAGCTAATACTTTTTTTTTTTGCTCCGATCGCACGTACCACACATAATCCTTAACTTTTTCTCCCACAGGGATGTCAAAGGGGATTCGTGTTATGTGTCTCAAAACTTTTTCGGCACTCGATGAGTATGGGTGACTAAACATCCTTTGCGGAGACGAAAGCTCGCGGAGTAAGACGCCACCGCAGATACCTACCTACTTGCACTTCCTGCACTTGGAGGATTTCCCTGCGCGTACCGGACAGATGGGTTACGCTCGCTTCATCTGCAGTGCTTCTCAGCTGAAGAGATGGGATCCCCTTGCCTTGGCCCTTCTAGAAGCATGGCCATGAATAATATCAATTGGATCGCATGGTATCCCTAATATCTAAACGTTAATTTAGCCGACGAGAAGAGTCCTGCGGTAGATATATATATCTTTTTAATGTCGTGGATGGGTATGAGTAGCGCCTATGAAAGGGTATCTCCACCTGAAAACCTCCACTTCAGGGCTCGTAAGCGCGGTATGTACTTTTTCGGGTAGGCATATGTATGGCGTAACTCCTTGTGTTTTAGACCCCAGGTTACAGGCTATGTGGCGGCGCGGATTATCTTCCCTTGCTGATGAGTGACGACAGCATGTGATATCGATGTGAAGGGAGTGGTCTCCTGAAGCACCAACACGATTCCTGTGACCTGTTTATATAAACGGAAGGATGGGGTATGGGTACCTACCTCGAGGACAAAGCAACCTACAACTGCTGAATATTCTATTTCTGACTTCTTTTTTTTTCGTTGCCGCGCGGCAAATTGCAAAGGGAACTATACCTCATGGAGTAGTGTAAAAATAATAATGATAAAAATATACCTGTATATATTGCCCGGACCATCTAGCCTTCTAGGCCAAACCCACCTGACTACCTCATATATAGATACATTAACCTATAGTTGCAACAGATCATGAATAGGTATGTATTTCGTAATGCGGGATGGCCCTTAATAGAGCGCCTCCACGGAGCTTTCATGCTTCTTCCCCCAGGTTAACTGATCGGGGAACGAGATCTTGCTACAACGCTTTGATTTTTAATTTGAAGGGGGAATGCATACTTATCACAATTCCCCTTTCATAAAATCAATATACGACATCGCATTACTACCTGCTTCCAATAGCGCCTCGGTGATAAGATCTTACCTACAGATTTTCGAAATCTGAGACATCTACTTTCGTCGGACTTTGGGGAGGATTAATAGATTAATAAGAAATAAAACAAAATGAAAAGGGAAAAAAAAGGAAAGCAAGAAAGAAAGAAAAGTCACTGGGCAAGGTTCATTGGACACGAGCCAAGGGTTCGCGTTTCAACTTTGTAAAGGCGCTTACAAACCTGAAGCTGTGCTGCGCCCAACCAGCCATCGGCAATTCATTGCTTCGTCCTTTCATATCCCTTCATAAAAAACCCACACACGTGGTATGTGTGAGAGAGGCGCAAATCTTGCTCTTCCTCATTTCCAATGTTGTCATCCGGTCTGGGCTTTTTGGGGCTTACGATGTCATTGATGATGATGAATGCTGATGATCGGTTTATTGGAGAAGTTCCAACAGGCCTATCCTATGTAGTAAAGTAAGTGACTGTACATACATGGCTCCGTACTTGGTAGACGCAGGGGTTTTTTACGCCTTATGTATTGCGCTATGCTGTGAACATAAATCACGATTCACAAGGCGATCAACAGGGGATTTCAGACAAGACCGCCCCTCGGCCCCCCCAGACAACAACGTGTACGATGGATCTACACTTGCTCGATACGAAGACCTTCCTCTGCGTAGATACCCATGACGGCGATCGACTTATCCTAGTAGACTTCCAATCATAAAATAATATACATAAGAAAAAAGGATATAGGTATATGCTCACGGACCATTGGTTTTACTTCTACTATGTAAGAAACGTGACGCTCCTCGGCAGACGGCATTCCAAGCCGCAATCCCGTTGTCGATTCCTGTATTCCTTTGAAATCGGAGACTTCAACTGAAACAGATGACAAGAGCGGTGGTGTATAATAGAATTTGAATACCTATAACTGAATAACAGTACTACCTTCATACCCAAACCATCATTTTGATATTTGACACAGTTAACTAACTACTTAGTATGGACAGTTGAAGGAGTTTAATTGAAGGTATCGAAGAAAGAAAAAGGGGTTACTTGTTCTGGAATTCTATTCAATTTTTAAATTTTCTTTTTTACTTTCTTCTAATGTACAATACCGCATATGCAGGTGGAAGCGCTAAGGCAGGAGGAAAGCTTCCAAACGGACGGTGCCCATTTCGGTTAAGTCTCTAGGTAGAGAAGAAAAAAAAGGTTCGAGGCAATCCAAAGAATCCAAATCTTCATCCGATCTACCGGAGCAAAGAAAATTAAGATAAAAAAGGGCAATTTACCTACCTGATGCGGCGAAGGAGCCCTGACCGGATGACCAAAAAAAGAAACCTAAGACCTTGTATTAGTATAGTGTTGAAGGAACCCCGACCAACACAACAGCACAATTACATGGTATCGTAGCTTCACCTGAATTCACCTGAAAATCGACGTTGCACTCGTATAAGACAGGTGGACCACGCGGCAACTTTTTGGACGAGTGGATGTGGCCGGGATAAGCCAGGCCGCTAGGATAGGGAAGGGGACAAGTACGCTAGAGGTATGATGATGGGGGAGGGAGGGATCTTAATTGGGCACGGTCACATTCCCACGATCCCCTTCTACATATTACATAGTGTATTAGCAGCACGACTTTACTTGTTTTTTTTACTCTTTTACCACCCCTACACTACCAGGAACTACAACTACTAATCTGCTAACGTACATGCTAATGTACTAATGACATTTCTTCGGCGACTTGTGTTACATGATTGGGCGAATGATATTGCTGAACCCGTCCGAACCGAGGTTTGATCCAGCATCTCATATTTTCAATAGTCTGTGTAAATCTACAGGGTCCGGACTAATTAGTTTCATTTTCGCCAGCTGCTTCCTCGGAATATATGGAATATAGCTAGCCAATTACTTTATTACTTTATTACTACTGCAGATAATGGGACGACGGATGGTGTTAAGTACCTACCTACCTAGTAACTAGTATAAATTCTAGAATATCTCCTCATCGCTACATCGTCATCTTCCAAGTGGCGAGGGGGGGGGTTTAAAAAAGAGGACGAAAAAATAACCCCTGGGGATTCAAAAAGGCTTAGATGGGTTTGGCTAAGCATCAATGTAAAACAATCTACGGAGGCAGAGCAACGGGGGCCCCATTCCTTGGCTCATCCAATACCCCATCCAGAAAGGAAACTGTTCCACAAGGCTTCTCTTTTCTTCACCGTTCACACATCACACGAGAGGAATAATAAGATATGATACATACAATTATACAATTAGAATTGGCTTTTCGTTACATATGTACCCACAGACTGCCGTCGCCGACTAGGCTTAGTGTGATGTATGTATGCACGGAGTTATGTACTCCAAGTTGAATATGCTTTTTTTCTTATCCTCTTTTCTTTTTTACTATATTCCTTACTTTCCTGCAGATAGATAGATATACTAGTTTATTGTGGCGCGAGCTCATGTGGGTTAGAAAGGAATAGGAATAGGAGACAAGACAAGACAAGACAAGATAGAAAATCCCACTTGGTTTGGTTTCACCATGCGACGAGTCTTATGTAGATACGTAGCTACTTGGAAGTATATAAGTGGATACATATATGTATACATCGTGACCATTATTATTGTTTCTTGTCTATAGGTATAGGTATGACTATATGCTATACGTGTATAGATCGAGTTGTCTAGTTGTATACCATTATAATTGAAATATGACTTGCATAGATATCGGGGTTAAGTGGCATTTCAGCTAAGCAAAAAAACCCAAGTTGAAGAAAAAGGGTCCATCCCATGAATTCGATAGTATGTATCTTGAAATCCATCCGTGCTCTAACGGAGTAATCGGAACCAATTGAATATTGTCTTCTTTTTCTTTTTTTGCCTCTCTTGTTTCTTCGTCAAACAGGGGTCGAGTCCTTCCCCAAAACGAATAAGACGAAAAGACGAAAAGGCAAAAGAAAAAAAAAGGTTCTTTCTTGTTCGAAACCCACACTTCTCTCACACGTAACTGTATCATTCGTTATTCCGTCTCCCCTTTCATAAATCGCGATTCGGAGGGATTTGAATCTCTAGTGTCTACCTGGCACACTAGCGTCTTAGGCCGCGTCTGGGCCTGTGCTGTACCTGTAGCATTAGCTCAAGCACGCTAACGACTCAGGGTACCCAATCAGGTAAGTACAGGGCTATGTACCATCGTACCTCGTAGTATATTCCCATGTTACGAAGTGCTGAATGTACCCAGTATGGCCCTTTCCCCATGCCCTTCCCATGCCTTCCCGGCCCTTCCTGTCCTGTCCCTGAAGGAAACCGCTAATAACATGGGAGGTCGACCCATCAGCGCTGCCCCTCTTTCCGCCTCGAGAAACACCTTTTTTCTACCCTTTCCCTCCCTTCGACCTAAGTAAGCTAGCACCTTACATACCTTACATACCTTAATCCTTCCTATCCATACTCCTTCCTGCACCTCCGTCTTCTTGCAAGAGTTCCTTTCGCTACATCTTTTTTTTCTCTTCCCTCTCCTCGCTATAATCCGTTTGTTTCCTTTTCCCCCATTTCCTCTTGTTTTAATTCTCCCGGGGGAAAATCCATTTCGGTGCGGTTCATACGTATATACCACCTACTACTTATCTACTGCTATCTGCCCAAGTATTGTGTGCTAGTTAGTTACGTTTTTCGAGTTTTCCGAATCTCCAATTCCCACAAGCCACAATTTTTTGGCAGTTGTCCATACCAATACCATAGTAATACATCCCCCCCGAAACTCCCATCGACCGGACAGACAGACGTCCCATTCCCCGAAGCGACTCGCCCATTTTGTGTGACGAGTCCCACGCAGCGCGACGAATTTTGAATTATCGCCAATTACTTGTTCAACTTAGTGTGGTAGTAGTATTCAAAAGAGGAGGGTAGGAAAGAAAAGTTAGCCTTCATTAATCCTAACCGACCTGAGAAAAAAAAAGCATATCAAACCAAAGAGAGAAGGACAATTCGTAGAAATACAAGTCCATTCGCAAGAAAAGAGAAAACACAACGGACAAAGGAGGGGAAAAAAATCAAAACCATCGGATCCGATCTTCAGGGCCATCCCTCGAACCGACAATCGAAATTCGATCCCATCCGACTACCTGGCTCACCGGTATCCATTCCGTCCCGTGGCCAAGTTAGTTGCAGTCGGCCACCACCCACCCACCAATATTGACTCTCTCGGCACCACATTGCATTTGATCCGTCCGGTCCAAGGCCCGAAACATTCAAGCGCAGTACAGTGAGAAAAAAACAAGAACTGATTGCCTGCTTATTCGGAACTGACGCGCGCCGCCTATTTGATCCATCGCACTATTCGTGATTGGCAAGCTAAGGTAGTTCATCAGAGGAGTTAATAGGTTAAATCGATCGATCAAATCGATCATTGGCGCGTTTGGAACACCCTACCAATACGGAGTCGGGCAGATTGAGAACAGGGAAAGTCTCATTATTGGCCAAAAGGCAACTCGCACAATAATCGGGGCCCAACATCAATATTTCTGCAACCCAGACCTGCAAAGTACAGGTGTGAAAGGGGGGGCTTCAAGTGCGCCTCATTTCTTCGTCAATCAATTTTACTGACGTCTGGAGCGTCTTGTCAGTCCCATCGCTGCAACGCTTCAGAGCCTGTGCGCCCATTTTTTTCTTCTTACTGCTGCCAACTCCCGCGTGGCGCATCACCCATTTCAGCCGGGAATAAAAATAAGAGAGGATCAGCAAACAAGGGAGGCAAGAAAAAAAAACTCAATTACAAACTCACATCGTCGTACCTGGAATTACCACATCAAGCAAAAAGCTTGATCCCCTTGGTACATCATGAGCGCAGCGATCGCCATGGCCCCTTCGCCGGCTCCCCATGACAGACCGGCCTACGCTGAGTTGGCACCTGCTACTAGTTCAGCGACTGTAGCTGCTGTAACTGGAACTGCCGCTGCGCCGGTGGCTTCACCCTCCGTCCCACGTACTTCAGCTGCGGTTTCGGGCACCCCGAACAATGTTCCTGTCTCTGCGACGCAACGTCCTACCAGCCGAAGTCCCACCAGATCGGCTGCCCAGCCCGCGGCAAAGTCTTCACCCCCAAGCGCGTAAGTTTATTAGTTATTTTTTTTTTCTCTTAGCCTCATCTGATCCTTCAATCCATCATTAAAAAAATATTTGTACCCGTAAAAAGATTACTATTCCCTTGTGTTGCCATTCGGTCGGGTCTCAATTCAGTGGCTAATTGTCTCGTGGGGATTACAGATCGCGAAACGTTTCTAACGCTTCCGCACCTAAGATTATTGTAAAGAAGGAACCCGGATCTCCAGATATACCTTCTACTCGTCACCGCCCGCGAAAGTTAGACCTTTCCAGAAATACTCTCACTGGCTCAGGTGCCGCGACGGCACGCCCGGCATTGGGAAGGGAAGGACTCGGCATCCAAGAAGTCGGTATCGCGTGTTTGTCCCCCGGTTTCGTTACGCAAGATCCAGTAATGAAAGAACATCTACAACAGAGCATGAATGTTAGGGAACAACAACGCCGTATCATTGAGGCTAGATTACAACAGCAATCAGCAAAGGGGGACGGACCCGACGGCAAGGATAAGGACCCTATTAGCCAATTCGCCGCGAAGACCCCAGGAATGTCTCGACGAAATAAGGCCCCTCCGGGTTTAAGCATTGTAGCGCCCTCCCACGAACAATTCGCCAATGAGCGAGTAATCCAATCTGCGCCTCTGGGCCAAACCTTTACTGGTCGCCACAACCCGCAGCCTCTAACACGGCATCTTGCCAACCAGCCATCAAACTTGTCCAGCACATCTCACATTCACCATGTTCCCGCAAACCAAACAGCCAATCGTTTGCCCCCGATATCAGATGTATTCGGTGGTCAAGGGCTTCCATCACACGCCGAAACAAGCAGTCGCGCCCTATATCCCGGCTCAAGTCACGGGCCATTAGCATCGCCTGGTCACCCTCCACCACCCTCGCAGCCTCCTATGTCAGGTCGGACTCGAGAGTATAAGTCAGCAGAGGAAGCTCAGCACGAACTATCTGGCGGTCGACCAGAATTATTACCCAAGCTTGTTCATTACACAGGACACCAGCCTCCGACGCCGCCATCGCCCCGAAATGGAATCAACCCCTTAGATGCTAGCCGAGGTACGAGCAAGCGAAGAACTCGTGCCGAGTATGAGGAAGGTAGCAGTCCTCCGCTAGGCCACGGGCCTTCTGCGACTCGAAGAGGACCATTCGGAGCCGGGCGGGATAGCCCCGAGACCCAGCGACAGAAGCGCGAGGAATTCTTAAGGTTGTGCGAGAGAGCCTGGGATCTATTCCACTCATGAACACGCTGAGACGATCCTACCACGGCGGATCGAATTGATATTTCTTGTAACCTCATGACTTTACGCCACGGTACGAAACATACGGCCTTGTTCCCGTGTACATGCTCCGAGAAGGATCTTTTGGGGGAGGCGGATATGCTTGTTTTTGCTGGCGGGTTATGTCCGAACTTGACGAGACGGCCTAGGCTCGCTATTTATGTTACGCATATGATCCCTATCTCCCCGGGATATGGGCACGGGTTGGAGGAATATAATGTCTTAGTACTAACGTCATTCCGAGATGGCGGCGCTAGACATAAAAGTCGTAACGGATATCCTCAACGTTGATAGACGCGGGATTTCGGAACGGCTGTGTCAGCTCCATCTTTCGGGATGTCGATACCTACCCGCTAAACATGGTTTGTGTTAGCGGGTGAGCATAGATGTTGGGGATGTTTCCTTTGTTTATTTCAGGGGAGGCCAATATCATCTTTCGTCTCTTTGGAAGGGAGAGGGAAGGTGCGGTGGATCAGTTTTCTATTTTGCTTTTTTCTCCAATGTCGTTCTTGATTTTCTTGATGCGGAGGAGGGAAGGAAAGGGAAAGAGACGAATTATGACGGATGTGTGGGTTTATGGGTTCTAAACAACTGCAACAACATCTGTCGAGGTATGGGTAAACAACACAGATGGGATGGAAAGAGAGTAAAGGGGGAGCCCTACGACAGATATAAGAGGCAGGCCGAGTTGAAGGAAGGGGGGAATGGGAAGTAAACGTGTATTTATTCTAGGTGTGGCTGTGCATGCATGGGATGGGAGATGCTCATGCTGTTGGGTGTGTAGACAGTTGAATGGGTTGAGGGATGGTGGATGGGATGTGAATGAGTGGGAACCTGGCGTAAAACGCTGGTTCCGGTAAATACACACATAATATGGCTCTTTCCAACTTTATGCTACAAGTCTTGATGTGCTTTGTGATTGATCGACGTTGTGTGATGATATGGCTGTCTAGTGAAGGGCTTCTAGGCCATCACGGGGCCTTGGTGAGAATGTTACAAGGTAGAGCCAAGGTGACGATACAAAGAGGTGCCGAGACAAGTCTTACGACGGTATCATCCGGATTGTGTGACTTATGAGACGACTGTTCACCGACTTCTTGGGGGGAGGTTCTAGATGTCGTGCGGTGAACATATCTAATGCATAGGGACGGGTATTCGGCTGCTCGATAGAGCTTGGGCTAGGGGACTATGGGCAGGTGCGTCTGGTATGAAGTGCTTCACTCTTTTCTTATGCGTGTCAAGGCTCTTTGGGGGTTTGGTTGAGTGTTGGGATGGCTGTGCGTACCTTCTGGCTATCTAGACACACAGACATGGTGCCAACTATAATAACGCTGTGACTTAGTGTATCATGACTACCTTTTTTTATTAGGGTACGCTCGTATGCCGTATGAACAAGATGCTTAAGTGGATGTTGGGAGGAAAGCCCCCCAGAAGCGTTTGGCTAGGCACAACTCAACTCGTAGGTAGATCTGCAGATTAGAAGGAAATGGGCAAGAACGCAAAAATGGGAACGAGACTTTGAGTGTAGTCGTGACTTATCTTGACAAACTACCCTTTCGATAGAACTTAGTAATATACGTAAAACTTCCTAGGCTATACCTAGGTAATGTATAAGGCTAGCAACGCAAGCACATCGAAGAACAGACCTAAGAGAGTAGCCAGGCAAACATAGCCATACCATATTGTCATTCGTCGTTCTTTCTAATCTGCCGAAGACCTGACTAGATGGACGACCTTCTGAGGATATGTGTATATAGATACATGTAAATGTACACATATGATACCAATAGCAACTACCCTCATCTATCACCTACCTAAGTATACATGTAAAAATGTTGACTCCAAGGTCTGATCGTCATATAAAAGACCCCGTAGCAACACGCCCATATGCCTACTGCGGTACTTTTATTTACTCAAACTAGAGTCAGATATAAGTCGCCTCACCACTTGGCATCAAACTTAGATCTCGCCAAGTTCGCCTAATCGGCTTGGTATGCATCACGAAGTACTTACATTCGTAAGTGCACACGGTAGTTAGGCAACTAACCTGACTAGCAGCCAAGTCCCAAGAAATCCAATATGCTTGGCTTTACAGAACAGGACAAAACAGACGTTAAGGGTGAAAATGTGTTGTTATTCTGGAGGCATTACTGGTCTATTTCTAAGGCCTTGAACGACTATCCCACTATGATCATTCATATGCCCGGTAAACGCCAACAGGACCTGACGACCTCGTCAAGGTCACTCTGTATATGGACTTATACCACCTTAAAACAGGGCAGCTCCAAAAGTCGGAGGGCCTTCCCGAATGAACAGAACAAAAAAACCAGAATTCTTGGTTATTTTCACAGATCCACCCTTTGATCAGACATTTGTCGACTGAACGAGTGGACCGAACCAAGGAGTCCCCAGCCGCCTAGTCCCTTTTCCCTTTTTAAAAATCTGCAGCTGTTTCAGGAGAATGCGAGTATGCTTCTATTCTGATACATGAATACAAGAGCAACCTCCCCATTGGTGCTCGCTCGCAGTGCGCATGGCGCATCTAATCACCTATCCTGTGCTGATGCGCTGCGCGGTGGAAACCTAGTGCCGTGACCCAAAGTGTCGAGACTAAAATGTATAATGCTGAATACGAACGGAAGAATAGAATTTGGAAGGACAATGCAAGAAACCGTATTTTCACCAGAACTCCATGCGAAACGACAATTGGGTCATGAGCGGGGTTGTGATTACAACCCAGGCTTGTGGTTGAATTACTTGTGATCTTCGTCGATAAGGTTGCGAAGATCGTTAAAAGTCGTCATCTCGGTTGACGATTATGATACCAAAGGGACAGGAAAGGAACAATCCGGTATTGAATTGGATCATGGCAATGCCAATCCCCGAGTAAATATTTGTCGCGAGGGGGGTGTCATTTAAAGGCCTTCTTCGCCGGCCTTACACAGTTTGATCTCGCGACCCCATTCGGACTTTAGGACTTGTGATGCTGTGATACGTCGCGTAGGGTTGGGGTCCAATATGGAGTAGATGACGTTACGACAGCGAGCCTATATCATTCGTTAGTATCATTCAAGGAATCTTGAGTCGTAAAGTTATTGGAGAGAACTTACACGGTGTAATGACTCAATTGGGCCGTATCCTTCTTCATCACGACGACCCTCAAGATAGCGTTCGTAGAATTCGTCCTCGTCCTTTTTGGCGACTCTCCAAAGATGCCTTCCGGTTCGCATGGCCATATATATGACACCACACGCCCAGACGTCGACAGCACGAGCATCGAACTCCTTATCTATGTATTCTTCAGGAGCAATATAAGGCGCCGAACCGCAGAGACCAGACACCATGTGGGCATCATTTTCCCACGCCATTCTGAAGCACTCGCCGTTGCCGAAATCCGTAATTTTCAAGGCACCATGGCTGGTCAGAAGTAAGTTTTCTGGTTTTAAATCGCGATGCGCTACTCCCATTTCGTGTAGATATTCGACGCCGCGCATCATCTGCTTAAAGTAGCAGTCGGCTTCTGCGACTTCTAATTTGCCGGCGGCTAGGACAAGGGTGTATAGGTCGCCGCCGGAGCAATACTCCATGACCTCACAGTAGTCTCCTTTCTGATCTTTAAGCAGATCTAGCGTATGTATTATATTCGGGTGGCGTAAAGAAGACGAAATGCAGAACTCTGCGGTTAAACGCTTGCTGTACTTCTTCTCAGTCTCTTCGGGTCGTCGACGGAATTCTTTAACGGCGAAGAGCTTCTCTCCGTTCTCGATCTTTTTATGCGATATCCTTACAATTCCAAAGGCACCACGGCCAACCACCTCTTGACATTTGCCATACTTTTCGACGAGGGTAATGCTCTGGTTGGGCCCTCCCCTCTTGTCACCAGCTAGTGACTCCTTCTCTTGCTTCAGCGTGTCTACCCAACTCGAAACCAAGGACAGGTCGGCTTCTGGTTGTTGATCTTGCTTCCTTCCAAGGAGTGTCTTCCACATGTCAGACAACTTTTCTTGTCGCTTGCTTCCCTTGAGGTGATGCTCGTGACCACCAGGAACTTCTGAGTTTACGACGAATCGCTGATGATGCGCTGGTTTAGATACGTTCGGCGCTTCGGCTGAGGATGGCTTGCGGGCCAAGGCACTCGGCTTTGCGGGTGCATTATTAACACCAATTTGGCTCGGGGATGGGCTCGGGGCTGCGCGCTTCGAAGGTTGGGAAATATCAACAAGGCCGGATCTAGGGAGGTCGTCTTTATTGGAGAACATTCGGGTTAAGCGATCCTTGATGGAGGCCTTTTCGGGTTGCCTCGGCTGACCCTCGGCATGGGGGTTATCGTTTATAGATTGACCATTTTGCGGTCGTAACTTGGGTGATCTCGTAGAAAGCTCGACCGATTTGATGGAGGATTGTTTGGAGGCGCTGGGCGAAACCGTCTTTTCCGAAGCGCTCGACATTTCTGAAAGTGGTGATGTAAACGACTAATACCGAGTGAAAGTGTAGGATCGTTATTCAAGTCTGAAATAGGTAAAAGGTCACTTGGCGACGGAGTGGACCAGCGGGGAGTAGGAAGGGTTAGTTCGGCGAATCGAGAAAGTGATTCGGCGGGTTGAGGTCGCCTGGGGTGGGCTACGCCCAAGTGTTGGCGACACTAATGACGGATTGCAAAACGGCGCGTTGACCGAGTCGAAGAGGTTTCGCAATAGGGAAATGAGAGTAGAAAGAAATTAATTAGAGGCGGGAGGTAGGGGGAATTTGTAGTTTCCCGGTGACAAGCAAGTTAATAATCAAAAAGTAGGGCAAGAGTGTGGGGAGGCGAACTGAGCTACTAAGATAGTAGTCTAGTAGTCTAGCTCTAGACTCTGGCGAGTTTAGGTCGTCCAAACTATCAAAAAAAAAAAGGTTTATTTATTTCTCTCTCCCTCTGTATCTCTCTGTCTTTGCGTCTGCGGTTTTGACCTTGGGAGATATGCCCGGTACCTGAATAATATTTGTTTCTTGTATAATTTTTCCTTTTCTTCTTTTTTTTCTCCAATTAAAAATAAAAATTAGAGGAAAGTTTAAAAATGACAAGAGAAGAAAAAAAAATCAGGAAATCGTCCAAGTGGATTTGGTTGTGTTTGTCTGTAGATTTCGTAATGTATGTGTCTGTGTATGTACTGTGTAGGTAGCTAGGACCACTGGTAACCTAGTTTGATTCTTACACCACTTCTAACAAGTAGTAAGTGAAGTAATGGTGATACTCTTTCCCTTTCAATAGTCAAAAGTTAAAAAAGGGTATTCTGGTGAGGTAGCAGCAGTTGTGTAGAGTTATAGAATAGTAATGTAGTAATAACCAGTTGAAAATAGGAGGCCGGCAACGAGCCGAGGTGAATGGACTTTGGTTGACTTTGGTTTGCTTTGGTTGGGGAGGGAGATAGAAAGCAAATCGGTAGGAACCTTTGGAAGGGTTCCAGCTAATGTTAGAGACGGCGCAGATAGTGGCTGACTAGACTTCGTTTCGAGGAAGTAAAGACGGTCATTGTCAGAAGCCAAAACCAAAGGGAAGGAGTGCGCGGAAAGAAGAGGAAGCAGCAATAGCCGTAGTAGCAGTGGCAGTAGCAGTAGCAACAAGTAGTCGTAACAACAGTAGAGGCAACGGCAGGAGCAGGAGTAGGGGAAGACGGAAGACGGAAGCAGCTAGAACTAAGATTCGTGGGAAGCCAGGTTGACTCGATCCAAAGTGGAGATAAGGCGGTACCGCGCAAATCAAACAGCTATGTTTAAATCAATTTCCGGGCTGGGCTATGATGAGTTTGAGTCGATTTGTTACTCGTATAAAGGGAAAAAAGGAGGGTCAGAAAAAAAAGTATTGGACGGGTCCCTCTGCGGTGTAGGTGATGTCAGGGTTTTTGTATTCCTCTCTGCGCGTCTGTGGCTTTCTAAACGTCTATATATCATTATGTACACATGTATGTACGTATATATATACGTATATATGTGTGTATGTACGGTGGGATTATGTTATGCAGGCAGAGCAACGAGGTAACTTTGTCTGCTGCGGCAGGGAAAAAAGGTGAAAAAAGGTTGATCATCCCGACTATCGAAAGAGAGCGATATAGCGTGGGATGCATATTAGCGTTTAAATGTGAGTGGGCCATGAGGCATGGGGGGAAAGAGCAAGACATAGAGAGAGGAATAATTCTCTACCGAATCATTATACGTCGTAATTAACGAACTAACCTACATGCATACCGCATGCCTACTAGTCAGCTAGTACCTACTTGGCTATAGCTATGGTCATCGTTACATGTTACTTGTTACTTTGAAGAAACCTTGAGACTAAGTACTTAAATAATGTGGTTAGACGCAGTAGCAGAAAGGCTAAGTTACGCAACTTATGTTGCACAATTAGGTATAGTTTATCCGAATTATGAATAGTAACAACTAAAAATTTAACATCGGTCATAGCTAAGGTAGGTAATGCCTGACAAATATTGTGGTGGCGGAAGGACACAGCGTACAGAAAAAGTTTGATTTTGATCTTTCCAAAGCACTGGCTCGGAACTTTACGTAAGGTGCCTAGGTAGTGAGGTAACCTTGGAAGGCAAAAGTTTAAAGAAATGAAGGACGGAGGGACGTACATAATGTACGAGCGGTCCAAGTGAAAGTCGCAACCATAAGTAAAGTTTTTTTTTTCCTACTGCTGCGAGTAACAAGACCTGCGGTAGTTGCAATTGGTGGGCTTTTAGTTCTCCAGTAGGCAATCGGTAATCTTGAAATACTTTCTTAGCTACATGATGTACCTAAACTATATGTACATGGTCATTATTATAGTGCATTAGGTGAGTGACACGAGCCATCTTTTTGGATGAATCGTCCACCTGCCCATCTACCACCCATCTAATTCTATCAGCCACTCATCATCCCACCATCCCTCACCCCCATTCCCATTCCCATTCCCACTCCCTACTTATGTATCGACACATAATACGGAATCGCCTAATTAACAACACTGCGTTGTGTTGTATTCAGATGCCACGAGGTCATCTAACTTACAAAGAGCCTCATGCTAGATTAACAACGATTTATTCCCGACTATCCTTTTGTTCCGATCTACCCATCTCCTGCATCTTTAATATCCTGCACCTTCGAGATCAGCCTTTAGAACTAATATTAGTATCATCCGTTCCCATCGTTTCATTTCTTGTTCGATAAAAAAGAACGTTGAGGCGTCCCGGCACATCTTTCTTGAAACCACTACCTATGGATATGGTCTCTTCTTATTCCGCGTATGACGAAAACTAGATGTCACAAGCCTCATCCTTCTTTTGCCTTTACTCAGCCCAGTTCAGGTGCTAAAAACTAGTGCGTATTGTTCTCACGTACGTCCAAGCACTCAGAACACTCAGAGCACTCCAACGTACGTGCCAATGTACTATATCTAACGTAACCTTACTGCTCAGTCACGGCGACAACTCAATTAGTCGTTAGAACTACTCATATATATATACATATGGCTTAGTCACCAGTACATATTCGTCCGGGTCATCAAAGGGGGCAGCCTCAATGATGGCACTAAACCCGCCTTAGAAGAACATTCATATTGTCTAACTTATTACAGCAACTTACATATTATAGATGAACTGCTTTCTAAAACGTTGCATGACAGATTACTGCTAACTATTGTTGAATGAGGCATTTCCAAGGTTCCCGCTTCAACTAAAAATAAAACCAAACATCTAACAAGATGGATACAAAGCACAACAGAATCTAGACCCTCATGCCTAGGTGCCTTAGTACCTGTCTAATTTACTCGGTTACCGCGCACCGAGAGCACATGCTGCAAGTCTTTGGTGATTATCCGTCACCTTGCGCTCGACGCCACTCTAAACGCACAACATAGCCAAATCGAACTGTGCTCACCGCTACAAATTGTCCACTATTTCTAACGTTCTACAGCCTGTCTTATCCCTTCTCCGTCAGATATCAGCTCCCGGCGAGTACAGGCAAGGAAAACACCGACATGCATCGATGATTTGGCAAAAAGGGAACCATATTTTACCTGTTGCTACTACTGTCGCTTACGGGGGTACCTTGAGCGTTCTCATTGTGGATAGCTGCAATGCCATCCTTGCTGCAGCTCGCCAGTCAAGACGGCCATAGCTTTTCATAGCTACCGCTGTAGCTACAGCTACGTGCATATCGAATTGAAGCACGAAAGCTCTTTTCATGCGGGCTGGAGCTGTTCCACTATGTGCCAAGCTTCCATCCAATTTTTTTCTTTCGATTTTTTATATGGTTTTATTACACCCAGGGAGGCCTCAGAACAGCCTCCACAACCAATTCATTCCTGCATCTCCGTCTGTACGACTACATAAAGGGGTAAGTGGCTTGTCCACCTCAAATCGGCTTGGGCGTGCCGGGAGCCTCCATATGTGTAATACGGGTGTCCCATAGGGCTACGGCTTGGCTATGAACCAGACGAGATCGCAATTGGACCCAGTAGTTTGGGAGGGGGGGTTGGTGATTTGTGACAGTACCTATCCGATCTGTCTTGGGGAAAACTTATACGATCTCCCAATGCGGTCTTAATTCGCTCAATTCATTTGATCCATTTGGCTGCGCATTAGCGAATCTGTGGCCGGGAAGCCAATTAACCTACGAGAAAGGTTCCGGATAGTCCAGATCAGCGCAATACCTGGCGATTGTCCCTCTGTCCGAATTATTCTTGTTCACCCGAAAGCCATTTACTTATTCGGCGACTGACGTCATGAGTCCCGTCTCTGGGCAAGCTTGTGATTGCGAGCTTGTCAGCTCCTACACAATTTGGATGTCATCTCCGACCAATGTTCTTCCCGCCCATCCTTGCGACTCAATGCATATAGCATTTGGGACATCTAACGTTTTCGGGGCTACGCATTATCTGATTATCCCAGCAGCAATGACTGGCCGTCCACGTCCCTGCCAAGTGGCCGTTCCTCCATCTGCAGATATGCTGCGCGTCCCGCATCCGCGCCTGTGCACCCGCAGCAAAAGAGCAAAAGTGACAACAAAATTGTCTGTACGCCATTAACAAACCCGGAGCGGACAGATATCAGCGCCAAGGGGTGTGGCCCATCATGCAATGAAGATCAACTACCCAGTATTTCGATAGCCACATGTCTCTCGATGTTTGCGCCGAACATCTTTGCCGCCTTGGACATCAACCGTTGTAGTTTAGTCTGTAAATGGGGGCCGTAAAACATCAAGTCTCCTTCGTTCCCTGACCCCAGCATCACCACCTGGGCACGAATCCCTCGGCAGCTTATTGACCTAATTGAGACCCTGCCTTCTCAGAAAGTGACGTTTCAAAAGACAGGCTGTGGTAGCATTTACTATCTAACCTACCTACGGTATACATCCCAACAAGCTTCTGCAAGTTGAACCTGGAGTTCTCCGAATTCGCATCTGTCGTCACACCGCTCGTGTCAGAGCAATACTTCAAGGTTCAACGAATACCCCTTTTTCTGTGTACGGCAAAGGGAAGAAGGTAACGCAGCGGAAGTAAACCACAAATTAGCCCGTCCCGCGAATAAATACAAAAATTGAGGATTCTAGGAGGTAATCTCCAATGTCAGCCCACCGAGGATACCGATTTGGGGTCGGTAAATCATATGCAGAATTACCAATCTTGGCCAATGGCTTAGGACCCTAATCTCCCTTTTGTCGGCTTTGTCGATCGCTTATAAGCGGGAGCAACAAAGGACTAATATTTTCAATATCATACCGTATCGTTCGAAGGCGCGCCTATCCGGAAGCTCGTTATAAGCCCAAGACCCCTGACGGCACCGGCCAACGTAAATCGGATATCGGATAGGGTTTCCCTCTTGAGCCTGGTTGGTCTCCAACATCAGACCGTAGCATAGAAGAGCAAGCAGTCTTTTGCTGTGCACCCACACAGAACAATTAACTCAAACGAGATTACCGGGGAAATAATTGACTACCTAGGCAGTTCTAGATCACAGGAGAACCTATTCAGTCTTCCCGGCCGTCACGTTGACATTGGAGTAACATTCCCTGCCATCCGCCTACATGAGGAAACCGGAAAACCTGGGGATATACACGTACAAGCTTCTCTTTTAAGGGTCAGAGAGGAAGTAGGCAGGGTGTATCATTCCCCTGCTTGTCGTATGGTCGCTTAGTGGCGTCATATGCGGTGCTGCTCTGCACAGCATTTACTGCATTGACTACCTACGATGCTCTTCTACGATAGCGATCTAAGCAATATGCTATTTGATTTTCTTTGGGGTGATACAGTCCAATCACCGGCCTAACCGCCCATGCGGGTTGCGGCTATCGTCTCATTAAATCCCTCGTCTCCATACCCATCTTGGGGTTATGTACGGAATTTTTAGTATGTCCCTACTCTGGAGAACAAACGTGGGATGTCGTTGTTTCAGGCTAGGTATGTAATCCCCGAGAGGTTGAAGAATCAGAAGCAACATTCAGGGATGACGTGTGGGATATACCCTTAAGTCTACCTAGGTAGAAAAAGGGGTGTGGACGCTTATCATTTTTTATTTCCTCTATTTCGAAAGAGGATTTTTCTTTTCCTCCGTCCTAACGTTGATTTGTAATTGGGGGATCCTCGTTTTTAGAACATAATAATTCCCGATCTTTTGTTTAGTCGCATCACGAAATTGCTCGTTGCCAGATTGACCGAGCACTACTACAGCTTTCGATATTTCTAACGGTCACGGACCATTCTCTCCAATTATTAATTGCCGAGGCCAAGACAAGACAACGATCAGGATTTCAAGCAAAAGTTAAACAGAGACAAAAATCAATAAGAAGCATGCCAAGGCTTTCGCTAGGTTCGACAGACTCAATGCGCCGAATGTGCCAGAAAGAGACCCAGACTTTATCGGGCGATCTAGATTCGTTTCTTGTCTCGCTTACTCGAGCTAACTACTTTGGTGTATGGTGCGGCAGTAAGGAAAATCTGGGGTTAGGTTACCTCGGGGACTTTCCTGATGGGTAGGTCATCTTTTTCTTGTTACCTGCTGTGGTAGAAAGGGAGGGTAGCGTAAGGCTTGGGAGTTCGTAAATATAGGTAGACAGAAACATACAGTAGTTACTTAGGTGTTGTACATATACATAACATCTCTACCATATCTACCTAGAGGTATATAAACGGGAAGCGAGACACAAGACAAGAAAACAGGCGAATGAATTACTTGCATAAGGAGGCGGAGGGAATGTCTCCAGGAAAGCCAAGGTACGAGATCGTTCTATACATGCTTAGTTGTTTCTTGGAAATTGTTGAGCGAGAGACAATGGGATTTGGCCGGTTTGCTATCGGCTTTCCTATTTACATCGTCATTATCATGTCAAAGGTCGAATGGGCCGTATTCTCGGTGATGGTGGAGAGAAAAAAGGTGGTGTAGGTAGGTGTGAGCTACATACGGCATATATCACATACCTAACCGTAAGTAGGTACCTATAAGAGACAATTGATAATTCCTTTTCTCTTACTTACCCCTTGTCCATTCCATCATTATCGCTATTATCATCACCACCTCCAGCGACACGGAACGCGACGACAGCAACCCCCGATCGAGTCTGGTGATTAGCGGTGTATGTGTGCCACCCGCCTTGAAGTCAGCCTCCCCCAGCTTCCCATTGCTTCCCTACTACCCACCCTTCCTGCTTTCTTCCCCCTTACCCCCTACTCACAGCAACGACAATGATAACTTACCATTGACTACACGTGCGCGGAATGCTGTGATCTCTTTGGTCTATCTTAATCTTGCCTGCGCCTCTTCCAATTTTTTTTTTACAAGCTGAGTTTATGTACGCTGTATGTCGGCACTGAAAAATGCGGTGAGATACATAACGACGCGGTTATTCCCGTGATAAGTAATACTCGCAGTCCGGAGCAGAGGTTCCTTCTACGCCTACTACAGCACATGCCTCGAAGCAAATACTTCAGGCGAGGAAACATGTACCTCTAAACCTATATGTAAACACTGAGGCGGGATAATCCCCTGAGGCCACAAATCAGCATCTCCCTAAATGACGCGAGAGAATGGTATAACACAATCCAATTAAGGGGGAGGAAGAAGGTAAGCAAATCGATCAGCCTACCTCGTAATTGAACACAGCATTACATGTAGGTAGGCTTTTACGAATATGTAAGCAGAACAGACCAAAATATGATAAATGATTTCTTTTTTTCGTTCCGTTTCGTGTCGTTTCATCCACCAGAAAATGAAAAACCCTAACCGCCTCGCCTCGCCTCGCCATTCCTCGCTCCTTCGGAATCGAAATACCTAGCAAGGTTTTCGAGCACTCCCTCCATCTTCGGTAGCCACATCCGAGCCGTGTTTACTCAGAAGCACAACAAAATGAAAACCTGATTGATATACATACATGTAGATCAGATCTGATAATCCGCTCGTCCCATTCCCATACGACATCCCATCCGTATCCGTATCCATTCAACCGAGCTTATTCGCAAAACTTCCTATTACATAGAGCTCAAAATCCTGAATATTCAGTGATTGGTCATTAGTTATTACTTGATTACATAGTAGTATACCAACTTAAGTAGTTATATATCGCGAGGAAATAGATCTGTAGATCGTAGATCGTCAGTCGGTCTTTTCCCTCGTATGTTCAAATATCAGATAATAAGCGACGGGAAGTCTTAGTTAGGTAGATGATTATAGTTATTACTGTTTTTTCTTCTTCATTCGCCTTCCCCAACAAAACACCGTGCTTTGATCTCGCGACCCGCGCAATGTGCTCATTCGTGTGTGTGATGAACCGGATTTGTTTCCCTCCCGAATCCACTTTTTTCCTATCTCCCCATCCCATCCCATACCGGAATCCGAACGCCCGCCCGCTCGCTCGATCGCATGTGAATTATGTTTTCCTATGACGTTCCGCTTTTGAAGGTCGGAAATCCCGTGGGAGTTGACGCGTCATTTGAAATTATATGAACTAATACCCTCCTTTACCCTCTTTACTCCCTCATCTCTTTCCACGATACCCAAGTTATTCCGGAGGGCTCGGAATGCTCACTCAGCATCGTTCTTGGACGTGTTCTTCTCCTTCAGGTCCTTCGTCATGGCCGCGACTAGATTCGCGAACCGATGTCCCTTTTCCTTGGCCGCCTCGACTGTTGTCCTGACGCCGTCCTGACTTCCTTCCTTATCTTCTCCTGTCTCATCATGGTCGTGATTTAGTCGCCCCCTCGCCTCATATACACGATTTAGCCCTCTTTCCAGAGCTGATGAGCCCCGTGAGTACGCATCTGATAGTATCGACTTCTCCCCTTCTACCACCATATTTTCATCGCTAGCATACTTGTCCTTTTCCTGTTCCCCAACGTGCTTTGTGAGATAGGTCCTGGCACGGTTCTTCTTCCTATCAGAACGGATGCGCTTGATTTCTGTCTCGAAAGCGCGGTCATAGACGTCAAAATCGATACCGGTGGGCGAGTCAGACACGACGTCGGCTGGCTCTGAGCTAGCGAAATCGTCATGACCACCCGTGCCAATGCCTAGGAGAAGCGTTGGTTTATCTGTCAGGTCATGGGCATGTCCCTTTTCACCCGTTTCAGGGAATGCGGGTGGGTGCGTTGAGGCGTGCTGAGCTGCGAGATAAGCTCTGCGTTGCTTGACGAGTTCAGCTGCCTCCTCCGCTATCGACATTTGGCGTGTGGGTTGTAAGGTGATTTCTGAATCGGGGGTTGATGTAACAGGTATTTCTACGTCTTCTGGGATAACCTCCTTCTGTGCGAGTTCTGGTGCATGGGGTGTCCGAGGTGTCCTGATCTCAGGTGTTCCATTTTGGCTCTTGGAAATGAGACCTTTAAATCGATGAATTGCTTTCAACTAAAATTATAGATTCGTAAGTTCACAGCAAGTGGTGGCTTGTACGAGAACAGTCTCACCACGCAGATTAAGTGGTCCATCTTCCGTGTGAAAGCGTGGTTAACTTCGAGCGCATTCGGCGGATCAACTCCATCCGAGCAATTTTCTTCCTCCGAGAGCAGCGGATCCGTTCCGTCTTTCGTGACCCAGGGGTGATTCTATTTTGTTTAGTGCCAGTCATGCTTAAATCAATGCCTAATAAACTTACCCTTATTTCTCGTAGGGTAATTCTCGTTTCCTCATTCTTGTCCAATATCCTGGTGATAAGATCCACAAAATTCTTGTCTTCGTTTTCGACGGGTATTCTGAGTTCTTCGGTTCGGATTGCCTCATACATCTCCAGCACATTGTCTCGTCTGAAAGGTAGCCTACCATATTTGAGGCAGTATAATGAAACCCCCATGGACCAGACGTCCGCCGCTTTTCCAGAGACATCGCCATGTCTGGCTTGGCATAATTCAGGTGGTAGGAAGGCGGGCGATCCTGCAGATTTGCTGGTCATCATGGCGTCGGGCTTTTCGAACATTTCGGATACTCCAAAGTCAACAATTTTCAGTACGTCGTCTTCCGTAAGTAAAAGATTGTCGGGTTTGATATCTCGATGTACAACCCCCTGAGCATGTACTAGTGCAAAATTAGTACATGTGCGATGAGGTCGTGCTATAACAGAAACCTACGATACTCGATACCTAGGATGAGGTCGCGGAACCAGTAGCGACAACGCTCATCGTCATAGGGGTCTGCTTGCTCATCCAATCCAACCTTCATGACGACGCCCTTCTTACACATTTCTAAAACCATGTATAAGGAGTCATTTTCGGGGTCGTCTAGCACTTCAATTAGTTGTACCAAGTTGGGGTGGTTGAGCTTCTTCATGATAGCAATTTCCTCTCGTATTAGATAGAGTGCGTCTTTCGCCTCTTCGATTTGGTGATGACTAAGCTGTTTCTTGTGAGCACTCCATAGACCTCGTCCGGGACCGAGCGAATGCGGTCTGCCCTCAGGACGTCTCAAGATATTTGACTGGGCTCGTTTTCGTAGGCGCAACTTTGAAAACTCTTTGAGAGCCTGGTAGGAAGAACATGTTAGAAGCGCCGCAACCCTAGAACTGGTCGTATATGCTCACATATTCGTTTCCGAATTGGTCTGTAGCAAGGTGAACAGCACCGTATGAACCCCTGCCGATTTCTTCTCGGATGGTGTACTGGTTGATGGCCTGTTGCGACCTTCCATCTGTTTCGTCGTTCGTATACTCGGTTTTGGCGTTGAGAGTTTCCTGAGGGTAGCATCTTAGCTCGTGGACCAGGCGTAACATGCTACTTTCTCCCACCAACCTTGACTTCGCGGTGTTGAGAAGGCGTCCTTCTGTGATGTCTCATAGGACTTGAGAAATGAGGCACGGTTGGCGGCGCGGACCTGGATAATGTGTTTCATGTCTTAGACACACACAACTATACGATAGCTAAAATTGTCGCGGGGTAAAAGCGCGAAGTTTTTGGCTTATACGTGATATTTCTTCCTTGTACTCACAGGTGAGGGGCAAGCGAGGGACGCTCGGGCGCATCCACTTCTTGCTCGATCGTAATATGCGGCGACGGAGGCATACTATGTGTACTCTCGAGTAGCTGTGCTTTGGGTCCTTCTAATTCCACGGTTCTTTCTGGCGCCCCCGAAGAGGCGGTGGATGGCATCATGGCGGTTTTGTTGGTTTGTCTGACGGACAGGCAAATATTAAATCTTGAGATGTTGACTTCCGACAACGAATAAATAACCCCGCCGTTCTTTTTGAGACAGGTTAGCTCAAGGTACACTTGCTGGATGTAAGCAAGCAGAAAACATTAATCGTAAAGCCCAACGTCAAGAGAAGAAGAAGAAAATGGTAGAAATGATGGGTCTTAAGGGAAGTCAGGTCCAAGGTACTCAAGTACTCAAGGCTTTCTCTTATTTATTTTCTTTCTTTCCCGTCCCTCTCTTCTTGTACCCCAGCAAGCCCACCCCCCATGTGCTCCATGGATTTTTCAATGGTGGAGGTTCAGCCCAACCAGCTACTAATTCGACGATTGGGCGAATCACGGCCCCCAAACGTGCTGCAGTGATCCCAGTTATCCCTGCTGATGCAGCACGATGCAGCAACCAAGGTCCCCGCCGCTGGGGGGCTTTAGGGCTCCAGGGCTCTAAGGCTAGACAGACAAGCAGATAACGAATTGGTAGGCACGTTCTGGTACATACGGCGTACAACACCCTTGAAAAGCTGAACAATTATAGAATTGAGTTGCTAGGATATACGAAAAAAGTTGTGGAGGAAAAGGAGAAGAGACCAACTATTTAATTGTTACAAGGTTTTTCTTTACATAAGACGAGAGATAAAAAAAATAATCAAGAAGGAATGTATCCTACATTTGGTAACATGTAGCTTCCTCATGTTCTACATAATCCATCTGTAAATTGAATGTACTGGGGAATACCGAATACCACGCTACTGTATGTAAGTTGCAGCTAAGGCGTTGCTTAAGGTTTACAGTCCTGTCGAATTTTGGAAAGGTTACCCCCCCCTTTTGCCCTGGACCGGCCCGCTAAATAATTGATTAAAAAGTACCTAGGTACATACAGTACAGTACGTAGCGTGTGCCGACTTGCCGGTCGTTCACTTACCATTGCAGTAATAATTCTTTCTAAAGTTCCCATTATTTTTAGAACCCGCACCATCGAAACAAGTGACGAACAATCAGCAACCAGCAGCCGGATAACCCAGTCCCATCCATCCATCCCACTTCGAATCTACTGGGTGGCATGTGATTTTCAGCCTCGCGAAGACGATCCCATGATAGAGAGTAGACACATATGTAACCATGCCTATACAAGTCTACTCGTTTTACATCTTCGACCGGCATAGTACGTATCACCTTACCACCTTATGCTACAACAGCTAACACTCTTCCTCTCTTAGCGGAGTGCATATACTCCAAACTCTGGCTCCCACGTCCATCCTCCAGCCTAATCACAAGTCCAACCACAACCACAACCACCACCACCTCTCGCCCACACTCGCAACAACTCTCCCTCCCGCCATCAACAACGACTCCCACAGCCCCGACACCCTCCCTCCAATCCAAGCAACGAAGAGACGATGACGCGAAGCTAATCTTCGGCACGGTGTTTAGCTTGCGCAATATGGTGCGCAAGCTCGGCGGTGAGGACGATGCTTTTATCGCGTACCGCACCGCGCATTACAAGTTGCATTACTACGAGACACCTACGAATCTGCGGTTTGCGCTTTTGACGGAGCCCGGGGCGTTGAGTATGCGGAATGTTTTGCATCAAATTTATATTAATCTTTGGGTTGAATATGGTGAGTTCATTCTGGATCTACTCTATCATTCCCCCAGGAGGGCGGAAGAAGATTGGAGCTATTGGACCATAGGGGAAATGTGTGAAATAAGAAGACGGAATCATGCTAATACACACGCCTCTATTAGTTGTCAAGAACCCGCTTTCACCAGTGGAACATAAGGGCGGCGAAGGTGTTCGAAACGAGATGTTTGAAATGGGACTAGACAAGTTTGTCAGAGGCTTGATGTGATAACGATAATGATGACGGGGAAGAACGTCTTAGAGCGAGGCAAAACAAAGGGGTCCGGCACATGGACCGTTTACTGTTACTAAGAGGCTACGGAAGCCGAAGGCAATGGGCATCCAACAGGCCTTATGACACCAGGCAATGAATTAGGGCCTGGGCCCGGTCTTGTCTTGGGCACCCCGAAGAGAAGATGCTCAGATGGAGTAGTGTGAAGAGGCAGAGCTAAAAACCTCCGGACTCTACACGGCGGACGGACGTAACCGCTATGTCCCGGTAGTTGTTATTGCCATTCAAGATTGGGACGGATACAGTATCATGTGAGTCCCTTGTGGAATTGGGATATTTTGTTGAAATCGTCTTCCATCATGAGTGGTACGTGTAGGCCCACTACGTACCTAGTAATTAATAGTAGCAAAAATAATATGGGAATACTTGATATTATGTGATAAACATGTAGCTTCAGTCCCTTGAATTTCTTTATTATGACGGCCATACATAATACGTCGATATGATATGTTGAGATATAAGTCCTGTCTATCCTCTCGATTCAGAATCATGCCTGTCCTCTTTCCAAATGAATATCCTGTTCAATTACCATTTTCTAAATCACGTAATACCACACCACACTACAACGCCTATGCTCATTATCCCTGATCCGTCGCTCTTTCCCACGCAGTCTCGAATGATGAGCCTTGGGTCTGCATCTGAGACTGTGATGGGTCAATCATTACCATGCTCTCTTCGCCAAGTGTTGAACCCTGCGAGAACCTTCCAATACTACTATTCCCGGGCGCTAACCCTGTATTACCAGCTCTCGTTAAGTCTTTGGCGGCTTGGGACAGAACTAAGCCCTCATCCTGAATCTCGTTTTCCCAATTGCTCGAATAGACAACGGCGGCAAAAGCCTCGAGATCGCGCACTTTCTCCATCTCCTGAAGATACTCATTGGGCATACCATGGCCAATAGCGTGCGCCTGTCGTGTCAGAACTGAGAGGATCTTGGGTAGTAGAACTGCTTTGGATCCCGCTGCAGCAACTGCAGCCTGCTGACCCACAAGCTGTCCTATATCGGATGACGGGGGTGTAGTGAACGGGGTTCCTGGAAGTTCGTAGGCACCGGGAAGAACCTTCTTATGTAGAAGGGTGGAGAAGCCGGCATCGAGGAGGAGTGTAAGGACATGTGTAAAGGCTGGTGATTCTATGAGGTCAGATGTCTCATCTAGGAGGCGACGAAGAGCCGCCCCAGATGTCGGCGATGGCGATGTAGTATCCTGATCTCCCATGACGCCCGATTCCCTGAGGACAAAGTCTTCCATCTTAGTGGGAGGAAGCAGGAATGGTAGCCACTTAGAGCCCGGTCTCGTTTCACTCGTCTCGAATTCTCTTCTTCCTTCCATCTTTTTACGGACCTCAAGTGTGAGCTGCGAGAAAGTATCGAAGCTTAGAAGGTCGCGAGGGCTCAGGTGTCCAAACACATCACGAACGGCGGCTTCAACATTCTCCATGATCTCAACCCAGCCACGGTGTAGTAACCACCAACTGAAGGTCAGGTACTTTCGGTTTGTCTCAAAATCACTTCCGTACGCTGGTTCCGTATTATCATCATCGTTGTTTTCTAAGCTTATCGTCGACTGTGCGGTTCCGGTTGCTAGCGATACTACACTCGATAAGTAGCTTCGTCGGCCGAGGAGGTTAAGCTGGATTCGCGTGAGCATGTCAAGGAGAGCTAATGTATAAATCAGAGTAAAGGCGCGCGTTATTGCTGGGTTGTCCCTAGTTAGCCCACAATTGACTGAAAGAACCATTGAAAGGATGCTCACAGCTAATTGTTAAATCGTCCCATAATTGCCTTTTCGTCTTCCTCGGTTTTTGCACGGGTTGACCACCATCTTGAGGACCATCTCCATTTGAAGTAGAGGGCAATGTCATCTGGCTTGCATGTATACCGCTCTCACTTTGAAAACTTGCTGTACTCTTACCCTCCTCCTCGGTCATAGTCGTATCAGCAATGCTAGGCGGTGTAGCTGACAATTCGCCGCTGCTGCGCAAACTCTTGGCGTTACCCTTCATCTGCTGGATTTCTAAGGTGATCTTCTCGGTATTCATATCCTCGAGGATCATCGCGGTCGCGGTCGGTAGAAGCGCTAGGACGGTAAACGTACAATCCTCCTGGTTTTGTTCGAATCGCCGTCGAAGGCTACGAAATTGTTAGACTCGAATTTGGAGCATCCCAAATAGAAACGCAATGTCTTACTTCTCCTTCGCGATGCGGTCACTACTCATACGTTCGCGCGCATCGTTAATCTTAGTCAACACATATTGAGTAGCTAGGTAGCCAGCGCCAATGACGCCGACACCAATTGCTATTGGTGTTCTGTTGCGGCGGAACCATTGTCGGGTAGCCGATATCATGCTGAAAGCCGAGGTGGCTTCAGGAATAGAACGCCCCCGAAGCAGATAGGATGTTGTGGAAGTCTAGTTGTGGAGTATTCATGCGACGCGGAGTTTAACATCGAAAAAAATTCAATTCTGGATGGAAGAGTTAAAAGTTAAGCCTCGTAAGTTCTGGTATAGGTAGGTGCGCACGAAATGCAGCAGCCACATGCAACCAGCCCTTGGTGCTTGGTGCTGAAATTACATTTATTAAACTTCGAACTCTGACGTGTGCCTCGGTCCATGCGCGCGAGTCGTCCATGGTAGATTTATTAGCTTAGTGGTAGCCCCCTAGGTACCCCGTAGGTACCCAATGAACTGATAAGATAGGCGCCTAATCACCTGCAGCCCTAGAACTTCAGCACATCCGTTAGCGTTTTAGCGTACTTTTAGTGTGCTGAAAGCTCAACTAATAGGAAATCTGCTAGCCATTCCTAGCTATTCTAGCCACAAAACATCACTATGGATGTGGCTAACATGACGCACAAGTTGACCAAGTACCTGTACTTATTGTACGGGTCCATTAACCCCACGTTCCTAGTTCCAGTTCCGGCGGTTTCCCCCCCTCAGCCCCCTTTGCCAGGCGATAGGACAGAACCCCTCCATCACGTTACTGCTGCTGAGATTGCTACTGCCCGTGCTGATGATGTTAACAAGACTAATAAAACTATATACATCATCCAACCAGCAGCCTCCACTGTACAAGATTTTCTAGAAACCTACCAAACACCACCATCATCATTAAAAACACCACCATCACCGCAGCCGCCACACATCTACGACGAGCGAAGCCTCAACAACCCAGACCCCAGCCCATCTACGATGGAGCAACAAACGCCGCAAGAATTTATTCTCGAAGCCTTCGCCGATCCGGCGTCGGTACGCGATGTGGTGCGAGGTACGTTTCCTCCATCCAATCAACACTCATCTACCCCACGATCCATCCCATCGTCGTCATCGTTCATGATCCATCCATCACCGACCACGACGACACTATGGATCCCCATACCCCTATATCCACCCACCAATCTCACTACTATCTTACTAACATAATCCCACACATAGGTATCCTGCACACGATATTCTTCCACCGCTTCTTCCCCTCCCTTACCCCGCGGTCGCGCGAGGTCCTTGACATCATGCTACCGTATGTAGAGGATGCAGAACTAGACACCATGATCGAGAAGCGCGCCGCCGAACTAGCACGAGAACTCGACGCGACCACGACCCCAACTACCACACATCTACACGCACACCCGCATTCGTCGCGGGTGCCTACAGCGACCGGTGGTCGCGGCAACATATCCGTGCAGTTCTTCGAGAAGAAGCGACGGAAGGTGTGGTACATGCGCGGGGGCGGCGACGAGGAAGTGTGCTGGGAGAGCTGGACGGTGAAAGTTACCGTTGCGGAGCCGCGGACGGAGAGTGGTATGCTTCCCCCTTTCCTTCTACATACATCCCATCCTAAAATCCCTGTGTCGTTCACCCACTCGCTTTCCTGCTTAGCTAACCCCCAAACCCTACAGAACGAGCCAAAGTCCGCCGAGCAATGGAACAAACCCTCCTAACCGCCGCCATGAAGATCGTAACCTGCGTAAACTCGCACAAAGACCACATCCCGCCCATCCTAACCAGCGAAGCGAACCCGTTCCCCTACCAGATCACCGTGAACCAAAAAGACGCCGGCTGGGCCACACGCATGGGGCTCTATAAGTAGTATGAGGCGGCCGTCTCCACCCTTAAATTCATTCTAGACATCGAAGAGGACGAATGAGGTGTGTTCATGCATAGAATCTGGATCTGGGATTTCGGGCGCATGAGACCCGAGGCATGGGAAGGGGAAGGGTGTTGTAATGCATCATCGACGAGCAAACAAAAAAGGAGCATTGAGTGTTGGCCGGTTGGTTGGCTGGTTGGATTGTTTGGCGGGAAACGGCGTCTATATCATCATTCACTAATGGTTGGATGGAAATGGCGCTTCTTGGGATATCCCCCTCTATGATAGACAAGGCTTCTTCACGGATCATGGATTATCATCGCATCGTATCGTGGGTATTGTTTTCTCTCATCCTGGTAGGCTGGTTTTCACTACATCAGGATAGCTACAGCGGATACTGGAGTAATACGAATCATAAGCTTAACAGCGCTATGTGGGTGGCTTACGGACGCAGAGACTATTGGTTGGTCATCCGATTGTGCCAATTTCACGTCGCAAATTTATTGTTTAGCAACATTTATTAAAAAAACATGACCGAGCACGCTGATCCATAATGAAGTCCAATCCCGCAATGAGAAAAACAAGATAGCCAGAGTTTTGGCAGCAATCCGTATTGAGCACTACGTGTAATAGAAAGAGGCATCGTGCAAGAAAAAGCAACCTAAACTCCAATGTCGTTTGCCATAGCAGAACTGTCCTCCCGGGTCGAAACAAGACAAACAAGAAAATACAAATTCCGGCAGTAACATTGTCCATCTCAAACCAAGAGAGGCGCCCCTAAAACTCTTAGAACTCCTTCAGAAACCTCAACACATTTCCTATCCCCCCGCCTGCTTTCCTTTTTTCAAGAACACGAACCAACGCCTCGTCTTTCCGCATATTCCCCTAGATGATTAGAGGATAAAAGGTGCGCGTACAAAGGCAAAATAAAAGGCTCATTTGGCCTATACTCGCGCGAAACGAAACTCCAAACAAGAGAAACAGAGTAGTATTTCCAGATCTCATCATATAGGCGCCGTGGTGTAGTCAAAGTAGTAGCGTATGCCTGAAGCACGTATCGTCATTATGATATCAAACAATAGACAAGAAGGCCGTGAGGCGAGAAGGTAGTCGGATAGGTCTATAGTCATAGAAGGTGTAGACAACATATTCGACATAATCGAGTCGAAGGTAGGAAAGGTAGGTGTTGATGCAATGGAGTCGTTATTCGTTATCATCGTCAAATTATGATGAGCCGCCCATAGAAGCTCTCAGAGGAGCAGTAAAGGGGGTGAGTTTAAAATGTAGTGGTAAAGCTGCGGCCTAGACCTGGCTTCGAATTTTTAGAAGTAGATGGTCCGCCAGATGGCTGGCTACCGTTGATTCTTTCGAAGCCTTGAAGGATGTCTATGCCTGCACCGTCATCTACATCTTCGAAGAATTGATTTGTGCAGAAGTCTTCTAGGTTCATCCAGTCATTCTTAGAGGGAGACGGTTGTTTCGTAGGAGACTGTTGCAAGAAGAGCTTGCTTGGAGAAGACATGCCTTCAAACACCTTGCTCGGTGTTTCGTAAACAGGTAATGCCGGAGCCTTCAGCAAGGGGGCTGACGTAATCGACCTCTTAGACGTCGAATTCGTGAGCTCACCAAGAGCACTGGCGGAAGTAGATCGATCCAAGCGCATCCTCCTAGCTGAGCGCTTTATAGGAGACCCATTGTCCGCAGCAAAGAACGGATCCAATGACACATCTTGATAGATGTCGAACTCGTTAGATTCGGTTGGAAAATCGCTCACATTGAAAACGGTGTCATCCATATGGAATGCTGGGCTCCACGGAATGTCCTCATCTATGTTACTAACACGACGAAGAGGCGAGTTGAGCATTGATCGAACCCTGTCTCTATGCATGCGTAGGTTCGTGTTAGGCGAGACAGAAGCCGGAGGCTTCGGAGGAGGTTTGATCTTCACCGCGGGGGTCAGCGGAGGTAACATTTGACCACCTTCGTTAACCTGACGGATAGGAGACGAAGACGGAGGAGGGAAATCATAAGGGCGTCCCTTAGTGGGACTGTCATAGGAAGAGGCGCGCAGTCTTGCAATTTCCTCCTCAGCTCGTCCTCGCTTAATTCGGGGCCGATCAGTTCCCGAGCTTAGTAGCCGATTTCCCCTAGGACGCATGACTGAAGAATCTAATGACGAGATATATCCACTGTCATCCATGGACGCGTCCAATGAGGCGTACTTGCGCTTGTGTGTATGTTTACGCGAACCAGAGGACGGAAACTCTCTCTTGTGAGGAGGCGGCGTGTTGCTTCGAACTGATGTGCGACGAGGAACCGGAGGAGACGAATGCATATCAGCAGGAAGAGGCGAATATGTGTTAGTCTCAACGGGCAATTCTTGCTCCTGCGTCTTCTCCGCTTGCTCTTCCGGTCCGGCGTTATCAGAGAGTGGGATAGTAGCGTCCGACGAGACCTGAGGTTCAGTCTGGTCCGGGCCTTGTGCCGTGATATCGTAAGCAGGTGGATGAGACTGTGCTGGAAGGACCGGAGGCAGGGATGGCAAGCCATCATGGAAAATTGTAGGCTCGGCGCGTGCTGGTTCAATACGGTTGGACATGAAGGGGGTGTTCCCCATGCTCGCGATCGCCTTCTTACTTGGCTTCTCTCTCATGAATTGGTGCTCCATTCCAGACTCAATTGCCCAATAATTGCCCTTGCCGGGATCATCCTTTGGTCGCTCTTGTTTTATGAATGCCTTGTTGAGGGAAAGGTTATGCCTGATACTGTTCTGCCAGCCCGCGTCCTGTGCACTATAGAAAGAGAAGTTGTCGGAAATCCATTTGTAGATCTGCGAGAGAGTGAGTCGTCTCTGAGGAGCGCGTAAAATCGCCATCCCAATAAGTTGAGCATAACTATACGACGGTTTCGCTCCATTGTCCTCAATGGCGGGAAATGAGTCAGGGGCCGGTAAAGGCGATTCTTCCAACTTGGCCTTCTTTGGCGGTCTAGAGTCCTGGATCGGTGCGGCTTCAAGTAGTGCTCGCTTTCGAGGAGGTGCGTTCTGGTAATAATTCTCGAGGTTCAAATTAAATGCTGCTGGCGCCGGGTATAGAGTAGGGTGGACATTCTCCTTTCCGAAACTCGGGTTCACATCCGCGGTGGGCTTTTGAACCACAGTCTTGAATCGCGACATTATTGGTTGTTTCTTCTGCATTGAATCGGTTGTCTGTCCATGAGAGGATGGCGGGAGTATTGATACTGAATTAAGTTTGTTGCCATTTGATGACTTAAGAGGAGCCAGGGGAGAAGCGGTGGTGCGACCGCTCGCCTTGTACGGCGAATGTTGCTTCGCATATGCATTCGGAGGGTTGAGGATTACATTGCTATTCGAATTCTGTAGTACTCGGCGAGGAGATGACTTGCCAACGGAGGGCATCGGTGCTCGGCTGATTGAAGGCGCTTGCTGTTCGAAGTAATCGACATCTCGGAATATGTTAAGCGGCTCATTGTTCGCCGCATAACGCGTTGGTTTGGCCATGTCGGCCAATATGTGTAGATGATTATTGTTTGCTTGTCGCTTCAGTAAGATTAGTTTTATTACTCTTGTTTGCTTCTGGGTATCTGTATTGTAAGGAGTGTAAGGTTGTATGATCTAAGTGTAATTGAAAGTGTATTAGGAGTTTAGGCTTGCCCACTTTCTTGGGCTGCGTAACGATGGGGAGACATGATGAGAATGGAACGATCTAGTACTCAGGCCGAACTTACTTTGGCTGGATTTAATTAGCTGTGGAGCCACCGAAGCAAGGGTGACTTGTGGCGCGCCAGGTATCAGGCTCTTGACGTGCCCAGATGATAGAAGGGTCTTAAAAGTGAACTATTGTCCTATAACTAAAATAATGATATACGCAGTGGTTGACTTCGACGGACGATATGTTTCGTATGTAGTAGTTGGTGAAATAACGGAAAGGGATCCTGATGGAGGGAAGGGAGCGATGAGAAAGAAGAGAGGGGAAGGGGAATGGACGGAACGGCAGATTCGTGGGGGATCGAGATATCGAATGCGTCCCCCGAACTTGGCTGCGCTGCTAGTAACTCCCTCCTACCTACACACTAAGTACATATGTATGTGGGCGTAACAGATGTGTGGTAGAGCCGAAAAGCCTTTTTGGTCGAGCGTCAAACCAGAGCGAGGGACGAAGAGAGTGAGGGTGTGTCAAAAGACTTGCGCAGGCTGCAGGGCCGGCACACAGGATAGATTGAACCGGGGCCTGGGCCAAAGAGAAGAGACCGAATGGAGTTAATGGACCAAAAGTACTAGGGCCAGGATTGGTAGAGAGCAGAAGGCCAACTCAGCACAAGATCCACTTAGGTAGACCCGCCTTAGATGTATGGATGTAGATGAAATGCAAAAGAGGATTGGACGATAGCGTCGTGGGCTGACGCGACCATGGCAAGTCCTTAACAAGGTTGTCGGGGTTGTTTCGAAGAAGGAAAAATGACTTGCTGGACTTGACCTTGTTTGCAAGGAATGTCGATGCGAATCCTAGTTTTTACGGGTGGGGGAGTGTGGAAAAGGTGTTTCTTCATGTGAATATGGTTGGTCAGTTTTTTCTGGAATATGTATAAGCCTAGGTGTTGGTCTCGTTAGTAGGCCTGCTAGGTCCTTGCGTGCTGCATCCAATTGCGACGGATATGCAAAATTAATTGCGAATGCTGTTACAGTATGCTGGTAATGTCAAGATCCGTTTGTTGGTAAAAGGGAAATGCTTGCTTAATGGGAAAAGCCGAAGTAGTCGAAAGTGGGCTGAGAGCGGGTGGACGGACCAGCTACCAAAGTAGTAAACGTAGTAAAAAAAAAAAAAAAAAAAAAAATGAATTAAAAAAGAATGTGAGCAAACGATGTTGGGAACTTGGATCAATAGACCCCCATCACATATTAAATGGATGGATGGATGGATTACTTTCTAATTCTTCAGTCAGCTCTTTTTGTCGTTGTGCAGAAATGATGGCAGTCGATGGAACGAATGTCTAAGATTGACGAGACGAAGAAGAAATGATTGGTCGGGAAGGTTGCGCACAGGTGTTGTAGATTGCCCAGGTGTATGGGAATTTGGCTTTTCGTGCGAGGTGGATTCGATACGTCGTCTGATTGGAACGCGAAGTCGCGGCGACGCGCCTTCTCCTTTGTTATGCTTTTGGGGCGCGTCAGGCCAATCAATGTTCGCTATTCAACTTCACTCCAACTTCTCCAACACCCTCTGGCGCGAAAAGAGCAATTACTCGGGGTACGTACCGAGCACTCTTTTCCTATTACGGTTAGAAGGAATCCTTCTCAGCTCTTGTATTCCCTTGAAGTTTATTCCGTTTGTAGACGAGTATTTGACATGAGACTGAACGAAGGTATTACTATTGAATACATGCATTCTTTTCTACCGGATCTCTTTAAGCTTAACCTTCCTGATAACCATATATGCATTTGGATTCAATACATCACATATATATATACTATACCTACAGCTTAATGTAATGCTCAATTCTATCTACATACATATATGTATGTATCTTCAAAAGACATACAAATGTACAAGTACATATTAGAGCATAATCGTAAAGATAGAATCAATTTAACCATTTCTAGATGTCTCCATCTGCCGGCGCCATATCTTTGAACTTGCGCGGACTAATAGAGTTAAAAACCAAGAATATCCAGATATGACATCACGTCCTCTCAGTCGGGTCCCATTAAACTCCATTCCCAATTCCGGCGATTGCCTAGTCTCATCTTAGACTAGACCCTCTTGTCTTGATCTGACGGAACTACGGAGTTTTATTAATTAAATTTATCGTATTTCTGCTTAAGCATGTCTCAGAGGCACATGCAAGCTCCAAAGCTAAGCTTCCCTTCGATCGGTGTATTCTAGGTATTTCCGTCATCCTATATTCATATCTCATAGTTCTTCTATCTTGCTGCAATACAAGTCCGAAACAGAATATCTGTTAAACTTACAATTCCAAGTAGATTATTTCATGCGCCTTAATCACATTACCTAGATGCCGTTCAACTCACCGCGATATTTCTCGTTTGGGTTGATTTAATTAAACTCCTTGAGTCCGGCATTGAACCGCCTGAGCCGGTCCACTGTCGGGGATCAAGCCACTGAAGAAATTTTCCTAACAGAGCAAGTTCTATCCCGATATGGGGCCGTATCCGTAAGGTGATCAGTCACTTAATTCCCCCGGCTAGCTGCAGTGTGAGGGGTTCGTGGCTTTTTTTAGGGGAGTTCCTATCTACCGTCATGGCTTTGCAGAGTCGTGTCATCCCTCCTTTACATAATCTTTTCATAAGATGCCAGTATAATATTAAGCTTACTATCATAAAAGAGTATAATATTTCAAGTTCCTCGTCGATTCGCGTTCTACCCTGTTCCTTGATGGCTTGACCGCGTATCCTTGTGCTATACGCACTTCATTAACCCCCAATTAGGCAACTCAGCCCGCCACAAACCTCTCCGTTCCGCATTGGAATGGAAAGTAGATAGGAATCCGTTGAAAAAAAAAGTCCATTGATACCTACATAGTAGATATCTTACTCGGTATTCTATTTCAATTATGAAAGTAAGATGTACGATAGGCATACTAAGCAAATGAGTAGGATATCGACGCCAATGACGTCTTCCATATCGTGTTTCCCGATGCCTCATAAATGATGCGAGAATTTATGAAACATGAAATACCAGGCCCGTGGCCGCTATCAGGCCGGTCGAGACCCCCTAACACGAAAAAGGCCTGTCTAGTAGCCTATATCGCCAAGGATTTCCAGAGGACGCCTTATAGCCAATACAGTACCATAAAATAGGCCGTCCATGATTTAAGGATTGACACGAGCCTGTTAGTGAACAAACAGTATAAGCAATTCCCCAATAATCATCAAACCACCTCAACTCAACTAATATCACCAGAGAGAAGGTCAACTAGAAAAAGCGGTCAAGCCACGACTTGACCCAGACCCCAACGAGGTCTTCGTTCCCCCTTATCCAGAACATCGGAATAATGACTAACAAGTAACAAGTGGAAGAACCGTGCCCTCATCGTGATAGCCCCCATCTCTGGGTAGGAATTCACGGCTAGCCCGCTGAGTGGCTTGCTAATATGCCACATGGGATTTCCTTGGGCGCCGACGACGCCCGAAATCAATAGAGCGAGTCTTAGTGTCAGGTCGGTGGCGTGACCCGGACGGAGGCCAAACGCCACCACCCTATAAATCTACGATAGAGTCATAGGTTTGAGGACGGCATCAACCCGCGAGCCATCACTCGGTCCCGCCGAGTGCCTCGCCGATCTAAGCCAAGGTTGTTGACTCTTAGGGGCCGAACAAGGGGATGCATAATCCTTCAAGCACAAGTGGAAACCCCTTTTATGAGCATTGGTCAAGAAATTCGATAGCGCCTTGCTGATAAAAAGCGAATGCCCCTATTAGCTATCACATCCGGAGTACTATATTGTATAGCCAGTATATGTCTGTCTACTATGTAAAGTGAAGAAACCGTATGCCAATAACCAAACACTCTAGTTAGGCCGTCTTACTCTAGGGGAAAAGGGGGCTTGACCTACGTTGGGGGTTAGATCACTATCAATGTAAGATCATTTGTAACCATCTAAGCCTTAAGTTGTTTAATTCTTGATTGAATCCTCGTATTATAGATGCACATCCTGTATCAACATATCACCTATCTCATATGGTTCCTTCTAATGTTCCCAAAGTCGGGCATCGTTGTCCCTATAATGATAAAAACCCAACCCATCAATTCCCTTCAAGCTACTATACTCATTATATGCCTCTTTCCCTTCTCTTCCATAAAATGTAACAGGTATATGCAAAAACAACATGACTTAGCCAGCAATAAGCGCCAGCTTATGGGTATAAGATAGGGGAGCGTGTCCCCGACACCAACACTCTAAAGGCAACCGCTGCACATGTAAGGATACTTAATCCCTTGCTTAGAGACATGCTATACTTGCATGCTCTCATTCTACCACGGTAAACGCCAGCAAATCATATCTTAGCGCTGTAAATAACGGAACAAGCCACGTATTACTCTAGCGTATCCCACACTTCATAAATCTTATCCCTCATAACCTCGTGACCGAGGGATCTAGGATGAAATGTCTTCCCATAGTACGTAGGGACATACCACATAGAGTTCTTCGCGACAAAGTCACCTCGGGCAAGCTGCAAGGTCGGGTCTTCGTATTTTGACATAGCCATGTAGCACAAAGCCAACTCACCCCAATCCCCAGATGCTTGTGCAGGCTCAAGACACGACGTGGGGTCGACAAGAGCCGAGTTTGGGGGCAAAGTCTTGAAGTCAGAAATATGTTGTGGTCGCGTACCGTTCCTGGCATTGTCTGGGCCTCCAACAAGGAAGAACCATGTATCCGTACGACCGTAATCAGGTTCGGTAACATTCGGCTCGCAAAATCGATGGCCATCGAACTTCTCGTCGTAATCCACGAATACCAACTTGTCTTTGGTGAATCGGGAGTTTACGCGATCGACTGTCTTGCGAAGCTTGGCATTGACCGTTACTACCATAGCATTCATATTGATTCTCAGATCTTTCTTTAGCTTGGGACCATTCCACCATATACCAAAACTCATATCATCGCATTCGTCGGTGACGTCGTTGAAGAAACGGGCGTACCCCGTAACCGTGATAAGGAAAGACGGTTTCTTCTCCCAGCGGACCTTGTCGAGGATCTCGGTGATAATGACGTTTAGTCGTTGGTCGAACTCGTCGCTCTCGATTTGAGCTTTCGCGTTGGCGAGCGCCGCCTCGCACGTTCCCGAGTAGAAGTTATAGAAGCGGAATACACATGCATTGATAACATCGAAGAAACCGAGGTCATTGCCACCCATCGATAAGAGGGCAAAATCTACAGGCAATGAGACATTGAAGGTATCCACTTGACTATCCTGAACGCCGGATAACATGTCCTGAGTCGTAGCCCCCGTACACGATAGAAACTGGAAGCTCGAGGCATTCCGCCCCCCTTGGCTAGCTAACAGGTCGGCAGCAATAAGCTGAGGGTGGGCACCCAAACCATGCCGGCATTCATCCTCTTTACCATTTACACCAGTACCAATTCCTGCGCTGTATGAATCGCCAAAGGCTGCGAAACCGGCCGGTGGGACGTTGCCTCCCGATGGATTTAGGAGTATGGGGAGTTGGGGTCGTCGATGACTGCTCGAGGCACTGTTTCCGAGGACATGTTGGGTCTCCGGAGCGACTAGACGACGCTGTTGAAAAGCGCGGCTAGAAGCGACCCCGGAGAAAACGACGACGGGAAATAAAGAAGCTAAGCGCATGGCGAAGCCGAGCTTCATGGATAATACAAAACAATATTCATAGTTCGGGTTACATGTATTCTCGAACTAGAGATCAGATGAAGATAATCATTTGGTAGATGGAGCTAGGCAGCTACAATAAAGTACAGTAATCGATAAGAACCCCCCAAAGCTTGCCAACAAAACGAGGCTATGTGTTGGGTAAGAGAGGGTCTGATAAGGGTAATCACGAGGCGAAGGAGGCGAAGTCATCGGTTGAACCAATCTTAAGCTTTGGTCCAATGCCTCGTGCACATGCAAAGTAGCAGGCCCCTGATTCCTTCCGCTAAAATGGTAAAGGTCAGGGGTAGCTACGCTGCTATGGTGGGGGGAATAGGGTTTGTCAGCTACGTACAGCGCATCGGTGCATACGATACACCGAACTATCGACCAAATGTACAGGTACAGAAACTTACTTAGGTACACTGACAACAATTACAAAATAGCTTTTCTTTCGCAATGAGAAAACGTCGCAACAAGACAAGGGAATTATACCAACCAACCCAATAACCATATTAACATATTAAAGGATTCACTAGAGCCATGTTTAACTCTCTTCAACGTCACGTCGAGCAAGGCTTAATGACAATAATCGTTTTGACTGGAGACTTCAACGGTGGTCAAATTGAATTGCCTTTCTGAAGCCATGCAAAACCGATCACTTCAAACGTGAAACGATACGTGCTTGGGCGCACTATAACACTAGCGACGCGACCACTTGCAGGCTTCAACGACCCAATAGAGGAGGCCTGGCTTCGAAGTCCTAGGTCAGCTCGCATGAGAGCCCTAAGATGCTGAAGTTCTCAAAGATAAACCGACTTCAGGATACGACAGGACATGCTTTGAGCCTTCCGGCCTTGGGATATATCAGCTGAGAAAATATCAGATCCGAATAGGGTTAAATAACCCTTGGTGAAATAGCTGGCAGCTCAAATAAACCGAGGTCGATTCTGAACCTCGCGAACTTACTCTTTTCTGCTGATCCAGCTTTCTTTATTTCACTGAATGAAAGACAAAGAGACATGACATCGAGTCCAAATATTGCGGCCGGATCCGATAGGACCCGATACACAGCCTCAAGTTGGACGTCAGTAACAGGACTCATGCATACTGAAATCTTGGATACCCAGCTGGTCGGTACCAAGCGGAGACTATTAGTATCGATGGTGACTTTCGTCATTCCAATAACGGATCGCGAAACAACGATAAGATTGTGCCGATAGAACATTCTACCGGAAACGCGGGTACCTGAACCTATGTACAAATCATATCGAGTTGATTAATGTTTGTAAGAAAAAGAAGCTGTCTTGCTACATGTAGCTATGGCATTTTCAAGGTCCTTACATATGTAATTCCGAGTAGCACAATGACGTCAACATCTGCTATGAACCCCACCAACGTCATCGCCTCGAAGCTGTTACTTGACCCCACCTCAGCTTGTCTATCTGCTTCGACCACTCACACGTTTCCAAAAACGTCGTTTCCTACCAAATTGGGTTAAATAGAGAGAAGATTATTTCTTGGAAAGCTTCCTTCCTAGGATCGAGATCAAATACAACTTGCCGGTACTTCCAAGTTGACTGTGGCACATGGCTCTTGAAGATGTAAGTTGTCGTCGGTGGCGACCAATCCGAAGCTCCAATGCCAGCTCCGGTTCGATGTCGTCAAGCCACATGAGACCGGCAGGTTAAGAAATGGGAAGAATACGGATCTTACAAGGAATCTCTTTGTTCAAGCCCCATGTTCCTTTCCTTGCCGTTCTAAGCGGCCAGCCACCCTTTCCCTTACAGGAAAATCTCTGTATGTTATCATGAAAGACGTCAGAGATAACCCACTCTCTGCCCGGTCTGCCCTACTGTACTACATGCGTTACGAGAATCTCCATATAATACCCAACCCAGCCCTGCCTTGTCTTGGCTATTTCTAATTCCCCAGATTTACGCTGCCGTATACAACCTAATTGTCAATATAAACTTCTTCTATTCCTAACTGCCAAGAATCCTACCTGAAACTGCTACACTTATTTCTTAAAATTATATCACCGTATAACCTAGTAACAAGCTCACGATGGAAACTGTAAACAACATGGCGTCTGCGGCCGCTAAGGCTGTATGGGGTGAAAGCAAACAAAACGGCCAAGAGCCTATCTCAGGCCAGACTGGTGACACATCTAAGGGTGAACCATATGATGCCGGCAACATTGGTATGGATCTCTACTAGTGTATTACAGCATACGGTGTTCTAGTGACTAACACAGCCTACGATAGAAGACCCCAAGAAGCAAGCCGCCAAAGCAGAAACCAACGGCGAGACCAACAGAACAACAGAACACACCGACAGCGCTCAATTTGCCAAGAATACTGGCACCGCAGCTGAATCAGAAGAAACACCAGACAACCCATCAACAGACCTAAAGTCAAAGAGTACACCAAAGGACTCTTCTAAGGCGCAGAACGATGTACGAGACCCGGAGGATCCGAAGACGAACCCCAAGTCTGCACCAACAGATGTCAACGACGCTGAAGATGGTCCCAATGAAGCTCAGAAGTTAGATGGACCGGGACCTAAGCCTATTGATGAGGTCGCACGTGAGCATGGTGGTGATGCTGGTAAGACCAGCGAAGGTGGATCCTCCGAGAACAAGGACGAAGGCGCCGCGGACGAGGAAGATGAAGATGGACCTGATGCAAAGAGCAAGGGTGAGGGTACTGGCGAACAATATGTGAAGAGTAGTGGTCTACAAGCCGACGGTGGAGATTTTGATGCCACGAAACCTGGTGCGGGACGAGAGGCTGATCGTAAGTTCTCATATCCTACCCATTCATTTATAAACTCGGGATCACTAACAAGAGACCAGGCCTACTAGAAGAGAAAGGCATCCACCCTGGCGCCAATGGCCCTAGCACCGGCGCCGACGCCGAGGAAGACGAATCAGGTCATGGAGGGGATAAGAAGGATAAGGAAAAGAAGAGCATCGGCCAGAAGATTAAGGACAAGTTGCACCGACACTAAGTGCATCTAACTCTATTCTTCACATCCTAATTTAGTATGTTCTATGTATCATGATGACGATCCACGATTCCCCCTTTATCTCGAGAGCTGCGAGGCTTCTCGGCTTGTTTGATTAACACTCTCCGCGACATTTGACTAGAGAGCAGGAGTGGTTGTTCGGGTTTTCTGAAAAGGCTAGCTAGCTGTATTCCTGTTAGTATAGTTGTGTAATATGACAATTTGCCTATGCTTGCTCGTCTCTAAAGTTGTAGATGTGAACCTCACCGGCATAGAGCAATATAGGTTCCTTTTTTCAACACTTGAGAGAAGTACTATGCTAGACCAAGAGAGGTCATACATATAGATAGCATACCGAAATATTAGTATTGCGTTTGCGCATTCTAAGAATGTCAATGAAACGTGCTAGTCCTAATAGCGCCGTATATCTTGAGCTACCCACCTACTATACCGATGAATACTTTGTCTCCTACTACTTCGCCTATGACCCGCAAGGATAACCATGTGTGGTACCAAAGATCTTTAACCCTCCGAGTGTGAGAAGATCATCGTTCTATCCTTTTGGATAACAGACAAAGGCACCGGGTCGTGCCTCGATATCCGCCTGCGACTTATCCATCCACCCGAGAGCGCTAGTCTAGGAGAATAACAAGCTTACTCGACAGCCTAAATCTCCGAGATTTTCATTATACCATAGGTATTTTTCAATGGCATGAAAACAGGTGAGAGTCTGATTGGTCTGCTTAAAAAGACATCCTCCTCTTATTGGAGTCAACGTTATACCGAACGGCATACTATAAAAACCAAGACCAGAGATTAGGGGTCAATTATAACGGTAACCAATACTCTTAAACTTCATCTCTGAGTCCTGACACTCGGGACCGAGTGACGTCTTAACACATGCAGTCATATCACAACCTCATATCCTGAATCACTCCAGGGTCTTATACCGATCACCGCGGAGGGCATAAGCGGTACGACATCTCGATATAAGCATATAGGCACAGCAGCAACCCCATACTCTCGATGCGGATGTACACAGTGAACAAAATCCACGAAAATACATACCAGAACCTTTTCAGAATTTTACTCCCCAATGTGATACAGAAACAGGAAATAAGCAGAAAAACTACTGTATGTCAGCCATGTGGCAGGCCTGTCAGGGGGCGGGGGCCGAAAGGGGTAGTAAGATCGAGAACCGAACCGAACCGGCCTTGTCAGCCGGATTTTACCAACGAGCTGGCTCCCCCGGTTACAGTGCGTGGAGTGGTATGCGTGCTTATGCTGCTGTTTCTGTTGCTGTTGTGCATTACTGTAATGTACTATGGTAATTATAGAATTGTTGTCGTGGATATAGTTGATGGGCTACATTTAGGTCGACGTGCTGACGCCCCCTTTTCTTTGGCATAGTTGGGGGAGTATGTGCATATTTGGAACTTTGGGTTGAGATCTATATTAGTATTTTACTTTTAGGATTTGGTGGGTGGTGCTAAGTTTCCGAATGTGCAAGAGTATATGGTAGCCTAGCTAGCAGTAGTAATCCTTCGGTTGCCAAAGCCTATCTCGACTCCTTTCCCTTACCTAGGTATACGTATCCAATATACGCAAACTTACCATGCTGCGAGTCAAATGTTTCAAATGTATCAACCCCAAAACGGGTATGTATGTGCGTAGTATATCTTGAATTCGCACCACATACATCCATACGTTGCGATGTACACACCCAAATACATACATATATATGCGACACAACTCGCGCCTCGCGTCTCGGCGAAGTGGTCTCGCGAATCATCTATCCATATGCGCATTGTGTGACTTCCGATAACACAGCAGATAGATCCTTCATTCCCTCAAAATATCTCATACATATCTATCGCCGATACCTGCGTCGGCATCCGTCTAGGGGGCTTGCAGAAGTACAAGCAGAAGCGGCCGTAAGGCTTTCTTCATTCTGCAATATCCGTATCTATTCATCTATTTGTTTCTCTTTTTTCTATTCTTACACTAGGAATTGCGTATCGGGACCAATCACAAACTCGTATTTATATATTATCTGGACATGTCTGGGGTACCACAAACCCGATGAGACATACATATGTCGTGTATAGATATCATGTCACTCGAACCGCGTAAGGAGGTAGAGGGGGGTGCGATGTCGTACGACAGTGCGGGCGCGGTACGAAAAGACGGGCTGGGTTTGACATTATCTGAGTTTGTGTGTGGCATGCAGTGCTCCCGTCTGAAGAAACAACAGAACAAGAAAGCGATATAGAGAAACGTAGTAATAATAGCCCTAATGTTAAGGGGACCTACCTTAGCTGCTCCCCTCCCACGGGTCTCTTCAACGTGGCTCTACGTTATGCGTGGGTAGACGGGTGGAGGGTGTGGTGCGGTTATAAGTGAATGGCGGGGGATGCAAAGTCGTATGCGGAGGAGCTGGAGGCATTATGTACGCACGGGCAGGGACCCCGAAAAGGGATAGATACCACGAGGCCGTCAGCATCGAGCTTTTTGGCTGGGTGAATAGTGGTGTCGACTAAAGCAAAGAGGAGGCAATGGTTTCGAGGGAGAAATAAATGGAAAAAGATGAATATATAAAAGAATAAGGGAGCCGAATAGATCTGATATATGCTCCACAGACTACAACTGCTTAACATGAAGTCAAACAGAACTCTGAAAAAAAAAAAAAAAAAACAATGGGAAAGGGAGATCATGATGATATGATATGTTCATGATCCCTCTCTTTCCGCATTCTCTAATCCCACCCCGAACGTCGTCGCAAAATCATGCCCGCAGTACATACAAACGAACACCCATCCCCTCTATCCCCCATACCCATCTCCATCCACTAAGCGAGCATTCACCTACATATGAGACATACATACATACACGCACATATATGTACGTATCCATCCATCCATGGTAGGCATGCACGCGATTGCATTTGCGGCACGGGTGGATTCCCCTACAATTCGCTCCGCACAAAAACCCCATAGCATTAAAAAAGAAAAAAAAAAAAGAAACTCCCCTAATGCACCTCATACCTAGTACCAATCCTTCCGCGCCCGCGGGCCGAATCGCGTTCTGCGACGGAAATGTCGTACATAGCATACAATACACATGTGGTTGGTTGTAAGTGTTGGGGGGTCTGGGGTACTTACTTACAGGTAGATACAGTCAGCATACATATATGTGGTTCAACTATCAATGACGATTGCGGCGTATGTCTTCGATCCCCGGGAGGCTGGGGTTACCTTGATGAAGACGAGGGTTTAAATTTTTCATCTTTGGGAACAAGTTAAACATGTAGTGGGAAAGAAAACAGTTGTATATATCCTAGACGTGTGTAAGGATGTATAAGCATGCCAAGTAACTTGAGTTCCACACCGGTGACCGGCTGATATAATATCTTCACCTAGTCAGTCTGGGTAAATATTGCCCATAGTAGACCCCTAATATCTCGATGGGTAAGTGAGGTTAGAGCAATGTCGATAGCATAACCGGCCGTTCTAGCATATTTGCTTCTAATCATGGTATTACTGGTTTATAATCCCTTGACGTGGTTAATCTAATAGATCAAGAATATCATCACTTCCGCGGAGCATTTTCGGACTAGTGAGTCAAGGGCGCGAAGTTGACAGGTTCACAATGTAAATTATATCCCAGCGAACATAACGCCCGGGAATTATCCGATCTATATAGCCCATAACATAAAGATGTCCGCGTAGACCGACATGGTAGATCCGTCCTTGTAAAGGCCCCTATATTCCCATGAACCCGGATTAAAATCCCAGAGAAGATAAAGAAACCAACTACATGGATGTCTGAATAGCGAACGAGGTCTATATGGTATAAATGCGAATGGCCCTAACTGGAGGGCTCTCAAGTGATTCCTTCGAATCTACTTGTCTTTCTTTAGTCCCCGACAGGTGTCCTATTTGATATTTTCCGTTCCCATTTCGTAATTGCATGCTTCGCTATCATTGCTTTCGTTATGGGCCTCCGTTTAACTCCAGTGATAACCTTGAAACGCCTTGCTAGTTGTTTGGTCTATTCGATTTGTCTGCAGGCGACAAGGCCCAAGCGTAGGTCTTTTTTTGGAAAGATAGGTGATATTTCTCCACCCGTATGGCCCACTATTACTTGTCGATTGAGCGAGACTGGAATGATATGTAGCTGATTCTAGGTGTTTTAGAAGCTAGCTTTCCGTAGGACACCCTTGCTAGTCTATGTTTGGTCTTTAGTTGGCCGTATTCCCTAGGGTCTGGAGAAGCTGCTTAAGCCGAGAGGCATTAAACGTCATAGCCGTTTTAGATATAATAATGTAGTAAACTGGCTCTGCAAATCGTCCAGAAAAACAATATGCGGTAGCAGAATGGATGACGGCCCTTGGCGTAACAAGGTCATCCTACTAAGCCTATGTGCTACAGATATCTCATAGAGAACCCAGGTCCAAGGAAAGCAAATGAGCAACCGGGTGGCACAACCTATGACGGAGGCGAAGTAGCTCATAGGAAACCAGACTCGGCCAGGACTCTATCGGACATGTAAGTCTTTGCCTAAATATATCAGCTTCGTGCATAATGAACATACCTTACGATCTTCTCGTCTTCACGCTCACGAGGCTCTACTATCAAACTTTTATCGTACATCTCGTGCACATCTCCGGCAGCTTGCATATTGCTGAGGATATAATCGTGTAACTCCAGCACGGGTTGAAGCGAGTACGGTGAGTTTTGGTATAGTTGAATATCACGGATGACTTCGGCAGTTTTTGCACGTTTGGCGAAGTTGATCAAATTGGTCTTCTTGATAATTGAGGGAATACCGTCCTCAATGAAAGTAAGATCGGTAAGATAGACACCTATATAGCGTATTAGGATTGTAAATTATGAAAATGATTGAAACGTGGATATGAACGCACCAAAGAAAGGAATGCATGGGGGGTTAGCAGCATGCAGAGCCTCTCTGTACTCTCCGAAATTTTTCGTGCTTGCCATTAAGCGTCGCATCGTCTCCAAGACGGCTTGAGTTCGAGCTGGAACTTGATCCCATGTTCGCTTCAAACGAGCAATAGGGGCAGTTCCAAGGGCGGATATGATTGATGTTAAAGTAGAGAAGTTATTGAGACTCCGGCATTTCTAATTTTGTTAGTTGATATGAATTAAAATAGTCTGAGGGTAGCACTTACATCAGCGACTGAAACGAAGTGTTTGATGACAATCACTCGCTTCTTCACATCCATTTGGGCTAGAATCATCTCCGCAACCCAATTTGTCATTTGATTAGAATGTAGAATAAGTGCCTTGACATTAGGTGCTGGTTCTGGCTCATTTTCGCCAACCTTCTTCTGCCAGGTCTTGTTGAGACATTCTGTTGGCTTGATCTTACCATACAGCCTCGACTCAATGATTGTCAATTGTCGCGCGAATTCAGTAACATCGATGTCAAGGAACTTAAGTTTCTTCATATTCTTCGGCATGATCGGCGGCGGTACGTTGTTCGCAAATGTTTGAATTAAGCGCTTAGATGAGATCTCTTTGCCGCTCAATCGCTGGTCTAATACAGCCATAAGATTGTTGGCGCCGGGAGTTTCAGTAGATTTGACAGTGTCTCTTGCGAATGCGTATACATCGCGTATGAGCTGCCTTGTCTCGTCGTTCGGCTCCTCCATCCAGAAGTTCTCGAACCAACTCTTGATAATATTTACCACACGGAATCGAATCAATTTCTGCTTTCGATCCCTCCAGACATCGTAGTCAATAGTGCTCAGCCCCTCCGGCGGTTGAATACTGAAGCGTTGTACTAAAAGCTCGAATAATTCCCGTGCTGTAGTGAAGGATCGATATGTTAGAAGGAATGTGTTGTTAAAGCTTGAGTCCGCCTTATCGTGTCTTGTTAATTGCTCAACCAGGGCTAGTAATGAACCACCCTTGACTGCAGGTGGTGATGTCTTGAGATCCCAGGATAGATCATTTTCGAGATCAAGTCGTAAGAAGGCCGGTGTTTCTTCGGTTTGTTGGACGGCACCTTGAGGGATGGAGGTCTCTCCCAAAATTCGCTTGAGCTTGGAAGGATCACCAGCTTTTCTATGAATATTTGGTGCAGCTTCACCCTCGGTATAAGATGCGGAGCCCATGAGAGGAGGCCTAACATCTAATAAATTACCGCGAGATCCCGAGCGTGTATGTATCGAGTCAAAAGAGGGCATTGTATCTCTTCGGGGTTGTTCCCTCGGTATGTTATCTTCCCGCATGCGAGCCTCAAGTTGCTGCTGCATGTTGATTTGTACTTGTTCAGAGAGAAGTTGGAGAGAAAAGCCGATATGGGAGGAGTTTTGTTCCAAAGCTCTCGCGCATTGCCTGACATACTCTAACCTGCCTTCCAACGACTCTCCACGCACCTCAGCCCACTCGTCACCAAGAGGACCCGCAACAGCTTGACATCCTAGAACCAGGTCGGATACGTTGTCATAAAGACTTTGCTTGTTGGTGCTGAAGTCGGCAAGTTGAGGAGTTTGGAAGGTATTCCCTAGAGAGGAGAGGTCGATGGACTCGATCATCGCAATCCACGGCTTGAACATTTCTAAAACTCTTCCTCCGGCAATGCAGACATTGTTGCCAATGAGCTCGTGTTTATAGGGAGACACAATTTTATCAGATACGCCCAGGTTCTTTTCCAGTTCCCTAATGCTAGAAACTAGCATCCTCTTATACTCGTCAAGTCGCTCGAGAAGTTTGCCGTCAAGGATTGCGCTAGGCTCAGCGAACCCTTCATCATCCTCCAAGAAATTTGATGTAATGGGATCGCGAGGCCCAAGTCCGTTGTTCTGCCAGCTTCCTCCGGCTGCACTGCCTATCACGAAGCCAGGGAATAATCGTGGGATTTCCTCGCCTCTTTGTTGTCTAGCGACCTCGACAAAACTGAAAACGCCTCCGAGTACACCGTCGGCTTCTTGCATACATTTTTGGACAGACTCGGCGTTGGGCCAGTCGGCAGCGGCTATATGGGACGAAATAACAAGCTTGGAAAACTTTGACATCATGTCTCGGAAATGGGGATAAAGCGCCTTGTTTGTGGAGATGATGGAAGGCTGCCCAGAGTGGTTATCGGTCGTACCCGAACCAGCAGCTAGGAGCAATCGCAAATGATCGGAAATATCCTCTGCGCGCGCAACGTATTCCGATCGGTTATTTGTCGTGATCGCATCTCGGTAGCGGTCGATAGCACGCTTCATATTCGCCACAAGAAGATTCCATGATAAAGGCTGTGTAGCACCATCGTCGAAAAAAGAGCGGGGGATTTGCGCCGCTTGTGGAAGATTAAAACTGGTACCTGTAAAAGAGGTGGCGGATGCCAATGTTGGTAATTGGCTAGCACTTGCAGACATTGCGAGATGAGTGTTGATATAAGTGTCAGCTCGTGATCGTGTTCCTTGCGAACCATTGATAGAATCCATGGATGGTGAAGGAGAGACCCCGACGCTATCGCTACCGAAGGCACGACGTCGTGGTGGCTACACAATACTGTAAGTAGGTGGTACATACACGCGTAAAGGGGTGATTGTACTTACTAAGGACCCCATCGAGCTTTTCATGAGTAATTCGCCGTCGAGCTCCGATGCTGATGTTGCCTCCGAGTCCTCATCTTCATCTTGCATTAAGCCTCTTGCCATCATTTCCGGAGGTACCCTCGTCTTCTCTACCATGTTCACATTTATCCGATCTCGGGGTCCGTTTTCGTTGAATGAAGTGGGAGATTCGAGCGGGAGTTCCGTGCTACTCTCCCCGGTCATGGTGTTATAGTAGAATAGCCTACCATCCGGCGTAGCCTGTGGTATCCAGAAGTCGGCGCCAGATCTTCTAGAGGTCCTCGTGCCCTCGAGGGGTAGTCCGTTGAAATCATCTTGGTCTGACTGATCTCCATCTCCAAACTCCTCTTCGTATACTACTTGATCTTCCAGCTCGTCGTCACCATTGTCTCCATCGATATTTTGCATCTCGGGAATTTCCTCAGGGTTCGTGATGATCTGACAATAGTTACTTGGAAACCAGCCGCGGACCCCATTGATCACACCGTCCCACCATCCACTCTCCAACTGCGTGATGACCTGGATGACATCTCCTTCATGAAAACTCAGACTTGTTCGATCATCTGCTTCATAATCGTATAGGGCTCGGACGTATAGTGTGCCAGGAGGCGCGGTGCCTAGTATTCCGTTCATGTTGTATGGATATGGATTATAATCACGGTCACCGCTGGATCGACCCAACGATGCCGGGTTCCTCAACTCGATAGCCGAATCGGGGTTTTGATCGAGGGTGTTAGATCGGGATCTATTGCGCGAATTGTACGTGTTATTGTTTTGATTTGTTACTATTGCCGACACTGGAGACTGTGTCATGAGCATCGTGACGTCGGATGCGCCAAGCGTAGCTACGGATGATTCGAGGCTGTGGTATTAACTCATGTCCGAGTCGACACGGAATTGAAAAGACGAAGTATATAGAAGAATAAGATCAAGCCGTCGAGATCGCGTATAGATAATCTGTTAAGTATCGTCTCACAGTAAAGAAGGCACGAAGGTAAAGGCGCGAGGGTATAGATCGATAAATGTCGCCGTCGTCGCTATCGGATTCGAAATCATTAAATGAGAAAGGGGGCAAAAAAAACCGCGAATTTCAGGACGACAGAATCAGAAGCGAAGTTGAAAAGGTAACAAAAAGAGAATATAGAATGTCTAGTGCAATGATTTTCTTTTCCTAATCCTCCTCTTCTCTCAATCGGAAATTGACCTCTCGTTTGAATTTTGCCTACAAGCGCCTAAGGGACCTGTTTGCCGGCGTCGATTGGTGCTAGAAGATGGGTGTGAATGGTTGGTTGGGTGACCCTCCTTGCGATGGGCGGGTAAAAGAAGTATAAGGTAAGGAGTTCAATTCGCTGACGAGAAGGGCTAGTACGGGGTCACTCAGGTCAACTCAGGACTGGCTCCTTCTGACACTGACACTGACCGTATCTGTATCTCTTTTCCCCCAGGCAGGTAGGCAGGCTAAGGGCTGAGGGCTGAAAGAGAAACAGACCTATGTGGATAGTGGTCGTAACGAAATGTCGGCTTGGGTTACAGCCTATGGGATTTAGAGCTTTTGCGTTGAGGGCGAAGTGTGTGTGTGTGTTAATCGGCGAGGGGGGGTGTGTGGGTTTGTTTGGCTCAGTCCGATAATAATACATATACATACATACACATGCGTCCACATCCACACATACATGTACACACAGCCCGAATGTATGGGAGGTGGTAGTAATGGTGGTAATGGGGTGGTAGTGGTCGGAGTGGTGGCAGCAGTAGTAGTGGCAGCGGCGGTGGTAAGAGGTTAGAGATCTGAGTCGGGGTTCTTCCCTCGTTTCCCACCGTATCACTTTTCTGATCTCCCCTATCCATCTATCCACTTTGAAGTATCCTTGTAGTATTATGTACACCGTACCAAGTAGTATTTGGCGGTACTTTATGTATTTATCAAGGTTTAGAATACTTGAAGCAACCGTTATGGGTAGGTTAGTTTACGTTGACTATACCCCATGCGGTAATAGTCAACGGTCTTAGCGTCCGTAGCGAGATACCCCTCTTTCTTTCTCTTGAGAAGGGGACCCCTTTTAAATTTTTCCGTCCAACCCAGCAACCCTCGAGCCGTATGTAGTATAGTATGAATATTTTTATTGTCTTTATACACCTATCGATTCTTTTTGTACTTGAGAATTTTCACGGTTCAAATGGACAGCTATTTCGTTATAATAATAGTTACTGATGAATGATGCATAAATACAAACAGCTATACATATATCACCCGGGTCCGAGTCCTGCAGGTTGAACGGGGAGCGGAAATATACCGTGGTAGGAATTTATGTAGCACCTCACCTGTCAATTCTTAAGACACCCCGCTGGCGTGTTTTTGACATGAGTGCCGTAAAAGTTAAATCTGCTGGCACGTTGTCGGCTTTTTAACCACCACCTACTGGGAAGAGAAGGAGCATGCGAATGAGGAAGGACTACTTAATCGATTAGGCGTTGATTATACCGAGATGTTGAATCGATTGCCTTTTTCGAGTTAAGTTAGAAAGTCAAGGTTACCTAGGTACCTAGGTATTAATTCAACCGATTCGATATGCATATTTAGTGTCGTCAGTCAATTACTTACCAACTCTCTTATACTTCATTTTTTGAGTCGTTTCTTTTTCTTTTTGTGCGTTGCAACCTCGGCCGCCTGCTGATTCGAAAGTTGCCGATAAATTATAAATTATCGAAACTGTAAGGGGAAATAAAACATTAGAAGAAAAAAAAAGAAATTTGGATATGGCAATCAACTGAGAATCAAACAAGGATCTAATCATTTTGTTTGACAGTTTAACATTCCCATTGTTACTGTAACTTTGCATAAAGACATCCGTGTTAATGATGTATAATTTCTACTGTATCATATGCGATTGATCTTAATATCATTATGTAATATGCCGGAATACTTTGTAAAGTCCGATTTTAGATAAGCTTACCCGATCAACATCAAATACAACCTTGGTGGACAGGATGGGTGGGACAGGCAGCTGAAAGGCTTACATTATGATATATACTATATCTATTTAAAGTCTTGAAACTATATCATTGGTAGATATTTAGCTAAAAAGGCCCTATGACTATAGTCATACCCGACTCAATGAGTAATCGTTCATAGAGCTGAGTATAATATGTATAATGATGTATTCTGGATAAGATGCTTCCTACCTGAGTGCTGAGCATTGGTCATATCGGCTATCTCGAAAAAGATGCCAAAATGATAGGTAGTGTAGCGAAGACCCGAGTCCAAAGATTCGTTTCCCTGGTGCTAGAACTACTGTGTACGTATCAAGGGAGGGAGGGGTGGCACAGCCTTTCACGAAATGCGTACTGCATTCGTAGTGTATGGGTATATGCATGCAAGCTGCAGTGACCTCGTGCTCGTACCTCTTGGCGAACTGACGGTGCTATACACAGTACGGTACATACTATATATCTGCGAGGGATGAGGCTCGGTGAAGCGTTAGGAGAGGGGCGAATATACTAGTATACAAAACGCTAGAGCTTCTCATACACGTTTCCCCTTGCGTGTCAACTACACGTGGGAACATGTTCGCTTGTAACGGTATCTTTTTGTTGTATCTTTTGATGTATACTTATAGAACTTCAAATTTCAATACCAGTAAATCCAAATTACCCTAATTGCTTAGCAGCAGCTATCGGAATATTTCGAAGACGCATGGAAGACTTGGAAATTCCTAACACACAGACACCGTCCAGCAAGCAATGACGCCTTACTGCGGACTAGGTGTCTAGGTAGGGATAGAAAATGGCTGGTTTAATATCAATGCTAGCAACCGTTGCACATACCCCTGGACTACGCCCTCTAGTTGCTACCGCATATGGGACTGAAAAAAAAGGAAGATCGTTCGATGAATTTTCTCATTAGATTGTCCACCAAATTGGATTCGAGTAACCCGGCCCTCTGGAGTCTACCCTAGATAAACAAGCACCCCCTGCAGCCCCCTGGAAACCAAGAAGTCTAGACGGTTGCTGATCTAACCGATCAACAAGGCCAGGGACGAAAAAGATAATGTTTTCATCGCTACATGCGGATGTGCAAAGGACTCAATACACATTGGATTATAAGTGAGGCAATCCAACAGCTTATCTCTAACCATCCCGTCAAGATTAAACCACTTGAGAATAAGAAATGACAGGAACAGCTTCTTTAGGAAGTTGTTCTCTATGGTTGGTATCAGGTAGAGGGCACGGGAAAGTGGGAGGGCGACCTGACACAAACTTTTAACTAACACACATGTTGAGGCCACCACGGGAGTAAGCCTTGCCCCTCGGTCAATAGCAATCATATGTAAGTAGTACGATACTATGTATGGCGTTGTAAGTGTCGTTTCAACCCTCCCCACCAGCCTTGCTCACGATTACTAAATATGTGCTTGCTTTTAGGATGAAGGCCGAATTCCCGTGGGCACGCCATGATGCCTAGAAAGCTACCTAGGGATGCGACTAGAAGACATAAAGGCAACTATCAATTTCATCGTGAGCCCATCGTTTCCTGAGAAAAAAAAGGTTATGTCAAGCATCAACGAACCCCCACGTTCTGGCTAGGAGCGGGAATAATCATCGACCCCCCAAATCCTCCAAGTTCTGCTTTTCCGCCATTTTGATTAAGGAGAGTGGTTATTAAGCTAGAAATGTCATCTGCCCGATCCTGCGACCCTTCGATACACAAGATCCGGGAATGGGCGCTCTTGTCAATCTCAGCTTTTCTGCCCCCAATTGGCTTCCCGCAGCTCCACGTGGGGTTGCCTTTGCGATCCTACCAGACCAGCCTACGACCTGAGGAGGGGCAGCATCCAATGGGCGGGCCAATGCAGTTCGACCAAGCACCGCATCAACTGCTTGTACTCGCACGTACCCGTGTACTTCAGCTGCTTCTGCTTGAACTGTGTGATACAAAGAGGCAGGCCGTGTAACCTGAGAATGGTTCGGCTTGAGACCGACGGGGACTGCGGAACCAGCCTTCCCATGCGCATCATCCAATAGGTAGGGCAGATCAAGAACGAGTCAATTTTTCAAATGTGATAGAAAAGCAAAAGCGAGAACGAGCTGTATTCCAAGTTTCTCCTATTACTGAGTACAAGAGGCCTCCTTGAACTACTATGTAATTGACTCAGATTCTGTGATTACACAGTAGTTTTAAACAACTATTTAAACCTGAGCGGAGTACGTTCGGCTGGTCCGAAAGTCATATCCTACCATTAGAGAAAGCTTGGTGTTTGTCTTCCCGATTAGACGGGTCCGTTTGTTCGCTCAGCCCTGGCGAACCGTTTGCGGTGTGGCCGGGTAGAAATATCCGTCTTTGCGCGTTTTTCGGGGACTCATCATTTGGAGGGCTGCATGCCGGGAATATCTATCTCTATTAATCTGTATTTCGATTGCGCAACATGAATACCAAATAGAACAATAGTGGAAATATTGTATATCTTCCCACAATAAAAAAAAAATAAAAAACAATTATAATATTGGATGTTCTATGTGAGTATTCGGTCCTATCATCGCGTGGCATAAGGCAAGGAATAAGTGTGGTACGGAGCACCACCGCTTATGTTTGAATAAAAGATCTTCAGGGGATAGGTTCCATGGATCCGGCGCGA